CCCCTCCCCCTCCTTATCTCTCCCCTCACCTCCACGCTCGCGGCGGAATGCTTCTTCGACGAGACCAATTGCCGCCATCATGTCGTCCAAGCAGTCGCAAGAGCAGCAGTCCCCCATGAAGAAGCGTCGAAACTCCCCGAACAAGAATGTGCGGTATCCATTCTGGTTTGGAGGCAGCGCAAGCTGTTTCGCAGCTGCTTGCACACATCCTTTAGATCTCGGTACTTACTATATCCCAACTCCCCTTTATAATCTCTGCTAACATCTAACCAATAGTAAAAGTAAAAACCCCCATCTATACCTCCTCATAGAAGATCCGCAATTGCTAAGCAAGCTCACTCAGGTCCGCCTCCAGACCCGCAAGCCAGACATGCCCAAAAGCATGGTCGGCACCTTCGTGCATGTCTTCAAGCATAACGGCATCCTGGGCCTCTACAGCGGTCTCTCTGCTTCCCTCCTCCGCCAAATAACCTACTCCACAACCCGCTTCGGCATCTACGAGCACCTCAAGTCATCCTCCAGCACCGCTCCTACAGTCCCGGTCCTCATCGCCATGGCGTCGGCATCTGGATTTCTCGGAGGAATAGCAGGCAATCCAGCAGATGTACTGAATGTACGCATGCAGCACGACGCGGCGCTACCTATGGCGGAGAGGAGGAATTATAAGAATGCGGTTGATGGCTTAATACGGATGACGAAGGAGGAGGGCACCAAGAGTCTATTTAGAGGCGTTTGGCCGAATTCTATGAGAGCGGTACTTATGACAGCGTCGCAGCTAGCTTCGTACGATGGCTTCAAGGCGCTGTTGCTGGCCCACACGCCTCTTTCGGATAACCTGACTACGCACTTTTCCGCGTCGTTCTTGGCGGGGTTTGTGGCTACTACTGTGTGTAGTCCGGTGGATGTGATCAAGACGAGGATTATGAGTAGTCATGAAAGTAAGGGGTTGGCGAAACTCTTGGCGGATGTGTATAAGTTGGAGGGAGTGGGGTGGATGTTTAGAGGTTGGGTTCCTAGTTTTATTAGACTAGGCCCGCATACCGTGGCTACCTTCTTATTCTTGGAACAGCATAAGAAGATGTACAGAAAGTTGAAGGGGATTGATGAACCGGAAGCTTTTCCTTCTGCTTGAGAGAGGGATAGACGAAGAGATAATGTGTGTGAAAACGAGATATACGTAGAATATGTCGCCCTGTTTGATCTTATGGATATATGGGTTGGAGTTGGGAGAAATCAGACGCATACAACGGCGTTTTGCATATGGTTTAGGGTATCATACTTTTATCCATTCTAAATCGTCTACCTCCGGCACTTTTGCTCCAGATGTTAGAAGGTTTCCTCCAACGCCGCCTGATATGCTATTAGTAGTACAATGTAAGAATCTGGGCAGGCATTCTATAGCCCAACACCCGAGGTATATGGCCATGACCATCAGATCCGCCCTAACTCCATCCATTCGAATGACTTTGGCCGTATGGTGTAGCTCCATAAGGGGTCGCGGCTCCAGCTCCCCAAGTACTTGCGTTTCCACCGCCATAGCCTGGCGTAGTATAACCAGTGTCCCCTTGCCATCCGGAACCAACCATGCCGGTATCTGGACTGCGCGGCCCATTATTGTAATCATCTGCGCCATTCATGCCATTTATATCGCCTCCCTCGCCTTCTGTAACAGTTTGGATGACTGAAGCGAGCTTTTGCTGCAAAACCTTGATTCCTTGCTGGATGATCGCATCCGGCTCGAGGTTTCCCACGCTCTCCACCTCGAAATAGAACCTCTCAGGGACGGCGTCGTAGTCAAACGGCTCGCCTTCTTGTGGCGGCTCCTCCCAGTCAGCATATTTGCTCTTTGGCCTTCAGGATGTATTAGTAAGATTTATATAAAGTGCGGCTCGTTTAGCTCACCATTCCTTCGAGGCATCCTCCTCAAACCAGAGCTCCGTGTGCCGCAACTTGTTGTGAGGATCATATTCGAATCCTACAGCAGAGGTCGGTGCCCATTTGGCGTGTTCCTTTGCAATGCCTTTCTTCGCAATGCATTTTACATTCAACTCCTGGCCCTTTCGTAACTTGCAAATCACTGTGCCCAATCCTTCTGGATCGGTAATGACCGGCGAGCCAACCCACTGGTTCGCCCGCCCGCCATCCACTACGAGATCCCGAGCGTAGACTCGCATTATATCGTCGCCTGTACATCGCGCGTGAAGGGAAAGGGTGACGCTGCAGTTTTCGCATCTATCATTGCAGAGGTCGCAATCTCGCGAGTAGGCCACATCATCTACATTCTTCGAGTTTAACGGAATCAGGCCCAGGCGATGCGCTATGAATTCGTCTGCCAGAACTGATGTATTCGCTGAGAACTCCACCAGATCAATTGCCATTGTAGGGACTTCGGCGAGGACGACTCGGCGCAAGGAATTGGCAAAGGCGAGGTCGACGCCCTGTAATTCGAAATCGACATGATGCGATCCTGCCTGTAGATTTGCGCGTGAGCATGAAGGAATGTCAACAGACAGTCCGACCTCAAGGCATTACCTCTGTGATCTTTACGGAAGGCCCGGTAGCCTCCGTATCCATAATCATGGGGTCATATTCCATCTTGAAGGTGAGGGCTGTCGAGGGCACGCTCTGGCCGAAAAGAGCCTGTACAAAGGCTTCGAGAGATGAGCTAAGTTGGCGGGAAAGGAAGAGTCAACGTGCGCAGGCTGCAAGGCTACGTCGTCCGAAGGTTTGCTAAGCCTGCCTTCTCCTTTGGTTCGGTGTGATTTTGTGAAGAGCTGCGGTTGGCGGAGAATGCGCATCCAAAAATGCGCCTCGATATTTGAGCCTCGCCGCCAGGTTGATCACTAGCGTGAGAATACATCACGTGAAGAATGAAGCTTGAAGACAATACTACGGGGTATAGGATGACACTTTGTCGTGCATACCTACTTAGGCTAGGTAGGTATTGATTGAAATCAGATCCTATTGGGCTTATGAAAGGAGTAATATAATCATGTTGTGTCTAGTTTCAAGTGCCTCTTCCATTTTCCTCCACCTTTTGGTCCTATACATCTGCAGGACCATTTGAGTTGTTCTTCCCCAGCCTCTAACGCGACCGAGCCTATCGGATCTAGTTGGGGTGCAGAGTAGAGTAGAGTCATGCTGACACTTATACTTCCAGCAAACGCAAAGAATACCCCTTTATCTTACTAATAAGTTTCTTACCGAGAGATCCAGATCCCTCAGGAGTACGAAAAAGGGGCACAAGAGACATTATTCGTAACTTGAAGTGGAGTTTATAGAACAGCGCCCCATGACATACGAAACACCTCCCTAACAAGCAAGAGTCTGGAGCTGTAATCGAGGCATTTCTTATCGGCTGCACTGCACTGCCCTGCCCACATTTAAGATCATCCGGCAGTTCTGGCAATAATGAATGGATCTGAATCGCCAAGAGTGCGTACCCTGGGGTACGATACGGTACCTAGGTACTGTAATGATCAATAGTGTGGATATTAGAGGCCCAGGGATCGTGACCGTGTTGTCGATGGATGTTGCTGTGGAGGAAGAAGGGAATGAATGCACTCGAGTAAGTGGTTTCGGAGGCTCAGCGCTACTCGGATGTCATCAGTGAGTGAGTGCCACTGAGACGCAGCTGGAAAGTCTCCGCTGCAACAACAGCGCGTGCGCGTCTTGGCTAGGGGCTCGGTCTCGGCGTTTGCGCTGTGCTGTGCTGTGCTGTGCTGTACTGTAACTGTCAGAAGCTTTCTTTCCTTCCAGCATAGCCACGATTGTATTCGCCGTCTTGGGCCTACCCAACCGCTGGTCGCCACTGTGTCTGTTGGACATAAAAACAATTCCACTGCCATCTTCGAATCTTCTTATTTTTTCATCATTTTCAAAAGCTTTGCAAGCGTTGAGAAAACACCAGATCTTCACCATGTCCTCAGACAGCTCCCCGCAATCAACTCGCCCAACGTCCAGAGCATCACGGCATAATATGTCTATCGACCTATCTGCAATCCCCCCCCCTTATCCAACCTACCCCACCCTCAAATACTCTCCTCATCACCAACCTCCAAGATGTCGAAGTCTTCCGCCCAGACAACCTCCAGAGCATCAAAGAACTCATCAACGCCTCCGCGCCCATACACTCCTGGGCTCCGCTGAAGTCTTTCCGCCGCATTATAGTCTCTTTCTACGATGAAGACTCCGCAATCCGAATCCGACAAATTCTCGATGGCGAGGCTATCATGGGCGAGCGAGTAAAGGTCTACTTTGGCCACCCAACCTCAATCGAGATCAAAGACGAGCATTTAAATCTGCCAGACGCAGGCAAGCTCTTTTTCATCTCACCACCACCATCTCCTCCTCACGGATGGGAAATGAAATTAGAAGACGCACCAAATAAGCAAGTACATGCGGAGGATTTGGCAGAAGCTTTGGCGAAGTTGCATCACAGACCTCGGACAGATCTACCTGCGAGCCCCATTAGTGACAATGAGGAAGGCGGCGGAAGGGCACGCAGTGGCAGTACAACAACGATTTACCATCCTAGTAAACACGGATATAGTCCTGGTCTGCCTGCTATTTCAGTGGAAGATACGACGGGAGAATTTGATATCAGTCCGATTGAGCAGGAGAAGCCTATTTTCGCGCACACAACCAGACCTCCAGTAGAACTGATGGAAGAATAGACTGGAGATAATGAATATGGAGCACGGAGTGCATTGGAGTTGGTTGTGGCATGGCATGGTACTGGCGTTTGTATGATACTAAGAACACGCTCTGCGATTGCATTGAGCATAGCACTTATTCAGAGGTTCTTACGGGAACAGTATGTATGATATGAAGCAAGAATAAGATACCTCATGATTGTAATAATATCAAAGTCTTGGATATCCTTGAAATTCGTCCCTACCGAGTATTTGTTCCTACACGCTCTCCAGTGCGGCACTTCCTGGTGCAATTTAGCCCTGTCTGTACCACCACAACCCCCAGAAAACGAAAATTAATCAATCTGCTAAAAGTCTCCGAAACACATCCCTCCATGGACTTCGCCACGAACCTTCCTCCGTCACCACGAAGAGGAAATATTTGAGGCGAGTTCCATCCAGGGAAGTGAATCATCCCTAGAGCATCTTCTTTAGCTCATGCAAACCGAGGACTAGTCTCCGGTACTTCCATGTTTGCCCCCTCTTATCATTGATTACATATACTTGGAAAGGGATTTCATAATGCTATTCACTGGTATTTTTCTGTAGTTACAATTTCGTGAATCGTTTTTGCGCTTCTGGTTTGATCCAATACCCTCCTTATTCTCGATTCTTGTACTGTACAATCCCCCTACGTGGCAAACATGGCTGTCCCAAACCCTTTTCGTCGCCACGATGCCAATACAAGGGAGTGTTGGGGCTATACTTTCCAGTGGACTCCTGAGCACTTGACAAAAGAGGAAATGCATCCGTTAAAATTCACTTATGATGTTTTGGGGGAAGAGTGTTTGAATAGACTTGACGAGATTTCGCCACCCGTTAAGGTGGAACTTCCTAGAAATTTAAGCAAGGAGAAAGTCAACACAGACTTATACACCTTGTTAAAGGACAACGCTTCCAAGGACGAGAAACTTGCAGAGTTATGGACGCAAGTTAATACTATTCCAGAGTGGGTGGACTGGGAGCAGATCGAGCGAGGGCAGGATGTCTTCTACAGATATGGCGGCGTCGCCTTGACAGCTGTATTTCCCCAAATTATATTTCCAAATCCTATACTGAATCTTACAGCTTGCCTATCAATCTCTTCTCGGCGGCATGGGCGCCGCACGAGTAACAGAAGTCCTTGCGCGCACCGGGGGGTTCTCCACCAAGGTGGCGAAGCGCAGAATGTACGAGACAACACAGCACATTCTCCAAGTAACTGCTTCCATCTCAGCCATCAAACCAGGAGGAGCAGGTCACGCTTCCACCATCCGCGTGCGTCTCCTCCATGCAGCAGTCCGCCGGCGAATCCTAGCCCTAGCAAAAGAAAAGCCCGCCTACTACTCCGTAGAGGAATATGGCATCCCGATCAACGACCTAGACTCCATAGCCACCATCAGCACGTTCTCCGCGACACTCATCTGGCTCGGCTTTCCACGACAGGGGATCTGGATGCGCGAGCAAGAAATCCTTGATTATCTTGCGCTTTGGCGGCTTGTGGCGTATTATATCGGGACGCCGACAGAGTGGTTCGAGACGCCGGGGAAAGCGAAGGCGGTTATGGAGAGTCTGTTGATCTCAGAGGTGAATCCTAGTCCGACGTCGAAGATTTTGGCGAATAATATTATCTTGAGTTTGCAGGGCCAAGCTCCTGCTTATGCTTCGAGGGAATTCTTGACTGCGAGCGCGAGGTGGTTGAATGGCAATGAGCTTGGTGATGCGTTGGGTTTGGACCGTCCAAGTTATTATTATTGGGCGCTGTTTGCTGGACAGTGTCTGTTTTTCAATATTCTTGCTTGGTTGCATAGACTTAGCCCTTCTTATGACAGGAAAGCTATCGAGGTAATGCCTTCCTTCCCCTCCTTCGCTTCTTCTGCTTCCCCCGCTAACGAGTATGAACAAAAGCGCGTTCGTAAGATATTCTACAAGGTCATTGTGGAAAATACAACACATGGTTTAGGCGAGGAGACAAACTTCGACTTCAAGTATATACCGAGTTTCAACAAGACGAGCGAGGATCTGGGTGAATATGAAGATATGAAGATGAAGGGGGGTGTGGAGAGGAGGAATCTGGTTACTTTCACACTTGGAACTGCATTTGTGGGTATTTTGGTGTACATTGCATCGAGGATTGCTTTGAAGATGGTTGCGGGGTTCAGCAGCTGGGTGATATCATGATGATGCTGATGAGATAATGACTTGATGAGAGAGGACTTTAGTATAGCACAAAGAGATATCGAAAGGATGGCAAACTTTCATGTAGGCGGAAATCATATGTATTATAACACGGATTCATGGGAATAGAACTTGAAGATAATCTGAATAGAAACTTCTTTATAATTGTAAGATGTTGCTACAGTGAGAACAACAGCGAGGCTCTAGGCAAGAGGTCTTGGAATATGCATAGCATCTTGGAATTTGAAGACGACCATCCTACGTCGAAGAACACATGAAGGAATAAAAATGCTTATACTTATAGTCGAGATGAAGTCTGAGGTGGAGGTGGATGTGGATGTGGCGACGCGAAGTCAACGGGCGAATGTATGCATGGGGTTGGCCCCACTATTATTTAGCTGCAGCTTGGACTTCAGGAACTTTTTCTGCAGAACTCCTTTTACATCAACCAACAATAGAAAATGATGACTTGTCGCTGCACTAATAATCCGTTACGATTGTTTATTCGAAGCGTTGCTCAGCTTGATATTTCCACATCTCCGAAACTTCGGCGCGATATATACAGTTCTTCGACGTTCAGGAGGCCTCGAGCCTTGGAAGGGCAACAATTCATACAAAACAGATGTAATTCGACTTCATCCTCTCCATACATCAAGTCGATCGACCAAGTTAGGTCGCAGGAACAGCGGGCAAATCAGAAACAATGGGAAGAAGGCGTTGAATCTCAAACCAAGGATGGCAGCTCCAAATTTGATTCGAGTGTCTTTGCGGAAATTTCACTGGAATCGATAGATGCACTTGCGAAGGAATCATCATCAGAGATTCAATCGCCAGAGCCAGTTCCGAAGTCTATTCCACAAGAGCCTGCTGCTCACACTCGATCGCCCAGGAGGAGAGATACGGTGGTTGAGAGTACTCCGTCGAATATCACTTTCCGGCGGACCGGCTTCACCCCAAATCCGAGCTCTGAGGAGCAAACATCGAATACTACGTTTAGATCTGCGTTTCGATCGATGAGCTTCACACCAGGATCCAATAGGCAATTAGCACCAACCAGGTCCTCACCCGAATCGGAGCAAGAACTCGGATCATTTGAAAGAGATGCCACAAAAGCGCCCATTGAGGATGATTGGGTGCCGCCGAAGAAGGAACCATGGCAGATACACAAGGCTGCAATGAAGGAGAAGTTTCCGGAAGGATGGAACCCCCAAAAGCGTCTCTCACCAGATGCTATGTCGGGCATTCGAGCGTTACACCAGCAAATGCCCGAGATGTATACAACTAGGGTACTGGCAGATCATTTCAAAGTGTCTCCAGAGGCCATTCGAAGAATATTGAAGTCCAAATGGCAGCCGAACGCCGATACTCAAACAGACCGGGAAATGCGTTGGTTTAGGAGAGGCGAGAGAGTTTGGAGCAGATATGCCGAGTTGGGAGTCAAACCTCCCAGGAAGTGGAGAGACGAGGGCATAGGCAGAGGGAAGCCAGAGTGGAAGAAGCAAAGGGCGGAGCCCCAGGCCATACCAGAGCTTATTACGACCGCACGGGAGGAAGATAGTTTCTATGCGAACAACAGAGCTGCCAGTTCAGAGAGACCTCAGCTAGTCACCACAGCAAGGCCGCCAACTGGACATTAGGGATTCCTACGAGGCAAATTTAATTGCATGTAGAACAGTGCAAAGAGGTTATCTCAAGGCCTGATGTAAGAGGTATAACGTGTGTATGATACTGAGGAGCTCTTTGATTTGACTGGTTATATTTCATTTGAAATATCGAGGCAAATGGCGTTTAGGAGAGAATTTTCGCTCTAACAAGAGAACCTTGTGTACAAATCTATAGAACTGGCGACTCTGATGTTAACAATCTCCCGTCATATTAATACGAAGTAGCTTGAGTATCGCTGATATTTTGACATATTGGTGAACCAGACCTGAGCGGATACGAATGGTCTGGTGGGGCGTGCTAAGCCTATGTAGTACCACCAGCCTTGGGGCGCGTTGTTGGGTTGGGCCCAAGCGCGCAGCTCCCCCTGAGCGATGTGCGATCCCTGCGCGTCTGCTATCTTCTTTCAGCACAGAACTTTGAACGGGCTGAGCGCTGCTGAACTCTCACCCTCCTACCATCATTTTCCTAATCCGTTCCTTGTAATTGAGTTTCGTCTTTGACTGCAGTTGCGACCCTGCTATTTCTTCATCTACCTTGTCTTTTTGATCTTGGATCAACCCACACTGTAAGTCGTGCATCTATTTTTATCGCCTGTTTACCATCCAGAAGCTCGTAGCTAACCCACGAAAACAAAGCGTTTTATTCCATTTCCATGTCCTCCTCGCCGCCAAACAGATACAACCACACGCGAATCCGTTTCTTAAGATGCAAATGATCCTCCATTGATCACGCAGCAAATCACTCGACCATAATTCCTCCCAATTGATCAATTTCCCATGGCTTGATTATGTCTTCTACACCTTCGAACTCGAGGACCTTTGCTGCCAACACAGGTCTCGGCCTCAAGTTGACACCATTGAATTCCCCATATCCGCGAACTCCAAAATCTCCGTATAAGCAACGGAGCCTCTACGAATCCGGACTATCCCTTAAAAGGATTATTGGCACCACAGTCTCTTCACCGACTGCATTCGATACCCTTTCCTCTTCTCCGATATTTGCATACACAGCTGGAGCTGCGGCAGTAGTAGTTAATACCTCAAATCACTCACAGCGATTTTTCAGAGCGCGACCTACCGCCATACCCTTGAACAGTTCCAATACCGCATCATTTGCACCTTCTACACCTACAAACGCGCCACCAAACGAGGGCAGGAACAGAGCCGTAACTACTCTCAGAGACTCCGGTATTCCGTACTCTCCTTCGACTCCACACAGCACGCTGGATTGGGGTGACTCTCCAAGCTCGAAGACTTGGACCAGCAGGGAGCGAATCAAGGCGGCCACATGTCTTTCGATCAGCCGGGATGGAAGGCTTCTGGCTGTTGGAGAGGTATGAAGTTTCTTCAGATGTAGACTCACCTACTAATGCCATTCAGACCGGATATTCGCCAAGAGTTCTAGTTTTCTCTCTACAGGATAATTCGTCCGATACGCCTCTTGCTATCTTAAATGAGCACACGTTTGGGGTACGGGCAGTGGCTTTCAGTCCGGACCAAAGGTATCTGGCAAGTTTGGGGTCTCCAAACGACGGTTTTCTTTATCTTTGGTCGATAAACCACAGAACTGGAGCCGCAAAATTGCATTCGAGCAATAAATGCACGAGTTTTGTGAAGCAAATGCTATGGCTCGGCAAGAGCATTGTCACGTATGTTTTTCATTGGCCCCTTAAATGTCTCTTCTAACATGAAATAGCATTGGCACGCGGCATATCAAGATTTGGAGGGTTGAAGAAACCCGAAGTGCGTCACCTACGAAGCAACGCTTTGCCTTAGATGGTACGCCGCAACCCATACCTGCCCAACCATTACTCAAGGCCCTCGCCGGACGAAATGTACTCTTGGGACCACTAGTGGATGCGACTTTTACAACTATAGCAGCGGTATCCGAACACAAGGCTATTGTCTGTTCTGAAAAAGGAGATATCTGCCTATTGGATGATACCGAAGGGCAGAAGCTAATTAAGTTGGCAAGCACTGGATTCGCGATCACTTGCGTTGCGATCGATATGCAAGCTCGGCGAGTCAGGGTAGGAGGTCGCAATGGAAAGGTCAAAACCATGAATCTGGACGATCTTTTAGCGCCTAGTACACCTCCTGAGTCGCCTGTTCCAAGCGATGAGAACATAACATCATCAAGTGACGCGGGCCATCTATGCGCAATGGGTTACGCTGCTAGAAGCTTGATCGCTATCAATTCGAAGCACTTGATCGAAATATCAAGCGCTAATTCCGAACTCGAGGACCCACAGGTAGAGAATTCGCCATTTCCAGCTCATGGGGATTCTGTTCTGGGAGTCCGCGTCTTGACTTCGGAGAACGACTTTAAGGCTGCGTTCCTCACATGGTCCGCCAATGGAACAATCGTCTTTTGGGATTTAAATGGCAGAAGTATGGTATCGTTAAATTCGGAGGTGGAACAGTGGTCATCGGGAGAAGAAGACGTGGTCAATCAATGCGTTATCGTTCGGCCTTCCCAAGGTGCAAAATTCCTCGTCACCGGCGATAAATATGGTGTACTGAGGGTTATCAACTCCACAAGCAAGAAGTGCGTATTCGAAACCAGAGCGCATTCGTCTGATATACAAGATATTGCCCTATTCGCGACCCCTGATACCAGTTTGATAGCCTCTTGTGGACGGGACAGGACAATCCAGCTGTTTCGGTGGCTTTCAGACCAGTGGGTCCTTATCCAGACTTTAGACGACCACTCTGCTTCAGTGTGCGGAATGATCTTTGTGGAAAATGGCGAGAAGTTGATTTCATGTTCTTCAGACAGGACAATACATATCAGACAGCTTGTGAAGAAGGACGTTGGCGGACAGGAGGTGATTGGTGCAGTACCTATAAGGATCGTCACCTTGAAGGCCTCTCCGGTTTCACTGACTGCTTGTTCCGGTGATCAGACTGGAAGCTTTGTAGTTTCGTTGTTGGATCGTACTGTGGCCACTTACGAAATCAGCAGTGGGCGGCTTGTCAGTTCGTTTAAGGCGACGGATGGTGAAGGCGGCGATGCGGTAATATTGGATGCTCTTGTCATGGGGGAACCGAGCGCAATACCTGGTAAGTCAACTCACTAGAATTTCACGAGTACGACCTTTGAGGTGATGTTAACCAATTATTTAGCGTGTCCAACAATCCTTGCCGGGATTTCTGGAACCGACAAATCCGTGAGAATATATGATGCAATTACGGGGAACTTTCTGGATCGCGAATGGGGTCATACAGCTGCCGTGACAGATGTTGCTCTTCTAGAACCGGCTGATTCAGATCAAAAGATCTTGATCAGTACTGGAAGTGACGGGACTATCATGATCTGGGACCTCTCACCACGGCCACCGGAGCCCCAAGAGCCTATGGACTTCTTATCTCGTGATCCGTCACCACCCAAGGAAACGCAATCTGCTCGGCCTCCACTCAGAAGGGTGCTTTCAAGGGCAGAACTAGCGGAATTCCAAAGAGCATCGCCAGCGTCTACACCCGGCAATCGTTCGCCACCAAGAGTCCGGAGGAAAACTTCGAAATACAATCTTTCTTCCCAGTCGCCGACTTTAGCGCCCCCACCTGTTCCTCCGCTGAGTTCAAAACACTTTGCATCTACATCGGACGACTCTGGCGTGCGTCGAAATGCCAACAGAGCTAAATCTAGAAATCGGTCTCGAAGCCCAACAAGCCCAAAAGCCAAGGACATGAGAAGACCGTCCCTAGCATCACTTGATGTTCGAGGGAGAACTAAGAGTACAGGAACTTTTAGTGAATTTGGCACGCTTAACATGGCGACTGAGCAAGCCTGCCGCACACTGCGAGCTTATCGAAAGAAGTTGTTATCATCAGAATCGGTTAGAGAGGATTCTTTGAAAGAGCTTGATCAGGAGTTACGACTGACAGCTATGGCGCTGGGAGAAAAGAGCATCAAAACAAAAGCTATTAGTGAGACTGCCTTGGCGGGCTTACTAGATCAGTATTCGGATAGACTGGTGTCTATGTTCGATGAAAAACTGAGACTGACACAGTTGACCGAGAATTCTACTAATACCCCAGAAACTAATAGCCCTGAAGTTTCAGAGCGACCAAAGACTGCTGGGAACCCGGTGGTCTGAATATGTACAATACTTTTACTTCGCTTCACATGAAGATGGGCTCTCCATGCTTTGGGAACATTTTGGCGCTTGCTGGATGGAATTTTTGAACAATGCAGATTCTGGGGTGTCTGGGAGTAAATATGGATATGAAATTCGAGGTGTTTTGCCAGATGGCTTGCTCGAGGCGGGGGGAGTTTTATGAGCTATTCGGTAGCTCTGGTTTGCAAGATACCATAGAAGGACGGGATGCAGTTGATGATGGAGGAGTAAGAATTCCAATGAATGATTGAACCACCATCCCTGGGTGCCGTTTGCAATTAATCAGCAACCTTTGACACCGTAGGGCAATGGAAAGACGGTGAGTAGAAATGCGGGAAGGTAAAGACGGCGGACTCTTGAGACATAACCTCAGCAGGTATAATCGGACAGATAAATTGACCAATCCTACCCTGTGGTCCTCGAAAGCGAACATGCAGGCAATACGAAGGTACACCGGATTACGGAGGTAATCCGCCTGGCCCCATACCCCCAGACAGTGGCACTACCCAGCCATTCCCCGCCTCTCCACGGGGTCCTGGAGGCTGGGCGATCCTCTTTAGGCTACACGAGACATGAGATAGCGGCGTTACTGCCAGGAAGCGTTAGGCTCGAACGTGAATGCGGGGGAAGGGATTGGTGGAAAGTCTTAGATCTCCCGTTAAACATCTGCACAGATCCACGAATGAGAGGAGAGACAGTCACCAACAGCTTTCTGTACATATATAACACTTGCCTATCTTCCTCTTCTCCTCATAGCTAGCTGAGGGACACTTCGTCTTGCAATTGAAAGACAACCGGCATCATGGCAAAAGTATCATTTTTCAAAAACTATAGGGTGTACCTGCTCACTACGGTGGCATACATGGGCTCGCTCCTCTTCGGTAGACCCTCTCTTGACCCAGTGATATCAGAACATTACTAATAGATCGCGACTTAGGATATGACACGGGAGTGATGGGTTCAGTTCTCGCGCTCTCCTCCTTCAAGGAAGACTTTGGACTTCCCACGAAGAAAGGGGGGTTCGCAGATGCCAAGAATGCGAAGGTTGTCTCAAACACCGTATCACTGCTTACAGCAGGTTGTTTTTTCGGCGCCATCGCTGCTGCATTTCTTAATGACCGTTTTGGACGCCGCTACTCGCTTATGGGATTCTCCTTGGTGTTCTTGGTCGGTGCCGCAATTCAGACAGCTGCTACGCATCACATTGGCCAGATCTATGGCGGTCGGGTCATTGCTGGTCTGGGTATCGGTGGCATGAGCAGTATCACTCCTGTCTTCGTCGCCGAGAACTGCCCGCCCGCTGTGAGAGGAAGGATTACTGGATTGTTTCAGGAGTTTTTGGTGATTGGCAGCACGTTTGCGTACTGGCTCAACTATGGCGTTGCTCTGCACATCAAGCCATCGACAAAACAATGGCGTATCCCCGTTGCTATTCAGTTGATCCCAGGAGGATTCCTCTTCATCGGCCTATTTTTCCTGAAGGAGAGCCCGAGATGGCTGATGAAGCAGGGCCGCTATGAAGAGGCCACGAGCTCGTTGGCTTATATGCGGAGGGAAGACCCCAATGACCCAGATATCGTGAAGGAGATTGCTGAGATCAGGGCGTCGATTGATGAGGAGCTTTCGATGACCGAAGGCGTGACATGGAGGGAGTGCATCACGCCTGGTAACAGATACCGCTTCTTGTCTGGATTTGTGATCATGCTCTGTCAACAGTTTTCTGGCACAAGTAAGCAAGCCCTTTCTTTGGTCTAAGAATATTTGATCATCTCGGGCCTTCTTCTTTACTGAGAACGTAATACTAACGCGTTATAGATTCTATCGGTTACTATGCACCTCAAATCTTCCAGACCGTTGGTATATCCAAAACCAACACTTCTTTATTCGCCACCGGCATTTATGGCACAGTCAAGGTCTTCACTACTGCCATATTCCTTCTTATTGGCATCGACAAACTTGGACGCCGCAAGTCCTTGATTATGGGAGCCGCGTGGATGATGACGATGATGTTTATTCTTGGCGCTATCTTGCACACCCATCCACCTACGAATGTCGATGCTGTGTCGCCGGCCTCCATCGCCATGGTAGTTATGATCTACTTCTACGTGATTGGCTACTCTGCATCCTGGGGCCCTATTCCATGGGTGTACCTCTCCGAGATTTTCCCCACGCGCCTTCGATCATACGGTGTAGGTATGGGCGCTGCGACTCAATGGCTGTTCAATTTCGTCATCACGGAAGTCACGCCCAACGCTATTAACCACATCGGATGGCGAACATTCTTGATGTTTGGTATCTTTTGTGCGGCTATGGGAGTCTGGGTATTCTTTTTCGTGAAGGAGACGAAGGGTCGTTCTCTTGAGGAAATGGATATCCTGTTTGGGACTGTGAATGCGGAGCAGAGAGCGGAGGATGTGGAGAAGGTGTTGCATAAGAAATATATGAATGAGGAAGCGGAGGTGGCTGCTGGTGGGGATCACAAGGGAGCTTCAGTGGGCCTCGAAGATGTATCTACAGTCCCTGCTCCTGCGAAGTAAAAATTGGATTGGGAATTTGAACATATATGTGGGGTGGTAGTATGACAACAATCTACCCTCATAGTTTAATGCAATGGATTCTGTCTGAGAAATTGCCACTCAAGTCGATGCCCAGCGATTTGTGATACTGAAATATCTTGAAGGGCGAATGTCTCATCTATTCTGATTTAAGAGCTTTAGTAGCGGTCAGCTGAAGAATAGCCCGCGTGTAGGTTAGTTCCCCACTATCCAAAAGGGGTTCGGCTTAACCTTCATTCCCAGCTATTGGGCATACGGATATATTACTTTTTAGCATACCCTTTTCTCGCTCTATAATTCCATCTATACACTCCAGGCGTGTCAGTGCTACTCCCCAAGGCCACGTAAACTCTATACCAAGTCATAGCTAGTAAGGCGAGGTCATGGGTTTTGTTTTGCTGCATATCACAATTTATTTTAGCATTCATTAATATTCAAAGGGTTTGCCGTACAGTAATGCTTCTTGCGAACATTTGGGAACGATTGAACTGTTCCTATGGTGTTGTCAAAAGCCAGGTAAAGTCTATATCCGCACCAATTATCTGAGCACTTTATTACCAATTCTCACTGATAGGTAGAGTTATTTTTGTAACTGGACAAGGCGCGAGAGATCTATAAATATTCTCGATGTTTACTTTTATGTATCGAAGCATCTGCAGGTGATCTGATATCAAACTCCACTATATAGAAGTGGTGAATGACTTCTCAGGAATGCATACTATGATACTTGTAGACCTGAAAACTTAATGGAATTTTGGGAAACCCCTGCTACTTGAGATCTGTTAAGACTGTCTGCGATTCTGGAAGTTTCGTATTCGCAAAACAGAAGCGGATAACTTGAGTCTTGTTGTGTTAGTGTCTTAGGTTTTTTTCGTAATGTGAAGTACCGTAACATGTGAACATCCCCATAATAATCCCCGGATCCCCACCTGTCGCGTACATAAGCCAACAACGGAACCTCGGTGCTTTCACATGCCCCATGCGAAAAGCATAGTTCACCACGACTTTAAACTCTACTCTACCCTCATTCACCTCTTCTCACCATCTTCATCTCCAGAACATCTCGGTCATTTACACATTACAGCTTCCATATCTATAATCTCCCCCGACATCGTCCAGAAACCCCAAACTACCCAAGATGTCTTTCAAGAATGGTGAATACAACTCTGAAGCTATCGCGATCTTAGTACTGATTGATTTCCAGATGCCTTTCCCGCCTCTGCGGCCTTCGACGTTATCAATAGCGCGATTACATCTTCTGATGCCGAACGAAAAGATGCCATCAAGAAAGGGAATGCTATTTTCGCCTTCACATTGAAGAACAAGGCCGGGGAGACGGACAGCTGGCACATTGATCTCAAGTCGAAAGGAGAGGTTGGAAAGGGTCTTGGAGATGAGCCTACAGGTGTGTATTTTATTGGCAAGACGGAAGCCATGCTCTCTACATGCACCTCTTAAGATGGCCACTAACCTCTGTTTCCTAGTTGTCCTTTCTCTTTCTGACGAAGACTTCGGCAAGTTAGTTGAAGGCAAGGCGAACGCACAACGGTTATTCATGTCAGGCAAGCTGAAGGTCAAGGGGGATGTCATGAAAGCCACCAAGCTAAATCCAATATTGAGCAAGGCGCAGACTGCCAAGGCGAAGCTTTAGACCAACATACAATTGTATAACACCTATATCTCATCCTCATTGCCGGTACTTTGTGACTTGACTGCCAAATGGAGTTTAATGCTTTTGTTTTCTGCCATGGGCGTATTCGAATTACCTGCCTACCTAGGAGGCGTAGGCAGCCCAATGATTCACGATTTGCCGGCGCAACTAACTTCATCTATTATCCTGAACACTTCTTCCGTTCCGAGATGTTTACAAACGCATTATACCGAGAACTCATAGATTCCTTGAGTACCTTAGCCTTGGCATAGGGTTATGTATATATGACACTAAAGGGGTCTAGTAAGTTGATTCTACAGTAATTACCGGTAGTTGGAGAACAAGCTTGATGAATCTTGGTGTATTGACAACCACAACTACCTTTGACGCATGACCTACATTTGCATTCAGAGATAAAATGGATACAAATGGAGTACCTAGGTAGCTGCTCAAATTCACTTCTGGTATGGTGCTTGACAGTTAGTGGAATGGGTCACGTGTTAGGCTGTGGGTACTGGTGCGATCATGTTGATTTTAGAGTCGAGATCTCCTCTTCAACGAACGCGCCCCAAAACATCGACAGCAGACGCACCACCACCAACCTCCAGCTTGACTCACAACAATCTTGTGAACTTCTTCTCTTCCCAAGCATCATTCTGCTGGCACCTCAACTAAAGACCCCTTCCACTCGAGTCACAGCAAATGCGCACGAGAGTAGCCATCTTCGTCAACTCGAGTCCTATTCACTTTTGAGCGAGCTTCCGGCGGCAGGTCGCATTGTACCATACACCTTGAACTCCTCCCTAGCCCCGAATATCTGTGCGATCATCGACACGCATCTTGTGTGAAGCGTCGCGTTGGACGTGTATCGCGATGGAGGGCCCACCTCGCGCCAATGCTGCGCAACTTGCGGCTCGTAAGATCAAGGAGAAGCCCAAGGCAAAGAGATCGGGATCCGCCAGACCTGATCACTCAGCTCCTCAGTGGGCATCCCAAAGCCCGCAACCAGGAGAGGGACTCTTTGGAGGAAGTGTGCAAGCCCCAGGATCATTCAACTTCTCCGGACCGTCATCGGCACCTTCCTTCCCCCCTTCTTTTGGAAACGGTGGCAGTGGGTTTGGAGGCAATAATAATGGAGGATTTGGTGGAATGAATAACGGTCCACCGTCTAATGCCTCGGATCGAGATTCAGACCGACCGGTAGACGACCGGCCGCCCAAGAAACAATTTGGAACTTCCACAACCTCTACCGCCCAGCAAAACAACATCCCATTCCAGATGTCTACCACTTTTGGACAGAACCCATCTACATCTACAAGCCTATTTGGCTCTTCCAATCCCTCCCAAGGAGGAAATAATCTATTCTTCGGAGGCGCGCAGCCATCCCCTGCACCCAGCTTTGGCACAACACCACCGACACAAAACCAGCCCACCAACCCATTTTCTTTTGGCGCCTCTTCTTCCCAGCCACCTCCATCGCCCAGTATCAGCTTCGGCTCCAATTCAGCTGCCGATAAGCCAGCGAGCAATCCTTTCAATTTCGGCCAGACCCCTTCTCAACCGCCACAGTCTCCCGCGCCAGCGCCCTCATTCTTCAACCAGGGGCCTACGAACTCGGAACCAAAACCTCCCAGCTCTCCTTTTTCATTTGGCCAAACTTCAACACCGCCAGTAAGCTCTGGTATCAACTTTGGCTCCACTCCAGTAGCTGAATCTCCGACAAAGGACTTTTTTGGCAATACTCAACCTCAACCATCTGCTCTGCCAACAACCCTTTTTGGAAGCAACCCGACAGTTGAATCTCCAGCAAAGGATCTTTTTGGCAAATCCTTTTCTACACCTAACACCGCTGATTCTCCAAAACCACCAATGTCCAATCTTTTCGGCAGTGTGCAATCCGCTGCCCCACCAGTGAATGATCTGTTCGGAAACAAGGGTCAGAGTTCTACCAACGGCACAAGTAATTTCTTTGCACAAAATGGTCAGCCAAAGCAGGCTCCCCTCAATATTTTCGGTTCCTCCAGTCAGGCACCAACTGCATCCCCCACGTTTGGGCAACTAAACTCGCAACCCGCTAGCAGTATCTTTGACGGACCAAAGCCGAAACAACCATCAAGCATTACTTTTGGTGGCAACACGTCACAAGATGGGACTGTGAACAATATATTTTCTAGCCCAAACAAGCCGGCGACATCGATAACAAATCCATTTGGGAGTCTTAACAAATCTCCTGATGAACCCGCTGTTCAGTCTAATACCAACGGTGTTGACAAAGACAGACAAGCCTCACCAGAAAAACCATCCGCGCCGGGTGACCTGTTCGCAAATCTAAACAAACCACTTGGCGAGCCAGCGACAGAGCCCCAAGTCAACGGAGCTGGAGCCAGAACTGAGCCTTCGCCAGTGAAGCCAGTTGCACCTGTCAACGGACTATTTGGCAGTCCTCTTAAACAGCCAGAAGCTCGACCAGCTTTCTTGGACCAGCATCAGGTGACTACGTCTCAAGAAATCTCTTCTGCCCAGGGTCAATCGATACAGCAGATTGACTGGGCAAAAGTCGACTGGGAACAATTTCAGGGAGTTACCATGGAGCCTCATAATAAGGGCCAGCCGAAACCTCGTGTTCTCGCACAAAATGTCCCATTCGTAAGTACACGCAAAGCTCCATCAGCTTCTATATAGATACTAATTTTGCCTAGTTCAAAGAGCCACAATCGAACCTACCGTACACTCCCGAAGTTGTCTCACTGATAGACTCGATTTCGAGAGCTGAGACTGAGCAAAACTTCAGAGCCTACGAATTACTTGCACCTGCGATACCCGAGAGGGCATCTTCGATGACTCGAGAGGAAGAAGGCTTAATTCATGACATCAACGGGGAAGCTAAAGACTTTCCCAAGATGTTCCCTGGACTATACTTTGCCAAGACATTCCCAATCGAACACATGGCACCCCTGGTTCCTGAGCACTATTCTCCGGAGTTACGCATCGAATTCTACGTCGCATATCGTATGAAAATCCTGAATAATGAGTTGAGAAAGTACTTCGATACCGTATCTGTTACGACCAACATTATGCCAGCAATCGCTTTCTATCAGATCCTGCGCAAACAAATTTTGCGACGTGGTACCGCAGAATATACGATGGAACTCCGTAGGCTCGGAGTTGAACCTAAATTGACCCAAGCGAATGACAAGGGCAATGCAAAACGCGCTGCTGATGATGAAAATGAAGAGAATGAACCCCCCACTAAGCGCACAGGGCAAGTTGGATTGCCAAACCCATTTCGACAATCAAATGAGCAACTTGCTCCGGCGTCTCCAATACCAACTCAGGCCGCAAGCTCTCAACCATTCCTTAATGGAAATACGGTAACTACTTCCTCGGCACAATTCTTTCAGCCTCCTGTTCCACACCCGAGTGCTACACCATCTCCTTCTAAAGGAAAGAGAAAGGGTGATGACTTGGACCAAGATATGCCGCAACCGAAGAGAAATAGTCCTTTGAAGCAGGTCAATATGCAGAACCTAAATGGCGCCAGTGGTGGATCCAACACCTTAAACACGTTCAAGAGCATACTCGAGAGCCCGTCCAAACCCAACGGCCCCGCGAAGGTCAGTCCAGAGAGAAAGATCATCGGCTCTCCAGCAAAGCCAGCGGACGAGGCACCTCGTGTCAATCCATTCGGAAAACTCCCTATTCCAGCCTCGGCAGCAGCTACCAAGACAACATTTCTATCGCCTGGGAATATGTTCGCCCCGAAGACTCCGTCTAGCCCCACTAAATCTGCCACACAAAGCTTCACCCCAGTTTCTTCGGCCCCTGCGAACCAGTTTGTACCAAATCCATCGTCTGGCGACAGCAACTTCTCGAATGCAGTCACAGCTTTCTCTTCCACTCCAGCTGCTACTGGACAGAGCGCACCTGCCATCAAGCCTCCAACATTTGCTGCTGTCGATTTTACGGCGCAATTCGCCAAGCAAGCCGCGTTAGACAACGAGAAAAATGAAGAACGACTATTACAAAAGGCCATAGATGAGGATTTAGATTCCGATGATGACGAAGAAGAGTTCCGCGCGAATTTCAAGAAAGCTCGGGCTGAGATGAAAGAAAAAGAAGAGAGGGAAGTCAAGAGCTTAACCAATCGCTTTGTCCCAGTGCCAGGCAAAGGCTCTCCCTTTGGGGCATCAGCGCCGATGTTCAATACGAACACTGCTTCTGAAATGTTTCCTAAACAGGCTATCGTTGATTCTCAACCGCCGGTATCCTTGTTTAGTCAAAAGCCATCTCAGAATTCAGGTGGTAGTTTTTTTAGCCCCAGTCCTGTGAATGGTTCTCGCGCATCAACACCAGGGGCCATTTCAAATTCGGGATCTGTTTTCGACGGCCACATAGCCGGAAAACCTCTCCAATTAGACAAAGGTATTTTCGCGCATCTCAGTTCCGATACTGGTAGCGGGAAGGATGACGATGCGGATGAGGAAGATGCAGACGAAGATAACGGAGGCGAGAGCGATTCGGAAAACAAGGACCCTAATTACCAACCCGGCGAGGAAAGCAACAGTGGTCCTGGCACACCTGCTTCCGAAACAGGCGCAGGCATAGCCTCTGCTAAGAAGCCTACTAATTCTTTCTTCGAACAATCAAAGCCCGTAGGTGAAGCCGATTCCGACTCCGGTACCAGTACACCGGGCAAGAGCTTAGCAGACCGAATGACATTTCCCTCGGGTACATCCTTATTCCCCACTACGTCTAACGAAGAGAAGGAGAACACTCGGCCGAATGCAGGGAGACCTTCCCCAAATATCAAAAGCCCATTCTCCTCACTCAATGCACCCGTGAATGGGGTTACTGGGGACCATACCTGGAATCAAGGTAGCCCAATCAAATTTGGCTCCAGCACTCCAAACGGCGATACTAAAATCGATGCTCCGACTTTGAGCGTCACAGCCGCAACTCCTACCAAATCTTCGGGCGTTTTCGGCAGTAGCCTCTTTGGAAATGCCAAGGAGACGAAGCCCCCTCAGTCCAATATATTCGGAAGCCTTACCAACTCCAAGCCCACGGTAGGCTTCAGCTTCGGCGCATCGAGCTCTGGTCCTTCCCTCTTCCCTTCTGCAGTGCCTTCTGCTAGTACTTCTCGCGCCACTAGCCCGGGTGCTACAACCGATGGCGATAGTGGCGTAGAGGGTGAACCTGATGCCGAACGTCATGAGCAGATTGATCTTACCTCAGGTGGTCCTGGCGAGGAAGATGAAGAGGTCCTCCATGAGGTTCGTGCCAAGACAACCAAATTTGTCACGAAGGACGGCAAAGGGTCTTGGGAGACTAGGGGCGTAGGACCCTTGAGAGTTCTTAAGAACAAGGACACTGGGGCAGTCAGAATGCTCCAACGTGGCGACCCTAGCGGCAAGATTGTGTTCAACAAAGGCGTTCTTTCTAATGCAAAGTACGAAGCAACAGGAAAGACTGTCAAAGTTATGGCTCTGGCTGGAAATGGCGACGCTCTCGAGACTTGGGTAATACAATTCAAGACGCCGGAGTTTGCGCAGGCTTTGGCTGCAGTTCTAGAGGCAAACAAGACATCATCTTGAATGCCTGAGATATATGAGTAACCTGGAATTGGTCTCTATGGGTGGACTCAATTTCTCGATCGACATAATTGTGTGTCTATGGCATTGATCATGGGGGCGATGGTGATATGGAAGAAGTAAAATTGATTGTCGTGGTGACACTAAATTTTTGGACATGTTCTTGCTTTTCGTTTATACCAAAAAGACGCATACGGATCCGGGATGGATGGTTTTCGCGGCATGGGTCTGGCGTTATATGGGGTTTATATGCATAGCGGTACAGTCGTTGTGGATTGATACACGTGGTGTTGGCGTTGATAGACTTTGTAATGAAGCTTAGTACATAATTGCATTCGGGAATAAGCACCCCTTTTTCAAGTATTCTCGAATTCCTATGCTGTGAAGTCGATTGTTTCTCATTGTTCGCCTGTGTCATTGGGTGAGAATCTAAAGAAGATTCAAGGATTGTAGGGCATCGAGGACGCGGGTCTGCCCAGGATATGATACAGATCCGTGGAGGTACTCAGGTGTTTTACCCCACACCTGGGGAAGTCAGGACGCCAGTATTTCTCGGTCCGTTCGCGAAACTTGATTATACAATGATACCTGCCTCTTTTGCTCTTGCATTCCCAGGAGCCGATCAGGTCTCGCCTACCAAGGCCTGAGTTGCACTTCATTTTCAAGTCTGAAGAAACACCACTTGTTCCTTCCTTATTAGAATAGCAAAACGCAATATATGAAGATAGGTTGCAAAGGTTCTATAGTCTACTAATGCAGTTCGTAATCCCCTAAGCTGATGCAACGTATCGATAATGTGTGAAGTTAGTTTGCCCCTAATCCAATTCATAAATTGCCCCAATAAAGTTATAAAGCCTAGATTAATGCCCGACCTTGCTTTCCTTTCCTTCATTTGCTTCCTTTCCTACTAATCTACAACATACTCTTCGGCATATTCTTCAACGCCTGTCTCACGCCCAAATCGCCCAACACTTCCTCAGCACCGCCCAGGATAGCATCAAACTTATACGTGCGGTGGAACATCTCAATCGTGCGCCCCATTCCCGTCCGGGTCAAAGCCCTGCCGCCAAAAATCTGCACAGCCTCGTCGGCAATCTCGTGCGCGGAACGTGTGGCGAACATTTTCAGAAGGCCGATGGGGCCTGCTAGGTGCTGCGATTGTTGCGAGTAGGGCATTTGCGTCATTTGGTAGGTGATGTTTTCGAGCCAGGCTTGGTTGGCTTCACAGTGAGATATCATTTTCGCTAGTCTGTGGTGGTAGTGCATTGTCAGTATATGGAGAAAATGTGGAACTCGATCGGGCGGGGGCTTACTTTTGGCGGATAACTGGTTGTTCGATTAGCTTCTTTCCGAAGACTAATCGCTGATTGCTCCATTTGAGACATTCTTCTGTTACGGAACGGCTCTGGCGGATTACGGCACAGCACATCATCCAGCGCTCGTGGTTGAAATTTGCGAGGATGACATAAATCCCCTTGTTTTCTTTGCCCAGGAGGTTCTCTACGGGGACTTTGACACTGTTTACAGTTAGTAGGGAGGTATCTTTGGAGAGCTAGGGTTCATACTTATCGAATGTGATGAATGTAGTACCTGCGGCTGCAGAATAAGAAGTCTTGATGGCACTGGTTTCAACGCCTTCTTGTCGCTCAATCAGAAGGACAGATAATCCTTTGTCGGTGCGCACTCCAACCACGAAGTAGTCACAGAACACGCCATTCGTAATCCACTTCTTAGTACCATTAACAATGTAGTGTTTTCCTATAGTCGATCGGTGATTAGCGGTTGTTCTTCCCGGAAGGTTTCGAAAGCGACAAAACAGATTGCTTCAGAAGCAGTCAGGTTTTTTCCAAGTTGAAAAAGCTTGATGATCAACATATTCTGGGAGTACAGAGAGGTAATAAGTGCTCGGAATCATACCATCTGGTGTCTTGGTCGCCGTTGTTCTAATGCCCGCTACATCACTTCCAGCGAAAGCCTCAGTAATAGCAAGGCAGATCTTCTTTTCCCCAGAAAAGACTTCATTGGCAATCTTTGCCTTCCATGATTCGTCATTAGCAAATTGTAAAACGGCTGATAGGGAGATTGTCATTCTAGAAGTATGTTAGCGTCCGAATATTTAATTTCAGGAAATACATTGAGCTGATGTGAGTATCTCATATGAACAACACAATCAGGGCCAGAATTTTGGACTCACCCAGCCATGTTTCCATCTTGAAATCCTCTGGCATTCGCCCGGACCATTTCCTGCCCCACAATCATATCGTGGAAGTAGTCGAATTCATCTCCCTCCATCGCACCATCCATCAAGCTAACGCCGTGCATATGTTTACCAGGACCCAACCGCATATGCAGGATACCCTTCTTCGACATCTTATCGATAAGGTCTTGTGGGATATGTTTTCCTTCCTCCTCACATTTCTGTGCTACAGGGTAGACTTCGGTATCTACGAAAACTCGTAATGCCTTCTGTAACTTCCGATGGCTCTCCTTGTAGTATGGGCTCTTGAATTGAGGGGTTAGCCATGTTGGCTCGCCATATGGAACGACGCTGAGGTCTCCAGGCTTATGCTCAATGACCTGTGGCTTCTCGCCCTCGATGGTGCCAATACAGAGACTCGAGTACTTCTGCAGCACTTCCTGTTTGTGAAGATTGTAGAATGCTTCAGTAGCATCGGTGCCCGCGACCTGCTTCAGGACATATTCGCCGCCAGGATGCGCATCGACGAAGTCGGAAACATCGAAGACCTTGCTATCAATAATGAACCAGGTCGAGTCTTCAGATGAGCCGTTCTTTGCAACCTCGTCTCGGGAGAAGGTCTTCAGAGCAGCCATGGTGGATAGACGATTTGTAGAAAAATACAATCACAAGAGAAGGAAACTGTCGAGCTTTGCAGGTTTGAAAAGATGACTTACATAGGTACTAACGTGAGATGGGATATTGGAATTGTTAGGAAGTAAATCTGGGGTATTTTACCGGGCCCGGGTAGCTCAACCTAGGCTAGGCTGCGGACCGAGGCTTGATTGGCCGACCAATCACTGTCTTGTATTTACAAAGCGTTTTCCACCCCATAAACACCAGATAAGCGACACAATATCAAGAGATCAATACTAGCGTATTAGACCAGGTCAGTGTTTTTCCCGTACCTCGTGATTCCGAAGGTGTCAAGCTAGTGCAAGCAAACAAACCTTCGGTACAAGTAGCTTCTTCTTCGGTTGCACATGCAAGTCTTGTCGGTTTCGCTGTCATACACAATTCAACGACTTCTTTTCTAAACCGTCCGGCTGACATTGAGAACAAGCGTTTTAGTTAGCTAAGCAAGGAGCCCAAGCTGGATTCCCAGAAACATGAATAGGTCAAGTGATCATGGTATTAAAGGCCTATGCTAACGCTACTCGAATTGCTCATCTAAACCCTCCTTGGCCAATGGAGCTGCTGTATGAAGTACCTCGTACTAAGCAGCTCAGTGGTTCAATGGACACGCACAAGCACTTGTTGTTGTTAGACCCGTTCGCCCTTCGCCTTTCGCCCTCTGCCCCCCTTACGCCAGTCCGCCATTTAACCCCAAACACCAACCCTAGATCCGCCCTTTTCCGGCCAGCGGAATCGGATCAGTCATCATTTCTTTCCAAAATGGCGTATAGTGCTACTTGGTGTTAGTGGCATCTGATATCAGGGCGTAAGAGGGCGCATCGGAACATAGGACAATACAATGTCCCATCTTGAGTGGTAACTTCGAGTCGATAATTTCGGCCCCGGTGCTATTGCACGCAACCATAAGGTCTGGATTTTCCAAAATGTGTGAGAAACTGAGAGCAAAGCAAGCTCGAAAACCGCTTTGACGATTCTCTCAGTTTCACACTCAAGATGGAACACTCTGCTATCCTAATTTTCGAATGTCAATGGGTCGAAGACTTACCTCGATTTCGCCAAACATTATCCTTCACGTCTATTGCCCTTGACTGCAAACTGTTAGCTCTTTGAAAGTTTCAACTGGAAACCAAACTGACAATGGATCATCGGGGTTTGGTTTTGGCTTGGGCTTGGGATCTCTTTGCACTTTCCGGTGACGGAATAGGAATGGTTGGTTTATGATGAGCGTCATGTTGTTGATGATCATGTGATAATTCTAAAGTCTCAATGTTTTTGGTGAAGTATCATATAAGAGTTTTCAAGATGAGGTGGCAGGAACTCTTTATTTATATTTTTCTCTTCCCTCTTCCTAGCTGCAAAGCCGGGGGTTTCTCTGGAGAGCATTCTGCCCTATTCAAAGGGCGGCTTGCCCCGCCCCTTTCAAGGTGTTTACAAGGTGTATACAGGATTAATGGTAGCCATTCGATGGGCTTGACCTTTTTGCTGCCTCGAGTTAATAGGTACCGATCAAGGTTCCCTCTGGCCCTCTGGGCTGTGTAATTGGTTTATGACTGGGCAGACTCGTTCAATCCAGACCGACGCAGTTGCGTATCTTCGGTGTGTCGAACAACGCAGCGACGACTCAGAGCAATAGCGGAAGCCTAAATAACAAGGATCGACAGTGTCAGACGACTCATGGGCGTCGGTCAGTGGTTGATTTCTTCCTATGCCCCGCTGTTTCCTGCATCTTTTGCCCAAATACAGACACCTCGCAGGTCAGGCGTGCCAAGCAAGTTCTGTGCGCAAATTTGCATGACTGCGAAGGAACTCATTGGCGTAAAGCCCACCGAACCGCCCTGCCTGACTGCACAGCCCACGTCACGCAATTGCGCGGTTGACATGTTTGCCTCAGCACTTGTGACATTGGGCCGCAACTCCTCGCATTTCCCAAGTTTCTCCTCACCTGCAGACATCATGGAGCTGCCCACCCGATATCGTGAATGTATCTGTGAAGACTTTGAAGGAAGTTGCTTGATGAGACCCATTCTACCTTGGAGGGATGGCCTGATCAGCTGGGACAGTGATGATTATCGTTTCGGACATAATGGCTCTCCTTCTATGACTTCTGGGTCTTCACAGCCATCTACATCACGATTCACCCGCGAAGCTGAAACTCAATGGGGCAATAAGCAGGGACCAAACATCGATCCATCTATAGCACATATTGCATCGGAAGCTGACGCATTATGGGACATCAGCGAAGGATTAGGCACTCGACCATATTCAGCTAACGACGACTTATTCCCCAAATATTACACTGAATGCGAAAAGTGCTTCAACAGCAGTTCTCGGCGCTCTCAATTTTATCTACACGGAACCGAACATACTAGATTTCAAGAGAATGCCGATACAAGGCCGTGCGAACACTTTCATCTTTGCTGTGATGAGGATGGCGACAACATCTCGGACGATCAGAGCGAGTGGAGTGAAGAAGCCTATAATCTTGAGACTATCGTAATCAGGGCATTGCCCGGGAATCTTCCTCTTGCTGCACACTTGATACCAATCTTGTACCAAGATTACCATGTTGGTTCACAGGCCAATATAATACAAAAGGTTGTTCCATGGCGCGAGGATATCACAAGTGATGGGAAGAATATGCATTCTCCTGGAGCCTTTGGCACGTCGGAAAGTCATCCTGAGAAACGCCCCCGAAATACAGGATCAGATGGCGGTGATGATGAAGACGAGGATGGAGGGGGTGATGATGAGGACAAACGAAAGCGGAAAAGGATGAAAGGTAAGAGCGTCCTCCCATTCTTCTTTGCATTTTGCATGAAAAGCGGTCTTTGGGGACGTGGCTGATCTATTCTTCTTTACATGCTACAAAAGGACGGGAATCATTCTCTGGGAAGTATAAAATCGTCTTCGTAGCCGCTCAAGACATTCTCTAGGGGCTGGAGCAGCTACAATTTGGTGACCTGCGACTAATAAGCACTGTTTTAGGAAATTCTGAGAGCGACAGGGTCGAACCAAATGCTCGTCTTGCCTGCCCTTTCTATAAAAGGGACCCGACAAAATATAATGTCCAGTTCGATGATGCAGGCGAAGAATCTGCCGACAAAACGAAGAAAACGGAGTTTCGTGCTTGTGCCGGGCCTGGATTCAAGAATATTCAACGCCTGAAGTGAGTCTTTTTGTTTCAAGTACGCAGATGATGATGCACTAATAAAGCTCTAGGGAACATCTCAAGCGAAAGCATTATCCTGTTCAATGTGATCGGTGTTACACGATATTTCCCGGTTCTCGGGCAACCTCTATTACTGAACTGGAAAGTCATCGCCAGCTTCCTACACCATGCGAGCGAAAAGAATCCTCTTTGAAAGAAGGCATTAGCGACGCACAATGGGCACAGTTGGACAAGAAGACAAGCAGCAAGGACAGTGTTGGTACTTCAAACGTCGAGAAGTGGAATCATATATGGAGTGTCTTGTTTCCGGACATACCAGTGCCATCAACTCCCTGTAAGTGTAGCTTCCTTTACTGCTGCGATAGAAGGGAAGGATTGGGTGTCGTAGGCGTCTTCCAGAATAGTCTTTGACGTGAGCGGTTTCCAGAAGCCGGAGTTTTAAGATCCATAATTTGACTTTCTATTCATATTCTATTTCTATTTTGTATCTGTCTGTGAACCATTTATACAGTGCTATCTTTACATCTAAGCTGATTGTTCTCTCAGGGTACGACAGCCCCTCAAAAGAGCTCATGACTTCAAACGAACAAACCCGTCCATTCGTCGACCTGTTCAGACAAATGCTGGATTACCAAGTAACCCAGAAAGACATACAAATTCCCGAAGAGTTACAAGAGACTATGAAAACACAAATCGTTACACTAGCTGGGAAGGCTTTCGCGGTCTATAAAGAATTCGAAGGAAGCAGCTCAATGAACTCGAAATCCACACGAAGCCTACAGCGCACTTTCACGTCTGGGGGTGCAATGCAGCCCATATTTTCGATTGCAAGCGACCGAACACAGCGTCGTTCAACAACGTCATCAACGAGTGCGCCCTCAAGCGTGGTATCGATGGATAGTCCTGAATCGATTGAGGGAATGAACTATTCTCCCATCATATTTAACGTCACGTCGAATCCCTTGGGCGGATCGCATAATACTCTCGTCGCGTCTCCGCTCCCGAGTTCAGACGTAGATGATATTGTTCCGCCAAGGCATCAGGGGACATCTAGTAGGTTAGATGGCGTTGTTCATCGAGCGACATCTGGCGACAGCCAAACGCGCGGTGAAGAAGAGAGCGCAGCGTAAAGTTATCGGGTATTTGAAAGCCGGATAGAGTCTTGGTAATGATACTATTGCTCAAAGTCAGTGAGCGATCCAGGTAGTTTAGCTAAGCCAAGACAACCTACTTATCCTTCAGGGCGCAGTCAATTAAGAGGTAAACAGTGACCTGTAAACACATCTCGCCATATGAATGCAAATCATTCCAACATTACCTCCAAAGACACATGTCGGAAACCTTCGAAGTCTTATTGATATTACAGTTATTCCGGCGACCGTTTGCTTAATTCCTCGACAAAGTCTTACTGTACTGTGGCTGCAGATCATAAAGTAATTGATACCGCCAGTGACTCATACGGCAAAGAAATATATTGAATAATCTTATATGCAGTGAGAATGTTTGTAGCTAGTGGAGAAGTTGTAGTCCCTTTCTCTTATAGTATCGCCTGTCTATTTGGGCTTGCTACAGTATCGGCGAACCCCGCAGCGGGGCTGGCGGGGGAAGCAATTAAATTTCTTGACTACGCGCTGTGCGCGTATACTGTAGTAGAGAGATAAAAGTACCCACCCCCACCTACCTCACCACCAGGACTCCATTCAAAAGTGGGATATATCTCTTCAGAATAGTTCAATTCTTTCTCCTCGAAGTACGATCACGGACGTTCGCAAGCAATTCAGCTTCAGAGAGCTTGATATCGAATACCGATTTCGTACGTCATCTCAGGAAAGCTCGAGCTTTCTATAATGCAGGCCCGAGTTAGGAACATAGAATGGCCTTCGCAGATTCCAGACAATGAATGGGCTTCGGTCAAAGAGGGGATTCCAAGTACTGAGGAGCCATTCATCTCCCAATACGTGTCTGGACGTGAAGCTCTCATTGCACAGGAGAAGAAACAACGAAGCGGTAACCTTCACATCCCTTTCTGCCATCACTCCCTCACTAATTATATTTCCAGATCACTCATTCCGCCAATCCCTCTCCCCAATCGGACGTGAAGCCTGCGAAATCGTCTCCCGCATCCGCGCTGAAGAACAGGCCTCAATATGGAACTCCGGACTCGAAGGTATCCTGGCCCAGAAGGCAGGCGGGAACGTATATCCGGGCATGATGTTTAGTCTTGCCAAGGACCGGATGGAGAAGACGAAGCTGTGGCAAATTGTGAGAAAGATGCCGAAGGGCGCGTTGCTGCATGCACATATGGACGCTATGGTAGATTTCGATTACTTATTCAATGTGTTGCTGGAGACGAAGGGTATGCATATTTATTCTACGCAGCATTTGGGGACCGAGGAAGCAAGGGGGGGAGCGTCGTTCAAGTTTCGGTTTCAAAAAACTGATAGAGGTATGTCATGACAGTAAGAGATCAAGTTTATCTATGGAGCGCAGCTAAAGTTGTGAATAGTGGGTGAGAAATCGATTTGGAGCTCGGAGTACAACTCTGGCACGCCAATTCTTCTCACAGAAGCGGCGGATGCTTTCCCAAATGGCGGTCGAGTGGGATTTATTGCCTGGCTGAAGAGTCGGACGACGATCACAAATACCGAATCTATTGAGCACCATCATGGTGTAGATGCTGTCTGGAGAAAGTTCTCTTCTTGTTTCAGTATTCTAAATACTATCATTTTCTACGAGCCGATATTCAGGATCTTCATGAGAAGAATGATGAAGCAACTACTTGATGATGGCGTCAAGTGGATCGATTTGAGACTTGCATTTACCTTCAGGTACTATAGAGAGGGGAAGGATGAGCCAGAAGAGAGTTTTGACAGGATGTTCTACGTTTTTGGCGAAGAGATTGAGAAATTCAAGGCCTCTGAAGAAGGCAAAGGTTTCTGGGGCGCAAGAATGATCTGGACCGGTCTTCGAGTACTCGATACGAGAAAGATTATAGAGGATATGGATGCTTGCATCACTATCAAGATGACATATCCTCACCTCGTCTCTGGATATGACTTGGTTGGACAAGAGGATGCTGGTCGACCTCTAAAGGATGTGCTTCCAGAGCTGTTCTGGTTCAAGAAACAGTGTGCTCAGGAAGGCGTTGAAATCCCCTTCTTTTTCCATGTATGGATTTTCTTTCGAAAAACTTGATCTTCTAACTAACATTTACCAGGCTGGAGAATGTCTCGGTGATGGTAGCGACACCGACCAGAATCTGTTTGATGCTGTTCTTCTGGGGACCAGAAGAATTGGCCATGGCTTCTCGCTTTACAAGCACCCACTTCTCATTGACATGGTGAAGGAAAAGAAGATTCTCGTGGAAAATTGTCCCATTTCCAATGAGGTCCTTCGTCTGTGTACGTCGGTTATGTCCCATCCTTTACCAGCACTTCTTGCTCGCGGAGTCTCTTGCTCGCTTTGCAATGACGACCCAGCAATCCTGGGTCAGGACACCGCTGGGATGACTCATGACTTCTGGCAGGCTTTGCAAGGTTGGGACAATCTTGGTCTTGCTGGACTTGGGTCCCTTGCGGAGAATAGTGTTCGCTGGGCGGCATTTGAAGACCAAAACTCCACGAAATGGGTCCAGGACATCAAGGATGCCACTCTTGGAAACGGTGTGAGAGCCGAGAGAATGAAGCAGTGGTCTGTGGAGTGGGAACAATATTGTTTGTGGATTGTCACGGAGTTTGGCAATGATGCAGATAATTAGGCTTCTAGAGCTGTGGAGTAGGTATCGTAGAGTTCATGTACTTCGTAAAGGGTGGACGGTTGCACAAAACCACGGCGTTCAACATCGAGGGCATTTGAGCGGTTTTATATTGCATGAAGAGCTGACGAGCCTTCAAAAGTCTAATCTCAACATTAGCATTGTTTTTAGATTGCTTTAAGAATAAATTATTTCGAACTCCTTTTTGTAGCCATTTTGTATTCGGTTCCAGACGTCACAAAAAGAAAAGGAGGGGGGAAGGTCCATAAATACGGCCGGTCATCGGCAAGTATACAAACTTCAAAGACTTTGTATATCGTGAACATTAGGTTTTATATAATTTCTTGTTTGTAGGAGTTATTACAATATAACCAGCAATAAGATTCTCCCCTTAAACTAATTGCGCCTTACTTTGAAGAATAGAACAATTGCCACCACATTCACGTGTGCTGGTTGTTATCGATAACGGGTAGACCCACTTGCAGCCTGGTGACGAGCATCGCCATCATCAATACACCTCGTGAAGGAGGTCTATGGTCTACGTATATGATGTATCGGGAGGTCATCAGTTACTGCCCTAGTTGTGTCGATGCGTTATTCACAGGCCAACAGTCGCTTTGTTGAAAATAATGAAACCCGTATCAGGAGCATCGCCAGAAGTCGAGCACGCGGCCCTCAAGATCAGAAGCCGTCGATATTGACGCAGAACCAGTCTTCGTGCCAGCTTTCCAGCTGGATTTGGAAGCGGTCATTTACTTAGGTCGTTTCTTTTCTCGATTTAATCCGCAACCCCCAGGATGGCGTCCTACTTCCAAACCTCTTGGTTATTCCCGGAATACTTCAAGTCCTCCTCGATGCCGAAGCGTCTTCTCCAGTACGTGCTCTCAAAGCTGGAGATCCTCGATACCGATGACTTGGATCTGGAGAAGCTCGATATCGCTTGGGGAAAGAATAGCACGGTTGAGTTCCGAGACGTGGGGTTACGATTAAGGGTGATTGTCCTAGGTTTCCTAAGACTTCCTAAGTGATTAATGGGCAAAGGCTAATACTACTATGCTACTAGAAATTAGAGACTCTTCTCCAATTGCCGCCATCGTTTGAGCTTGTTAAAGCTCGTGTCCTACTCCTCCGCCTTACTATACCTGTCGATGTTTACAATAGTCCCATCATTGTTGAGGTAGACGGGGTGGAGGGGCAACTACGAGTTAAATCGAAACCGGAGAAAAACACGAAATCGGCGCCACGTAAGAATCATAACTGGAAAGGGAGGCAGCCTCGGTCAAGGAGTTCCGGAAACAAGCCCTCCCGTACTGGAGGCCACAGTGGGAGACGAGAGTCGGACTTTACAGACGACGATGATTTGGATCCAGCACTTCCAACAGCTGCTGATTTGGCGCAGTCTTTCTTGCAGACTGAGCCAGAAAATGCAAAGGCGGAGTTGGAAGCAGCACTATTGTCAGAGACACAAGAGCTTGGAACAGCTTCTTCGGTTATGAGCGATGATGGGGAACTTCCTATTGGGACCGGAGCTCCCCTTTCACTCCCAACGTTTATAACAAATTTCCTCCAAGGCATGGCCGACCGCTTGGAAGTAAGGATTCATGGAATTACTCTGAATTTAGAGCTCGAAATCCCCAACGAGTCTTCGAGATCCCCAACAGTGAACTCAGCAGATACCGTCACAGTCCAGTTGAGGGTAGAAACTGTAGATGTCGAAGGAGTTACACAAGAACTGGAGGAATCCACAATTTTGGGGGAAGACAGTCCGAAATTACTATACAAGGAAGGCAAACGGCTCATTTCTCTGTCTAACATAAGAGGGGCCCTGATATCCGAAGCAAGCCTCTTTTCGAGCCTAGCGAGATCATCTGGACTTTCCTCTCCATCAGCAGCGCATTCGGATGTCTCTGAGGATAGACGAGCTGCATTCAAGGCTACTCATCCACGGGGTAGTACAATAAGGACATTTGATGGCGCTTCTTCTGATCGTAGCTCTACTGCTTCATCCGCGGGGCTCTCAACAACGTCTTTACCAAGAAACTCAAGCGATATACAGTCACTAAGTGGCTCGGTAGTTGCGAGCGATAGCGGACGCTTTGATGATGCTTCAGAAGATGGCGAGGCTTCACATATGGGAGACAGCACCCGTGGAGGTCTAAGTGATGTGGGGGACAGCATTTATCAGAATTCTGCATATCTAGACCAACTTACAGAGAGCCAATATTTGGATGAGGAGGACGAACAGGAAAATCTGTCTCATTCTTTGTCATATTCTCATAATCCCCAGGCCAGCATAAGGCGTAGCTCTCCCTTATTGACCCCGAAGGCCTCAATGCGCTTTCCGTCGACGCTGGAACGAGAAGCCGATGATTCTGGTTCTGCTGCTGAGCCGCGATCCCCTGCCATGCTGCAATCTAATATCCTTCCGACTAGGCCTCACTCAAGGTTTTCAGAGGGACGTGTCTCTATTTCTCAAGCGTTCCTTCCGGCAGACCTGTCGTCACACCTCAGTGCAGAGGGAGCTTCTTCAGAAATCTTGGCTCAAAATATACCTGATACTGCTGCCAAGGCCTCAGAAAGTGACGAAGAAGATGGCGCCTCTACCCCTATGGGCGAACATGATCTCGCAGAGTCACAATTATTTAGCCATGAAGATGCTGAGAGTATGTACATGAGTGCTATTTCTCATGCATCATCAACGGCGAAAGTCCCTGGGGGTTGGGCAAACTCAAGCAGTGACGGAAGTGATGAGGATGTCCCGTCATCGCCCCACAGCCCGACTTTGCCCAAGACTGAGAACGATTCGCGAGACAACTTGCAGCATGCTCAGAAGCATTCACCTATGCAAACCATCGCAGATTTACATTATATGGAACGGTCTTCATCTTCAGTTGCCTCGTCTCTACGAATATCCAAAGCATCATCTTCGTCACCACCACAAAAACAGCCATCGCCCCCAGTGCTACAAATGTCCAGTGGTACCTCTGAGCTCTCCATCACTTCCTCGGATGAGTATTCTAAACTTTCAAAGCAAGTTTTCAATATCGATCGAGTCGACATCTACATTCCAGGTTCCAGACCCAGCAGGATAGCAGAGCCTGAAAACATAGCGCGAAGTACTTTTGACGGCCGAAGTGAGACATCCCAATCTACTTCTGTAAATGTCCCAGGGGCATTTTCAACACACCTGCCTAAGAAGAAAACATCATCCGAGGGCCCACAAGTATCAGTTGAGGCACCAACCACAGCCTCTGTGAAGGGAATGCAAAGTGATGATAAGGCGATCGAAATACAAATTGGCCAGCTATCCACTCAATTTGATATATCTGTGGGCAGATTGATCTTCAAGCTTGTGCAGCAGCTTCAAGAGGCTCTGAACCAAGATGCCCCTCCTTCTACTCGTACTGAGCCGGATACCACTTCTACTTCGCTCAATATCAAGCTGAGCGCCACGAAGATCTCCGTTATGTTTCTAGAGAGACTTGAAGGTACTTTGGGTTCGGCTCAAGCTGCCTCAGATGAAGGTCGACCGGGCCGACCACAAGACAACGATGTCCTTCTGCGGACAACACTTGAAGGTTTAAGTGTCAACACAGTGGCATCACAGTCGACCACGAAGACTACGGCCACGCTGAAGAAGTTCGTCTTCGGTTACGCACAGGAGAGTATTATTTCTTTTGATGCGGATCTCCAAATGCGAGCTTCTGTCCGAGATCTGAAGGCCTCTGACGGGATCGATGTTCGTGTTCACATCTCGACAACGGAAGACGTCACACGATGTGAAGTCATTACATTACCAATGCATGTTGCTATAGACCTACAAAGGCTTGATGAGACGTTTAGCTGGTTTGGTGGGCTCAGCAGCGTCTTGAACTTAGGCAGCTCTATAGCTTCAAATACCACTGTCACCGCGAGCAGCCCCAGCAAGCCAAAACCTCGGGGCGTACGTTTCGAGACCCCGATCAAGCCTGGTGATAAATCGTTAGTTGCTCAGAATAAAGCAGATGTCAGAATAGGTGGCTTTGTCCTTGATCTTGTTGGGGCCGATTGTAGTATTGGTGTAGAAACATCAGCTGTCAAGATTGTCAATCGCGATGAGGGCATAGGAGTCTTTGTACAAGCAACCAGACTCTCTGGACCACATCTCAGACACTCCAACGAGGACCCTGCCATCATTGCGGATATCAACTCAATCCGTGTCGAGTTCCTTCCATCGCCTAAGGATGCGGATTTAGCTCGTCTCCTTGCTCTTATCACACCGTCGAAATCGAAGTATGACGAAGATGATGACATTCTCCTTGATACTTTGATGCGTCAGCGCAGACATGGTCCAGTCTTGAGGCTCAATTTTGACGATTTTCAAGTCCGCATGGCTAGGTTAGACGAGCTCAATTATCTTCCGGACCTTGGCGAGGAGGTTTCAAGGCTGGCTACTGTTGCAAAGTATCTTCCTGACGATGAGCGTCCCGGTCTATTAGCTCTTATCACGGTCCATAAATTCGATGTACATATCGACGTGAACAATACTGTGGGCACCGTGCAACTGTCGTCTAGGGATATCGAGGTGGCACAGATCACTTTGCCGGCCCTTGTAGCTACCCGTATTAATACCATATCAGTTCGCCGTAACGGATCAGAGGAAATCATCGGCGCTACAACCGACCCCGAGCAGCAGCAGCCAAGTACTAGGTTTCCTGCAATTATGGCGCGCATGATTGGCGACGAGATGGAGCCAGTCATCAAGATCAAGTTATGGAATGTTAAGATTGAGTATAGGGTGCCTACTCTGCTGACTCTACTTGGACTTCTAGACAATGCATCTCCACAGGACATGTCGGCGAGTCTAGCAGCATCAGTAGCCACACTAACCGACTTTGCGCGTTCAAAGGCTGCTCAGGTGGCACATCCCCCGGCCCCTAGCCCCCCCGCATCAAAGCCAATAGCCGTCGATATTGTCATGCGAGATTGCAGTCTGGCGTTGAATCCTCTCGGCCTTCCATCGAAACTCCTTATTGTGCTATCAGAAGCACATCTAAGTGCCACCCTCCCTAAAGATCAGAACACATCTGCTTCATTGGAATTGAGCAAAGCTTCACTGCTCATCGTTGATAATGTTTCCCACCTTGTTTCGGGAGATCTTTCGAACAGACCTAAACGCCACTCATTCGATGGCGGTAGTAGTCAAGTAGCAGATCTTTGCGCTATGGGGTACGTTTCTGTCAGCTACATCTCCTCAGCAAAAGCAGAGGTTAAGGTCACGGCTGGCGAAGACGCCGAGCATTCGATAGATGTGCAGCTTCGGGATGATCTATTTGTTCTCGAGACATGCGCCGATTCTACGCAAACCCTGATCGCCATCTTGAATGGGCTGGCTCCGCCGTCAGTGCCGAGCAAAGAGACCAAGTATCGGACAAAGGTCATACCTGTCCACGATCTCCTTGCATCTCTGAGTGGTGACGCCTTTGGAACTGCGGAAGGAGATTACAACTTTGACGACGATTTTGGCCTTAACGAGGGCTCGGATGCTGAAGATTTTGGGGGAGATGGGCCAGAAGACCTAGATTTCGATTCACATTTTTACCAGCAAGATGGTGATGAAGAGTATGATGAGGCTATTCTGGAAGACGAAGGCGGTCTCTCGGCTTCGACACAGCTCAGTACGCGTGACACCCGTGATGGGGTCCTACTAGAAAGCTTTATAGAACCAGAGGCCGAGGAGGAAGTTGGTGAACTTGACTTCCACGAGAACCACTTCGGCACAGGTTCCGTCCAAGGAACCGCGCACCGGTGGAATTCGACAAAGAACACGTATGATCGTTCGAATGCCTCCAAGGTCCGTAAGAGCCCTCTGAAGGTTTGTGTTCGGGATGTACACATCATCTGGAACCTCTTCGATGGCTACGACTGGCAGAACACTCGGGATACGATCACCAAAGCAGTCCAGGATGTCGAGTCACAGGCCATCGAAAGGAGAGCACGCAATGATAGGCGCTCCACATTCGACCAAGATATCGATGATGAGGATACAGTAATTGGCGACTTCCTCTTCAACTCAATATACATCGGTGTCCCAGGAAATCGCGACCCTCGAGAACTCGCAGCCGCGATCAATCAAGAGCTAAACGATACTGCTACCGAAACGGAGTCCATCGCTACTACCTACATCTCATCTTCGCCAAGTAGGCAAGGAAGTTCTCGTCAGCCCAAGCCTAAGAAACTTCGGCTGAACAGGAGTAAGCACCATAAGATAACCTTCGAATTAAGAGGTGTCTCTGTAGATCTTGTAACTTTCCCTCCGGGTACTGGTGAGACTCAAAGTTCAGTTGATGTTCGCGTAAATGATCTCGAGATCTTTGATCATGTTCCAACATCGACATGGAGGAAATTCGCTACCTACATGCAAGATGCCGGGGAGCGGGAATCGGGAACCAGTATGATACATCTCGAGATTCTGAACGTGAAGCCTATCCCCGATTTAGCAGCCTCTGAAATTGTACTCAAGGCAACTGTCCTTCCTCTGCGCCTTCATGTCGACCAAGATGCTCTGGATTTCATCACGCGATTTTTTGAGTTCAAAGAGGATTCTTCGGCACCCTCTCACTCCGCGCCCGGCGATGTTCCATTTATCCAAAGAGCAGAAATCAACTCGGTGCAGGTCAAGCTGGACTTCAAGCCAAAGCGTGTGGATTATGCAGGTCTACGATCAGGTCATACGACGGAATTCATGAACTTCATAATTCTAGATGGAGCAGATATGGAACTTCGACATACCATTATATATGGCGTCTCTGGGTTTGACAAGTTGGGGAAATGTCTGAATGACATATGGATGCCCGAGATCAAGCGTAACCAGCTTCCTGGCATCCTTGCTGGACTAGCTCCCGTAAGATCGATTGTGAACGTGGGTGGAGGTTTCAAGCATCTCATTACGGTCCCGATCAAGGAATACAAAAAGGATGGACGAGTTGTTCGGGGTATTTCGAAAGGGGCTTCCGCTTTTGCAAAGACAACAGGTACAGAGCTCGTAAAATTGGGTGCTAAAGTTGCTATTGGAGTACAAACTGTTCTTCAAGGCGCAGAAGGCTTTCTAGGCCCTATCTCGGAAGGTACGATGTCTACTGCTGAAGATGATGATTCGGAGGACAAAAAGCAGATCAGCCTTTACGCCAACCAGCCTGTTGGTGTATTCCAAGGTCTGAGAGGCGGTTATGCAGGGCTGCAGAGGGATCTAGTCCTTGCACGCGATGCAATCATCGCTGTGCCAGGGGAAGTAATGGAGAGTGGGAACGCGGCTGGCGTCTTGCGGGCCGTACGGAAACATGGACCGACCGTGATCCTTCGGCCCGCTATTGGGGTAGCAAAAGCAGGAGGACAGATCTTGATGGGTGCCACGAACTCGTTGGACCCAGTCAATTTACAGCGAGCTGATGCCGTAAGTCTATCCCGATGTTGTATAGGCTAGATTTGAATCCTTGAAACTGACTTGCGTTGCAGAAATACAAGAGGCACTGATGAAGTTATGATTTGCTTGCATAGGTAGCGTATTGGAACCAAGACTGGAAGTTATGGCATTATTGTATCGCATTTTCACAGCATAGCATTATATTATTTGCGCGGAGTTTAGGTATAGGATAAGATAGGAAAGAAGGAAAGAACATCCATAGGGTGAAGGCTTTTAGATTGACCTCCTAATCCATACTAGAAATTTGATGAGAGATTTCAGTTGTATCACAAGAAAGTAGAAGCTTGTCAATGGTTCCGAAATCATATATGATATATCTAGTATATGACGACCTCGGTTGGGTCTCATTCAGCCTTCTCAGGTCTCACTTCAGCCTCGTTCAAAAAGAGGCCACCAATCAGAGCGTGCTGCGTAAGGGAGGTTTGTACAACACATGCGGTGTTCACCAAATCGAATGGGAGGCTGCATAAACTGCGCATGAGCATCGCATGAGCGCTCCAGGCGAGCCTGTAATGGAAAAGTGATGGACATATTTGTGTTTTGTCAAGGCCTAGAGTAGCTGATGCCACATGATCACGAGGTTGCGTTGCAATATGATGAAATTGTTCTCGTCTGATCTCGCACGCAGCGTCGTGTGTGGATGAGAGGTGAAGGTGGGTTTATCAAATTGACATACGTCCCGGAGATCAATGCAGGAGCAGGAGTCAGGTTAGGGCATGGTGCTTGATAGTGATGTGTTGCAATTAGGGAAAGTGAAGAAAATAGATAGATACAGTTGAGTTGAGAGAGAGAGAGAGAGAGAGAGAGATGCAAGCAAAAGAAGAGTGGGAGGAATGACGCATCAAAGACAGCACAGAGTCACAGACAGCCTCGTTGCTAGAATGCGGCGACGACACGGATAGCTACCTTTAGCCATATCACCGGTGTATGGTACGAAAGCGTACTCGTACTTGACTAGGTACTTCTTACTCGACCATAAAGCAGGACAGGCTGAAGTATCTATCGTATTGGCATGCAAAGTGACCAAAACAGTGAGAGACAAGACGAGAGACTATTGTGATCAGGGCTAGAAACACAGAGAAGCGCCTCACTTGGCGCCCTGGTGAGAGCCCGTGAGAGCCCGGAGAGAGCCTAGACTGAAGACAGTAAAGCTACCGAAGGACCCGCGGTACGTGTTGATGCATCCGTACTCCGAGAGTGAGATACAGGATCCGTAGTGTACTGTAGTGTGGTGTAGTGAGTAAGGTAACCAATCTCCAACCTCGTCCCGTTGCCCCTTCCCTTCCCCTTCCCCTTCCCTTCCCTCCCTTCCTCTTCTCTCATATTCATTATCAGATCACATCACATCTTCCTCCAACAGTCAATAGCCACCCATTCTCGCATAGTATATAACATCAACAAAGAACCATCATCTGCAGCCAAACGTCCACCCCCAAACATCGCCTCCACCGATCCTTCTAGAGCACGAGTAAGTAAGCCGCCGCCACCGGAGCCGACCTTCATACACCGACCGACCTACAAGTACACCTACCTACTGTACCTACCTGCTCCTGCCTTATCTCCTTGTCACATCACAAGACACCACCACTCTTCCTTCAACACCACGACCTCCTCCGAATCCACTGAACTGAACATCAAATATCAAATCTAAACCCCTACAACACACAATGCATTCATCACCCTCAAGCTCTCGTTGCGCATCTCCAGAACCCTCCGACACAATGCAGATCTTCGTCAAGAACGTGTCTGGCAATAGTAAGCCCTCTTCACCTTCTTCTCAACGCCTTCTAACCTCCTCCACAGCAATCGCCATGACAGTCCCCTCCTCCCTGACCATTCAAAACCTCACCACCCTCCTATCAGTCCGGACGTCCTTGCCAGAAAGCGACCTCCGCCTGGTGCACGCCGGCAAGCACCTCTCCTCCTCGGACGCCACCCTGTCCGATTACCACATCCCGCGAGAGTCAACCCTACACCTAGCACTGCCCTTAAGGGGCGGCATGCCACCCAAGAAGATCAAGTGCACGTACAAGGACTGTAGAGAGGGTGCCCAGCGCATCATTGGGGACTGTGGGTTCTGCAACGGGCATTACTGCGGGAAGCACCGGCTTCTAGAGGACCACAAGTGCGATGGTTTGGAAGACGTAAGTTGCCCCGGTCCTAACATCACTCCTGTGCAATGGTGGCTCGTTGGTTTAGATTGTGAGCTTTTGGCTGACGTGTAATGAATCACAGTGCAAGAAGGAATCGCACGACCGGAACGCGGCACAGCTTAATGCTGAGCGGACACAGGTCATCAAGGGTATATAGGTGATATGCTTTGGTTTGGCGCTCGGAGCCAGTCACTGCACTTGTATATGGGGCTTATTTGGTGGTGGTGGCGTTTCTTCGAGCGATGGGATGGGTTTGGCATCCACATATTTGTATTTACAGCTTTCCCATGCCTCTGGGTGATTTTAGCGGGCGTATGATGATCTGCTCCGGGGTCTATAATGAAATAACTTTTAAAAACTTGTTTGTTGTTTTCGGAAATCTTATGATTCTTGTATTACGTGGCCCACGTAATTAGCCCGACCTGGATACAGAGTGGATATCATTTTGAGATATTTCACTGCGACGTCTTGTTGAACCATGCTTTATAGAAACTATTATGCTTTTGGAGTTTAACTATTCTCGAGTCCCCATCAAGCAACCAATCTACCCTCATATTCCTTGGACTATGCTCATTTAAATTCATATACATGTAATCCTATCTAACCCTACTTCCTCATATCAACCACACAACGGATACAGTCTCCGGCCTTCATGTCATTGAAAGCGACGTTGATGTGGTCGAGATCCTGTCTGTGAGTGATGAACTCATCAACCTTGAGCTTGCCCTTCATGTAATCATCGACCAGGTCAGGAAGCTGTGAGCGGCCCTTGATACCACCAAACGCACATCCCTTCCACACGCGACCAGTAACGAGTTGGAAAGCTATATCCATATTAGCAACTTGGACGGAGAATAGCCAATGATGAGACGAAAACTTACGTCGTGTAGAGATCTCTTGTCCAGCAGCCGCAACACCAATAACAATACTCTGACCCCATCCCTTATGGCAAGCCTCCAGCGCCGCTCGCATCACGCCCACATTTCCAGTGCAGTCAAAAGTGTAATCGCACCCTCCATCAGTCATCTCAATCAGCTTCTCCTGGATATTCTGGCCCTTCAACTCAGCCGGGTTGACGAAATCCGTCGCGCCGAACTTCTCAGCCCATGCCTTCTTGCTGGGGTTCAAATCCACAACGATGATCTTGCCCGCCTTCCTCATCAGCGCGCCCTGCACAACTGACAGACCGACACAGCCGGCGCCGAAGACGGCAACCGTGGAGCCCTCCTCGACCTTGGCCGTCTCGACGGCGGCGCCGTAGCCCGTGGTGATTCCGCAGCCTAGCAGGCACGTTCGGTCCATAGGAGCGTCCTTGGTGATAGCTACGACCGAGATGTCGGCTACGACGGTAAACTGCGAGAATGTAGATGTGCCCATGAAGTGCAGCAGATCTTTGCCCTTGCACTTGAATCTGGAGGTGCCGTCAGGCATCACGCCCTTGCCTTGGGTAGCTCTGATCTTGCCGCAGAGGTTGGTCTTGCCGGACTTGCAGAACTTGCATTCTTTGCATTCGGGTGTGCTGTTTGCATGTTATTAATGACAACTCTCGTACGTTAAGGTGGGACATGATATGGGACGTACTAGAGTGCAACAACGTAATCTCCTACTTTGACGGATGTGACGCCCTCTCCAACAGACTCTACGATACCAGCTCCCTCGTGACCCAGGACGATAGGAAAGGCTCCCTCGGGATCCTTTCCGGAAAGCGTGTACGCATCTGTATAATCCCAATCAGCTTACCATCGTTTCTTTACTGCATGCCAATGCAGGCATTTATTGATGTGATGGCATACCTGTGTGGCAGACACCCGTGTAGTGGACCTCAATTCGGACTTCGTGGGCTCTTGGAGGAGCGACTTCGACAGTCTCGATGCTCAAATCTTTTCCGGCTTCCCACGCCACGGCTGCCTTTCAACCCCCAAATCGTTATTCTTCATATTCTCGCAATGTGATGAATATTCGTAGATAGACGGTGTATAACTAACCTTGCACGTAATGGTCTATTTCAACACGCCAGAACAATCAGTATCGCGGTTACATAGATAGCGGGGTAAAAGTTGGCTTGGCTTGGCTTTGCTTACCTTTCCTTGAGTCGACATTTTTCTTCTGTTATCAGAGATGGATTCGTTGCTTCAGGACACGCAAAAGAGATACGTTGATGGAGGAATGATGTAGGTGGGTGAAGAGGAAATGGCACAGTATAATGTATTTGAGGGGTAGATACGCGGGCTCTGACTAGAAGCTCGATTTGGCTTTTTGCGATGAGGGGTTGGAGAGGGGGTGGGTGCTGCGGGCTACGTTGATTGACTCTTCGGATTTACTTCGCTTTTGGGGGGTTGCGGTTCCGCTCTTGACCTGCTGTTTCATCGGATTCCTTCGGCATATATGGGGAAGCTTTGCTAAAGATACCGGGATATAATAATAAGGATTCTCGCCATCTTCTCGGGATGTGGAGTTTGATGCTCGGGGAAATATGTCCCTTTCGGGACATCTTTTGCCTTGTCCTCTTCGCGCTGTCTTTGACTCACGCCGAGAGAGAGAGGTTTGAGTTGTCTATTTGCAAGCTTTATTACTGAGAACGCTTTGGCTTTCTTCAGGCATATTTTGCTGCGTACAGTAAAGCCCTGACTTCATGAGTTTGGCTTCATTGTCGTCATGTGACAGTCGTTTCTCCGAGGATGTGCGAGTTTGCCAATAATTACTTATCACTCTTCCCTTCCCTCCCCTTCCCTCCCTCGAGATCAACGGTCTCCCCCTACCTTATTACCATCTTAAATCTCCACTCCCCAGGTAATTAGGGGTTGATGGCGAGGGGGGGACGGTCGATTATTTCACCTGCCCGAACAAAACCTTCCCGATAATCATGCTGTGTGATGCCAACGAGGGCTTCATCAAGGGCTTCATCAAGGGCTTCCAAGTGGAAAGCCCTATTCAAGGGTATTTAAAGACATTTGTGCCTTAACGCTATTTAATATTGACTACATTCCAATGTTTTCGTTAATCTATTGGAGTGGACTCAATGGAAGGAGCATCCTCGATCCCTTCCTACGAGAAAATATGGGTAGGCAATGAAGGCAATATGAATAAACCTTACTTCCGGAACCTCCAGAACTCTATTTTGGAGGACTTGCATTCCCTCGATGCTTTTCTAGCTAAGTACTTATGTTTCTGTTTTCGACGCTGTACAAAATGTTTGCAGACTTCCATTTATCACCACTTCGAGATCCAAGAGACCAAGTCACAGAGAAAATGCGTTACTCGAAAGAATCTCTTGTTAGCAAATGCCTGATGGATGAGGTCGGCTTTCCAGAAGGTGGGGGGAAAGCATGGCTAGTTGTGTTTGGGAGTTGGTGTGCTCTTTTCTCCTCGCTCGGAATTATGAATACAATGGGGGCATTCCAAGAACATATCTCAAGTCATCAGTTGCAACACCTTGATGTTTCTATTGTGGGGTGGATATTCAGTCTTTACGCCTTCCTAACGTTTGGAGTTGGCCTATTCGTTGGTCCGGTTTTCGATACATATGGTCCGCGATATTTGGTTATTTCTGGGAGTATACTTGTTGTGCTCAGTATGACTCTTGTAGGATATTGTACAGGTCAGTTGAAACTTCCAGTTCGAAGATGGGAAGATGCGGCCTAAAAGGTTGACATTGGTTCTTACCGTTCTTTGAACCCGACGTGATGTTGATAGCGCGTTCACTTCCTTTTTCTTTCTTTCCTTCTTTCTTGTTGGTAAAACTGACGATTCGTAGAGCTCTGGCACTTCATAATGTGCTTCAGTATCCTTGGCGGAGTCGGATCCGCCCTCCTTTTCTCTCCATCCATTGCCATAGTCGGTCATTACTTCAATAAACGAAGAGGGACTGCCACCGGAATCGCAACGACTGGTGGTGCATTCGGAGGGATCGTCTATCCTTTGATTCTACAAGTTTTAATTCCCAAGATTGGCTTTTCCTGGACCACTAAAGTAATCGCCGGCATCTCACTAATGCTCTGCCTCTTCGCCAATATCTTCATCAAAGGCAGACTTCCACCCTCACCGGACGCAAACGCTAGACCAGATATCCGCATCCTCGCTCGTCCAGCCTTTGCAACCACTGTTCTAGGAGTCTTCCTCCTCGAATTCGCCCTCTTCGTTCCCCTCACTTATGTAACGTCGTACAGCCTCGCCCAAGGTTTCTCTCCCACATTCTCATTCCTGGTGCTCCCCATTCTCAATCTAGGATCCGTGTTTGGACGCTGGCTTCCTGGCTTCATTGCCGACAAGATAGGCCGATTCAACACGGCCGTCATCGCCATAATCCTTACCGTCGCGGCTGTCCTTGGTGTCTGGCTGCCTGTTGGAAACACCAAACCTGGCCTCGTCATTTTTGCTCTGTTATTTGGTTTTGCTAGCGGTTCGAATATTAGCCTTACGCCTGTTTGTGTCAGTCAGTTGTGTAGTATTGAGAATTATGGACGGTATTATAGTACGTGTTTCTCGATTGTGAGTTTAGGGTGTTTGACGGGTGTTCCGATCGCGGGAAGGATACTCGATGTTGGAAACGGGAGCTATGGGGGCTTGATCTTTTTTGTTGGGCTTGTTTATGCTGGGGGCCTCATAGCATTCTTGTGGGCGAGGTTGATTGCCACTGGATTAAAACTCGGGGTTAAGTATTGATGGGGTAAAACGAATGGAAAATATTTTCACATCTTTGAAGTTGTCATGCGGTAGTGTTTGTGATTGCGGGGTCTGAGCATCCTTCTATGTGTAACTGTCACAGCCCAACTTACTCGAAGCAGGATATCAGGGTATTCATATTGTAGCAAAGCACCACGGTTCCCTAACGACGCAAGGACCCAATTTGAGAACTGACAAATACTCTCTAGACTATTTTGAAGTTCAATGGACATTTCAACGTCGCGGAAAGGTACCGTCGAAGCAGGTGGTTACGGTGGGAAATCGAGAAGTGGACCAGATGGCGGATTGAGGAGAATACTTTAAGCGCTACTTTCAATTGACGGGCAGAAATTTGTGAAAAGACCCTCAGTGCGGATGGAAGTGCTAGAAAGATCTGGACATTGCAAGAAAATGTCAACTATTTGGTTGGAACTACGAAGAGAACTACGAAGAGAACACTATATTCTAATGATATGATGGGATGCAATGGGCAGATTTGAACAATATAGACACGTTTTGATCTCAAAACCTTCAAATATGAGAGAAAGTGGGAGTCTGGTCAGAACAGCTCTTGCGAGCACTTCTTTCTCATTGGGATGTATCTAATAATACAATGCCTGCAAGAATACATACTCTTTAAACCCCACTTCTCTATATTTCTCTATACTTTGGATTTCGTTCCGACGGCCAATTCTCATGATATCTTATCATATCCTGCTAATGCCCAGGTCCTTTAACACTGTTCTTCTCTCCAACTAAACGGGGTCAACAACCGAATCTCATGCGCAAGAAAAGGCAACTTACCATCCAAAGCAACCAAGAATCTACTAACGCAGTTATACGCAGCAACCTAAACAAGAAACACATCATCAGCATACTCCAACCATTGTGTAGAGTCAAACTAACCGTAGCCGTAATCTCTACAACCTCCTTCTCGGAAAAGTGCTTCTTGAGTTCCGCAAACACAGCATCATCAACCTTAACACTCCTCGTCATAGAATCCGTAAACCTAACAACCGCCCACTGCTTCTCGCTCAACCCGCCCTCCTTCTTGCCATCTAGCTCCTTCTCGCCAAGCAGCTTCATGCCCTCCTCACTCACACCTCCTGCCTTTGCCAAAGGCGCATGATGCATCCACTCATACCATGCCTCGTTCACCACAGCTACTCTGCATATCGCAATCTCCCTTGTATCATCAGCCAGGGTCGTCTTTGTGCGGATGGCCCCGAGGAACGAGTTCCAGCCGTCTGCGACGGCCGGTGAGTGTAGGAGAGTGAGATCGAGCGGTTGGAGGGGTCTCGGAGTACGGCGGGCTCGCACGCGGTCGACGATGGCGGTGTCTTCGGGGGAAGATATGGTTTCGGGGTCTTTGTATGGGAGACGCATCTTGCAGGCGGTGGAGGAGGTCAATTGATGAGTATGCGAAAAGGTGAAGGGTCTTGTGTTGTGGTGAAGCAAGGAGGTGGGGGGCTTTTTATTGCGGGGTGGTACCGGATGAACATTCAGGCGATGAAGTAGATGCCGATCGGAAGTCGGAATGAAAGCTAGTTTTCGTGCTGCTCTCATCCCATAGGCACAAGTTGTGTTTTTGAAGCAGTCAGCTGTGGGTATGTGCAGATGTAAATTGCATATGGAAAGTGATGATATGTTGAAAAGTGGCCATACCTTGTCAACTAATACCTCCCTTGCCGAACATGGTTGCCGAGATGGCAGCACGTTCAAAAGGCCTCTTCTTCCCCCACGATACCTGGGAAATTGATATCGGAAATAACATTTGATACCATGAGAAATACTAGCATACACGGCCATACTGACCACCCTCCGCTTCCACCCTCTACTTCTATGCAGCAAAAACTCCAGTATTTGTGGAACGGCAACAGTACAGATGTTTTAGCTATGAATTTGCCTTTCATAGCCTCCCTAAAACCCTTCCAATCCCGCCATTTCTTTCCCTCCATCGCCATTTTCTACTATTCCCAAATAGCCTCAGGAGGTGATGCACGTTCGCATATTGTCTATTGGCCCTCCTTCTCTTCCGCGCGAGCTCGTTTAGCACGAAACGTCGACGTTAGCCTTCGAGTTCATCAGGAGGGCAACGATCAAGCCATAAAGACCTATGATGTGTCAGCACATGCATCCTTGTCTTGAGAGGATAAAAGGCAACTCATACCCAAGACTTCAGCGAAAATGAGAATAAGAATCATGCCGACGAAGAGACGAGGTTGCTGTGCGGTACCACGTACACCAGCATCACCCACAATACCAATGGCGAATCCAGCAGCAAGACCAGCTAGACCAACACTAAGACCTGCACCGAGTTGGATGAAGCCCGTGTACAGTGGCAACTGTTGCTTAAGTCCATCCGAAATCAAAACCGACACGACGAGACCGTAAATACCAATGATACCAGCCATAATAACTGGTACAATGTCTGGCGCACGAGTCAGTTTATTGATTCCAACCTCGAAGCATCTTCCATCTTACTCTTGACAATCAGATCAGGTCGTAAAACACCCATAGCGCAAATACCAACACCAGACTTGGCGGTTCCATAAGCGGCGCCGAAACAGGTGAAAACAATTGCGGAGGTGCAGCCCATTGCACCAAAGAATGGCTATAGAAATATTAGCATGATAAATTCGATGGTAGACATCGAGTATTCGCGTATGCATCGATGGTTGATGATAGAGGTTCAGGAGTGGAAGGATTTCGGGAGACTGACCGCGTACACCGGGCTACACAACAAGACAATGTTAGCACATGTTTAAGTAGGATTGAGTTGTATGGAAGCCTTCCAAGAGGTCTAGTTGCAAGATAAAGCTTATCTCGACGCTCTTCTGAAGGAATGGAAGTACTGACCAGTTCACGAAGCTATCGACCACGTCTCCCATTTTGACGGTTGTGTGAAGCTTTGGTAGAAGATTTCGGAATGTTCTTAAAGCTTGGTGAAGGTCGACACGTGTGGGTTGAGATTTTGGGGATGGGGTTGAGCTTGCAGAGATGTTGTCCGGATGGTGATGATGATGAGGTTCGAGGAGGTTTGAAGAAGAGCTTATGGACGCTAGTACATTTTAGGTTGGTGCCATATTTCACGCGGCTTCAAGCTTTTTTTATATTTTCAACCACGAAGTGCAAAATTTCCTCCACCAACCACCAAATCATTTCTCAACTTTAACAGGGCGAGCCAACGCAAGGAACCCTGCAGGTCTCACTTCTATTTTTCAGATACCCTTCTCCCACCAAATGTATGTTGCGCGCCGATTCAAGCCACCCACCCAAAGCTCTATTTCGCAATACTGACTTTTCTATAGAAGTCCCCAAAAGTCTTTCCAACAATGGCTGAAGAACAAAACGGTTCCGCGGGTAAGTCTCATCTTTTCGAGATTATATCTAAATTGTTTCCTTGTTTGAATATCGCTCCTCATCCTCGGTGGTCTGACAAATAGAATATCGTACTTTGTACGCTCTGAACACTTGCTAACAGCGATCCAGCTTTCCCCGTCGCCGACAGCGCTCTTTCCCAGGAGATCCTCGACAGTAAGCAACCCATTTCTTTGTCTCTCATTAGTTTCCCCACGTTGGGATTCCCGAAGAGTGTTTCATCTCGCCTCTTGCTCTTTGCTGAAAACATAATGCTAATTTATCGCAGTCGTCCAACAAGCTTCGCACTTTCGCCAACTTAAGAAAGGAGCAAATGAAGGTTCGCATATTATCCCTCTTAGATCCAGGTCTTCCATATGCTGACCTCTACTAGCAACAAAGACACTGAACCGTGGTATCTCCGAAATCATCATCCTCGCGGCTGATACAGCTCCATTGGCCATTCTTCTCCACCTTCCCCTACTCTGCGAAGACAAGAATGTTGCATATGTCTACGTTCCATCGAAGACCGCATTAGGTCGTGCATGTGGTGTCAGCAGGGCTGTGATTGCGGCTAGCATTACCACCAACGAGGCATCAGATCTGATGAACCAGATCCGGACCCTCAAGGACAAGGTCGAGAGACTCATGATCTAAAGGTTTAGACATGGAGGCACACATTTGAGTTGTACCATAAGCAACTGGCGTTTGGCTGCGGCCTCGGGTTTTGCGGGAAATTGATAAACTCGGAATACAATATATACTAGTGCAACTGCTCATTCCCCCTGCATTGATTGTGCTGTAAACATGGTGCTCTGGTCTAATGTCGACGATCCTCTCACACAATACGAAGCATCGGCATTTTGGATGAGAGGTTTTCATGCCCAAGTCCAAGAACCTCTTCTCGATATTTTCAATAACTCACATTGCTCCTGTTCAAGTACCCACCCCAAATCTTCAGCACCAGCCTTCCTGTGTTAGCTAGCACAGTTTGGTGTGTATTATGATATGGAGAGATCGATTACTAGCTTTTAATTATGGCTAATTAGCAAACATGTGTTGTGACAATCCCGTTTTAAAGGTGTTCAATGGGGATCTGCCAGTGGATCGCTTTTAGTAGTGTTTGGCTGCCATGGTACCGGATTGGGATGGTTCATTTGTCCTCGAAAAAACCCGAGCTCCATACAATTTGCTGCGGCGGCGCTCTGTCTGTGATGCAGCCTGTCTAATACACCTTTTTTGGAATAACATCTACCGTCTGGTATATCTATAGCGTCCAGTATTCGTTACGTATGAATGGCAGATGAAGATGCGTCCAGAAAGCAATTCACAATCATGGTTCAAATAACCATACTACTTTCAAGGGTGTTTATGGTTCGTTCTCTCCTTCTGTGGTGAGTTTTCAGTTGCTATATTACGGGTCTCTGAAAGGAGGAATATATGTTTAGTGCAGTGACTGGAACGCAGGATATACTACAAGGGCTTGTTTTTGATATGGGCAGCTATTAAGTAGATGTCAATGAGGATTTTACTAGTCTCTCTCTACTCCCCTCTAATACTAGGTCTACAAGGACATATACAAGTGTGATTAGATAGGATGACTAGTAAATGGTTACTGCCCTCGAATAAACATTTCAAGTTGCCCGGCACAGGGTTGACGCCGCCAGCATGAATAAAGCTGCTTTGACAAGCCGCGACCGAGCAAGTACACTCGAGACTTAGGGCCCTTGCAACTTCTAAATTGATTTCAACACAGCCAAGAGCTGACTTCACGTAGATACAACTGACTAACTGCGGTACAGGAAAGTGAGGAATAGCTTCACATCCATTGGATGAAGAAGTGGGGTGGAGGTGCGTGTTCTCACATAACTTTTGATGCCATGTGATTTCTCAGCGTCCGGCATGACCTCGTTTCTCTCTCTTGCAGATTCCAGATGTTCTTTGAGTCTCTGGTAGAGGAGGCTGAGGGCTGAGGTTGAGGTTAACGTTGGCCGAGACCCTTGTGAGATATTGTATTTCCCCGCTAGAGCATGCACACAGTAAGCGAGGATTTTTTCTCTCGACATCCATCCATCTTCCTGCAACAAATCACGAGGCATCGAACCATAACTCCACACAAATCAAAAATGGGCAAATTTGCAAAGAACTATGGGAAGGTCGTTGGAAAAGATGCCGATGGCTTTCCCGGGTGGAAAGGTCCTTCATATGTCAAAAAGCCAGAACCGCCAAAACCGAAAAAGAAGTCTGCAAAAGGCTCTACCAGTACGAGTACGGAGACCAATGAGGAGAACGATGATTCCGCGAAAGACCCCACCATACCCATTGAACTACAACAATTACTTCTCAATATCTTCAGAGATGCTTTTCCTGGTCTCTTGACATCAGATACATTGCAGCCCTTGTTGCAAGAAGTCAAGACAGCTTTATACGAAAGGGACTTCTCACGAGCTTTTGGCAAGACCGAGTACTTGGAAGCCTACTCTGTTCGATGGAGTCCAAGCAGAGCCCTCTGTTACCTGACCATTCTGGCCGACATTCGGAAGTATCTAACTGAGATTATTCAACAGTCACCTGATTGCAAAGAAACACTCAAAACTACCGAGACGAACACAGACTCACAGAACCTCAACCTTGATCCTGCCACTCACTCAGCAGATGTAGCTAAGCCCGGCCTGAACACTGCCTGTTTTGGAGGCGGTTCTGCAGAAGTGCTTGCCTTTGGTGGATTTTCCCGATACATGCGTGATGCCTCGCGCATGCAAAATCGTGGGACAGGTAGTCTTACGGATGGAGAGCCATCCATGCTGACGAATCTCTCAATCTCGGACAACTCTCCCAAAGTCAATCTCCTACTTCTCGATATAGCCCAGTGGGAAGATGTTGTGCAACAACTTCACAACGGCCTTACCAAACTTCCAATCTTATCAAAGTATGCAAGCGCCGCAGCAAGAGCTGCCAACTCAGCACTCCTTGCCGATGGAGACATGTCTACGACGTTTCGCTCCAAAGACGTGCTTGAGACCACGCAGGATCAATTAAATGATGTCCTCGGCAAAGGACCAATGCTCCTCACCCTCCTCTTTACCCTCAATGAGCTTTATACAACATCCATTGGCAAGACAACTGCGTTTCTCCTCAAAATGACCATGGCTGCTAAACCAGGATCTTTATTGCTGGTCGTTGATAGCCCTGGTAGTTACTCGGAGACAAATATTGGAACCGAAGCCAAGAAGTATCCTATGTCCTGGCTTATGAATCACACTCTCCTGGAGGCACAGAACAGCAAGGCAGTTAAGGAAGATGGCGAGAAACCGATCCCCGCTAGTTGGGTGAAACTTGTCTCTGAGGATTCGAAATGGTTCCGGATGCCTGAAGACCTACGGTACCCGATTCCGTTGGAGAATATGCGTTATCAGGTGCACCTCTACAAACGCGTATGAATGCACGAAAGTCAAGGTCTCTTCAGTTATGAGACAATGGGCGGGAGTGGAGCAAGTCACTGTAACGGTCACGAGGATATCGACACCAAGTTTATTCTCAATCATCAATTCGTTACTCGTAACAAGAGGTTAAGCACCCTAATAGCGACTGAACATCAATGGAACTAAAGCCGTACTACTTTCGTGCCCAACCATCGCCCTGCTTTTCCACCCGGAAGAGCAAGTATTCTTAAAGAAACCTTTCATGTGCTCCTTCCTCTCTTGATTCTTACAAAACTCCCGCCCAAGTTGCTTCAGCACGGCTTCCTTCGCTTTCTTCAACGCCGATACCCTTTTCTCGGGGTCATCAGCAAGCTCCTGTTGGGCTGCGTCTTGTTGAAAGTTGCGCTGAACACCTTGCACGTTGGGATCAAATGTTGTGGGCTGTAAAACATCCACCACAGGGTTGGGGATGCATATGGGATAGGATATCGCCAAATCTTCTGATGGCTCCTTGTGTTCCCGATGATGCTTGCGTCTGCGCCGTCTGTGGACCCGCTTCTTCTTGACCTGGACCGAGGTTTTTGTGGCTTCATCGTCGAATATCTCATCAGGAAGACCAGATAGCGAGTCGACGACTTCGGGTTTCTCGAGCTCCCCGAACAAGTAATCCAAGTCATCCTGGCCGTGCGAGCTCATAGAACTTTCAACTTCCGAGCCGCTTTGTTGAGATAACCATTCATCACTACCACTGATCCTAGTCAGTGGCGCGAGAGCATCTTCCCAAATACCGCCGTTGATCAAAAAGACGTTCTCAAAGTCGAATTCTTTGACAGTGTGCCGATGCTCATACACGAAGTCCGAAACTTGCTCTACGGACATTGTGGCGTTGCGAACTTGCATATAGCGGAGCTTGGGAAAAGTCATGGACGGGCGAGGAGGTGCAGCTGGTAATGGTGACATGGGCGACGTGACTTCAGCAAACAATTTTGCAGCTTTTCTCGGAGGCGCAAAGAGCGGATCGGAGAACAGTGTCAATGGACAAGGTCCTTTCCTGCCATTCCAGCTGAAGCTGACTTTTTCGAGATTGGCCGAGAAATTCCGAATGTAGTCATCCAGGATTTTGAGATGGTCGAGTCCGGGCCTGAGACCCAGGAAGTCCCAAGAGTCCATGGTGATGGCGAGCTTCCTAATTTGTTTCCACCGGCGCCCTGCAGATGGCGTGCATCCATACCCTGGATGATGCCTGAGATACTGAAGGCCGGCAGGATGTATTTGGCGTAACGAGAGCTTCTCTAGTCGAAGCATCGGGGCCCGTTCAATGGCTATGCGCAGACTTATGAGTGCATAGTCGACACAATCTCGACGATATCTCTGCGCTGGATCTTGTCCTGGACATGATATAGTGAGATGTCTAAGATTGGGCATCTGTGCCAGAGCATTGATGAAAGCTGGTACATTGGTAGCGGCGTGGAAGAGAGGAGGATATTGTTGCGTCAAGAGATCCCCCAATTCCGGGCTTCCATATTTGGGCCGCGAGGTGACTGAGGTGACTGTTGTATGAGGGGTATATAAGAAGTTGACCTCGTGACCATTCATTGGATTTAGAAGTGGTGGGAGGAAGGTAGCCTCGCTATGAGGCATGGAGAATGTAAGGTGCTCAATATGCGGCCCAATTCGAGACAATGCCTCAAGACGAGACGGTCGTATAAGAGCGGATGGTGTAAAAGTTAAGCGGGTTCGGGTGAAAAGAGCTGGAGTTGTAAGCTCGCAGAATTCGAACTGGGTGAGGCGCAAGGTACAGATGGAAGCTGTGTCCATGTGCGAGAGGAGAGCTGATCGAATGCCATCGTCCCGCCAAAGGTGGAGGAGTATTGGGCTGGCGTGGGCCATAACTTGCGCATGTCGTTTGGAAAAAGGATGTGACTATTGCTGGTTGTAATACACAAAGTATACAAGACGGTTTACAGAAAGTTTTGACAAATTGAAGAAGTTGCGACAGTTGTTAATGGTTGTTGTTGGCTCTTGAGATATGAGTGAGTGATTGAGTGAGTGCGTGAGTGATGTTTCAATTGAACCAGGCTCTCAACACCACAAAAAACCCGCGCAAAGTAGGATAAATATCAAACATTAAGAAGGCCAAAACAGCAGCTCCCTCCACGACCAGATATACCTCCTCCCCGTCCCCAAATCTCTCTTCTCCATCCCCACGTGACCTGAAACATGAGTCACATCACTTCGAATCTTCACTTTCTTTCCTCTAGAGCATGCAGCTCAAGTGCGCAAATGCACATCAACACCGAGTTCCCATCGCGACACTTTCGTGATAAGCGCGTCTACTGGATCGAAAGAGCGGTGGCGTAGCGGGGAGGTGCATGCCTTGGCAGCCCTTGTTTCAAGGCTTCGAAGCGGGTCGGCCAATGGAAAATGCTGAAACGTGGGATTTTCGGGGCTGCTTGCATATAGGTAGGTATAGGGTGAGTGGTTGGGCTGCAGTGTCGTTGGGGTTGGCCAATGGAATAATAGAGGGGGGCTGGGCGTTGAGGATCCATTGAAAATCGACACGAGACTTTGACGCGAATAAACGCGTGTGGGGGGTCTTGGCTTTTATTGTGGCGAGGCAACGACTTCGTTGTTGTTTGTTTTGACTTTATTTCATTGCCGGAAAGGGGAGAAGCGCGCCTGTTTCACCCTTGAGCTGAGGCGTAAATATCGAGTTGGGACTTTAGAGCTCCTCTCAATTGAGGAACGTTGTTTCATATTGCTGCTCTACATTGCTCGTTTCCCACTTCCTCGTCGTCGCGTCGCGTTGCTCCTACTTCGTACATATTCTTCTGGTACACCAAAAAGAGCCCGCCTCCAGCTATGCATAAGATCGCTCAATAAACGACACTGATCACTATAGAAGTGTTAAGTACAGTGGCTATGCAACATCGCTGCAGTTTTGGTATCCTCCCGTGTATGTTTATGATAACTCCGCAATGCGCCCATCGTTTTGTCGAAAAAGGAAAATCGTATGTACTGTATTGTATCTCTTCATATTAAAGTCGAATTTTGTAAAAGAAATGTGGCAGGTCGGCCTGACTGAAGGCGAAAATGCAGGGAGGATTAGGATTAGGATTGAGTTGTGCCATGCTCATGTGATATAGTAGGAAGGTCTGGTGGGCTGGGTGCCGTAGACACTTCTGCTTTTCGAGGGTCACTTTTTCCGGTCAATGAAGAAGTTTCTGTCTCTTCCGGTATAGTGGCAAATTTCTTCAAAACCTGTTTCAACGCAGGCCGACGAATCGGCTTGCTCAGGAAATGATCCATGCCTAGCGTTTCCAGTCAGCTTGATATTTCAATGGGCGGGAAGATCTTACCAGAGTCGTAACATTCTTTGACATTGCTTTCTTCTGCAAAGGCCGTTAGAGCAACGATTGGTGCTGAATAGCCCATTTGACGAATCAACCGGGTACTTTGGAGGCCATCAAGGTTCGGCATCTACATACATCAGTATCGAATATAATCAAGCACTGTTTAATGTACTTACTTGGATGTCCATGAAAATGAGGTTAAAGTACTGGCCTTTGTCCATACTTTCCTTGACAATGTCGTAAGCCTCCTTGCCGTCCTTCGCAATGACCACCTCAACATCATAGATGTCTTCGAGTTTGAGCATTCGAATGACGATCTCCTGGTTGACTAAATTATCCTGGTTAGAGTCAGTATCGCCTTTCTCAATATGAGTAAATTTGGATGTGGAGTGCGTCTGGCTAGGTTCAAGACTGTACAGCGGGGAAAATTCCGCTGAGGTTGGCACACTCACCTCAGCTACCAAGACTCGAAGTTTCAACGTCGACTTTACTGCCGAATTCCCTGCCGACTTTCCTGCCGACTTTCCTGTCGCTTTGCCAAGTACTGCAAGGGGCTCTTTTGCATCTTTAGACTTGGGGGATGGTGCAGACACCGAAGAAAAGAATGGCTGGCTAAGTCCAATGAGCCTAGGCTGTGTATCCTTCTCAAAGTCGCTGCTTTGCCTTGATTCACTAGATGCTGTAGCTACCGGGTTCCCTTCTGGCTGTACACCATTGGAAACACTAACGGGCCTAGATCCATATACGTCTGAGCTGGAAGTAGATGGTGCTCTGGATTTCGCAAATTTTAGAGGGATTTTCACGGTGAATAGTGTCCCGCTCGGCGGTTCTTGTGAGGATACAAGAGAGATATCACCACCCATAAGACCGGCAAGTTGTGAGCAGATACTCAATCCAAGGCCAGTTCCTCCGAATTTTTTACTCAAGCCAAGATCGCCCTGCACAAAAGGTTCGAAAACACGCTCTTGAAGGTGTAAAGGAATTCCAGGGCCTGTATCTTCCACTTCGAATTGGAAAATAAAGGTTTTGACATGCGAGGGTGGTGGTGTTGGCGAGCGTTCCCTGACTTGCACTCGAGGAGTAGCTCTGAGGTCCATGGGATTGATTAGCAGTGCAGTCCCAGCAGGGCTTCCAGCTGAATTGGGGTTCCTTGATATTTGAGATGTGTTTGAGCCTGAGCCATGGCCTGAACCATGGCGAGGCCTTGAATTGCGCTGTGAGCTTCGTTTCGATCCGGACCCCATCGAGTTCCTATCCTTGTCGCTGGCAGTCTCGGCTTCACCCAGACACTTAATTCGGACTTCTACTTTGCCGCCATCCGGCGCGAATTTCAGGCTATTGCTAACAAGATTTATGATAACTTGGAGTATCCTATGTTGGTCACCCCAGAGGCTATTGGACCAGTTAGCTTCTTTCAACCACGAGCGACGGATTTTAAGCATAAAGGTATATTAATGTGACTTACCTCATATCTTTCAGCCTGCCCATACCTTGTGGACCAAGAGCAGGAAGGACCTTTTCTGACGGGAGAATGGCATTTCCCTCAACATCGGTACTAATGAACCGAACTCCAAAATCAATGTTCTTTTCTTGAACTTGCTTCATGAAGATAGTCAGAATTTGCGTCTTGATATCGACTAATCGAAATTCCTTCTCCTCTAGACTCAGTTGCTGGCCAATTTGGTTCTTGCTGAAGGTCAAAAGATCGTTCAGAAGATGCAGGAGAAGGTCTCCAGACTTATAGACAACCTGGAGACTACGTTTTATTCGGGGCAGGTCATCTTCGCCCATGCATACTGCACACATGCCTAAAATTCCGTTCAAGGGTGTTTTCAGTTCGTGCGAAATGTTTGCAATGAATAGAGTTTTACTCTCGTTGGCGGCCTCAGCAGCTTTCTTGCTGATCTCAAGCTCATGTGTGCGTTCGGCCACTTTCTCTTCGAGACTTTGGTATTGAAGGACGAGCTCGTCACTCATGCTGTTAAAGGTGGCTAGATTCGATTAGTTATTTCCCACCATAGAGCGGATTAGAAGCTACTCACTCGTCAATTCTGTTAATTCGTCGGTTATCCAGTGCTTCCGGTCTGGAACTTTCGCTGGGATTTTGAAACCTCTCCTCCTCTCCTCTTCGCTATGCTCTAACTTGGTCTTCCGTCGGCCAACAGTGGTTAGATATCTCAATCTTACGAAAACTCCCCTTTTTGACCAATTTGAGCCAGGCCGATTTTCCAAATCCGCTTCTCCGTCAGAAGCATCATCGTAGAGTCCCTCGGACCGCAAACTCCCTCCACTGGGTGTATATCCCATAGGGGTGATTGACTTCTCTGTTGCATCCCTTAATCTTCGTATAGGGCGTACACTGAAATGAGCTATGGGTAGCACCACAAGGATGACGAAGCCCATGGTCCCAAACACACATGCGTATAAGATTCTGCGAAGCGTCGTGACAGGTGCCCAAGCCTCCGCGTGGCTTTGTTCAACGATGAGAAGCCAATCAGCCAGGGAAGTGTTCGGTCTTGCAAATCCCACACTGACTGACACATTATTTTCGTTTTTAGTCGTCAAAAGACTACCTGCATGATTGACCTGCGAATTGCGTTTCCCAAATCCAGTCAAGGCCGCCGGATAAGAACCCATGCTAAAATTAGACGCGCCGTACTTTGTTAAGTTTGATGTGTAAACATTGTGTCTGGACTGTGAATTATCTGGAGGAAAGATAAACTTGACTTTGGTAGATTTCAAAACACCAGGAGCTGGTACATAGGCTCCGTCTGCAGGTCTATCACTATATGTGAAATGATTCTCGCGCCGACTGGATCCAACGATAAGCACAACACCTGAATTTGCTAGGCCCTCTCGAGAAGTTGTGACGTCAATGAGGGAAGATGCAGCAGCTACAACTGTCATGAAACCGAGTACAACATCTGGGTTCGAGTTATCAATTAGTGGCAAAGTCACCGAAATGAGGGCGAATGATGCATTGACTTGTGTTGGACCTAGCAGTAGCACAGATGACTGATTCAAGGGAAAGTCCGAGAAAGCAGTAGCTCTCATGAAATTAACAGAAGGATCCAGTGGGTCTGGTGTAGACGTCGAGTTGTAGGTTATGTTCGGATAGAGTGCAGGTGGGTAACCCATCTCGTCGTCATCATCGCCAAGTATGACTGGAGAGCCATTCGAAGATGAATACGGCAGGACGATTGCAGAAGTCTTGCCCGTTACCCTCAAAAGTCCCGTCGAATTACCCGTAGCATTTCGAGAAAATATTATCACCTGTTGAAGAGATGATAGTCCGCCGCTAGCTAAGGCGCTGGAAACATCGGTACGAGCGTCACTAAATCCTTCTGTTAGCGTCAAATTTGAGCAAACAAACGAAACACAACGAAGTGAAACCAGACCGCTGGAATCGCAAAGGGACAAAGCTAGTTCCGGGGTCCATATTTCTCTGCTCTCGAAACTTACTCAAAGTTGCTCGCACTTGTATTGCCCGCATAGAAGCTCTTGAGAGAAGCCTGAACAAGTATTCTGGTGGTAATAGTATTACATGTTGACTGGATCAAGAGTAGATCTGCGGCAATCTGAGCCGCCTTCAGACTTGCCGTGAGCGACAACGATTGGGATGTGACGCCGACCACGAAGTTATGATTGTTGATCCCTGTCTAACGTGTTAGTATGATAAAGACCCGAAATGGTCAAGATAGCTAAAGAGCCCGGGAGCTGTGTCAGGAGCCTGGATCCCACATACTGTGAAATCAGTTCCCTTGGCTCCTGCCATAGCTCTCAGCTCCCGAGCTCACGTAGTAAAACATGGTGTTTTTGTATGGAAGTTTGACTGACAGGTTGCAATCGCAAGCACAGCGAGAGGTACGAAAGCCGTCAGTAAAACGACGACCGCCAGCTGCTCTCTAATGCCAATTCGCATCTTGAATGCCCCGCCCAGGAGGCGACTCCTGGTCCAGGCTCGCCAGTATGTTGCTCTCCTTGATGCATATGTTGCGGGTATTCCCAAAGCCCTCCCTTCTTTTGCCCATCCACTGGAGCTTGGGAGTGGCTTGCAACGTAACGAAAGGCTGAGATTCCTATATGACAGGGCCCATGTTCCAGAAACTCGACCGGAGATATGGAGGTTCGCGTTCGGGCTTTATGTTGGGAGAGGTCGTCGATTTGGCAAGTAGCTCGAAAGTGTAGGAACAGTCGGCTGGCTGGTTGTCGTTTCTTTTCTTTGTGAACTCGGCTTCTTGATCAAAGAATCAAACGGGCGACGGACGTCCCAATACCATCATTTCTCGACAGCCACAATAGCCATAGTCTGCTAGTTATCAATAAGTTGATATGGAAGCTGGCTGTTGTTGTGGCACTCGAACTGGAAGTTGGAATTGACTCGAGGCTGTTTGCGACGAGGATACAGTACGATGGAAGTAAAGCTTAGTACAGTCCAGTACAAAATGCGATACCGCCCAGAACCGGAGGCAGCACCGAACGAGAAAGCTAGGCTCTAGGCTCAACTGTCAGATCATCCTAACTCTTACAGCGCTCGCTAGACCCTAAAATACAGGGGACGTCTTGAAGTCACAGGGGCTAGAACCTCAAGATCACCACGGACCATCGGACACTGGCGGGAATGAAGCCCTGATGCGGCCCTTTTGCATGGGTTGGCTGGTGGGAGCATGGCGGAATCCCATCTTTTACACAAGATTTTCAGATTGCCATGCAAGGATACGTCTCGTACAGTACGGCTAGGTTGAAACACCGAGCATCAAGCGCCTCCAGTGAAGATATATCCTTGTATCGTAGATTCAAAAGCTGCCATTATTACCGGTATTTATTATAATTACCTACCTACTGTAGTGAGATCCCAACTTCACGACTTCATGCACTCGCCTCCACATCCACGCGGACACCCACACTTGTTATTAGCCACTCGTACACAGTAAGACAAAGCCAAAGACGGCATCGCTCAATAAAACCGGGGTAGGAATTACATCCCCATCCCTCCCCTCCAATCGCCGCTGAGATTGCCGATACTGGGCTGCCCAGTAGGGAGGGTCCTCCACAACATGCCACCCATGCATCATATCAAGTACCGACTTGCACAACGGTAACCATTTATATGTACTCGGACTCGGAACTCCAAATCTCCAACCTGATGATCATGGTGGGTAACCTCGGGTTGAGCGAAAAGCTCAAAGGATAAATAAACAAACCCCGAAATACCGAATGTACTACTAACCCAGTCCGATTCCTGTAACTACTATTCCGTTAAGAAGCTTTAGTTCCCCTATCGATAGCGGAACAGGAACTCTATTTGTTAAGAAAATGCAGCTTTACGTAGCATCAAGGTGAATTTATAGAATATCTCCTTATAGGAAATACCTTACCACTCAACACATTATACTTCTTTTTCTAGGGACATATTCTAAGTAGGTGTTTAGAAATCAAATTAGGTACTCTTTTTGATCGTGTATTTTTTTCGCGCCTAGCAGATATGTCTAAGAGAGGAAGGGGGACAGAGGTGGACAGAAAAACCGGCACATTTTTATAAAGCGTTAAGCAACTAAAAGTTGATAATAAAGTAGTACGGTAAGTGCCGCAAATTATCTCCAGCCCAAGGTAAGCTCGAGGTAAGTAAGGTGGGAGGATAAAATAAATGGAGACCTTGCGACCTTTGAAAGTTTTACGAGAGAGAAAGAAATGATTCTTCGACTCAGGACAGAAGAAAAACAGACTCGCGACGTTAAAAATGTTACAATATACTATCTACCTACTTGGGCAAGTTTGTGTGAATCAGAATCAATATTTTCTCTATTGCCGTGTCATTCATTCACGATAGTGACAGCGTCATGGGAATCTTTTTCTCACTAGGCTAGTCTCGTGAAAGAATCCAGTCCAGTCCAGTCTACTACACAACATCCCCCCCAACCCCACCTCTCTCCCTACCCCTCCTTTTAGTTCAAACCCTCCTTTGCATACTCGATGCTTACTCCATAAGACGCGCCAGTATGCCTGGCCTTGCGCGGAAAATCCTTATTTCCGCCGCTGTTGATGGGATCATTCTACAACCACTGGCGCAGAAGGGACAGCGCCCAGTACCTGCTACGAAGATTGCATACAATAATCACCACATCGGGCCAGTGTTGAAAGATGGAAGCGAGGGCGAGGGCGAGAGCGAGAGTGAGGGCGGTGGAAAGAACTTCGAGGCTTTTGGGATCGTAGGTCAGTAAACTCGCTTTTGGTTCTACTGGATAATTTGCAGGATGTCTTCGCATTTTAAGTGCTTTCTACGGGTCTAACATTGCATTCGGTCCTTGGTAGAACACAAAGAGCTAACGCATACTTTGCAGGTTTGTTGACAGTTTCTAAGTCCTCCTTTTTGGTATCGATTACGAGACGCCAGCAAGTGGCCCTGATACAAGGCAAACCGATCTTTTGCATAACTGAAGTTGCCATAACTCCACTAGCATCGAGAGCGGAAGCCGCCGCATCCATCACCCATACCCAGACATCATTACGAGGAAAATTGGTCGATAACCACAACACGGATGACAGCGATTCAGAGGCTGAAGAGGGAGAGATATCTGCTGCGGTTGGCGACGATGTAGATGACGAGGATTTACATCCAGCAGTCGTAGATTCAAACCCCGCGGAACATAAGAGGACGAGCAGTATAGCGGAGGATGTCATCTCACGGAAGGGCGGCTATGGCCGATTTGCAAAGAAGTGGTTCTCGAAAAAGGGATGGACAGCAGACCAACGACGGAACCTTGGAATGACTGCGGCAACTCCAGATGTTGACGACCCCTCGACTTCTCCAGTGCCAGTCAATACAAGCCCTATTGTCGAGAACATCATGAGCTCGAACCCAAGAGACCCGAAGCCTAAAGATTCTGCTGCAAGCTTACTCCCAAAACTATTACGGACAACTCAAATCCTTTTCGGCTCATCTCGGAGTTTTTATTACTCATACGACTATGATATTACGAGGAGTTTCCTGAATCGTCGAGCGACAAACTCTGAAATCCCACTTCATACTCAAGTCGACCCTCTATATTTTTGGAACAAGAACATCATGCAGCCTTTCATTAATGCAGGGCAAAGTTCATTTGTCCTACCACTGATGCAAGGATTCGTCGGTCAACAGGAATTCGAGATGGATACTGACCCTCCCAAACCAGTTCTCGGCCTTGATGGAGCTGAAAAGTCTTCAATGGAGATGGTGAATTTATCCACAATTCACGGGCTCCATGATACCGTGCAAGTTCCGGATACCGATGGATGCTTAGATAAGCCTAAAGACCCCCAGACCAATCATAGTAGCTCTATGAAGTCTTATCTGATAACTCTGATCTCTCGAAGATCAGTGCAAAGAGCGGGTCTGAGATACCTACGACGAGGGGTTGATGATGAAGGCCATACAGCCAACGGAGTGGAAACCGAACAAATCCTCTCTGATCCTAAATGGAACCCTTCCAGCAAGATACACTCATTTGTACAAATTCGTGGCAGCATTCCAGTCTTCTTCTCACAGTCGCCATACTCATTTAAACCCATCCCTCAGATACAGCATTCCACCGAGACAAACTACCAAGCTTTTGTCAAACATTTTAACAACATTTCAGATAGGTATGGCTCAGTCCAGGTGGCTTCGTTGGTAGAAAAACATGGACCTGAAGCCATCGTCGGTGAACAATACGAGAAGTTAGTTGCTCGTTTGAATGAGTCGGGCGGAATCAAGGGATCGCCGTTAGCATTTGAGTGGTTCGATTTCCATTCAGCCTGTCGAGGAATGAAGTTTGAAAATGTCAGCTTGCTTATGGATGCGCTTGCGAAGAAATTAGACGCTTTTGGCTACACGGTTGAATTGGATGGCGCTCAGTTATCGACACAATGTGGAGTGCTAAGAACCAACTGCATGGATTGCCTTGACCGAACGAACGTAGTACAAAACTCGTTCGGGAAGAGAGCGCTGGAATTGCAGCTCAAGACCGAGGGCATTGAGCTTGGCCTCCAGCAAGACCAAACAACGCAGTGGTTCAATACACTATGGGCAGATAATGGCGATGCTATCTCAAAACGTAAGGCTTTGGGGGATCTCGTTTATTTCTTTAGGCATTTCGAGTCCCGAAACACGCTTCGAGAGCTCTTCCTTCAAGGAGACCTTACTGCTTCTGGGATCTTGCCATACTTCAAACCCCTTCCTGAAGATCTAAAGCTAATACCCCTACTTTTCTAGAATACGCATCAACCGCTGCGCTCAAAGGCGACTTCACTCGGACAAGGAAAAGAGATTATAAGGGTGCCTTGACAGACATGGGACTATCCATCTCTAGGTTCTATAGCGGGTGCGTATCTATCATCAAAAACTTTCTTGAGCGCTAAAGTTGACGTGATTTTAAGAATCGTCAATGATTACTTTAGCCAAGCAGCAATTGACTTTTTACTTGGCAATGTCACATCAGTTGTCTTTGAAGACTTTGAAACATCTATGATGAGCCGTGACCCCGCGGTTTCTATGCATAAGATGCGCCAACAAGCCATTGAGGTATGCCGGAAACTCGTTGTTGCAGACGAGCATGAAGAGTTTATAGGCGGCTGGACGCTTCTCACGCCGCAAGTCCCAAACACAATCAAATCGATGCCATTCGAAGAGTCCGTCTTACTGTTGACAGACTCGGGATTATACTCGTGTAGATTTGATTGGAACCTAGAGAAAGTGTCATCCTTTGAGCGAGTGTCATTGGAACATGTTATTGGCCTAAAGTATGGGACGTTCATCATATCTACGCTGTCTGCTTCGCAGGCCGACGAGCAGAGGAACGTCGGATTTGTTGTCACGTACAAAGCTGGAGCGAATGATATCACTAGAGTGAACACGCGGTCGATGTCCAGCGTATCACGCACAGATACCGATTTGCCTAAAGGAACTGCCACCCCACTGCCAACATCAGGATTGGCAGGTATTTTAGGGAACTCTGGTCCAACGATAACAACAAACCGGCTCTTGGCTTTGAAAGCTTTGCCATCTCGAGATGCGGTTGCGGAAGGGACTGAAAGCAGACTGACCGAGATCGAGCAAGTGAAGGCGATTTGCTCGGAGATAGAGCGCATGGTACTTCACGGCCAAGTGCTGGAAGTCGGCACGGAGAGAAAGAGCCTTGTCGAGAGTGGTGATATAATCAGCTTAGCCGAAGCGCGAAAAAGTACTGGCTTGCTGGAGCAACTGGGCCACAGTTTTAAGAAATTAATATGGGCATAGATGAAATAGAAGTAGAGGATATCCAATGATTAATACCGACTAGGTTCATGACTAGACAGGCGCTCAAGTGTTGCTTTTGGAGATATAGATGATGTACAGTAATGCGGGGCCCAATTCGTTAGCAAGATCTCGCAAGAGGCTCTTTCTTCTCCAGTGAAGTGCCCCGGTGAAATACGTAGGTGCTAATGCACAACACATTGCAACATGAACGCACGGAGCGCAAATAAACAAGCAAATTTTTTGTAGGTCCTCCAGAGAGAGTTTATGGTCTGATGATGTGCAAGGTAGCTTCGCGCCTAGCAGTCTACGGAGAATATCCCGAGGCCTACTGTAGAAGGGGGAGGATTGGGTTTCCAGTCAGCATTTTCTGCGTATATAATCTTTCAGCCGGCCAATGAAAGTTGGGTCTGTAGGTATGTATCTGCATTCCATCATGCACTGCGAATGAACGAATGCCGGACTTTTAGCTTGTCTAGATAGATACTCTTGGCATATGGTAGGCTGTTGTGCAACCAAGCATGCCCTTGGCAGCAGGAGACTTCGTCGCATTCATTTTCTAGGGCTTGTCTTTCTCGTTCCTAGAATCTGTACTGCAGTGGTAATAAGATGTTCGTTCTTGGCTGATTCTGATCATGAACGCAGTGCTATAAGCACTCGCTTTAGATATTCCACCAACGGTTGCAGTTACCGTTCCGCAGATAGCCCTCTGTACAGAACATGGTTACTTGCAGGCTTAACAAGACAACCGTCAGTCAGGGTCTTCTGCAGGGTCTTCTTTTGCTTTTGCCTTTAATAGCGGTGTATGGGAATCTGCAGAGCCGGGTGATTTTCTGCAGTCAGATCTTTGCTTCCATCTAGTGGACCCAAGACATGGGGATAAGGCAAGAGGTACATAAGGTAAGTTACATAGGCATATACGAGTAGGAATAGGAAGTCATGGCTCTAAGGTAGGATGGGCTAATCTCGGAAACCTTCCATTCAGAACTAGCACCAGTACAAGACTGCGGATAGTCTGTCTGATTCGGAAGTCTAGACATGCCGAATTTTTTTAGAGGATTTGGTTGAAGCGCGTCGATGGAAAGGAACTGCGCTTGCACTTGATGAAAAATCAGAAAATAGAGACGTAAATGACTGACTTGCCCCTCTTTCCTTCTTGCCTCGCTAGCTGTAGAGACTTAGATTATTTAGTATGTCAAATTCCGCCTCAAATTTTTCTTCCCACAGGACTTCTAATTTCAGAACTACGTAAGGTACAAGTTCCTAAATAGGATGGTGTACTATAAGTCTCAGCTGTCAGCAGGATTAACAACCCTTACCAAAGTCGGAATACGATGCGGCCAACAAGCGGCTGGGCAAGGGCTCTGCTGCACACACAGCACACTCCATGCTCACGCCGTTAAATGATTCAGTAGATCCGCATCTGATTTCCGTTCTGAGTCATCAAGGACTGGGTTTATGTCAGATGTCAAGCATCTCGATGGAATGCGATGCATGGAAACCTTATCCTTATCTTGTCTGCACTCTGGCCCGTGAATAGAGAAAGGCCCCGGTGTTAAGGTAGCCTACTGCACCTTAGCTACTGAGCTAGGTACGGACTGTGAGTTTATATACGTGAGAAGTCTAATTTATTTATCGAGTTGGGAAAGTTACGTCTGGGGGGGCTTACCCGCTCCAATAGTAGTGCCCGTTAGGAGCTAAGGAGGGAGCCTCCGTGACGATCTAGAAAAGCATCTGGAGTTAACGTCAAACTTGCATATGAGATCGCACAACAATAGAGAGATCGGGCAGGCGTATAACAATTCCCAATCCAATAGGAGCCATCCTTCCACGCTCGTATTGCGATCAAGCCCATATTCATACGCTAGGGGTAGATGTTTGAACTACAATCCTATTGTGGGTGGGTTGGTAAGAATTGTACAATTGCAAGAGGTGCTGAAGAGATATGTATGTCTGTCTATCCGTTTCTCCTTGCTAGTGTTGCATAATGGGGAAAACTTGGGGCGGTCGGGTTGACCGATAATCTACCTGTAGAGAGATTCGCAGAAACGAGTTGTGCAACTTGTGGCTTTGAGGAGGACAAGTCATCCAGAGGCAAGAAGTGTAATTGTGTCGAGATGTACTGTAGAGTGTATGTAAACTCCGCGTCGACGCTGTCAGCCCGCATAAAGATCTTGGCTTTCGCTTCGGGGCTACTATAGAGGGTTAGTGGTAGTGCTAGCGGATGGATTTTATTCTACTTCATACAAGTCAGCAGTTGTTGTACATGCATAGTAAGCAGGCAAAACTTTAGGTAAGAACTTCGTGTGCTGGTCCTCACTCATGAGTGGCCCCTTTTCACTGGGGGCAAGCCGATCGGCGAGCACTAGTAGTACCGTACCTTCCCACGTTGCCCAGGCAAGATTGCGTCTCTCCTTCAAAGCTCCCACCCGCGTGTGAGAGGAGGGGTCCAACGTTCGTTCGTTACCGCTCATCCCCAACTTGGGTAGCCCTACTATTGGATGCTACATTTTCCCCAAGCGGAATCGGTCCTGTCGACAGCGGTGTCAACATGTCAAGTGTCTTAATTAAACCAAAGAACCTGGGGCTCCGATGGGAAGCCGAGCCTTAAAATAAGTCTTCATTATCGTCAGACCATGTGTGGACTAATTGAGTCGAGCGGCGGATCATTCCCTCCGTAGTTCTAGTTCTTTTAAAACAGATCAACATCCCCGTGGGTCCTCAATTGACTCTTGAGGGTCAAATAATCTGCTTATTGGTGTTGTGTCGCTGAAGTCGACGACTGTGACCCCAGAGTTGCACACTTACTAGCCGTACAATCTTCTTCAGCCTTGTTTGTGTCAACCCTTCTAGTCTCCCAAACATGGCCGCTGGACAATATAGCGAGAACTCGACTGAAAACCAATCCATGTCTATGGCAGCAGATTTGACTCCAGGCTTATACGATGGCACATCAAGCGAATCCTCAGCAAGTTCGCCTATGAACAATACTGTAAGTCGTGATGGCCTTCTGCGGATCTAAGAACCTATTGAGGGAAGAGGAAGGCGCTGACGCTGACGCCGAGTAAAAGAATTTCGACAGCTGCTACAGCGGAAACGGCTACATGGCATATCCGGCATATTCGATGCAATATCCTATGCATAGGGAAGGTATAGCGCCAGCAGGACTTATACCGGTTGAATTGAAAATTGAAGGCCTCTACGAGGACTATGATCGGAGACGAAAGAAGGACGGAAACGAGAAGATCGTGTCAGGCCATGTACATTCGGTAGGTGGCCAATCAATTTTGGTTGTTTACAATACGACCCAACTAATGCAACATAGAGGCGGAGGGCACAGAACAGAGGTACATCATTGACATCTTTTTATCATCCACCTCTTACTCGACGACTTGGAAGAGTTGACAATTATTCCAAACCCCTGAAAGCGAGCAGTAGCTGACTTTAGTCGTCAATAGCCTCGCAGAGAGCCTTTAGAGATCGGAAAGAAAAGCACATGAGGGAACTCGAACAACAACTAGGCGAACTCGAGGGTCGACACAATGATCTTTCCCAATCATTCGACTCCCTTCAAGTGGAATATACAAGCGTGAAGCACCAACTGGAAGGACTACGGGAGGAGAATGCTAGACTCCAAGGTTCTTCGAGGAGTTACCAAGCCAAGGAATACGAGGAACCCAACGGCGAGATACTAGATCCGCTTCTGTTTGATGTGTCGGCATTTTGCTTCGAACAAGAGGATCTACAAGACCACACCGTCTGAAGGCAGAATTGACCATGGGCGTAGTCGCTGGACCCTATGAATGGCTTTCGGGGTGTTCTTTTTAGGAAGATAGCAACTTGATATCACAATAGTCCGTATGTGATTTGACGGCGCTGGCGTTGTTGGTAGCGTTTGATATCATTTGGGTGCAGGCGAATTCGCATCACCACATAGTGCAGGGAAGGAGGGCGAGCAGAGATATCCAGGTCAGGTATTACCATATCACCAAAGCCACCAGAAAGAAGGACGGGGGTTCAGGTCGATTTTTAGCAGCTTCAATGACGAATGAAACTACACAAAATGCGACTGGCAGAGTGCCCCCCTATTTCCACGTGCAATACGGATATCTGCCCCTTGGTGGAAGCGTTGCCGGCTGAGTTTCCGTAAATCTTTAGTGGACTGTTCTGTATGCGGCGGCAAAAAGCCATCATCTGTAAGTGTAGACGTGCATGGACCCCGGAACCTTAGCTTGAGTGGGATGATGGGATGTCTTTGTTGAATTTCACAGTTCATGCGTCTACATGGTTGCTGCGCCTTTACCGTAGGCCTTCGGTGATAGAGAAGCTTGCCTTGGGAGGGAAAGTCAGATGACTGCCCGTCGGCGTGGAGAGGAACAGACAAGAACAGGGTATCGGCACCCTTGGGTTCCGTGTTGAATTTGAATTTGATGATAATTACGAATTAAATTCCCGGATTTAATGGTTTTTATGTATCTATTGATTAGTTAGTTATTGTGGGGATAATAGGACTGCATCCCGACTTTTATAGTCATGTGATCTAGCGTAGCTTAGTCAGCAAAGAGGATAACCTCTTTTCGCGTTAACACCACGATGAATGCTAAACAACATCAACCAGAGCCCAGTATCAAGTCTACTACGCAGTAGAGAAGTGATCACGATTCGATACCTGTGATACCAACAGTTATACAGGAGATGATCGCACTGTACTTAAAGTAGGGAAATCGTATTTATAGATTATATGATATTTGAAATAGGCTTAGACTAGATATTGATACATGAATTTAATAAGGTTAAGTTCAGTAATGCCTGATCCGTTCTCGGAGTAATGTCGTTTCTAGCTGCCAAATAATACATGGATGGGATGGGCTCTCCGTGGATGGGTGTGGTCACTGTGTTGTAGCGCCTTGATCACGTGCCTCTGCCTATGTATATAACAGAAGTTGTGATAATCTACCTAGGTATGTTTGTTTGCTCACATATGAAGGCAACTGTTGCAACACTATATATATGTGATGGGGAAGGATGTTTATTTAAGGGAAATTATGCCGGAGTTCTGTGCACCTGGTCTGCCTGGCCTGGACTGGCCTCCGGCGGAACACTGTCTTTTAATTATTCAGCATCGAAATTATGACCACGGGAGATGAGGGTAGCTATGAAGTTTTTTCTTGGCTTGATAAAAGTTCGACTCTAGATCTCTGGTGAGATTCTCTTTTTCCATTTGCAAAAAAGCATCTTCAGAACAGAACATAGGTACCGAATCTCTTCTCTATTGCTCTTACCCCATCCCGCGCTGCCAAGCCTTGCCCCACTACATTCTGACGACAGTCAAACTCAGAAATCCCACCGCTTCATCGCCTCCTCTTGTCTCTCCCCCAACACCGTCCATAACTTCCACCTCCCCATCTATACCACACAGAAACAGTCGCAATCATGGGTTATACCGACGTTGATAAGCTGGCTATCAACACAATTCGACTTCTAGCCGTAAGCTCAGTCCTCACATCTTCATACTAATTTTTACCCCTCTATCCACAACAAAAAACCCCTCCCCGGCCTCTCTCGCTCAGCTCTTCGCTCTTCACAATGGAAACTGATATGTGTTTTCTAGGTCGATGCCACATTCGCTGCCAATTCGGGCCATCCCGGTGCTCCAATGTAAGCTGCGCCATGTTATCGGAAAGTCTCGAATTAACCCCGCTATCTAGGGGAATGGCCCCAGTTGCCCACGTTCTATTCAACAAGATCATGAACTACAACCCAAAGAACTCGTCATGGGTCAACCGCGATAGATTCGTCCTCTCGTAAGTTGGTTTGCTTCAATCTTGCCATTTCAGAGTTTGCACTCTGCAAGCTTTTCTCGGACGAGCAACCCCATATACTCGCAAAATGAATAACAGCTGCGTCAAATTTTACTTGACTATCGATTAAAACATTTGCTGTATCTACCAGAAGCTTTGCGAGCCCTTGAAATATCAAAAGCTGCTCGCAAGAAATACTTATACATTTTGCCACCCCACCGGCTAACAGCCTCTTAGCAACGGCCATGGCTGCATGCTCCAATATGCGCTCCTTCATCTTGCTGGGTACAAGATTTCTCTGGATGATATCAAAGCTTTCCGGGTATGTAGAGTCTCGAAAACCCCAGTCAAGCTGGGTTGCTAATCCTTTATTTTCTCAGTCCATAGATAGCATCACCCCTGGTCACCCTGAGGCTCACGATACCGATGGCATTGAAGTCACCACAGGTCCTCTTGGCCAAGGTTTCTCGAATGCTGTTGGTCTTTCAATTGCTCAACACCATGCTTCTGCCGAATTCAACAAGCCCGGGTTCGAATTGATCAACAACTACACATACACATTTTTGGGAGATGGCTGCATGCAAGAGGGTGTTGCTAGTGAAGCTGCTTCTCTTGCTGGTCATTTGCAGCTTGGCAACTTGATTGCCATCTATGATGACAACCACATCTCTATTGATGGAGACACCAACTGCTCATTCACTGAAGACGTCATCAAGCGATTTGAAGCCTATGGCTGGCACACGGAGATTGTTGAGGACGGTGACCATGACTTGGAGGCAATGGAGGCAGCAATCAAGAAATGCCAGAGTGTCAAGAACAAGCCATCTCTGATCAAGCTACGAACAACCATTGGTTTCGGCTCATTAGCACAAGGTACTGGTGGTGTCCACGGTTCTGCTCTCAAGGCCCCCGATATCAAGCAACTTAAGGAGAAGTTTGGCTTTGATACCGAGAAGACGTTTGTTGTTCCCCAGGAAGTCTATGACTTGTACCACAAGCACGGCGCAGAAGGTGCCGCCAAGGAGCAGGAATGGACCCAATTGCTCGAGAAATACACTCAGTCTCACAAGGTCGAAGCCGCTGACCTCAAGCGCCGCTTGGCTGGTCAGCTTCCAGAAGGCTGGGAGAAGAACTTGCCAGTCTACTCGCCAGCAGATTCTGCTGTTGCAAGCCGAAAGCTTTCTGAGATTGTTCTTCAAAAGATCCATGCTGCAATTCCGGAGTTGGTTGGTGGTTCTGCCGATTTGACCTCCTCCAACTTGACTAGATGGAAGGAGGCCGTTGATTTCCAGCCCCCTTCCACTGGTCTTGGTGACTGGTCTGGACGTTATATCCGATATGGTGTACGTGAACACGGCATGGGTGCCATAATGAACGGTCTCGCTGCCTACGGAACTGTTATCCCATACAGCGGTACTTTCTTGAACTTCGTTTCCTATGCCGCCGGAGCTGTTCGTCTCTCAGCACTATCTCAAGTCCGTGTTATTTGGGTTGCCACCCACGATTCCATTGGTCTCGGTGAGGATGGACCTACGCATCAGCCTATTGAGACTCTTGCCCATTTCCGTGCTCTCCCTAACTGCATGGTTTGGCGTCCCGCCGATGGCAATGAGACCAGCGCAGCATACTATATTGCATTGACCTCCAAGCACACTCCTAGCATCATTGCTCTGTCCCGTCAAAACCTCCCTCACCTCGAGAACTCGACCCTCGCTCGCGCAATCAAGGGTGGTTACGTCGTGCATGAGCCTGAGAAGGCCGACATCACCCTCGTCTCCACTGGTTCCGAGGTATGCATCTGCGTTGATGCCGTCAAGTACCTAAAGGACAACCACAACTTGAACGCTCGTGTTGTGTCTATTCCTTGTTTTGAGGTCTTCGATGCTCAGACCAAGGAGTACCGACTCAGCATTCTGCCAGATGGTATCCCATCTCTGTCCGTTGAGGCCATGTCAACCATGGGTTGGGAGCGATACACCCACGAGCAGTTCGGTCTCAACAGATTCGGTGCTAGCGGTGCCTACAAGGACGTATACAAGGTATGTACTAAAGGCTGGGCTGAATTCCGTCGCAATACTGACCCCTTTATAGAAGTTTGAATTCACCCCCGAGGGAGTCAGCAAGCGCGCTGTTGCGACTGTTAAATTCTGGAAGGATGTCCCCAACATTCGTTCGCCGATCAACCGTGCTTTCCAGCAGTTGATCTAAGTCATTTCGAATTCAGCTAGGCAGTAGAGCGGGTGCTCGTCATGAAATTGTATTGCTTCGCAAGTTATAGATGTTGGAAAAAATGAAAATAAATGAATCAAGGGTGCTATGTTATATTGCCTCTAGACAGACTGCTTTATATCCACCACTTCTTCTTGGATATATGCATCAGACTTGACTATGCAACAAGTTTTCCCGTCCGTCTACCCAAGATTAAAGATTACATTATCTATATCCAAACTTGACGTCCACAAGGCCTGTTTGAAGCCACATTTCTCGGAACCTTTTCACTCCTGGTGCCAAAAAGGGTTTTCGACCGTTATTCCTCAACTCAAGGCATATTTCCTGTTCTCATCCCATGCATCCCTCCTACCCTCAACCTTCTCCTTCTTCTCCCCCTTCATCGCTATCATCCCTCAGCACCCACTCCCTCTGAAACTGCCTCCCCACCCTCTCCAACCGCGCAGCAGCTCTCCTCGCATCCCCCGCACTATCCGCCGTCCTCGCTACCACGGTACCTATCAACAATGGCGGCGCATTTGCAGCATTGGTCGCCTCACTACCATTATCTTCCTCTTCCGGCGTGCTACTGGTATTTGTGCCGTTGGTTTGTAACTCGGCGGGGGTCTCGGGGTCTTCGGTGGGAGTGGTGGTGTTGCGACTCAGGGGACGTAGGCCTTCGCGTGCCGTCTCGAGAATGCTGTTTATGGCGGTGGAGTGGAGATAGCGGGGCTGGGGAGACGGGGGGTTGAGGTAGGAGTGTAGGATTAGGGGGCCGGGGGAGGTGGATTCGATCACTAGGCGGGGAAGTTAGTAGGCTTTGAGATGATGTAAGGGGGCTGGGGGTAGATGAGAGGTAGATGTATTAAGTTATAGAAGGAATGTTAAGGGGTTAATTATTATATAGGTACTTACTAATTCTTTGAGGAACACCTAGACCGAGACGGGATGCATAGTCGTAGGCTGTGAGTGCTGTGCTCGTGAGCGCTGTCAGAGCTTGGCTCTGGGGATTCGAGGTGCTGGAGGAAATGATAGGCGTCAGGGTGGGGTCGCTGAGGTGGTGGGTTAGATTTGGATTCGAATTTGGGTTGAGATTCGAGGTAGAGGAGTTTGCCATTTTGTGATGTATTTTGGAAGGTCAATGGCTTGTTTTTGCAAAGGAGAGCAGCTTTTGTTGTTGGAAGGCTGGTAGTGAAGCTTGTGACGAACCCCCCACGAAATGCACCTCGGGCCTCTTAGCGGCACACCACACCCTAAGTACGGCACAGGCGCGATGCGATCTAGCGATTTGCAGGGATGTATCGCGGCGGGTCCTATTGACATACAATAGCATAGCTGTCAAGAACACCCATATTCATTCATTGTAGAGGAACAGGATACTTCAAAACACTGCCACCTTCTGGTCACCCCGCGCACGATACAATTTTATCTCCCAGCAATCATGGCAGACGAAGACAAAGCAAAAGCCGAGAAGCTTGCTGCGGCGAAGAAACGTGTATGTGTCCCCATTCCTGGCTTAATTGGAGCCCCGGATTGAGGATTGCGTATGGAGAGATGCTGACACGATGGATCGCAGGTGGAAGAGATGAAGAAGAAAAGCAAGAAGAAGACAACCACAAAAAAAGAAGATAAACCTGAGTCTGCGCCCGCAGAATCCTCCAAAGCCGAAGACGCACCTGCTGCCCCAGAGCCAGCAACTCAAGATGAGGAAGCGAAGCCTACAGAGGATGGAGAGGCCAAAGATGACGCTGCAGAAAAGGTCACGGAGCTGAACAGCTCATCTCATCAACGAAAACAGTCACTGTCCGTCCAATCGAAGATGCGCTCCTCGTCGTTTCGTTTAGGTTCCGCGCCCGGTCCCACGTCACCCAATTTTGGATTCTCTCCTGAAGGAGACACGGCGCCGGATATATACCGTAAGCAAGCAACTAAGATCGATGAACTGGAGAAGGAGAACAAGAGGCTGGCCAAGGAGGCTATCGATGGAGAGAAAAGATGGAAGAAAGCGGAGGAGGAGCTCGAGGATTTGCGGGAGGCAGAAGATGATTCTACTCCAAAGAAGGAAAGTGCTTTAAATTCCGGATCGTCACAGGAGGTAGAGAAACTGGTATGTCAAAGGGTTAAATATGGCTATTGTTGGTTGCTGATTGGTGGCTAGAAAACGGAAATCGCAGCCCTCCACCGCCAGAATACACAACTGCAAGCACAATCTTCAAGAGTGTCGCGGCATGGCTCTTCCCCATCTGTATCTCAAAATGCACCAGCAGACCACCAAGCTGCCCTAGCAGCTAAATCCTCAACCATCGAATCTATGGAGATCGAAATCTCCAACCTCCGTGCCCATCTCGACAAGGTTAACTCTGGCGCCTCAGTCAAAGAGCAGATTTCCGCTTTAGAAGAAAAGTTGTCAAGGAGTGAACGCTCTGCGGTCGTAGCGCAGCGGGAGTTGGGTGATTTGAAGAAGAATCTGGATCGTACGACCGAGAAGGCTGTCAAGGAAGGAAGCGAGCGCATTTCAGCAGAGACCAAATTAAGAACTTTGGAACGAGAGGCAGGGGAAGCGAAGGCTCATAGTGACGAACTGCAGAAGAAAGTCGATGCATTGGAGAAGAAAGTCGCAACTCTCGCAACTCTACATAAAGAACACGATGCTCGGTTCCAAGCCCAAAAGAAAGAACGGGAAAGGGCAGAGAAAGATGCTTCGGAACTACGAACCCGGATAGCTGGAACCGAAAATGAGAATCTCCGCTTGAAAGAGGAGCGGGAGAGATCACGTAAGCGTGATGCTCAGGGAATTGATGATGAGGGTGTTGACGAGCTCGAGAACGAAGAGCGCCAGCGATTGGAGAAAAAAGTCCGCGACTTGGAGAGTGAGGTTCATGAACTTCGTCGAGGGGTCTGGCGTGACAGGAGGAAAGAATTAGAAGGGGAAGAAGGAGCCGGTATTACGAGTCCCGGCGCTAGATTTACTGATGTTGATCTAGGGGGAAGTCTGTCTCCTAGTAGGAGAAGAAGCATATCTCATGGAGGGAAAGGATTTGGCGATTTCCTTTCGAGTGGTTTCAACGCAATCACAGGAGGTACTTCGGGGGCTGACGATGCTCTACTAGAAGATGACGGAGACCTCGACTTTGATGAGGACGCTTTTAGACTTGCGCAGGAGGAGGAGGCTAAGAAGCGTATTGAGCGAGTCAAGGAAGTGAAAAGGGGGTTGAAAAACTGGGAAGGTTGGCGATTGGATCTGGTGGAAAACAGACGTGGTGGTGGGGAAGGAGTGGGGGAGATATTTGAAATTTAAGGGCAGGCTCGAGGAGGAGGCTTGGAGCTTTGCGCAGTGTAAGATTAGAGTTCTGATAACCGTTCTAGAGTGCGAAGTCAGCTCTTAAGGGACGGACCGAGATACGAAACAAGGTCGCGGCCTCCAATACGAAGAAGAATCTGCTACAAGCTGTGCTGTGTCAGTATACGGGTTTTGTACTGTGCTGTACCTACTCCTTCAAATATCACACTGGGCGTTTTTCTCTTCTTTTTGCCACGAACGAAGTGTCCTCTCTCCTGCATATGCACCATGCAAGCCTTGTGATGGGTGGCCATGATATCGGTCAACATTCGATCACGTGCGCAACGGGTATCGTACTGTTCTATTCTGATCGCCTGAGGACGACGTTCAGAAATGCGAGCCTGGCGGCAATAAGAATGCCTGAGTATCTACATAGATAACGACAGGAAAATAAATCGCGTTGAAGCTGACCTCTGCTCTACATCTTCTCTACATAAAGTTGTCGTCGTCTCCATCTCCATCTTCATCTCCATCCTCCTGTCCCCAATTTCCCCCCTATCACCAGCACTGCCGAGTTACAACGGTGAAGACTTCTCCAGCTTGGAGACGCAAGAGGCAGTGCACGCCAAACCAACAGTCGCTTCTTCAAATCCCACCCACACTGCAGATATGATGATACAAGCCTGTCCTCCTATTCGGTCAGTTCGGTGCGACAATATGGCTGGCTATCCGCCAGTGGTCCAGCCTCGCGGGCCCGCGGATGCTTGACTCCACGCAGTTTTGGACCCAAGATGTGCGCTGCTCTGCAGCCCTACTCTGAGGATCTCACACCGATCATTGCTCGCATAAGCTGCGATGTTGCACATTTCATGGATGGTTCGTGATGGTCTCAGTCATCCTGGCGCTTGTTCCTGCCCCCATTGCCCCCAACGGCCCCCAATCTGCATCCCCATCTGTCGGTGAACTACGAGGTCGTAGTGGGAGCCTTGTCCAGTGTTTCTGACGTCCAGGATTCCCAAATGCCGTGTTATCATGGCGGAGGGAGAAGGATCTGTTTTATTAATATGCACACGTTGGATCGCAATTTTATTCCTATCATAATTTTCTATATCATCTGCCGGGACTACAAGCAAGGCACAGTCTCCCGTTCCCCCACACAGTCATAGCTTTTTCTGGGGGTGGGGATTCCTTTTTTTATTGATATCGATATTGTGGAATTCTTTGAGATAGCAAGTGCTCTGACTTGATAAACCTTCTGTAAAGATGTTTGAATTCCCATCCTCCATCGGCAGCTTGAAGGCGTATACGACGGTGTATCTTCCTAGCAAGTGAGTTGCATATTCATCCCATCCACTCCTTTGTGCCTAGGTACCCTCGGGCCTTCAGTGACGCTGTGCCTCGTGGGTTCCTACGTCTTGGACTTGTCATTTCGTTAGGCTCTATTCGCAGTTGAGACTAATAGGACTAAAGACACCAGAGGTCTTCCTTGTATCAACAGCACAACTACAACTCTGCAACCAGCGACTTATCTTTTGGCAGCATTAAGCCCTTGGATTTGTATTCTCTGTATGAAAGACTTGTTCGAGCCTTCAAAGCATGTATACAATTGTCAAGGCACCCTTCAGCGCATTGCTCCAAAGGTTCCAGGAACAACACACCGATGATCCGCCTCGACTTATTCCTCCTTTACGAATACCTGATATTTACTGGCGATGATTCTGAACCATGTCCTAGAGAGAGGTTCAGCGAGATGACCAGTCGGTTGTATTCCCTCTTCGGATCAGGCTGGTTCTTCGAGTGGCCAGGTGGAAAACGCCCATTGAATTCGACTTGGCCGTGGGCTGATGTGAAGCCATCGTTGCTGGTCTTATGGGGAGTCTGTTGGATGTTCGTTGTTGCGCCAGTCCTCGAAATTCCTCGAAACTCTCAGGGGCAAGGGCGTCATCCAAACCAGCGTCGAGAGCACCGGTCACCTTTGCATCATAGTCCGCAAGACTACTACTATACACAAACTGGCAAGTGAATTTTCGTGAATTTCAAAACAGGACACCCCAATCCCAATCCTGCAGTGTGCTTAATACGTGGCCTGCTACTCTATTGCCACCACTTAGATTGGGCCATTCACCAAATCTTTGCTTGGGAGGCGTATCGAGCCATATTCACCAGTGCTACCTATTTGTTGTAGAACTAACGACCCGCAGAAGCACAAACTCCGGTTGTGAAAAGAGAAAGTCTCGGTCACCACTCCAATTTGAACATATCTCGGCATGACTGGACTTCGACCTCGAGCCCGCTAGATGAAGCTTACCCCCTCTACTCGCAGACTGCGCAGCCAATGATGGGTCAGACTCCGAATACTCTGAGGTACAGCCAGCTCGGCCAGGCAGATACTGCTACGGTTACTGCGCCATCGAGTATGCGCAGCGCGGGGCCGCACAACAGTGAGTCACCTCTTTTTCTATTTTGGGCCAAGTAGGGCAGGTACCTACAGTACGGTAGCCTTGCAGGAAGACATGTGACTGATTGATCGATATAATATAATAGTCACGACAGCCATGTCACCAGCCCATGCCCATGGTTGCCTCGATCTCGATGCCTACTCGAATAGTACAAATACAAATGAAGCGACGCGCGCAGCGGAATATACGCTTGCTCCTAGACGACTTGTACCAAACAGCGCTAATCTGAATGTGGCCAAGCGCTCGGCATCGGTGATTCCAGATTTTTCAGGCAACGACATCTTTGAAAGTAATCGCAACCCAAGCCAGAACCACGCGCAACAGCAGGGACAATATTACGAGTCCTCTCGCCACAACAATAAGCCACAATACCCTCGGTCGCCTGCTACTGCTACCTTGACTCCACTATCGGCTTCTACCTCCCCATACTACGACTATCCTTCCGTTGACGCCATGTCGCTCTCCTACGAGCCTTCTCGGACTCTAGCAACCTACCCAGCGATGATGCAGCACGAGCAGCCTCAAGAACAAGATGAAAACAACTTCCAGCATCACCAGTATCCACCGCCTTCTCCGCTATCCGAACATCCTTACCACACCCAAGGCGTCGTCGACCCAACCACTGGAATAAACATGGATATGCCAGAATTGCTACAGAAAGAAGACTCTGACGCGCCGAGCCCCGGCCGATCAAGACCGATTCCCAAGCCCGATAGAGAGGTGACAAAAGGACAGGATGGTCGGTTTATTTGCACATGGGCGGCATGTACTGAAGATGCAAAGTCGTTCAGCAGAAAGTGCGAATGGGCCAAGGTCAGTGATTATGATTTCCCCATAACAGTATCCCAAGGCGTAGCTAACTTATTTTCTAGCATATGGACAAGCACGATCGACCTTATAAATGTCCTGCTGATGGTTGTGAAAAGCTACCAGGTTTTACTTACTCGGGGGGTCTCCTTCGGCATCAACGAGAAGTCCATAATCTCCATGGCGGTCCAAGAAAACAACTCAACTGCCCACACCCGAATTGCAAGCGACATAGTGGCAAGGGCTTTTCGCGCCAGGAGAACTTGAACGAACATTTGCGCCGGGTACATACAGATGCAGGCCAGTTAGAGAATGTGGCAGATGACACCGAGGATGATGGAAGCGAGCGAGCTGGGATGAAAAGGAAGAGAGGCCCTGGACAAAGCGACGGCGTTGCAGAAATGCGGGCAGAGGTGGCGAGGTTAGGTGCAGAGGCGGCGACATTAAGAGCTGAGAACGACGAATTACGAAGAAATGCAGACTCGCAGCAGCAGTCAACGGCCGAATGTAAGCAATGGTCCAAGCTCCTTTCCGTTTCGAACTATTAAACCAACAAACCATCGACCTTCCGTATATTTTTGCATTGCTAATTTAAGATCTAGTGATGCGGCAACTTAACAATTTGCAGACTATTGTCGGCCAAAGGATGGGACAGGCTCAAGCTCCACAAGCTATGATGTAAATCTCCTTGTAACACTTCATTTCTCTTTTTTACTTGCAGATTGGTTGGTCATTATTGGAGTTCGTTGATGGAACACTAGCATACGGATGGCAATAAGGTGGCATTAGCATTGGGCGTAGACGGCGTTGCTGGACATTCTTCTCTCGGAAGACAAATCATAAGGATTGCTTCTTTCTGTGAAATAGTTGTACGATAATAGACAAATTGCATGACATTTCCCCCTTTTAGTTCGCTTCAAGCCTGAGGCAGGACGAAGTGTAAACAATTTCGAGCATATATCACCCTATCCAATTATGTTCTTAACATTTCAACCGAAGAGCAAAGTACAGACGTATATCTATCATATATCAGGTTGCAATGAAAATGATGTTCTTCTACTGAGACTTGTTGGTCCTTTAGTTGATGAACTAGCCTACCTACTCTGCTTTCCAACTCGGCACCACAATATGTACATCTTCCCCCACTCAAGCGGTAGGGCAAACTCGAAATGTGAAGCGCGTAGTTTTTAAATTTGCTTTGGTTTTTCGAGCAACAAATGGTGTTTTGAAATCACATGAGAGTTCCAAAAGTTTGGTACCGAAGTCCTTGAACCCTAGTGTACACACAGTTGTCATTTTGGTTGACAGAGGGAGTTAAACTAATACCATGCCAACATTCATAACTTCTTTTCGTCTCAACTCCTCCGACCATACCTAATACATTATTCAAGTAGGACCCGCGAAAATCCAAATGATTTAAACAGCAGACTCCAGATCCCCCAAAAGAGATGGCCGGGCGAGTTGAACCTTCCGTAGCTTTTCTGCGTGTGGGTAGTCTATCGTATACTACCGCACGGGATACTCTTCTCTGCAATAGGAGCTGTCATGAGTTATCTATCTCCTTGGGATGAAGCATGCAAATCTAAGCCGGAGAACTGGGTGCTGTATTTCCCTTTTCACAGCTTCAACACCGTGTCTGCAATCATCTTCATCGCCGCATCATATGTCTATGGATGCAAGTGTCTTGTTACCGACACGGCGGCAAATTCTTCACTGGAGGATGAGCTGCAGTGTATACGTAAAAGCATTAGACTTTACATGAACATGAAGGGAACGTTCTTAATGAAGAATGCTGCTGGGAACGAACATGCGCGCGAGGACCCCAGACTCAAGCGGGAGGAAGTGGCTCGGTATCTACACTGAGAGGCGGCCTAACTTCGTGTTGATTCATTCAGAGAAATTGAGACATACAGCTTGTTGCAAGATTTATTTGAGTGTAGAGCCGAGGTTACAGCACGACTGTTTGAACCCCGGGTAATACCAACAAGTATACCAATATAAGGTTGTGAGACGGTGACACATCTGGGATTTTCAATACTTGGCCATGAATATGTGCTGCAGGGCTCTGACCTGCCATGCCTTCTATCTTGAGACTCAGTCCTCTGATCACTTCGACTCTCATATCTGCCAAAGATCTCCTCTACGGCTGGAGGTCTAACTTTCCAGTTGAAAAGGAAGTTGCAATTATTGAAAGCCTTCCTCCGTATTCGGAGAAGCTGAAGCTCCCCCTGCAATCAAAGGGGGGGCTAGACAAAGTTGGGCAAGCGGGGTTGAGGCTGTCTATCGGCCCCGCTCTAGGATTTCCACCACCAAAAAAAAAAACCTCACCACTTTTCATTCGCTTCCAAACCACATTCTATTCAAGTCTTTCTTGTTGCTGCCAAATTGAAAATTGCAATTGCTTGAATCTGGACTTGACGCTCGGTATTAGCTGGTAGCAAGCACTTCCATTGCAACTCAGTTGATATGGCAGACGTTGGGGATGACAAAATCGTTGGGGTACATGAACATCCCGAGCCCGAGACCTCGGGAAGTCAGGCGGTTTCTTTCAAAGAGCCTGAGGAAGCCGGGCAAGAATTTGAAGATGATTTTGATATGGCGAGGATCGAGAGGGTCTACAAGTAAGGTCATGCGATCTATTTGGTGATGGATTCCTGTTGACAAAAGATTCTAGGAAAATTGATCGCAGGATCATTCCAGGTATGATCCCAGCCTTTCTTCAATTGGTATCTGTATTGACAGTATAATGTCAGCTTTTTGGATATTGTACTTCCTCTGCTCTGCAATCCGTTCCAATGTCGGCCTGGCACAGACCATGAATAAATCTGCAGGCCACGATCTCGAACAAGTCCTGCATTTGACAGCCAAGCAAACGTCAACCGCTCTTGCCCTGTTCTACGTCGCTTATGTCCTCTTCGACTTCCCGTCCAACCTAGTCATGACAAGACTTAGCCCAAGGATATGGATGTCGAGAATTGTCATTGCCGTTGGAATAATTGGGGCGTGTTTCGCCGCTGTCAAGGCTGCTTGGAGTCTCCTGTGAGTCATCTGCCACAATTCCAAATCTATCTTCCGTTATTGACTTCCGGAAGTTTTCTCCGCTTTCTTCTAGGCGTAGTGATTGCGGGCATGTGGCCAGGCATGGCATACTATCTGACTCTATTCTACCCTCCTTCTCGGACCGGAAAGCGAATCGGGCAGTACTTCACCGCGGCTCAAGTATCGGCAGCTGTAGTAGGTCTAGTGTCCGCAGGCTTCCAGAAGATGGATGGAGTAGGTGGATTGGTCGGGTTCCGGTGGATGTTCCTCCTTTACGGTCTTTGTGCCATCATATTAGGATTTGTATTATTGTGGTGGTTGCCCGATCGTCCCCTGCCGCCTGGAGAGCCGCGAGTTCGAAGTGGTCTCCTCAAATGGCTGCCTGCAACCCCGCCTGTTTTGACTGGTGAGGATGCTGAGGTCCACTATCGTGACCTAACACGAGTGTATCACCCAAGAAGATGGACCGTGAAAGATTTGGCGATGGTGCTGATTGATTGGCGCCTCTGGCCCTTGATTTTCATGTACTTTGGAGTTGTTGGTGTGGGTATAGGGACGCAACTCTATGGGACGGTCATAATCTCGGGGATTAATCCCAGTTTCTCTGGGGTTACCCTTAGCTTGTTGTTTGCACCTATCTGGATCGTAAGCTTGAGTTGTTTCCAGAATTTGAACCTCGCTAACAATTTAGATGGATCTCATTGCTATTCTACTGGTGACCCCTATTTCTGATCGCTTCCACCATCACCGGGCGATCTTCTTCTCCGCAGCAGTCTGCATTCAGATTGCCGGCTTGCTCACCACCACATTCGCTCCGGTGTCTCGCCCCTGGGCTCGATATGGTGGTCTCCTGATGGTTGGTTTTGGACTGGGGCCAACGGTCCCTATCTGTATGACCTGGACAAACGAGATCTTCCAACGACGGCATGGTGAAGTCGGCGTCGCATCTGCCGCTGCTCTGGTTTCTGGACTAGGCAACCTAGGCAGTGTTATGACAACCTATGCGTTGTACACCGGCTGGCCAGAAGATTCCAAGACGGGCCCACACCAGTATCGAAAGAGCAATTTGACTATGATTGGTATACTTTGCTTGAGTATCTTGAGCAGTTTCCTAATGACGATCTTGCTTAAGACCGTAGGCAACAAGCCAAGCAACAAGATCCATAGTGGTGGCAGCTCTGCCAGCGAGGCCAACGAGTTCCAAGATGGGGCTGCTCGGCGTGAGCATCGCCAGCGAGGCTTTGGACGGATGTGGTGGAGCAGATAGGCTCCCACATTATTCCATGGAGATGAGGAGTGGAGTAATCTTCAACAGATGGAATGATGGATTAGAGTGGGGATGCTTTCGCGGAGGTTGATCTCCTTGTTAAAATTGCGAGAAGTTCAACCTTCTGCGTGATGAGATGTGTTGCATTTGATTTTGATTTGATTTTTTAGCGATGATACCCATTGAGCGTTTATTTATGCTATCATTCGAGGGCAACAAACCCTCGACAGCGAAAATGTTTTGCGCTATCGCTGGGATCGGCGTAATGGACCAGAGGCGGCCGGCGACAATGCTTCCTACGCTATCGTTATGGACCTCCTCGTGGGACTTGATTTTACATACCATATAAGGTCTTTCGAGATGTTATTACACAGTCGTTACAGATGAGATAGTTTGAATGCAAATTTGTATTTAATATGTTCTTCGGAACTTCGCCTCGTGAAATCTGAATGCAGCAGAAGAGAACGCCGCATGTCCGGACTTATTTAAGTGGCATGACCGCCTAGACATGGACAAGAACTATCACGTAGAATTTTCTATGTGGTGTAGACTGAGAGAGCAGATTGGGGCCAACCCTACTGCTGGGCTCGACGGAGACATTTACCAGATCCATCTATCTCCTTTCCAGAGTAAACTCGCAAGCAATAAAAGCAAAGTAGAGCGCAAGCAAGCCCCATCCCATCCACCTCTTCCCACCCACCATAACAACAACAAAAAACAGCGCACTGCTACCCCACATCCACAAAACCTCAAAAGTCGTAACTCCACTGACTTGCAAACTCTCCAGATCCCCAGCCAGGAACAACACCCCGGCACAAAGCGTAAGGAGAAATATGTTAGAACCTGCAGTATTTGCAACGAGGACTCCGCTCTGGCTGCGTGCGACGGAGAACACGGCTATGAGTTTCTCGGGGAGCGTGGTGGCGAAGGAGAGGAGTGTTACGCCGAGGAGGGAGTTGGATAGGGAGAGGGTGGTGGCTAGCGTGGTGATGCTGTGAGAGAGGATGTATCCGGATAGCGAGAGCGCGAGGACGGAGAAGGTGAGGTGGAGGATGTAGTAGGTTGTAGAGTGTGGCGGCTTTTGGGTTTTACCAGTAGGGTGCGGAGAGTCGTTGCTGGCGCGGGGGAAGATGAAGGTCTCCCTGGCTAGAGGTGGAGATCCGGGAGACGTAAGTTGGGTTGCTTCGAGGTGGAGTAGAGAGATTGCACTGGTTGAATGGGATTGTTGGCTGCGTTGTGGTGGCTTTCGGACGTCTAGAGTAGCGTAGTCGTCGGATCCTGCGTCCGAGTCGCTCTCGGAATCGGTGTCATCCTCTTCAGGTGCGTTAACAATACCTTTGTAGATGGCCCACGCGACGCTACAAATATAGACAATGAATGTAGCAATACATATGGCGCCACCAAATCTCCCTAGTGTTTGCCCGAAGAGCATATACATTGCAAAGAACGAGGTCAAGGCTAGTAGTATGGTTGTGTAGATTTTCGAACTCTTGTCGAACGATAAATCTGCCGGAGAGAAGATCAAACCAAGACCGAAAGCCCCGATGATATTGGATATGGAAGATCCGAGGATATTGCCCATTGCAAGGGGAGACTGGTGCTGAGCAATAGCTGCAACCACTACTGCGAGCTGGCAAGGGTTAGTAGAACTTCTTGGTTGTGCCTTTGGGACATCAAATTAACTTCTTCCCATTCTGCTCCAGCTGTCAAGAGTGCGACTAAAGCTGGAGGGGCTCGCAGATGCCCTGCCAGCTTTTCTGTGTGGTCGACAAACTTATCGGCAGCTCTCTCCAAGACGAAAAGGCCGCTGATGAAGGCCGCGATATTGAAGCAGACGGTGTCTACGTCGACCATCTTGGAGGATGAGGCCGAGTGTACAGATTGAAAAAGAGAGAATGGGTAGACGTCGCTTGGGATTGCCCTGAAATCGAAACTTGATATCGAGGTAGAGAAATAATATGAGATTTACTAGGAGATTGTGGATCCCAAACTTCCCTTGAAAGTTGGAAGGAGTTAAGGAGAGAGCAAAGGCAAGGTCTTCTTGCCTTTGCATAGTTGTGAGACATGAAGAGAATTGGCGATGAAGGACCAAGTTGGGAGTAACAGAAGCCATCTTGGTACCATGGTTAGAGATGACTGTCTCGGCTGCTCGCTCATGATGGTGAAGCTGGTGGTTGACAGAAATCGTGCACGGACCTTCTAAGCTCAAGCTTCGACGACGACCGCGTTGAGTCCTCCCACTCCACTCCCTAAGAGGTGTTCGAATGAAAAGAAAGAAGCCATGTCTTTTGGTGCCGAATCAATCTCATATCTGGTCCTATTCATCGCTCTAGGTTGGATATTGTTGTTGGCTGGCTCAAGTGACCGCGCGAGATGAAGCAAGCTGCTGAAATCCTAGGTACTGGTGGACTACTAGTAGTAGTACTTTAACTCTTTTGAGAGAAGAGCATGCCTTATTTGTAGAGGTCTTATCTACAAAGATTGGTGCATGGTAACGAACAGCATATTTTCCACGTTTGAATCAAGCACCCCTCAGGCTTGTATTGAGGGCAGCGTCGGCTTTACGCATTTGTTGTTTTGGTCTGTCGTGCTTCGTGTTGTGGTACACGAGCACATTATCAGATCAATTAGATTCCAGCTTCACTCCGACCTTCAAGGGTATTCAAAAGAGAAATCTTGTTCGAAGTATACCCCCCAAAGGACAACCCGCGGCAGCTGAAGAGGTGATTGGGACAGAAGTTTCAACATCCTATATTGTCGGAATGTGCGCGTTGTCTCTCCCTTTTAGAGCCATGGGTTGGCCCCGTCCTGCCAATGATCTCCCGATCTGGAATCATCAGATGCCAAAGCATCTTCACCCCTTTCTTTCAACCTGAGATAATATGGGGGCGTTGAAAATGTACTCGGAAAGCTTCTACATTTTCCCTATTCCTCTCTCTATTCGCATAATATCTCCAAGAAAATGACACTCATATACAACCAAGAAAGCCCTGTCAAGGACGAACCTCAGCAGATACCCCAACAAGATTTCCTCGAGAAAACTTTTAACACGGTCTTTGAACAAAAGGCAAATGATGTTGACGTCTCGATTGAAGCTCATAGTCTCCCAACTCGATCTCATCTGGCATCATTTACCTCTAGCTTCAAGAAGCCTTTTGCTAAACATGAAGTCCTGCGACTCACCACTACTTTTGTCAAGTTTGCGAAGTTTATGGGACCAGGCGCTATTATCAGCGTTGCCTATATTGATCCCGACAACTACCAGACGGCAATTTCTTCTGGAGCACTACACTACAAGCTGTTGTTCATGATACTAGTTTCAAATGTAATCGCCATATATCTCCAAGTATGTCTAACAATGAAGAAAACTTCTATAGCAAGCTATTTACTAACCGGCCGAAGGCTATGTCGATCAAGCTTGGATCAGTGACAGGACTTAATCTCGCTCAGATGAACCGGGTATATTTGCCTCGGTGGTTGAATATCAGCTCTTGGATTATAGCCGAGGCCTCGATTGTATGCACCGATATCTCCTCTGTGATTGGAACTGCTATTGCTATCGATATTCTCATTCCTAAGATCCCGTTGGTGGCTGGTTGTGGGCTAGCAATCGCAGACACTCTTTCCACCCTTTTGTTCTACAGACCAGATGGGTCGCTAAGAGGCATCCGGCTATTCGAAGTATTCATCACTGGGTTTGTGTTGGGCACGTTTATATGCTTTTGCATAGAGCTTTCTATTATCGAAAATGCCACTGCTGCGAAGGTGTTCAAAGGGTTCCTCCCGTCAAAAGACATCTTCGTCTCGGACGGGTAAGTGCTATCTATCTTTTCATCCCTTACCCCCCCCCCCCCCCCCCCAATCTGCCTTATATTAACAGAAATCTAGCCTCTTGCTCTCCTGTGCAATCCTAGGCGGGACTCTCATGCCACATACACTATATCTCGGATCAAGTCTTGTCCAAGTCCGCCTCCGCGACTTCGATATCAAGCACTCCAGCTACAGCGAAGCCACGATGCCCAAATTCACAACGACAAAGCTGTACCGACCATCACTCCCAGCCATCCGATCCTGCATGAACTACTCGATCGCAGAGCTGTGCATCACTCTCTTCCTCGTTGCAATATTCATCAACTCCGCGATACTCATCATTGCCGTAACTTCCCTCTCAGCAGAGTCAGACGATGCCGACCTCTACAGCATGTATGACTTGTTCGTGCACACTATTTCGCAAGCAGCTGGAACAATGTTTGCGCTCGCACTGCTGTTTTCCGGCGTTACGGCAGGGATTGTAGCAACTATGGCTGGCCAACTAGTTGCCGAAGGAGCTATCGACTGGAGACTCCGGCCCTTCTATCGACGTCTTCTTACGAGGTCCATTGCGATTATACCCGGGATTATTGTCGCGGCTGCATGTGGTCGTGCCGGTATGGCTGCTGCGTTGAACGGATGCAATGTTGTGCTTTCCATCTCGTTGATATTTTTGATCTTCCCACTTATTTGGTATACTAGTTTTGATAAGTATATGATGGTGGAGATTGAAGCGGGAGAAAGTATTGTGACAGTTGAAACTCTGAACTCGACTGATGCCGAGAGGATAGAGCAGAGAAGGCAAGCAGTCAGTTTGGCTAATAGCTGGCCAACTTTGATCGTAGGCTGGATTTTGTGGTTTCTCATTGCTGCGATGAACGTTGCGACACTTACTTCCTTGGGGTTAGGTATCGGAGATGATTAGACCAACTGCCCTTATATTTCTGGGCGTTGAGGCCCTGGAAGTAGTTCACTTGCTTATAATTCAGGGGTAAAGTGGCTGTGGACACATATGACTGGATGAACCCGAGAATGATGAAAGCATTATCATTGCTAATATTGTACTACAGTGCTCCTGTCCTTGAATGTGCTCGTTGATACCGCTTCATTGCCACCGAACGCCAACTAACCGCGACGTACTCCTGTACGCCATTCCCCAGCCGCTCTCACCGACCGAGAGATTGATACACCAACGAGCGCCTAATGACACCTAGTGCTACAATAATACACAAGAACTCTTAAGAAACAAAACACGGGGTAATATATGCCACAGCACCTGCAAGGCCATTGCCAGCGGCCCATACAAGCCTGCTACGTGAAAGCGCATTAGGCATTCCGTTCAATCCATGTCCATCGAAGCGACGATATCTTCACTCATGCCACGAACCGGAGCTTTATAATCATGCTCGTCAGATTCGTCGTCTGCTTCGTCCTCGTAGTCATCGCAAAAGTCGTCTCCATCGAAGAGGATGTCAGCGTCATCCGGGTCAACTTCATCGCTCCACATTTTGATCCCCGAGTCTTCCAGATCTGCTTCTTCACCATTAGTGACATTAGCAGCCTGGTCACCCAACCAGTATCGTGCACGCTTGTTGGCTCCGGCATCATTCTCGCTGTGGCTTCTCTTCGATATACCAATTCGTTGGGTCGGGCTGTGACTCATCACAGGAACTCCTCGTAAATAAATATAAGCAATGCGCTTCCTCTCTTTATTGAAAAAGAAGTAGTTCAGACTCCATATTGAACCTTCTTCTCCATCAAAAGGATCATCCGGAGGGGCCCAACAATAAACTGTACACTCCTTCAAAGTCATCTCCTGATCGATCAACGACCACATGTTAGGGCCCCAAACCTGGCTAGTTGCAGGCGCAGATGCTGTAGTAGCATAGCTCGTCTGCGGTGGAACTTGGAGTGTCATACCTGCACTTGGCCTCAGATTGGAAAGTGTTGAATCAATATTTCCTATGACTGCCTTCAAGCTCCGCTCCTTGCGAAAATCAGCGGGCCTGAGGATGTGTGAGAAATCATAATCGGTATGGCTCGCATTCAGCGTGGCGATGAGGTATGCGAACGTACGACGGCTTGAAACTTGACTCAACGGTCCGAACGGGCTCGACCGCGAAAGGTTCAAAGCCGGTTGTCCAGAAGGCTCTGGTGAAACGGACTCCGACAAGCGGAGAAGGGATTCGTATTGCGACTCTAGAGAGTTCTCGATATTCCGATACAGCTTCTTATCGGAGCCAGCAGCTTTGGTGGTGTAAAGGTCACAGCCGCCGATGACTTGGCAGTCCGTATGTTGAAAGTTTAATGCGCTTGTTACCATCTCGAAATCGCGGAGCGGAAGGAACTTCATTTTTGCTGATTTCGAGAGTCCTGATCCTAGATTTTATTTTATCAACGCGATCGGGATGAGGTATGTGTTGAGGGTTGATGCGCGATCGAAGAGGCAAAAGCGTGTGGCGAACGATTCCGAGGATATATCTGGTGAGAGATAACAACCGCGAGGGTGACTCTTCAGACTCGGAGAACGAACGGCCAGGAACTTGAGATCTTGTGAATGCACGGAATTGATGAAATATTATCTTGGGGATGACTGCTGACGCAGCGCTTGATGGGTAGAAGATATGATGTGTGATTGTTCCTGCTGAGGCTGAGAGACCAAGTATTGACGCTTCCAAGCCGCTGGCTGCGGAGGACGAGTCAAGTGTTTCTCAAGCTAGACTATTGTCTAGCAGGTGGTGAAATTCATGGCGAGATTGGGTGAGAAGATGGTGATGGTTGTAATGGGGATGAGAAGGGGATGAGGTGAGGTGGAGGTGGTTTATCGTCCCTTTGGGGCGGCCGATTGCGACAAGCGCTAGTCCGAGATTAGTAAGGCCGATAATGTTGACAGCCAGTTAGGGCAGCACGGGGGGCAACGGGAATGGTGAGTGAAAGAGACGCATTCAGCAAGTGCGCCCCAAGATAACTAGAGCTGACACTGAGCTAAATCCATACTTTAGTCGACATAATACCCACAATTATATGACTATCTTTTGAAGTAAGCAATCTTTTCCCGAGAAGAACCCCTCACAAAATATGAGACCATAAAAACATATTTCGAAAGGGATATGGAGAGAGCCGAGCTTGAAGTTGAAGATATCGTTCCTGCCTTCTAATTTCGTTATCGACTTTGATTCAGCGCAGGTGTATCCAGGGGACCTCCAAGCTGATGTCGTCCCTCTATCTCAAATCCAGTAGTCGTCGCTGAGGTATCACTTTAGGTTGCAGGTACTAGGTTATTAGCAAAATGCAGAACTAGGTAGGGAGTATAGAAACAGGGGGGTTTGGCTTATGTTCTATCCTCACTGTGGTGACAGAACATAAGCTAGAGTCAGAGTCGATGGTTGGGATTTTGATACTTCGTATCAGATCCGCTCATAATATTCAATGATCAGCACAATTGGTTCTTTCCTAAAAGGTACTTATCGATTTTATTCATTCCAAAGACCGTTATCATTCCACGATAGGTTTTCCCACATCCTCCCTAGTACTCCATCCTTCCCAAAACGCCTATCGAAATACAGAGCAGAAATAGAAGTCAAGGTAAGCATATATCGAAAGGACGAATGTCTTAAAGGATTCCGACATCACGAAGCCCCTCAACAAGTTCGTCGTCGATCTATAATCATAGAAAAGTACCGGATTAGCAGAAGGTAGAAAGTTGTAGAAAATGCATTGAGTTTATGTACGACCCCAAACTCCAAGCGCCAGTCCCATCTCGTCATTATTACATGTACAAGAACTTTGCTTCACATGATCTTTGTAACCTCTTCATCGACCTGGGGTAGAGGTGAAATGTGTCAGTATGAAGAATGACACGACTCTCCCGGCAAGGAAAGGCCTCACGGAAACCAAATTTGGAAGAGTTCAAGCTTGTCAGAAACTTACCTCTGTATCTTCTATCGAGTCCTGTGCAGATATGACCCGTAAAACGTTCTTCTTGCTGCTTTCCTGCATTTCACCTGCCAACAGTAACTCGTCTAGAATGAAGTATGCTTTTTGGAAGTTGAAAATCTGCGGCTTGTCAATTCTCGAGCTTTGCAATAGAGGAGATATGACATACGATGTCTAACTAGAAGAATGTCAGTATATAAGCAGAATAAATGGTGGGGTACAAGAATAGGCGCCAACATACCTCGCACACATTTCCGTAGTATTTGTCCATCTGCTCGACATATCTGTGGACGATCTCGAGGGTGATAAGTTCGTTATCCGTCGAGTTGCATCCTGCAATGAAGAAGAGGGAGGCGTAACGTCGATAGACGATCTTCGAATCTGCGGACAATTCATTAGTTGATGCACCGTATCTCCACATAATCCTCCAACCTTTGTATTCTAGGAAGTTGCACATCCTCGTCCGCCGTGCCAGCACGAGTTGAGAGACATCCTTAATGATCTTGGCCTTTTCCTTCGGTGACAGTGTGGTAAACCACTTTGCAAGCCTCTGTGGGTGGGCGGTTCAGCTTGGTGTCCAGAGAGCCTTTGCAGAAGGATTGCTACATACGACTTTTCCCTGCCGCGAGAGCAGGATCAGGTAGCTGAGATTGTATTAATATAATAATCCCTTATGATCTTGGGAGACAAGGCTTGCTTACTTGATAGGCATCTGTGCAGATGTATAACTCTGAAGAGGATTTGTCTTTGTGCGAGTCAATGTCAATGTCAATGTCAATGTCAATGTGTGCTAGACTAGGTTAGGCAGGGGGTCGGTGTCGGTGTCGGTATTGTGTTTTGAGCAGTGGCGCTAACGAATAATCCTTGGAGTTTTCTTTGGTGGTGGGGGGGCATGGTGGGATGGATCGATTGATTATGGAACATCGACATCCATTGTCAAAGTTTATTGTAAAGTGAAGCATTTACTCCAAACAGCATACTCATTCTTTGTATATAGTTCCGATCAGTCGTTTCATTCTCATTACATATTCTTAAATACCTGCACTGCAGTATCTACCCCCGCGCCGTCAATTCATAACTGACTCTTCTGGAGAGATACGCATTGCATTTCCCCTCTCCTCAACGCGCATTACAAATCGACTCCGAACTCTCCTCTACCACGATCGCTGTTGTCAAAATGACGCGATTGATTCTTTCCACCTCGTAAGCATTTTCCAATTCGTTGTTTCTCTTGTTGCATGTCAGATTACTAATTCTTCTTTTCTCACCAGGAATATCATGAACGGAGGCTCCATCATAAGAAAACCCGGCGCGGCTTCGAATCTCGAATTCACAAACAGCCTTCGCAGTAACTTTCTTGCTGCTCAGCAAGACTATTCTCCTCCCTTATCCGCAACGAAAGAGAATGGCAACCATAGCGATATTGAAAAGCCATCCTCTGTTCGACCGCCTTCCTCTGTCTGGACGAGTCGACAAGGATCCGATTACTACATACCCACTATAGACTGGTCTCTATCTGGGCTCTCTGAAGAGCCAAGTCAATACGATGTTACTGTCAAATTGTTTTATCTACCTGGCGCAGACGTAAAGGATAGAGGACAATATGCAAAAGATGCAATACAACTAGTCTTCAAGGAATTGTGTGTACAATCTATCGATCTCCTGATTGTCTCATTCCCGGGAATGTCGTTCGAGGGCGATTGTGAGTGGGTGGCAGACAAGAAGAACTCCTCTCAAGGGAACGATGACGAAGAAGTGGCATCCTGGCCTGTGCTTGAAGAACTGTACAACCAAGGTGTTGTCAAGAAACTGGGCCTTGCTGAATTTGGCAGCGAGAAGCTATCGAAATTTCTGTCGCGGGTCAAGGTTCGGCCAAAGGTTGACCAGGTCAACGTTAAGGACTGTTGTAACGTCCCACCACCACTTTCGAAGCTTGCGAAAGTTGAAAAGATCGAACTACTAGTACACAACGATTGTACAGACATCCTCCCCAGTGGGACCTTAAGAGAGCTTCTGGGTCAGGGAGTGAAAGGTGCCGGCGTGCTTTCGGAGTCTAAGCGAAGTCTTGACGGCATGAAAGGAGACCTGACACCTAAATGGGTTGTTAAGTACACAGCAGTCGTTAGAGATAGAGGTGTGATTGAGAATAAGGGATACTTTGCTGTTGCGGAGTTGAAAGAGTGAAAGGGCATACGACAATAGAGTAGGTACATTTTGCATATGGTCGTTCAGGAAGACGATAAAGGACCGGTGTATGGCGTTATGAGTATTGGCTAGTTTACGAACATTATCTTGGGCATTCGTCTAAAATCCAGTAGCGATGGAACTTTATATCTAAATATGTTTATTTGCTCCTCTTCTAAGTGAACAAATATGGTTACCCTAACATGCTCCTTTTCCGACCCCTCATTCTAACTTCCTCCAACTTCTTCAACACAACATTCGCCCCTTTGAAACTTGTTCCATAAGCACCGAGTAATTCCGAGAACAGCCCCTCTGCTCTAGGATGCGTGCTCCCAAATGCCCTTTCCAGCACATATAAATCCACAGCCCTATCCTCATCCGCTGAACTCTGACTCGCAAGCCCAAAATCAATCAACACAATCTCTCCACCCAACACCTCATCTCCCGCATTTCTACTACCCTCCCCATTAACAGTATCCTCCCTCTTAGGTCTCAGCATCAAATTACTCGTCGTCAGATCCCCCATGCACAATCCCCCACCCCCGTGCATCCTCCCAATCGCCCTCCCAATCCTGCCCATGAGCCCTTTCAACACCTCCTCCTCCACCCCTTCCGCAACACCCAATTCCTTCCTCCGCCTCAACCACTCATTAACCTTGACCCGAACCACCTCCCCCTCAACCCACTCCAACATAACCCAGCCCTCGCGTTCATCAACCGCATACACAGCGGGGACCGGCACGCCTTCCCTCCTACACTTCACCAATACCCGCGCTTCAGATAGTATTCTGTGTTTCGTGAGGCGCGCATCAAGTATGGGGTGCCGGTAGGGTTTTGAGGGGCGGTATTTGAGGGCGCAAGGCAGGGTGGGGAGGAGGTAGGTGGTGCGGTAGAGGAGGGCTTCTGCGCCTTGGGTGATCATTTGTGGTGGGGCCGTGTCGGACTGGAAAATTGGGGGGAGAAGATGCGGCGATGGACTAAGAGGGGCCTGATGAGCTGGCGGTGCTGCTTGGATTTCCATTTTATTTATAGTGGTTGTTGTATACGAAGCTGGATTGGCTTTGGAGGGACATCGAAATTCGGGGTCACATTGAGGGGCAGCGATGATGTGGCGGGGTACAGTACCGTACCTGAAAAGTCCAAAAATATCACTTTCAAGCCCAGGGACGATCTACACCCCATGTTTTCTTACAATCTAATACATATATGCTCACCAAGTGAAACGAATCACGGTCTTTTAAATTACATTCGTCGCGAATGTTTAAGCTTCAAAATGTCCAATAATTGTATCTCTTGATTGGCCATGTTAGTCGCATCTGCAACTACAAGGATTAAAGAGCGCAGTACTCACTCACCTCCCAGCCCAGCCAACAACTCGCGACTGTACCACACCCTCACCATCATTTTGCCGGTAAATGTGAAGTCATCCAACTCATTGCGTTTTCGCATTTGCATACCTCCTTACATCTCCACAACAGTCCTTTCGACAACAATGCTCCAGCATAGATAGCCTCACTCTTTCTCCACCTTTCAGATGGCAGAGACGTCCGACCTGCCTTTCCTCACCATCATCCTCCTGCTGACCGCCTGTTTGGTATCACTCTTCGTGCTGGGGCAAATCGCAACCACATATACCATCGCATACCTGGCTGCCCCCTCGGAAATCACAACGTTCCTTGATACAGTGGATTTCTCCATCCAGGAGAATGAGTCGTATGATCGCGATGTCGCCAAGGTGCAGAGGCTGGAGGATAAATTGAGGATGGGCAAACTATTACGCGAAATACAGAAGTGCGGCGATGATTTGAAAGAGGATTTGAATAAGCTTCTGATTGATGAGGGAGGAACTAGATTGAGGTCTAGTACGAGACTTTTCTGGGCGGCGAAGAGGGGAAGGTTGGAGGAGAGAATGAGGAGGTTGGATATGCTGAGAATGCGATTCTTAGTCGTTTATATGGGATTGATTGCTGCGAAGAGTCATGAACAACCCAAGGACCCGGAAAAGCAACACTATCATACTCCGAAGAGGATGACTCTGCGGCCAGGTCTACCGCATGCCTTGACTGAGGGCATTCAGAGAAACCCACCGCTTCGGAGACTTGCGACGCAAGCCATGGGACATAACGACCATGTTGGCGCGGCTCCAAAGCAAGGATGGATGGGTGTGGTTGCAGAGTTGCAGAACTCGCCGTTGATGCATAAGAGGCATGCTTCCATTGAGACTGCTATGGCCAGTCCTCGAAGTCCACATACGCCCTGACGCCCAGCATCCTCTTTCTAACGAACAGCGTCTTATTTATATACGCACAATTTGTGTATCAATTCATGGCATTTAAGAAGTCCTAAACGTATATCGACAAGGGAAATCATATTGGAAAAGATCTCTATTCAAATTCCCGGATTCGATTTCGCACATCCGACGCCAGGCGCTTCACGAAGCATCACGACCACTTCACGAAATCATCTATTATCATTATCCTATTCATAACGCCTTCATTCTCTATTTGAAAATCATTCAGCACCATCTTATCTAAATCTCAGCTTACGTTACGAAATCACGATACCTAACACCCTCTCTTATTCTTACGACCTAGTCACGGATTTACGAATGCCAAATAGAGGCAGCATCAGTTAGAAGTTGTATGTGATATGAAGGAACTACGCACCATGGGCCTGGGCGTTAGAGAAGTTTTTCATTTAGCTTTCATGATACCCCCTGTTTTGAAATAGCACGTTCATAGGAGGAGCTTTTGGATACCATTAATAGAGTTGTAGCACCCTTTGGTTTTTGTCTACAAACTTATGCAAGGAATCCTTTTTCGTGATGTCTTTTAAAGTGATGACTTTGATATCCCAACACGAATACATGTCCACTGATGTTTCTTCAAGCAAGGCTACATAATTAAACCGTTTCCCTATTCACCAATACGTCCCATCAGCAGCAGCAATTTCATGTTCATCAACCAACGCCAAGTACTGCGGCTGGTGGGCGATATGGGGTTTTCCCTCCGGCTGTGGTGGATTGAACGCAGTCCTATCGCGCACACCCTGAACCTCGATTTCCCCTCGTTCCCCTTGCTCTTGCTCTTTCGTCGGAGCTGAGAGGATAGAAATACTCGTACACTGTTACTACACATCAGCATACTCCGTCCTGCCTTGAAGAGTTTTCTTCAAAAAGAGATTTTAAACGAACCAAGCCCCCTCGATAACCAAAGGTCGCATAAATCCCAGCAATAAATATCTCCTCCCCATATTTCTGGGTACACGGTTCGTAGATCATGTGGACATTCTTCTGCGTGTTTCCGAAGAACGCGAATCTATTCCTGTTGGTTGTGATCTAGTGTTTATCAGCAACATTAACGTGTTCGTCTAGTTGTTATGTTTTTCCAGAAAATCGAAAGTGGGAAATGGGGAGGTATTACTTACTTTGATAGCTTGCGGAAGAGCATTCATACTTATTTCCACCTTAACAACCCTCTCTCCACCCGGGCCGTCGATGTTAAATCTGCTCATCTGCGCGGTTTCTCTGCCGATGCTCCTCTCGCTTCCATCGGCGTAGTGGGCGGCGAGTTTTAACATCTGCTCGTCGCCGCTGATGCCGGTTAGGAGGGCGAGCTCTGTGGTTGTGGTGCCGAAGACGAGATATTGGTGGGGAAGCAGATCGAAGGAGCGGACAGGGTTCCAGTAGCCTGTCTCGTAGGGGGTGGCTGTTAATGGTGGAGGTGGGACGGAGGTATGCCAGAGGAGTTTTGGTAGTGTAGAAAGGGTGGGCGGTGATGTATCAGCTGTGGTGTATAAGTAATTTGTACGTGCAGATCGCGAACAGAGAAGGACTTACGGGACCGGTGGGATTGAAGGAGACCGATGCGTTGGATTACACCATTTGTTTCTGACAGAGAGCCGGTAAGGCCCGTGATGGTCATGTCTTTCGCAGCCATCATCTGGCGTTTAGCACCGTTGCTCTCTTTGACTTGGAGCTCCTTGCCATTCCGGAGATAGATCTACTTAAGAGGTCAGCGTATGTATTAGACAAAGATATAACTGCTTCAGTCATTCTTATAGTTGGAGGAGGTAGACAAGAATGGTTGTTATATACCTTCAAGCCCGAAATCCCAAGCTTTGCGTGATCGATCAAATTATCTGCATCACAGATATTGAACTCGACCCCCTCAATCCAAGTCTCACCTGGAACAGCGACCTCAACACTCTCCCTCGCCCTGATCCCCAAATATCTTCTGATATCCAGCTTCCACAAACATCATTTCAACCCCACACAGCCTTCCATCATCCCGAAAATAGAACAAAAACCTCACTTCCTTCTTCAAATCCTCCCACGAACTCAAGAACTGCGTATGCAAACTTTGAGTATCCTTCGACTTATCCGCAACAAGCGGCATCTGCAAACTCACACCCTCCCCAATCTCAGAATTTCCGTTGTCATCCGCATACATCTTCTGCTCCAGATACACTTTTGCCACTTGTTCACAAGCCATCCAAACGCGCCGTCTATTCGCCAGCCCCAGCACCAGACTCCCATCCCTCTCCCCCAAAACAGTTTGCCCCGAAGGGTCCCGCTCAGGAGTAGTATCAAAGCACTGTCGCCTTAGCTCCTGATACGTGGAGAACCAGTCTCGTGGCTGATCGGTGGATGGGAAGTCCCACAGCCAGGGCATGTCGAGGAAGAGCTTGCGCTTCCAGAAAGATTGGATGTTTGGGAGGTCGAGGGTGATTATGCCTGAGCGCACGAAGGATAGCAGGTCGGTGTGGGGGAGACAGAGGAGGATTTCACAGATGAGCTCTTCTGCTAATTTGTTGAAGGAACCGTGGTGGTTGTTGGCTAGTGTTGAGAGTGTTGGGTGGACTGTTATTGGAGCTTTGGTTGAGAGAGTAGCCATATATCTAGATATGGCTGGACTTTGAAAAGGATTTGTTGACCATGCCTGCTATTGATCAACTAACCGGAGTAAACGCTTGGAAAGGGACACACCTCATGACCAGGGACATTCTCCCAATATTGTTCCGTATTCACATCCCTCAATTCCCCATAATCAAGCTCTAAATGAGGCTTGTAATCCTCTCCATAACACCTTTTCATCGCCTCATATAACATCTCCTTTGAAATCTCTTCACTATCCGCAATACCTACAACTTGTCCTGAGCGCAGATATCTCAGCGTCTGAACAAATATTTGGAAACAGGGCGGATGAAACGGGGCTGCGAATTCCTCGTCGGGGTAACGAGGTAAGTATCTAGACATCTATCAGTTCATTCGGCAGAATGAGGAGAAGAAGAAAATAAAAACCAACGCTGTGAAATCTCTCATCTCAGTAGGAAGACGAGGCCCTTTTGCCGATTGGCCTCGAGGCACATTCTCATCATTTCCAATCGGACACTCTACACCCCCCTAATATAAACGAGCAAGCATTTCTTCGAGCATATACCGGTACTTACATATTCCTGATTACTTCCGTTCCCAACTCCAGTAATGAAACAGCTAAACATTTCAAAGAGATCAGCAACATTTCCCTCCGCGGTCTATAAGTGGTGACTAGACTTACTTGTTTACATTAAGACTATCAGGATTAAATCCAATGAATCTCATTTTCTCTATCCATTCAAAGTCTACCGAAGCAATCAGCTTTGTTTGCTTTTTCGTGCATTACACAGGCGCATATAAACCCACCTTCTTGAGGATACGCTTCAGGCAATGGCTCGAATGTGAAAAAAGACGCTCCGCAGAGCGCGCAATTGAAGTCCCAACCTCCCATATTTGTTACTTGACTATTTGGGCTTGAAATGGCTATCCAAAGAAGGAAAAGGATTAGGAAATAGTATTGGAATAGAAAGGGAGAATGGGGTCAGAGTCTTTCACAAGAAGATCAGGCAGCATCACGTGCGGAATAGGCATGGCATGGCATGCATGGTCATGGAATACTAGGCTCCACTATCGCTACTTGGCTTAGATTGGATATCTACAGCGAAGCACATAGGTTTGCAAGGGGGTCCCTTGACTGAAACCCAGGACCATAAAGCACTCATACAACAGTCAGGAACCTGGAGGGCGAAGACTCAACACCTGTACGAGGTGCCCTCTACGAACCTATAGATTAGCTTATGCTTATCCTGAGGATTGAGTGGCGTGGTGACCTCGCTATCGCCACGTTGTAATACGATCCCAGAGCTAAAATTGAGTCAAAAACGACGACAACGAGTTTAACGTCCTTACTAGCGTCGTAAAGGCTAGGCTAGCGGCTACTATACTACGACTCTCATTCTTCTTATAAGACTAGTTATTCTAGTATTAAGCGTAACTCAACTTCAACCTACGGTTTAGACATAGAGGTGAAACTTAGGGAGGATTACTTAAGTAAGGAGTATGGAGGCATATCAGATATTTGTCCCTAATAGGCCTAAAAACCTAGGTTTTTCTTCTTTTTCCTAGCAATGCAGTATATATGAAAAGCTAGCAGATAGCTAGTAGGATGGAAATATTAGGGGATAAACCGCCCTTTAATACTACGCCAAATGGGTATCTGTGTGGCTCTATGCTATTAATATTTAGGGAGTTTTATAGTGGATTAGAGGATATACTATCTAAGGATTAGGTATCTGGCTTGGGCAGAGAGGACCCAGATGTGTTACATAGTCTTTGACTCGTACAACACAATAAATGGGGATTATTATTATTATTAACAGTCAGGAACCCTTGTCATTGTCTCACTTAGGAACGCCCCTCATAGAAGACGAGATCGTAAAAATTGTGTTTATTTGAAAATTTTATGTACCTCTAGTAAAAACATTGTCATCATGTCCCCGAGACAATTAGAGAATCCGGACGAAGAAAAAGTCCTCTTGTCATCAAAAATGCCGTAATCGCATGTCTGTGGTATCTAAAAAAAACATAGTAGAAAACTAACGTGCTGTCAAGCTTCGAATCCACATGTCAACCAACGGAAGGGTAAAAATCCAGCGCCGGCATAAATAATGTGCAAGAAATCCCATTTTGAAAGCTGCAACCAAGGTGTATTGCAGGTGAGTAGAAACGGATTATATGAAACTTCGGGTAGGATTGTGATATATCAAGTGACTTTTTTCCGGCCAAACATTCTTTGGAAGGCGTTCGCTTCCTCCTTTTGTAGAGTAGGCGCGAAGGTTCGAGGTTCGGATTGCATAGGTGGCTCGCTCTTCATCAGAAAGTCCGCGAGGTCATCGGTCCCTCTGCTTGAAGGTAGTACCGCTTCTCTGGGCTGGTAACTTTTCTTCTGCATCCTATTTCTGGCAGAATCTACCTGAGACGAGTAATTGTCACCATTCGACTTTTGGTTCGATGCGGGTACTGAAGTAGTGCTGTATTTAGCGGCAATGGGCGTGTACGAAGGCCTCCTGACCCGCGGAGCAATAGAGTCATGTCCCGAGGTCCTTGGTTTCGGAGGTATTTGTGGACCAGATTCTCTACGGCTAAAGCGGGACATCAAACTAGTAGTGCTAGATTTCTTTGAAACGCCATTCTTGCCATTCTGCTTCGGGGCTGGCTCAAAGACACGTGTCATTGGAGGCTCTGGAGGAGGTGGAACATTTCTAAGGAAGTCGGCTAAGCTCTCCTCTTCTTGAATAGGTTTGGCCTTGGCCCTCGGCGCGGCCGCCTCGAATTCATCTTCATCATCGGAGAAGTCGATGGCGTAAGGATCTCGTACCCTCCGGGTCTTCCGTTTAGGCATCATATCCGCCTCGTCGAAGTTGTTGCGATTTTGAGTAGGGAGTGACTTATTCTTGGAAGCATGGCTAAGTAATGCGCTTTGAGAATTAACAGAGCTATCAACAGATGCGGATGCTTGACTGTATCGAGAATCAGGCAAAGCAGCATCGACAGCCCTGCCACCAACACCGGCAGACATCTGGTCAGAATCCATGGTGGTTCTGAAAGGTGCTACAGTACGAGGGATCCGATGGTTATCATTATCAAGCTGTGGTCCAGACCGGACAAAATCTATCAGATCGCTAATACTGTCGCCCTTTGTAACCGCGGCATTGCGAGCCTGTAACTTGGCCCGACCAATGGTAGATTCTGAGCGTCTAGGGAGTGTTGAAGGAGTGGCAACACGTGAAGACGTGGCACTGACGTTCCGTGCGCTTCCATTTGTCCCACGATGTGTCTGTACAGAGCGCGGAGGAGTTGACTCGTAAGACTCAGCAGGACCTACAGCATACTGATTAGCACGGAACATACCGGGGAGATAGACAAAGCATAGCTATTTGCACTAGAGTCTTCGCTTACCTGTGCTTCTGATGAAATCAGCGAAGTCGCCAATAGAATCTCTGTCCACTCGAGCATCCCGGGCCTGTGGGGCATTGGACCGAACTCGTGTCCCTGTTGTCTTGCTGGAACTAATTGAAGCAGGCTTGTGCTGTTTAGATGATTGAGGTGACTTCGGAGCCGGAGTGGAAACGTCACCTGGCGGGTTAGAACGAAGCGCTGATAATTTTGTGACGGAGGATGAATGCGATCGGCCACTAGGTGGTCGGCCACCGTCGTTTGTAGTTGATACCACTGGGACTCCATGACGGGAACTATCTGGGGACTGTACTTATGTAAGCCGATGAAAGTACCTCACTTCGCAGATACACTTACCTCGATGTTACGCATGTTCTCCGGCGTCAGAGTGTACTGAATTGTCTGATCGCTCCTGATGAGCTGCTCAAAGCTTTGCCCCTTATGATCCGCTACACTTGGTGTACTGTCTTCCGACGAGCGCATCGCCTTCACTTTGTGGGAGGCAGATGATGAGGTAGATGCCGAGCGGTGGCCTCTCGGGCGTTCGGGGGCCTTTTGTGCAATATCTTCTCTGGTTGAGCGCGGCTGAGAACTGAGGGGTGTGCTGGAAGGATAGCCACGTGCTGACCTCTGCTGATCTCCAGCTCTTTGCATGTAAGGCAACGTAGATGTAGAACCAGAAAGAGAACGTGAATTGCCCGAAATACTTGGAGCATTAGAGCCGGATTCATCCGAAGTATCTTGTGCTACTTCCACCAATTCTCGTAGAGGAGTAAGCGGAGGTGCACCATTATCGACACCAGGACTCCTTGACATAGCTCCCAAGCGTTGATTAGGTTCACTAACTTGACTAGCTTGGGGTTCGAGTGAGCTGGCTGCTTCTCGAGATTGGCGGGATGCAGGAGCTGGTGAAAGTACAAAAGTTCCAGGTGGTGTAGGTGGGGATACATCCTCTTTACTCGATGAGAATTGGGGTGTTGTTGGACTTGGATAGAAATCCACACCAGCCATAGCAGCGGCAAGATCAGATGGCACCGCTGTTATAGGGGCTGATTGCGGCTCGTTTAGCTCTTCAGCCTCTGAAATAGATCCACCAGCACTACTCCTGGTGTGTATCGGAACGAGAGAGCCTCCGCGGGCATGAGGACTACCATTTGAAAGCCGAGAGACTGGACTCGCAACTTTAGGTGTCTGTGAATCTGAAAGTGATGACCTTACACTGCTGGAGGGGGAAATAATCACAGGCCTTCCAGACACGTAATCGCTGCCCTCTCCTAAGCCGGCTTGTGAAATGGACGGGCTTCTTGAAGGGACATCGATAACTCGTATTGAGTGAATACTTGAGGTTCTGGTGGCTGGACGACTAGAAATGGCTTTGGGTGGCTCGATGGGGGAGACGCAGCCATCGATTGAGATTCGTGAAGAGGTCATGATCTTAGGCTCTTCCACGAACTCTTCTGGGTCGACCTCTGACTTGGAGTCAACTTCAGTCTGAGGGGCTCCTCCATTAGCAATGGCAGTAATTCCTGCGACAGCCGCTGCTCCAACGGCAGTTACTCCCGCAACGACACCGGCCATAACACCCCTTGATTCCGAATCACTTTTCTCTCTCTCTTCTTGAGTCGGGTCATCTACAATCGACCCATGGGCCGTAGTTTCGTCGCCTTCAATCCCAACTGATGGCTTCTGGCGCTTCGAATACGGAGACGGGGCAGGTGTGGGCAAGGAAAGCGATCTTTTCCTTGTATTTGAGCTTAAAGTTGTAACATCATGCGGCGAGGTGGGTGTTAGAGGGCCGAGACCTCCATGGCTATGCAATATTAAGCTTTTTGGACGTGGACGCTGAATCTCTTCGTCAATGACAGACTCTTCGCCCTCTTCGTCGTCAATTTGCAGCGCGAGACCGGGAATCTCAATCTCTCTTACGTCGTCGGACGACAATGGAAGCGGTACGCCAGCTGCGTGCTCATACTCGGCGAGAACTGCAGCTAGAGACTTCGGGCTGTCTTCCATAGCATCATCGATAGCGATGCTATCTGACTGGCTAGCGGGCAACGAATCGCGTGGGAAGGGGCTGACCATTGAAATAGATGCTGTAGGTGAGCGTAGGCGTTTCTTCCAGCCTCTCCAGAGTCGACCGAGAGTCCTATCAAGAGCAACCCGCTCTGTATCATTCTCATCCACGACAACTCGCTCTGCAATATCGGAGAGCGTGCTAGTACCATCCCTTGCCTCTTTTTCGAGTTTCGTTCTTAATCTCTGGTATGCAGTTTGGCCTGCCACTACCAATACCTGTTCACCCATAAACTCCAAGACTGACGTGAGGAAAATGGCGACTGCGGGAGAAACAACACCGGGGCCAGTGCCAGAAGAATCTTCCAAATGTTCCTTCTCGGTCCAATGATCTTCATCTTCCTCCTCCATGTCACCAAGAGACGAGTAAACCATGCATCGTAATCTAGTACGCTTCCAAATCAACTCTAAATCCCAGTTGCCGCTTGATTCCAGCCCATTGTGAAATGCCATCAACTCATCATCATCGCCACCGCCCAGGTATTCATGCAGTTCTTGTTCGGCACCGTTGATTGCATCTTTGGCAAGCTTTGGTTTGAGAACCTCGGTAACAGCTGGCCGGAGTGATGCGAGTGATGTTGATTTCGAGACAGAGAGAAAATTGAACAGCAGTTGGTCCAGAAAACGATTAATCAGCTTCAACGCAGCGGGTGTGACCATCGCGGTCTCTCCCGACGGCTCGATTCCATGCTGATCTAACCAACTGTCAGATTGGCTGTCATGATCATTGGTTACGATTTGTGATGCTGCAGAAGCTGCGATAAAAGCTGGGTCTGGCAGAACGGTGGTAGGAGGTGAAATTAAGCCTCCATATCCAGCAGCGGAGGGTCTGTCGCTCGAAATGCTATTTGAAATGCTATTTGATCGCCTTGATCGTGCCTGGAAAGGCAACTCTGGAGCCATTGTATATTTATTAATCGGCGAAAGTTTTGGGTGGAGAGGTTGCTCTCAATAGATGATTCTTCTCCCAGTATTGCTTCAGAGCCCGCTCCTTTGCGCTCAAAACAGCTTTATGTAAGACGTAGAAATAGAATTCGGGAAATCGATTTTAGATTAGACCTCCTAGTAAAAGATCTGTGCTTTAACAACTTGGTTAGCCCCTGCATATACTGTGTCGCGGAGAAACAAACGGGGCAGGGGCAATGAGATGTGTATGTGGTCTGGTAAGATCAGCAGCTGTTGCCAATGCATTGAGCATGCAAAACGAGCAGACCGGATTCCTGTTAGATGGATGCTGCCGATGCGGTCCTACTAGAGAAGATTGTGCCACGGGATGTGCAATAGGAGGTGCCGATGCCATGTGGGATGAACGTGGTGGAAGTGGAAAAAGATTGGGCGACAAGATCAATCTATGTCCAACTCTCTGCCAAAATTTCTCGACGGACTGCCGACATTGGGAATGAGATAAACCCTATGCGCACTGTACGTACCTGAAAGCTTCAATTCACTGAAATGGATAACGGGAAACGGGAAACGCGTGCTGCAAGCTGGAGTGGAGTGAGAGCGAAGTGCAACGGCGCACGACAGATTGATCAGATAGGTGCCGTAATGCAGTGCGATAATGGACCGGCCGCTGTCAGACTCGGATTGTACAGAGTAGCGCAGACAGCTCGTGGAGGGTATTGTTCTGTCAAACAACGACGACGAACATTCCAAAGAGTTGAGGATGGCGGATTTGAGTCGAGTGGATTCGGTTCGGAGAAAGGGGATAATATTGGACCTGGTGGACTAGCTAACTGAGAGTAGACAAACCGCCCGGGCGGAATGGAAGCGAAAGGGTTCAGGGGTGCATGAGGGTGGAGAAAAGATTGTGAGGCGTTTGAGGTTGTTGCCCGGGGTGGAGTGGAAAGAGAAGAGAGGCCTCGGAGGAGAGGAGAGGAAAGTCAGGAGAGGGAGGAGAAAGAGAAGGCGAAAGAGATGATATCAATACATCAATAGTCAGCCTACGGTAGTCTACGGTAGGATGGTGTGAAGGGGTCCGTGTCGAGATTTGAGGATATGAAGCCGACGCAGAGACGATAAGGTAATGTAGGAAAGATGAGACTGCACAGTAGAAGCGTAGAAAGGTTGTACGATTAAGGATTCTACAAGCATACAAGTACTAATGTGAATGCACTCACGGGGCGTGCAGTCAGTTGGTGTGTCGTGCACATCAACATCCATATTGTCCCCATTCATCCATCCACACTCAGGGGTTGAGACTGATAGCCATGGTGCCAGTCCAGTACCGGTACCTAGTCTTGCTTGTATTGGGAATAGCTGGCTGGCATATTGAGGTCAAGCGTCTGCCCAATCAGTCAAGATCAAAGCTGGTGATCATTCTTTCTGCATGGCATGGCGGTGGCAGTGGCAGTGGCAGTGGCGGCACTGCATCGCAAGAAACAGGACTCGATAATAATGAGCGGAAGGTTTATTTAGTGGTGCACCGACACGGCGAGTTAAATGGCGGCATCTGCATCTAAGGAAGCTTTCTAGAAGCATACGAACATGGGCCCCTGCCACTTCACTACAATACAATACTCCTCATACTGTACGGAGGTATAGCGATTGAAGTTTATGGATTACTGTACCCAACCCGTTCAACGTCGCATGTTCATCAGCCTCTTTATCCGCAGTTTTCAGTGTTACTGTAACATGGGGCCATGCCCACCCAATTCTTGAATACGACTGTCCGTCAACAGCTCATGGAGGCCCAGCCTAGGTACCTAAGTTGAGAGAGTCTTCAAGGTACCACCATGGATTTATGTCACAAATGCGGTACAGGGGACGGACCGAGTCAATGCGGGAATTAGAAGGCTGAGCTCTCCAATATTCGGTGTCCCAGTAGCCTCTAGCAGAACAGTCTATTCACAACTATCATGTACTAGTCTAGTGTACTGTACTGTACATTCCCCTCCCCCGCCTTTGATTGCAGCTCTGTTCTGCTTACTCCGTACTGTACATGTCGAGAACTCTCACATCTGCCGACATCGTGAAGCAGATCCGACAAAAGGGACCCAAACATGACGGGAAAGCTGAAGTCATCATGACCTTACTATTCTGGAATCTGTATACTGTATGCAGCTCGGGGGTCTCCGCCACTCTGCACTGTACAGTTCAGTTCTGGTGCGCCGCACCCATCTATTCTTACTTTACTCGAGGCGATCCATTCACACCAAGTAAGCAGATAATATCGACCGTCAGCTCGGGCAAGCACACATGGCCAGCAGGATTCGGTCTCCAGAAATACTACGTATACACATCGTGGAGGGTTACATGCACCGGCACGACACCACCAATCATAGCCTCTCAAATCGCGTGCAAGCTTCCGATGTGGCCGGTTTTCCATTGGCTCCCGAGAATACATTCTGATGTGCCAGTGAAAATCCCAAGATAGATTGTCAGTGTCAAAAGAATGGCATTTGTTCGGGTGATGGATAAAAGGTTGGGGTCGGCACAGGATGTCTCCACCACTCCTGATTCTGCCAGTGTCTTTGTTCTTCTGGATCAAGAATAGGGGCAAGGCCCATTATCTACCGTTCAAGACAACAATTTCTCATCCAGCTCAAAATTACACATCTATCTAAACCCCGTGGCAAAAACGATTCATAGGATGAACCGTCACATGGCACTTGACGTGACTGCAGTGCAGAAACCTCATGCTGTGTTCTCTGAGTATCTTCATATCCCAAAACAAAATACACCGAGATCTTGTTCAACACCCGGCAAGTTACCGGAGCGGGGGCCTCTCCAGATTACACGCCTTACCCAACGTCGGTTTTGACGGTCGCAGAAAGCATCTCTTCTATAAGTCATATCCCAGCTTTGAAAAGTCCCGAAGCAAACAAATGAGCATTGATCTGTGCTTTTATTGATGGGTTCCTGCGTTTTGACGTTCGGTAACGGCACGTATTGTTAAAATCGCTGTATTAGGGCAAAAGTTTCTCGAGAGCTTCCGAAATTCTGGTCTTAAGTCAAAATCTTCAAGGCTCTTGAGTGTGAAGTGGAGACTTGGCTTAAATATGGCTTGAATGGCGCTACTCTCGAACCCCAATGCAAAGATAAGTTCCAGCATTAAGAGGGTGCCTGTTTCATAAGTTGAGGGCACACAGCTGTAGTCAAATGTATTCACAGTGATGGCGTTCCCCCTTCTCACTACTGTGCGACGTCTCTCAATACCCCGATCCTTTGTATCACCGATTCTGGTACACGCTTTTCGTCGCCTCTTTTCTATTTTGAAAGCCCGAATGATAGCATGCGTTCGTCTTGTCATCACTCGAGGAGCAGCACCCCCCTAGCCCCCAGTCTCTCAAGGACTCCTGCGAGCGAGTTCGATTTCTCAACTATCATTTGCCAACATCAAGAATTCTCTCTAATCATACTATATAGGAGACAAACATGGGGATCGTGAAGTTAATTCGCATGCTACCTACCGCATTTATACCACTTGTTGCACTCAGTGGTGGCCATCAAATTTCATCAAGTTGGGGGCTCAGAAAAATAATTTGCTGGCATTGAAAGTCACGGTAGCCATAAGACATTCATCTGAACTTGCTGCCTCAAGGGGCCTGCATTAATATTATGTTGTCCCGCTCGAAAGTGGTTTGTCTCGGCGTTTATGCTTAGAATCATCCGTGGCATCGCGGAAGAATGTCCAACAAAGCGTTGAGGAGAATCCTCAAATCAAACTCTTTTCCATGCCATCATTCCCTCCATCTCAAATCCATTCTCAAAGCAGAGCTAGTAGTAGTAAAGTATGACGCAAGCCTACCTACCAATAATCTTATGCTCCCTGAAATCCCAAAACCCCACACTCCTACTAACCCTCAACGCAAAAACCCTACTCATCCGCCACTCAATCCCCTCTCCCCAAGTACCATAATCAACCCTTTTCCAACCATTTTCCAATGCTATCATATCCCATCATCTCAACCCACCACCACACCTCAACCTCCTACACGCTCCTCCCACGCCTACACCTCCTACAAAATGTCTTATAACACGTCACCCCCACAGTCTGATTCTCCCAACACCCAGAAAGCAGAGGCGGCGTATGACATTCAGCGCGCGGGCAGGCCGTCTCAACCAGGGCAACAGACCAGTGCGCACAGAGCGTATGATAGGATTCCGTCAGCCAGCACATTTCGGTACCTGTTTTTTCTCTGGATTTTTCGGGAAGTGGGTATTGATAGGTGCGGTACGGTATGAGGTAGTACGATAATGGTTTAGGGGTTTGCTCGTCCGTTGTGTTTGCGGCTTTCTGGATGATGTGATGAGATGAGATGAGATTCTCGTTCTGCCTGGTCGTAGGTAGTTTGAGGAGAGAGAGAGAGAGAGAGAGAGAGAGCATGGATACTCCGTACAGAAATGAATAAACATAGCATGAGCACCGGACATCAAACTAGGTATTCTTCTCGTTTCTTTGAGCGGGAGCTGATAAAGGGATGGATGGATAGACAGCAAGCTTGTTGTGAAATCTGTACAGCGTGCGTGCATGCCGATATGCGTTTTGCGGAGATAATCTTACCTTGCTTACTTCTTCACTCCCTCAAACTTCCTCTGAATGAAAATTTGAACATTCCTTGAAAGGAAAGAAATGTGAATAAGTATCTCTCGTTTATATTATATGCAACAGATGATGAAAAGCGAACTGAATGAAAGGCAGTTCTAGAGTTAAAGTACGGGAGGTTTCATTGCTGAAATATCGTTGTTTGCGACTGACGCCACGCGATATGTTGCTGGCTGCCGGATTGATTGCAACTTTGTAAAACAATATCGCGCCCCCTATTGTCATCGACAGGATAGATTGCAGAGCTTGAATTCGACTTGTTTGCTGTGGTGTGGTGTGGGTGTTGACTTTAGCGACCTACGAAAATTGGAAAAAGGGTGATGTCACGTGTGCTAACCTGGAGAGGAAAGGGGCCCATGATTGTAGTTCATACCAGTACTGTATGTCATTTCCCCGATAGTGACGGAGGACAGCGTAGGTGAACAAGTGCACGTACAATCGTGTTGTAAAATCCAACCTCCCATAATGCAGGGAAATCTTGATATCAAGGGTGAGGCAGGAGCTGGTCATTACAATGGGATTTGATATTTAAAACTATATGCGTTATCCCGATCCTCCCAATTACAATATTAGTCGCTAGATTTAAATAACATATCCCATCTATTAATTGCAAAACCCCCATCCTCCCAATTACAACTTCTTTAACACAGCAAGATAAAATTCACTTTTATGCTTCTTTCTACTCCACTCTCTACGCATAAGCAGAAATCTTTCATATCCCACGACTCCATGCGCCCATCTCTCGCGAGACATCCTCAATTCAGAGATATGTGATATACTTTGGTAAACATGGACAGTTGCATCGTTATCACGGCTTTACATGAAGAAAGCAACGGCGAATGTAAGAACACCGAGGACAGTAGCGACCACACTGGCACTGGCGATGACTCCAGAGTTGGTGGTGACACTGAGTGGGGTAGTTTGAGAACCTGAAACACTGCTTGCAGAAGCAATGGATCCAGAAGGAACTGTCCCAGATGCAACAGAACCAGTAGCACTGGAGCCTGCAACAGTTGTCTGGATTGCGATAGTGTTGGTGCCAGATGTCAAGCTGAAAGTTGACAATCCGATAACTACAGTGGTAGCTGAGGGGCAGACGGTTGTTGAGAAGCTAGTGGAGACAGACTCAGACTCAGACTCAGACTCAGACGACTCGGAATCCTCGGACTCAGTGGCAGCGGCAGTAGAGCTTGCAATGGTTGTCTGGACAGGGATAGTGTTGGTACCAGATGTCAAGCTGAAAGTTGATGATCCGATAACTACAGTGGTAGCTGAGGGGCAGACGGTTGTTGAGAACAAAGTGCCGGCTTCAATAGTGGTCTGGACTGGGACAGTCGTCAGGATTGGGCAAGTATTAATACCAGCTGTTAAGCTGAAAGTTGACGATCCAACGATCAGGGTGGTAGCTGATGGGCAGACGGTGGTCAGGAAGCTAGTAGAGACAGACTCAATGGCAACAACAGTGGCGTTAGAGAATGGAGCGCTGGTTGCAATAGTCGTCTGGACTGGGACAGTCGTCAGGATTGGGCAAGTATTAGTACCAGCTGTTAAGCTGAAAGTTGACGATCCAACGACCAGGGTGGTAGCTGATGGGCAGACGGTGATCAGAAAGCTAGTGGAAACAGACGCCACGGTGGTTATCTTGTGTAACTATGTCAGCATTCGAGTTCCCTGCTTTGGCTCTGAGATCATGTACTTACTACGGTATTCGGTACAACGACAGTGTTAGTCCCATTGACAAGAGCAGTGACGGTATTTGGTACAACGACAGTGTTAGTCCCATTCACAAGAGCAGTGACGGTATTTGCCGTGGTTGAGTTTGCAAAGACAGTTGCGGTTGCTGTGCTCGTTATGTTTTGCGTTGCTGTTGTTGTTAGGTTCGAAGACAAAGTGCCAGGTGTCGTCTGGTTCTTAGGCGAAAAAGTGCTGGTTGTCGTCTGGTTCAAAGACACAGTGCTGGATGTTGTCTGATTCAAAGACAAAGTGCTAGATGTCGTCTGGTTGCTGGATGTCGTCTGGCTCAAAGTGCTGGATGAATTGGAGGGGCTCCCGCTCGAGGTTGAAGCCGACGACGTGGTGGTCAGATTCGTAGCTTGACGCCCAGCAATAGGATTCGCTATGCTGGTGACCGCAAGAATTGCGACGGCGAAACTTCGAGTGAACAGCATGATGAATCTGGGTAGAGACTTTGTGAAAGTGATTTGTGGTAGGCGAGTGCTCAACGAGTGACTGAAAACGTATATTGTGAAGGGGAAAGAAAGGAGACGGGGAATTTCCAGAGAGAAATGTGTTCTTTAATAGTGCCATCATTACATCACGACTTAGTGGGAGTGGGAAAACGATACAAATTCTCTCAAATATTCGTCATTCCTAAGAGGTTGTTGTGTAGAGGGATGTAGAGGGATTCGCTACCATAGCTATCACAATCACTAGCTCGCTGCCATACCGTTTTCGATCAGCACCATCAAAACTGGATTGATGCCGGTTTTTACCCTAATGCTTGTTCCAAAAACTCCTCGAAAGACGAAACGACACACAAATTTAGGATCGGTATGGTTTGTAGCCAAGACTCAGTAACTCCCTTTTCCGTTCTTAAATACATCTTTTATGCAACTGCTGCAAGCGTGTATTTCAGTACTCATTCAGAACGAACAGACAACCCTCAAGATATCGTACAAACGTCATGCAACAGTTCATGCATACGCTATCTATCTTCTGGACCGCCAGAAAGAAAACCGACTCGAGTGCGGTGGCTCTAGAGTTCAAATTAGTCTTCATCCGCTTAGACAAGAATCAACGAGAGACAAACGTAGGGTAGCTTGGGTATCACAACTCCCAGGACGGCCAGAAAATTTATGGTGAAGTACGTTAGGTCGTAGTGCGTGTAGTGTGTGCTCAACAGAAACAGAACAATTGGTACGCTGAGAAGAAATTTCTTCGCCGGAGTGTACTGAGCTCCATTATCGATTTGTTCCCACATATTCAAATTATCGTATGCGCCAGCGTTAAACTCGAAAGGCACACCGCGTACCCAATGAAACATTAGAAATGAGCCGAACATATAAGAGATGTTCGTCAACGTCCATGACGTTTCCTGTGAAACGCCAGGGATGATGTCAAAAAGTATTTTGAGGCAGGCGATCAACACCAAATGTATCGTCCAGGCACCTACAAGCGTATAGATAGTATGTTAGTAAAGACAGTGAAAATAAACGTTTGAGCCATAAAGGTTGTTGGAAGGTCAAGATACTACCGTGCCTCCAAACTCGGCATCTCTATTTGGGAATCATAATTGTTCGGGAGTGGCTGACCTTTTGCGTTCACCCAGTCTGCATTCAGATTTGGCAGTGCGGCCTGATCACTCATATGCTCTATTGTTTCCGGCGGCTCTTGATATAACAAACTACTCGACCGCCGCCGCCTCCCGGTCTTTTGCTCGCTCATTGCTAGATATGGAGCGCCGGGGCGGGGAGGGTTGGAGCTCGCGTCGTAGGAGACGGTGCGAGGGAGGAGGATTGGAGACGACAGTTTGGCGGTAGTTCTATTTGAAGGAGCGATAGCGACGGTTGGAGATGCTCGGTCGAGCGGGTTTGTGTGGGCTGGCGTCGAGAAGGGCCGGATATCGTATGTAACCAACCGTATATGGTTGTAGCACCTTAGGAAAGGGTTGAGCAATAGACGGACAACCTTGGGGCCCAGTGGTGGTGGTGCTAGAAAACGCGAATGTTAGCACCGGTCAACTGTTAAGTTCTATCAGCAGAACCCGGATGGTGAGGTAGTGAGGTGTTGAGAGATCGAGCTCTGCATAAGTGCTTCGTACTGCTTGGTTGCCTGCCCTGCCCTCCTTGCCTGCTACCCTTGCGGGAGATGGAGTGGTCTGGTCTGGTCTGATCTGTCTCGTCCCAGACTGGCGAAGCTCCGGGACAGAAGTGGAGGAGGAGCTGCTGCTGCTTACCTCTAAAGCTGATGTGGATGTGGATGTGGATGTTGATGTTGAGAGAGTCTTGTCCCGGCAGCTGGCTATTGCTATGGGTAATCCTGCTCCTGCTGAACGGGGGGTGGATTGGAATACTGTATGAGGTGTGATGCTGTGGTGGTTGAGGTTCATCTAGACACCCTGCACTGCACTGCACTGCCTAGGTATGTATCTCCACTTTCGATATTCAGTCGTGGCCCTGCCCTGCGGCTCTGCAGCACTGTACAGTAATGGTAATTACTGTACGGTACCAACATCCACATCCCGGCACAAAAGACAGCAAGCGGAAGAACAAACCGCATCCGCCCAGAAAATTAAGAAAATTACTGTACGGATACGGAGCACCACCACCACCACCACCACCAAATTCGTTAAATTTATTACCTATCCTACTGTGATCTTTTCGATTTTATGCTGCAATGATCAACCCTTCCCTTCCCTTCCCTTCCCCATCTCCATCGCCATTTCTTGTGGTGGGCTAGCTGGCCTCATGATTCCCTCGCCAACGCTTTTTCTGACACTCTCTTCATTGCTGTACTATACACAGTAGTCGTCAACGTACTTTACACATTCTTTGATCGCATACAGTACTTACTGCCACGCACGCACACCCAACTCCCTTCACGTTTGCAAAAGGACTCCGGGACATTCGCGTCACCAGCTAGCTAACTTGTCTAGGCCACGCCATCCGAAATCCTGGCTGTTAACGAGAACCCTCACGGTTGTTATCTCGCTCACCACTTAGAGCATAAGCAAAGATGGACGTGGACGAGCAAGCAGATTCCAGAACATTGGGTGTGGGAAGAAAGCGCGACTTTTCAGATGCCACTCCGCAGTATCGAGAAACTGCACAGGACTACGATTCTTCAGACAATGAGGAGTTGCAGAGATCACGAAAGCGAGCAAAGTTCACTTCATCACTGCCTGTCGAGTCCATCGCTTCGAATCCCTTGCTTTCAAATGGTCAAGACGACAGCCTTCAGGCGTCTGAGACCAATATTGTTAGGGGTGATAAACCTGCAAATGACTCAAAGGTTGCCAGCACTGCAGCAGAGATGTCTCGTGCATCTCCAGTTGGTCAGACTGAGCATCCTAGAGTCGTTGAAGTAGTATTACCTTCACCTATCAGCGAGGAATGCGAGGGTTCTCGAGTACCTGAAGAGTCTATCGAGCCTGCCCCCAACCCCCCGGTGCAGCTCTCGTACGCAGCGGAAGCAATGGGAGGACTGGTATCGTCTCCTTGCGATTCAACCACGCCTTCCCTCTCCCAAGTTGATCCAAAGAACGATTACATGACTGGTTGGAATAGGGGCGTTCAAAGCGGACTTCGTACATCCTTCGCTGCTAAGAGTCGGCCGCCTTCCCAAAACCAGGAACTTAGCATTGGATACAAGTCGCAGTCCAGCCTTCTTCCCAATGCGCCTCGGGGTAGTGCTCAAATCCGACATCATAAAGAAGATGGCTCTGAGGAGGATCCTGAAGATTTTATGAACAGTTCCGATCTTGGAAACGATTCAATGCTACAGGCTCGTGAGAAGAGGTCCAACTCAACGTCATTCGTACCACTCTCCAAAGAACAACGAGCAAATCTCCCTCTGGCCGAGCGGCAGGCTTACAAGACTGCTCACAAGCTTCGTATGAAAGCTTTGAGACTGCAGACCTTCCAAGATCATACCGCGCAAGCTGAAATAGCTCTCTCCCGGGAAAAGGGATGGCCCATATCCCATAGTGCGAAGTCTTTAGAGATGATTAACAAAGGCAAAACATTTTATGCTCGGGATGTCGAAAAGCCCCTGGAATATACGAACGGCTTCGGCACCTTCACATTGTCTCCGATATGGGATGACGAAGGTAAGCCAATCAAGCTTCAAGATTTCTCATTCAATCGATTTGCTCCCGCCTTTATCAAGCAGAATTTAGACAAAGCCTCCGGTTTGAATAGGCACGACCTCGATTTGGCGTTTCGTATCTATTGTAAGAAGGGCTTCTACAGACACCTCGGAGCAAAATGCCAGCCGCTTATGGACACAATCAATGCTGACGATGCTTTGACCTTGGAACAAGCTTTGAAGCTCGGCTGTTTCCGTGATCACAGCTCCGAGGCACCATTGGATAATGTGGTGAATCCACAAGGTCACGTTCCTTCATCTGGTGGAGACCAGACATGGCGAAACCGAGGAGTTGAGAGCGAAGCTTCTAAAGCCACGATACCATCCTCCAATTCGTTCGTTATTCTCTCCAGCATAGACAAGAAGAAGCTTCCTCCTTCTGAACTTGCCAGGTATAAAAAGGAGTTGGAAGAGCACCAGCGGCCAGGAAGGGAAGCCGCTGTCCTTTCAGCCACCAAAGCCACTCTAGAGGCAGATCAAATCATCAAGTTCGTGGGTAAATGGCCTTTACCGGATAAATACCAATCCGTCTCAGACAACATAGCCCGAGGCAATACATACTACCCTCGAGAACCCAAAAGATTGTTACCATATAAGAAAAGTGGAAAGAGTTTCAAGATAGCCCAGATCTTTGATGACAAAGGTTTGCCTATCAAAGCCCAGGACTTTTCCTTCAACACCTTTTCAGTCGCTTTCTTAAAGCAAAATCAGCAGCAGGATAAATTCGACAGCGTGACCCTGCGCCATCTCAAGGGAGCTTTTGGTTTTTACTGCGGCATCTTCTACCAGGATCACATAGCGCATGGTCTTCTGCAAACAGCCGAGGCCCATGATGCCATAACCTTGAGCGAGGCAGTGAAACGTGCCCGACAACCTTCTCATACTTCAAAGCCGCATAAAGCTGACGCACCACCACTACTTACCAAACCTAGTGAGCGACCTCCATCGGCAGCAGGAGAGGCAAGGCAGACAGACTCCCCCAATAATGAAAATAACTCTCTGAAGGAGATGGAGTCCCAGGTTCATCGAAATCTAGGTGCTGCTTCGATGAATCAACATAGTGGTATCCAGGCGACCTCTGAACCAAGTGGAGATAACGCTCGAATGGTGACTTCAAAGCTGTCGATTCACGAGGCTAGAAAGGTGCAGCAACAGCCCTTGTCGAGCAGCTTGACAAAGACAACTGTACCCAGCCAGTCGAACCACAAATTACAACGCTCACCGGTACCCGTATCTTATGATAATGATATCGAGATGAGTAACGCTATACCGTTGCCATTTGCAGATGCGGAAAATGGAAAAGAAGCTCTCAGGATATTCAATACGGTCGACAACATCAGGCTTCAACGGAAGTATTTCCCATCTGTCGACAATAATTTGGCTCGATGCCTTGCTTGCGCCGGCGTTGGTCATGGCTCAGATAGCTGCCCTGCGCTTGAGTGTACTATTTGCGGCATGAGTGGTAATCACTCAAATTTCACATGTCCACAGAATATCAGGTGCTACAAGTGTCGCCAACGCGGACATCAGACCGCTTCATGTCCAGAAAAACTCTTGCCAAGCAAATCTGAAGCCACTCCGTGCGATATCTGTGGGGTAAGGGATCACTTAGAAGTTGCTTGTCATTTTATTTGGCGTAGCTTTACCTCCGGGCATGATGTTAAGCAGGTCCAAGATATTCCTATTCATTGCTATACGTGTGGCGGCAGTGGTCATTATGGAACAGAGTGTGGAATCCTCGCACGTCCATTGCTATCAGGCAGTGTAACATGGTCACGGTCAAACGTCCAGAGATATGTTGATCATTCCAGCAAATCTAGGGCATTGTCTGCAGGCATTGATTATTCTATCAATATGTCTAAGAAGCAATTCAACATCAAGGGCATGGGTGGTTCGGCTGACCCTTATACGATTGACGACAGCGAGGAAGACGGCGAATTCATTCGTCCAAAAGTCAATAATTCTATGGCTGATCGGGGACACATTCGTTTTGGAAAGACTTCGCAAGGCAATTATTCCACATCCAGCGACATCACGAATCGCACGAGCAATCCCAGGTGGAGACCCCACACGGGATTTGGTGGTGGCTATGATGATGACTACGCTCCTTTCCCGATGCCAAATAGCGGATCTAGTTCGTATCATCAGCCGGGGGGTTACAGCTCCCACAATTCAGTTGGCCAACGTCCAAGTCAAGTGAACGCAGGCAATGCTGAGCATAGTTATAAGCTACGATCAACATCAAAGCCGGCAGCAGCCTCTATTGTAAAGAGCAAGCCGAAGCCCAGGAAGAAGAAGGACAAGAAGGCGAAGAAGGGTTCAGGGAGTGGCAACTGATGCTGCTTTTGATGATTCTTTCGCTCCCCTCTGATACACTGTCACGGCATAACTTCTATGATAATGGGGAGCTTTACTTGAGGAAGGAGGAATGGGGGCATTGAGGGATTGTAGGATTATGATGATTTATGAGCCTATGAAGTTTGCGGTTCTTTGTACTAAAACTGCACCGATTAGAGCAGGATGGAACATTATAAGAGTACAATTGCATGATAAAGAGATACCCATATTGATTTGCTCTCTGTGACTTAGTTAATTAAACTTGATCTTCGGTCGCCTTGAAATGATGCGTCAAAGTCGCTTAGCATCTAATTTACTAGATAGGTATATTGCCTATCGAGCTCCACAAGAAAATTCATGATGGAAGTAGGGGGGGTAAGAGATTTAGAGATAGAGGTGAGGGAACCGCTTTGGGGCTGGAATGAGCAAGTGCTCAAAACGTCATTACCAAGCGGCTTATTAACCTCCAACAGCCTAAAGCGGTTGACAAAAGAAACATCTACAAGTATTCGTTTACAAACCTACATTTTTAAGGCTTACTAAAGGTGAAAGCCCAAACTCAGAGCTACTAGTCAAAAATGGCAGAGTAAGTGACTTCTTCGTTCTCGATACCCCGCATCAAAGTATATCAGAGTACCCAACTGACTCAATATACCATCAGTCTTCTAGAATTAGGAGAGAAACTCACCACCAAAGGTCCCCACAAGATCGAAGCCACACCCCGCAGAGTACGCGGTTTGTTGGGCGGGCAATACGTCTTCGATACGCTTGAAGCCAAATATGTCTGGGAGCATCCATACTGTCTGTTTCCTCTCCATTTCATTCCCAATTCCGGATCTGATCTGCCTGCCTGCCTGCCTGCCTGCCTGCCGTTACCTTTGACTAAGCTCTAGATGTCCCAAAGCACCTTGCTTCCACATATAACTAACCTCAAGTTCTAGATCCTTACTTCTACATTCCCCTCTCCGCCTTCCCGCCCGGCGTCCTCACCAAAACCGCGCCCGAGACCAAAAAATGCTACTGGTTAGGCACCCTCACCTCAAGCACCTCGTCTACCTCCCGCGTCCTGGCATTCGATCCATCCGGCCCGCTGGAAAACCTCGTGCGTATCGAAGTCTCGGCTCTCGATGCATGGTTCGTGGAGGATGAGAAGCAGCTGGGACCCCACCCAAAGGACCCCTATAAAAGGGTGGAGTGTATCCCTTCTTCCCGAGAAGTGAGGATCGAGGTTGCCGGAACGGTTGTGGCGCGGAGTAGCCAGAATGTGTTTTTGTACGAGACGATGTTGAGGACGAGGTATTATGTTAGTGCGGTGGGGGTGGAGTATGGGTATTTGAGACCTAGTGAGATGGAGAGCTTTTGTCCGTATAAAGGAATGGCGAAGTATGAATTTAGAAGTCTTGATCTTATTTTAATGATTGGATTATTATGCTAACGTAGAAATACTGTAGTTATTACCATCTTGTTGTTGATGGGAAGGAGATCAAAGATGCGATTTGGTATTATAAATATCCGACTGCGGAAAGCGCCTTAGTAGCTAAACGTTTGTGCTTTTATAATGAGAAGGTCGATGTGTTTATTGATGGTGTGAAGGAAGAAAAGTAGGTAGGGAGCGCGGAGGGGGTATGTCACGGGACTAAAACTGCAATATGGGATAAACACCTCGATGCGTTGATAAATAAGATCCAATTGTGACTCTAAGCTAGAGATTTGAGCTTATCATTGCGAAATATATACCTACCAAGGCATGTCCTGAACAGGAACACGTAAGGGTCTAGGCGGCTCCGAGAAGTATTTTATCTTCTGAACCCAGCACTTGCCATATCTTCTACATACATACACCACCACCCACCCTCGGAAATATCCAATATCGCACTTGATAATTCATTGCCTTGTATTCACGAACTACCTCTAGCGTTCAGGCGGTAGTATACGGTGAGTACTATATTGAACTCGAACATACTTTCTTAGTATGCTCGACCAAACTCGCTTCGAAGTATCTGTAAATCAAAATTATTTGATTATGAGTCTATGGAAAATACTTCTCTATGCCCGCCGAAAATATGAATCAACGCAGAATGCTATGGCCGTAACCCTCATCAAGTCATAACCTACCAAATCAAGCAAGCAAAATCAGAAACCTCAAATCCCTCAAAACTATTCGCAACAGACTCTTATGTCTCTTTGCCGCCGTTCGTCGCCTGCTTCGTAACCTCGGCTTCCTCTTCATCCTTGGCAGCCTGTTCTTCCTTAGACAACTTGGCTAATCCGCCAGTAAACAAATCTGATTGCATCATGGTTTTCCAATCGTGCACTGCATTGGTATTCTCATGCGATTGTAGTACAGCCTCATGTCCTCGAGGCCAGAGCTCAACTTCGTAGCGCTTGACGGCAGCAGCTAACTCCTCGGGTGTATGTTCCTTCATCTCGCGGAGATGGACTAGGAAATCTGCTGCGTCGGTAATAGCATTGTTGAGGCCTTGGCCACGATCTATACCAGCTATTAGTCTTCTGAATAGAACGCGGAATTATGTTATGGGCTTACGAAAGGTCATTGGATGTGCGGCATCACCGGCTAGTGTGACCAACCCACCCTTAGAATCCCAAGGCTTTGTTGGCCAGTAGGCCAGCCTGTTGTGCCACACCTTTGTTCCCTCTGGAATCGTCCTGAAGACCTCGTTGAACGGAAAACCGAAGTTTTTGCCGCGCTCGTACATGGCCGGCAGTACGTTATCGCCTGCTAAGCCAGTCGGCTCATCGGACCGCCAGGTCTGCATCAGCATCCAAGTCCATTCCCCTGGGTCTTCTGCAGTACAGTCGTGAACTACAATATAATTTGTCAGCACGTTCTGGGATAGTTCTACATAAGGCTGAGTAAACTTACTACTCATCCAAGTGAAAGTGCCGTCTGGGTGGAAGGATATGGTATATCGAGGGTGGAGTGCACGTAAAGCAATGGCTGCATCACGGCCGAGCTTCGTAATAGTGACACTGGCGACGCATGGAGATTGAAGGAGTGCTGCCTCTTCTGGGCCAAGCAAGAACTCTCGAGTAATCGAATGAGCTCCTTCTGCGCCGATGAGAAGGTTACCCGTTTCTGTTGTTCCATCCTCGAAAGTTACTGTAACACTGTTTTCACCTGTCTCGACGTGCTTGATACGTTTTCCCCACTAGTCAACAGTGGTTAATATCGGTTCTTGGGATCGGATGGGAGTTTTAGTCCCTTGCCTTTATGTCAATATCTTTAGATATCATCTCAAGCCACTTTTTCCTTTTGAGACGAAGACTCCATGGTGCTGGCAGATTCTTCAAAAGCTTACCCGTCTGTCCATGGTGGACTGGCATAACACTCGTTTCGGACGGTTTGTAGCTAGGGTCTGTCTGCACAGTCGGAACGAGACTCCGGAGCTCTTCGGTGAGGCACTCATCAAGTCGAGATTGTGCCCAATAAATGCCAAAGTTCCAGTCCCTTGGGCGTTGCTGCAGGTTTGCATCCTGCTCGAAGACGGTGCAGGGGATTCCGACCTGAGACCTTTAGTTGTAAAGTCACTACGGTTTGTGCTACCAGTACTCACCTGCTTGAGGACTTGACCAAAGAGTAGACCCGCAGATCCTGTACAGTACAGTAGCATTTAGACAATGTCAAGCGACTGTACGATATCATGCAACTTACCGGAGCCAATGATGAGCACTCGGAGGGGCTTTGCTTCAGAACCCATCTCAAGATCTTGAAACGAGCGGCAAATGGTATGGACTCGGAAACGGGTTTAGATTTAATTGGGAGGAGGAACAAGCTTTCTCTGGGGTTCACTTGATGTTGCAATATGGGATGACGTTGCGGGGGTGATCAATAACTGTGCTTTGTACTCCTTGTTTTGAAGTAGTATTGGTAAGAGGAGATTGTCACACCTACTGGAGACATAATCTGAAGTCTACTCAGACGGTGATAACCTACTCTAACTTCACTGGTCATCGCTTTCAGTGGATTGTTCTGCATAGCCGGTGGCAAAGCACCCTCCCCTAAGCCAGGAACTGTCCTACCTGTGCATAGTGAAGTGCAGTCTTGGGAAATGCGGGACAAAACTCGGGCCAACCGTTTTTTGACCGCCGCAAGGAGGGGTTGAAAGACGGGGATTGGGTCCTGGCGGGTACCCCGCTGCATGTACGAAGAAATGAAAGAAGCAAAGACATATGCACAGTACTTGCTCGAAGGGTCGTTTCGGTGAAAGGCTGAAAGCCACTGCAGAATCTCCATGCAGGTGACCGGACCTGATCACTTATGGAATATGTCTTTCGCATCTTTCGAGTCCATGTATGGCAATGATCCTTTACACCCTAAAACGGAAGGCCCTATACCGGTAGGCCCTATACCGGTAGTTGTAAATGACAATTGACTGGTTAGATGCCCTTGTGGTGCCGTGGCAGGCCGTCACAATACTTACGGAGCATGGCGGGGTACTTGTACCGTACTTACAGTAAGTCTGACGGGCACCTACAAGTAGTAGGTAAAATCCCTAGCTATCCGATGGTCAAGGAGATGGACGATCTGCGAAGTTTGGAACTTTTGCATTCGTGTTCGTGTCCCAGCCGTCGCGTGGCATTGCATTGAACTGTACGTACCTTCGTACGGGGTTTAGGGGTTTAGGGGTGCGCTAAGGGTGTCTCAGGCGGAAAAGCCGCCGCTAACCAAGCACAGACATATAACAGGCCCACCACGGCACTGGTGCAGACCCGACACTTGCTATACACGCTGCAGAGTCTGGGCTTGGCTCATAGGAAACCAAAAGGAAACCTGCTGCCACGATTCTCAAGAGGGCATTACTGCTGGGAAAGACGATTTATGATAGACGCCGCCATCTAGCCAATCAAAGAATTACCGGTTTGGGGCATTCCCGGTTCGGTTTGTAACAAAAGCCGAAGGTGCACGCAAGTTTATGACACGGCCGGCAATCAGTGCGTGGGATCTCTTCCGCGGTCCCCGCGCGCTGACAGCTTGCTCTTTACTTGAAGAGGCTACCATGAACTTTGACACTTGACATTCTCATATACCCATAAAAATAGCATCGTTTGACTGTCGTGTAATGTCGTATGGTCAGGGCTTCTATCATCCGTCGCACAACTCTTCCAACGAGCTTTGAATTTGCATGCTTCGGTTGGTCGTTTGCTGGTAGAGATAATGGCTTCACCTCCCGAGGCTTCCACATCAGCAAGCGGGTCGGGATCAAATGCAGGCAACACCGTTCCAGTAGTGAGCCCAAAGGTAATGATAATCTACCAGAGATAAACGAATATCCAGGTTTCTGACTATCCAAAGGATGAAGAAGAAGTGGGCCCAGAGGTTGCGGACGAGGAAGAAGAATTGGCTTTTGACGGAGATTCCACCTATGGCGCATACTCAGATGCAACTGACACAGGTAAGTTACCTTTTTGGAAGAATAATAAACCACTTCTGATATGATCAGAAGTGGTTTATTACTCTAGACATATTTTGAGGGTGGATTGCTCCTTAAAGACATGCCTTAACTACCGTGGGGCATTATTTCGACTTCATATTTGACCATGCCAGGCAATACTGACTCCGAGGTCTTGACCTACAGCCTCTCTCACATCGAGTATTATGAAATTTCGTGAAGAAAATGGGAGAACTTACCATTCCTTCGGTAGAGTGACCCACTCCCCACCGGTTGGATTTGAAAATGCTAACTTGCTGTAGGCTCAACTGACCATGTAAGTGGTCAAAACTCGGATTCTCAATTGTAATTCTTGGATGCACCCATTAGAAGCAGTCCACAGCTTGAAATAATATCCAAATATGATACTAACATAAATTTTGTTCTTGTAGTGGGGCCCAAACGATGAGCAGGCAAAATATCAGCAAGACATCAGGTTTGTGTCAACACGACTACAATTCTGTGCAATTTCTTACTTTGCCTTTGTAGTCATCACTTTTGGTCAATGATGCTTCGGGGAGAGCTTTATGAGGCTCCGGTGAAAAACCCACACGTAAGTACCTGCCTTGATAGATGAGTTCATGCTCGGACTAAAACCACACTGCAGCGCATATTAGACGTCGGTACTGGAACAGGGGCGTGGGTAATGTATGGACATTTCTGACCCCCTAGAAAAACGATTCTAACATTCAAAGCGACGTCGCAGAAAAACACCCAGAAGCAGATGTGAAAGGCATAGACGTTTCTCCGATTCAACCCACATGGGTACCACCTAATGCCAGGTTTGAACTAGATGACTATAATTTGGAGTGGCAAGACATAGACAAATACGATTTGATCCATCAGCGAGAACTTCTCGGCTCAATCCCAGACTGGCCCAAATTCTACAGGGAATGTTTCAAGTAGGTTCAATATACTTGTTTCGGGTTTGTGTATTGACACCACCTAGAGCGCTCAAACCAGGCGGATGGATAGACTGCTCCGAGCCCGGTCTGTACTTCGAGTCATTCTATGACACTCTCGGCGAAGACCATGCCTACAAAACATGGGGAACCGCAATGTTCGAAGCTGGAAACAAGGCAGGACTGAGTTTTGACGTTGCTCCATATATGAAGGGGTGGCTGGAGGACGCGGGGTTTATCAATGTCCGCGAAAGGAAATTTTGCTGTACGATTGGCAAATGGTCAAAAGATCCCTGGGAAAGGGAGGTTGGTGTGTGGGAGCAATTAAGGCTTGACGCTGGATGCCAAGATTTTTGCGAAAGAAGATTTATGAACGAACTGGGGTAAGGCCATGTGATAGAACACGTCCGAAGACTTGTTCGCACGCTAATTGACAACAGTTGGCGAGCGGAAGAGGTTACAGTCTTTTGTGCGCGGATGAGGACTGCACTCAAGAACAATAGACTGTTGGCTCATCACTGGTTGTAAGCTTGACAGTATACGAAGGCAGGGTGGTTTTGAATGCTGACAGGGTATAGTCACTTCGTCGTGGCGCAAAAGCCTTTGGAATAATGCCACCAAAGAGGCGTGTAGAACAAGATACCGTGGAAAGAGGTAAACCGCTTACTGATGCTCACAGGAAATTCAACAATGACTATGTGGGAACCCTTGAAAGTAATATAGTGATTCGAGAAGGCAAGCAAACATACCCGTAGCTGAAAATATAGTCTCCATACGATCCAGTCATGGGAATCACTAGATTCTGCAGCCATTGAGACGAATGCTACGAGCCACAACATAATGTATTGAAAATTCAAATGATCCGATTGAGCACTTGCTCGGCTATGAAGCATGAAGGTTGGCCGGAGTTTTTGAAAGAAAGAAGAAGTGATGTTTTTAGTTTCACACCAAAACATGACCATATACCTAGCTCTTAGATAGTGCATTCACTTTTGGTATGAACCGGCCACCCGACTTTATCAGACCAATCCGAAGCTTCAATTCGCAAGCTGTAGAATTGATATGAGACGAGACTCTAAACATGCGAATCGTCCATCCAGCACTGGATACGATAGCGAAATATATCAACCTCGGCGGGCATCTGATCAATGCTACAATCCCCTTCTAGGCCGTTGAGACCATGGCTTTTCGATCACCCAGTGCGCTAAATCTAGCCAGTCGTACCGTTCACGTCAAGATATATCCAACCGTGAGAAGTTTTGCGGAGCGTCGAGAAGTCCTACGAGTGCTTGAGCAGTTCGGTGAGGTGGCCATGTTCCGTTCATTCAAGGTACGTGAACCAACTGTAGGAAATCTCTCAAATGACTGATTAAGTGTAGTATCACCCTTCGATGCCTGTTCCCAATGCCTTCCTTACATTATTCAACACCGAATCTGCAGCCACCAAAGCACTCAACCAGAGCCCAATTCGCTACAGATTGATGCCCGTATCTTCCGAACCAGACGCCCCGCCCCTTGACTCTACTGTCGAGGAGTCTGACGCCTCCAAGCAAAGCCCCGAGGACGAGAAGATCTTCGAGCTACACGTCTCAACTACCACTTTCGACCATGATAAATACCTCAATAGCCCAGCTAGCAACCCACTACACGGCCCCTACCAACCCGTCAGCCCTGCAACGTCATACATTGCTTCGTCTTTGGATGAAGTTATACCCCCTTCGCTCTGGGCCCCTGGATTGAAAGACTGGGAGACAGACGGCTTCCGCGTGACTGATAGAGAAACCCCGGACTCTGAAGCCCTGTCACAGCAAGGAGATCTCTCCTTAGAAGGGACCGGGAAAGCGTCTTCAAATAGAAGGACAAGTATCGAATGGAAGGTTTCCCAGCGGGAACGGAAGAGACTGCAGATGGCCATACCTGAGATCATGAAAGGACTGAGACCTATGAAGGAAGCATATGAGAAGAGACAACAATCAAATACGCAAGCTTCGCAGAACGGGTAGAAAGGGCTTTGAAGTCTTGAAGGAGACCCAATTTATCAAAAGGATGAGTAAACGGCTCGTCACGCCTTGCTTCGATTGGACGAAGTACAGTGGGTAATAGAAGGCATTGTGCGAGAGACATACGCAGGGTATCTTGGGTTCAAATGTCCCAGCAGAGCAGACTCGTGGTACACTGACCCAAATCAGAGTTGCTTCTGGAGAAGAATCATGTACCGAAGGCTAATGTGATTCTTTGGATAGACTGCAAAATCACACTCGGTAGTTCGAGGCCTATCATACAATGCATATGTCCTATAAGGCACCGTGTTTCAAGCTCGTGTAGATGTATTTGCGAGTACTAACAAATGTAATGCCACGTTAACTTATTTCAGTTAGCCAAATGCCTAGGTGTAGTGCCGAAGTACATATAGAGGAATCCATTAGCAACGGCAATGACGGAGAAACCGACATATTAATGTGCATACTTCCTCTGGCGTGAATTGCGGAAGGGCAGATGGAGAATGAAGAATGAAGAGTGTCAAGATATCAAGCCCTGAAGACCATTCACCAACCTCTGTGACCATAAGTTTTGGCAAACAATATTTCATTGCGAGGGTTTCTAGGTTATATCCATCTGCACTTCGATTTTCCAGCATACATTCATCGTTCCAACACGGCTCACACTACTCGCCCAGTACCATCTTTCAAAGCCTGCTCCAATTTAATCCGTTTCCTGCAACCCTTTTCTCGCACCCACCGTTTCCAGACGCTGTCTATTACCACCAAACTACTCCCTCTGAGACTCCGGCCGAGTCTCGTCCAGCTGGCCCTCGCGTTCCTCAGCCCGGTTTACTCTTGTATTGTGGACTTGCGCCGTCTGTCTCCCTTTCCCGCCGACGACAACATCTCACGATGACCACCAAGATCACCACTTTCTGATTGGCTGCCCCCCTTATCGCTTCTCCGGCTTTCTCTGCTATTTCCACGGCTTAAATTCCTCCGTACATTGTGCCTGACTTGAACCTCGGTCTCTTTGAGCCTGTCCCGTGCATTCTCCAGAGCTAGTAAATTCGGATGTCTTGCTTCCAAACTCTGCTCGTCAATTAAACGGTTCTTCTGACGGATCTCGCTCCACCGACTGAGTCCTCCCATCTCGAGCAAGCACATTCGTCTTGTAGAATGGGTCGGATTGCCAATGATGACTGGTCGCCAGGGCTCTTCTTGGTCGACAAGCCCCTCTGCTGCTCTGGCAGCAGATACTCGACGTGCAACTCGCCATTGACTCATTTCCTCAGACTTAGAGTCGGGAACAATTTGCACTTCTTTGAAACGAGTAAGGACACCTAAAAGTAAAATTGAGAGTACCAGCAGGATTCCGGCCATGACACCTGTTGCAGCTTGGGCACCAAGTTGTCGCTCTGCGACACCGCCCACACCCGTAGCCACCGCTGCCAGCAAGTATCCAAGGCCTTGTGTGATCGCAAATGCAGCGGCTACTCGAGGGAAGGACGAATAGTTGGTCCGTTTACTCGCAGTCATGTCAGCTGATTTGCCCCGTGGACGACCTGTCATGCCTGGCTGAAGATCTGAGGTATCGAAAGTTTCCATGATGATGCCATGGCATTCAGCCATGGCGAGATTGGATAGGAAGCCTATGAGAGCCGCAAATATGATTGGTAGAGCGATTGGAATTGGTGGCCCGTTGGACGAGAGCGTGTACGCCAATCCGGCAAACGGAAGTACCAAGATGAAAATCGCACGACGAACTAAGTGGGAAGACCAGTAGACCCTCTTGTCGAACGTATCATCGTCTGTAGTTCCATGTTTTCGTGAGCGACTGAATAGTGATCCGCTCTGAAAGGGGATGGCGAGCATCGCCCCAACCGGAACAGAAGTAACAGCCAAGCCAACTAAGGGGGATTTAAGCCTGTAGTATTTGGACATCAACGAGCCAAGTAGCTGCGAAATGTCAGCCTGGGTTGCCAAATTTGAGATCTTGCACTTACCAAAATGATCAATACGATTTGTGCATACATCCAAGCAACATACAAAGACATGACAAGGAAACCAGGTTGATGAAGCATTTTTAGGGACAGCACTACACCTGCATGAAACTCCTCGCCCCACCACTTGGGTCCTGTCTGTGCCATATGCATCTTGACTTCACCTCTTGCTAGTCTGCGCGAAACATCGGTTCCATTCTTTACTTCAGTGACTGACCTCCGGTATGCCGAGCGTCGGACTTCTGGCGTGAGGATGTTGAGAAGCAAAACAAGAGCAATGATGATAATGCTGATATAGAAACCCCACGTCGGGTCCAATGTATTGATTATCACGGCCCCGACCATGAAGCCGACACCAATGGACCCCATTGCAGACCATGTCCACAGCCCTAGCCAAATTCCCATCCCACCACCATGACGTCTCACATCAAATTCATCGACAACTTCCTGGTGCGGTTTCGCACTTTGTAGCGACGCTCCAAAAAGATCCGTAAGTGTTGACTTGAAGTTCATATCAGCGAACCCGAGACAGAACCCCATCAGTGCTCGGGAGAGTATCAACCCGACACGCCACCTGTAAACATATGGCGACCGAAACTGGCCAACCGCAATTGCTTGCGGGAACAGCAAGGGCATTGCAAGCGACATGGCGCCAAGTATATATGGCTTTCGGCCATGAAGAAGAGGAAGTGGCCAGAAGAAGAAAGTGGGGATAGCTAAAGCGATGAGGAAGAACACATTCCCCAGAACGGTATAGTGATGGAAGTCTACAATGTAGTACTGAATTGCAGGAACCTCTCCAGCGTAGATCCCGATAATAATTCCCACAAGTGCTGTACTGATACATGCCACAGCAGCAGAGAATCGTTTTCGGGCGGTTGACCAATCACGAGCAATTGTCGGCCTCCTGTGGGACCTAGCTAAACTAAATCCTTTCTGCTCCCGGAGACTGACGTGAGATTTCCCACGAAGATCGTGGAGATCTTTGTAGCGGTGTCTGGGCGTATCTGTTTGGGGCAAGTCGGGATCTGGCCTATCTCTCAGTTCGATAGCCTCTGTGACTTGACCTTCGTTATGCTTGCCTGCGCTGTGCTCGCGAGCGCCATACCCAGTCGAGAAATCAATCTCCTCGCCATTTGACAGGGTTCCATCAAAGCTGTGGGCATAAGAGGCAATTGAGCCTGGGCCGACCTTTCGCGCATCAACAGCTAGATCAGGTGCTGGAGCTTCGGCGTTTAATTTGGGGCGCGGTTCTAGGTGCTCCTGATCGATCTCTTGCCATCCTTGCGGATTTCCCTGCACCTTTTTAGCTCGTTTTCTCAAAGCCAGAGAGCTTGCTCGTGGTTGAATTGGTAAACGACGGAAAGTGTCGATATGTGAACGTACCTCTCGCCTGTTAGGTACAAACCTTTCCAACAGCCTCGCTTTGATTGTCTCATGCTCAGCCTTTGAGTGGCTCCTTTGGCAGACGTCTATGATAGAACAGCCAGTAAGTGATAGAGGACTTTGGGGTTTCCTGGCTGAAGTGACGCGTTCTAGAGGGTTTGCAAAAAGCTCGCGCTTATTTACATTGCCCACAGGGGTTCCGGGCTCAAACGTAGCATAGTTTGCCGATACTCGCTGCATATCAGGACCACCAGAGGATCGTTTCATAAAAGTTCGCTCTGGAGGAGGATCAGTTTCCGTAGGCTCAGATCCGAGATCGCCGCCCACTTGGATATTATCGCTCCTGTAATTGCTGTTGCTCTTAGCGAGAGGAACATCTAATGAGATAGACTCTTTGGAATCAGGCAGAGAATTTGGCGGATATGGAGTAGATACCCGGCCTGTGGGTGGCCATCCGGAGGGGCGATCTGTCCCGGTGGGGTTTGAGGAAACGGAGAGACTCCTAGCACGATCTACACCTTGTTTATCCTCAAATTCTTGCTGCTCCCGATGCGTTGCCTCAAAGTTGTCGCTAAGATCAGAAGTACTTGATTCAGAATAGCGCCTCAGGCTCTCATGAACACTGGGGACACTGGATCCTTCGGAGAATCCTTTTCTTTGACCTCTTAGCATCTTTACCGCGTCCTCTAAGATACCTGGCACTTTTGTAGTGTTTTCCCTGTCAGCGGCTTGGCGGGCGATGATAAGTGCCTCACTAAGGAGATTCTCAAGATCGTCGATTGTTTTTGTGAAAGCTTCTGAAGCATTTGTGGTCATCTCAGCTTTTGACCCATCGTGTTCTTCATCTGCTGTCGGGAACGACCCAAGGAACAACTCAGGTACTGGCTTCTCTGGCGCTGTTTGAGACCTGATACGTCCTGTTTCTGTGTTTTCATCTCTTCGAGATCTCGGTGGTAGAGCTGTCAACCGACACTGATAAGGTTCATCATTCAATAACAAATCCTTGAGCCAATGGACTGTGCTCTTGAGACTTGGGTTGTTCTCGTCTTGTGCTTTGGAACCCGCTCCAGGGGCTTCCAGTAAGCTAGCAGATGATATAGAACGTAGGGGACTAAGCTGACCATATGAGCGTTTACGGGAAACAGTGTTCTTTGTAGACAGCTTTTGAGACGAATTCGTATCACTGGTCTTGGAGACCAAGATACGATTCCTCGAAGATTTGCGAGTGGGTATTGCATGATACCGAGGTGACTTCCAGGAAGCTGAATACTTGAACCTGGTTTTTTCTTTCTCCGGTTCTTGTTCACCAAGAGGGAATGTTTTCAATTTGTTGGGTGATAGTGATTGTGATATCATGCTCAAATCCGCATGGGTTTCGAAGTTGGATGCATTACTGCCGATGTTGCCATATCGTCCGTTATTGGTATTAGAAGCCCTGTCTCGCTTAGGATGAGTGCTCCTTTGCGGCTTACTTGAGAGCTCATCCCTAGGATTTCTTTGAGGATCTGCTGAGCTGTTACTCGCTGATAATCCAGGAGATTCAATAATTGATTCGGTGGGTCGGGGTGAGATTGAAGGTTCGTTCTTCCACATTGCGGATTGCTGGAGATAGTCGTTCGCCGTCCGAGCGGCCTCGGACAAAGACTCAGCGACGGGATTTCGATGTGCATCAGAGGCCGTATCTTGCTCAAGTCTTGGCACGGTGTCAACGAACTCGATGACGGCCTTGAGATTCGCCGGGTCACCAGCAATGGTGGAAGGCAAAGCTTGAATTATCAATAGATCTGTTGAATCTGGACTATGGTCTGTGCTGACTTCGCTCATCTTTCTTTTCTGCGAGGACGGAGCTTGTTCTAGGTCTTCAGTTGTACTAGTCCCATCCTTCTTAGTTGCCGAGATTGAAGTTGAAGATGAAGTGCGTAGACTCTGGGGAGCGGGGTTGTCACGAGGCTGAGGACTGGTCTCAGCCAGGGTCGGTTTTGTGTCGACAGCTACAGCTTCGATGATTGAAAAACTCGTGACTTGCTGGAGAGTGGCATGTCTAGAGAAGTCTTGGAACCTGGTTCTGGCACCATCAAGCTTGGAAACATCCCCAGCGAGTCCATCAGTTATTATTTTGAGATCCTGCTGTAGATGTATGCTTTGTCCGAGGAGAGACGTAGACTGTGTGCGTCTAACTTGATTGGGTACCTCGGGACTGGTCTCGAAGCAAGTTTTGATTGAATAATCCTGCTTCCTTTTGTTTTGCAGAATCAGTCGAGGAAACTTGAATTTCTTTGGGGTTTCCTTGGGCTCCTCTGACCCTATAGACACCTTGTGGGAATGCAGAGGGCAGCAATCACATTGCTCTGCGTCGTCGATAGCAGTTGATATGTCAGCCTCGGAGCTTGAAGGACGTAGTGTAGGGTCGGTAGGCCTGCGGGATGTGCCACCGTCCATAATGGGGATGGTGCTTTGGATGAAAGCCACGCTTGCTTCCGGTAAAGATCGGGTGGATTCTCTCGCCTCGTGAAGAGCGGATTTAGCTACACTTTGTGTAGAGCCAAAATCAAAGGCATCAACAGCATCAGGGTCGTCAGAGAAGGAGTGGAAGTGGTCGTCGGATGAAAATGGGGTTCGTGGTGGGCGATGAGTGTTTCGAGAGAGCAAGAGGGATCGAATGCGGTTCGAAATGTCTTCGTTGACTGGAGAACTCCTGAGATTATCGAGACCGGTGCTGGTGATTGACGAGGTACGTCGCGACGGAGTGACCTCAGCCGGCCTTTTGGGGGAGGAAATCATCAATGAATAAAGATAGAAAGCAAAGAGGTGCTAACATCAGTAGATAGCATCTACTGAGTGAGCCGTGTAATGATGAACGGAACGTGCTAGAAAGAAGGTGGAGGTGTAGGTAAAGATGGGGATGGAGATGGAGATGAATGTGAAGAGAATGGAAATAGAGGCTTGCGAGGAGAAAAGGCATTTGATGTATATCTAAGTTTGAAAGGAAGGAACTACCTAGTTAGTAGCCCATCGCATAACTCAACCTCGATGGTCTGGGAAACGAGGCTTCTCGGAAGGAGCGACGGAGGGCATCAGTGCATCACAGCCCGTCAAAAACAGCGACAATAGGAACAGCAAAAAATATCATGCTCATTAAGAGCACTTGCTCATGGAGACTCGGCTTCACGTTAAGCTGGAGCTCATTGAAATGCACATCCACAGGTTTAGTAGAATTGCTATACGAATAATAGCATCAACGTCTTGCACCACCGAATTCGCCCTTTATTACTGTAGCCTGTACCTTTACACCCCACAGTGCTACCAATACGAATCTGATGCAACTATCCGAATACTGTTGTCATTGAGTATCAGGAGAATGATCTTGAGGTTCTGCAGAATTATGAAGTACATAAGAGATGAGGACGAGGTTGGTTCTGTAGTTGAGGCACGCCATTCCATTTCCATGCAACAACCCCTGATTGTTTCACTGACCAATCGGGATCCCTTGGATCAGCCCGTCAGACTTGTACCGCTATCGAAACCTCCCCTCCCACCCCACCTCTCGATAACAACACGACGATAATGTTAATGACATGTTCAGAACCATCCGAACTTTCAAAGCATTGTTCAGACCAAACCACCATCCATTCATTACCACGAGATCAATAGCAAGCATGGCCAATCTCCTCAAGAAGCCCGTGAAGCTCGCATTAATCCAATTAGCCAGTGGTTTGTCCCCCTCCCGCCTCCGAATCCCCTCATCTAACAACCCCCCAGGCGCAGACAAATCCGCAAACCTCTCTCATGCCCGCGACAAAGTCCTCTCCGCAGCCTCTGCCGGCGCAAACATAATCGTCCTCCCCGAATGCTTCAACAGTCCCTACGGCTGCGACTACTTCCCCAAATACGCCGAGACCCTCCTGCCCTCGCCCCCCACCGCCTCACAATCGCCCTCATTCCACGCCCTCTCCGCTATGGCCGCCGAATCAAAGTCCTATCTAATCGGTGGCTCCATCCCCGAATTTGAACCCTCGACAAAGAAATACTACAACACATCCCTAACCTTCTCGCCGTCCGGTGACCTAATAGCAACACACCGCAAAGTGCACCTCTTCGACATTGATATCCCAGGCAAAATCACCTTTCGAGAATCCGACATCCTATCTCCCGGAAACAATATTACGCTGGTAGATCTACCGGAATACGGAAAATTAGCTATAGCAATCTGCTACGACATCCGCTTCCCGGAACTCGCAACGATAGCCTCGCGCAAGGGGGCCTTCGCGCTCATCTACCCCGGCGCTTTCAACACAACCACCGGCCCCCTACACTGGAGACTGCAAGGACAGGCTAGGGCTATGGATAACCAAGTGTATGTAGGGTTGTGCAGTCCGGCGAGGGATACGAGTGCGAGTTATCATGCCTGGGGCCATAGTTTGGTGTGTGATCCAATGGCAAAGGTACTGGTTGAGGCGGGAGAGGCGGAAGAAACTGTGTATGCGGAGTTGAGCGGGAGCGAAATTGAGGCGACGAGGAAGGGCATTCCAATTTACACGCAGAGGAGGTGGGATGTTTACCCGGATGTCAGTGAGGGGGCGAAGGTGGGGGATGAGGTTTAAGTGTGCTTCAAAATGCGTAAAGATAAAAGTCAACATCATTAATTCAAACATGTACTTGTTATGTAGTATGGGAGCCATATTAGCAACCCCCTTCCAATATACTAACCAGCACGACCTCTATATTATGCTTCCAACTTCACCTAGGTAGCTCAGGAAATTTAGGCAAGTCAATGATCTAGTGTTGATGAATGATCCAATGCATTTAGTTTTTTATTCGCCGTGCCAAGCAGCTCTAGGCAATACGTTGAATCTAATAAATCATTAGGGGCAATTCTGCCACCAAAGCAAGAACTTTTGTATCATGTGGTCTCCCATTTCCATCCCACCGGTCCCATCATGGTATCATAGCACAAACTGCTTTTCCCGTCTATGCACCGTCAAAATTCATCCCTTATTTGAAAATGAGCTCCTAGTTCAAAGCGTTCCGAGCAAAGGTAGGCAAGATGAAGCTAGCCTCATGGATCGCCTTGTTGTAGTATTTGCAAAGCTTGTTCTCCTCTTCGGGGGTCCAGCTACGCAGAGGCTTCTTCAAATCGCGATTGGCGTCCTTGCAGCAGACCATGAAGCCGATTTGGCCAGAGGGATAGGTGGGGATGGTGGTGTATGCGTATTCGACGGTTGGGAATACTTCTTTGCAGTCTGCCTTTAGCTTGGTGATGAGTGGGAGGTGGAGCCATTGGTTTTCGGCTAGCGAGGAACGTTAGTGTGTGTTATGTATGAGAGCAAGAGAATTTCATATGGAATGTTGACAATGAAAAATATTGGTATGTGAAAAGGATACGCGCAGCATTAAGAAAATACCGAGAAGGCAAGAAAGAAGAGAAAAATAATAGGAACACATGATAAAATCACCAAATCCACGCTAATAAAGGAGAACGTACAACCTTGGGTCGTAATAACGCCTCCTTCTCGGAGAGCCCCAAAGAGCAGCTCAAAGTAAGGCTTTTGGAACAAGCTCTCAGCTGGCCCCTCTGGGTCCGAGGAGTCGGTGATGATAACATCAAAAGCATTCTTGTAATCATCTAAGAACTTGAAGCCATCTCCCACGTGAACCTTGACCTTAGGGTGCTGGTAGCTAATTGACATGCCTGGCAGGTATTGCTTTGAAAGGCGAATGACGGCCTAGAAAGAATTCAGCTGCTGCGGGGTATTCTCCGGGATTAGGCTTGCTTACCTCGTCAATGTCGCACAGAATTGCCTCCTCGACGCAGTCATGCTTGATGACTTCACGCAGCACACCTCCATCGCCACCACCAATTACCAGAACCTTCTTTGGATCGGGATGGGAGTTCATGGCCAAATGGGTAATCATTTCCTGGTATGAGAACTCGTCTCGCTCGGTACATTGGATGACATTGTCGAGGACGAGGACAACTCCATAGTTGGTAGACTGGAAGATGAGCACATCCTGGTATTTGCTCTTTTCGTGATGGAGGACCTTCTCAACCTTGAGAGTCATAGCCTGGCCGGGCCACATTTCGGAAATCTCGCGGAACCAGCCATCTGTAGAGGGAAAGAATTGTCAGCCTGATGGAACCATATTTGGGAAACAATTATTCAAGGATGATTGCGTGCAGCATGTGTAGAGGTAGCACGATCTTGCCAATCAAAATCGGGTAATGTGGAGTGAGGGGTGGTTCAATCGCAGGGTTATAGAGCTCGCAGCTCGCAGTTGCCACTTGAAGCCATGCGGACACCAGATCATTTAGTCCCATTTAGAAACACGCTGCTGGTGTGTGGGCATCTTGCTCGGGAAGTATGCAAGTGCATGGCGCGGCGCGGCGATGAAACCAAATGGCCAAGGAGGGGTAGGTAGGCCACAGATTGCGCTGCCGGCTGGGGCTGATGCTGATGGCTTCTTATGTTCTCGCCCTCGTGTCTGCAAAGGAGGAAAAAAGGACGAAAAGTGATTTTCTGGACATTGACTTACCCTTGATAGTGGGGTGGGTGATCTCTGACATGATGGCGGAGCAGCTCAACAGCGAGCGTGGGACAGAGGTTCTTCTGGGGAGAGACGCGGGGCAACGATAATGCGACAGAGGGCGTGAGTGAGAGTACAAAGGTGAGGGAGAGGGCGAGTGGAGGAATTGACAGTGCTTTGTAGGAGAGGGAGGTCTTATTGACGCAATGACGTTGTAGTAGACGTTGATGTTATTGATGTTATTGTTGTTGTGGTGGTGGTGGTGGTGGAAAAAGAATTTGTTCTTCTGCATGAGGGACGCATGCTTACTCTAGTTTTTCCTTCTGGTGGTGCGAGTTCTTACCTCGTGGCAATCTTGCGCTAAGATATGTCCGGGTACTGTAGGTGAGGTAATGAGATGAGACAGACGGCTATCAAAGGAGAAAAGAGGAGTGATTCCCACGTTTTCTGCAGCGCTGCACTTTAATAATTCTTTAGGTACGCAGCATGCCACTGAAGAACACATCACACAGCATACTACCTTAGCGGTAAGAGTGTATAAAGGCCGTTGCACAAACTACATCTTTACCTACTAAGTACCGTACCATCCTCTCAAATCCTTGCATGTACAGTACTGTATTGCCCGTCTATCCTATCACCGCTCTCCGATTGCGCGCTTCAGAGATCAGGCACAATTGCCCCTACAGTACTCGTTGCTCTCGTCGCATCTGCATCGTGCTGTACTACTCGGTATTACTAATAAGTATAAACACAGCAGTTGCAGTACAGTAAGTACAGTGCAGTGCAAGGCAAGGCAGGTTCCAGCCACTTATAAAGTATATCATTCACCAACCTAGCTACCTACCTGCCTGAGGTGCCTAGGTACCTTCCTTACCTTGGGCTTCCTACGTATACGAGTACGTAGGTCGATCTGGAGTTATTAGTAGGTAATTTCCATATGCTATCTACGGAGTATATGCTAAAATAAATTTACGTTCCTTTCTCCAAACCCTCCTAAACACCTAACATACTCCGCATATTCCGTATCTTAGGATCTTACCGTAAGATAGGGACCTGTCACGCTGCCTGATCCACCACCATCTTTAGCACGCCCTTGAAAGTCTAGACAAAGGTAGGTAAGCACGAGGTCCGCGCACCAAAATAGGCCCGCCCCCTAATCCCAATCCACAACTTCAGTCCTTCTAGCTCTGAGAGCCTGAGCTCAACTTTCTATCCACCGCATCCACAACTCGCTTTCCATTACATCGCTGCTGTACAGTACGGGGACGCCTACGCTTACTCTTTATTACTATCCACCTTACTTGCTTACCTATACCATTGCAAACTTTCCTCTTCCATTACTCTGAGATACAGTACGCCTGGTAAGTACCGAGGTTCTACGCTTCTACGCTGCTCCATCTCGCCTGGCTCGCTCGCTCGACTCCTTTAACTTCGATTACCCTTGACGACAATCCGGATCGGCACCTTAAACCTCCCTACCTTACCTAACCTCTCAGCCGCTGCTTCCACTTTCACTTCCACTTCCATTTCCACTTCCACATCGTCGCTGCAGCGCGCATCCGTTCCCATCTTTCTGGAAACACCGTCACCACGTCTCAATCACCATTCATCATGTGTTTCGGCAGTCGGAGGGACGAAGATGAGTACAAGAAGAGTAAAGATATCGATGCCCAGATCCACCGGGACGAGAAGGACATGCAGAAGGTGGTGAAGCTTTTGCTTCTAGGTACATCCCCGCATCCACGTTCATGAATCACCAGACACTTTTGTACATTGACTAATCACCAACCTTCTTATTACAGGTGCTGGAGAAAGCGGCAAGTCAACGATATTAAAGCAGATGAAATTGATTTACACCAAGGAGGGCATATCGAGAAACGAAAAGGAAGAATGGCGGATTATCATCTTCAACAACCTCCTGGACGGCCTCAAGATGGTAATTGACGCTATGGAAGAGCTGAGTATCGAATTCAAGTACGAAAATACAACAGTAAGTCTTGAAATATCCTTCCTACGTACAGATCGACATAGCGCCAGGCCCGACGCTGATAATTCCAGGTCCATCTCCCCATAATCATGCAAGAAAAAGATCTCAGACCTTTTGAACCCATCCCAGTTGAATATCTTCGCGCATTCAAGGATTTATGGGCGGATCCGGGACTTCAGCAGGCTGTCGAGAGGGGCAACGAGTATGCCCTTCATGATAACTTAGACTAGTGAGGGATAGCCCCCAACTTTCATAATGACGGAAGCTGACAAGCCTTTAGCTTTTTCGAAGACCTCGATCGATTATTCCAGAAAGACTTTGTTCCCACCGATCAAGATGTCCTACGAGCCCGTTTGCGAACAACTGGAATTACCGAGACCCTGTTCGACTTAGGTGCCCTACAATACCGTATGTTTGACGTGGGTGGACAACGATCAGAGCGAAAGAAGTGGATTCATTGCTTTGAGGGTGTAAATGCCTTGTTGTTTCTGGTAGCGATCAGTGGCTATGATCAATGTCTGGCGGAAGATAAGGATGGGGTAAGCGTATTTGTGTAAATTTGGGAATGAAATGCTAACGTCCTCGATCAAGAACCAAACACAAGAAGCTCTCATGCTTTGGGAGTCGATAGCCAACTCACATTGGTTCAAGAGCTCCGCGCTTATCCTGTTCCTGAACAAAATTGATTTGTTCAAGGCCAAAATTACCACGAGCCCCATCACCAAATTTGGCTTCTCGGACTTTCAGGGCGACGTTTCGAGCTGGCAGCAAACAAGCAAGTACTTCATGGATAAATTTGTTGCTCTCAACCGGAATCAGACCAGGGAGGTCTACCCACACTTCACAAATGCTACCGACACAGATCTTCTGAAAGTTACAATGACCTCGGTCCAAGACATGATCATTCAAAAGAATCTTCAAAGACTCATTTTGTAAAACGCCCGACATCCCACACATTTAATACACATTCTGATAGTTGTAAGAATTTGAGTCAATGGGATTGGATTTATCTACCCGCGAACAGAAGCAATTTCATGCGCCATAACGACTTTGACGAACTTTTTGATAACTACTTTACAACAATACCCTCTAGACGTTCCGTTCCTTCCCTCGATGCCTCCTTCCACTTCGGACATATGAGTTTCTTGTATATCAACGAGGCAATATCCTACCCGAGCGCGCCAATAGGTTTCTTTTGTTTTGCATATGGAGATGAGAATTGGAGGCTTAGGATTTTCCACATTATTTGGTTCTTTGGCACACGTGCCCCCTTCCCTACTATACGCAGTCCTCGCAGGCGTCGGCGGTTAATCAAGTCAATTATTTCACCAACGCGAAGGCCCCACATTCCTACTTCGAGCCGGCCTGTGTTTTTCTACCGCTTTTTTTATCTACGGAAGTATACTATGGAGGGTTGAAGGAAAGTGGTTCTTTAAATGGCGCTAGAATCGAAGCTATGATAACCGTGTAAATAGAAATGAAGCAAAAGCATCCAAAGAGCCTCCTGACTCGTACTTCGTATCTCAATGCCACGTTTCTTTGCCCATCAAATCCTCTTCTGGACGGCGAGTATGTAACTAGCTGAGGCAAGGCAAGTAATGTTTACCCCACCACCATCGGCGATCGTCGCTCCTACAGACTGGCCAAGGAAGGGCCGAAGCAGAACGAGGCGACGCGAGGCGAGGCAGGCTGCATCGGCAGTGCCTAGTCTATATGGTTTGGGGGCGAAGGAAGGTAATCCATGCCAATGAATTAGCGAATGCTACAACCCTTCCGGTACGTCCCAGACTCCTAATCTCCTAGGCCCAGTTCCATTTACCGACCCTAGTACAACTACCAGCCTGTGGGGTCTAGACATGATCATCTTGACCGTACGGAGTAGCCCCTGAAAAGCATTTGCATTTGATGCTTGCTCGTTCTCGCTCGTTCTGGGTTCTGGAGCCAAGATTTTCTACTGCAAGTAGTCCTGTCGTCCGATTAATCTCGCAGATGCATGAAACTTTGTCTCATTCAGGATACGTGCAGCCTGAGTACCACGTGCATGGAAATTATAAGGGGGGCTGTTCGGCGTTCACCACGTTGTGCAGAGCCCTGGCCTCTAGGGGTTGTTCATTGAACATGTTTCATATTACGTAGAATGGAAAGGCGCGCGTTGAAAAGTAGCGGCCATAGGTATCGGTACTTTAGGATTGTAATTTACGGAAACGGAGTAAGTGCCTATCTAGAAGTACCCTAGCGATTGAACGGCTGCAAGCTTCCGTTAGTGCCGATCATGACAGTTTTTTTTTCAACACCCCTCCCCCAACCCAACTCAACCCAACCCCCACCCCTTTGATGGCTACCTTATTACAGTAGTAAATACGGTACTGTACTCCTTTGCGCCACCTTTAACACAAGGGGAGTCAAGAAATGATATTACGGAATACTACCTCCGTATACTGTATCCATAGCCCTCTCGCGGTGTCTTAGTAAGTAGCGAACTGACCTTATTTACGCGACTCGCAGGTCTTACTTTACTTACTTCGTACTGCATCATCTACCTTGCATTCAGTTTTATGGAGACTATCCGGGGGAATACCACGTTTTAGTGTAAGGGCGGGTCGGGCCCGATGGAACGGCACGGATAGCTGGATAAGGGATAGTTTGCGAATTCGGTGGCTTGATGATCTGTGGAAGCGAGCCGAAGAGCCGTGAGAAGAGAAGCTTTACGGAAGTTACTCCCGGGTCCCGGGTAATCGTGTTGTTAATTAAGTGCTACGGACGGAGTATAACTCCAAAAGTCTCTACCTTCTAAATTACTTGTTTATATTAGTATGGATAGACAGAATTCCGTATATATAACTAGCTCTTTACTCTATTATATCTTATAGCAATAGCTTAGCTAAGCTATGACAAGTATATATCGCCGATTCTGAGCTTTTAAAGGAGATATAAACTATAGAGTTAATGCCAAGAGACTATAGGGCTTAAAAAAGCAAGTACTTATAGCGGGATACTAGCTTTCCTTATGGAATTCCAAGACACCCAGTCCTCCATAATAACGTTCTGAGACAGGAAACTCGAAGGTGATATTCTTTGCTTTTTCTTAATTGTACTAGACATGCAGTCTATAACACAAACGTCTTTAGTATCATACCGGCATAGCATCCGTACATCCGGTTTGCAGGCAGTAGTGGTAGAAGCACTAGAAGTTACTAGTTATATATATCGCTGTACTAGACTTTAATAAGAGTTTGATATACAATCAGACATTTCTATAGAAACTGTCCACATCTTTAGAGTCATTTCAACTTAATAGAAGGTCTCGGCTACTACTATTTCAATGTGAGTTACTAATACTTCTGGTAGGTGGGGTGATTTTGAAGACTACTGCTCTTCAAGTAGTTGTATTTGAATCTTTATATGCACTACTTTTTCAATTTTTCTGTTGATTCGTCTCCTGATGTATGTATCTGGAATATATTCTAAGGTAGATATTCGAATATCAGAATCCATGCTCCGTGCAAGAAGCAGTGAAGACTTGTGGAATTTGCAAGTTGAAGTCCATTTATCACGTGCGGGTTGGTCTAAGTCTTTGACGACATCCTTCCTCGCTCCTGCCCATCTTCATCCTAATTCAACAGTTTTAAAGATATGTTATCCTCGTCTTAACATCCTCTTTGTAACATTATCATCTGTTTTCATAGACTGTTAAAATGCGCTTCGTCTTTTCATCTACCTGGGTGCAGCTTGTTTTATTCTTGCTCCGTGGATCCCTCAAATCAAGGGCCGCAAATTGGTCGTATGATGATGGCTTCGAATGATGGCACTTGTTCTATTTGCTTTAAATAATGAGTACTTTTGGTGTTCGGTTGATAAGAAAGGTGCAAGTGGCTGGCACTAAGGCGCGTCTCTGGCGGAGTCAAGTGAATTGCTATAACAAGCAGCTTCTGGATTTCTCATGCCGCCGGACATTCCTATCTTGCATGCATACCAGCTTTCTTTTTCAGGTTTTTTTTTTTCTGCCTTCCCTTTCAACATCGCTACACAATCACGCAAGCTCATTGGACACCAAACCTGCGGTCATCTGGACGCATTTGCTGTATTTCTCTACATTGCAAAGAGTCAGGTCTCTCTACCTTTGCTCACTCTCAAATCTTGCTCTCAGAAAAACACAGCAACAATGGTGGTAGCTCTCAGAGATCGCCTGTCGGTGGACGTGAAGACGTGGGTTGAATTTTACCCTGTGGTTTCTACCTTGAATTTGCTAATGACTTCGAAAGAAAATTTGCACCGGAGCATTTTCTTCAAAGGATCCTCAGAGATGGAGTCTTCCACTGCTTTAGAGATGGTGTACACCCACCTTGCACTTGTACGGAATGCGAGAAACAATTTCTCTCTTCGCGCTTGCAGTCAGAAGACGTCTTCACATATTCGAAATCCTTGTCGTACATCGAGGCAGAGAACCTTGCCGGGTCTCTTGTGAGCGATGTCGCCAGCGATATCCAATATCTCGAGCATCAATGTACCGTTAATGGAGGGCTTATCATGAAACGGTGGAAGAAATTCGCACTGAAGCGGAAGAATTATTTGCTCCAAGGTAGATTTATCCAACTCCTTCAAATATTCCTTTCCGGTCGACGTAACCACTGCGTTAAATAAGCTAGGCCGATGCAAGTAATAGTTAACCCTAACATTTATCCTCACCAGTGGTGTGATGCTTACTTTGCGCGCGACTTTCATCTCGAAGCAATTAAACTGTCAGCGATAGGCGTCATACCGTACGATTTTACTCCAGGGAGGGCGAGACGAAGTCACAAGAACGTTTGCCTTTTACCTTATCTCAACCTAGAAGGACTCATGAACGAACCTGCAAGGTTTCTAAGCTTGCTCTATAACCGAACTCATTACTCTCCTCAAGATTGGGCACCTTACGACAATCTCATAATCGACAAGCAATTCGAGCTGGGAGCCTTGGAGACTTTCTACAACCGCAGCTGTATCACAATGCATGGAGAAGAGTATGGAAAACTGACCGAGTGGCAGGAAGAGAAAGCCCATGGATGGAACTACATCGGGTTTCCCAGGGGTATTCTAATTCTACAGGCCCAGTAACCACTTCTTCGATTCCTTCGAAAACTTGTAGACCAAGTTCTTGTAGGAACGAACGGAAATGGGGCTCCTGGCAAAATCAACGCCATTGCGAAAGCTTTTGAACTTGGCTTCGAAAGGGCCAACGAGACGTCCAGCGCAGTGGAATTTGCGTCGGCATACTTAAATCAACCCTTTTCTACTCCACCAGTCTTTGATCTGCAAGCTTTATTATCTATCGCTCAGTGTCAACTGAATATGCATGAGGATCACCTCTGGCTCTTACAAACAGATCCAGCATATACGCGACGCTACATTCCTCATGTACTAGCAGGACAGTTTGGGCAGATTTTAACCAAGAACTTTAAGGATGTAATGGCAGGATCGAAGCTAATGCGAGATGCAACTATATATTGGTCTTGGGAGGGGATATTGGAGGAGGTTCAGAAGGTTCGGGATGTGCACCTGAAATTCAAGAGTGTTATACACGCGGACGAATCGCTGCCTGAGCCCTATGAACGTGCTTTGGCGTCTCTTGAGGCACTTCTCATCTATCAGATTCAATACCGGTCAAAGTACATACAAAGGATTCTTCCCTTTCGGCCTGGATTTCATCAATACTTCGAATTCATCAACATTCCACACCTCCATTCGACGGCTGTATTACCGATACGCCAAGACAACGCAACTTCTATCTTTGAAGTATTCTTCAAAGATAAGTTGGACTGGTGTCTTAGAACGCTGGCCGGTCAAAATACTGATTACGTTGAGGAGTGGATCCCTGATGCTACACCTCGGCACAATCATGCCATGATATTTGCGGTGTTAGATGAGCATCTAACCCAATGCCTCAAAGAGGGTCGAAAAGAGGAGGTTGCTCGTCTAGATGAAGTTCTTTATTCTGAATATTCGGATCTCGCTGCGGTCCATCAAATGCTTGACATGGTAGGCTTGCACAGGCCCCGCTGCGCTCGGCGCGATCTCCAAGGAATTGGGATTTCAGAGACAAGCAAAGGCTGGCGTTATGTCAAGAAGCACTTCTTCGCTCAAGACCCATTGAGGAAAATGAAGGTTGGACCAGATGGTCTGTGGCACGATAATGGACATGTTCCTATGAAGGAAGCTGAAAGTCAGAAGATCGTGACTGAACAACGACTAGCAAAACTCATGAATGATTTTCTAGCTACTCCAAACCCCACAGGTTCCCGAATTCAGCAAGAGTGGCTTGACCAGGATGCCTCCCAACGAGCTGCGCTTTCGCAATTATGGGCCGGAGCGCGTGATCGTCATCGAGAAACACTGCAGCGCCTCGAATTCGACGAAAACGATATTGTGTCGGACTTGAAAGTTCTATCTGCAGCTAGCCACCCAGACTACATTAGAAGCGTACGAAACGAACGAGACGAAATCAAAGCTAAGATTGTGCAGCGAACGCGGAAACATCAGATGATCAACGAGCAATTAGGAGCGTTGAACCTTGAAGCTCATAGCCCAAATATCACGCCCAAATTCGAGTTCAAAGAAGTAAAGGCAAAGATCAAGACTCGTTCAGTGGCAAACCCGCTAATGATTCCGGGAGGAATTTCCCCATCTCTATCCTTATCCGAGTTGGCTCAAGAGCTCCCAACGCACATCCAAGTCTCAGTAAGCAAGAGCGCACTCGGTATATTCCATTCCATGTTTAAAAGCAGGAACTCTGAAGAAGCATCACAGAAATCGGTCAAGTGGGACTCGTTTGTACTTGCCATGGCCGAGCCGGAACTGGGGTTCGTTGCTCGCCACAGCGCCGGCGGATCTGCTGTCCAGTTCGAGCCGAATGAGAGATCGAAATGGTTTGGAGAGGGCAAGATTGTTTTCCACAAGCCGCACCCTGTTCCGATTATTGATCCTGTTATGCTGTCTTCGATGGGCAAGAGGTTGAACAAGTGGTTCGGATGGGATAACGAGACCTTTTTATTGAAAGGGGGGAATTAGCATGGAGGAGAAGCCCTTGGTAGGTAGTTGAGAGAGGCTGGTAGTTCAGGGCTTAGGACTGGATCAAGTTGTCATGAGGAGGTCTGTAAAACGAATTGTGGAATTCTATTCGGAATTGCGCCAATGTACTACGACGTATGGAGCCGGTCGAGCGTATTTCAGCTCAGCAGACATGTATTTTTGCATCTCGCTCAAGCAATACATACAGGAATTTGGGTTGATAGTTCCAATAGCGCTTTCCTGTGTGTGTGAAGCTGCAATAAAATTGATTTTCTAAATGCTTATTTGCGTTCTCGCGCTCGAGGTAAACTGGAATTGGAGTCTCAGTATGTATACATTCTTCGGCCCCTCGCAATGGAAAATCTCCCTTAATGACACATAACAATCAATACATTTACAACAAAGACATCGCTCGATGCTTTAAAAATGTTCGAAGACAGACGGAATTTGGAAGTGACGACTTTGGCCTAAAGCCAAATATTCATCTCCGGTAGCATCTCGCATAGCTTTAGAAAGGCCACTCAAAGCAGGTAATCTATCCTTCGCGAGCGTGTCATTCGTATCGCAATACCCCTGGATGATATTGGACCAGAAATGGTACCAAGAATCAATGCTCGAAGGAAGAAGGATTGGAAGATTGAATCTCGGTGGCGGGGATTCGGACTCCGCGAATTCACCTCTTCTGCATTGGCATGAGATCTGATCGCTGCCGTAGGTTACTACCCTGTTCGACAGAAGACGTTCTTGCAATGTCCATGCTCGTTTGTATAGAGGCTCTTCTAACAGTTGTCCGCCATTGTAGTATGGAGTAACATAGATCTAGTCATCATTTGTGGCCTTGGAACCCTGTTGCAAAGGGATTCGAGAGCACCATTGTTGAGCAAGCCATCTATCTTGGAAAATCCCTTGATAAACATTCACTGCTCCCGCCGCAGCTATAGTGAAAAATGCATTGCCATATATATCCCGTTCATTGATATTCAAACACGTCGTAATTAGATTTCCAGACACTCCCCAGCAGTAGCTCAAGGCTACATATCGAGCCCCGTTCCTTTCCTCTACAGTCAGATCCTTGGAAAGTATCAAGTGTGGTTCTACAGAGCCATCTGAACAATTAACATCGATCAAGCGTAGGGGGAGAAAGTGTTCCATCTCTGGTGTTTCCTTGGTTCTGCATGTTACTGTCTGGCTTGATTACCGGTAGATATAGGGATAGGGGTACAGTAGCGCATCGCTATCTGGAGCGTAGCGTCAAAACTCTGTGTGCGAGTCTGTCATGATGGCTCGAAATGAGGGGAGATGCCTTACTTAAACATGCTTTGAAACGAGAGAGTAATGTGGTTATCGTCCAAGACAGTACACAGAGTTGTAATAAATACTCGCCTCAAAACACCACGTCTACACTACACGCCTTCCATCCACCACCCGATACGCGTGATGCAGATTACATTCACCCTCACGGTGTTGTCATGCGTTACTGAGTCCTGTTCTATTAATCTCTTGCGCGCGCAAAAGAGCCAAAACCAAGGCAGGACACGGCACTACAGGGCAATCCATGTTATTGTCACAGATCTCGAGTCCAATTTCAGGGCGCCTGTCCAATAGCATACCGGGCGCATAACAGCCACCTATCAGCCACACATACCCCTGAATCTCAAGCCGCACTTAGTACGTCACTAGGTGCATTCAGAGGCCAACTGCCCCAGATTCCAGATTGCCAGCAGGGAAAAGAGCAAACCAAGGCAGGGGCCCTGTCTCGTAAAGCCTCGGTTCGTGTGCTGGTCGGCGCTGATGTGGCAACCCCTTGCCCTGCATTCCTCCAAGATGTGATGTCCTGAGCCCATAAAACCGTTTGGATAAAGTCTGGCCTTTTCCCACTTCTACCTTCTGGTCCTTTACGTCTGTGTTTCCCATTCTCTCCTTCTCAACCAGCCAATAAAATCTCTGCATAGTCTCACTCGCAATACTATCAATATGGCGAAAACTGGCTTCTTCCACCATATTGGCACTTTCCTCTTGTTTGCAGCCAGCATTCTCCTTCTCATAACGACCATTTCTTCGCCAGTGATCAACAGCATCGGCGTCTTGGAAGTGAAACTTACTAATAGCACCAATGGCCATAATTCCGTTGCCAGCTTTGGAACCTTTGGATATTGTATTCGCCATGCTAGGTAAGTTGCCTGGTGTATCTATTATGTCACCTAGTATGGTGTACTAACACAACCTCAATAGCGGCAACAAAGACTACTGTACCCACGACCACATTGGCTACAATCCAGCTAAAATCATCGAGGGAGCCGACAAGACCGACTTCAACACCGCGTCAACCGATACTACCAAGGCCCTCACCCGTGTCATGGTCCTGCACCCTGTCGCATGCGGTCTTGCCTTTATCGCCTTCCTCCTAGCCGCTGGATCAGGACTCATTGGCGCTGTCGGAGCAGCGCTGGTAACGGCTGTTGCGTGGATCGTCACAGTCGTCGTCATGTGCACAGACTTCGTCGCCTTCGGAATCATAAAGCGACACATCGACCGCGATGGCAGTGGAAGTCGTGCGCGTAAGTAACCCTTGTGCGGAATCTTCTGATGAGTACGAAGCTGATACCAAGATCTAGACTTTTCTACCGCCATGTGGACACTAGTGGCTGCTATGATCTGCCTCTTCCTCGCCTTCTTCATCGTCCTACTCACATGCTGCTCAAGCAGAGTTCACAGGCAATCTCACGTCTCGAAGCACGCAGATGCTGGATATGCGAACGGCACGACTACCACAAAAAGGCGGTTCTGGCAGCGACGTAGCCAGTACTAGATGCTGCAATGATTGCTGAGCACAGTATTAGGAATGAAAATGTGATGGGGAAACGGGCAGAATGATATACGATGCAGCCATGATTTCGTTTTTCGTCTATTTGCGATGAGATACCACTTAGCCTGTTTTTACACTAATAGTCATTTGAGAACTTTGATACCAATTCATGAAACAATTTCAACATTTAATCAATTCCCAAATGTCCTAAGTGACAAGCTGGTCTATTCAAGTTACCTTTATTCGTATATCTCCAGCAAGCTAGAAGCGGGCTCCACAATTTAGTATCGCGTATCTCAGGGGCATCCTGTGCTGTGGCCCGATCTCTTAGCCCAATGCGCTCCCCCAGAACAGACAACATCGATTGCAGATAAAATAAGCATGGTACCCTCAAAAGTTTTCCCTCTCAAGGAGGAGTAGGAAAGTGCTGCGCGAAGGACTGCCTTGGCTAGTTGATAAAAAGAACAGGAGGATTGGAATCTTGAAGCAGATAAAGCTCAAATATGAAAATATGTAATATTGTCCAGCAAACATGATAATATACTTATGTAACTTTCCATCGAAGTAAGCCACCGCCATTGCGGGCTCCCTGGAACTGATGCATGCATCTTTCAAGAGCCTGACATTCTCGTTGAGATGGACAGGCCAGAAGGTCCTCTCGAAATACTGTATTTACGACTTCGAGTAAGCTCGTATATTCTTATATGCCAATAGACAAGGCACGAATAGCTGCTAAATACAAGTTCAAAGACTTGCCAGGTCAACTGCAACTTAAACGAGGCAGACCTATATAAATTAGTTCTAGTTCTAATACAATCAGGCAAAGATCGCGGCTGTATCTGTAGGGCAAGCGGGCAGGTGAAGTGAGATTTCGTTGTCGTTGTCGTTGTCGCACCCGCCATGAATGAGGCTTAGTGCTTCGCTTTTATTGCTCCCATCCGCCGTACCCCAAACCAAGGCTGTAGAAGCCAGCCTCGACACGCACGATAGCCTCGTAAAGATCAACTCCTCTTCATCCGTCAACACCACGACCGCCCTGGCAATCATCGCGAGAGGATTATTGCTGCATCCAGCTGCATTAATTACCCGTCTGCTAGAACCAATTAATTGCGCACCACCAAGCTTGCGTGGGCCTTGCGATCATGGAGCCTTCTTCCAAGAAACGACGTCTTCTTGCCCCCAAACTTGCGGAAAAACCACAGAATGAGCAGGTACTGCTCGAAATCACGATCCATATCATACCATTCCTCGCAGCTAACTCAACATCTTTTCCAGTCTCCTCAAGTTCGTTACGATTACAAGGCTATGCCGCCCTTTCAAGATGCCGCACCCCCTCCCGAGCGCACCGACTTCGAGTCCTTCGCTCGGCATCTGCAAGACGCAGCGATGCTCATATATGCGCAAGCCAATCGATCACCATATACAAGCGTGACGGTCTTGATGTTACGATGGGAGGATGATTTGAGCGTCGAGTCAGACCTGTTGATGCTCCAGCAGGTCTTTCGTGATCGCTTCAATTTCCGAACCGAAACCTGGTGCATACCCAGTTGCCCCAACCCCAGCGTCAAACTTACTATGCAAATGGCCTCACATATCGAATATGCTAGACCTGATCATTTGCTAGTTGTCTACTATGCTGGTTATGGTTACATTAGCTCGGATCATAACTTGTACTGGGCATGGTATGATGCAATATCCCAGCCTCGTGACAAATACTGATGATATAGTAGCAATCCTCGCGAAGACTCACCAAGGTTCAAGTGGGAGCATGTCAGATGTCTATTAGAGGACGCTCAATCCGATATTCTACTTCTCCTGGACACTTGTGCTGTTGCAGATGCTCCAACTGCGGGGAATCACGGAGTCAAGCAAGTTATTGCGGCATATACACCAGACCAAGGGGCCCGCGATCCAGGACCACGTTCTTTTACCTACAATCTAGTAGAGGCACTCAACAAGCTTGGGAGCGGGCGCCCTTTCAGCATACAGCGTCTCCACGAGGAGATTGTGTCCCAGAAGCATTACCAGCAAAGAGTACTACATACTGGTCTCCCTAATAGCACCAGTAAAATGGCAGTCGCTCATGAAAGAATGCCTGTGTGCTTTTCACTGACCCCCGGCTCTTTGCAAAGTATTGCCCTTTCCCCGATTGGACAGCAACAGCCTGGCGGATCACAAATAGCATCGCCACTGGGCTCGCCTGAGAATGAAGTACAAGCTTTGCGCAACAACCACGAAACCCAACAAAACATCAAAGTCAACTCTAATTCGGATCTCACGTTTGAGGAAATGAGAGCCCTCGTATGTACTACATTTCTCGGTGAACCAAGTCAAGATATGGCTTCTTTCAAACAGTGGCTTCACAATACCCCTGTGGCCGCTTCGAAGATCGCTGTCGAAGGCATGTTTCATGGGCCACCAACTGTTCTTCTCGTATCGATGCCAATTGCTGTGTACAACGTAGTCGCCGCTGACCGGACCTGCGCTTTCCTCGGCTACGTCAACTCACATAATATGACTACGGAATACCAGCACCTTATTGGTGGCATTTCACCCATTGGCAAAGCGGCAACATTCAAAGAATTAGAAGATGGGAAGATTCTTCTTGAAGCCCGTGAAGCAGCCTCTTCCACTCCCGTCATGGTTAGGCATGACCAAATGCGCCAAGACTCAATGAGACATCAAGAACCCTCAATGATAATGAATACTCCAAACGCACTATCACAAGTGCTATATCAAGAGCAAGGGCCTTCAACTATGCCTGAACATAAAGATGATGTCGAAGATTCGGTCGAGATGCATGAAGCTGCTGAGCAGTTGAAAGCGCTGAGCCATGTTCGGCATGTCAGTCAAGATAATCTTAATGCCGACCGAAATCATTCCCACTTAGCCTCGGAGGGCTCACCTGGGCTGAGAAGTAATCGAGAAGAATCAGCCTCATCCCAAGATCCAGGGGATTCTGGTGCTGAAGACAACATGTACAATTCAGAATACAATTCTCCAGCCTCGCGGCCGAAACCTCGGAGATCAATACAGAAGCAAGGACCGAAGCAAGATACACGATGTTCTTTATGCAGTCATGCACCTTTCAAGGACTCATCTTCTCTCCGTAAACATATCGCAGCCGCCCACACTCGACCCTTCCCATGCGCCTTCTCTTTTTCCGGCTGTACCAGCACATTTGGGTCAAAGAATGAGTGGAAGCGGCATATTGCATCACAGCATCTGTGTCTGACTTACTATCGATGTTCTTCGTGCCCTCAAAGTACAGTGGAAGGCAAAGGCAATGAGTTTAACCGAAAGGATCTCTTTACTCAACATCTTCGCCGAATGCACGCCCCTTTCGCGATCAAAAAGGCCATTGCGAAGGGCGACAGCAAACTGCAACTAGAATGGGAAACGCACGTGAAGGACATGCAAGCTTCATGTCTAGTCATCCGACGTCAACCTCCACAGCGTTCCGCTTGTCCAAAGCCAGACTGCGCAAACGTCTTTGAGGGTGCAGGCAGCTGGGATGACTGGACGGAACATGTTGGCCGACATATGGAAAAAGGAGAAGCCAGCCGACTTGGTGTGGACAGGTTACTTGCAAGGTGGGCGCTTGAAGAGGGGATAATTGAACGCAAGGAAGATGGCGAATACAGGCTCATTGGGACTGAGAGGGAAGGAACTGTGGGAGGCTACTATTCAGATGGGAATGGGAATATAAAGAAAGCCCTGGACGAAAAAGGCGAGGGCGACAGTATGCTTCTCGACGGTTGAGCGGCTTTACACTCACCTAATGAAATTTGTCTGGGGTTCGAGGGTGAATTGGTGTCTTTTGGATGGGATGATATTTTCGGCTCATGGCATACGGTTTAGGAGTTCAAATGTATTTCTTTGGCTGGATCCCTCTTGTAAATTTATCATTTCCTACCCTGCATCAACTTATGATCAATCAAGCAATGAAGTTCGTCCTTTCCTTCCCTGCCCTTCCCTACCCTAGTCGCTTGCTTCTCTTTCGGGCGGATAAAAGAGTAGTGAAAAGATCATCCGTACCCGGCGGTGTTGAAGATGGACACTTCTATTATTGTTGTCCCCGGTGTGCCGCAGACCTGCTTGCGTAAACTAGAACCTTGCTTTTTTATCACACTCCGAATCCATTTTATCATCTGATATATAGGCTGATAGGGTAGCATTCCGTTCCCAAACGGAACAATGCAACCCTATTGATCCGGTCCCAACAGCCAGATCATGTTACAGCACACCCACCTCTCCTCTCCTCCACTCCGTACCGAACCATACCCCTCATCTCATCTCATCTCATGTCGCCAGGGGTTCACTTACTGTACCGTCTCTATCTTTTGTATGGACCATGTCATGTCTCATGGAAAAATCAATCAATCAATTATGCGGACGCATTTCAGCTAGTGCAGATCATCATGGGTAGGTATACAGTACTGTAAGTAGGTAGCATCCATCATGCCATGCCATGCGCGTGCCACGCGCGCGTGTGAATCCCATCCCATCCCATCCCAAACTCGGCCTTCATATGCACGCACATGTTAAAATAAACGAGATGCGGCGTCGACGGCGACCTCGGGATTAATAAATCGAACGTTTATGATGTGATGGCGAAAATGTCGATATTTTTTTTCTTTTCTTTTTCTTTTTCTTTTTCTTTTCGAATACGCCGGCAAGTGGGTCAGGCCTATGGGGAAATAGGCGGTACGAGGTTGTTTCAAGGGATGATGGAATGGAAAGATGTGTTGGGGAATTACATGCGCTTTTTGACGCCGTGCAGGAAGGCACGATTGTATTCCTACTATACGTCGCTTGCATCTTAATTATTCCCTGCCAGGCGAACGAAGTTATTTGGAATTTGGTCTTGTTTGTACGTGCCACGAAATTGCGGGGATCCTTGGGACATTTGTATATGTCTTTTTAATAACTCGTGGAAGTTTAATCGAATTTTTGCCTTCAAGTCTGATACGGAGCTAGGATTTAGGATGTTTTTTTTAAGGTGTAGAAGGACTAGATGACTGCAAGATCGCCGACTATAGCAATGAGACTATGCCTCTGCATATTTTTTTGAGATCTGATTCGAAGCAGATGCCAAAGGTGCAACAGAATCGCTGCTTTTACTTCTGAGCATTCGAAAGTATTAAGATCAGGGTTTGTATACGAGACCTAGCTTTCCTCCACCTCGGCTCCGCATGTGAGAGACTGGAAGCTCATCAACGATGGTAAGGGCTGCCATTCATATACCGGTAGCCTCCCTTGCTACGCTAGGCAATAGCTTTCAATTGAGACAAGGCCACATTCTCGTTTCCAACATTGCCTATTTTGAGCAAGCTCGGCAAGTAAGCTCAAAGCAAACGAAAACGAATCCGATCTGTTCGCTTCAAAGTAAAAGAATTGGTTTGGCTGAACTGAGGGGTTGTGAGGATTGACAAGAGACTTCCTCCACCTAGACCAAAGAGGCTGAAACCTGGAGTGGACGATTTCTGAACCCGAGATTCGAGTAACAGGCTCAGTTGTGCATCGGGATTGCCAATGTCCATGTAGATGCGCATCATTAAATTTGGCAAAACGTGGCACAAGCCTCTTTTCAACTTTCCATGCAAAGGGCGCGTGGAACCCTCATGGCTCCCCGCCACTTCCCAAGCAATTCTTGAGCTTGATGGGCTGTCGCTATATCCAGCACGATGGACTTTAGGCCGAAGATAGTAATGTCTTGCGCTGAACGGAGGAGCAAGGAGGAAGCAGCTGCGCCCATGCTCGTAGTCTTAGCCACCTGAGCACCTCTTTCAAGTGGAATCTCCATTGCCATAATTGAAGGTAAACACATCGGGAATGAACTAAAGATAGTACCAGATTCACGATCTGCTTTTCGTTTCGTCCCGCGCTAGCATTGCGAAGCATTAAGCGACTCTGGGTTTTCAAAACCAAGTTCTCATCCGCATACATTGTCGCTAAGCGCGCCTCCTGGTGCTGGCTTTAGAGACATAAGCGCCTAGGCCCTGGTCTCAGGATTCAAGTAGCTATGAATATATAAAAACAAGCTCAAACGATGCAACCAAGCATATGTACTGTCATTCTGAGGCAAGGAGCAACTCTGGGCTAGGTCTGACCTGTAGGCTTGCAGATGGAACATGATTCACAACGAGACATAAACGGCTAGCCTAGACCCAATATGAAACAATGAGCAATACGCTGGGTACTGTACAGTCTGGTCCACGGTGGTGAAGTCCACCTCCGGTTGTGGGACAAGAAAGAGAGAGAAAAATGTAAGAATGTAAGGGCTAGAAGCAACGTAAGCTGGCTTCCAGCCGGGAATAAGTCAACGATGGATTTGAAGGATCAAAAAGAAAGCCGCATCTGAGGGGGAAAAGGGAGGAAAACACCCCCACTATTTTCAAACCACGTGAGGGTGTGATAGGGCCGCAGGACATCTGCGGCGAGCGGCGTGAGTGTCAGACAGCCATGTGGTAAATGTGTGGACCGTGCCTCATCTGCGATCATAAATTTGCCTTGAAACTCGACACGAGTGGGGGCGAGACATCTTGAAAAGGGGGAGTTCAAGATCCAATAGTCGGAATAATGGGCCCAGCGTCCCCACCGTACCTCGTCAGACCGTGATAGTCCCAGATGAAGCCACTGCACGGCAAGGATGTATCTGAGGGGAAAAGGCCACAGAATTTTGTTTGGTTTCAAGGTTGCGAAATCGCTCGGAGGTTCATGTTTCGATTTTATGTCTGGGCCACTTTTGCTATTTCTGTATGCGTGCAAAACACAACGAGCACGTCAACGGAATGGCTACCGGTGACGGCGTTGCCACGAGACCTTACAGTAGGACAGAGTAGTATTTACCAGGAACTCCTCCTGTACGGAGTGCGCGGAAGGGGAGATGAACTTCCAGTGGACAGATATGACAAGGCACCCTATCCCTACCCATTGTCGATACTCGAGTACTGTATGTACTAGTAGGCCAGGAAATATCGATAGACGGCATGCATGAGGTATTCCCGGGAGAATTAAGTCTCGGTAAACCAGGTATAAAGCATAGGAGATCCATCTATTCTGTTTTAAGAAGCAGTTCCGAAACTGGACATGGATATTTCGGAGAGAGCCAGTGAGATCTGCCCCGAAAAGATATCGAGATCGTCATATTATATCAGCCAATAACGCGTACCCACAGTGGAACTTCCAGTATTGTGGGGCAGTTGAAGAATAGGGGAGAATGGGGGTGAGGAGTTGATTTATCAGATTGCTTGACTGCACGTTTGGACGAAGAACAAAGGAACACGTTGAGCACCTACGTAGGTGGAGAAGAAGCTATTGGGCTTCTGATCTGCGGAATTGATTGACAAGGAACGGAGAGAATGAAAAGGTAACTCTGGAAGGGAGATTCAACCCAGCCCTTTCAAGCCCCCTAGACTCGTGTATGCACAGACTCAACAACGGGTTTTTGGCCTGTGCCCAAAAGTTACAGATTTATTTGATGGAAAAGGCAAGGGTGGAGAACACTGCAATTCGCTCGGTTCACTCTTGCAACAGACGGAAAACGGTCCTGCATGTACTTGCATTGCAGGCCCATTCCCACGATATCACACCCCCGTAAGAGATGTAAACTTAAGTATAGAGCGGCAGCGGCAGTTTTGCATTCAATGCCCGCTGTCGATACAGTATTAATCCAGTGCCAGAAATTTCTTACTCACAATTAAACCTCCGCCTGGTTAGCACGGACTACAGTGAACCTAGTCGGTCGGCTCCAGGCATGGATTGCTCTTTTTTGCGCCTCCCGTCTTCTACCGCTGCCATCTCGTAGACAGTTCGGCTTATGAACAGTGCAGGATGCTCTGATGCACTTAATTGTTCCGGTCAAGTAAGAAACGGTACCGGCGGAAAGGTTTGAGTGGAAATCTAAAAAGGTCAGGGATCTGTGATACTAGGACCAGCGCCATCGAGTTTGTAAGCCCCTTGTCTATAAAGTCTTGGCTAGCCTCTTGGGCCTCTTAGAACCATCGGGCAGCTTAAATGGCCGTGCCAGGGTGTCAGCCATTAGTACTCTAGCAGCAAGGAACATGGTTCTAGTATGCATTCGATCGAGCGATGAGCTTCTTCCATAGTATCCGATGCAGCGGTCCTGTTAGGCTGGGGTTCGTCGCGTGGACGAATTTGGAAACGGGTCCAGCGGGGATGGGGAAATAACTTGACAACTGCACACCTGTCAGATGTGATGGCTTGACCTCTTGGACAACGAGCGAATCAGACGACGGCCAGCAAGTGCATTACGGGGTACAGACAGTATCAAGATGCTGCAGCGTCCTTGTAATTGATGGATCGTCGATAAATTACTTCGCAGGCGGATGAGCCGGATCATCATGGCAGGCATCTAAAGAAGCTCTACACTGCTCTAGCCTCTAGGAATATCATCGTACGAGGACGGCAGGATTTTGGCCTTTTCAGCTTCAGCTTCACGACGAGAGTGGTACCTGGTGCTGGCGTTCTGGAGAGAGTACTCTTCTGGAGATCTTATCAGAAATCCGTCCGAGCTCGAAGTTATACTGTACTGTATATAGTAATGTACGAGTGCGAATGAAGGTAAATTAGATATGTAGTCCAGTCCACGAAGTATAGGTAGGTTTACGACTGTATAGTACGAAGTAGTGTGATCAACTGCACCGCCGGCACTCCGATGTTGCCAGGTCCCAAGACGATGTGGCCCGAGACTTGAGACGCGCCGTCGCGAACCTCTGCATTCCGTACCTTAAGTGCCCTCGGTGCCCTAACACTACCGGTAGGTTCATGAACCTGACGTCGCAACAGAGTTTTTATCTTGCCTTGAATAACCCTTCCTATACGAGCATAAAAACATGCCTGATGTCTGATTCTGATGTCTGATAACTGATGGCAAAGCAGTAAGTTCACTGACTCACTGCCTATAGGATTTGCTGAATTCTATCCGCTAACTCTTGAACGGCGACTTGGACTTGTAAACGCATGTTCTTATGCGAGATACGTAATCGTCATGTCAAATCCGCTGAATGAGGGAATTCTCCCCCGCTAGATTTGAGTTGCAGTCTGAGTTTGACCATCATGAGGTCTTTTGAGTGCTCTTCCTTGTCCATCTGCTCGTAAATTTACAGTACAGAGTCCGTTTCAGCCCTTGTGCAGCACGAACGAACAAGCTAGGCTCATCCATGATTCTCGCGTGGCATGACGCCGCCTCAGTTTTTTGGGGTGCTGTGGAGAACGGGCATAGCGGCACAATCTCAACGTCGTCTCCTCCTTAAATACTGTATTAAGCAACTCGTGTCGACAGCCTTGGCCGAGTACTCCGTACTTAAGAATAAAAGGTTTCTTCGGGTGTTGTGTGATAATGTCCTGCGAGAAGCAAAGGTTGAAAAGCTAATTAGCATGGTATGAGATAAGCCCAGGCCTGCCCGACCCCGGCGACAGAGCATTAAATAATCGATCTTCCGCCTTACGTACGGAGTAGCAGATAACAAGATAATCCGTTCCCATTATTGGCCCAACCTACAGTAATGCATTCGAGATTGCATTCGAGATCTTCTGCAAAGTGGTGGCCTAGGATGGTCATATATGACGATCATATAAATCTTTAATAACCACGATTATAAGCAGCAGTTTGGCTTGTCAGCTCCGCAGCTCCTCAGCCCTAGAGCCTCTGAGCTGCGCGGCAAGCCTTCACGAAATATTCAACCCGTTGCATGCATGTCTTTGGTCGCGTGCGAAGCGACTTTCTCTTCGTAATCCCGAGTATCTGAATATGCTGCCCATCTTCACTTAGCCCTCGATTGCACGTGAACACAGGTTCTGGATCTCGGAGACAGATTCTGTGGCTGCACAAGTCTCTACGGGAGGCCCCGGGGCCGAATGGCCAGGTTTGGCAGGATGAACGAGGATTCGCTTGGATGTACGATCCCGAGACATGCAGATGTCAGATTCAAGCTGCATTTTTGGGATTTTCTTTGTATCTTGTTGGATGCCTTTGGGAAGTTTTCATGCCAAATGACCAGGCATTTTCATGTAGCAAGCCGCCCACGCTCCATTCTTGGCCCGATGGAACGCAAACTCGACGCATAAACGCAGACAGGATAGCCGTTGCTGTGGACAATTTATAGTTCATTTCAACTCGCAGTAAATTTGAGCTCGGTGGAGGAAAGCGGCTGCGATCTCAATGTTGGCAGACGCCTTGACCCTGTTATATGCGCATTGACTTTGTAGTAGACCTCCGAGTCCGATATACGTACCATTAGAAGTACATTAAGATAGTCGATGAGATGACACTAATTCTAACCCACTACCCGCGCTTTAAGTGGAATTGAAACATTGTCTACCATCGGTGGATTGGGTGACCTGGCAATTGTGCCAGCTGAAGGAGGGATCCTTGGCCATTGATTTGACCACAGATGCGAGAGCCATAGAAGTAAATTCGATGTTTGCTGCAAGATCCAGCCGCCTGGGACTTGTACTACGTGAATTAATAAACAGGTTAGCCGAAGCTCCATTGCCTTACAGGTTGTTGGCAAGGCGTGAAAAGCCTTGAGCTGCTGCGATTCCGAAGGGAGGGGGGGACAGATCTGCCGTGTAGCCCTGTTGAGCATGCGACTGTGGACGCCTAAGACCCTGTCATGCCAGTGTGCCGGGGTTTTTAATATGCGAAAGAGGCTCGAGAGGCTCGCGAGACAGGCTCGACAGGCCCAGGAGAGCACCGCATGCTCATCTTGGACTTTTTCGGCAGCCTATAGCCCGATCAGGCATTTCGGTGCTTCGGGTGAGACTGCTTGTTGCTTTTCATTCTTGAAGAGAGATGAAGTTGGATATAGGGCAGGGAAAAGCGAGCGGGCGCAACACATACCGACGTTGTGTGACAGATTGTCAGTGGGATGTCGTTGGCTGTGCTACTCCAATGTCGGGTACAGCAACGGGAAGGAGCATCCGGGGGAAAGATATGGCGACTTTTCCGATCTGTGATCGGAGATTGGAAAAGAATGCGGCACAAGGAGTTGTAGCCAGAGCTGAGTTTAGGATGCAGACAGAGGAACATGATGAGACTGAACGATTCCGAACAAGCTTTAGAAAACCCGATTGCCTCGGTGACTACCAAGCATGCGTACATATTTCCAGTGTATCCGTAGTTTCTTTGTGGCATACTGCTATGCAAAGGTCTTAAGCTTGGATTGTTTGGAATCCACGAGACATGAAGGACTTGGGTTCAAACTCTCTTAACAGCATAATAATGATATACTAGGTAATAATAGAAGGTTTGTATCATCTTAGGCTTCGGCTAGGATGATAGGTACAAATAAGTACATTCTAATTACTTGACATAAAACATGTAGATACTTGAATAAGGAGGAGATACTACTATAGTAAATACTCTATGCCCGAAATAATACTTATAGTAATATTATAAAGGTAGTACCGTACCTATAAGTCCTAATTTGGATATTTTCATTTCCATCAAGTTCTGTGAAGCATTCATATATACTTCTCCCGTATAGTAGGGCGTCAGCTGCTGTTAATTATACCCAGGTAGGTATAGTATCTAGAAATAGTTTGTACTACGGTCATTGACACGACACGAGTACGGTTTACGGTGTACTTTATTTAGCTGACAAGACAAGGCAAGGCAAGGCAAACCAAGATCCAGATCTCGGGCGGATCGATAGCCCTAGTACTGATGCCCGGGTCTACCCATTCTTAGAGTTGCGTCTGGCTTACCATTGATTGCTGTCCGTACGGAGGTACTGTACGATACAAGTTACACTAATACCCCCCCCCCCCTGAAGGCTGAAATAAATGAGCCCACTACTTCTTCAGGTCATTCATGTCATCGACGATACAGTACAGTAGTTACTATACGGCTCCGCTTCTCCCCCACCCAAATCCGAGACCCAGAAACAGTCATCCACACCTCTTTCTTTGCAAGTGCTTTCTCGCCGAGTCAGCGCAGGGGTTTGCAGCGCCCTGTGCGCGGTAAGCAGCGGGCCCCTAGCAAGCCATCTCGATTCAATATCGATGCCGATGCATGGTGTGGGAGTAGGTGGAAGTAGGTTGGTATTGGTGTTGGTGTTGGTGTTGGCGTTGATGTAGGGGGAGGTACTGCGTACTGTACTGTACTGAACTAATAGTGAAGTGAGGTAATACTCTCCTCCTTCAAGGCAAACAAGCAACGCCATCCGCCGGCCACCCCGCGTACTCTGTACGGTACTGTACTGTACCGCCACCACTTGCTTCAACAGTGTCAGTGCCAGTCCCAATCCGACAGTAGCCTTCCACTCTGGTTCCATTCCATCCACAGATCGTAGGCGGCCGTGCACTACCCAGGACCAGATACAAACTACTACGTACTGTGCAGGCTTGCTGGCCGTTCCTTTCACGGGTGGATTGGCTTGGTTGGATCCCAGGAGTTTCCTTGGGGACATGGCCATGGATGGGGGTTAGAAGTAGCTCCCCCGGTCAATATGCTACCTACCAACCTAGCAATATCCAGCATGGAGGTAGCCCCTGCCCATGCCCTGGCACCGCGATCCCGTCGAAATCGCGTTCAGCTTGGCGTCGAGATTAGGTTAGATTCGACCTTCGAAGGAGTAAGAAGAAAGCCACTTGTCGAGAATCGAGATCTACAGTAGTAAATGCGAAGTTTGGCTTTCAATTTATTATCATCTAGCATCTGTGCCGCCCTACTATAGTACGTGCTCTACTCGCTACCCACCTCACTAAGGTGTTTACTACCTATTACTAGCAACGACTCACGCCCGTACCGAAGAGATCTCATCGCCAGCCTGCCGCAGGATCCTACATTATACCTAGTAGTTGTAGTAGCAGTATACAGTACACTTGCTCTGCTGCTACTATACTACTAGGCCCCACCAGGCTGTTCCGCGGTTGATCCCATCCGTGTCGAGAGGAGACTAATAATCAAGACCCTTACTCACTTACTACTCACTCATTCATAATATCAATCCGCAAACCCTAAAACCTTCTTCTTCCTTTTTCCAACTGTCCTTGCTCCCGTCCCCAGAAGTGTCTCGAATCTCACTCGTACTCGCCATCCCCCCTTCAATCTCCTACCGGTGTACCGACATCTGCAGAACACCAATCGGTTTCTACAGCCCACGTAGCGTAGGCGACCCGCACGTTTTCCTCCAAGACATATCTAGAACCCCACGCCGACGGCCCTTGGGGCTCAAAAAGCTGGTCTCTACCTGTATTCCGCTGATTCGTAGCTGGCGGAAGTCCCTCCGAGAGTTGGCGAACTATCGCCACTTTACCTCAGTATCTTGACCAGCAAGAGGGAGATACAGATAATTCAAGCGCCACGAACTCCAGGTTCTGGAACAATAAGCGGTGGCTTCAGGTGCTTGACTCGACAATCTCGACAATTTTACCCAGCGGCGCCCCCAAGTTGCCTTCTAGCATTCCAATCTACGCCCACACCTCGCACGACATACCATAGGTACTCGAGCTGAGGGGAAGGTTGCAGATGTTGTGGTGAACAGGTGCGACGGATACCCACATTTGGACGGGAACAGCACGATATTTTCTGCCGTCCACGCATGCTTCCCGAGCTTCTAGTCTGAAGGAATCGTGCTTCAGATCTGGCCATGGAATCATTGGATGGACCCGGCAGAAAAAGGTAGGTTCATTCGTGGGCAATTTTGAAACTCGTCCAGACAAACACTGACATTCATCACATAGTGCAATCCTCTCTATAATCAATCGCGAAAGTCTCGACCGGGTCACCACTGATCGGTCGTATACATCAGCATCTACAATGGCGGCCACTGCAGTTGTCAACCCCGCTTCGATGTATTCAAATGGACCTCCACCCCCATACTCTGGGTGGCCAGCGCCCTCTTCACATTCGGCGCCTGGCCTTGTATCTCCATCAGAGTCAAGGCGAACGTCAGATAACAGGCCCGAACCACCTCTTATGCAAAGCACGCAACCACAACGACAATCTCTGCCATCTATACACGAAGCTCTTGGGCCCGAACCAACTGGGCGATATGCCTCCCCAGTGTCTGCGTCTTTACCACCTCAGCATCAGATTCCATATTCGCAATCACAGGCCATTTCAATAACTCAATCACATCCGCCGCCCGATCATGCGCCATACCCAACCCAAATTGCCCCGCCCCAAGTCCGTCAAAGAACCCCACCACAGCCAGTCCAGCCGCAAGCCAATCCCTTTTCACGACCAGAGCCCGTATCGAATGGCTTTCCTGAACCGCTTAGACACCCCTCCCTAAGTCTTCAGGCTGCTCCTGCTCCACATAATCCGTACGCTGGTCCTCGTTACGAAGCTCCACGATTTGAACAGGATCCTCGAGCCCCAGAGCGCTTGGCGAATGGCTATCCTCACCAACCCCCACCTCCACAGCAGGGCTCGTACGGATATGCCCCTGGTCCGAATCATGCGCCAGTTCCACACAGTCCTGCTTACAACCAACCTCGTTACTCACGGGATGGGCGAGAGATAGATGAAATATATAAAGGGGGCAGAGAAGACGAGAGGTCGAGGATAACACCTTTCAAACAGGGTTTAAAGCGAAACCTTGAGGTGTGGGATTTTGAAAATCATCTCTCATCGGTAGGTTACAGTCCGGATTACTTTGCACTTACAGCTATTGATTTTCCAATAGATATACGTCTCGAGCGGCGCACTTCAGGCTTGGTCTAAGCACTTCCATTCGATAGCACAGGAGCAGCAACCCCGTGATCCAAATGGAGTACCAGACAGAATGCCGACTATAGAAACATGCAATGAAATGCTTCAACACCAAGAAAAAATCCGTCAAGACCTCGAGAAATTGAGAGATATGATTTCTCAACAGCATGAGCACGTTGCAATGATGGACCAACGGATGCGAGACCATAATGGCAAAGGCCCGGGCTATTATGACGACGGAATAAGCATTTATGACGACGACATGAAAAGTCAAGGTTATGGAGGCCCAGAAAGCAAAAAACGGCGAGGGGTAGGTCTAATACGTCCTATCTCGTAACAGTGATAATATCTAACGGCTTCATAGAGAGCGGCTCCTCCGGGCCGGTGTCATAGCTGCAACCGAGCCGAAACTCCTGAATGGAGAAGAGGACCTGACGGAGCGCGAACCCTCTGTAATGCTTGTGGACTTCATTACGCAAAATTAACGCGTAAGAATACGATAAAGCAATCACAGAGCTCTAATGGCTCGTCACTTCGACCGAAATCGATGGACGGCATCTCACCAGGGCCACTATAAGGCGCCAGTATCACCTATTATTCAATTCTTATTCCCTGTACAAAATTTAATATCATTTCACGGAGCGAGAACCAGCAGCTTCTCAAGCACTAGGAAATTGGAGAGGGAGAGGAGAGAGAAAAAGTCCATCTTCGTCACATATTTTTATCCGTCTTATCAGGACGTAGAGTTAAGCTTTTGGGAAAGTCTCTTTCCCGGAGGTTGCAGCATACATGGGAGCGACATGAGCATTTCAAGTGCATTATGGGCATATAGTGGCATGCATGGGAATGTGGGTTTTGACATTCAGGCGTTTCTGGGTTTTGGGAACGGAGGTCCGGTTTGGGATTGGGGGAGATTCCAAAGATTTACGAATCCGGAACTCTCACCAGGCATATCACGGCGTTTGATACACTACCTGAAGAGGTATTCACTTCTTGTTTTACAAGGCATCCGCCTTTGGGTATCACCATGCTGGATGCTGGATGCTGGGTGTGATGAGATCAGATGAGATGAGGCAGCACAACCTGAGCAGGTAGATGTTCGGGATAGCTTGGGAGGAGTGGAGTGTGGGCTGAGTGAGGCAGGGAATAAACGAAAACACAAGCAAGAGAAATAAAAATCTTGAAAACTTACCATATACCTAGCATACCTGGCCATGTCCATTGATCCTCGTCCTCTTCATGTCCCATGTAGCTGCACAACACTCATCCAGACTCTCACAAGCTGAGATTTCAGAACATCATAGCATGGAAGTCGGTCTAGGCTAAAAGATATAGAGCAAGGTAATATCGACTTACTCGTACAAGAGGACTTGGAGCGAGGCAGTGTTCGCATTTAAGTGCTTCAGCATGAAGAAAACAGGCGAGCACACCTAGTGACGTCTTCATGTGGACAGCTTCGAAAAGGCCATTCATCTGCTCCTAATGGTCCCTCGCTACCAGTGTGGTTACCACGAAAGCGCATGCCAACATGTCTAACCCTATTGTGGAACATGAAGTCGGTCGCTTACTTGCTTGCTGATATGTGTTTTCCAAAAAAAACAGGGACAAGGCGATAAGATATTTGTGAGGGAGGGAGAGATGGAATTATTACACTTGCACGAGACGTGCGTGGGCTTAATGTTTTGTGAGATGGCGGATAGATAGATCATGTTTGGGTTGTACGTTGTGTGATGGCATCGGATCGGAGCGGAAAGAAGGTGGACGGGCGATGAGAGGGTAGGACAGAGATGTTGTGTTTTGGGGGGCAGGGTGACAAGAGGCTGGACCCTGAGATGAGAGGAGAGGGAAGAAGAGGGGATGAGAGGGGTTCGTTCGATGATGGACAGGAGTTTTGGGTGAGGGGATCACGACGTTGCCTTGGGAATGATTTTCATTTGCAGGGATAGTTGAGGATATCGAAAGGATGTGAGTAAGACAGTGGAATAAATATCGTCACGTCGTCACATACTCTTAAAAGAGCTTCAACTTTGACAGCTCAATTAGGTTGTGAGAAACAAAGGTGACACTGATGCTCCTGACTTGACAAAAAATAGCCAACAAGGGGGAGAATGCCAGTAAGAAACAGGATTCAGGACGTCGTTCCCAGTAGACGGGACTTTGCAGCCGCATTGGGCAGAATTTGAAGAAACGGGTTTCGGTGCAGGGGCAGAGATATGGACGGTTTGAATGGACGAATAACGAGGCAATACATGTAAAAGGGGTGACGACAACATGATGCGGTAGATGCAGGTTGCAGATTGCAGAATGCAGAATGCAGCAGATTGCAGATATGTGTAGGTGTATGTAGATGTAGGTAGATGTATATGTATATGCGGAGCAACAGGTATGTGGAAATGAGACAAACACCGTGTGCATGATCGGATCGAGGATCGATGGGTGGTGCATATCTAAGTCGGTGGTATGGTGGTACCTGGAGACATGCAAGCTTCCGATTTGGTGAGACTGCTGGTTGGCTATGTTTGATGCGGAATCTATTCGAGTGAGACAGACGCAGTTTTGGGTCGGAGTGACAACTGGGGTGGATGTACAGTCCGAGTACGATGTTTGATGGATGCATATACATATGTTTGTGTTTGAAAGAGAGGGAAGGAAGAGAAGGAGAAAGAAAGGATGGCAGAAAGAAAAGGAAAAAGATGGTGGATTTAGAGAGATAGTCTACTTGTATATGTGGTGTTGATATTCCCAACAGGGACTACTTACTCCGTACAGTAATGCGGGCGGTTCCGGCAACCCCTGCAAGACAGCCACCCCAGCCACAGCCCCTCTATTTTCGTTTCGGCTGGGCTGGTCTGTTTGGTGGTCACCGGCACTCGCAGCGCAGAGAATTTGTTACGCCATGGAAAAAATTCACCCCACTACTGCTGCTGTACCGCATCGACATCGACGCATCGCATCGCATCCCAAGGCGAGGATAAATATACGTACGTACCTACGTATTGTGTACCGATAGCATAGGAGCATAGGAGCAAAATCATTCTACTGCATCCCGTGCCAAAATCTTCACAATTGCTTCTTTGAGCTCCGAGATCTCTAAATTGCGGGGTCAGACTCACGATACGTACAATACCTACCTACCTAGGTATAGGTACATAGCCAGGAACCTACCTCCGCCCTCCGCCCTCCGCCCTACGCCCTGCCAGTCAGCGATTGCGCATATTGCGTGCTTTATAATACCCATATTCTTCTGGCTGCGGAGATGATGCCGTGAGTGGGGGTCTGTGTTGCATGCGCTGCCCTGTCTGGGAAGTAAAAGGGAAAGGAAGGTACCTGGAAAACCAACGGACGTAGGTAGGTACTATACCGGGAAGAAGAACTGGATTCATTTTACCTGTGCAACTACAGTACCGCACAGCATCTACAAGCCAGGAAAGAAAGACAGAGCGCATGTTTATTTGAAACAACTCCATACTACGCATGAGTTGTGTCACTTTATGTTAAGCCAACCAATTTTCGACCATACATACACGCCCCGACGAATCAAATACCATAACCACACCCGGTCCAGCAGGGAAGGGGCACTGGAAGTACAAGCACCGTAGCTGGTTCAAGACGCAGCGATGGGTCTTTTGTGGGTTACCTGTTTAGGCAAATGGCATATACTTGGATAGAGGCTGATGGTGCCGATCATATAGAGCATTAGGAACTCCATTGGATTGGCCAGAGGCACAGAAAAATGCAAACCATGTCCGAGAATGGGGGATCAAGGTATGTCCGGACGAACGTCAATTTAGGACGAAACCTGGAACCCTCACTAATGAGTAGGGCGTCATAGCAATTGTTGAACATCTGGAACAAAGCAAAAGGAAAGGAGAAGGATGCACTGCTTTGGGGTGACGAGGTTCGTCTTGTCTCTGCTTCAAATTGATGAACTGACACAAGAGACTATAGATCGAATATCTAGTGGTGAATTACGAGAAAGACAAGCCGGAAGTTACATTATCACTCCGCCAAGCAGACATTCTACATGCACTTGCCCAAGATGAGAACTTATGCTCCAGTGGTGGTTGTGTTCCCGCCTTGCAGGATATTGGGTTCGCCCCCCTTTTCTGGCTTCCTAGTGAGACTGTGGCTAACTACGCTTAGCGGGAGTACCCTCCCCATCTTCCATCCAGAATTCGGTCGTTACATGTTGGAAGCTACACCAGGTAAGCCTTGGGGTATTGGTTTCAAGGATCTACTCGATGTCGAGCCAAATATGAGACTAAGGTTTGACTCTGCTCCTACGAAAGGTCGCCCAATCTTATAAGTTCTAGGCGAAAAATTGCAAAAGAACATATGAACCCCGAAGAATTTCCCATAACTTTAACTACCTATCCCCGCTTGGGAAGTCCAGGACAATTTACAACGCCATATTACCCACCTTGTGGTGAGAAGCTCCGTTCTCAGTTTGTTCCTGATGAGATTGCAAACCCCCATATTCGCTTTCCTACCCTGGCAGCCAACATTCGATCTCGCAGAGGTAGGAAAGTTCAGATAAATGTTCCAATTTTCAAGGACAAGAACACTCCATGGCCGTGGAAAGACCCTACAGTCAAATATGATCTACACAAATACAAAGAAGATGATGACGTTCGAAATGGTGCATCGCCAGATAACTTTATTCACATGGATGCCATGGCATTTGGAATGGGAAGCTGTTGTTTACAGATCACATTCCAAGCCAAGAATATAAACGAGGGCAGGCGAATGTATGACCAACTGAGTCCGTTAGGCCCAATTTTGGTTGCTTTGACTGCAGCAACTCCTATTTACAAGGGCTTCCTTGCAGATACTGATGTACGGTGGAATCAGATCGGTGCTGCTGTTGATGATCGGACGCCTGAGGAACTCGGGGAGAAGGTAAACAAACCTCTATTCAAATATCGACTTGGCTAATCTTAATAGCCATTGGAACATAGCCGATGGCGGATACCAAAATCTCGGTATGCTACAAATTCCACTTACATATCTGATGATCCTCGGTTGCGTAAAGAGTACATGGACCAGAACCTCGTCATCGATCCCGACGTTAAGCAGCAGCTTATGGATGCTGGCATGGACTCTCTTCTCGCAACTCACTTCGCCCATCTGTTCATCCGGGATCCAATTGTCATCTTCGCCGAAGATTTACAAGAACTGGATCTCAGCAAGACAGATCACTTTGAGAACCTCCAATCAACAAACTGGCAACACATCCGCTTCAAGCCTCCCCCAGCCAGCAATGACATCGGCTGGCGTGTCGAGTTCCGACCTATGGAAATCCAGATAACTGATTTCGAGAACGCCGCATTCTCGGTATTTATGGTTTTGATTACCAGAGCAATTCTAAGTTTTGACTTGAACTTCTACATCCCTATCTCCAAAACAGACGAAAACATGAGTACAGCACATAAACTTGATGCGGTGCTGGAAGAAAAGTTCTATTTCAGGAAGAACCCCTTCCCAACGAGATCCCCAAGACCGTATTCGTCAAACGGAGCTTGCTCTGGCACCGCTAGTCCCGCAATACTGAGTAGGCCACCGACGCCGAGTGGACCTGTCGAGGATGAGTACGCGTTGATGGGCATCGATGAGATTATGAATGGCAGCAAGGGTGATTCTACCAATAATTTCCCTGGACTCATACCACTCGTGGAAAGCTACTTGGATAGTATGAACGTGGATGTTGAGACGCGCTGTGAACTCGCTGCCTATATCACCTTAATCCGGAAGCGGGCAGATGGAACTCTCTGGACGGCCGCGAAGTGGATCCGCCATTTCGTACAGGGGCACGAGGAGTATAAGGGTGACAGTGTTGTTGGGGAGAAGATCAATCACGATTTGATCGGTGCTGTCATTGCCATCGAGAACGGTGGGAGACAGGGCGTTAGGGACGTGGAGCAATTTCTAGGCCCTGCTGTTAAACCTTGTGGGGATTAGGAATTCTCTAGAGGAAGGCGCTGACTAGCGATGTCAGTTAGACGAGGTTTTAGACAGCGTGAGACGTGCTTTTATATATACATCATGAACGCAAGTGGGAGCCTCGGCAGTACAGTAAACTCCATCACCTCAATACCCCTCGCTCTCCAAGAACCCCCTCACGGCCCCGGCAAGAAACCCATGCACTCTCCACGTGATATGTCCACTATTATACCAAAAATACTGTTCAAGCGGCACGCATCCGTACGCGGCATAATTGGTCTCGATATCGGGCGCGTCGTAGCGCGGGCAGAAGGATGTAGTGTTTGTGATGCCGTAGGGGGCCGGGTTGTCTAGGATGGAGGTGAGGAAGGAGTAGGTGTCGAAGAGCATGGATTTTGTGCCGGGGTGCGTGGTGGCGAATGTAGAGGTGGCGGTGGAGAGGAGGGTATTGTAGGTTTGGAGCATAGTGCTGTTTGGGAGGGGTGTTATACCGGGTTTGACATTTCCTGGCTGTGGATTTCGGTGCGAGATTAGATGGAGGGGAGAGAAGTACGTCAGGTAGGAAGAAAGAAAAAGGGGCGGGTAGAGGGCGATGAATAAGTAGGTACATACAGTTCTTTCCAGCGGTGGTAAATTCATGAACAGGAAATTGCGATATCCGGCTTGGTAGACTGTGTCCAGGGCCTCGAACTCGGTGTTGATTATCTGGTTGTAGAAGGAGGGGAAGTCGCTGGCGTTAGCTCGGGGGAATGTGTATTTGCTTGAATCGCTTATGTCGTTTATGCCAATGAAGACTGCGACGATGGATTTGGAGAGCGTCACAGGGAGTATGGGACGCGCGTAGGTGTTCCATTGGGCGATCTGGTTGGTGAAGGAGACGCTGTAGTTGTGGTGGAGTGGGGTACTGAAGTTTGTTAGTTATATATCTGTGAGGCATGTAATATGGAGCATCCAGGAATTTAGAATCTGGAAAATCGGCGCCAGTTGAAACTACACTCACTACTTAGTCGATACATCTGACCCAGCAAAGGCAAAGTTCCAAAGTTGCTTCTTGCATCGTGAGGGTAGTCCGGAGAAGCAGCCTGTCAGATACTCAACCCAATTCGGTCCACCTGCTGAAGTGCCAATCTAGCATCGACATGCGATCAGAAGTGTGTCCTGGAGCTGCTGGAACACATACTTGGTTCTGAACTATCTCGTCACTGAGCAATTTCTCGGGCGTGAAAGAGTAGTTTTGAAGATCTCCGATGAATGAGTAATTTTGTCGGCCGGATGTACCTTGGACGTAGGTATAGCTGTCACCGAATGCCAAACTATTGTAGATTAGCACATGTAGGATAATTGACTACTAGCTTATGGGAGACCGGAAAATCAATAAGGCCCTTTCCCCCGTGGCACGAGACATGTCGAAGAACAAAGATATACAAAACGTTTTATATTTCAAAATATTTGGCAAGATAATGTAACATCAAACCACTCACATAAAGTTAGTATCGTCCCAGTTGAAATATGGCTTTGACTGGTGAGAGGGAGACGCGTTGACGAGAGCTGCTGCAAAGCACAACTGGGCAAGTAAAAAAGAAACCATCTTGAAAGACCCGGGGAGAGCTAGCAAATCAGAACATTAAACTCCCTCAAATTTTTTGGGAGTTCAAAGGATATTTAAAGTCAAAAAAGTGTAACAGGAATTCTTCCCCGAGATACTCGTATTACCCCACAGTTGCGGGGAATAAATTGAGACGGAAAAACTACCTCCGATGAGATGCAGCTCTTTTTTGGAAAAGTTGAAAGGAGCTGTATATCATTTTGCAAAACGAGACTTTATGGCCAGAGTGTTTGACTTGTTCGAAAATATAGTATATGCATCAAAAGAGAGCTGCTGCCATCTGTCCACATGGTTGGTCTAATACGGATATCTGCTAGGGTGAACCACCAATTGATCCCAACATCTGAACCGATGCACCATTCCATGATATATTAGCAGGCATCTTCAATCAAAGCAGTTAGTGACCATTCTTTAAGCCAACATGCAAAAATTTGTTCTAACAAAATCGTTCAAATTGAAGGCGGCCGAGCTTTTTAGCAAGCCTCTTCAATCGATGAGGCAACCCCCGCACTGCAAAGCACTTATTTATATATTCGCTGGAGATACTGCCCTGTTAGTAACCACAATATCTTTCTTAGTATAATTTCAACCACCAACTCCTCTACCAAAGTAGACATGCCCAGTCTCACATGAGATATTAGAGCTTCCACCCGGTGTAAATGCTTCGAAACGCCACACTTTAATAATTTTAGCTCCGGCCCACATGTTAGCAACACCTGAGCAAGCTAGATTATTCCCCTACTTAGCTAATATGGGGATATTGTTCTCCAGCACATGCTTATCCGTTATGTTGCGCGTGCGTTGCCGGATTATTAAGACTTTTTCCTAAATAGGATGATGGTCAATTATCGATTACCAATCATCTTGCTTGAAAATCACTTCACGTATGACACAACAACAACGACCAAAATATATGTTAAAAACCGAGTAGACATCTCCCAAAAACCCCTTTCCCAACCAAACTCAAACCCAAAGCAAATATGGCAGAGTGTGTCCTTCCTCAACTTGATTTCAGAAACAGTGACTGACTTCTTTGCAGCCTTGAAGCTCTAGCGACAAACTTGGTCTCATCCGGACCCCACAAAGTCGAATCTACCCCGCGTAGGGTCCGTGCATTATTCGACGGAGTATGGTTGTTTGACACTACGAGCTCCCGTCACGTCTGGGAGCACAAGTATTTTCCGCAATTCTGGGTTCCTATCGGCACTGTGAATCCAGGCGTACTTACGAAAGGGGATGCTCTCGATTCTGATGCCTCGGCTTTCCGAGCAGTGGCGAAAGGAAAAGATAAAACTACTGAGCGAGTCCTTATTTTTGAGAAAGGTACTTTGGCTGGATTTGTTAGGTTCGAGTTCAAGGCAATGGGTAAGAACCTTTATTCACTTCTCAAAGTTTGTACTTAATGGAATATAGACGCCTGGTTCGAGGAAGATCAGCAGATATATGATCATCCAAAGAATCCGTACACTCGTATCGACATTCTGCCCTCATCGAGGAAGATCACCGTGAAAATTGGAGGGGTTACGATTGCCGAAAGCCTCAATCCTATGTTTCTCTTTGAAACGGGTCTCAGGACAAGGTTCTACCTTCCCAAGACTTCAGTAAGTAGCAATAATTTCATATAATGACAGCACTAATTATAACCATAAATAGGTGCAATGGCAATATCTCTCTGCCAGCAATACGACGTCCAAATGTCCATACAAAGGTCTTGCCAACTACTATAATGTGACTCTCCCCAATGGAAAGGAGTATAGGGACACGATTTGGTGGTATGAATACCCAACTACGGAGTCCAGTGCAATTCAAGGCCTCGTGTGTTTTTATAATGAGAAAGTGGACACGTATATTGACGGAGTTCTGGAGGACAAATAAATATGGACTGAAGGGGAAGCAAAAACATTAGGAATATCTCGTTCTTTCTGAAATAATGATTTTTAATAATTTTGTTGCTATGAGCCGGATGTTAGACGATGACGATGGCACGTGATAGCGGGGTAAATCCCGCTAGACTTTATTGAGACATTCTACCAACTGGCAGAATCGTTGCTTAATCTTCACGAAACAACACAAACAATTTTGCCAAATTTTTGACGACACCTGCAGCTTCTGGATACATCTTTGCCTAACTTGTTAAAGACGTTGTTAAAGAGAGCAGACTCAAAAGGGAAATTCCATCCGATATGAATAGTGGCGAATAAAATATACACCCCCGCCATCATGGCTGAACACCAGGACCCTGGAGTACTACGCTGGTATGACAGCTCCCGCCCTATGTTCATCGACCTCGTCGGTGACTATGCAGGCAAAGAGCTGTTCTTACTTGAAGGCGACTCTCTATTAAGAGAGTGTTTTGAAGACGAAAGAATAGATTTCCAATGTAAGTTTTCAACGGCACGCTTTTAGGTCTTCTCAACGCTTCTTCGATCTCATCTCCTCCTTCGCAACGTCTTTATCCTTTCTACCATGGAATCGGATTCTACCATGACACCGGATTGCATGTCGTCAACGTCACTCCCGTGAGACGTTGCGAGCAACGGCAAAATCGAGCCTGTTGACATTTTGCGGCGTCCCCACATTTGCGTCACCGTTTGCTAACAACTTTAGCTGGATTTCAATTACTTCACGCAGTTTATGTAGTTGAGAAATTTCTGGAGAATCTAGTAAAGCGACACTGCTCCTTTCACATTGCATTTTTCGAAGGTAGACAGATATCTGACTGTGCATCCATTCTGCTTGGCCTTCGCTGATAGGTGCTCTAGAAAACTCCGAGCTATGCATCCCGCCAGGGCTGTCCAAAGCGCTTCGATCGCGTTACTTGTTGGCCAGAAGCGTCATCAAGGCTCACTTGACTCTTCGCCTCCCCTCATCGCAACCGAATGTGTTAATCAACACATTCCCAACTTTGGAAAGTGAGGAATTCGCAGAATATCTCCATGTAAATCCTATACACTTCGTTATGGTGCATGATGGATCCTCTCGATCAATGAACACCTCATCTGAGAACTCGGAAGATGAAAAGCTGGCAAAGGTTCTTCTACGAGGTAAGTAGTCTGCTTGGAGGCCAGAATATATCTTAGATTGAACATCTCAGGAGTGATTTACTCTAGGTATGATCTGAGAGTTGATTGCTTCTGAGATATTGTCTCAACTCTTATAATGCATTTTCTCATTTTCTAGATATTACCTTACTTGGCAATACTGACTCCAAAATCTTGACACGCAGGAATGATCTGGTGGTGGAACACGCATCCGCTTAATGTTGCCCTCATCAATCGTATAGAATTCAGAGATTCGAAGGTGGGTCAGGTTCTCTTTTAACTTATTTTGTAAATGGTAGATCATTTATGAGACATTGTTGGTCCCCGAACTGTCCATCATTACGAATTACTAATTCCGAAACCTTGATTGTAGGTTTTTACCATGATCGTCGAGAGCTTTACGGCTTCTAGCAAGACGAAGCTTCTCAAGACGGCAAAAGTTATCGATGAAATCAAGGAGGCCAGCAAGCTGCTAAGAAAGCTGCGGGCAACCGACGAAGGATTACAGGTCAGAGTAGAAGATCTGGAGGAGCTTGAAGAGGATTCATCGATTGAGAACGAGTCCGAAAGTTATTATCTGTCGGCATACGCCGTCTCCGCCCTTCTCAGGAATAAAGATTGCGATATATTCATGGCATCCGCATTCGTAATCCACAGGTAGGTTATTAAGGATTGTTGCCTGACAAATCTGGATCATCAGCTTGTGGCCCCGAACCCCCCCTGAAGCAGCTAAGCTAACTTTCTCTTCTTCGCCAGCATCTTGTTGAAACATGTACCTGTCTCTGAGCGACGCCTTCCCCTTGTAACCTTCGACAAGGATTTCGAAGACCAAATCAATGAATTCATTGCCAAATTATCCAGCGTCTTGCGCTATACTATAGAGGATGCTGCATGGACCGATCTCATGGCGAGCAAGGAAGCAGAGCGAGATACTGTTGACCTTATCGATGGCCGTCTATTCAGAGTTGTTATTCAAGCTATGTGTGATGACACCCTGAAAACCGCATTTCCTCTAGGTAGGTACTCGGGAATCTCCTTACCTTCTTACTGCGGCATGTTTAGGGGGTCGTAAGACATGTTCTGGACCTCCAAGTCCAATAGCCTGCAGTACCCATAAATGTCTCACGGCTCTTAGATCGTTATCCGCTCTCCTGAATTGTACCCAAAGAAGCAAAGCTAACTCGCCGTTCTTCTCCTAGCTGCTCGTAAGCACTGGTCTGTGCTTTCCAGCCTTGTAAAGCAACTTGCAGATCAAGAGCTCTCAATACAAGGTAGCACAGAACCCGAATCATCAGAGTCGAGCGCTTCAAAGAGCGACTTCGAGCGATCCGAAGAGAACCTTGCTGTTTTGCCATTTTCTCACCCTGTTTTTGACAAGCACTTGGAATGCATTCATGTAGAAACAGAAACATCCCTACCCGCTCGACTTGGGTCAATGAAGCTTTACCGAGAGACGACTCATTGGCATAACCACAAGAAGCCCTTGACTACCAAGCCCCCTGTTGCGCAAAAAGTTTCCAAGTGGCGGTACGTTTACCATTTTTCAAAACCTGCCTCATCCTAGATACAAGAAGCGGCATAGTCATAGCCTTCTTTCAGTGTTCCGCTTGGCATGATGCATTAATCACTAGTGTCGCTTCTCTATCCATCAACAAACTTCCTCTCATGTCTAAAATGGGTTATTGCTAATTGGTCACAGAAACCCTCTTCGAACGAATCAATTCTATATGAAGGAAATGACTACATATGCCGCATCTCTTACTGGAGCTACTGGGAAAGCTCTAGATGCAGAGACGATCACCGTGGGTCCCAAGCAACTAGTCAAGATACCCGAGGCCAAAACCCCCAAAGCTTCAGCGCCTTCATCTTCCAAGGAGAATGCACCTGAGGCTCGAGCTCCGAGCAAAGCTGCAGCAGCTAAAAAGGGAACCAAGAAGGCTGCAGCTGGGCTCTCGAAGAAGGAGCAGATGAAAGCCGATAACACAGAGCGGAAGGGCGGAAACGAGGCAGACAAGGCTTTCAATGCTTGGGGTACTGTGAGGAAAGATCTTGATGTATTGTCTAATGATCAAGACCGGTACCTGAGAACCATCGAATACCTCAAAGGCTTGGATTCAACGAAGAAGACGCACCTCGAAGCGGAAGTGAACACCTATGCACTTCAGTCCCTCTTAAACTGGTGGGCAGAATCTGCTAAATCAGACAAAGAGTCAAGCTATCACATCGTAGCCTTGATCTGGACGACAGTTCGAACACTATGCAACATCACTTCGCCTTTTAGTAAGGAAATTGCCCAACACGCCACGATGGTGTGTACTCTTTTGGGCATCACGAATGCGATCACATCTTTCGACGCATCTACTCTTGACCGCAAGCTTTCGTTTGCCTTCAAATACCCAGCAAATACCCAGTCTCTGCGCATTGATATGACCCAGTACGAGTTTCAGCTGAACCACTGCGGGCCTTATATGGACCGTATGTTAGATGCAAAGCCAGATGCGAGAGTTTCTAGTTTTGTTCCAGATGGCTGGCAACGAGACGTCCTTGACCAGCTTGACGCAAACAAAAGTGTCTTTGTGGTAGCGCCAACTTCGGCAGGTAAAACATTCATTAGTTTTTATGCTATGGAACAGGTCCTACGTGCTGACAATGACGGCGTCCTTGTGTATGTGGCACCTACGAAAGCTTTAGTCAATCAAATTGCAGCTGAAGTGCAAGGTGAGTGCTTCATCTTTCTGTAGTGATGGTATCACAATAATTAACAAGGGTAGGTCGATTTTCTAAGAAATACCCGAGCGCTGGCAAAGGTGTTTGGGCAATTCATACGAGAGACTATCGCGTCAATAACCCGACAGGATGCCAAATATTGGTTACGGTTCCCCATATTCTGCAGATTATGCTACTCGCACCGACAAATGCCAAGTCTTGGGCTCCACGAGTTCGACGTATCATCTTTGATGAGATCCATTCCATAGGCCAAGCAGAAGATGGTGTTGTATGGGAACAACTCCTTCTGCTGGCACCATGTCCAATTATCGCATTGTCTGCTACTGTCGGCAACCCTGGAGTCTTCAACGACTGGTTGACCGAGACACAAAAGGCTTCTGGATCGGAATTGAAGATGATCCAACACGGCACTCGTTATTCCGACCTGCGCAAATACATGTACGAACCACCGAACGATTTCCAGTTTGCTGGTTTTGGGAAATCTTATGGCCTAGGTCTTGGTCTTGAAGGTCTCGAAGGGTTTGAACAATTTCATCCAGTAGCCAGTCTAGTCGACAAATCCCGTGGCATGCCCGATGACCTTGCTCTGGAACCTCGGGACTGTCTTTCTCTGTGGAAGGCCATGTGCAAATGTCAAACGGAAGCATACAAGGTCCCCGAGTCCCTCAACCCTGCCAAAGCACTACCTGCATGCATTCGAAAGGCTGATATTTTTGCTTGGGAGAAGAACCTAAAGAAGGTTCTTCTACAATGGATGGCAGATAGTCGCTCTCCTTTCGACCAACTCATCATTGAATTATCTCCTCGGGGTAAGGTGAATGCAGTGGATAAGACACTAGCAACTGACTCGTCCGTCACCAATGGCGATCATTTAGATCCTCTGAGTCTCAAAGCGACAACTTTGCCATTGCTATATCAGCTGCACAAGCGCCGAGCGCTCCCTGCTATTCTGTTCAATTATGACCGAAGCCAGTGTGAAGAAATTGCATTTGCAGTGTTGGAACAGCTTTCCGAAGCCGAGGCTCGATGGAAGCAGGGACCTCAATGGAAAAAGCTTATGGAAGGATATGAGAAATATCAAGAGCAGAAAGACAAGAAGGCTCGAAAACCGGCTAAGCCGGCCAAAAAGAGCAAGGATGCAGACGATGAAGGCGGATCTAAGATGGATCGAATGCGGGACGAGGCATCTGATGGATCATCACAATATGATCTTTTCGACCCAGAGGCACCCCAGGCCGACTTCAGCTTTGCAGATCCCAAGAAGCTCCAGAAGGCTGAGTTGGACGAGTACATCCGTGCTCTGAGATGGAAGGATATTAGGGAAGAGCTGATCGAATTGCTTAAGAGAGGAGTAGGTGTTCATCATGCTGGTATGAATCGAAAGTATCGACAATGTGTGGAAATGTTGTTCCGACGAGGCTTTCTTCGGGTAGTGGTCGCAACAGGCACTCTAAGTCTTGGTATTAACATGCCCTGCGCAACTGTAGTCTTCTCCGGAGACTCGGTCTTCCTGACAGCTCTAAATTTCCGACAAGCAGCTGGTCGTTCTGGTCGTCGAGGCTTCGACTTACTTGGTAATGTTGTATTCCAAGGCATTGACAGAGAACGAGCAAGCAGATTGTTGAGCTCAAGACTCCCGGAACTTACAGGGCATTTCCCAATCACGACAACACTGGTCCTGCGACTATTTACTCTTTTGAATGGCTCAAACAAATCACTTTATGCGGAGAAGGCCATCAACTCGCTCCTTTCGCAGCCACGTCTTTACCTTGGTGGGCAAAGCTTTAAAGAGCAAGTCTTGCACCATCTACGATTCTCCATTGAATATTTACGCCGCAATGAATTACTAGGCCCGGGTGGTGAGCCCGTCAACTTCACAAGCTGCGTTTCTCATCTATACTTCACAGAGAATTCTTCATTCGCATTTCATGGTAATCTATAAGCAATTCCTCTCAAAAGACCATCGGCTAATATCTCGCAGCTCTCTTGAAAGGTGGTTATTTCCACAAGCTCTGTGTCGACCTCGATGCCAAGACAGATATGGTATTGCACGAAATGATCCTCGTGCTTAGCCATCTATTTGGGCGTCAGGTTTGTCGGGAAGTGGATGATCCGGAGGAAGTGGAGAAAATCAAGAGGTCTCCATCAATCGTATATCTCCCTTCCATGCCTGAGGATGCTACGAAAATTCTACGGAGGCACAACAAGGATACCCTTGACATCTTCACTACTTATGTGAAGACGTTCGCGGCTCAGCATGTCAAGGAAGAAGAGGGCCAACTGCCTCTGACCCATACACCCGTCGGAGTATTATCTGAAAAGCGTGCCAATGGTCACGCAAATGGCACCGTACCCACCAATGGCGATGGAAAAGAGTACCCATCAACCGTTGAATTCATCCCAAGCCTTCCTGCTCCCCACGCAAGATCCGCTTTCGTGGCCCTCTCGGGTCTTGGAGACGAATTCACGACTATCGAAGATCTGTGCTCCTCTACCCGCGACGGCATCTTCCTCGAGGCTGCCGTCATACCACATCTAGAGATTCATCCTGATGAGACGAGGACCCCGTTGAATGCTTACCTCCTCGATTTCTACATGCATGGCGCTGTGGAGCCGCTTGAGCTAGCTAATGGTATTAGAAAGTCCGACGTAAGTTGAAACGCGGGGAAGTCGATCCATGAGTCGTGTACTAATGATTTGTGTAGGTTTGGTTCGTGCTGAACGATTTCTCCATGGTGCTAGCAACAATCGCAACATCTCTGGCCCTGTATCTCGGACTTGACTCCGATGCAGATCCTGAGATGCTTGATATTATGGGCAGTGGAGATGCGGCCGAGAACGATGCCGATGCAGAGGTCGCTGCTAAGACGGAGCCTGAGCCTGCTGCAGCTGCGAAATCCAATGCTCCAACTCAAGGGGCTCCCATCAGAAAGAGCAAGAAGGTTGCTGACGATTGGGGTGCGAGTGAAGACGCAATGGTTGCCGAGGAGGATTACCTTAACAGTGAACGACTGAATGGCACCGGTGCGACGGATGATGAAGAATACGACAAACTGATGAATGTGTACAAAGCATTCCGCAAGCTGAAGACGGAATTCGATGAGAAGTTCAGAGCTATCTGGGCCTAGATTTTGTCGTGGTGGGAGAATTAGGACGATTCACGAAATTGATGATGTATTTTCCTTGGGGATAAAAACCAATGTTGGGATAGACTGTCAGTATGCATAGATGAATATAAAATTCATGACTTGTAATGTCTCGTTAGGGGAGAAGTATTAACTTCCTGATTCTTTGAGATATCCATGCGGAACAATGGAATAGTAGGCATGCCATGATCATGCCCTGCCCTGACTAGATGGCCAAGCACTGACATGCTTTTAAGCCGCCCTGAAAGATTAGCACTAAATCCAAAGCAGCTCCCTCGTACGAGTGCACGATGGTGAAGGAGAAACTTGGCCCCCAAAAGGTCAGTAAGAGCCGCAGACTGCCCCCCTTTACGAAGCGAAAGGATCGTCCGCAACGAGCCACCGTACTTGTAATTCTTGCTGCAAACTACTGTAGTGTAGGGCGTTTCAACAGCGGTGTTCCACATGTCTTTCCTACTTGTTACTTTTCAGCCTTATGGAGTTATGGAAGGATTAATGAAAATGCATTTCTACCGTTTTCTGTAGGGATTCAAGAAATGGTACGTCTTCGTACCAGTGTAATATTGACTTACAATCGTTAGCGTCACTCAAAAAGAATGAATGGTTGATAGCAAATTCGCTACCCCTTTCTCTTCACACAATTTCTACCTTTCAAACTTTCTACGGCACTATTTTTATTCTTCCATCACATATCATAGCTTTTTATCGACGAGTAACCTGGTAGTATTTCGGTCGTACTTTATGACTGCCAACTACATGCATGCACCCCAGGTAGTGAGTGACACTCAAGGCTTGTTACAAATACACAAAACAAGGCCATATCTGCACAAACCACAAACGCCATCGCAATGCTTGCTACCCAAATCAAGTCAACATTCTCCAAAATATATATCAACGCCAGGCACCAGGATCAATCTCCGTTCCCAAATCCCTATCCTCCAAAAAAGTTCGTCCCTGCATTTGGTCCGGCAAGTACTCCTGTACGACCTTCCCTTCCTTATAATTAGGATTATACTTGTACTGATCCCCGTAGCCTAGTTCCTTCATTAACTTCGTTGGAGCATTCCGCAAATGTATCGGTATTGGCAGGCTCGCTACACCTGGTTCTCTCAGGGCAGCATAGGCATTATTCAGGCCGCGATATGCGCGAGTGCTTTTGGGCGCTAGACACAATGCTACCGTTGCATGTGCCAAAGCGATGCGGCATTCCGGCATGCCTATTTTCTCTGCGGCTGTGTAGGCGCTGGTTGCCAGGGAAAGCATGCTATTGTCTGCGAGTCCGACATCTTCAGAGGCTATGACTACCATCCTGCGGGCAACGTATAATGGATCTTCGCCAGATTGCAGCATCCGGGCCAAGTAGTAGAGAGCAGCGTCTGGATCACTGCCTCGTACCGACTTATGAAATGCCGATATGGTATCATAGTGCTGGTCTCCAGCTCTGTCATATACCAATGTCTTTGTCAAAGCAGCCTTGATTTCTTCTTTTGTGATTGAAGGCCGGTTTGATAATGACATGGCTAATTCCAAGAGATTGAGAGCCGTGCGAGCATCTCCGTCTGAGAATGAAGATAAGTACTTCATAAACTCCGAATCTATCAAATTCCCAGGGACATCTTGCCCCTCAGCCCCAAGAGCCCTTTCCAGTATTTGCAGGATATCTTCATCCGTCAATTTTTGGAGTGTGAAAGTCCGACACCGTGATAGTAGCGCGTTCTGTATTTTAAAGGATGGGTTTTCTGTTGTAGCTCCAATCAAGGTAACCTGTCCATTCTATCCCAATGAATTAGCATAGTAAAAAGTGATGTGCTTAGAGAGAGCCAAGGATTCTAGGAGCTGTCTCGGCATATGGGCTCCTGAAACAGCTCCTTAGCTCCATAGAGGAAAATAGCCTTTCCATATGAGAATAAGCATACCTCCACAGGTCCTAAAAAGCAATCTTGCTGAGCCTTTGTAAACCGATGAATCTCGTCGCAAAATAATATCGTTTTCCGTCCCGTTAATCCCAATTCTCCTCTTGCTTCCGCAAATATCTTCTTGCAATCCGCTACCCCAGAACTCGTACTGTTGATCTCCACAAACCGACTCCCAACCATGGAAGCTATACACCTGGCTATTGTTGTTTTCCCAGTGCCAGCGCCACCCCACAGTATCATGGACGGCACGCGATCCTGCTCGATCAAGCTCCGCAGCACTCCTTGGGGCCCTACTAACTCTTGCCCAATACATTCGTCCAGCGATCGCGGACGCATTCGTTCTGCCAACGGCGCGGCTTTTTGGAACGCGGTAATCTTTGGTTTCTTCGCAGGCGGTTCTTCCTTTATATCTGTCCCCCTTTCCTGCTCTTTCTTGACAGAGGGGCTAGGGGCGATATCCTCAAAAGAACGTTTTCTCTGCGACTGGCTTGGGGTGGTGGCAGACGTGCCATTGCTCTCAGTTTTCACGGCGATACTCAGACTTGGACTAGATTCTACCTTCGGAGTCGGATATGCTGCTGATCGCTTTGCTGCTGGGGTCTGGAAAAAGTTCGATAGGGAGGCCTTTTGGGAGTTTCCGTTTTGTTGGGTAAGTGGCGGCGAACTTGATTCGAGGAAGGATTGGCATCCTGAGTCGATGTGGTTATTTATGTCTTTTTCCTTTACTCCTTTGCTGCAAATTGGGCAGTCCACCATTTTCCCAGCTCGAAAAAGGACGTTCGTGATGTTGTGTAAGCTTTTGGTTTGGGAGACGCGATATCAGAACGTTAGACGCGCTGAGGGTCGCGCCTTTCTTCTCTAGCGTGTCACTAGAGGATCCCTGTATTTCGGCTGAAAAGCTCTCACTACAGGCCTTGGAGACTTCACTTTTGTGCTTTGAAACCTTTTACTCTCCTCCGTCCATTTCAATTTGGCCTCTTTCACGCTGAATAGTTCAGTAATCAACATAGATATGTTAAAAGGCGACCCATGCCAGGTAATGATTGATTAAGCAGAGTAACCAAGAGCTGAAAACCCCCCTAGCCGTCTCACAGTTTTGAATGGCCTGGGACAGTGGGAGCTCACTCGAGATCCTGAGGCAGGGAAGTATCCCAGATAGTTGATTGTCATGAATTCAATACATTCCGCCTCATACATATACCTATCTCGTTTCTTATAATATTACATCTTATGCCTGAGTATCGCCTCCCAAAGCATCATAGGTGTTATCACCACTCACACCCTTCTGTCTGGGGTGTCCAGCGTCAGGACCAGCCCCCGCATTCTGTCTCTCAAACTTTTGCTCCGCTAGTCTTCCTGGGTCATTCTTCCCACCAATATCCTGGCTCCAGCTCGCGTTCTTGCTATCATTACTCTCAAACCCCCCCTCGGTCAAGTTCTTTCCCTTGGGACCACCGCCATCGACGTATTGGCTCGAGACATAGGAAGGAGCCGTGCCAGCGTTGCTAGACGCACCGCCAGTCTGGTAAGAGCCTTGCGTATTTGTCACTGCGAGACCTTTTGCTTGCCCGCCAGCAGCATCTGGATAGGTGCCAGTACCGCCAAGTTTCTTCTCTTCGGCCCAGTCGCCTTCTGCTTGACGGGCTTCAGCGTCTGAAGCAGGATCTAGACGGGTTGCTCCCGAGGTGTTCGTGTTGGCGAATGTAGAGTTGGAGCCAGAGACTCCTTGGGGCTCGCTTCCGCGGTTTGAGGCAAAGCCTCCGTTGGCTCTTGTGGACTCTGCTGCCAGAGAATCGTTTGCAACGGCTCCAGTTGACTCTTCAATTGAGGATGCATTGGGGTCAGTGACCTAGGTATTGTCAGCCTTGCTCTTTGCTGAGCTGTTGAAGTACTGTAGAAGTTCACAGCACCGTGCTCTCAACTACGCCAGAGGGAAGTTGACAGCTAGAAAGTGAACGCGAGAAGCTCGATATGAGGCTCAATATGAGGATAATCCTTACCTTTGTGCCGTATGATGGGTTTTGCGTAGACATTTTTGATATTTCGTAAAATCAGCTTGTTCGGGAATAATGTTTTGTTGAAGTGGTAAGTTTACAATTTTCTTAATATGATCGTATTGAGGATAGAGAGTTCAACAGCGCACTAAAATCTAAAGTCTTATGAAGCTTGTGGTTGGCATCATACTTTATACCAACGCTGATGACATCATGCTAAAGTTGGATGTATGTCTTGCATGTGTTTTGTCCGATGTGGGTGATGATGTGATGAAATGATTCGCAATTTGTATGGGGAACATGACATTAGACGACGATCATACAGTAGAAACCAGAATCCAAGATTTCCATCACGACATCAGCGGAGAGAGCTCCTAGCGAGATGTAAGCGAGGGGTAAATCGAGGGGCAATCTCGTCACGTGCATGTGTTTTGCCACACGAAAGGAAAGACTTCTAATACTTCTACAGTGATTAGATTCACAAAAGTCTAAGTAGGAGGCATTAACGGAGCTTTATGGGTTTAATTATGTTGAGTTGGTTACAGCAGGCTGCTTTCAAGCTGTTTCGCCATCACCAAGTTATCATTGTAGCCCCAAGCGTTCCCATCAACACCCTTCAAAGTCTACGTAGACTTCGCATCCTTTGGCAATCCATCTAGACCATCCTTCCCCTGTCTTCCGACACCACTCAAATCCGCACCCCCCTCTTGTCTCACGCCACTGCCCTTGGTGGCAGGCTCCCTCAAACCGGCCGACGACGCATCGCCGGTGGAGATCTCGGATTGACGCTCGCTGGCAGAGACATTGACTGTGCGGGCGTCGGCGGAGTTCCAGTCAGACGCAACGGGAGGTTCTTCGGGAAGGGGCAGGTTGCTTTGACGCTCAGCGATGAGGTCGGCTTTGCTTTGTTGTTGGTTCGACATTTCGAGGATTGTTCTGGGTTGGAGTTAGCTTTACTTGAACTTGGAGCTGTGAGTATTTGGAAGGTATTTTACTATCTGAATGAAGTTTGTGCTTGTGCTTGTAATAGTGAGTCGTGTTCGTGGACTTTTATAGTTGAAAGTTCGACTTGAAACTCAACAGTTATTTTGGGCTTTTTCTTGAAGCTTCCAGCATGCTAAACTATGTCATTTAAAGCGGGCCTTGCATGCCGATTGAGATCATAGGTACTGTAAAGCATACCGTGTTGAATTAAAAGTGACGTTTAGTCCAGGGGAAAACTGGTGGCCTGAAGTTGATGACTGAGGAATTAACAAAAGGATAGGTAGTCACGAGACTTCTCTACAAATTGGTATCCGTGATCATTTCCATATACATCAAAGAATCCCCCTATGCGCCAATAACCCCAACTCCGAAAATGCTTGGATCTTTTCATAGCCCGTAAATTCACGACACCCGCTTGTCTCCTGCCTCTCCCGCCGCCTTGTCGCCCTCAGGATTCAGATAATCTGCATTTTCTGCGGCTTCGTATTCTGCAATAAGATCCGTCACAACCTCCTTTGCTTCATCGAACTCGTTCAAGTTATCCGCGAACGGAGCGGTCTTCTTATAACCCTCCATGAAGGCATTTCGTTTGCGCATGGTATCATAGTGGCGAACAATTCGTTTGAACAACTATAAAAGTTGTTAGCGTACGAAGGCCTTTCATGAGTACAGACACTTACGGTAGCGATGCTAGTATGATTCGCCAACATGAGTCCACTGACTCTATGATTCATTGGGATGTATGGGCTCTTCTTGGTTAGTGCAACTTGAATACTTGCTGGGCCCCATGGGATGAAGGTTGCAAGTTTCCGTTCTCGAATACGAAGAAGACTCTTATGAACGTCGGTGGGATCTACATCTCCTTGAATCACGTTCAAAATAGAGATATAGCAGCTTTTCTTCCCAGGAATCGTCGATACCATTCTGTTTTTGGGTTGAAGTAGGCGACGCATCACATCCAAGACGGTAGTCTTTCGAACAGTCTTAGCTTGCTCGACGTTAGCACCTGTAAATGGTGTGTACGAGGTCATGAGGAAATGGCATCGCGGGGTAGGGATTAGTGAGGCAACAATGCTGACAAGATCGTTGTGCATGTAGCCTGGGTATCGTAGGGGTGTTGTGCTAGCTGACATGACTGTAGATACCTGTTTATAAAGGTTAATTTGGTTGCAGTTGAGAATAGAGGCATACGTACTAGCTGGTTGGTTTGTTGAAAAGAGGGTTCCTGGACATGCAATCTATCCGCCGCAATACGAGACAAAGCGCCATTATCAAGTACAACTACCGAATCCGCATTTTGGGTTAACCTCCGCATGGAGAGTAAGCTGTTGTATGGGTGTACCACCACATTATCGTTTTGGGTATCTGGAAAGACCGAGTATGTTTGGATAATCTTCTTTGGGAAGCGGTCATTCAGTCTTTCCAAAAGAAAAGACCCCAAACCAGATCCGGTTCCTCCAGCGATCGAGTGAAGCATCATGAAGCCCTGCAGAATTAGCTATGTCCTTCCATTATATCCCTGCACGGCTTACCTCGAGCGAATCACTGCCGTCTGCCTCGCGATCGATCATCTCCATGACTTCCTCATGAACCAATTCTCCTGTTTGATATCCATCACCCCAGTTGTTAGCCGCACCTAGTCCATTCTTTCCAACGAAGAAGTTCTCAGGGTTGTAGATGTTTTTGTAAGGACCGGTCTGGATGCCATTGAGGACCTGTTGACTTATTAGATATAACACAACTCTTAATCCGGCCTGAAGAACGCACTCGAGGTTCTAAATCGATCAAGATTGCTCGGGGAATGTATCGCGTGTCGTCAGATTGATAGAAGAAAACATCCTTTCGGTCTCCGCCCTCGGTCGCAAAGTCCTCCAGATTCCCATCCTGACTTATGCCATGTTCCTGGCAGAGTTGTGGCCAGAACTGACTCCCGACTAAATAGGATAGTTATGAATGAGTATTTGACTCGGACTCGAAATTTGTAAAAGAGGTCAGCACTCACTGCTGTTGCCGCACTGTCCAGCCTGTACAGTGATGATTTCTCTATTGATTTGTGTCAGTCAAGCTTGCGGTAAAGGAAAGTGTTAGACGCACCTAGGCATTACTGCGACATGGGTATTAGAAATAAAGAACAGGAAGGGTCTGGGTGTTTAGAGATGGAGAAATACAAAGTTTCAGAATTCAGAACACCAGAACATCAGCAGTGTCGTCGCGCTTGCCGTGGGGTCGACGCGCTGGAAAGAAACCGCGTTAGCGCGTCTTCCCTGATTGGTAGCCTTAGAAGCTTATTGTAAATATTCCCGGTACAGAGGTACACCTCCACCTCCAACACCAAAATCTACGGCGCATCAACAAACAGACAGGCATACTGGCGACTAACTCCACGACGACTGTAACAACTCTTGCGCATATTTACAACGGCCTCGATTCATCTCTTCCTAGAATATTAAGCTCTGCGGAGCAAACCAGCCGCAATGACCTATCAAGTTCCTTACTCCTCGAGCCCGCCATCAACACCAGACAGAAGATCCAGCAATGGCAGGAATATATTTGGCTTATCAAACCCTTCGACAACCCCGGCTGGGCCGCCGCCTTCTTCTGCCGGATCTTTCACCCCAGCAGGTCCACCGCCATCCTCTATTCTTGGAAGCTCGATGCTGGGTGCCAATAGTCCTTTAAAGCCTCTCTCGTTTTCACAGCAAAGCACATTCAGCCCATCGCAAAGCAAACTCGACGCTTTCAACTCGTCTAACTTTTCGAATTCGGCAAGCTCTTCAGCAACACCAAAATACTCTGTTTTCCAACCACCCAAACAAAGAGGCTTCCACGCTCCCCACGATAGTGAAGAAGAAGAATATGAAGAGGGCGATGACACTGGAGAATATATGGACGAGGATGACGACCTTCGCCAAAGTCTCAAGGAAGATTACACCCAGGATACCAATGCAATGATGGACGATGATGCTTCATACGAAGAAGATGAAGATATGAACGATGATCAATCTGGCGCCAGATCAAATGGATACGCGCAACGCAGCAGTTCTGACCTATTACTTGGTACACCAGGTGCCCTGGTTAAAACTCAAGAAGAAGATATGCGAAGCTTGAAAGACTCATTCTCAGCTGCGACGAAACCTTCCATCTTCGGAAAGATTGCCAAGGACATGTACACACGGATAGGAGTGCCGAACGTAGAGGAATCGGACGACCTAGTTTTGGACACTGAGGCTATAATTACAAATCTTTATGAGGAGGGTATTCAAACAGAGGGTGATGACTCTCTACAGCATACTTTAGGAAAGATATCTGGCGAGTTGACAAATCTCTGGACCGACTATCAAAGTAGAACCGCCACATACAGTTCCGAAGAATATACAGCTACTATCGGTCCAGGCCCCAGAGCCTCGAATTTCGCGAAAGCCAACTTCTTAGCAGGCCTCGCATTGAACATTCATCACTCATTGGATACCCTGGCCTCAAATACAGCAAAAACCTTTCACCCATCAGCCATTCCGAGCCCAAGATCCAAGGCTATTCCAGGAGTGTTAGTGGAATGGTTGGGCGCGTATCATGATCCTTACACGTCACAATTTGACGAAATCCAAGTACATAGGCCAAGTCCTGCTAACCATCAGCTCTTCTGGGGTGCTATATTCAATGGCATCCTGCGTGGAAAAATGGTTTCAGTCATCAATACTTTGAAGGATGCCGGATGGAGGCACGCTAGAGGTGGAATGGACGACATGAGAAATCTGTCCGGCCAAGTGGGATTTACAGGACAATCTTTAATCAACATTGAGAAAGTCGCTAGCGCCGCAGTCGTTGCTCTCTCAACGTGTCCCGGAATAGACGGTGATTGGAACACCCGGGGAAGTGACTGGACTTTGTTTCGTCTACGGGTCTCACAATCTCTTGAAGATCTGAAAAACTTCGCCGAAGGAAAAGACAGAGGTCACAACGCATCGACAGTCTCAGATAGATTTGGCAAGTCATCTATGGGTACTTATAGTACGATCGCAAGGAAAGCTGAAAGCCAGGTACCGTGGAGTATTTACCAGAATTTCTTGACTTTATACAGTCTTGTATTGGGAGATTCTGCTGCTGTCATTTCAAATGCCCAGGATTGGTGTGAAGCCACCGTTGGCTTGGTCCTGTGGTGGGATGGAGGCAAAAACAATCGACGCTCATATTTGGGCCAATCTCGTGATAACGGGGTTTACCTACGTAGGCTTCGAGAGGCACTTGCGCTCGTGACGGGCGACACAACAGATTTCCAAGTCAATACGTTGAATCCCGTCGAAGTTGGCCTGGCTTCGCTCATCGATGGAGATAATGAGGCAGTGGTAGGGTTCTTACGAGCCTGGTCCGGCCCGGTCTCTTCTGCAGTCGCCGAAGTTGCTTCCATTGGAGGTTGGCTTCCACCAGCCGAGCCACAGAGCCTCATCAACATGGGAAGCTTGGACCAGGACGATATGGATCTGCTTGGAATCAATTCTTCACCCTCTAAGACAGACGGCATCAAAGATCAGACCCTTATCATTTATGCTAGGTCTTTGACCAACCGAGGAGAACTTCAGTCTACAGCTGCATCTCAAACCCGGCAACAAAGTAGAGAGGGATGGGAATTGGCAATTGCTGTTCTAGGTAGGCTTGACTCAGTTGCTCGTTCTGAGGAAATGGTGGGAAATTTCTTGAGCGATTTCCATTTGGATTCTGCAGGAACAGTTGACAAGCTTTGGGTTCTCCTAATTGATATTGGCATGACCCGCCATGCTGAAGCTTCGGCAGAGGTAATGTTTTTACTCCTGATTTTCAGAGAGTTATACTAATCTTAAATAGTCATACGCTGATATCTTGGCGGAAGACTCACATAATTATGGCGAGGCACTCTGGTATTATGCACTTGCTCATAAGGAGACCAAAGTCAAAGATGTCTTGGACTTACTCATCTCCTTGTCACTCGTTCAATCAATGGCATTTCCTCCGGATGCCGAAATGGATAATTATTTAAGGAGTCTGGTATCATCCCCAAAGACAACGCTTACGGACCTCTCGAAGATGGATGTTCCAGCAGCGGAACTTCTCCACAAACTACTTAGCGGTTATGCTACATTACGGAAATTCTACGATTTGAGAGATGAAGAAGTCTTGTTACCGAAAGGCCTGAAGCCTCAGAAGGGTGCCGTTACACGAAAATCGGAAGCAGCAGCAGCCTTACTTGCTGTCATTACCAGTTCTGACGACAATATCCGAGGTGGTCTTTATGATGAGGAGCGTGGTGCTGTTGTCAGCGTAGACTTTCTCCTGGCGTTATTGGGAGAGGCAATGGTCTTTGTCAACCAGCCGAACTTGACAATCAGTACGTCACAGATTGATATCCTATTGAAGGCCATCGAAGACATTCAAACAGTCGGACCACGGGTGTATTCAGCTTGCATGGAATTTTTGCAAACTGTCATTGCGTCGGCAACGGGACTCAAAGGGTCATCTCCAACGGACATGTTGAGGAAGTCGACGTCAAACACAAGTGGTACGAGCAGTTTTTCGATGGTTGGCAGCTCAATGCTTGCTTCTCAATTAAAGCAGTCGATGGGAGGTAGCGGGGTTCTAGTCAAGGGCAATATTAAGCGTGGATGGGACTGGAGACGTGGTGTCTCGGCTGGGACCACTGGAGATGATGTGCTGCGAATCCTAAGACTTGGATTAGCAAAGGACCTAGCGAAGGCTTGGCTCTTGGAGGCAGATGGTACAATGTAAGATTTGGATGGCAAAAGACAAGTGAGGCATTGGGCGGCGTTATGAAAATTGCAATGGCCATATGCCTAGGAGTATATGGATAGCATGACGACGGAAGACGTCCTTTCTTGTAATAAATAAAACCTTGATACCCTCAATATCCGAATATATTGACTCCTTGACACTTTCTCAAAATCCAAATAGTTGAAAAAGAGCTCTCGAAGTGGGATTGTCTTGTCTAGTATATTCTACATCTACATCTACAATAGTACAGAGTGGATATCCCCCAAAACGCCTCTACAAATGCAGCCTACCGGCCTCTATTAACACATTAATTCAGGTGCCTCATAACCCCTTCAAATGCCACAAGCGCCACAGCATTCGCAGGAAACGCCCTTAGAAAACACGGCAAAAACCCCCTCCAATACCCCCTCACCCCATTCTCCCTATACACAGTCCTAGCGGCCTCCCTCCAATTCGCAAACCTCCTCTCTCCATCCCCAAGTCCCCCCGCCAGCGGATCCGTCATGATGCGCTGCTTCACAACATCAGACGGATAACTCGTAATCCAGAAAACCTGGGCACTGAGCCCGCCGGCCCAAAAATTCACCGCCGGCATGCTGAGCTGCGTCTTCTCGGACAGTAGGCGCGTGAAGACGTCATAGCTGCCCCACCAGAAGAAGAAGAAGCTGCGGAAGAGCAGCGTGGCTGAGAGCCCGTGGTAGATGCCAGGCAGGCCGTGGAACTTATAGATCTTGCGCGCGCAGTCGATGGGGCCGCTGTACAGGCGTTCGGACTTCTTGCTCGAATATTGGATCTGCAAGCGCGCTTTGACGTGCTCGACCGGGGCGGCTATGAAGCTGACGGTGCCGCCGGCCATGATGCCAGCGAGGGCGTGGCCTACTGTGGGTAGTTTGTGGACTGGGAGGGAGGGGTCGCGGGATGGGAGGCCGGCCATTTGGGAGGGCGAGAAGAGGGTGCGGTGCAGGAATTTGCGGTAGAATGTTAGGGAGCCCAGCATTATGCTGTCCATGAACATCCATCCCACGAGGGGGGGAGTGGCGCCTTTGTAGAGGCCGCGGACGCCTTCGTTGCGGACGGTGGAGAGGAGGCATTGGAGGGGGCCTGAGAAACGGGTGCTATCTGAAGTTTGGAGGCGGACTTTTATGGTGTCGAAGGGATGGCCGACTGGGGATGATGTTAGTACAAAGTATTGGTTGGGGGAATTTGGCAGGTATGAGAGGAAACGGGGACGGGTATATAGCAATTGGCGCTTCTGGAAGTATATTACTGTAGATAGGATGGGAGTAAAGTAAATAAAGCAAGATAGATACTCACCACTCAACTTCGCAACGCCCGAGAAAACACCAGCTACAAAGCCCCTATAATTCTTACCACCCTCATTCTTCTCCATTGCCACATCTGGATTCTCGGATTGCCCTGTTCTCCTCGAAACGGCGACCGCATGTTTCCCCGTTGTAGACATACAGTATGCCAGTCACACACTCACTCAAGACACTCAACTGATACCGAAATAGTGAACATCAAGATTGATCTAATCGACGTTTGTTTGAGCAGCTTCAAGGAAAATGCCTGCTCAATCTCAAGCTCGGACGAAAGTTTGAAATCAAGTGAGTGAGTGAGTGAGTGAGTGGGTGATCTCTCGTCTGATTAATAAATAGTCCACCAGGGGTTACAAGCACGCTCGAGGCACGGTAGGGTTCCGACATGACATCCCTGCAAGACTTTTATCTAAGGCGGAATCCACTCCGAGTTCAGTTCTACGGAGTAAACTGCCCCTCCAAAGCCCGCAGTGGGGTTGTCGCAGAAAATCGTCAAACATCGTCGTTCAACATCTCTGACACTTTGAAGTACAAGTACGCGTCTTCTTGCTACATCTATTTCCGAGTTGATTAATAAAGGACCGACTAAAGATTCAACGCCAATATGCGCTGCTAGCAGGACTCTAACCTGGCCAACTCATTTTCCCATACATATACATATACATATACATATACATCTACACTTACAACTTTTGGATATAATCCCCCCATCAACTCCTATCTTAAACACGCAAATATACATACCGCAAATCATGGCTGAACCCAAGAGAGCAACCGAGTCCAAGAAAGGCAAGTTCTGTAATGTTGTACCCTTTAGACAAGAGCATCTACTTACAGATACCTGCTGGATGTAGTCTGGACGACTCTAATAACCAACACCGCATACCTCTCCGGCCTCCTAACCCTCGACTACTCCCTCAAAAAGCACAACTCCGCATACCCCCTCGTCGCCCTATACACCGACGCCTTCCCCGCCTCTGGCCACGCGGTGCTCGACGCGCGCGGGATCCCCAAGCAGCACGTCCCCTACCTGCTGCCCTCGGCCGGCAAAGACTACTCGGCCGACCCGCGCTTCTACGACTGCTGGTCGAAGCTGACGCCGTTCAGCCTGGTCGAGTACGACAGGGTCGTGCAGCTGGATAGCGATATGCTGGTCATGCAGAACATGGACGAGCTGATGGAGATGGAGCTTGATGCGCCGGCGCTGGCGGGCAAGGGGAAGAGGGTCTTTGCTGCGGGGCATGCGTGTGTTTGTAATCCGTTGAAGAAGAAGCATTATCCTGCCGATTGGTGAGTTCTCCCTCTCTGTTTCACAGTAACTATGAAATGAAGTGAGGGATAGAATGGAATGGAATACTGATGTTGATATCTGGAACAGGATCCCAGCAAATTGCGCCTTCACATCCCAGCATTCCACCCCCGAAATCGCCCAAACAACCGGCCCAGACCCAGCCGTTGGGCCCCTCGGCTTCATGAACGGCGGTCTGCAAGTCGTGAACCCGTCCCAAGAAGTCTACGACCTAATCGTGGGGCACATGAATTCAGGCGCGGCCATCGACATGGATTTCGCGGACCAGTCTCTGCTGAGTGACTTGTTCAAGGGGTGCTGGGTGCCGCTGCCGTACATCTACAATGCGTTGAAGACACTGCGGTGGGAGACGGTGCATAGTGAGATTTGGAGGGATGAGAGCGTTAAGAATGTGCATTATATCTTGGCACCGAAGCCGTGGGATGAGATGGATAAGGAGGGGAAGAATATTAGTAGTGATCCGACGCATGCTTGGTGGGTGGAGGTGAATCAGGAGAGGTTGGTGTCGGAGAAGGAGAAGGGGATTAAGGTTGATGGGTTTTAGAAAGGTAGACATATACTGAGAGCGTTGTGTGGGAGTCAAGAGACATATATAGACGGGGATTAGATCAGGCGTTAGGATATAGATGTGGTAGATGTAAGACGTGGCCAGTTGGATATAGAATTTAGACACAAAAGCATTCGAACATATCACTTTTTGCAAGAAAATCCATTTGGTAGGGACACAGCGATTCAGCATTGACAAGCTATCTCTGCGATATGACCCTCGATATCTTCCTAGCGTGATATCCACCCGTCAACTAATCTCCATTTACTCATCATCCTCATCAGCCTCATCGTTAACCACGTTGAAGAATCGGAGCTCGTAGACACCCTTGGAGGTAGACACAACACGGAGCCAATCTCTCAGCTGTTGCTTCTTGAGGAACTTCTTTGTCCTGCAATTAGAATTCAATTAGCTTCTACTCTTTTCATCTAAAGAAAGAAAAACCATATATGAGTCGGGGCTCGGGGCAGCAACGTACAAGTACTTGAGGTAACGTCCAGAGAAGTTGATGTGCGCAACAACCTCAATCTTTCCATCGCCGACCTGCTTGATCTCTACAACATCGCCCAAGTTTCCAACACGGCCGTCGACCTTGATCTTGTCCTGGAGGAACTTCTCAAAGGCAGAGACGTCGAAGATCTTGTCGCTGGCGGGTTGCGAGGCGTTGATGATGAACTAGTGGCTAGGTCTTAGCTTTTTCTTCTTCTCTTCCCAACTCCTGGTTGCCCTTTGCATTGCGCGAGCAATAGCAATGTAACAGGAGGAAGGATTGGATTGGAATGTTTCTTACCTTGTGGGTGACCTTGGCCTGCTTGCCCTTGGAGCCTGACTTCTGCAAACACCATAAATCTTAGCCTACTGTATCACGCCGCAACCTCAGTCAAGAGGCGGGCCAACAGCAAAGCGGATCATTTACGTACTGTTGATGGTGCCATTGTGAGTTTGGTGGTCGCAAAGAGATATGATCCTGCGCCGATGAGTTGATTTGGTGATTGAGAGGTCGTTCTTGGTGTTGGAAGGAAAAAGTTCTTGGGTCATTTTCTGTGGGTGCCAAGAGTTTCTCGCTTGGCCGTTAGTGCCACTAGGGAGATATCACATGACATGGCGGGGCTCGTCTCGTGCCTTGGCGGCGCAGGCTCTACGTGGTGGAAATAAGCGGCCGATTTTGGCCGATGCGCAACGCCTGTATTCCCCTTCTATAAATTTTTATAATTAAAAGTATATAGGAAAATCGTAGAAAATTAAAAATAGTATCTACGCGTCTTGAATATTATAATGTCTATTTTTAATAATTTTTTTCTACCCACCAGACCTATATATATCAAGCTGTTTGAGTTTTAGAAGGGTGCCAAAATCGGCCGATTATTTCCACCACGTAGAGAGGGCAGGTATGACGCGAACTATTTGTCAATGCTTGCTTCTCTGGCAAATGCGCTACTGACTAACTTTTTTTCATCCATCTCAATTAGGACAAATACAAATCACGATAATGTCACGCAAAAGGCACTCACACCAGCGAGAGAACATGAAGAGATCAAAATTCATTCGACTCCTTATTAATTTACGGTTATAATGTGATGCCTCCCATTCCGAAACGGCCGCAGTCCGTAGACATACTGGCAAGAAGCATGCTGAAACCAGAAACCAAAAACTAAGAAAAGCATTCAGTCTGCTCGAATGCAGACATAATTCATAACCCAAGGAAATGCCCAACCCCTCAAATAAACCATCGTCACATCCAACCAAGACTGGTTTGTGCTTATGCTGCAGCACCTAGTCGATTTCGAGGTGCAGGTGCAGGTGCATGTGCAAAGAGCTCCTGTCCAGCAGCCGATAATGCCGTGCCAAGTAGTGGGGTGATTGATGATGATGATGCGCGTAACGCCTTAATCATGAGTGCGATCAGGTAGCGAAGGGGGGTCGATCTTCGTCATGGTGAAGCTCTTGCGATGTGAAGATTGTTGGAGGCCCCGCCGGAGAGCTTTAATACTTCAGGATGATGTACCTAATGTGCTTGTTAGTGACCATTTAGAGATCGACAATTGTCTCAGATCGCAATTCCCAGGTGGGGAAACGGTTGCGACTTCTGCGGACAACTTGATGAGAAAAGTACATACAAGGCGTGGATAATTCCGGGAATGTAACCCAAGACGGTCAACAGGATGTTGATGAGGAAGTCTGCTCCGCAACCGCGCTCAAGGAAGACTCCTACGGGTGGTAGGAAAACAGCCAAGATGATCTTGCAAATGTCGGAAGCTGTGAAAGGCATGTTGATGGATTTGCTGGTACTGTGTGTGGATTGGAGGAAGGATGTGTGGTTTGATTTGTAGTAGTTGAAGATTTGAGGAGCGATGTAAGGCAAGAGTTGGATGGTGTGTGTGAAAGAGAGAAAACAACAAAACGGTTGCGTCCTATGTTTTCTTTATATGTACTGTACCTTCCCTTCCGTCACTCCCATTTGACTTCCACGCTAGGCTGCTACGTCATGACAACAGAACAAGCCAGGAACCCAGCCAGCCCATGAATGTTGGGAAATTGCTACGCAGCCCAGCTAAACCATTCACAGCCTCGCCTTCATGCTGAATAAGTGTTGATCCGATTGCTTCCCATGTATATGATTCGCAGAGTACGTAGAGATGTGGCGCAGTCGAGTGTGGCTGAAGCTTTTGGTCCTCACATGACAGTTATCCGGAGCTCCAGTGGCAATTCTTCTGTCATGAGAAGTCCGATTGCCCCTCTAGTTTTCTTACTTTTAGCTTTGTACGAAGTATCCGAATGACTGGAAGATCTTGTTGATACCACCGTAGGTATACGGAGGTACAACAAGCCGTCTCCCGGATAGCCTCCGAGCTTCCCGACCAAGTTATACCTACCTACGACTCTACGAGTACTTGGCTGCCGGAAGTGTCAAATCTTGGCAGAGTAGCTCCTCGACACACAAGACTGAAACTTCAGGAACAGGTTTTATTTAAGCATGGGTATATATTTATGGTGCCACTGCAGTAATTTACCAAATTAGCTATCTACTCGAGTACCGGTACTTGCTTCAACCCCTCAATACTACCTACGTAGGTACTAATAAAGGCCCGACTAGTCTTAGTGTGGCGTTTCGGTATTCTTTATACAGAGCCTCTTTTCCACCTACCAAGTACTTTCGTACCTACATAGGTAGGTAGTACCGGTATCAGTACAGTAGTTTCAGTCAACACCTATTGATAACTCAGCTTTCTTTGAAACAACATCCATATAAGAAAATACACCAATCTACTGGGTTTCGATTGAGTTATTGCAGACTTTTCATTTATATTAGGTAACCTCAATTCATTCATCTTGACAGTCTCATAGTGGTGTGGTATATGACTCTTTGCCGTACAAGAACCCGACCCACCCGAACACCCCCACATCAATCTCTTATCGATAAAAATGCCAACATCTCAAGCTTCCTCCCAAATGAAAACCCTCCAACCACTCTACAACACCAAACATGGGCCGAGAGCCTCTCATAGGCCTGGTAGGCAAGCCCTCGTCGGGCAAAAGCACAACATTAAACAGTTTAACTGATGCGACCTCGAAAGTCGGTGGGTAAAATCCGTGTCCCTCAATCTAAGGCCTCGAGCTCACGAAACCCCTCCCAGGCAACTTCCCGTAAGACACCACCTCAGACCACCATTTCTCAAGATCCAATACTGAGCATATCGATTAGCTTCACAACAATAGATCCCCAGCGTGCCATTGGCTACCTCCAAATCGATTGCGCCTGCAAACGACACAATGTATCCGATAGATGTAAACCGAATTATGGCAGCTGCATTGACGGACGACGCTCAGTACCTATTGAACTTCTAGACGTCGCAGGACTTGTACCGGGTGCACATGAGGGAAAGGGACTCGGCAACAGATTCCTCGACGACTTGAGACACGCCGATGCGCTCGTCCATGTCGTAGACGTCTCCGGTACAACAGACGCAGAGGGCAAAGCAACGCGGGGCTACGACCCAAGTCAAGATATCGTATGGCTACGTTCCGAGATAGTACAATGGATTCGCGGGAATCTGATGACAAAATGGGGGTCTATTAAGAGGCGGCACATAGCTGTGAAAGCAACAGCGGTAGAGACTCTACAGGGACAGTTCTCAGGATACGGATCTACATCCAACGTGATTGCCCGTACGCTAGACAAGCTGGCGTTGAAAGAGCCGCTGGAACATTGGAGCGACGAGACGATAGATAAAGTGGTCAACGCCTTTACGGACGAGAAATTCCCTACCGTCATCGCGCTTAATAAAATCGATCATGCGGACGCCGACAAGAATATCAGCAAGATAGCCAAGATGCAAGACCCGAAGTCTATTGTGCTCTGCTCTGCCATTTCTGAAGTATTCTTGCGGAAATTGGCGAAGCAGGGCTTCATTAGGTATACAGAAGGCAGCGACTTTCTGGATACAAGAGAAGATCTCATTGCGGATGGGGATCCGGAGGGCGGCGGGCTGAAGGAGATGGATGAGAAGCTGAAGACGCGGATAGAGAATTTGAAGGATATGGTGTTATACCGCTTCGGTAAGTCTCTCATATCGATTTTCCGGGGTAATGGAGACTAAATTCGGGGCTTTGTAGGATCTACGGGTGTGGTACAAGTCCTCTCCAGAGCTGCGGAGCTACTTGGTCTGGTTCCGGTTTTCCCCGTCAAGAACGTATCTTCGTTTTCTTCGGGCGCATCGGGATCCAATGCCGTCTTTAGGGATTGTATACTGGTGAAAAAGAACTCTACCGTCGCGGATGCCGCCAAGAAAATCATTGGCGATGCTCCGCTAGCATATGTTGAAGGGATAGGTGGGGTGAGGGTTTCTGAGGATGATTTAGTTGCAATTGGGAAGAATGATGTGAGTTATAACCACGCATCTATGATACACCCTCGCTAACTATACAAGATCCTCTCTTTCAAAGTCGGTCGAGCATGATGCAAACATGACGTGGGATTTGGCGTTTAACAGGGAATTCATGGCATAGCAAATGGCGTTGAGTGAAAAGGGGAAAGTTCTTGGACATAGCAGAGTCGAGGATTTGACTTTTTGCATTAGACCTCTAGATGTTACTTATGAGCCCCCAAAGGATTTATACCTTTCATCGAGAGAGCATTGACCCACTCAAGAATATCCGGTAAAGGATAATAGCTAGAATACCTCACATATTCATAGACATTTATCCAAGAGCATAGAAGTAGGCAATAACTCAATCTCTCACAACCAAAAGCCTTCCAATCTGTAACGCCTAGAACAATCTTTCTCCCGGACGCCTAGTACACCTCCCTCTCACCCTCAATTCTTCCCTCCCCTCTCATCCTGCATCCCAATTGTATCCGGCGTCTCAGGGAACTCCTTTTTAGCTCTCTCGTTACTCCCGCCACTCCCCTCACTAGTCGCCCTACTTCCGTTCCCCTTGGCCCTCTCGTCTTTCCCCTCCCGCGATGCATCGTGCTGCACATTATGCTATGTCCACAAGAGGAATCAGTATGCATATAAAAATGAAAGGTAATAAGATAAGATAAAATCATCAAGTGAGTAATTAGGCATAATATAACTCAATATAACGAACGAACGGATAAAACTTACAGTATCCCCCTCCTCCAGCACATGCTCCTTGGCCCCTACCCCCTCCTCACGCTCCTTCTCCTTCTCCTTCTCCCCCCTCCCAGCCGACGCTCCAAACGCCCTCGCACCAGCACCAGCACCAGTTGGACCCAGACCCAGAGCCGGAGCCGGAACACGATAAAACGCCCGTGCCAGGAGACGGTGGCTAGGCAACTTGACCATTTCTCTCGGTGCGTGTACTGGTTTGCTGAAAGCTATACTTGTATAAAAATGCTGCTGCTGCTGCTGCGAAGAAGAAGAAGAAGGAGGGAAAGAAGGTTTATTCCACGCAGCAATCGAGCTGAGACATCTCGCCGGGTACCTTCTTTTCGCGGCTATGTTTATATTCTCGCTGCGGCGGATGCTAGAAGATATGAAGGCTGCGCGTGAGAAGAGGTAGCGACCAGTGCGGACTTTTACTGGGTGCATTTTTGGTTGTGTAGATAGATGGATGGATGGTGTTTGATTGTTGGGTGAATTGACTCGGGTTTTGGGGATAGAAAAGAAGAGAAGAGAAGGGTTTTATTGGTGTTATTGAAATATAATGTAATGTAATTTTGTGATATCAAGTGTGCGATACAGCAGAGTAGAGCAGAGCTTCCCTTCCCCGGAATTCGAATGTCGTCACACACTTCGGCGGGTCATTTTCGTGCCTTGCAGTATGTACCTAGGTTACACACGACTCGACCCGATACGACGCGTCATAGGGAAATTGGGGTTTAAGGTATAGAAAAGTAGGTAAAGTAAAGTGGGCATCTAGAATGATTGAGATGCATGTCAGGAGTGGTTGAAAAGTTGTAAAGATAATAAGATACATTACATGACTTTACAATAGACATTGTCATAAATATAGGCCGTTATAGGGTGAAAGCAATATGTTCCGTTCGGCGAATAGACCTCGTCGCAATAGATATAGACAAAATTAGGCCAGGAAATAAACAAATGCCTCACATCTCCTGTTTCCCCATTGACCCCCTCTGCCCCTAACTAACGCTACCATCCCAGCCAGCGAAATAACCCTCTCCTTTTAAATCCCAGCGCCGAAAGCACGCCAAAGCTCCAATTCCCAATCCAGAACCAGAGTTACAATCCAAAAGGTCCTTCCAGATTTTCCAGTAAATAGTTCTCTCCACTCGGTACCGAGCCCGGCATCATAGTGTGCCTGAACTCTTGTTGTGTACTACCCATGCCCAAATCGCTCGTAGAAAGATCTTCTCCAGAACTTAAACTCTCCTCACTGAGACTTAGCACACTTCGTGCGGGTCCTGGCGCGGAAAAGTCATTCATTGTCATAGGAGTCATGTCCCAACCAGAGTCAGGAGACCAGTCTCCGTAGTTAGAGGTCGTCGTGTCTGTGAGTGACAAAGCGGGCCCTCCATAAATCGCATCGTACAGATTGCTCTGACCTCCGTCTAGTGAGCCGAGGAGGACCTCCCATTCCGTCGGTGATGCTGCGGCTGTTTTGGTGTTGGTATTCAAGGCCGGGTTCGAGTAGTTATTTGAATGATCGGAATTATGGGACATGTGAGGAGGATTTTGAGCTCGAGATTGAACTGGTGATTGTGGTTGTGACGATACGGGAGTATTATTGAGAGAAAGGTAATCCAGATTGGGAGGTTTGTCGTTCTTCAATGCGCGTTTCAAGACGGTTGGCATCTGTGGAGCTGAACCTCGATATTCTCGTTTTGGCATTGGCGTTTCTGAAGGATCCGATTCTGTAGAGATTCGGTCGTGATGATAATGACGGTCGAGGCGATTCATACCAATGTTCGGTAAAGTTGCACGCCGTAGCTTATCTTGTTGAGACAAGAGATCTGTGTCGCTCATGCTAGCGCTTCCGTGTCGATGCATTTGAGGACGAAGTTGTTGTTTGCTAACAGATGGAGATGGCGTAGATTTTGTGCTTTTGGTAGCTGGCATGATGCTAGGGCTTCGTGCAGCCACAGTCTTCGACTGAGAATCTGGATTTACCAAAGATGCAGCAAGCTTCTTGAAGTCAGACGCCCCAGGAGCCCCAGCCTTCTCAAGGTATCCTATCACGACTGCAACCAAACGTTGACCGTCTTGCATCAGCTTTCCTTCCTGCTTGAGTTCGAGACCTTGGTAGAGGAGGCTTAAGCCACAAAGAGTAAGCATCTCATTTTTATTCACACAGAAAGAGAATGACATGTTTCTCTCCTGGAGAAGCTGCACTATCTGAATGATCCGCTTGCTAGATTCAGCGAGAGATATCACCGATGACGAAGACTTGCTGCCTAATGTAGAGCCAATAGCAGGACGATGAATCAAACTCCGAATGTAGTAAAAAGCAAGTGACTATCGCAGTTAGCATTGATTACAAGATACTGTGAAGACTCTGAATATACCAGTAATGCTGATCGACTCCCAGTCATATCAGTTGATGGCTTGTCTTGCACGAAAGTAAGCTTGAGATGAGTTGGGAGGCTTTCAGACCACTCATTCAACTCATTTTCAAGAACTGTAAGGGACTGGAGTGAAAGGTCATGCGCTGCAGCAGCTGGGTAATTTTGCTCCAATACTTTTGATAAGATATGTGATGCGCGGAAAAGTGCAAGTGCGCTTGAGATCTTTGTATATTCTCCAGGCAGAGTAGGTTGAAAGCCTTTCTCGGTTACATACTATCGAAGAATTAGCATGAGAGAAAGGTAAGCTGGGGTAGAAATCTAAAGAGCTTGGGAGCTATTTAGGAGCCGGGGTCCCACATGTGGTAGCACACGTTTCTTTTGACACAAGTCTCAGCTCCGGACATCGAAACTCCACAAAACTGGGAAATTGACTTGCCTCATCGTCTGTGTCACTTGGATACTCGCAATGTACATCTTCTTCCTTGAGCAGTTTTGGCAGGCCGAGTAGAGCGGCAGAAAAGCTACGGATGTTAACTGAGTCCCATGGTTCGCGACGCTGAACTTACCAGTCAATAGTATACAAAGTCCAGAACACCTTCTTGCGAGTCTCAATTGTGAGGGCGCCAAACGAGAATCGCTTCTGACTTTGGTGCAGGCCAAGACGATGCGAAAGACCGACAGCAATTGCTTTATAATGTTGAAGACGGGCGTAATCAGCCTTGGAGATGCAATAAATCAAAGCTAGAATGAGGCACTGGAGTGTCGCAAGTGAAGTCTCCATAAGAACTGCCTCGAGGGACAAGCGCCACTGGAACTCGCAAAGCGCAACGTGTTCTCGGTCTGGAACGTCGCCAGAAAGGCTTGCAATTCCGAATACAAGGTGTAGTTGAGCCAACTTGTGAGACCCTACCATCTGCTGTGGATTTGACATGTACTCCTCATATAACCGGAGAAAAGTTGGCTTGTGCAGGACCGGGAAGAGTGGTGCCCATTCCTGAAAGAAGATATTGACGCATCTATCCGAGAATATCCGAGGAGGCGTCGTCGAGCTCTTTGGAGTTGGTATTTGCGAGAGTGATGGGTTATTACGTTGAATGTTGAGGAAAGCTTCCATGTTGAACCCAGCGAGGGATTTGCCACTTTCCTGTATTCTACGTTTGAAAGCGTCTATTGATCATCAGATACGATTAGCTATTCAAGGGACGAGCCACGCACCAACAAAAGCTCTACCACTGGAAGCCCCCATGAAATATAAGTCTGAATTTTCAGCTCCCAACAGCAACGGCGAGGCTTGGACACGAAATACGTCCTCTTTTACTGGCATGGCGGCCGCTTCTTTTCGTGCATCGACAGGCGGCGTCCCGGGCGACATGGATGGACGTCGATTCGAATGCATTTTCGACAACATGTCTATCTTCTCATCCTTCTCGTCCAGCAGATCTTTCAATTCCCTCACCTCGGCCTCCAATGTACGAACCCTTTCTTCCAAGGATTCTGTATATCCTCGTGGGAAGGCTCTGCGGCTAAGCTTGTCGCTCGTCTTGCACTCGAAGCCGACGTTGGAGCATTGCGAACAACATGGCCGAACCCCATCGCATCTTATCTTCTTGCTGCGACAACGATCGCAAGCCTGGGCTATACGGCTCTGCGCGCTCGATCCCACCTTAATCACCTTCATGGGCAAGATTCCAGGCATATTTGCGTTGTCTCAACGTCCGCAGCTTTCGATCAATTCCTCATTTGCCTAGAGAGACCCTCTTGCATCAACCAGATTGATTCAGTCGGCGCTAGGTGTTATTGAGGTGGTGAAAGATTGTGGTGGAGTCAAAGTCCCTTTTGGTATGAAATGTGTTGAGATGAGAAGGTGACGGTGTGAGAGTGAGGATGAGGGCGAGGGCGAGCGAAGGTGCGAATGCGGGCGAAGAAGATCTGTGGGGATGGGTTATCTGGGGATCGTCCACAGCCATGGCCATGTGCCCGGGGTGTCAGACCCCCGCATATGGAGTGCTACGGGTAGGGTAGGGAGTAGTGGACGCACGCTAGCAGAACACGACGCAACGACGCGGCAGAGTTTATGAAAATCGTCAATTATTTTTGCTCTTACGGGACATTACTACGGTATGTCCCAGTAGTAAGGTATGGTCGGCATTTCCATTCTTCTTCTTCTTGAAACCCCAAGCTCATCATAGACCGTGCCATTTTCATCCGATAATACCCAGGTAAGGTAAGGTATCGGTTGGCAAGGTAGGTACATACAGTACTGTAATAGGGGGTGCATAAAAGCGGATGAAGACTTCAGTCCCGGCCCCGGCTTTATCCGACCCCACAGTTTTAGATGGGATGAAATGGGGTTCCAGATCTGGGGCAGAACTATAACTCCATACTTACCATTGAGTTTGCAGACTGCATGAGCCCTACAGTAAGAGTCATCATCATCATAATCCTCTTTTCTACCCTACTTGAGATCGCGACTTGTATTATCATTGTTGTTTACCACTTGCTTCGTTCGTTTGCCTACCTAGGTAGGTATGTTGGATATGTTGGGTACCTAAGCTAGATACGACAAAACTAGTCCTTATCTTGAGCCTTAATACCAACTTTTCGAATGAACCGCTCTTATGTGAGGATTCAAATAGGGTAGATACTAGATGAAGGAGGTATAATTTTGGTCAATCAGCAATAGTACCATGTTTGGAAGTTGCCAATTTTAACCTCATGACTCGTGCTCCAACGCCGTAGGTCGGACTCATAACGATCCTCCCGCCCGGAGGTCGATAGACGCGAAGGCTTACTGTACTTTTACTAAGCCCAGTCAAACTTTGACGGCGGCGACGGCTTTAGTTTGAGCTATCCGTTTGCGGGGAAACACACCCTAAAATGATTTTCAAGTATAAACTTTGGGGCTAACTCTAAGCCTATTATTGTCTGATGCAGCCTGCAGGTTGCTAGATATGCCATTGCGAGCATGCCACTATATATTTGGTCAGGCCACGCTTGAAAGGGACGTGGTCGGAAGCGCGCGAGGCTGCGATGTATATTTGATTCATCGTAGCGTCCAGATGCTTCCTCACGTCTACCAATTGAGTTATTACTCAATACTGCAATCATGGAGTTGTTATCCAATGCTACAATAAGTGCTTTCCATCACTACATCATCTCACTTGCTGGGGAATGTGCTGCAGCGCTGTACATCAACTGTATGCAAAGCCTCTCGTAGATGGTGATCTCGGTGGATCCCGGAACACGGTCGTTGAGCATTCTCCGCTTCCCCGTAATTCTTTGGCTGTTAGGCTAGGCCTGGCTGAGGAGTGCCATGCAGGCGCAGTACTGTAGCTAAGAACTTCTAACCAATGCCAGTGCAGCTTCAACTGAAATCATCATCATCATTGGTCTCTGCTACCTCTGTTGGCTCCTCATTCATCGATCCGAGATATCGAACTACCGTATCACTCTCCAGAAGCTGCGTTTTCTGCCACGCCGTCAGCTATGTCACTCGGCAAACTCAGTTTACCGAATCAACTTCTGTCCCAGACTTGTCCCAGACTAACCTGCATATCGACAAAAGCAAAGGCTCTTTGTAGTAGCTCTGTCTCACTTGTTCGGAGTTTTATGGCGTTCTTTAAAAAGTCCGGGGAAATATGTTCTAAACTATAGAGGAACCTAAGAGTCAGTCTACTTTTAGGAAAAGAGGGGTAAGTTGGGGTGCAGTATGTGCACAGAAGTTTCACTTCTCCACAAGTTTTGCCAAAACAGGAAAGGAGATAGAAGACTTACTCCGCTAAAGATTGCACAGTCTCTTCGCTCGCATACAAAAGTCCAAGCTGTTGGCGGATTCGATCATGCAGTAATGCCACAGCTCGAAGCTTGAATACATCCTTGAGTGAATGATCACCAATGAGGCACTCGAAAGTGTCTGTGATGTCCGTTACATCAGACTCTTGCCAAAATACTCTGAGTTGGCTTCGGGAGCCATCGGTCTCCTGCAAGACCTTGAAATCGAGACCATCCTCCTCATTGAGGCACATGAGATAGAGGAACGGGCCTTCCCACGCAACAGAATCCTGATCGGCTGATATCCGCACTACAGGTTTACCTGCAAATGCAGCCAGCTTTGCTTTACCCAAGGGGTCATCTGGGAAGGGCTCAAGAGGTAAGACCAGTGCTTTAGATGTACTACTTTCGTCGATGAAGCCGTAGCTGAACAGCATTTCTGCTTCACTCTTCGATTCTCCGTAACTAATGGTAATCTCAGATGTAAGACTCAGCTCAAAATCTGGTCTGAGCAGTAAGGCCACGCTATCATTCGAGGTTTGTTCATAATAAGCATTTGGGACCGACGAGTGATTCGCCATGTCCAGACATGGAACCATAGATTCGCCAGCTTTTGGAAGCTCTAACGACCTCGACCTATACCAAGCATCTAGGAGAATCCAATCCGTGATTGGCAATGTCTCATGTTCCCACCAACTTTTGTAGCACCACTGGAGTCCAGTTGTTTGTTCGCGCAACTTGTCGAATTCTCGACCCATGGCGCTCATTTTAGCATTGACAGCCGACTAGGAAATCTGTCAGCAGCTACCTCTACTTGAAAGAAAATGTCGTACAACTGGGCGATTTCGTAACGGAAAACCAAGATAGGCTTGAGGACTACCCCAATTCTTGGAGAAATGTTCAAGACATAGTAAAAGTGCGACATAATAAAAATATATCACCAGATGTAGGTAGACGGCGGTCTTCTGACCATGGTATACTTTAAGATGGCTGAGGACAATGGGCATGAAGTCCCGAGAGGAAAGAAAGAAACCAAGAAAGCACCAATATGAACATACCTCCAAAGAAGTGCCTACCAACATAAAACGCCCTTCCTCACTCCACATGGTAGGAACAGGAATATCACTAGGAAGAATCTTGCAATACTCCGTCCACGGATTTTGCACGCCGACATTCTGTGGATGAGACAGAGAAGCAATCGTAATCTGCATCAAAAGAAAAAGTAGCATATCTCCCCTCAAAGACTAAACTCCCTCATTAGCCTCATTTTTCTTTTCCTTAAAACATGCACCTACCTTCCCACCTGCAACCTCAAGCAACTCCCGGAAATGTTGATCCACTTTCGCATACTCTTCAATGGCTTCAGCAGACAGAATGAGGTCGTGGGGTACGACAAGTAATGTGGGAATATCGTAGGTCGCTTTTGAGCTAAGAGCTCGAGAAGTTACAAGGCCGGAGCCTTTGGAATCATTGAGCTCTTGGACGCTGATATCTATGAAGCTCACGTCGTTGAGCTTTGACCATGCTGGCAGAGCAGTGAGTGGGAGCTGTTCTCGACGCATAGCTTTGTATCGTAAAGTTCAAATGGAACTTTGAGATTCATGAACCTGAGGATGCAAAGAATGTAGAGCCAACCTTGTTCTTGTTGACTGGTTTTGCGAGGTTTGCCCTTCCCTAGTCCGTGTTTCGAGATCCGGGTGGGTCACCACGTGATTATTTGGGCTGTTTTTGACTCGCAATTTATCTGATTAAGTTTTGGAATTTTGTAATTTCATCTCTATTAAAGACATCTATTTTTGATTGCGTCTCAGGAAGCTTTTTTGCGGCTCTAGGAAAGACCTCTAGATTTGCAAAAGAACCTTGAGAAAATATGACGATACAGTAAGCCAAACGCGGTACCCCCCAGAAAGGTTCACTCCTTCAGATATGAACCTATTCCGCCAAGCCCCAATCCATCTTTAGCCTTCCTTGTAGGAGATAACGTCTTATTCCGGGGAGAGTTCTTCGACCTTGTTGAACTCTCCGCCTCGATATCTTGATCGCTGCGCCGTGTGCCGGATGATTGTACATTGACGGTTCGTTCCTTGGGCAGTGAAGGTCTCCTTTCTGCAGACGATCCAGACGACCGAGAAGATGGTACAAAGGAGGCCTGAGCCGTGGACATCGGTTTACTCTCTCCGCGGGATCTAGATGATAGTGTGCTGAGGGTCGGGGACTTAGACATTGCGCTACTTTCTCCGGGAGTTCTAGACAATTGTGTATTGACGATTGGGACCTTCCGTAACCGTTTACTTTCCCCGTGCTTCTGTCCCCCTTCACGGTGCAGTTTTTCCAGCCTCTCCTTGGCAACCTCAAAGACTTCATCCTCTACATCCGGCGCGACAGTCGTATCTTCCTCGACCGGTGCCAATCCCCGGTGAGCCTGCTCAATATTCCTAATCCTTTTTTGAACCTCGGACATCTGCTTAGGACTGCACTTCTTTGACGTGAATTTCTCCTGCGGTCGAGCTACATCTGTACTCTCAACATTAGAGGGTTCTGAAGCCTCCCTCATGATCCCGGACCAAGTCGTCATTCGAGTAGCCTGGTCGTTCTTCGTTGCGGGTTCAGTCACCGTCGCGTTTGGGGTCTCTGACTCCGAGTCCGAGTCTCCTCCAAGAGGATGAGGGCCGATGAGGTCTATATACTCGTTCGCGAGTGCCTCCGTTGATTTTCCCTCGGGGTTATGTTCCCAGCTCTCGCCCTCTGGAAACTCATTCGACAGAATCCGATTTGAAGGCAAATATGTCCGTGCAAAGTTGTCTGAATCTGGTCTCTCTTCCACAGTAGGTTGAATGGCTTGATCTGACACCTTCGATCCTGGCCTGGCTTCAGGTAGAGTTGTTTTTGAGAAGCTACCGGACCCTGTTCTCTCCTCGACTGGCGAGTGATCTGATACATCCGATGCCTTTGACTTTGGCCTGTCCTTGCCGTGCTCCTTGCTGCTTTTCCGCACTGCGCCAACCACCCCCTTCCAAAAGCCTTTACTATGCTTCTTCGGCTCGCTAGTCGGTACCTCGGATTTTTCCATTGTCTAATAGGGAGAACAGCGGTGCGCGCTGATACTCTGATCATCCGATGCAATGAATAGTTCGTAATATCAAGGGTTGGCTTGGTCTTCAGGTGATTTTTTGGCGTGGTTCCGTAGCTGCTGTGAGTCCAGCTCATAGAAAGTATTGATGTTGGAGGGCATTTATGGCATTGCTTCGCAAAAGTCAATCCTAGAGATCTTATCGCTACCGGTGAATTGGTGTGAATGGTATTTCGCTCGATACTTGCCATTCACTTCAATTCAGTACAAGCGCCTGACTGTCTCGCGTTTCTAGATATCAAAATTATCCCAAGAACCGAGTAGAGAAGTCACCAGATGGTCATAACATTCGTATTCAACCCACCCTTTATGCCGCAGCCATTGTGGTTGAGCTCTCTAAACCTTTCCTAAACTTTCTTAGGTCGACATTGAATCCATAGTTGTATCTGAATACTGTACTAAAGAGCGGAACCAGGACGTTCACCGAGAAGAGGAACAACAGAGACCTCAGAGAGTGATGAATCTTCTCACCCTCGTAGGTTTTGCATATCTCCAAATATTTCTTAGGATCATCGGTTACTACGCCATCAACACCTTTCTTAATACTCCATTTCATCCATGGCTCCTCATTCACCGTCCACAAAAAAACTGAGCGGTTAGCCTTCCTTGCATCTCGTATCAGGGCATTTCCACGTGGTCCAACCATGACCATCAGCAACATGTTAAGACTAACTCGGGGGACTTTGAGGAATTGCCGCGCGTAAGATATGCTGGCTCCAATATGAACTATTGGATATTTAGGGAGGTGTTTTGAACAAAGCGGGAGGTATTTTGCCTACAACAATGTCAGATTTTGCAAACGTTTCGAATAGGGGAACAAAAACTTACTGCCCAACATCCTATCAATATACGCTCAGTCCATGGCCGTGATGGCTTTACTTCTTCCAGTGTAGCTGCGATGGCCTTAAAGAGCTTGCTGGCTTGGTCGTCGGTGTTCTGATGATCCACTTGCCTTCTCTTAAAGGGCGACGAAAGCTTCGGCCATGGTAGCTTGACATCCAACAATACCCAAATGTCTTCGAGCCCTGGCGAAACAAGGTACTCTAGGAGGTCCTTGAATCTAGGCATTGGTTCGTGTGGTTCCTCTAACGTACGCAGCGTCTTCAAATATTCCCAATCGCAGTCCACAATCTTCTCATCCGTTCCAAAGCAGCGTTTAAGGGTAGCATCCTGTCTGCCATTAGTGCAGTCCATGTGTACAACATGAAGTCTTTACGTGACAAAGAACCACCACGCCATCCTTCGACAAATGTAGATCCGTTTCAATGGCATGCGCCCCGACCTCTACTGCTCCCTTGAACGCGCCCATTGTATTCTCCGGATGCGCAGCTTTGTATCCTCGATGTGCAATTGCTTGGGGTCTCCCGCGGGGGGTTCTCTTCGCAGACGTGAACGCAGCTTAGATATTTGTCAGATATTTGCTAGAGAAAGACAAGATCCTAGAAACATACGCGATTCCATTTTCTCTTGCAATAAATGGTCTGATTCAGCCATTGTGAGGGTATTCGAATGGTGCACTGGGCTTCAGTGCCTCGAAAGACAACTTTAGAAGGTTGTGCTGTGTCGTGAAAGAGCTGAGGAGAAGCAATAATGAAAGGGGAGATGTATTAGAAGAAGTACGGGATTGTTGCTTTGTAGAGGAAGACAAAAGATTAATGTAAGACGTAGTGGGAGGTTGTTATAATGATCCATCCCACTCGGAGTTACTATAAAGATCTACAGTATTTCCGGTCCCGTCCAGCCCGTGTCGCACGACGGAGTTGAACTCATCCGAGCGACGTCTACAGTAAGTTGCATTGCAGCATGCAACACTTTTTACTGCTTACCACCCAAACTGCATGTTCCATAATGCTCGTACAACATATTCTTTTGCGTGGCTTGTAGAGATTCCCATTCTCGTGGTTATCAACGTTTTTTTGTTGGCAGTTTGATGTCCAAAGGAGACATATAGATCACGCCTACCCAAGCCACGGAGCTACTCAGCGAATAGACATCCTTTCTTCTACCTGCAACACGCATTTTCTCAATTCGCAGCTTCTTCCGCCATGTGTAAATGTTACACATTGGCTGTTCTAGCTCCCGTCGATCATACTCCAGGTGATCGAGGCCCAAGCTCTTTTGCTTCCAAGTAGGCTTTAAAAACGAAACAAAGTGATATGTCACTTCTTGCTCTTTGGCTCATCACAGAACTAGTTCGACCTATCGAAAAGACGTTCTTTCTAGGCTTCGGGGACAAATTGCCTTGGGGTATGTGAGTGATCAGGTTTCAACGAAAGGTGATACCCGCCAAGGAGTATGAGGCGTGTCACAGTACACAAGATCAATGGATTATTATTAGATCGTCAAACTCACTAGACAAACCCGTCAATTATCGTGTTCTCGATTTTGAGTATCTTTCTTCAACTCCTTACATCGCTTTCGAGAATTTTGCGACAACAGGGTGCAGATGTTATGCAGGTGCAGATTAATTTGCGGGTTATTGGACAAGTGTCACTAGAAAAAGACAATTACTGTCTCGTCTCCGTACTCTTGGGATTTCCGTGGGAGGAGACAATCATACTATCTTTATGCCGTTGCACAAGCTTGAAATTTTGGGCAGAATTTCCAAGTCTTCCTAAGTGCTTAATCGCCTTCTTGAGAAAGGATATCAAGTCATTCTATGTACAGACTACGAGATACACTCGACAAGAGAGGTGTAATGGATTCATGATTGATGCCCAAGATGTGCATAGTTGGACATATATCAAGGCCATCAAGGCCATCTAGGCAGTCGTCATCTCCATTCCTTGTCACTGTCAGCTCCCTCCTACAGTATTAGTCGTACATGATTTCCTCGTCATCACCAGCGCCGGTGTCCTTTCCAAAGCCGAAGCCCCAGGACGCGTTTAGATGGCTCTCTATTTAATGTCTTCTGAACATTTACCACCATCCGTGCTTCCTCCGAAGATATATCCCGCGCCACAGACGCCGAGGTCGTGGATGGAGGAAGGCCTTGCTTCGATAGCGTGTGGCTAAGCAAAATTAGCTAAGTAGGTACTGTAAGGTAGATCATAGATCATAGCTGCATGTTCTGGATAAAATAGTCAGCACGTCCTGGTAACAAAAAGACTTGGGGCTCAGATTATCGGATCCACATGCGGATCAAAGTTACGGGCTCTGCACTACGGCTTCTATTCGGCGGGCTGATAGCTCCATTGTTTAAACCTAAAGTCGATTCCGCCGATTGCAGGTAAGTTCTTATTAATATTCGTTATACAAATACAACAGCAAAGGTTTGAATTGATGCTTGAAAGGAATATCGTCCAGTTCAACAGTGCTGCTGGCACGACGTGTGAGATCCCTGAAAGAAAGAAACAGTGGTTGAATGTTGATGATGGTTCTGAAGAAGGTATAATTGAGGAGATATGTTCTACTTCAAGCTCAGTAAGAGCAAAGAAGGAAGTAATGGAAATAGTCTAATAGTAAACTTCGTTTTGAGTTACTGGTTCTAATGAAAGCCGAGCTCGGGCATTTAGACTACAACAGCGGGCAGAACCTCTTGTCCAGGACGTCTACTACTATTTCCTGATTGTTGCGTTTAGACTATCGTGTAAGAGTCTCTAGGAACATACAGCCTTCTAATATTTAGGATATCAACCTGATTTGATGTCACGGCATGGGTAGAGCAACTCAGGGAACAAAAGTGATATAACAATCTAATCCCCCAATCCCGTTCCCAAGACCCAGCCACAATGTTGAATGTAATGCTCAGACCTCCCAAATACACCGTAACACCTCGAATACGACCGGAACACGTGCCCTGTTCACTTCTCGAGAGCCTTATCTGCGAAGCCTCTCACATTAACCTCCTTTCCTCCCTCAGTGCTCGCCTTTCCTGGAAGGATAAGGCCATCTTTGCCAGTTCCTCCTCCCATACCATAAGCATCAGCGATTCTCTTCCCAACCGCTTCACCACTCCAATATGCGCCAGTCACCGTGCCCAACGCAACAAAGGGGGCAGTATGTTCACCAGCAAACCAAAGACTTTGGCTAGGAAGTCCTTCCCTCATGACCTCAATATCTTTGTCTCCCTCTTTCAGGCCGGTTCGAAAAGTGCTGTAGCTTCCATTACCTGCGAGCTCATCCAATACCCAGTTTGTTGCCAGACTCGACACCGGAATACAGTCTTTTGAGCCATCTTTGTAGTGTGGAAGTCTCGAGTAATAAGGTTTGAAAAATTGGACCAGATAGTCATGTTTCTCCGTCTCTGACGGAAGAGCTGCGAGATCTTTGGCTAGTTTGAGCGATTGGTCGCCGTAAAAGTAGAATAATAGCGTTGGGTGCGAGCACGACTTTGGGAGAGTGTTCATATCAACGGCTTCCTGATTCCATTTCTGAGGATTCGTATCCGAGGCGTAAACAGGTGACATCCAATGTATGAAGCCGCTGAACTGGTCCTCTGCTTTGTCTTTATCGCCCAGCCAAAAGGCTTGTGGGAAAGTTATATACACCTGATAATGGTTAGAACCGCGCAAAGGTATGTGGATTTAGAGGTCAAACCTTGTCCAAGTTGCCATAGCCTATGGAGTCGATAGCCTGAGAAAGCCTTTCAGACAAGGGTGGGTGAAAGGCCAGCTTGTTGACCTTGAGCCAGCCCAGTGGAGCTGTCACTACGACTTCATCAAACTCAAACTGCCCATTTTCGGCCGTGACAGTTACAAAGTCATTTTGCGTTTCAAATTTGCTAATCTTGGTCGACAGTTTGATTTCGGCCTTATCTAACGCTGGCTTCGCGATGAGAGCAAGGATTTTCTGGTACGTTCCAGCACAAAAGAGGTTCTCTGAAACAAATTAACTTGATAGCCACGTAGCGATAATCGATCGAGGACGTTCCAAGGATGCCTGAGAACTTGCAGAAACGGTCGAAACCGGAGGGAATACTCACCACCGTCGATACACTCTTCTAACCAAAAGTACTTCAAGCTCTGTCTCTGAACGGGGCTTCCAACAAACGCACCCCAGAGCTCTGCCATCTGAAGCAAAATCTTCCGCTGCTGCCCCGCATCATCTTGGCCTGTGAATACATCCCGTGACTTATTGATAAAAAAGTCATAAAGACTCTCTTCCGGGTCGATTTCCGCTGTATTCTTACCCGAATGCTTGAAGGCTTCTACTATGATGCCCCACATAGCTTCCATCAACGGATTCCCATTTTTCAAAGCCTTTCCAGTTTCGTCAAAAATGTTGGTTTGCTCTTCCCAAGTGTGCGTTGGGGTATTCGTTTCTTTTGCCAAATCCAATATGGGGTTATTGTCGGTGCCGTGAATCCAGTTTGGACCAACATCTATAAGTTGTCCGGAGGAGAGCGTTGTCTGATGCATTCGTCCGCCTATCCTATTTCTACCTTCCAGGATGGTGACGCTGAAACCATGTTGTAATAGAACATCAGCACACCGGAGACCAGATATTCCTGCTCCTACGATGCCGATTCTTGGAGGCTGGGAGTGGTTTGGTTTACGCAACTGGAAGATATTAGCTGGGTTTCCTTGTAGACACACGCTTACTTAACAGCATACTGTTCTCAAAGCTTTGTAGTGCATTTATTCGGTGACTTGAGACCAACTGATGATATATGATGACCAAAAACAAAGATCAGGTGCTCACCTTTTTTGAAAAATCCATGTCTAGCTGTTCTACCTGGGTGGTAGAAACCCTTCGGGAAGCTAGTCGACAGGTAGCTAGGTCTTGATATATTCGAGAAGAACCTCTGCGAGACTGTGTAGTGTAAGATATAGAATATGCATCCATCTCGTTCTTTGGTACTGTGGAGATATGGGGAGGGAGAAGAGGGGGTGAATGCTAGGGTTATTTTATAATAGCAATTTATGAGAAGAATATAATCGGTCTTTGCACAATCTTGAGACCCGAGGAATGGGAATAGGGACTGAATATGTAGGTAAGGATCAATGCTCTCGTAATCGCCCGCCTGATGCTTTGTCCCACGTGCTATTGCCGCAGTCGAACTAAATCTTGACCCCCGGAGGAAGGTGCAGCTCTTGAACGACCGAAGCTGGGAATCAGCTTCATATACGGGCGATACTGCCAAAGGCATATTAAGTCAGTGTGACCGAGAGCATTCCAAACAACCTTATCGTTGTCTTGGCTCAGGTACTGTACAATACATACAAAATGACCGAGTTTTGGTTACGAGCAGACAGGTCTCGTTCCACTTGGAACACGGTGACACGAAGGCTGTAAGGAGCAAAGCAGAAATCTACATACAATTTCAATAGTAATCGATAACTGGCCCCAAAGGCTCTGCATTGATTGATAGTCGTAGAAGTCAGAAGACACCACCATATACATCTAAGCGAGCACCAGATGCGTTAATACAGTAGAGTACTAGGTAGTACTTTTTCGGCCCGCTCCTCTCCGCTCCGCTTAGGGGTTCTCGGGGTTTAAATGCGATGCCGAAGAGTACAAGCTTCCTTGCAATGTCAACCAACCATTTACACACGAGTAAAAACGTTTTGAATGAAGCTCTGCATGCTCCACAATGCGCACCTCCCGGATCTCCAAAGAGACCGCCAAGATAGTTGAAGCAACATCTAACAAATCCCCTCAACCCCGACGAAGCAATCGATCTTCTCTCGCACGGTTCTCTTACAATGTCCCCGCCAACGACGACGATGATGATTCCGATGCCCGCCAAGATTCCCCAGACATCGAAGATGTTATCCCAGCGCGAAAACGAAAACGCGAGACAACACGACGAACCCCCATAAAAGCATCGCCCCGTGTTACCGTCAAGACTGAAATCGAAGACAGCATATCCCTCTCCCTCTCCCCTTCCAAAGGCCGCAAGACTCGAAAGCCAGCCCGCAAAGTAAAGAATGAGGACACCGGCGAAGTGGAAATCCACCCCCCGAATGACTGGGCAGAGGTCTACGCTGTAGTAAAAGAGATGCGGACATCAGGCGTCGCGCAGAATGCTGCTGTTGATACCATGGGCTGTGATAAGTTGGGGCTAGACAGTGTAGGGCCAAAAGTCAAGAGATATCATACGTTGACAGCCTTGATGCTGTCTTCACAGACCAAAGATACTACAAACGCCGTTGCCATGGAAAGATTACAGACAAAGTTACCGGCTTACAAGGCGGGTGCTCCTATTGGGTTGAATCTTGAGAATATCCTGGCCGTGGATCCAAAGCTCTTGAATGAGATGATTTGGATAGTGGGGTTTCACAACAACAAGACCAAATATATCAAGGCCGCGGCTGAGATTTTGAGGGATAAGTGGAATGGCGATATCCCGGACACGATTGAGGGTCTTATGTCATTGCCGGGTGTTGGCCCGAAGATGGCTTATTTGTGCATGAGCAGTGCTTGGGGGAGGACTGAGGGCATTGGTGTCGACGTTCATGTTCATCGCATTACGAATCTATGGGGCTGGAATAAGACGAAGGGGCCTGAGGATACGCGGTTAGCATTGCAATCATGGCTCCCGCGAGAGCTATGGCATGAGATAAATTGGTTGCTGGTCGGCTTGGGGCAGTCCATTTGTTTGCCTGTGGGGCGGAAGTGCGGCGATTGTGAGCTTGGCTTGAGGGGGCTGTGTAAGGCTGCTGAGAGAAGTAAAGTCAACATCGGGAGGAAGACCAGAGAAGAAAAGATTAAGCTGGACGAGGAGGGAAACATCTTGGAGAAGGTTGAAGTTTTCAAGGCTGAGGAAGTAATTGAAGACATCCCAGTAAACGCCGTAGGGGTTGAAGGTGTAGAGGGCACCACCCTGGCACCGGATGAAGGAGGCATCAAGGAGGGAGAGAGGGCCACGGCCGACTCATTCGACCAACTTCCCCTGACGTCAAGAAAGCGGAGCAAGAGGTGAGGATTTGGCACATGATGGTTGGTGTATAATCCTTGTAAATATCCCCAAAGATAAATCTTGCTACAACTGTAAAATCTTTTGGATTAGCAAGAGAGCCACCCTGAAAAGAACAAGATGGCTGACGAGAGTATTAAAAATTATAGACAGAACGTAAGGTACCCAGTCATCTACAACCTCACATCCTCTGTAGTTACTCCGTACAAGGGAAGGGGATGCTCCTGTCACGGAAAGACGCGAAGTCTCGCACCAGTGGAAAATTGAAACGCTAAAATGCGGGCATTCTGGGCCCCCGAAAAGATGAGGTAATATACGCCGTTTTAAATGACTCAATAATTGGATTCCCTTCTTGAAACATAAAGATTGAACTTGAGATTCTCATGGTTTAGATGTGTAAATTTTAAAGGTTGTCAGTTGGTGCACCATCCCTTTATGAACTCATGCTAATATTTGTTAGAAGCCCCAGACTTTACCATCACTTCATAGTACTTGAAGGGAATGTATCTGAAGATCTATCATTCTTTTGTGGAGTAGGATATATCACGGAGTATTCTTTACTAGGATCAAACGTCTCTATGCTGATGTCCTGGCTAAACCACCCATCTTCAAAACATGCCGGACTATCAAATGTACGTTACGATAATGCAAATGATTTCCCCTCCGCCTATATTCATGCAATCCAGAACCAGACTCTCTCGAATACGTTCCTTGGGGTCTGCGCAGGCCACTTTTCATCTGCTGCATCCAGTGCCGCCTTGCCAGTGGTGATATCTGCATCTGCTGGTTGGATGAAAGGAGATTTCTTGAAGATCTTCCAGAAACCATACAAACAGAAGAAAATCGGAATGCCGATGTAAGCAATGAGGAAGTCTATTATGCGTTAGTTTTCAGAACTAGTATCTGGGGTATGGGATAACTTACTGGTAACATTCCAATGCGAGTGGTGCTCTCCGACAAAGACGTCAAAGCCATTGAAAATTATGATTAGAGCAAAGAAGATCAAGGCCACCCAGGCAGTGTATGGCTGGAAACGACTCCTGAATACCAAGGTGTTGCGGTCAACGCCTTGAGCTTTAAGCGCCTTGTGGAACCGGATGTATGCGATACAAATCGAGCACCATGTAAAAAGAGAGGCGATCGTGGTCAGGTTCTGGAACCACGCGAAGACCTTTGAGGGCCCACCTGGTCTAACGGAGAGATATGTGAGGAGTGAAATCAAGCAAGTAATAGCCACACAGTAGACTGGTACACCTGCCTTGCTGCAGGTAAGAAGGAAGCGCGGTGCCTGTTTGTTCTGGGCGAGAGCAAAGAGGTAACGGGACCCAGTGTACAAGAAGGCATTAGCAGAGGATGATGCGGAACTCAAAATGACAGCGTTGATAATGGATGGGAGGATTGGGATACCAGCATTCTGGATACCGATGACCCATGGGGAACGAGCCGCGCCGGGAGCACCATTCTTTTGAGCATTCAACAGATGGTCGTCGTTCGAGGAAACGAGAACACCAATCGCGAGGGAACCAAGCACATAGAAGAAAAGGATACGCCAGAACACTCTGCGAACAGCCTTGGGAATATTCTTGCGGGGATTTTCAGCTTCACCAGCTGCGACAGCGACCACTTCGACACCGCTATACGAGAAGGCTGCATTGACGAGCACATTAAAGAAACCCAGGAATCGGCCAGTGGATCCAGTCGAATCATACTCCTTCATGGCGTGACCGTGCTTCCAGTACCGGAACCCAAGACGATCGTGCTTTGGTCCACCACCAAGGTCGACAATAAATGCCATGATCAATAGACCAACGATCGTAATGATCTTGAGACTGGCGAAGATGAACTCAGCCTCACCATAGATGGATACGGCAAAGATGTTGAGGCCAAGCACGATAATGATGATGATGGATATCCATGCAGCAACGCTGATATTCTCGGCCCCGTTCCAAAATTGGATAACGGTAGAGGCTGCTGAAATTTCGGCACAAAGAGTAATAGCAGAAGCATACCAGTTCTGTTTTGGTCCATCGAGTCAGCCTTAATATTTTGAATGTTTTGTGAACCTCGCTGTGCTAGATTGGAAATTCAACTCCTCAATTCTGTGTGATTGCAGAAGAAAAGGAGAATCCAACTTCACTTACGTTCCATCCGACAGCAAATCCAAGAGCATCATCAACGTAACGTGCACAGAATTGAGGGATGGCACCCGGCAGTGGGAGCCAAGTAGCCATTTCACCGAGACACTGCATCATGCCGTAAATGGCAATACCAGTGAAGGTGTATCCCAGAAGGATGGAGAGAGGGCCCGAGGTTGTCAAAGCACCCCCGATTCCTAGGAACAGCCCCGTACCGATTGTTCCACCAAGGGCAATAAACTGTATGTGTCTCGATTTGAGGCTATATCATTACATTATAAGTGCTTGTTCTCAAATGTCTGGTCCCTGACATGGGCAACATACCCTCGATGTACGTAGCCGAATTCCTCTGCGGTGTCGGAGTTGCCATACACCTCTCCAGCTTCCATCATAGGATCAGACTTGTTCACCTCGCCCGTAGCAGGATCAACGTAGGCAGCACGACCATTGTAAGATGGCGATTCATCAACGTTGTAGTTTTCTTTCTCCATGGCTGCGATGCGATGTGATGCGATGGGCGATCAATGAACGACGGTTGGTGTTGGAAGAGAGATGGAGGGGGAATCAGCAGAGGGAGCTGCGAGGGTGACAAGTTATATTTATATTTGGAAAGTGCCAACTAGCACCTCTCGACCGACGTGACACACAGTTACTCCGGATAGTTACACAGTCCATCAGTTTTCGGATTTAGGATTGTCGTAGGGATTACTGTGTATAGATAAACATGGCTCACCTCCATCTCGACCTCCACAGCTTTCAGTCCTCTAATTGCGTCTCGCCGCTCTGGGAAGCCGCGAATCATATCAGTTCGGTGAGCCTCGGTCGTCAGGACCCATTCCAGAGGCATTTCAGCTGTTTTCTAGACCTATAGATCTCCTGCTGACCCTTGGTACATTGGCTATACAATACAGTACAGTACTATAGCAAGGCCGTTGAACTCCTCATTCGTTATTCGACTCGTCGAGCTTTGCCCGCCAGATGCTGCCGAACGGACAACCACCTTGAAACAAATGTCACCTAGCAATCGGCCCTAAAATAGAGTTATCTACGTTAACAGCTGAAATAATCACCACAATCTTTGCTCGCAGCAAGCCACAGTGCTGATTCCCATATCTAGACTGTAAAACACGGTTCGTGCTCCGAAAATCACCCCTTCATATTTATAAACTTACAATAATAGCCTCGAACACCACGCCAGTTTATACAATCTTTCGCCTGCAAGTCGCCACATACATACTAAATTTAACCCGGCTTGCATGGCAAGTGGGGAAATAATACCGTTGTCCTGGGATTTGAGAGGTGTTCAACACATGCGTGGTTACACGCATGAGTGGGCGTCCTGCAGACCTTCGGGTCAAACCCAACAATGGTTGCCCGCGGCACTACCGTACTAGTACCAAGGCCGATAATCAAACAATGTTCGAGGGGGGGGTGGTCGTCACAGTAGGGCTCTGAACTCTTGAACTGATTGTCTGTAACTTGGTCTTCTCGGCGAGCCGGCTCATGACCAAATTATACAGCAAGGGATACTTCGCCACCCGCGCCAACCTCCTTTGCCTACAAAACTCACAGTTCAATCGGCACCGCTAAAGCTTTGGACCAATTGGCTTCCATTAGCGCTGGCTTCGTGTGGAGAAGTCGATGGCTTACCAAACGACATCAAAATCATTGATAAAGCAACGATCTTGATTGAGCTTGATTTGAGCTTAGTATTACTTCAAATCGAAGGAATGAGCTTCTACGCTGTAATTAAGCCAACAATGATCCTTCAAACATCAGAAAAGACAGCCTTAGTTGTGTCAGCTCTCAAAGGAAGTACATAAAGCTCCTTACGTTAGAAATTTCGTCCGGCGGCTCTTGGGTTACGGTACCTTTTCCAGCTATTGATTATATGTGACCTACCGGTAGTCGGTGAAGCAACGTTCCTAAACAGGCAGTCTTCTAGAACGCCAAGTGGCAATTCCTATGGCCCTCTTGCAGTAAATGTGATCTATGCAATATTCCGCCAACAAGGCTGTAGAGCAGGGTTAGGCAAGATGCGTCATTTCAGAAACCTCACAGCATTCAAATCACAGTTCCACATCTTCATTCCATAGTGCAGCCAAACCGAATCTCCAAGCGTAGTCCAATTGGAGTCGCAATCAATGGCTGCATCGTATAGCATAATAGCTTTGTATGCATCTGAAGCGGCTAGTTCAGGATATCCCAAGCTTAACAGCGACTCGGTTCTATATCTCCACAATGTCGGATTGCAAGGCAGGTCTACCAGCTTGCTTACGCGCATCTGTAATTGGAGCAAAAGGTCACGCTCGAATTTCTACTTGACAATGAGCCGATGAGCCGTGGGTGTTCCATGAAATGAACGGTAAAAAGCCTGCCTGCTTAGACGGCTTTTTACAACTGAGGTCAATTCCAGGGTGGACTGAAGGTTTCCAGGACGCAAAAGACCACGTTTCCCCCATGGGATGGCGTGACTGCGTATTGTGCAGTCGAAAACAGATGATCTGTATTAGTGGAAAGGTTTTGGGAGGATGGGTTATATTGATCATTGAAAATCCAGCGAGCTACAATCGGATTGTAGGTCCCGCGTTTCTATTGACGCGACTTAACCCGCTAGTACGTGATACGACATAGTCTTCTTGGGAAGACTTTTATCGGTCCAAGGTTCTCTGGAGAAGCGGAACATATTATGCTTGATTCAAGGCACCTAGGATGATAGAACATTTTTGTTGTATTGTCTAGCTATTTCTTTGACTCGCAACTCCTAGTAATGAAGACCCGGTGTAGTAAGTATTTCTACAGGCGATCAGTGAACATGTAAACTAGAGTAGAAGCAGTGTAATCTGTATGGGGGGCAAAATTGTGTTTCGGGGCTGTTTCTTAGCGCCTTTCTGAATTAGTGAAACTCGAAATGGTCGCTCAGCCTAGGCTGCGAAAGTATCCCCAAGCATCAATGTGGGGTAGAGACAATTTGGGTGAGCGGGTTCCTCCAGCCTGGACGCTTCCACTTTTCTAGTGCACTGCTCTGCCGCTCAAGAATAAGTATCGGCATCCCGCAACGCTTCCATTCGTCGTCTACACCCAAAAAAGAGTGACCCTCCTTGTAAAACGCCGCAACGTCGAACGTAAACTCCTTCTCAAATTGCTGTTCAAACTCGCGGAGAACGATTTCGCGAGGCTCTTCGTGCTTCATCTCACTGAACCTTTTCTCATCACAGATATAATGACGAATCATTCGGAAAAGGGAAGCCTTAACGGTGTAATTGTCGTCGAAAAAGCAGCAGTTTAAGGCACGGCTCAGGAAATCCTGTTCTTTACCGTGCGGAAGAGTAACAACCTGTAAGGAGTAAGCCCTCATTAATGACAAGCAAGAAATATGAGCAACTTACGAAGATGACATCGGCGCCATGATTGAAGCGGTCATAAGACTGCTGTATACCAGGCAGGTATATCTTGCTCGGGTGAATTAGGGGGGCTGTTGCCGTAGATTTGAAAACGAAGTAGCTGCCCGTCCTCTTTCCCGTTTCTTCGATATCAAACCCTGCTGGAATCGTATTACTAGCTCTCCTCCCCCATGCCTTGAGAATCTGCGGGAATGCCCCTTCAGAGCAACACATCATGAAGGTTTTTTGCCTGAATTTCTCCCGTGATTCCTTAAATGGGTAATGCTTATGCATAATTGGATTTTGGAAATAGACATATTGAGGGGGGTAGTCTTGGGGTCCAAACCTCTGAGAGGAAGGATACATCAGACAGCGTACTGCATGACCGTATGCGTCACCTAAAATACAAGCCTGCGAGCAATAGCGAATGTTACCAGTTGGTCCACAACCGGGACAAAGAATGGCTGGCCGTTCGAGTGTCGTCGGGCAATCTCGAGTGCAGAACGTGCAACCGACTATTGAGGGTTGGAATACTTGTGTAGGAGTTGCTACTCGGTCTGCGGGACTCTCGGAGGGTACAAGACTCTCGTTAACGCTTTGTTGGGTCGCTAGGATCGTGTGGTCAGCTTCAACGCCCTCTAAGCTGCCCCCCTGTTGATCGTAACCAGCTCCATCTGTAGTATATTTAGTACCCTCAAGGCGAGCTCCCTGCTTTTCTTGATTAGATTTATCGCTTCCGGATTTCTCGAGGTTATTTCCGCATCTTCCTGCTGCGTCACCTGTAGTATTACTACACGTATTTCGCATATCGGAGTTGTTTTTTGTCCTATCACCCATGAAAGATTGATATCCAGAGTCTGTTGGCGTGCTGACATTGAAAGGAATGGTTGGCACTATGGTTGGAAGATTAATATCTGGGTGCGAAGAATATGGTGTCTGATGAATAAAAAGCGCAGAACCAGGACCAGATGGAGGCTGAAGGTCAGCTAAGGATTGAGACCCCTTCGTTGGAGGTTGGTTACCCATTGTCAGAGGTGGATGATCATATTGACGAGTATCAGGATACTGGTTGTGAAAGTAACCAGATGCTGTATTCATAAGGGGGCCGTCGATAGTTGGAAGAACGTGGAAATCATGTGATAGAGAGATGTGTTCTGCTTCAGGTGCTCTACGGCTATCATTGACTGGTGGGGGTGCCAAAGAGTGCTGAGGCAGCTGTTCAGGTGGTGATAAAGCTGGACTGGGACCGGAAGAGACAATCGCGCAGGCGCCATCGTTGATGGGAGAGTCAGAACCGGGATATGAAGAGTGGCTATCTGCGTGTGATTGCCCAGCATGCTCTTCTTCTAGTTCTTGCTCTGGAACAGGCTCCAAATGGATAGCAGCTTTTTTGAGGCTGGGCTGACTAGAGACCACAGAAGGGATGACTGGGCACGAGGCAACTCCGTCGTCAGTTGGAACCGGGGTTTCCACCGTATCGCTAGTAACTTCGATAGAATCTTCAAGACCAGACGATGTTAGAATATCAGAGAGGATTATGGTAGACGGCTTCTGAGGAACCGATTGGCTTCGTCTAGAGCGTACTGCTAAATCAACCACACTACGTCGTGTGGGTTCTTTGTCATCCTTCTCGAATATGTTCATACCCACAGCTTGTTTAAGGCCAGGGAGAGCTTGGTCTCCAACAAGAGCCAAGGAGAGGATTGGAGCGTTGTCTTCATGGTCCTCATATCTGGCAGTATCATGATCGCTTGGCGATTTCTCAACAACAGTAACAGCTACATTAGTGTCGTGATCACAAGTTATGATATCGTTGTTAGGTGTCTCGGTCGAAACAGATGACTGAGACTCGTGCCGTTGGACTACATCATCATGATGAGGTTCAAAGGTACTGGAGAGCTTAGCCTTCAAATTGTCTGTTAGATTATCTGGGTAGCTTGCCACTGTATCCTTGTAGAGAGCATATGTAGTAGATGTAGATGCAAAGTCGGCGTTAGATGCCAATGTTGTATCCAGGTGTCGAGTTTGGTCTTTGATGTGAACCAGGTTCGAGGTAGATTCAGCTCTAGACCGGGCCTCGATGGTATCTGTTGGTTGGCTTGTCTCCGTTTGATAGTCTAGGCTATAATCTCGCGTTGGAGTCACCGCAGATGTAGGAACTTTCGAAGAAAGGGCCGGATAATCAACGAGATCAAGGGCTCGATGTTTGGCGTACTGGAGAACAGAAGGGATGGCGACTATGCTTTGGGTAGGCTTTGACAACATCTCGAATGGAGTTGTGACTGTTCCTCGAGGATTGGAAGGTTGCTTCTGAGGCGTGCTGGTGGTGTGGGTGGCCTGCTTCAGCGAGGTACCAACCTGTAGTAAGTGGTATCAATATATGAAATCAATATTTGGGGCATAACTTACTTGGGTGACATTTGTTCTTGACTGGCTATTCTGCGTCTTATGCATATTAGCTGATTGGCCCCGGGCAGATTGAGGCTTTGTAGTTTGCTTCTGAGGTATGCTGCTGGTCTGGGCCTGCTTTCGCGGGGGACCGGTCTGAAGAGAAACATGTTAGCAGAAGAAACCGTGACCTAAGATGAAACCTACTTGGCTGGAACCTGTTCCTGGGTAACTTTGACGTCCTCTGTCCGCACTGTTTGACGCACCCTGAGAAAAATCTGGGATTGGGTTCGGACGGTTTTTACGTTTGATTCTTTGAGAGCTGTTAGAAATTGTCGTCCATTCCGGTCCAGCATCATCCTCCATTCGATCATCCGATTTAGCATACGGGTTGAATGTGGACATAAAGAAAGTCCCGCTATCGCTAGGAACCGGGGACGGTACTGGCCGAGACTTGGGACTATTTTCAGTTGTTGAGCCTGGACGTTTCCTCGTGTCTTCAGAAGTAGTAGTAGCCATAAAAGGGCCCTCCTCTGTAGAATCATCGGAGGTGCTGTTAATCTTCGTCGGGGCTTTGACTTTGGCTTTGGTCTTTTTCTTCTTCTTGGCTTTTTCAGATAGCTTGGATGACTGAGGTTTGATAGGGTTTGCGAGCTCTGGAAGTTCTGACGCTGTGAATATTTCTGGGGTAATACTTCGAATATCATCGTTATCGATGTTCGCCTCTTCATCCAGTTCCGGGGAGTTGCCAGGATCTGTAGATACTTCTGGGTCCAAGTTAATAGATTCACGAAATTCGTCGTACTTCGGATGTCGATTTAGTTTAACCTCGCAATAATTGCGCGCTGAAAGAATAGACTGTTCCATCTCGTTGGCCATGATAACGTCGATTAGGAATGTAGATAGAACAGGCTCAAGTAGCCACTGTGTTTCGACCACTCTACCCCACAAGGTAATGTAGTTGATCTTGTAGTGTACATTCTTAGTAGCAGGCTGAGCGGTGCACTCAGGATATGCCTGAACATCATTTTGAGGGGTATCAAAGTTTTTGGGGACTTTCTCTCCATTGAAGAAAGCAGTTGCTAGTTGATCAAACTCTGGCGAAAGAGCAGCTGTAATACTGGAAGGGTCAAGTTGTTCTAGATGTGTTAAAAACAACAGAAACAATGTGGGCATGTGGGATATTCGTACCTTTAAGAGTATTCGCAGCGCTCTTTCTCCTGATCCAAGCATTCATCGGGTCATGGTAAGCTTTGTAAGTGATGTTGGTACCGCGCAATCTGTATGGGACAAAGAGTGCCCTCTGGCTTGGATAGAGGCGAAGGGACTGCGCAAACAATTGAGTATCAAACCCCTGCGAGATCCGTCAGTAAAAGTCCATGGCTTATGGAAAAATAAGCCGCTTGCATTGTACCAACACCTCAGGTAACCTTTCTTCTCCGAATCTACTTCATGTAGCAAAGCTGGCGTAAGCGTAGATTTCATGTTGCGTTTCTCGGGTTCGGACCACAAGTTGTGCGGATCTAGCTCCCCTAGCAATCCGAGTTGCCAACAAATATAAGTATTTAGGGTGTTCTGGACCTCTTTCTGGCGAGCTTCCCAAAGAATAGCGGACAGGTCTGTACCCTCAATTGTGCGAGTTGGCGAAGCGTCGAAGAACCCTAGGTTGTTGTTTCCAAATACGAAAAAGGTTGGCGGCGAATTATCTCCTCCGAGGGAGGCAGCTAGCTTAGAAGAAACCGAGGAAAGCGCAGGGGACCCGAAGCCCATACCGTTTTGAGGGTGTGCTAGAGTCAAACCGTTGGAACTGCTATTTGTCAGAAAATGCTTGGAGGAGGCTCCATGATGGCCGAAGGGAATGTAATATTTGAAGAGATAAATTTTGTTTACTTACCCTTGCGTAGGATTGATGTCCTCCCGCCCAAATTCGACATCAGCATCCTCCTCTACCTCTGCCTTCGCCTCTGCCTCCGTCTGCGCCTCCGTCTGCGTCTCCGTCTCAACTATAATTTCAGTCTCGGTGCTCCAAGATGAATTGGAAGACACAAGCATAGGGATTGGGGGCAGAGAAGAGTAATCCAGAGAGCCACCAGAGGCCTGGGACTGGGGTGGTTGAGTTGCTTGTGCCAGCCCTGGAGCATGGAATTCGGGGGGTTGGATCGCAGCAGTGACAGTATGCGTCGCATGAGAGCCGTCGCCAGGCTTTCGGTTATTTTGCTGTTTCTCCTTTGAAGTTTCTGCTGGGTCTTGTAGAGCCTAATAGAGGGGTAGAGAAGTCAGCAAACGGGGCATCTAGAATGGAAGAAGTGTTAAAAAAAGGTAGGATGCGTGATAGGGCGAGGCAGGGAAGGGCGCATGAGGATAGGTATGCCTTTGGTATGTGCCAGATACGCTATGCGGTGGTGATCAAATCGGGCAGTACTGTCAGTTCGGCGGAGGTGAAAAGGATGAGGTTGGAGTAGAGAGAGATTAAATACAACTTGCCATGATACTTCGGGGCACTTCTCTTTCCACCCTTCTAGGGTTGTCGTCGAGGTCGAGGTGGCAGTGCGTCTGTGCCAAAAGGTTGAGGTGGACTCTGTTGGTAGAAGAAAAGAAATGGAGTTGACACATCAACGATGCTTCTAGGGGCCTCGCGGAGATTCACTTTGGGGAGAAGTGGGAAGATATCAAAGCCTGCTCTCCAGTTGGAGATGAATTACTTGTACAGACCGGCATTCAATTGATAAAAATCCACACACAGGTTTAGTAGGTATGCAGAACAAGGCAGCAGATTTTGCAAATGAGCATAGCAAACCAGCACATGTATTCCGAGAAAGAATGTCAATCATTGGGTTACTAATCTCAAAACTAGAGGATTTGTCTTCTTTCAAGGCTTCCACAGACCGAATAGGCCTCAATGGTTACCTTTTAGGGGCAGTAAGGTGAAAGCAAAGTTCAAGAAAAGTCGCCAGACAAGAGGTGTTGGTCAGCGTGTGGTCAGTCAGAACTGTAATTGCAACGAGTTGAAAGTCGATAATTAGAACGCTTCTTTGAGAGCAGAGGATAGCTAAGGTAGCCATAGATATAACTAGCTATCCGATCCATCCACGAAAGCTTGTTGTTCTCTGCGAGTAGGCTCCGGAACGTGCTGCACCAATAATCTGCTGGTGACTGTAGGTAGGTACCTAGGTATGCTGCACGTGAAAGGCTTACTATTGTATAAAGGTGATAGACAAAACAATGGATGATGATGGCTACAGAAAAGCATAATAAAAAGAAGAATCAATAGATTCAACACATGGAAAGCTTAGAAATTGGTCGATCTGTAACTTGTCTTGCTAGCTTAACCAAAGCCTCTAAAGCTAGGTAGGTATGTAGACGTGCTTGTTGCAACGGGTTACCTAAATGACTTGATATCAGGACGAGCGCGATAAAAATAGGACAGGTGCAATGCCATACAGATCTTTACTGATGGAGAGGAGAGCTTTGTCGTCGAAAGGGGGGTTTCTAGTTATCTTATCTGGACCTTGATTTTCTTTACCATGCACGCCCCTTTCTAGGTACGAAGCCAACCCAAGCCAAGGTACTTCTAGATATATAGGCGGTATCAGCAAGCACTGCGGCTTCGATACCTTGTAGAAACGGAGGCAGGGCACGATCAAGGCAGGCAGTTTGGACATCTCTGATCTGCCACCAAAGATGAGTTATTAGGAGAATTCGGCAGGTATACTTATGTTGATACATAGACCTAGACGTTAGCCGTGTTGCAAGGATTGGCTTCCCTGATCAGATGTCCAAGAACGGAGAGGGAGAGGCAGCTCAGAAGAGGCGGGACTGAACAGCGCAGTTGCATCCGTTTTCATTGTGTTAAATTTGAAAGTATGTCACGTGTATCCAGTAACCGCATTCACATTTTACCTCGAAATACTAGCGCCAACGCTAAATTTGCTCCCGCATCTCATTTTCAAAAGAGAAGAAGTCGACAAAGGACAAAAGGCAAACCTGGAATTCTGGTCCTCTTGATATTTACTTTCCATAGGTTGTCGAGTCGATTAGCTCTTTGTCCCGAAGCACTGCCCTTCGTTCTGCCTCCCCCAAGTCTCTCATCACCCTCAACAGCTTCCCCCCCCCAACAAGGACAAACACCACAGTTGTGTTATCGCAACGCAACATGGCTGATCAGCAACCTAGCATCACCTCTATTCTAGCTGCTCTAGGTATTTATTGCGCTCTCCGATACCTATACATCTACTTTTACTCTCAAGAGACTCTAGCTAACATCTTTACAGCAGCGCAAAGACCCCCCAATGGGATCCCTCAAAATCAGCAGCCTGTCTACCACCAAGCCCCTCCCCAACCGCATGCGTCGCAAAACCCCTACCCACCCCAGGGCGGATATTCGCTGCCACAGCCTACCAGCTCAGGAAGTGTGGATTTGAGTAATGTCAAGCCAGTGAATTCAGGCGTAGTTAGCATTGCCGATGCAATTGCAAAGGCGAAGGCTATCGCCGCTGAGAAAGGCGTCGCATACGAGCGACCCCCTTCCTACAGTGGTCAAGACTCACGCGCTCCCGGGGGACGACCATATCTTGCATCAAGATCTCGATCGCGTTCTCCACCCGTGCGTCGGGAAGCCTTCCGCGATAACTTCAACCCATATCGAGATGAACGACGAGGAGACCGAGCCCCTGCAATGCGAGACTATCGTGAGCGATCATTCTCTCCTGGACCAAGAGGTAGGGCCGCTGCTGGTGCCTTCTCCCCCCCACAAGGCAACAGTGGATATACTCGTCAGCGCTCGCCGCCGCGTGGTGGAGATGAGAATGTTGAATCCATTTCCATCGAATCAAATTTGGTTGGCCTAATTATTGGTAGACAGGGCGAGAATCTCAGGCGCGTTGAGTCGGAAACTGGGTGTAGAGTGCAATTTATCACTGGCCCCGATGAAACTGGCCCATACAGGGAATGCAAGATTACCGGGCCTCGAGCCCGCCGCGCTGATGCGAAAGCTGAAATCAATCGCATTATCAATGACAGTGGCTTGGCCGGCACTGCAAATCCAACTTCAGATAGACAGTCTCGTGAGCCTCCAGCAGCGCGCTCTGCACACCAGCCTGTTCTTAGAGATGGTGAGGATAGCATGCAAATTATGGTACCTGATAAAACTGTCGGTCTCATCATTGGTCGAGGCGGCGAGACAATTAGGGATCTTCAAGAACGCAGTGGCTGTCACGTAAATATTGTTGGTGAACAAAAGAGTGTGAATGGCCTTCGGCCAGTGAACTTGATCGGCTCCCGCGAGGCAGCTAATGTTGCTAAGGAGATGATTATGGAAATTGTCGAGAGCGACAGCAAATCCACAGCAACCAAAGAACGAGCTCCTGCTCAAAGAGATCCCGGAAGAGATGCTGGCTATAGCGGCGGCCATGGTGGAGGTGGTGGAGGGGGCGGTGGAGACAAAATCACCGATTCCATCTACGTGCCCTCTGAAGCTGTAGGCATGATTATTGGTAAAGGTGGAGAAACCATCAAGGAAATGCAAAACACCACAGGTTGCAAGATAAACGTATCCCCTTCTTCAGGACCGGGCGAGAGTGAACGCGAGATTGGGCTCGTAGGATCTCGGGAAGCTATTGCCGCCGCTAAAAGCGCCATTGAAGATAAAGTAGACGCAGTGGTAAGTTGGCTGTCTCCTATAATCGATCACTGTCTAGTACCACACTCACACTTTGTAGGCACAAAAGAACGGTGGAGGTGGAGGCGGCCGTAACCGTGCTTCGCATAACGACTACAGTGATAGGAGTTACTCGCAGCAGCAACAGAACCAACCCCAGGCAGCAAATCCGCAAGCACAGGCTGGTTCAATGGCAGGGTCAGGTGCTGGTGCTGTTGATCCATATGCAGCCTGTAAGACTCTGTTCAAGGCCCGTATTGAAAATTTACTTACTTTTGTTTAGATGGCGGATATGAAAATTATGTTGCCCTTTGGTATCAAGCAACAGCGGCTCAACAACAACAACAACAAGCAGGCCAACAGCAGGGCGACCCAACATCGTGATTGACGCTTTTTGCCTCTATCCTGGATAACCGGCGCACTGTTGATCGTATGACTTGCACGTATTTTCGTCTGATTGTTTTGAGACCATGATTTCGAGTGTGGATCGGTATGACATGCCTCTATGCACTTGATGACGATTTCCTCCCTTGTCGCCCTCTTTCACACATCAAGTCCCTGCCTTTTCCAGCTGGTGCTCTTCTAATCTTTCGATACTGCCGACCAGGATTTGACATGCCTCGGTGCCAACACAACACCCACCCTTGGAATCAGGCTAAGATCTCGACCACAAGTATTGCATTGATTTAACGTTGCATGACATGACCATATCTCAGCGCTCATCAACTTACACATATGATTTGCAATTGGTCGGTCAAGTCTTTCGTGCTTACCTATGATCTCGGAGTTGCTGGCGCTCAAAATAGGTCTCTTCGACTTGCATAATGCTGAACATCTAGGCAAGTTTTGAGACATACTTAATTTGACTTCACTCTTGAAGTATTACCTTAGGGCACTTTATGATGATACCACGTACGCATGGGATGATATTGATTTGGATCGCGTGCACCCTGCACCCATATTGAAGCTGATGCCTGACGGTTTGCACTTACGGGAAGGCCGCAAACTCAAGAATTAAACTGGAATTGGGATCTTGGTGTCCATGGGTTCACTTTTCTTTCCTGTAATTTAGTGACGAGAATCAAAAATGGATAGTTTTGAAGGCGTCCTGAATAATGATTGATGTGCTTGCTTCTAGGACTAGGTACCTATATAGACAACTCGATTCTCCTATAAGATACCCTTCCTTGGCCGAAACGCAGCCCCAGGGTATCCGGAACAGATGATTCCTATGCAACTACTCCTATAAAGTTTCCTAGATCCCGGTATATGATATGTTGGTACTGGCAGCCTCGCGATCACGTGGGTGGGTGGTCTCTTCAGCCTTGGATTTATTTAGCGATGAAGCTTCGCCATTGCCGTCGCGTTAACTTTTTGCAGAGTTGCGTCGCATACTAAATACATGCTGTCCGATCACATCAACCAAGTGCTTTAAACTTACCCGATTCGTCGAATACTTCTCGTTGTCAACACCATGGTTCAGATCAGCGAGGTCAAGGGTAATACCCGCGACAATCGTACAGCTACTCATACACACATCAAAGGCCTCGGTCTGCGACCTGATGGCACCGCGGAGAAACAAGCTGCAGGCTTTGTTGGCCAAGCGGCTGCTCGAGAAGTCAGAAAACATTTCCACCTGTTCTCGTGAACGTATGCTAACCATTCCTCCCCAGGCATGCGGTGTAGTTGTTGATTTAATTCGCGCGCAAAAGATGGCCGGCAGAGCTATATTACTGGCAGGTGGTCCAGGTACGGGGAAAACAGCTCTCGCTCTTGCGATTAGCCAGGAGCTTGGCACCAAAGTACCCTTTTGCCCTATTGTTGGGAGCGAATTATACTCGGCCGAAGTCAAGAAGACAGAGGCTTTGATGGAGAACTTTCGAAGAGCCATCGGCCTTAAGGTCCGCGAAACAAAAGAGGTCTACGAGGGTGAGGTCACCGAGTTGACTCCGGAGGAAGCAGAGAACCCCCTGGGCAGCTACGGCAAGACTATCAGCACATTATTGATCGGCCTGAAGAGCGCGAAGGGCCAAAAGAAGTTGCGGTTGGATCCCAGCATCTACGAAGCCATACAGAAGGAGAGAGTCACGGTTGGGGATGTGATCTATATCGAAGCAAACACTGGAGCTTGCAAGCGTGTTGGTAGATCTGATGCGTACGCAACAGAATTTGATTTAGAGGCGGAGGAGTACGTCCCAATTCCCAAGGGAGAGGTACACAAGAAGAAAGAAATCGTTCAAGATGTCACATTACACGATCTTGACATCGCCAATGCACGACCTCAAGGCGGACAAGATATAATGAGCATGATGGGCCAGTTGATGAAGCCAAAGATGACAGAGATAACCGAGAAGCTACGAGCTGAGATTAACAAGGTGGTGAACAAATACATCGACCAAGGCGTTGCTGAGCTTGTCCCTGGTGTTCTCTTCATTGACGAGGTAAGCATCCCCAGCCCCATACTTTGCAATGGCAGTGACATTGATTCGAATTAGGTCCACATGCTTGATATCGAGTGCTTCACATATCTCAACCGAGCGCTTGAATCAAGTATCTCACCCATTGTAATTCTGGCTTCCAACCGGGGTATGTGCACCATCCGCGGTACCGAGGACTTAGTTTCTGCCCACGGAATTCCCCCGGATCTCTTGGCTCGTCTTCTCATTATCCCTACAAATCAATATCAAGCGGATGAGATCAAAAGAATCGTTCGGATTCGAGTAACAGTTGAAGGCCTCTCAATAACGGAAGCTGCGTTGGACAAGATCGCCGACCATGGGTCTCGTATAAGCTTGCGATATGCTTTGCAGCTCCTCACGCCTTCCAGCATTCTTGCGCGTGTAAGCGGTCGCAATCAGATCGACGTTATGGATGTGGCTGAATGCGAGGATCTATTTATCGACGCACGGCGAAGTGCAGCGATCGTGAACGGGGAGACTGGTAATCACTTCATTACGTAGGAGCAAAGGTTCACTGCATATTCTCCATGTTCGTGTAGGAGTTCTAGGGGTATCGAAAATGTCTTCAATGTACGGCGAAATTCAGCTAACTTGGGAGGGGGCTACAACTACTTCATTTCACCGAATGCTCTTCCAATAAGTTGTAAGACCAGGGGCATCACTGCTATGTTTTCAAGGCCTTGCGGTAGTTCCCAGGTTTTACAAAAGTCTGGCGTCGAGGACGGGTATCTGAGACAGTCCGTTTGGCTGAGACCAGAGTTTAGAGCATAATAATATCTGTTTGCGCCTCGCGCCTCACGGCATTCCAAACGCGTCCGTCATTTGGGTTTAGTCATCTTCAGCTTTCCTTCACCGTGTTTTTCTATTTAATACCGGAAACGTCAGGAACAAAGAAAGATGCTAGTAGTGCTTGACGAGTTCCCGAGACAAAGACACCGCACCTGTAATAATGGCCCAACTAGTTTTCATTGGGATGGTTGACTGGCAAGATCATTGTTTTCCTGTCCTTCAATGGGCATTACATACAAAGAATTTCATCAATAACAAGAAGGCCATTCTTACCTTCAGCCTTCATTCTCCTACTCTACTTGCCCTAGAAACCGTTCCACGACTAATTTTCCAAGTATCCACGGCAGGCATCCCATCATCCCATCATGCAAGCGGTAGTTGAGGTAGCTCCTCTAAACTTGAGCATCTTGGGTGCCAATGGTGCACCAGTGAGCTTGTCAGCCGACTCAAGTCGAAGAGTTTCTTTGAGGACACGCCCTGAGAAGAGCTCCGAACCTCCTACTCCGAGCTCTCCACGGACCCGTTTAACACGGAAAAGAGCTGCTTCGTTGGACCTTATTGATGCGACGCATACAAAAATAGGAGATCTTGCTCTCAACAGTGCGAGCACGCCGACACCCTCGGTAGCTAATCCGACAAGAGAGCAAGTCTGCCTTTGTCAACCCGATCCCAAGATACCTCGGCCTCGAAACGGTGCGTGACCTATGCTTCCTTGTGTGTTGATGGCGTGATTGGTTCTTTTGAGATGCGTGTGCTTGAAACTCTTTATATCCCACCCCAAAGACTCTTTCACCGAATCGAAAGCTAATGATTCTTTGTAGCTTTCATACTTTACCGTCAACACTACCAAGCCCAGATTGTCGCACAACATCCTGGACTTGCAAACCCTGAAATCTCAAAGATCATCGGCGAACAGTGGCGAGAACAGGCTTCGGAAGTTAAAAGCGAGTGGAAAAAGTTAGCTGAGGTAGGCAACAGCTTGGCAGAGCAGTGATATGATGCTAATGCATGATTTGCAGGAAGAGAAACAGCGTCATCAGCGTCAATATCCAGGATACCGATACCAACCTCGACGAGCAGGCAAAGCAAACGGTGTTCGCCCTGTTTCATCGTCTTCTGCCGACGATCTAGTACGTTGTCCAAAGTGCAACGGCAGATATATCTCCACCCCAAGTACCCCTCTCACTCCCTTTACGCCAGCATTCGGGACGTCAAACGCCCGAAAAGATCGACTCTTGCCTCCTTTTACGTCATCCGGGACGAACGAGGTTGAAAGACCTCGCTATTCTTCGCAGATGCAGAACGCGAGGATGGAAACTCCACGGATGGCCCCGCCACCGCAGCAGCTTCATCGACGAGCACAATACCCACAGACTCAACAATTACCGACCCATCATGAGCTGGATGAAGAGATGGAGCTTTTAAGCCCATCGCAAGACCAGAAACGTCGAAGATTCAATAACGACGCTCACAGGTTTAACATTGAACCTCACCGTGGTTACCCATCAGCATCTCCGATATCCTACTCTGCGCCCCAATCATTTGGTCGTAGCGTTCCACAGAGCCCTTACAGACAGCAGCAGCTTCCAGGTCCAGGCATGCTGGCTCGGGCGGGACCCATGGGACCACCTCTACAGCAGTCACCTATGAGCCAGCTCCAAAGACACCAATACCCAACCCGGTCAACCTTCGACGAGTCGCTTCGCTTACCTCCTTTACAAACTCAACTCCGTAACTCAACACCTATATCCGCTCAAAGACCAGACAGTCAACTTGACAGCCGTGACAGTCAGGCAAGAAGCGTGGAAGCAATGGTCATGACGATCCCTTACCTTAACAAAATCAAAGTTCTCACCAAGATCTCTCCACCGCTACCACCCCCCGGCCCTGCTAGCCCGGCGCAAGAAACTCGCGGCGCCGTCATTGTCATCGAAAGTGCAGACAAAGAACTACTAGCCGAGACAGGAGACTACATAACCTCTCACCTCTCGCAAGACACCTCCTGCGCTGTCAAGACTTGGGGTACCTCCCCATCTCGTCTGGCCTCCATCTCTGCCCCTAAAGCAGTTGCAGATGTAGAGATGAGCGACAGCGGCGGTGCAGCAGTCCCTACACCTCTGTCTTCGATCCCAGAGGAGAAGGATGCGTTTGTTGAGTACCTCGGCATTATCTCAGACTGGCATACCAAGTCCCGCGAAATGATAAAATACATCACTACCTCCCCAAGCCCTGCCTCTTCCGCAAAGGCTCTGCCAATCGCCATAGTTCCTGCAGGCTTCTCTCTCACCACGTCAGACGCCTTCGCCCTGTCCATTCCTATCGAAGACTCCTACGCACCGGTGGACCACTGGCAATGGATGGCCACGCTGTGGCGCGGCATCGTGGGCCCAGATCTTACGGTGTATGTAAGCCGTGTAGGCAGAGAGGAGATGGCCAAATTTGGAGGCGTAGAAATCAAGGGCGATTGTAATGCTATTATTGTTAGAGTGCCGACTGGGGAGGGCGTAGATGAAAAGACGAGGAGGCGGTTGGGCTTCGAGGTGATGGAGTATGTCAGGGGTGTCGAGAGTGGCTTCGGTAGGAGCCAAGGCGGATAGCAGAGAGAGATTGATAAGCCTTTTGAGTTCGCGCGAGACAGGGGGAATAATTAGGTTGGTTGGGTGTATTGATTCTTTTCTTTGTACTAGTATTTTGGAAGCTTTTGTAATTTGGCATGAAATTAAAACAGAACTGAGTCTATTAAAATCCGTGCTCTGTCAGCGGTGACTGGGTTGCAATAACAATAAGCCTCTACCATTCCATCTCCTCTCACTTTGAAAGAACCCTGTCGCTCTTTTCTCAAACCTTCTTTTTCCGAAAGAGGAAAACAAAACCCCTTAGACTACTCTGCTTTATTGAACGGAAGGGGTATACCTTGAAGCCCTTTGCAACTGAATTGACTGTCCTGCGACTAAGCGACCTGAGGCCTTGTATCAAAAAGTTCAATCCATTTCAAGGCTTGGTTGTTAGTCGTTCGCCTGATCGTTACAATTAAAAGAAATTGGATTTCTAGACCACAATGAATAGGTATAACCACAAGCAGGAAAGTAAAGCGTCTGCAAACACCAAACCATCATCGGGTTTCCTGCTGTTATTGACGCCAATGATCCTATATGCATCTTTATCTTAAAATTACAATGGAAATATACACGGCGGTCACTGCCATCCTATAGACCCCGATGGCTCTGGGGCATTTTGCTTTATAATGTCTCGAACCTTGTTAGTCCCGTTGTTACCCGAAGACGATGCTGTTTATTGCCACTAAGCCTCCATCTTCCTCACTCTCGCAGCCTCCGAATCTTTCTCCACAAAGGTGGTTCCTCCAAAGCCCATCGCGGACGTCTTCTTCCTGCGTCCCTTACGGTCTCCATATTTCTCGTCAAACTTGCGAATGGCAGATAAAGTGCTCATATCCTCGCTGATACTGGCGCTGATCTCCTCAATCGCTTTGCTGAAATGCTGTTTGGTGAGTATACGCTTCTCAGGGTATTTGTAAGGCTCATCGCCTGTGTGTTTGGTTGCGGCTTCGTTTTCTTCGCGGATGCAGGCTAGTGCCGCCGCGACGGAGATATTCTTTAGATCGGAGCCCGAGTAGAAAGGCGTGTCTTTCGCCAGTTCAGAGAGTGATACGGATTCGTTAAGGAGTTCTTCCTTGAGATGAATTTTAAGAATTTCTTCTCGGTCTTTTTCAACCGGTAGGTCAACCAGTAATCGCCGTGGTAATCGCCGGAGTACTGCTTCATCAAGATCGAAGGGGCGGTTGGTTGCTACCATAATGAAAGCTGAAAGATCGTTCATGCCATCCCACTCCCTGAGGAATTGATTCTGTGAAGAACCGAGTTAGCTTTGTTTTAGTTATAAGAGATTTTTAAAAGCGCAGCGATGATTTAAAGCCCGTGGGACGTTCTTGCACCAAAGCTCCAGAAACATATCTGCGAAACCCAAAAAGGCCACAATACGAACAAATACAGCGCTTGATGACTTACGATCAATTCTCGATGAGCTGGACGCCTGGTCTCTCCACGAGCCGAAAAGATGGCGTCAGCTTCATCTACGAAGACAACACAAGGAGAAAGTTTCTTGGCAAGACTGAACACAGCCTTGACGTTCTTCTCTCCTTCGCCGACGAACATGTCATTGACATCTGCTCCGCTGATTTCAAGCATAGTTGCTCCGCTTTCTTTGGCCACAGCTTTCGCCAAGAGCGTTTTACCCGTTCCTGGGGGACCGTAAAGGAGCAAACCAGGAATCTTATCAGTAGCGAGCACGCCGTACGAGAACGCTTCTGGGCGAATTAAGGACAGACTAGTCAAGGTTTTGAGAGCCTCAACGGTTTCTTTGGGGGCTCGAATGTGGTCAAAAGTAGTACGAATATCCGCTGGAAGCACAACACCACTGAGCAATTTCTGTTCGTGGGAATTGCAATCCTTCTTGATCTGCTTGAGCTTTTCCTTAGTCAAGCCACCCTTGTTGGATTCAGAGATTTCGTCGAGCAATGTATCCACGTCAGCGTCTTCTTCCTTCAGTTCAGCGGCCCCCCAACTGAATTTGGCTTCGTCACTAGAAGAAAGTAGTCTTAGAGCTTCGCTGAAAACTGTCCCATCGATAGTGGGAGATTTAGAGCCTCCCAATATCGTGATCGCAAGCCTGCGAACGCGCGCGTACGGCCAGACCGCGTCTTCTAGGCCGGCTGAGTCTACAGCAGCACTGTCAAGTCCCTTTTCGAGGTCAATCACTGGCGTCAGGTGCTGAGTGCCATCTGCTAATTTCGAGACCATGTCTTCGACATGTCGAATGTTCATATTCCGGACTCGTGCCTTTTCGTCCGTTTCGAAAACAACGTCTTGTTCCGTTCTCCTGTCAGGGGGCACAAAAATTGTGCTTTTTTCTCCCTCGACCACATCTGATTGAAGATGCTGGATCTCGGACTTAGAGAGAGCTGCTTCTCCTTCCTCGCTAGAATATGTCCCGACGCAAATGATGTTTTTGCCGTCTTTCCAACGTTTGTTGATAGCTGTCCGGAGCCGCTGGAGCAAATCCGCCCCTTGCTGGGTTCCAGTCAACGCTTTGTAATCTCGCACCTGTATAATAGTGCCGGAAGAAGCTGGTCTCGACTCGACTGGTTCCGTACAATCCGATTCGGAGGGAGAAGCAGCGCGTTTCACATCAGCTGCCGCCAACAGTTCACTGAGAATAGAATTAAACTTCAGATTGTTCCATTGGTCTGACTCGGAGGTTGAAGCTGGAGCAGATTGTGGGTTTTGACTGAAGTCCAAAATGCCGACCCTTTCAAATTTGAGGTCAAGGTTGGCAGGACTTTGCTTGTACTGTCTAGTATGATTCTTGTTTTTGGGAAGCACTGAATTCATCATCTTGAACCAATTCGGTAACTTTGGCTTATCTTCCTCCTCGAGCGCGGCATCTTCTTCAGTGGGATCTGTATCATACGTCTCTAACTTCCCAGCAACCATTTGCGCATCGTACCCTAATAATGCGGTTTTCGAAGAAGTCCATGCCACATTTTCATCAACATAGGGCCCCACGATCTGGGCAATATCCTGAGCATCAAGCCGTATAAGATCGGCCCCAAGCTTCGTGGCAATCGTCTCGACAACTGCATCCAAATAAAAAGCCCCCCCATCTTTCGGACATTGTAGAAGAGTGATAGGCCGGTTGATATTCAGGTTTTCCGAGTTCTTGGGTGGGCGGAGAGACAATCCTGCTCGTAAGGAAGACAGTATCTCTTTGTAGACATCCACATGCATTGAATACTTTGCATCTTTGGTAGACGTCAAGTCGCAATCGCCAAGTGCAAGGGTCATCCGGGCTACTTCTGCAGCCACAGAGCTATCGTCGCCATCAACTTCGCCATTGACTCCCGTTATGCCATAAACAGCGAGTGTCCCGCTCTGAGTAGGATCTTCCAAGCACTTGACATTCTTTTTCCAGAACCACTCTGGCAGCTGCACAGGCGGTAGTCCCTCAGTCTGCCGTGGTCGGTTTCCCTTCAGTCTTCCAGATGTAGGTTTCCCATTGCCGTTCCGCGGCTTTGGTGTCAACGTGGAAGCCTCTCCTTGAGTTATTCTCGACGCTTCAGTACCATCTTGCTCTGCATTTCCATTTGAGCCTTTCGATGACTCAACTGATGGGCTCTCTGTGCGTCCATTTCCCTGACCCGCCGTTTCCTCCGGTATTCGACGTGATATTGGGGAGCGGTGGAACGGTCTCGAGTAGATTGGGTATCTAACGCCGGCGACGATTCGACAGGCGCGCCGAGAAATAGGTCTGCGTGCCGTACGGAGAGCGTGGATTGCTACGGCATGCATTCGGTAGAGGGTTGCGCTCGGGGAGAGCGACTACGAAAAGGATGGCAGAGCGTAGTCTTTTGCGGAGTGTAGACTGGTAGTGGATGAAATTATCTGAGGCTCAACTCAACCGGATCATGTGATCACTTTCACAGCAATTTCCCGAGATTCTTTAAAGAGCACACTAATGTGCTTTTAGTTATACGTAGGATGTCCAGCTAAGTAATATATGTGTTTTGTAATAATACTTTATCAAAAAGCTATATTAAGTTGACTTTTTAAGGTTCTACGCTTCTTGTATGGCTCATGTGGCTGATGTTGCTAATGCCCACAGGCCACCTCGCCAGACAATCGATAAACACCTGAATCGCCCACATCATAGCAAATACTAGGTATAGTTATGAAGCTAATTTTAATAGTACTTAAAAGCTCTAGTAACTCTCTAACTATGTCTTATATTACGACTAAATACCCTATCATTTTGGTCCGTATTTGTTAATTAGGAAGCTAGGAAGCTAAGGTGCCCAGAACCAAATGATAAAGTTAGCCAAGTGCATGGGCCACTCTACTAAAAGATCAATAACTACCTACTTAAATCGCCCGCATTAGAACGGATACTAGAGCTATGAAGCTAATTTTAGAAGTATTAAAAAGAGCTCGTAAAGCTCTAAACGTCTCTCATATATTACTAGTACAATTTTTTTAGGCGTTATAGTAATTATTAGGGAGTGAGAAGGTAGGTAGGTTGCAGTAGAGAGCTGAGCAAAAGCAGCGAAATGACTGCCACTTAGAAATGGGCGGGAAATGAGCTGATAACTCGGCAAACTCTTTGACCTTTGACTGAACCTCTTTTATACGTCTCGATCCTAAAACCATTAACCTAAAGATTTCAGGCATTAGGGAACTTTACGCATAGGGAGTATTATGGTTTTATGGTAAATTATATGTTTAACGAGGTTTTCATGCTTTTATACAATGCAATCTTGTCGGCCACACAGGTCTTTATTACACCTGCAAATAGGACTGCTTAGGACGCCCTGTTTTTTCATCAACTTCACTTAAAATAAGAGCGCAAGGCTTTGGACTTTTACACCCAGCGATTAGTTCAGCAAGCTTGTAGCCGAGTACTAGTTGCCAATAGTAATCTCAATCAATAACTACAGTAGTAGAGTTGACTGCCTAAAAGTATACATCCCGGAGCAACCGATCCGTAGAGACCAATAAACCAGAAGGTGTTGTATCCTGCGGTGAGAGCTCAAGGGTAGGCAATGCAAGCTCAAGTATCCGAACAAGAGGAGGAGGGACTCCAACAGCCTGTTTGAAATCAACCCGAGTCTTACTTCCTTCGTGGGCACCAGTGCCGCCAATATCAGCTCCCATATTCCCCCTATGAACTTCCCAACGTCCGTTGATATCCCCATTTATACTGGACACAAAACTTTCAATATGATCCCCATTCATGACCACCAGACGTTCAACCTCCCATAAGACGGCGCCAGATCCATCTTCACTAGGTTGGCATGCTTGGAAGATAAATTTGGTCAGAGGACCGGTAACTTCACCCACCAGCATCCTCTGTTCCGGGTATGGATCGGCATATTGCCTCATTGGAGGATCTACTGAAACCCAAAATTGACATGTCACACTAACAATGGCCTGGTAATGCGGGTCTGCGCCAGTGAAACCTGTTCCAGCATAACTTTCGGATATTCCGTTCAAGATGATCCGGAGAATATTGACTAGGTGTTTAAAAACAAAGGCTGATTCCGCGTCCCTTTGTTGGAGTATCTTGATGATGCGATTTGAAAGAACTGGCAGATATGTTGCACATAGGACCCACCCGCCAATCGAATGAAAGCCAACATGAAGAGCGGCAGGTAGGAACTCAGTCATCAGAAAGTGGGTAAATTCTGGACGTTTCATGCCTTTCCTGACGTAGGTCATATGTCTTCCTACACGGCACTGGATCAGGTCTTTTCTCCATCCGCTGTAAAGGTAGTGGAAGAGAATAGGACAAGTTCTTCCGGGGTGTTCGATAAGTCGCAGTGAGTAGGAAATGATACCGGCAGCAAAGAGGTTGGGATCGGCATCCTCAGGCCAATAGTGGGCTGACAGCTGGCTGAAGAAGTCTAACGTTGGCCGAATCTCGCTGGCATATGACCTCAATATAGAGATGATGAGTTGAACGAACGAAACATATTCCTTGAGTTTATTGGAGCCAGGGGTCATTGTTTCCAACTGGTGCTTCATGGATTCCATTACCTCTTTCAACATGAGAGAAAAAAAGGTGTATGCTTCTTTCTGTGACTTGTTGCCGAACACTAAATCCACGTTGGTTTGGTTGAGCAAGGTAGTACGCATGATGTCAACAGCGGCTACAGAGGTTAGTGACTCAATTTTGCAAGGGATACTCGGGGCATACTTTTGAAGAGTGTGTGATTAGGAAACCTGTTTTCTCCGAGGGTCCCCGAGTCGACGATGCTAGATGCGATTCTGCGTGGCCAAATCGCTAAGTAATGAGCCTTGGTTTGCAGTCTAGTCGTCAAAGTATTGACCATATCAAGCGCAAATGGGACTTTTGACTGCGGTTTCGAAAGAGCCAGTAACCATTCCAAACCGATGTCGAAACCGTTGACCTAAAACTGTCAATGGAAAAGGTCCGAAAAAAAACAAGTCAATTTTACCTTCAAGTCATCCAGGTTCTTATGCTCGACCAACGCACTGAGAAATAATGGCCAATATGTGTTCGATTTATTAGTTCCATTACGTTGTTGAAAAACAGCATTCGGGCCTTTCACGAGGAAGTCACCAAGGTTCTGGAGTCGTTAGTAAGTACAACGAATTAATATGGTATGTGGCTTACCATAGCGCTCTCGGTGAGCTTTACTACCAATGAGGACCAACAAATGACTAATTCAGACATAAATTGAGAATCCAGAGATTTACCTGAATCACTTTGGAGACTCCGTCGCATTGCAGTGCGAAGCAGGGGAAGGATTTCTGGTTGAAGACGCTAATAGAGTAAGTATTGACGAGTCAGCTGTAAGGAGAAGGATGGACACGCACGTATATCAGTTCCACACGGTCCAGGTTTAGATTTTCTAAACTGCCCTGGCTATCGGAATTGGTAGCGCAGGTTGAATCTGGCAGCGGTAGGCAAATGGGCTCCAAGCGGTCGATTTGTTCCATGTAATGACAAATACTGTCCACGCAGTTTTGCAGACTCCCTTCCGAGTAATCATCTTCACCCCATGAATCAGGCTGGCTAGCTTTGCAAAGAAGTTCTATAGAATGTCAATAACGTTTTAACGACATGGTGGAAAGACCGACCTGGGTTAAAGGCTTGGATAGCTAACTGTGGAGACGTAGCAGCCTTGACAGTATAGTCCATGGCCCTCACCATTACGCGTAGAGTTTCAATTGTGCTTCTTCTGTTCGCCAGAATTGTCTGTTTTAACAAGCCTTCTGAGATTGGGTTCCGATCAGTTTTCTCGAGCGCCTCAGCCTGATGTCGCACCTCTGATTCGATTCCAAGATACTGCTGATAAAGTTTCGCCGAGAACTCATTCTGCCAAAGCGCAAATGGCTGGTAGGTAACAGAGCCCGAAGAATTAGTCACAACAAATCGCGCGAGATTCTCCCAAGCTCTTATGTTTATCAGACAGGCTTCCTTGTGTGATCGATCCGCGATCACAAGCTCCTGGATAAGGGAAAGAGAAGGTCTATGGTCTGCCGGGGCTGCCCAGTACAAAGTGCAGAGAAGATCATGGTGGTTTCGTAACGAAGCCAATTCTCGTTGATGGATCGCTTCTTCCTTTGGATATTGACGATCATGATTGGGAAGCAGTCGCGCAACCAGGTTGCGAATACTCTTGATGTCTCCTGCTTTTTCCATATGCTTGATTGCCATAGCCACAATTTTGAGGAGGATGTGAAAGCAGCGGTCTTCCGGGTCGACGTCTAACAATGGTTCCTTGTCAAGCTCCCTCAGAAAACGTGGCGAATCATAAACCTCTTCGTTGCGTAGGTGAGCGAGCTTCTGGGATGCGAAGAAGTCGAAGATAGCTCCTATCACACCACTACATTTCCACCAACTCCAAACAGTTATTAGATAGTGACAGCGACTAACAAGCGCTCTGCAATAATCGTTAAAGCCAGGCGATTGCCTGGGATTTGAACTGTATAACGAAAATATTGTTTTTAGCATCTGCTGTGGCAATGACCAATTGTCAAATGAGTTATTTCGACGTCGGCCAGGCTTGACGACCCCGAACTCGTCAAATTCGCAGAGCGGTAGAAGAGAAAACATTGAATACCACAGTTTCTCCATGGTACGTGCGTCGTTAGTACTCTTCGCCTCATTATCAATGAGTTCCTGATTAACGATGTCCCAGAAAGAACCTCTCGAGATGTGAGCTGCTTCCAGTACCCTCATTATGATTACCCAGGATTCAGCAGCAAAGTGGTCATGACGGATCCCTCGTTCGCGGAACGAAAGATATTGGAGGTCGTCATAAAGTTTTCTTATTCCACCTAGGCCATGAGCGAGCAATAAGCCCACACAGGTACGCGCAACATTTTTCAGCACGTCTTCAACTTCGAACCCGAGTGCAGCATCCTCTGGTCGTGCACGAGCAACTTGAAGGACCCGCAATCCTACTAACATAGACCGACTCAAGATCTCAATCAATTGAGGGCGCGTCTGTTGGACTGCAGAAATCTGGCATTTGACGCGAGATGAAACGTCTCGGAGGATTTCAATGAGCCTGGTTAGAAAATCGGTATGATCATCAGAGTCTGTAAAACTTAAATGGTCTTGAACATAATCGACAATAAACGTTGCTATGGATATGGTGTTGACCGTTGACGGGGTTGACGCTGGCGAGGGTGAGAGGTGTTGATCGAGAATCCAGTCAAAACAAACACCAATTTCAGACGAAACGACTTGATTCCATGGTCCCCATCGAAATGCCCTATCACCAAGCTGGATTGAGGCATATTGATTTGAGGCCACTGTTTGAACAATCCTTCCCTTAACTGCCTTGGAAAGGCGACCACTCCCTATGAAAGTGGTCTCATGGAAGTAAATTCCAGACTGCAATGGGAAAATATCAAAATGGAGCGGATACCTTGTCCCAAATTTGCCTAAACCCTGTAACTTGCTTCCCTCACTGGAAACATCTTGTAAGAGCGTTGGAGAAAGAATTTCTAAGATCATAGGCTCGCTTGGCTGGCGATATCTTGCTGCGCCGACATCTACCCGTTCTGGTTGAGGCTTCCTACGTCTGGAGCCCTTCAATGTAAGTTGAGCTGGAGTTATAGGTGTTTCACCCGCTTTCCTCTGGACCTCTACCCGTGACTTTACAACGTCATCATCGGCAAGGAACCTTCCAAGTTGAAGGTTGACCTGAGGCCCGCGACGCTTTCGGGCAGTCCTGTAGATTGCATCCAAAGTCTTCTTAGTCGATATGAAAGCAGAGGCCGGGTTCTGACGGGAATACTCCATTTCGAGAGCTTCAAGCTGTGCAGGTCTTGCGGAGGGAGCGACACGATGCGACGTGTCAGGGCGTGTCTGCGGATGATTCCACACTCTCCTCTTTCCGATTGGGGGCGCATCATGATGGTCGACCATGGGTTCTTCGGAAGTCACGAACTTCTTCATAGATCTCTGTTTCACCCTCGATACAACAATCTTTCGCGGCATCACCGTTGATCGATTTCGAACGTCTATGGAATGCGTCCCTTTACTCATAGGCGACTGCAGTCTACTTTGTCGATTACTCGCAATTGGGTCAAGAGGCCGTCTCATGGGACTGATCGAGGGCTCTGGCACAGTGCTGAGTACTTTAGGCTTGATTTTGCCCACTCTCCAATCTTCTAGAACACTTTGAGCATCAAATGTGTCTTCCCGGTTCGCTAGTCTGATATACTTCCTCGATGGACTCTGCTCCCCTTGCCCAGGTTTCAATCTTGCAGTACGGGCAGCTATCCTAATGAACTGGGGAATTTCTGATCGACTTTGAGTGTTTATGTCCGTGACATCTAAAATACTAAGCCTCGGAGGGATTTTTTTCGTAGAACGACTAACATTGGCGAGCTTTGCACGCCTAAACGAAGACCTGCCCTCTCGAAGTTTGCTAGCATTACTCTTAATCGGCTGTCGAGGTTGGTTTAGATGCTCGGTGATCTTAGGCTGGCGTACACATCCGCTGCCGCGCTTTCGAGGGACTGCTGTCGCATCCAAACGTCTTCTTTTTCGGAAGTTGCCACCAGCAAGTTTTGTTGGGCGCTTGTGACTTGGAAGCATTGGATCAATTCTATCATCCTCGTCGGCAGAACCTTCTCGTTCAAAAAGTTGATCCAGCCCATTGACCCTGTCGTCCTCCATGACAAATCCGTTCTCGTCAAATTCGTCGTCATCCGAATCGTCGGAAAGAAAATGCATCCGACTGTGCGTCGCCGCAGATGGACTTCCTGCTGTACCTGAGGGCCTGGGAAGTGCTACACCACGTCGAGCTGGTAACTTGGCGGGGGATACACTGAAGCTCTGTCGGTGGGTGCGACTTGAAGCTGTGAGCTTTCTACGTGGTTGATCTAATCGAAGATGGGATGCTGGAAGTACACCCCGAATCTTCTTACCAACTTTTCGGACTTGAACTGATTCGGCAGAAGACGAGGCCGACGAATGTGACAAATCATTCCCTGTCCCAAAGGGATCGCCAAGATCACTATCAGAGTCAATGGATACAGGGTCGGGAATTGGTTTAATAGCACTCGTCGCCGGTGTTGGTAAATCCGCAGCCCCGTGAAAACGGGGCGCATCTTTTTCAAGCCGGGTAGGTGTTGCTTCCTTAGATGACGAATTTGATAATGTTCGAGATAGAGATGTCCTGGTGATGTATGAGGTAGCTGCAAAAGGGGAGCTCGTAGCCGGTGGAGAAGCAGGGACATCGAAATGGTCGTTATTTTTGCTCCAAGTATTTCTAGGGCGATTCTGAATTTTAGACAACGGGGGGTTTCGAGGTTTCGACGTGTATGTCTTCAGACGACGCTTGGGGTTGGCTGGGTGCGGAGCAGGTATTGGGGCTCGCAGGAGCTCCTCGATATCGGGAAATTCATCATCACTACCTATGGCAAGAGCCTCGTTCGTATTCTCGGTCTCATGCTCGTTCTGGGAGGATGGCGGAAGTGGTGGGGAAGATGGAGGATTCCAATCCACATCCATCTGCTGACTCTCCTCCATCTCAAATTCCATGTCTTGAGAATCAGGATCCGGGGAGGATGCGCCTCTAGCCTTTTTGTTCTTCTCGTCTTGAATTTGGGCCATTCTCAACGGCGTCATGCCACGTGCCCTTGCAATTCGCCGGTACTTCTCCTCCTCGAGAACGTACGGGTGCAACTGAATGAGATTCCGCTGTCGAAAAGTGCGTCTGTACACATCCAGAGGCGGCCCTTGAAGTGGCGGGAACGGTCTCTCCCCGTTCATAGACTCCTGTTGAATAGGCTGAACTGGGTTTTCAGAGGCTTGGTGTTTCTCGCTTTGGGTGGATTTACTCATTCCCATCCTCGTCGAGGACTGACTACTCGGAGGAGTTGTCAGGGGACTCGAGGACGGCGTGGTAATTCGTACATAGGTTTGAGATATATCGTCAACAAACTCAGGCCCAGCAACTTGATGGTGCTGCCTTGAAGCGGAGAGTGCATTTGCCGCATCGTCATAATCAAGAAACCCCAGAGGAAATTTAAAGCCTTGTGGCGACTTTGGAGAGGGTTGTAGAGGCGCTTCATGTGCCTGGTTAAAAGACTTCAGGGGCTCTTTCAGGGCCTCGTCCTCTCTTGAATTACCACCTCTGTCCTCCGAATGTTCGGCATCTGCAGGAGTCCGCTCCAAACTGGGGATGCTAAGCGCGGGGCTGTCGTCTTCCTTGTGATTATGTACATTTTGAAGCACGTCTTGGTGGTTTTCCTCGGAGTATTCCTCGTTGTGTTCTTCGTTGAGTTCCGCATTAACTCCCGCGTTAACAGGCAGTCCAGTCGCTCCTTCATCATTAATGGCACTGCTGTGCGGTGTGCTGTCGACGCCCAAGTCCACGTCCAAATCTAAGTCCAGGTTATCGTCATCGTCCGAGTCTGGCACCTCCCCTTTCTCTTTCCAATTTGCCATATGTGTCAGATGGCATGCTAATAATCCGGAAAGTCCTGACACAGTTTGGACAGGAATTGTGGGGGATTATTTGAATGTCGAGGTGCAAACGCGGTTGAGTGAGACGCGTCGTAGGTAGACTCTCCACTCTTTTTTATTCTACGCCAAGAGCCCGGTTATTGATCCGAGCATATACTGGACGCCACCTCAAAATCTATCACAGTGTATAAAGTAGCCTTTACACATTTTACAACCACAGATTTATCTACTCTCTTTTGGCATGTAAGCCTATGCTCTAAGAATCTCTGCCGGACGATGAGCGGCATTCGCGGCATATTTCCTCTTTTTCTGGCTACTGCAATTGGCATTGGCAATGGTATGCTTCGGTCCTGCACCATATCGGTATCATGTTCTATGCTAATCTGCAATTTCCAATAGGCATTTATGCATTTGGGCCAGCTTTTAAGGAACAACAGGAGCTAAAGAACAACGAGGCAGGGTTCGTTCTCGACGAAATACAATGGGGTGTCAGACTTACTGAACGCGAGCAGGAAACCTCTAGAAGCCACTGGGGAAGTCAAAGAGGATGGATTCAAAGAGATAAGGGCGTCCGAAGCTGCAGCAAGCAAGTTTACGGCTACTGAAGCTGCCTTGAAGCAGGGAGGATCCTCCAGTTCGTGGTGGCCCAGATTACTTTGGACAGGAAATGTTTCTGGTGACAAGACCAAGCCCTCCACCGACACAGTGAGCGAGGCCACAAAGGAACAAGGGGGAAAAGAGGCTGGAGAGAAGTAGAATAAGACTACAGGATAAGATGATCGGTCGGTTTCCAGCGCATGAAGAGAAATGGGAATTTCAAACTCGACCAGGGCTCTGGAGTTCGGTGCAGTCAGTGTTGCCGAACACACATATCGACGAATATAGAATTACGATAACATTTCCACCCTTTCAAATACGCCGTTTCCCATCCCCCGCCCACCTCTTACCTTGAGATCTTCAACTCTCCATGGAACATCCCATTCTCCTTGGGAAGTTCCCAATACATCCATGACACGTGACTGTTTGCATCAACGTAACGTCATCGGTCATCCTGTCCTGCGCCTGCCTTGATAACGGCGCGTGAGACATCGCGTTTCCAAACAGGAAAACCCCATATCCACGCCCTCCATTCCTCTGTTTATTCAAAATCAGCCATCATGACAGACTCAAAGCAGGGTGACTCTAGCGAGAAGCAGAAAGATGATCTCAGTACTATCTTAACTACTGAAGAGCAAATCGAGCTAACCCTTCTTATCGCCAATATAACGGAGGTTATGAGAAAGCAGATCACAGCAACGTTCGAAGCTTCAATTGGATCTGCGAAACCACCTGCACAAGCCCTTCATGTCGGGGACAAGAATCCTAACATTGACCAGAGCAAGGCCCATGAGGAGACCGACGAGGAAGAGAAAGCAAGGAAGCTGCAAGAAAAGAGGGAGAAAGAGCTGTCGGCTCCAAAAATGAAAGAGCTGAAGAAAGATGCCTTGGATTTCTTCGACAAATGGCGAGAATCTATCATTTTGAGACTCGGGCAAGTGGTCAATAACCCAAAGGAGGTTGTCGATGAGAAAGTAAAGGAGGCTTCAGTGGAAGCTACGCCTAACGCTGATCCACCAACGGAGACTAAAGTCATTCGTGAGTAGTCTCCATTCGTCCCCCGAGTTCTTTCACAATTCGACTGCTAATTATTACTTTCTCTCAAGGGCGTAATACCAATATTGAAGAGGCAGATGCTGCCCTAGTCGAACTCTACCCTCCTACCTCAACACACCTATACTCTCTGCCAAAAGACAAAAGAGTCATCCTCCTGCACGCTATGCTTCTACTCCTTCTATCGCTAGAGCATTATACTGCACACTCTCGAATTCTACTCCTCCACATATCATCCTCTCTCCACCTTCCACTCCATATCCTCTCAGAGCAAGAAGTTAAGGTTGCACAAGGTCTTCTCGAAGCAGCAAAGCGCATGTCCGGGAATGAAGAAACACAAAAGCGTGCCGATGACAATAAAGTTGCTTGGAGATGGAAGGTTGGACTGGCTGGTGTTGCGGGCGCCGCAGTCATTGGAGTGACTGGTGGTCTCGCTGCTCCTCTCGTCGCCGGTGCAATTGGGACGATTATGGGTGGCTTAGGGCTGGGTGCTACTACAGCCGCCGGTCTTTTAGGAGCTTTGGCTGAGAGTGGTGTCATTGTGGGGAGTTTATTCGGTGCTTATGGTGCTGGAATGACGAGCAAAATGATGGACGCATATGCCAAAGAAGTCGAGGACTTCGCCTTTTTGCCCTTGAATGGCTCCAAGCATCAAGATCCCAAGCCTGAAGATCGAAGATTGAGAGTAACCATTGGCATCAGTGGATGGCTGACTCAGAAAGAGGATATAATCACTCCCTGGCGGGCTTTGGGCCACGAGAGTGAAGTATTCGCCCTGAGATGGGAACTTGAAGCGTTGACGTAGGCAATTTCATTGTTTGGTTTCATTGAATATAGTCCTTTTCCAGATTCCCCCCCTGGAATGACTGCACCACCAAATACTAATTCTAAACATTAGTAAACTCGGATCATCCATGGAATCTGTGGTAAAGAGTGCGGCATGGACTGGTACGTTGAAATTTGCTTACGAAATGCGCGTGCTTAGCATGTCTCAAGGCTCCGCGCTGCTCTCATCAATTCTGCGAAATCTCACACTAACCCAACATACAGTTGCCAAAAAGGAAATCATCGCCCGCACAATCTTCGCCAGTTTAATGGACGCACTTTGGCCAATTGCGTTACTGAAGGTCTCAAAAGTCGTTGATAATCCCTTCTCAGTTGCCAAAAACCGAGCAGACAAGGCTGGCTTAGTTCTTGCTGACGCTCTTATCAATAAGGCGCAAGGCGAACGTCCAGTAACACTCATTGGTTACAGTCTAGGTGCTAGGATGATATATTCCTGCTTAATGAGTCTTGCAGAACGGAGAGCGTTTGGTCTAGTCGAATCGGCCGTTCTGGTTGGCACACCGGCACCTTCAGATGCTGCTCCTTGGCGTGCAATGAGAAGCGTCGTTTCGGGGCGTCTCATCAATGTCTATTCCGAGAATGACTACATCTTAGCTTTCCTGTACAGAACCAGCAGTATCCAATATGGAGTAGCTGGGCTACAAGAGGTCCAAGACGTGAAGGGAATAGAGAATGTCAACGTGAGTGATATGGTGAGTGGACATCTTCGCCTACAATATCTTGCTGGGTCCATCTTGGAAAAGATTGGTTTCGAGGACATCGATAAGGGAGAAGTTGCCAGGGAAGAAGAGACATTGGCTTTGCTTGAGGAGCAAGATCGTAAAGAGGAAGAGGAGAAGAAGGGCGAAGCTATTGATCCTGATGAAGAGGCTGCAAAAATGGAGAAGGAGGTTGAGAAGAAATCGGAGAGAACCATGATGCAAAATTTCAAGGAGAAATTACATTTCAAATAAAGGAAGAAACAAGCAACCAAGTCAATAGTATAGAAAACAAGTACATGACTCCAACAATGTTGTTTCAACGGGTATCATTCGCTCTCCTGTGCCTTCCCACTCCTCACCACAAAATACTTTCCCCCAGGAGTCTCGATCTTTTCACTAGCCGTCCCAAGTACATCCCAGTCCTCCACACCCTCTGTATAAACTACCTCCCTTCGTCTCCTAGGCCTCCTATTCCGCCCTTTAATATCCTCCTTCCCCAGTGCATCTCGTAATTCTTCCAGCCCAATTGTAGCCTCTTCCCTGCCCTTCGTGGTTTCATCCCTGATACTCTGCAACGGCTCTACGCCTTCTGTATCCACATTCTGCATCTTCCTCACGAAATGCAATTGTAGATCGAGTGTTCCAAGCATCTCTTTCTCCTCCTGTGGGGACTTTGGCATAGGGAGTGCGGAAAGCCGCAGTAGGTGGTGTAGCTGTTCAGGCTTCACATCCAGGGCTCCAGCGTGCTTTGCTTCGTTTGATGGGATGAGTTCCTTGACGGACCAGGTGGGCTTCGAGAGGAGAGCTTCCACGTCGATTGGTTGTTTGGGGTCTTTGAGGTCTAGGGGCTCCTTGGGTGGTGCTAGGGAGGAATAGGCACGAGTTGATTGAGGGCCGTAACGTCGCAATGTTCGTTGGGAAGCTCGACAGCTCCTGCATATAAAAGCGGACATTGTTGTGAGAAGTATAGGGCCGAAGAATTGAGATTGAATCCGCGTTGAATACCGATAATAATGTACCTAGCTACAGGTAGCTGCAGCCTTGTACATTTCGCGCTAGTGAGCCTCTCTGACGAAGCTGGAACGATCTCAAGCCAGCCCAAACTCCACTTGTTCAGTTTACAATAATAACACCTGAGCATAACGCATCAAAGATAATACGTACTATCCACATCTACAAAAACCTCCAACCAGTACCATATTCGAATTTCAAACATGGCTCAAGATCCCCGGGCGCTTCTGCAAAAGGTATCAATCTACCCCTCCATCACACTCCAGATAAGCCAATATTGACAACACGAAAGGCACAGAAAGCCGAAGCTGGTGCGGGAGGAGGATTTAGTCTGTTCGGTGGACGACAAGAGAAATGGGAGGGCGCATCCGAGTTGTATAATCAAGCAGCAAACGCATTTCGGATGGCGAAGCAAAGTACACATTCCCTCCCCCATTCAACCCCTAGGCCTAACCATCTCTACAGACAAAGAAGCCGGGCAAGCATTCGAGAAGGCCGCAAATATCCAGACCACCAAATTGAACGAGCCAGATGATGCGGCAAACACGCTTACGGAGGCTTTCAAAGTATACCGAAAGACAGATCCCCTAGATGCAGCAAGATGCTTAGATGTCGCGATCAATCACTACACGTCAAAGGGGAATTTCAGGAGGGCGGCTACACACAAACAGAATTTGGCGGAGGTCTACGAGACTGAGATCGGGGACATGAAGAAGGCTATGGAGAGTTACGAACTTGCTGCAAGTTGGTTTGAGAGTGATAATGCTGAAGCGTACCTTTACTCTAATTTTCCGAGATTTGGACTAGACTAACGGAAATATAGATTGGCAAATAAACTCTTCCTTAAGGTGGCCGATCTAGCAGCTATGGAAGGTGACTATTACAAAGCTATAGAGCATTTTGACAAGGTCTCGGCATCTGCTGTCTCCAACAACCTTATGAAATGGTCAGTGAAAGATTACTTTCTGAAGGCAGGGTTGTGCCATCTTGCCGTTGGAGACCAAGTAGCCACGAATCGTGCTCTAGAAAAATACCGGGACATGGATCCAACGTTCCCAAGCACAAGGGAGCACCAGTTGCTCGTAGATCTATACGAATGTGTAGAGGCTGGGGACCAAGAAGCCTTCGCGGACAAGTTGTTCCAGTATGATCAGATGAGCAAGTTGGACAAATGGAAGACGACAATACTTCTGAGAATCAAGAATGCTATTGAAGAGAAGGGAGAAGACTTCTCCTGAGTGGGTGTGGATGATCGGGCGTTCAGGTTCATTGGGTTCAATGTGAACAACTTGGGAATATCTTTACTCAATATAGCATGGAATATGAACTCAACAACTGTGCTTTATTATGATCAAGGTTTTGGGATCCAAGATGTAGTGCAATATTTCGGGCTTGGACTCGAGCATATATACATCCGCTGATCCTTCCAACCGACGATGCGATACAATACCTCACAACAGAATCTTACATTTGCCAATAGCGTCAGTAACCCCGAGAATAAAAATGAATTTTCTTTTGAAACAGCGATGCCAATACAAGTGTACAGTTTTGATAGCTACGATCACGTGTCAATATTCTAGACCTTCAAGGTCTAGCTTGACCATTTGTAACTTAGTTACTTCCGTCTTTCACGATTTTGAAGTCACTGTACCTCTAGAGGAAAGAGAGCCGTTCCATTCCCCTACAAAATTTCACCCACCTACTTCTCCGGCCCAAAACATGGCACACTCACATTCTCATGAAAACGGAGGTTCTCACTCCCATGACAACCCCGCAGAAGACCATGGCCACACCCACGAGATCCTCGACGGACCGGGCAGCTATATGGGCCGCGAGATGCCCATCATCGAGGGAAGAAACTGGTCTGAACGTGCTTTTACTGTTGGAATTGGAGGGTAAGTACTGCACAATTAATATGTCTGCCCATCCATCCATGGTTCCGCATCTGCTCGACTACCCCTCCATATTTCAAGGCGGGCGGGGCCATACACGTGCCTCGTACTCGTACCCATGCCGAAGCCCCTATTTCTATTCCCCCTATTCCAGTCAGCCAATCAAGCGAAGTAAACAAAGATCTAGAAAAACTAATGGGATTCCTTTCGCAGACCCGTCGGCTCCGGAAAGACAGCTCTCATGCTCGCATTATGCCTAGCTCTACGAGAGAAATACTCCATAGCCGCCGTGACAAACGACATCTTCACGCGCGAAGACGCCGAGTTCCTCACCAAGAACCTCGCTCTTCCGGCGTCGCGCATCCGGGCCATTGAAACAGGCGGCTGTCCCCACGCCGCTGTGCGGGAAGATATCTCGGCCAACCTGGCCGCCCTGGAGGACCTGCACCGGGAGTTCACATCGGACATCTTGCTCATTGAGTCCGGCGGGGATAACCTGGCTGCAAATTACTCGCGCGAGTTGGCGGATTTTATCATCTATGTCATCGATGTTAGTGGTGGGGACAAGATCCCGAGGAAAGGCGGACCGGGGATTACGCAGAGTGATCTGTTGGTTGTGAACAAGACGGATTTGGCTGAAGCCGTGGGCGCAGATTTGGAGGTGATGGATCGGGATTCGAGGAAGATGAGAGAGGGTGGCCCGACCATCTTTGCGCAGGTCAAGAAAGGGAAGGGAGTCGATCATATTGTTGGTCTGATTGAGAGTGCGTGGAGAGGAAGTGGTGCGGGAGCGGTTAGTACGCAACGAGGAGGACCAAAGGGCACACCCGGCTTGGAGGAGCTGAAGTAGAGGTATGAGAAAATGAATATGGCAGATAATAGCTTTTTAATTAATACCGAACATGGTTAGATGGTCAAAGAAAAACTAAGTGTCTCGAGCCTATAAACTATACCTATTGTCTATCACAATATTACAAACTAAAAAGACCGGAAATTAACGACGTGAAAAGGAAGCCATAGCAAAGAAGCATCTGCTTCTCGGGTATTGACCACCGAGATGGCGTTTAATAAACCCCCAATGAATGGATAACATATCAATGAGGTACCGTGCCGAAAGATCCAGTGCTCAGTATACACCCACCTCATATAGCTCCATCTTCATCTTCATCTTCATCTTCATCTTCATCTGTCAGTCACAACAAACCTTGCGTCATACAACTACCGTTATTCTACAAAGCAATAAACCAACAAACGCTAGATATTTCCGTCAGTCTGAATTCTTCGACATACATCGTTACGAAATAAAACAAAACCCTTTGCAACTCAATTTGCTACACAGTAGATGAAATTCTTAGCTCGAAGCCGACGTATAAAAACTCTCTTTTCTTTCTTTCATAGCTTCTCTAAAGGTGTTTGATTTTCAGATTCAGAGAGAAATTTCATGGTTATGAAAGTGTACTGTAGGTGTTACTGTAGAACGGGAAGGGGGTACTGGGGTTTCGCGTGTTCGGCGGTCGTCTTTGGAACAGAACTTAACGACTTGATAAGAAGGATTGAAGAATTTCGAGGGATGGTTTTAGGAAGGATAATGAAGGGTACGATAAGTATGTACACTAAGAACGAATGATCCAATGCCCGTAAAGTTCCGACCTGCATTCTGTCTCCGTGTGTGCTTTCCCTCTCCCTCGGGACCTGCGACTACAATCTCAATTTCAACCTCTCAACCTCTCAACCTCAATTTTTGCAAGCCACATTCATCCTTAACTTTGCCATGTATTACTCACAGCAGCAGCCGTAGAACATGTTGCAGGAACAGTATAAGTATGGTTCGGATCAGCCTCCCAAGTGACAGTTCCGCCCGAAGCAACATTGATATATTTGTACTGAATCACCGTCCCTGCCGCAAGACTGACACTACCATGCCAAAGATGGTTCGAGGAAGTGTATTGATCAGCGGAAAGAGCAACGGCACTGGCGGTATCCCAACTTCCAAGGGCAGCCACGTTTCCTACAACCTTGATTGTCTGGCCAGTCACTGTGGTCACAATCTCGTCAAATGTGACAGCTACTGTGGCAGCAGCAGCGCAGCTTGTGGATGTGCTTTTAGATGATGTAGTTGTAGTAGTTCCAGATCCTGTACTGGTACTCGAAGACGATGTGGTTGTAGTAACTCCACCGCTTGGAGTCTGACTAGGAGGCCATGTGCCTGTTGGGGCTGTCGAATAAGTTCCGGAGGCGGAGGTAGAAGAACAAGTTGAAGGCACACTGGACGCGCTTGGCTCTCCCCATGAGTAGGGTACCACTCCCGCTCGGCGAGCTGCTGCCGTCAAGAAGGAAGCATATGACCATGTAAGATCGCGGGCTGAGAGTGGGGCCCCGGTTGATCGGGAGAACTGCTCAGCAAGAGATCCGTTAGATTGGGCATATGTAGCCACTGTGGGTAAATCCGTGGTCAGCGTTTATTTCTTCATGTAACCTCGAAACAGAGACAATAGTAGTAGAAGGGACGTAAAAGGAATGCGCTGTTCGATCACTTACCGATATTGACATATCCATCGGCGTAGCTTTTGGCCGCATTGTATAACGTTGTGTATGTTGAGGAGGTTGATGAATAGGTTCCAGCAGTCACAGAAGAGCTCAAGTCTTGGAAGAAGGCCAAAGACGTTGCAGTCACAGTGATAGACCCCTGCTTGTTCCAAGTATATAGGGCATCGTAAAGTTGCTCAGCTGCAGCCAAAGTGTTAAGATACCAGGGATTGCCACCTTGATAGCTGTCTTCTGCATATCGCCCTACAGAAACAGCTACGCCCTCGGCGATTCCCGAGTTGATGGTATAGATAGACCGGAATGAGTCAGTCACAACTTTATGATTGGCTAAAGCGCGATCTGAGCATCTAGACGGAAGTTAGCAGGCCGTATTACGTGGTCAGTAGTATAAAGGTTTACGGTTGGAATGTGCTTGCATCACAGCCAGCGGCTGGGTCAAATGTATGGATGGAGCCAAGCAAGGTATTGGCATCTTTACCGGTCCGGCCATTGTTTTCGTTGATATTTGCAAGTATGTATCCTTGAGAAGAACCCCAGAAACTCTGCAAGAAGCATAATATCTGTGGGGCTTGAGAGTCACAATAGGTACATGACTTTCCAAGTTGAGTCGCCAAAGCGCTACCCTCTACCAGAGCTCTGTGCTGTACGGCAATGGTGAAAAAGCTAGAGCCAGAAACCTCTTCCCAGAGGTCATATCCTGTGTTGTTCCTACAAGACTAATTAGAAGCAGAATTAGGAGATGAAAGCTACTCCATACCAGTATTGTGTAACATAACTGAGATCGTTCTGGATAATTGGCCAAACCAGCGAGGTGGCCGTGGACGTGTATCCGTTGTTGATTAGCCATTTGGAGTAGGCGATTAGAGCCGTGGCACGGAGAGCAGGTCCATCACGTTGAGGTCTTCCCCAGCTTCCCGTGAAGGCAGTTTCATCAACGTTGAACTTTGGCTCTGCCAGGCCCCCGCTTGAGAGATCACCGCTAGGGTTGGAAACCGTTTGGAGGTAGGCTTGAGCACTGATATAGTTCTCAATCTCAGTCTGCAGTGACGAGGAATAGCTGTTGATGAAGGTGTCCACAATACACTTGAAGGTGAGAGCGGAATCACGTGTCCATGTATAGAAGTCTTCGGATTGTCAGCAAGCTCTTGATCAAGAGTTGACTGAAATGAGAGGCGGGGGAGATGAGAGAGATGGCTCAAGTACAGTCTGGATTGTCTTGCGAGGGAGACGCAATTACGATGCCCGACTTGGCACCTGGAGCGCAAGCTCCATCGGCCCCGATGTTACATAGCAACTCGGATAGTGCAATAGGACTTTCGGTAGCAATGAATGAGTCGACAGAGCGTTTGAGGATCTCGGCGTCGCGCTCCTTGACTCTGCTTGGATCGGGTAGACCAAACACAGTCTGCAGGACTAAAGTGCCAGCTAGTACAAGAGGACTTAGGGAATACATGATGGGCTGGGTAACAAGAGCGAGAGAGGTAAGGTTGAAATTGAGGTTACTGAGGGAGGAGAAGAATGGAAGAGCCGCCATCTTGACTTTATATCAAGAGTTTCGCGGCTCACTTAGGAGATGCTTCTCAATCTGGCACACGTTGCCGTTGAGATTCTGGAGTATGGCCGAGATGGCCGTCGCTATTGCCTTGGCCACATGAAGCTGGCGGGGAGAGTGCTCGAGTATACAATCTTCGGTGCTTCTAGAGCTGCGATGACGTTAAACGAGTCCCGATCAAGAAGGCCCGCCACAAGCAACACAACGCATAAATCTACCTGCCGTACCGAGGACAGCACAGTTGCTATACGACTGCAAGGTACGACAAAATGATTGGTTGGGCAGAATACCTCAGTACCTACTCCGGAGTCCGAGTAAGGTACCTGGGGGGGTATGCTCACAATTCTATCGCATTCGGCAGTCAGTTCCGATTGAGGCGCAACAAGTCCTCCGCCTGTCTACATGCTACACAGGTATATGTGATATATGTGCAAGGCGCCGGGGGTGATTGGTGGGTTTAGAGCATCAAAGTAACACGGTAAAACGCTATTGTGGTATAGGTAAGAACAGGAACAGAATATCAGCTATACTCCGTCCCTAGGTAGGTAGATGCAAGATGTACAGGCCTTAGACTACCTAGATCTACCTTTCCATCAATCACCCATACGGAATAGTTACAGTACCCCGCAGAGTTCAGTCTACACTACTACGCTATGTCGGCGGGGTTCCCCTTCCCCACAACTAGGTAAACCCCCTATCGGTCCGTTCCCTAGGCCCTTGCACGAAGAAGTTATATCTAGACTGACTACTTTCAACTTTAATATATACCCTGGTTTGCCTCTACCCTGTCCCAAGGAACGGAAATGTTGGGGTCTACAGGAGCCGCGGCACTGTGTCAAAGAATTGGCATAAGTTCCCATGTGGCCAGCAGACATTAGGCGTTGGGGGCGGGGACAGTGATACACTTCTGCTTCTCTCAATCTTCAATGCAAGAAAAGCCACACCGAGGAACGACCGTTTACATCTCAAGAGACTCGGCTACGGGAACTGTCAGGAATTCTCTCCGTTTCTCGTCCCCCCTCTATACAGTAGCTTGCCATTTTTCATAGTATCGGCTTTGCAAAGAGACTCACTTATTTGATAAAAGATAGGTGCGAGTACAGTACAAGCAACCATTTAAAAAGCTATATATATGTTGCAGTCCGAGGGAAGTCTACATGAGCAATGAACACACACCTACACTACTTGCAAGCTACTGTATAGTCCAAGCCATACCAGCGGAACAAGCCGTCAACCACGGCAGACAATTTAACCAGACCATTAAAACTGGCCAGCTGCAGGTAGAGCAGATGCAGATATACAATCACGGTATCGGGCCTTCTGTCTGATGTACTGGAGGCATCACGGTTGAGCGCCGACCCTGTTTCAGAACGCATCCAACAATGAATCCAGCTAATATCTCTATATTGATATGAAAACCCCAAGTCATGCAAACATCCGCGTTGTATTCCCGTCATCGGCATTCGTTAAAAAAGTTATCCCCCCAATCCCAAATCCCCCGCAATATGGCCGTCGATGGCGTTGCCTGAGCCCGTGGGCAGTCAATTTCGATAGTATTTCCCCAAGCGATGATATGTAGGCAGGTAAAGGTTTATCGGCAGCGTCATGGACCAACGGTCTCAAGGCGGCTTGGAATTTTACGCCCTCAGTACACTCGTCCACTGAGCTCAAGTCTTGCGACGAGCTCAAGCTTCGTAAGGACCGATTACTCTGAGATCTGTCGATCGGATGATTGACATCATGATGTACCTGTGAAGGTTGATGGCTCCATAGGACGAACGAACTGCCGCAGAAATCAACCTCACAACCGGAGTTGGAAGGATCGCTGGACACAGATCTGTGGTTGTGGAAAAGAAGAGAAGAGGAAGAAGTTCGCGGGAAAGAAGGTTATCATTAAAATTTTGAAGGCGCGGCCGCTAGCGTTCTTTCTTTGTGCACCAGTCAAATTTGAACAGCTTACATAATCCTGACTAGACCACCACTCTGCCTTAATGCGTGGTGACTGCGACCGATTTCCGTCAAGTTACTTTCAACAGCCCTACCCTATCTTGCGCCTTCATAATCATCCGCCATGGCCGACGCAATCTCCATCGAGGAGACCAACAGGTTACGGGTGTCTCTGGGCATGAAGCCACTCCCCGTTCCCGGAGCCGGCCCCGTATTCAAGGAAGCCGCATCGCCTACCGATGAGGACGTGGGCAGTACTCTCGAAAGTCGACAAGCAGAAGGCTACGATAACTATCGCAAATTGCAGGAGGCAGAAGAGGCCAGGAGGAAGCGCGATGCCAAAACCGAGGCCATTAAAAAGGCAAGAGATGCCTCAAAACGATTTTCGAAACTGGAAGGCAAAGGTTTAGGAGACGACGAGGGGGAATTAGATGCGAAAAGCTGGCTGCTCAAGCAGAAGAAGCGGCAAAAGGAAATCGAGAAGGCCCGGAAGAGAGAACAAGAGTTGGCGGACGCCGAAAAGGCCGCCGAATATACTGCAAAGGACCTAGCAGGCGTCAAAGTCGGACATGAACTCGATACTTTCGAAGAGGGCGAGGATCAAGTCTTAACGCTGAAAGACACCACTATCGACCAGAATGAAGAAAGTGGCGATGAGCTCGAGAATATAGACCTACGTGAGAGGGAAAGGCTCAACGAGAAGTTGGAGCTCAAGAAAAAGAAGCCTGTTTATAATCCTAACGACACCGAGGATGGCGAACAGAGCATCTTGGCACATTACGATGAAGAAATCGACGGCAAGAAGGGCAAAAAGTTTACGCTTGATGGCCAAGGCAGCACAACAGAAGCCGTTCTTGAGACTGGTGCCACGAAGAAAGTGAAGCCCAAAGCCTTCAGCCTAGACATCTTCAGTCAGTTTAATCAATTCTCAGATTTTCGATCTATCCATTTACTAACGAGTGCTACAGAGGATGAACCAAAGTCCGACTATCTCGATATTTCCCAGATTAAGATCAAGAAGCCAAAGAAGAAAAAGGCCAAGTCTACACGTCAAAAGGCCGTGGACGAGGACGACGTCTTCCCAGCTGTCGAAGCCGCAGATGTACCCGAAGAGATTGGCAACGCTATGGATATTGACCAGCCACTTGCTAAGAAGCGAACCTTTCAGGATACGTCTTTCGTAGATGACGATGATCTTCAAGCCTCTCTTGCTGCTCAACGGAGAAATGCTCTTAAGAAACGCAAGAAGCTACGACCGGAAGAGCTCGTTCAACAAATGCAAGAAGAGGCATTAGCTACTGCAGATGTAGAGGCAGAGGATGGACCGGCTGGCTTAGTAATTGATGAGACGTCTGAGTTCGTTGCGAACCTCCAGAAACCAGTAGCTCCAGAGCCCAAGCAGAGATCGACATCTCGCACAATCGAAGGAGTCACGGCCATGGGAGCGGATTCGGATGAAGAGGGTGATGTCAACATGGACCGATCCTATGCAGATATTGAGGATGAGGACGATCTGGCTGCTCGACTCAACCGAGAGACTTCTACGTCTGAGGATATGACGGAGACAGGTTTGGAACGAGAGGCCACACTTGACAGAGGTTTGGGATCAACCTTGAAACTCTTGAAAGAAAGAGGCATTATCAAGACCGAGGAGTCTGGAGACCTCAATGCCATCTTCAGGTCGAAGCAGTTGTTTTTGGCCGAAAAGCAACGGCAAGAAGCAGAAGCGGAGAAGAAGGCTCGCTTGCAGAGAGAACGGGATCGTGCGACCGGGCGCCTGGACCGGATGTCTGCTCGAGAAAAGGAAGATTACGCCAGGTCTCAAAACAACTATCGTGATCAACAAGAATCACGTCAACTTGCTGAGCATTTTAACAAAGCATACAAACCGAATGTTGAGTTGAAGTACATTGATGAATATGGCCGGAGCATGAACCAAAAGGAAGCATTTAAGCACATGTCCCATCAATTTCACGGCAAAGGAAGCGGCAAACAGAAGACTGAGAAGATGCTCAAGAAGATCGAGGACGAGAAGCGAAGGGAAGCACAGAGTTCATTGGACGGCAGCATGGGTGGAATGAGTGGAGCGACGGCCCAACAACTCAAGAAACAGAGACAGGCAGGCGTCAGATTGGCATGATGGAGTCATGAGTTTGATATTAGTAAAAAGGTGCAACCTCCTTACACTGTACTTAGGCTTATTCATTGCTGACAAAACCGTGGGAAAGTGCACCGTGTCAAGCCCTCACTTGGGTGACCATGTGAGTTTACCTGTCAAGACTAACGGATTTAGGTTTGAGGCCAGATGTGATTCATAACTTTCCCTGAAGCGTTCATCTTACTCCTACCCTATAGAATGGTATTCTTCTACTCTCTGCGTATATCCAAAGTCGGAGCACACGCAAAAACATTTCTGGCGAGAAGCAAAGTCGCTAGTTCCCGCCAAGTTCCTACTATAGCAGGTCAAGTGAGCCTTGCGAGTCTCTATAACTGTCCGGGAGTTATAATGCCGAAAGCCTCTTCTATATATTTATGGGAATCTTTTGTCCTCTTGGAAATGGGGAAGTCCACTCAATCCTTTTGCTTTTATTTCCTTGGGTGAACGAAGCGCGGATAGGAGGCTACACCACACTTAGTATTCAAGAAGGCAATCACCGCATCTGGGGAGCTCAATACAATAACAGAGTCTCTAAATAATGTCCAAAGTATGTACGTGAGACAAACTAGAACACCTTTTAGATACTAAAAGAATGGATAACCTCTAATATAGTAGTAAACCTGTGAGCTTCAGCCCCCAACCTGACGGATATTAGTACTAACATAGCGGAGAAAGGCTCCGCAGACGTAGCGATTGTTAGACAGCACAGCCTTAGTCCTCCTTACGCTTGTCAAGTTACAGCTGCAAGTGCCTGAGTCTCTATAGAGGTCACAGTGAACGTCACGCAGTGAGTTTCGCAGCGACAAGTGGTGTGTTTATTTGTAGAAAGCAGCTGGAATTTATTAACGTGCTACTAAACATGGCACCACAACTGCAAATCGTAATGTGGAAAAAGAATCAGATTCTAGTATTTGGGACGCGATGCGATGTCTATGTGAAACGAGATGTCTTTTCTTTTACTCTCGAGCCATGGATGGTCGTGGTTGGTAATCAAGCAGGGGATTTCAAAGCTCACGACGTGGCATTACCACAAGATCAAACGAAGCGACTTGTGATCTTGATCAAATATTACGACTCTAGAAACCCTTTAAATACAGCGACAGTCAGCTCCCACATCCATCTATCTGGATTATCGCCAGGGTTTCTAGTCCAGACTGCTTCCTCGTTCTAATATCTACCGATCTTAAGCCCTCTCCTCACTAATGCATGACTACTGCCACATGATCGTCCATATATTGACCGATGTCGCCCAGGAAGCACGCTGCCAGTATACCGACTGCTCCGAACGCAATGCTAGCGAAATAAACATATTTGTACGATGCAGCGAATGCCTCCTGGCCGGCCAAGACAACCATTTCATACGCCGTATCGTTGCCTTCGATGCCCGGGATCGTTTTCAGGAGTGGAAGCAGAGCGCCTAATGTAATAGATTAGGATTAGCATCAACTAGTTATATAGCAGAATCAGAAGAAATATTTTCGACATCCGCAGTAACATACCTGCTGTATATTCTATTGCAGCTCCGATATATGTCGTGTTCACAATGCCGAGCTCTAACTCCATGACCCCCCTATCATCTTCGTAGCGTTGGGAATAAACTTGTTCAGGAAGACATTGTAATACACACAGTATCCGACCGAGCCGCCAATAACACGGATCGAAAGAGTCAATGCTGTGACGGTAGCAATAAGATCATCTGGGCATATAATTGTTGTAATGATAGACGCGGGTACCACAATGCCCCCGATTCCAAGACCTAGTAATCAACCTCTTGGTCAGTATTGCCTAATATAGTAGATCTTGGGAGTTGATAATTGTTCCATATGTTTTCAAAAAAACATTAATGGAGTCTTCTGAGATGCCCGAAGTAGGAAAACATCCTTCCAAAGCTGACGTGGAAACTTACCTGCTAATACAAGAATTCCCCAAAGCTGATGCAAGTTAGTTCGGTCGGCGCAAGAGAGTGCGCCACAACCTTCAAGGAGAATCAGCTTGCAATCAAAAATCAAAAACGAAGTGCACGAGGAGAATAATTACCAGCCGTCATGAGAATAGAGGATATAATCATCAATTCTTTATTTCTTCCCCTGAATACCGATAGACACCAAAGAATGATCACTGCTCCTGCAAGGATGGAAAACCCTACAGGGAGTCCACGAAGTCCAACGCCGACGGGATCATGACCATAGACGTCTATCCCAAGTAAGCAACCGCACGAATGGGTTACATGGGATATCACTCACTGAAAGCTTGTGTTGGCCAAAACATGATAATCGAGAAGAAGTTAGCTCCTGATATAAAAGTTATGACTAAAGTGAGAGCTAATATTCGCGGGGCCTGCTTGAGACGAGAGGGGAACATTGGATGCTTTGCCCTATAACGTCAAGATCTCCGAGTTAGTATTATCCTAACATAGTAGATTTTAGGAGTAGAAAATTGTTCTACGGAGGTTGAGACAATCTTTCATGAATAGTCGACTCTCATGACATATCTGGAGAGTGAACCGCGCTCTGAGGCGTCCGAAATAGAGTCTCTTTCACGAAAAAGGCGACTTACCCATAAGCTTCCCACAGGCCGAACGCTACAAGTAGAGCCGCTCCAAGAAGTAGAGGTGCCAGAACGTGGGCCGAGCTCCACTTATACTAAAGAAGACAATCATCAGTAAAGGGCGGGGAGACCGAGATAATGAAGACTAACTTGATATCCGCCCCATTGCATCCCGGCCATGAAGAGAATCATGCCCGAGATACTGAGGAAGCCTCCGACGAAGTCTATCTGTGCTACAACCTGCTTGCGGGTGAGTCCAGTTGAGTTGACTCGAGGTGGTGGGAAGTAGAAAATGAGGGTGAGCAAGGATCCAACAAATGCCCTGTCCAACGAATTAGTATGTACTCTGCTGGAGTTTTACTCGGAAGAGATAACCGGGCTCTTGAGACATGCCAGAACTCGCAGTCCACGGGCATAATTCGACTTACCATAGTCCACAAAGCAGTCCACACCAGCGCCATCCGGCGTGTGCTGCAATCAACTGGCCCCAAAGAACGCTTGGACAGAAAGGGAGAATGGTGAAGATAAGCACAGCAACATATTTGCCACGTTTCGAAGTGGGAGCCAACTCTGATGTTGCTGCAAGTGCTGTGACTATTTGGAAATCAGTATGGCACTTCTAGGAATGTTGACAATCACGAACGCTCAGATATTCCAGCTCCAATGCCTGCCAGAGCCATTCCACCTATTTGGACGGTTAGTGAGAACTGACAGGTGTTTCCTTGGTAATTCCTACCAATGAAAACATTCATAACTTTTGCAGTGGAGCAAACCACCATTCCTAACATAATGAAACATCCACCCATCAGTGCAACGTATCGACGCCTTGTACTCAAGTTAGCTACACAATATCATTGCGAGGTAATAACTCACCCCAGCAGATCACTGAGGGATCCAACAAAAGGGCAAACCGCAGCCAGTGAGAGCAGGTTAGCCAGGACCAGCCAAATCCAACGGTCAGCTCCGCCAATATCGGAATAGATATATGGGGGGATACCCCCTATTACGAGTGCGTGAGCATTTTTGATAGGCCATCAGGGACTTTGAACTTACCAAATATATAGACGGGGATTTGGGAACCAGTCCAAAGAAAAGCCATGGCTATCAAGGACATAAGCCGTTTGAAGGACATCTAGACTTCTTAGCAAAGCGCTTTCATTGAAACAGCGGATTCTTACAGGTGGCTCATGGTCTGTCTGCAGTTAGCATCGCGTTTCTTGAAAAGGCACCCGCACCCGAGACATATTAGAGAGATATCTAGAGAAGGGTCTAGAGAGAAGAAGAAAGGATAAGGTGCTCACCATGGTCTTCACCGTCGCCATACGTTCTGAGACCATTCTTCTCATAGTAGTTATTATGCCCTGGAACTTGGTCATGGGTGACAATTTTCTCCACCTCCCCTGCTTGTTGTTTATCACCAGCCGAGCTATTGCTGGCTGGAGGTGGTGTTGAGCTGGCACTCATCGCTGAGAGCTTGATTTAAGTTTGCAAAATACAAGACAAAGCGGTTGAGTTACACAATTGAAGAGATGGGAAAGCAATGGACGGCGTGTGAGAATGCAGTTCGCCTTTATTATCAACGATAGCAAATATAGAGACCCGGGAACCCCTCACTCGAAGAGAATATGACCGCGGCTGGCGTTCATGAAACTACTTCCCTGGCTGTGGACTCCCATTCCCCGCAGACATGGTGTTTTGGCGCTTGCAATACGCTGCAAGAAATCATGGCCGGTGACACTATATTCAATTCAGAGCAAAATCCGTGCCTCTATGGACCACAACAGACTTTCATTGGACATGCATTAGGCTGCCCGATGGAAGGAAGGAGGGGAGGGGCCGCAAGACCCACCAGAAGGGATGAGTGTGAGTTCTAGGATCACAACCTTGGTTCCATTATGCGATTCTAGCCAATAGAAGCAATGCAATGGGCGATCGAAAGCTCACGCAGCATCGGAATCATTCCGTATTGTACTGCACTTCACTGCATGGCAATGAAAAGTGCAGCCGCAGCGTGGTATTTTGTGTTCCAAATTGTATGTTGAAAGCAGCAGCTTGTGTTGTATGTGTTTCAGGTTTGGGAGAAGCGGTGAGATGGGACGAAATGAAAGGTAAAGAAGAAGCTGGAATCCTGCCGTACATTGCAAAGTTAACAGGGACAGGGCTGGGCTCCCCTCGCGTCAACCCCACAGAACTACTTGTACTGTACAGGCATACTTATACCGTACCCCGCAAAATGGGGATCCACTCCACTCCTTCCCCGCCACTGGACAACAACAACAATACCCTACTGTACTCCGCGAGTCCATCTGGCCCGCCATGTCTGCTGCAGTCATCTGCTGAATCTGCGAGCCATATTTCTATTTTAAAACTCCGCAAACAGCCCTCGGTCAGGTTCGTTGTTCATTACTAGATACACACTAGATGCAGTTGGTGAGATGTAGGGCGCCGCATAATTTGTTCCTTGCGTGTTTGTAGCCTCAACAGTCGTCGCTGGAGGGCACTCAAAAAGTATCGTAGCAGCTTGTTTAAATTCGCCACTCGGCTTTAGTTGATTGATCCTGAATGAATTCCATTCGCCAGAAGACAGTGCTTGATAATGCCCGGGATTAATCAAGACTAAAAATTGCAACTACGTAGGGTTGGATGTAGTTTATAAGCCATGCTTGACTTTCCCGGTAATTGTTACCGACGATATGTAGATGCGTCCTCGTTCTCGTGCTCAAAATTTCGGGATTTCCCTAACAAACTTTTCCAAAGTTGTTGAGCGCGCTGGAGACTTGCAAAGCGATTTGACTTGGTATTCGAGTCTCATGGTAGGTACGATCGATTTGCGAAGGGGACTCTTTAGACTCCAGAACTTTTCCATACAATGCGAGCTTGGATACGGATCCTCCAACGCCTTACAAATACCATTTTTAAAAGCCCGTGACGCCCGCTTTGTATGCTCTCATCTCCTCATTCCCTCCTCCAACCTACTCTCTAGAGTAGCTTTAATTTCCCAGTGACTTTATCAATGAGGCTCTTTGGCGCAGGCCCAATCCCTAACACAGTATGGCTGCCACTGGCAATCTGCGTCCTACCGGCATCCGCAATAACCTCAGCAACCAAGCCCATACTGATGGCCGTGGCTTGCAATACGTCTAACTCTTCTTCGCTCTTAACTTGAAGAGCGACTTTTGCTTGGCCTTGTGTTTCCCAACGGCGGAGGAGTGGTGATTTTGGGGTATTCTTGAGGAAGTTCTTGTAGCAGGCAAGTGTAGCGTGCGAACACTGGGCTGCAATTTTGCCTAAAAGAAGGTTAGCTAGTTTAAATGTGGACAACTGAGATACAAGAACTTGCCTTTCGACATTCCTAGATCCGTCCGTACGATTAGAACGAGCTTGCATTCTTCGTTACTGTCTTCTTCCAACAATGCCTGTTGCTTCCGTGCTGCATTGAGTGAGGGAGCTCGGAGGCCATCCCTCTTGTCTGCATCGAGCCCGTTGGACCAATTGGGGGCATGGTCGAGTATGGACTCGTCGATATCCTCTTCTTCGCTTTCTTCCTCGTCGTCGTAGTTGGAAATGCCGCGGGTAGGGGCCGTTTTAGTCGCGAATGGTATGGGCAAGAAGCCGAGAGACGATGCGATTCCGATCATGTACCCGCTGATTCCTGCGATAATGGCAGTGCCTATGAGCATTGCCACAGGGGTTGGCGGTGTACGATCTGCCATACTGACTGTGGCGGTGTGGTAAGGCTTTTGGGATGTGTGAGGTGCGAAGATATTCTGATAGACTGCAGAGTATTGTTCCTATAGAGCAGAGGTCGCGCGTCTTCAAAGCAATGGGAATTCGCGGGTTCACGGGGCAGGCCAGTCCCTGTCAGCCAATTTATTTTTTCTTCCAGGGTTTCGTCGACGTCACAGGGGCTCGCTACAGTACTACTCTACTCTACTTCTACTGCTACTGAATCCCGATCCAGCAAACTCTGCCCCTTCTAGACGAGACGAGACGAAACAAAATCTACTTATACTTATATTTATTTACCTTACCTGCGCTCTACCATCACGGGTTTGCCCAAGTGGAATATAATTGGCTGAAAACCATGCATGAGCGTGGCAACTTTAGACGAGATACAGTAGATACAACAAGAGAAATGTATGAATTTTGTAACCCTGGCTTCTATCAACCAAACGCCGTCCAATGTACTATCATCCGATCCCACCTACGAGTCCTTTCTGCTGATTATACTACAAGTCCATGTGTGGGTTCCTCATCTCGCTCCGTATGTCCCCCAAAAGCGCCGTATACTCTCAAAGGAACTGCTATTTCAAAGCTCTCACAATCCAGCACCTCTGCCGACGCCAGCACAACCCCTCTGTCATCTCTCGAAACTTCTTCTAAGAGATCTTCTTTTGCCGGCATGAGCTCACTGTCTCCAAGAGCAAGCCGTGGCGTAACAAATTCCATGCGTATTCGCCATTCAAGACCAACTCCACTTGTAATAAACTCTGGAGTGGCTGAAGGCGGTATCGCTGGAGAAAAAAAAATCCTTCTCGCAAACAAAGTGGATTCTGAATGGGAAACGTAGATTTTGCGCGTCACGCGAAGGATGCTGGCATCTGATCGCAACGCAAGCGACGAGTCAACCTTCTCGGACGTTTCCAAAGTCATATGTACCGCATAACATGGTATCTCCGCGTCTGTGAAGTCAACAGCAGCAGTAATCGTCTCGCCCAGACGATATGCGGGTCTGGCCAGCATGACGACAGCAACTCGCTTTCCACTACGTGCAATCTCGAATCTATTCGCGCTTTGCTGTGACTCAGTCGCAGTGTTGCTGCGGAGAATCGCCATGTCAATAGCATCTTTTGCTGTTGCTGGTTCTTCCACTGATGACTGGCGACGGGTTCTCGGTGCGTCTGTTGGAGACAGCAAACCATGGCCGGAATTTTGCCGTGGACCTTCCAGTAGCTCATCAACATATGACAAAAAGTCATTGAGCGTAGACTCGTTTACTTTCGATGCCGTTTTTATTTTTAATGCTCTCGGCGTTTCGACACCTGGGCCGAGTGATCGCTGAATGACTCTCACTCGGGCCTGGTCGCGAAGAATAATGTATGGCGACATTAGGTCGTGGCCAAGAAGTTCGCCATGGCTGTTCACACTTCCCAAAACACGGAAAGGTACCTCCACCGATTTCACCTGCTGTTCCTTGGCACCACCCGGCCTTTGTGTGCCTATAACTAGTCTATAAGAGATTTTAATCGTTTTGCCGCGGTGGCTTGGAGGTAAGCCGCGGGGTAGCTTGAAGGCGTATTTGTAACTCTGGCTTTCCCCGGGAGCAAGTCTAAGATCGACGAAGAGAATTGATTGAGGGGTAGACAGAAGTGGTATGGATCGAGAACTAGCGATGCCTCGCATATCTTTGATACTGCTCAGCTCGCCGCCTCCCAAGAGACCACCAAGCGACTCCCCAATATTGCCCCATCCAAAGCCTCGGAGAAGACCACTGTCTCTCTTGTGCTTCTCAAGGCCAATCACACCACCGCCTTGGCCTCCTACTGCTCCTTTTCGTTTGACTTCTTCAAATGGAGCCTGGCTAATCAAAGAGCCATCTATGGTGAAAGATCCATGAATTTGAGCGTACCCCATCATGAGAGTCTCTGGCGGACGATGATGGTTCACGGGTACTAAATTCGAGGGCCTCCTTGTGTGGCCACCGTATGTGGGTACTCGCCCATTCTGTTGAGGTAGATATTCCGATGCAAGAGTCTCGGTGGAGTTATTGCTTAAAGAATAAAATTCGCCACTGCTCCGAGGTGTTCCTAAAATACTAGCTGGCGAGAGGACCCTAGCAGTTGGGCCAGCTTGCTCTGGTATTATAGAAATTGAATCCTTTGTTCGCGGAGAAAGAAGATGGGCGTTTGCTTGGAAATTATGAGTCCCTTCGTCTCCATTATAATTATCCCCCGCCCTAGAATCTACAGAAGGGGACGTAACAGACGGAAATTTGAAGCCTTGTGGAAGTGATGCCGAACCGTGCCGTCTTGAAGACGCAGGTCTTGTGATAGCTGGAGTACTTGGTGCAGTCGCTGCACCGGACTGTCTCCGGGATGGGTGCTCTGGTAAAGTATGTTCCCTTCCAAGAGGAGAGAAGGAGGAGACGAGAAGGGGTGAAGGCTGTGTAGAGGATCGTTGATTGAGAGGGGCTAGTCATCATGATAATTAGCTATAATACTGAATAGTTGAGTATTGAACATACCAGACACAGGACCTCCGTTTACACCATGTCTCCGGGGAACGATCTGGAGACTGGCAGACCGTCCGTGGCTTTTGTTTAATCGAGGTCTTTCTCCCTTGCCCGCATGGCCAGAAACATCACCAACAACCCCATTCTCAGAAGCACTAATTGAGATGATAGAGACCGAGCGCTTGTGAGCACTTCCCTCTCTGCCTTTCATAGGAGCTCCATTCCATGAGTCTGACGCGCCTTGTGATCGCACGGTGTTTACAGGGACGTTCAATGACATCGTAGTCCGATGGCCTCTGCTTGGCTGTGCTGGCCGAGAGCTTGAACTCAATACAGATCCATTCTTAACCTGCGAGACGGGGCTCTTCCTCTGTCTCTCTCCCCCGGGCGCGGGTCCATTGACAGAAGGGGGGTGCAAAGTCGCTGCCCGGGACGGGGTAGGTGTCGGTGCGATATTCTTGAAGGTAACCTGGCATTCGATATCCTCGCCAGCAAAGACCGTTTGTTCAGTCCACTGCACGAAGACGCGGATGTTGGTCAATGGTGTCGACATATCGTTGACTTAGGGACTAAAAGTAGAAGTAGAGCTCCGGCTCCAGCTCCTCCATGGGCTCGAAGGAGAATTGTGCTGCTAGTCATTGGTGCAGCAGAGGTAAAGGTAAAGCAAGAGGACACGGGACTGCCAGCATGATGAAGTGCCCGCTTTTTTCAGTAGAGAGAGGAGACGACCGTCAAAAGGAGGTTATTCGCGCGGTCCCGTCGTATGGATACGGTACGGTACCTGAGCTGTATCTAATGTAACCTGACTATTGAGGCCACCAACAGAATTAGGTAAGGTTGGGTACCTAGGTACCTGCCTAGGTTTCCATTGGCTCCCACGCCAACGCCAATCTCAACAAGGAAGTATTGTAAACAATTGGAAAGCCCGATCCGATCATTATCATCATAGGTACATTACGACAGACCATACCTGTAACTTTGGCTTCACCTCAACGCCGCACACATTCTTTCCTCATTGGTACCTGCGATCAATCCCATCTTGTCACGTACAGTATAGCACAGCACTTGTCTTTTGTCAAAGACCGTCAAAGTTAGACCTACAGATACGGTAGATGAGAAGCATGTTCCCAAGTATTGCCATTGCCATTGCCCTGCTAACACATTGGAATGTAGAGAGCCCTTTTCGGACTGACTGAAACTTTGATATCGGCCAATACCTACATCTATCAAAGCACGATGGCTTCCTTCATTACCACCGTGTTAGTTCCCATCCCCCTCCCCCACTACCCCTCCTCTCTTCATGGCTTCTGCTTTGCTCAAATACTTGAGCCCCCGCGCTTCAGTCCTGCCGCCAGTGTGTACCCTTCCGCACTCTATCTCTTGTGCGACTATTTCTGTCAAAGAAGACTATGACGAGGATGACCCTTTTATCCAAGCCCCGGAAGCAGAATATGTGTCACCGTACTCACAAAATGGAATTGATAGCAACCAGCGCACGCGCAACCAGTTCAGACCTCGAAATGCCACCAAGGGCACCTCGAGCTATCAATTGCGACAGTATGCGGAGGCTACCCTTGGAGGGGGCAGTTTGAAGAAGATTGTCAAGCTACCTGAGGGTGAAGACGAGAATGAATGGTTGGCAGTCAATAGTAATTATACGAGACTGTGTTGGGATAGCGGACGCTCACGAAGACTTAGTGGTGGATTTCTACAACCACATCAACCTTCTCTACGGATCGATCACCGAATTTTGCTCTCCACAATCGTGCCCTGAGATGAAGGCAACCGATGAGTACGGTCTTGACTCTGGAGACAAGAGTGTATGGCTAACATAACTTAGATTTGAGTACCTGTGGCAGGATTCCGAGAACTACAAACGACCAACGAAGATGCCGGCACCCACTTATATCGAACATCTGATGGGCTGGGTTCAAAGCAACATCGATAATGAAGCTGTTTTCCCCAGTAGAATTGGTATGTTGATGCAATAATTGGCCATTGTATGGTGCTGAGATAATCCAGGCGTGCCGTTCCCCAAATCCTTCCCGAGCATGATCAGACAAGTATTCAAGCGGATGTATCGTGTCTATGCCCACATCTACTGCCATCACTACCCGGTGATTCGTGAACTGGGTCTCGAGGCTCATCTCAACACCAGTTTCAAGCATTACGTCCTTTTCATTGATGAACATGGTCTCGCCAGCGGGAAAGATTTCTGGGGGCCTCTAGGAGATCTTGTTGAAAGTATGCTCAAGAGCGACTAGCCTCTGGCACTTGTGAATGAATTAATGAGGAAGGTTTTAGCATTTCGAACGGCGTTGGGGTCATAATCGGAGTATTTCGGTGCGGGTCTTTCGCTATTATTGGTACAGAGCCACTGAAAGCAATGGCAGCATATTTGTTAGAAACAACCTATGCAATGAATACCTACTTTGACATGCTTTCCAGACCGAATCTTGAATGTGAAGAAGATTGCATGTATGCACTGCTCTGTGAAGCAGAGCCACAATTTCGATCAAATGATCAATCGAGATGCGCAGTTAGATGTCAAGATAATGACCAATGCAGAGAAAGAACAAAATATTAGGCGCTATTTATCGTTGTAAACATGATGGCAATATTATCATACCTAAGGGTGTCGGAGGAATTAACAGACCACGTGACTCTAGTTAGCTCGACAAAAGAGCTTGCCGGCGGCATCGATTTGAACCTCTTTTACAGCTCCTACTCGTACTCCTGCTCCTGCATTTCCCCCACCGCAACCCAATTGATCAGCCTCACGATGTTCTCCGGTCGCACTCTCCTCCGCGCCTCCCGGGCATCTTCGTCTTCAGCTCAGCGCCTCATTTCTCCCCGAGCTGCTCTGGCCCCTTCGCAGATCCGGAACTACGCAGCTCCCGCTTCTATCGATGCAAAACCCCCAGTCGCGGTCTACGGTCTAGACGGCACGTATGCTACTGCCTTGGTATGTCAATTGCCTCTTTGCTACCAGAAATTGAGGATAGCACCGCTCAATTGAGGCCCATCAACTAGAGAGGGGGGTTGTTGGGAATGACAGCTAACGATGCATTCGCAGTACACGGCAGCCGTGAAGACCTCCTCCCTGGACACCACCGCCAAAGCTCTCTCCGCCCTTAACGACGTCTACGTTAAAGATGCCAAACTCGCCAGTATCATGATGGCACCCACGCTTTCCTCGGAAGACAAGTCGGCTATCGTGTCAGAGCTGCAGAAGCACACCGGGGGCGCGGACAAGGCGGATACCGTCAAGAACTTCCTCGACACCCTTGCGGCCAACAACAGACTGGGCTTATTGAAGGGCGTTTGCGAGAAGTTTGGAGAGCTGATGGGTGCCGCTAGAGGAGAGGTTGAGATGACTGTCACAAGTGCCTCGGTAAGGGTTTTGTCTTTACCACGCTCGAGTGCTGCGCTTTTATATGAGGTGGAAGTATGCTGATGAGGTTATGCAATTTAGCCATTGGACAACAAGACTCTCTCACGTCTTGAGGCCGCAGTCGCAAAGTCGGAATACGTTGGCCAGGGCAAGAAGTTGAAGGTTACGAACAAGGTACATTTTTCCATGATCTCAATCCTATGAACAACACAGCTAAGCCAAATCCAGGTCAACTCCGATATTTTGGGTGGTCTCGTCGTCGAAATTGGTGACCGGACAATCGACCTAAGTGTCTCAGCGAAGATTTCCAAGATGAACAAGCTGCTTACCGATACCTTGTAAAACACCCCTTTCATTTTTTGCTAGGGAATGCGTGGTGGAGGAAGAGAGACCAGTGGAGGTTGTGGTGATATGTACATGATCGAACAATACAATTAGAGCTATTTCTTCTGTCCTAATCGGGAATTCGAATTAGAAGGGCAGCTCGGCTGGCTACATATGCAAACCCAAGTAAGTACTGTGAGTCGAGTCGTTCATGGTGCATTTCGTTGGCCATTGGAGGTTTGTAGAAAGTCCCAGTATCTTCAGCTGCATGTGAGCCACCAGTTACCCTCCTCCTAAGTCCCTTGCCACCAGCTTTTACTGTTCATTGAAGTCCGCATACCTGTTCGTGTCAGCTCCCTTAAGTCGCTGCTTCTCAAGCTGTCGAACTGAAATCCATTGTCCAGATTGGCTATAGCAATATGTTGCAGGTAATCCATTTTATAAATACACGATCAAAATGCTGCTTCAGTTTACCATACATTCTTATATCAAGTCGAAGAATCCTTAGTACTAGCAGTTTTCAAGTCAGATCATTTCAAAAATGTAACTGGCACGGCTAGCCATGTTGGTTGGCAATGGTTCAAATTCTATTCTATTTTTGGTCTATCATCCCATACTGAGCAAGTCTAGCCTTTTCCTCTTTATTTCTATCGTCGTAGAACCATGTTCGTCTATGTAGCAAAAGCCCACGGCTGGTTCTATCTATTTCCTCCTAGTCGAGTCCAGCAAAAGCACACCCCCAATCATAAACTACGCAGCTCGTCCGTCAACCCGTTTGTCACTCACTGTTCGTCCAACTGTGCCTCGAACTCATCACCTTTATCGAAATCTATACTTTGGTTGCTTCGCACCCGTGACAATTGCTCGCTAACATAATGGGCCGTATGTGCATCAGCCTCTTGTCGTTCTTTCACCCTTTCTTCGTTATCTGTATCAACTGATTTTACATCCTCCTCTCCATTGAACGAAGCGTCAAAGTCGCTTCTTTGCCCCATGGAACGATTCGTTGATGAGCGCCGCATCTTCGGCTTCTCTGGCTTTGTGCTTTGACCGACATGTCTTGTGAAGACATCGTCAAAGTAGTGGTTCATGCCTGTTGACGGGGTGCGCGGAGTTTGAGGGAGCCGGCAGCTGAGTCTGTTTTGGTATGTCAGTATTCGTGTGTCAGCAGTTGGAAAGATAAAATACCCAGTATCATGAATCATTCTTGCGATTAGCCCGGTCCAGCCACATTGGTGCGTAGCCCCGAGACCCCGGCCAGAATCGCCGTCAAAGAACTCGTGGAACCAAAGGTTATCTTTCCAGTTTGGATCGAAATCCAACAGGTCGTTTCCATCATTGATAGCACGACGTCCATCGTCACCGCGGGCGAAAAGATGCTGAAGTCGATGCTGGATCTCTTCCGACACGTGTCCCAAGTGCATCAAATCCCCTGATCCTGTTGGACATTCTACCTTCAGTGAAGGGCCATAGAACATGTAGAAGCGCTGAAGAGACTCGACAAGTAGAAAGTTAACGCATAGCCAGATCGGACCCCGCCAGTTGCTGTTACCTCCGAAGAGACCGCTGTCGGAGTCACCTGGCACATAGCCAACCTTGAACTCTTGCCCGTTGACGTCCATGGCATATGGATGCTCCTTGTGGTACTTGGACAACGACCGAATTCCATGTTCACTCAGAAATTCATCCTCGTCGAGCATGCGCTTCAGGATCTTCTCCAGACGGTCCTTACTGACAAGGGATAGGAGAATTCGATTGTCTTTTCCTCTCTTCCTAATACTAGCCATATTACGCTCTGCCATGTCATGTCGATTTTCAACGAACCATTCAAGTCGCTTCTTGAACGCTGGAAGCTTGTTTATGAGCTCAGGTTCGAGAGTCAAGGTGGCGTAGAGTGGAATCAATCCCACTAGTGACCTGACGGGAAGTTGTTGAGTCCAAGGCCCACCGTACGAAATAGCATCATAGTAAAACCCATCTTTCTCATTCCACAACGATTTCTCCACTGTCGATCCGTCTTTGTAAGTCATGGCATCACTGATGAGCATAAAGTGCTCGAAGAACTTGGATGCAATGTCTTCGTAGATCCGGCGGTGCTTGGCTAGCTCCAAAGCGATGTTCAGCATGCACAGACAATAAAATGCCATCCATCCTGTACTATCGGCTTGTTCAAGAACACCTCCGGTGGGCAGGGGTTCGGAACGGTTGAATAAGCCAATGTTGTCCAGGCCAAGGAAACCACCTTCGAAGACATTTTTCCCGTCAAAGTCCTTTCGATTGACCCACCAGGTGAAATTCAGGAGCAGCTTCTGGAAGACCCGCTCTAGGAAATCCAAATCCTGGCGGCCATACATCTTTCTCTCGATCTTGAATGTTCGAAATGTAGCCCATGCGTGGACGGGTGGGTTGACATCTCCAAAATTCCACTCGTAGGCTGGCAGTTGACCATTTGGGTGCATATACCACTCTCTGGTGAACAAGTCAAGCTGCTTTTTGGCAAATTCTGGGTCAATCATAGCCAAAGGTATACAATGAAAAGCAGAATCCCACGCCGCAAAGAATGGGTATTCCCATGAGTCTGGCATGGAAAGAATATCATCCAAATGCATATGCTTCCAGTGGGTGTTTCTCACAGCCTTACGCTCTGGTGGAGGGGCAGGTTGGGCAGGGTCGCCATTCGCCCATTGGTCCCAAATGAAGTGATAGTACTGTTTCGTCCACATCATACCAGCGAAAGCCTGTCGTTGAATATTCCGAAGATCCTCAGCCATTGGCAGGGGGCTGATACGATAATAGAACTCATCGGCCTCGTCTTTACGCTTGTCGATAATGTTGTCAAACAATTCCTCGTCCATGTACTCTTCATACCTCTTCGAAAATCGGAATCTGACTACCGCACACTCACCTGGAGCGACTCCACCACCTTCGTTGAACGCGAACCAGGCAGCTGACTTTGTGCCGGTTCGTTTAGGATTGATGGCCTTTTTTTCTCGACCCACAATGTGACGGTGGAAAGCATCCTTCACATATGGTTGTTCATTTTCTCCATCGTACAGGGTCTTGAAATTGGTATCATTCTCTGTGAAGATGAGCTCGGGCTGAACATCTTGACCGCTTGGGCCGACTCCTGGAGAAGGAGAAATCTGAAAGTATCGGTCTCCAAGCGAATGGTGCTTGCTATGCGCAACATTCTCACTGATCTGGTGTATACTGGGCTTCTTATCTTCCGACTCGTGACCCCAGGCCCAAGTATTTCTGAACCACACATGGGGTATGATGTGTAGTGGCGCTGGCTCTGGGCCACGATTCCATGCGGTGACTCGGAAAAGGAGCTCCTCGGGATCATCGGTCTCCTTCGCGGTTTCAATGACAATATCCCAGTATTTATCGTTGTCAAAAATGCCCGTGTCGATAAGCTGGTACTCGCGGTCTTCTTTGCCTCTTTTCGCATTCTCAGCAACAAGGTCTTCATAAGGGAATTTTCTTTGGGGATATTTGTAGAGGAGTTTCATGTATGAATGCTACGAGAATGATATATTAGCAAAGAGAGGCGGAGACGGACGCAGGGTAACAAACCGTGGGAGTATTGTCGACATGGAAGTGTGCCTCCTTGATGCTCTCTCCGTGGTTACCTTGCGGATTCGAGAGACCAAACAAACGTTCTTTGAGGAAATCACTAGCCACTGGTCAGTAATTTGTCTCATCTATCACCCCGCAATATCTCACTCTTCTTCGTTCCAGAAAGCAAATGCAATATTCTGCAGACCGTGGGAGTCGGAGACACCAGCAATGCCGTCCTCCCCCCACCTGAAAGCTCTCGACCTTGCGTGGTCGTGGGTGAAATCTAGGCTGCTGTTAGGACTCCAGCTCTGCCAATTGGTGAAAGGTGACCGAATACTCACGGCTCCAAGCATCACCGTCGGCGCTGTAATCTTCTCGTACTATGTGAGATTGTCATCAGCTTCAGGCTCTACCTCAATTGGCAGCGGGGGATAATGTACCGGTCGCCCATTGCCGCTCAGCAACGTAGGGGCCCCACTTCTTCCAGTACTTTTCGCGCAGACGATCGGTCCTCAGACGCTTTTCCTCCTCGCACAGATACTCGTGGTCTTCTATCTTGACCATGTTGGTGTTTACGTGTGTATATGGAGATGGGGACGGGGAAGGGGAAGGGAATAGGGATGGGGATGGGGATGGGAGCAGAGGAGATGGAGATAAAGATGGAGTTTATAGGAGTGGAGGTTGGCGGTGCGGTGCGATGTAATCCTGTGTTGTGATTTGTGCTATACTGTAGTTGTAGTAGAAAGGGCCGTAGGGTAGGAAAGAGCTACCCCACCAATGACGTTAAGTCGGCAGCGTTGACCTTGGCGTTTCCTCCCAACAACCAGCGATCAAGGAAGCGGGGCCGGGGCATGTCGTAGGACCACTAGCACTAGGTATCCTTCCCTTCACCGAAAAATACATTAAGAGTGAATGAAGCCTCGGAAGGACTCTTATGCATGTACCGGCTAATGAGACAGACATATTATATATATATCTCTTGCTTAATACTAAAGCTTACTATTTGCATATAAGATATTACATCTTGCGGATTTTGTTATCCATTTAAGCGCATTTCTGAAATCTTTCCTTCTAGAGAGGTACAAATTAGCTCTAGCTACCATCTAGCGGGTAGATATTCGGTTTACTACTGTAAGCTGTCCGACCACTACAGTACATGAAGGATCATAGCTACTATATGGGTATTCCTTATTAGCGAATCATTCCATGGCTATAAGCATAGTGGAGAGAGTAACCAAGGATCCGTTAATCCAGTCACATGATCAAAATATTATCTTCTTTTGTTCGACTGCTTTGCCCAGAGCCAGTAGTCGATTTCGAGGTACATCTAACCAAGTGTGTCACGTGTATCACCTCCATGTGAAGCTTGGGCACTGATGGGCCTTCGGGCATCACATCCACATCTTAGAATGCAACCCCTTTTACCACCCCAATATGCAGTCTTCCTGACAGGACTCGAAACTTCTAATGTAGTCTGAGATGTGGTGCGTATAGACTTCCGCACCTTTGACCGCCGAACAAACCCCTAAAAAGGTACCTAACTGATCTGTTTATAGTGCTTGTTGTGTAGCCTGTCTCGCTGGACAAAGCTTGCAGGGGGTTCAAGCTTTTAAGAATTGACATATTCCCCGGGGAAAGGGTTTCTGTCCTGTGGCAACCTGTTGCTACATGACCCAAATATGGCGGGATGGGGGCCAGGGGATGGGTTTGCAATCGCCCGGTTATTTTGACATGTGCTGTTGAGAAGATTTTGCGTTCAGGCTTCCGCAAAATACGCCAAAACCAGGTGCATATCTTTCGCAAGGCTCATTTTTAAAGGCTTTCAGCATTAAAACGACGCAAGGCAGTCTTGATCAGCGCCTATTGGGTCGTTTAGAAAGGTTGCGTACGCGACGTTCTACAGCTTCTGCCACATCACACATCTCAAACCATTCAGCCTCAGGTCGCATCTAGCGCAAGAGAAGATTCAGACGCTTCTCGCCTTCCTTGGAGAGTCGCAATATTCGTAAGCCTACAAAGCTCAACATCCCATTCCGCCCGCCGAGCCACGTTCAAGACCTCAGCGCAAGAGGAGAAAATTGATCCCAGCCCAGCCTTGTGGGCCAGTGATATGCGAATTCTCACCAGCTGACCTGTCCGTCGCTGCCTTGCAACTCCTGGAACTTGCTTCTTCGTTCTTGGACCTTCCCTCTCATGACATTGACTGTCCTTTCACCATTGCCTGAAATTGACCAAGATGGTAGACCCTATAACCTGCTTCGGCATCGCTTGCAATGTAATGCAAGTCATCGCCTTCTCTCACGAAATATATTCCGTTGTGAAACGGATCAATGAAGACGGCTCTGTAGATGAAGAGCTTCGCCAGCACGCTGATCACATTTCCGAGTCATCGAAAGGTCTAGAAAATTACCTCGACAGGATCGTACATCAACAGCTTCCCAGAAATCAAGCAACCCTCAGGGACGTCGCTTCTAAGTGTTTGAAGACTTCCAAGAAGATCCAAACAAAACTTGATCGGATTGACAATACGCGCGGTGGCTCGGTTTCCCGGGCACTGAAGTTGTCCTGGATGAAGAATGCTTTAGCACGATTGGAGAAAGAGATGCAAAACTATCAAGATGCTATGCAAAGTCAAATCTTAGTACATCTATGGTGAGTACTTAGTCTACAAGGTTCTTGAGGAACCATTCTCTTGTGCTTTACAATGTGATCGAACCTAAACAAGAATGTCAACTTCTAGTTGTGATTTGAATTTACATCGTATCATAGAACAGACGAAAGCGTGCTTCTGGTCGGCATGGCTAACTCCGATTATAGTGATCAAAATGAGGCTGCCAATCTCGTGCAGGACGCAAACTTCACAAGTCTTGATCTGGTACTTCAAAACTTTATCATGGCTTATAGCCAAGGACAAAGGGAACTTAAAGATCTTATATTGAGTGAAGCTCAAGCCACCCAGTCCTTGGTCACAACGCAGCATGAAGGGACCCGGGCCTATACTAAGGATCTAGAACTGCGAAGAGAACTTAAGCAGAAGCGGGAACAACTACTCAATAGTCTCAAAGACGATAGTATGAATGCACGCAAGAATCAAATCGAAGGAGCCGATGGTGCTACCTTTTCTTCTGTATTCGAGGCCAATACCAAGACTCCCTGGCAAAGCTTCACGGAGTGGTTACGTTCAGATGATCCACTCTACTGGATATCGGGCAAGGCGGGTTCAGGCAAGAGCACCTTGCTGAACTTTCTTTTCGAAGATGGGAGGACCAAAGAACTACTCAATAAGTGGAGATTCGACTGTGCAATCTATGCACATTTTATTTGGAGCATAGGAACACCATCGCAAAGAAGTATTGGCGGCCTGCTCCGGTCCCTATCATATCAGATTCTCACTGGAAACGAAAAGATATTGGACAGCCTGCTGCAAGAAAATCCACGACTTTTGACTTTCACTACTTCCAATGATTGGTCCGAGAAAGATCTTAGTATGGTACTTTTCAAGTCCCTGTTGTTGCATGAGCGGGGCGTCTGTATCTTCATCGATGGATTAGACGAGATTAACCAAAAAGAAGGTCCCTTTGATCTTTTGAAGCTCGTGGAACGGATTTCGCATTCTCCAAGCACGAAAGGGGTCAAACTTTGTGTATCAAGTCGTCCAGAGCCTGTTTTCATTCGACGCCTCGAAACATTCCCGAACCTCAAGCTACAAGATTTAACACGTCAGGATATGCGAGCCTACGTCAGCAGCTTCTTGCAAACCAATCCGTTTGACTTCGGGGAAACCGACGAGATGCAGTTCGTTGATAGAGTTGTTGTCAAGGCGGAAGGTGTCTTTTTGTGGGTGTCTCTGGTTTTGAAAAGCTTGCAACGAGGGATGGCCAACGGCGATGATCCGAAGGAATTGATGCATCGACTGGAAACACTCCCATCTGAACTTGGAAACCTTTTTGAGGAAATGTTGAAGCGAATCGGTGACGACCATCCACTCTACCGCAAGGAAGCCGCCTTGTATTTCAACATCTGTATGGATCTCTACGACCTCCCGATAACCCTCGACCCGTTTTCTGATAGTTTTAAAAATTTGTTCGTGTTTGCGGCCGCGGTAGATCCTAATCTAAAGAATAAGCTTCTTACTCAGAGACCACGCCCGTCTCTTGAAAATATAAAGGAGAATCTACTTGCGGTAAATCGTAGACTGATATCGCGATGTGCGGGGTTGCTTGAGACGATTATTGACGACGAGGAAGAAGAAGACACTGAGAAGATTCTTTCTCGCCAAAAACCTAAGCCTTGGAAAAATCTACGAGTAACCTTGATTCACAAAAGTGCACGGGAGTTTCTACTGGATAAAGCGGGCATGATACTAGATCCGGACGAGACAACTCCTACTGACCGGATATTCCAAATTACACAAGCTTTTGCGCTCGATGACCTATATCCGGGGCTACACGACGGTGAATATAACAATGCACTAGCACTTTTGGCCAGCGAAGATATAGGTTTGTCAGACGAACAACAATCCGAAATTTTCAATTTGACAAAGAATATATATCAACGCAACGGCTGGCCTAATATATATGAGCTCGCCGCTTATAATGCACTTGACTATAGTCTCGAGCCTCTCCGAGATGGTACTTCTCAAAGCCAAAGGGCAGTTCGGAATTATATTTTGCTTTGCGTATATTTTCCCCCGTATTATCTTCGCCAGCGGCGCACCGTTAAGCCCCTGGAGAGATGCTTCCGCGTGGTGTTACGCCTCCTAGAAATAGGCGCCGACCTTACTGCTATATTTCCGTCTTGGATCCAAACGAAGAGGTTTGCATCGATAATAGGTTTTCCTACTCCCGTACTTGCGCGCATTCTAGACAGCCTAGTAATAGAGAGCGCAAGATTTAAGATGGCGGGCGGGATAGCCATAGTGGAAAAGATACTTGCCTTGTATCTTCATTTCGGTGTAAACGTCAAACACAAGTTTCTGCACTGCACGGGTATATGGGAACTGGATATGCTGGGGGACAGTTTCTGGCCGAGACAAAGGATTGCAAATGTTTTGAGTGATACAGGTGATAATATGGTAGCGGAATTTAGCATCGCATCTTTCATTCACTCCGCAATTGAGACGATGATCGACGATCCGGTAGAGAGGTTAGCAATGAAGTCAAGATTAGGATTGGACACAACGAAGGCACACTCCAGAATTTTGCTTTATTGGCGCAAGGATACTGTCTATGCAGTAAGTGACGAACAGTCACAAACCCTGCGCAATATTGGAGATCCACGGGAAGAGTATAGCGAGGAGGCACACGAGGCTCTCGACAACCTGGTCAAAACAATGAAAGAGGTGGATGATGTCCACCAATGGCTTATTGAAAGAGGCTACCCAATCGTGGAAGAAAGCGATGTTGAAGGAATTTCAAAGACCGCTTCTTTAGAGGAAATGGCCGAGATATATTGGAGGCTGAACGAAAAGTTTGGGATAAAAGCTCAGGAAAAGAAAGCATGCTTAGAGGACGTTTAGAGCGTAAGTCCTCGAGAGACAAGGCAGCACGTTTTTTCTGCATACCTACCTACTCTCGAACGGCACCGATCGGGCAGTGCTCGAAAATGGAAAACAGAAGGACACTACACCATGGGATCCTACACTCCGCTCCTAAAGGTATCAATAACTCGCCGTCAATATCTAAACCATGGTAAGTGCTTGCCAGTATCTCTAATGTCTTCAGCTAACATCTAAGCAGGCATGGAAAGAAGTTTCCTCTCGCCCGAGAGATGTGAACTCTCCGCGACGATCCCAGGAGACAACGTCCCGAAAACTCTCGAATCTGGGATATACACTCAACTACTCCACATGCATCCGAGAGGACAGACTTATATACTACACTCTTGCCTCGAAAGAGAACCTGGCATGCTCGAGTGAAGTGCATGGATGATCAACGAGCCCGGAGAAGTGGGTAACTGAAGTCCTGAACAGAGGGTTGAAAATCTTGATATCAGGAGATGGACAATCCCAGCAAGACTTGGGCTCATCCAGAGGTATTCAAGGTTGTTGTCGTTACAAATTCCATGTGGACCTTTATTCAACTAGGCGAGGTACTGTGAAAGGGGTTCATCACGTGTCACGGCATCGATCCTTCCTTTCCTTGAGAGAGCGTCCCATACAGTAGAGATGCTGGAAGATCTGACGAAAAATCAACATTGAGTCTAAGAGCTTGTCGCAGATGCTTCTTCCTGATCAAGGATCGCTTGCATAGCATAGCATAGCAACAGCTATCCGATCCGATTTAGCTTTCCCATCACATTCCCCCTCACATTCACAACCCCCCCACCTCCTCGCCCAATCCCCCCAACCCATTCCCCGAAAAAGGCAAAATGTTCACTCAGCAAGCAAGCGCGCTCCTACACGCACTAACCATACATACCTACATCCCCACCTTCCACATACAAGATACGCTACACTACACATCCGTACCGGTATTCTTCCCATTTACTGACTAGACTCTGTATATCCAAGAACTTCATTCAAGCCAAGCTCCTCGCTACCTACTTTAACACTTATCCTTCCCATTTATCATTTTTCAATTAATCACTCAGATCAATTCTATTCCATCTATTTGGCATACGACATCTTGCCAAGTGCTTTTCAATTATAATCCGATACTTCGAATTATTGAAATTCCTGTAAATCACATGATCTATGCATTCCGTAGCAGGTGTTTTGGCGGAGAGAGGGATTTGGGGCTGAGCTGACTGGGAATGTTGCCGAGGTTTTGCCAGGGAATAGATGAGGCGAATAAGCGTTGTGTCGTGTTGTGTTGTGTGAGTGTAGGTAGAAAAGGATCAGAGCGAGGGGCGTTAGATGATGAGGATGGGGTCATGTATTGCGGGATTATCGCTGGTTATGATGTCCTTCATTGAAGAAACGGCAAAAATTATACGAGACAAACAAGGCAAGATATCCAAGAGAGGCGTCACATTCAGACAGCCAATAACCATATTACTATTTTTTTCATTTCATGTTCCTGCCTATTCCGCAGGGTTATCAGCGTTTCCACCCTGCGACTAGCATTTCCATTCGCAGGCCGCAACTTCGCAAATGCCACCTTCGAATTCTATCATACAGAATGTGCTTTTCCTCATTCCATTCCATTCCAGCTCTCCCCTGATGCAAACGCAAAGTAGCAGCAGCAAAGAAGCAAGACGCATGAGCGAGTGCTCATGATGATCATCCATCTCATCATGCCCTGCAATCTCATTCCATAAAGAAAAAAGAAAATCAGCAACGTTAACAGCATAATGCTGAGACTAGTCATCTTTATTTGATGCAAGTGCCTTGAAACCGCCACAAGTTTGCAAGACTTGGGGTACCGGAATTCCATGGTCGAGGCCCAATGACGATAAACTGCCGAATAGATAAAGGTGGATGATGTACAAGATTCGTAATTTTCGAGGGAGGCATATGTTACAGTCGGGAGGGAGTTTATTGGGACCGAAGAAGAGAAAAGGGATCATAAGTTTTCGGAATGCAGTGGACGATTCGATCATTCCTCCTCTGAATCAGAATCCTCATCACCACTGGATTCGGGATCTTGGGCTTCCACCGCTGGAGCACGTCAGTATTTGGGATTTATATCTAGTCCACACGGAAACTTACTGGGCATCACAGGTTCTTGGGAACCAGAACCTTGTCGGTTTGCAAACTCTCTCTCACGGCTCTTCAAAAGTTCAATCTTTTGCTCCTGCTCACTCTTGCTCATTGGCTTATTCTTTTTCTTGGTTGGAGGTTTTGCCAATTCACGGGGCGTATCACGCGCCTCGAACTGCTTTCGCATGTCTGCGTCAACTTCCGGGCAATGTATCATGATTAGGCCGTGTATTTTCCAGAGGGTAGGAACGCTGACAACGTCAATGTCAAGCTCAAGCGTTCCATCGTCGCCGACCTATGAAATGTTAGCCACGTGCTAGGATAATGGGTAACTCGGGATAACTGACATCAACACCTGGCTGCTCCGCCTTGATCATCTCCAAAACTTGACTTGACAATTCTTCAGGGAGGGAGCCAATACCAGCGGAGATAACTTCCTTCTCCAATGTGCCCATATATTTGGCGTGCTGCCGGTTTCCACCTGCTTTCTTTGGCGCAGGGGCCTTCTTCAACGGAATCGGCTTCTTTGACTTGGAGGGCCTCGAAGGCTTCTTGGCTTTTTTGGCTGCCGGCCGAGGTTGAGATGGGTTTTCTTTTACTTGCTTCGAAAGTAGATCGATCAACTGGTGTTGCAGATCAATCATGTCTTTACTTGTCTTCTTGTCTCTCATCATCTCAATCAATTTACCCTGCTCCTCGATAAGACGTTGGGCAGCTGCGCTCATGGTACTACTAGCAGGGGCGCTCTCTGCCTCATCTTCATCGTCTTCACTCTCTTCCTCCTCTGAATCAGGCGAGCCAGCATGGCTTGCGGGTGCAGGTGAATGGTCAGCTAAATATTGCTGCTTCTTGTCCCATTGCCGATTAAAGAATTCTTCAAATTGTTGTCCAAGTACTCGGACAGCATTTCCAGGAGGGTTGAATTTGTAGCAGTTGGTAACGATCTGTCTGATGTCCTTTTCGAAATCCTTTGCATTTCCATAATTTCCTTCCTTGAGCTTTTTTTCGACAGTTGAAAGATCCATAGGGCTTCTGATGACCGCGAAGTAATTTGGGATGCCCAGAGCGACAGGATCGACCGGGACGTAGAAAGCACTTGCGAATGAATAATGCTTGGGATCTTGCAACTCTTTCAACACCTCTTGGCAGAATTTGAGTTCTGTGGCAAACTTCTTGTTCTTGGGCCTTGTGGCAGTATTGTATGGAAGATCCTTGTTTTTGGGGGGATGAATCTCTCGCTTCGGGCGACTGCTCTCTCCTGAGAATTCGCGACGGATCGTCGGGGTACTAGTCGTTGGATCTAGCGCGAAAGTCTGTGCTGGAGCAGATGCCTTGACGGCGCTTGTACCAGCACCCTTGGAAAGTCTTCTGTGGGCAGTTCGTGGAGCAGCTGCAACCGCGGGTTCTTTCTTGACCTTCTCCCTCTTAGGAGCTGGGGTGGGCTCAGGCTTGATGTTGTCAATCCTGGATATGATATAACTTTCAACGACACGAGCAGAGACTGCAACAATATGCGCGTGACCATTGAATTCTGCTGCATTGCTCGCGATAAGTCTGGCATCGTTTTTGACTGCATCCACGTTAGGATAAGCAAAAGATTTCAACCTCTGTTCCATTGTAGCCAGATCAACTGGATTCTGGATCTTGGCAGTATAAGACTCAGCCAGCAATGGCCACATTTCTGCGACCGGCTTGACGAAATTTCTCCCATCCTTACTCTTGGCCGAGTTTTTCAGGATCTTGACGATTTCTCTCATTTCGTAGTCGGAGATTGGCTTTAAATCTACCTGGACGGCAGCAGATTCGCCATTCGGAGCCGCTGGTACGTCAGCCATTTCTTGGTCCAAAGCAGTTGTCTCGTCGGTCTTTGCGCGCTTGGCCGATGGCGCATTCTCGTCGTCATCCTCGCGTTCTCGGGCAACCTTCGGCGGCGCCATGGATACATCTGCAACTGGAGCTGGTGCAACAGTCTCAGCCTTAATGTTGTCTGTGCCATCTCCACTCATACTAATATCTTCTTGTTGAAAAGTTGCATCGTTGCCTGTGCGGAGTGGAAGTATATCGTCAGAAGCAAAATCTCCTGGTGCATCCTGCAGTAACTGGTCGTCGGCAGAAAAGTCGGGAAGGTCGGGGATGTTTCCTGAAGTACCGAGGTCAGAGACATCTGCGCCAAGCGACTGATCAACACTGTCCATTCCCTGCGGTAGATCCGCTGGGGCGTCAAAGTCGAAGTCCAGACCCGATGTCTGCTCCAGTAGCGGCGGTTCTGAGGCTTGCATGGGTGGTGATGATATATGGCGGATGTCAGACTCTTGCGCCTCGACGACAGGAAGGACTGTTGAGGGTGCGGCAACGTCCTCCACAGCTAACTCGATGGCCGAGTCTGCCGAGGCAAGTAATTCAGATGTATTGGGTTCCTGCGCATGGGGTGACGTTGAGGGCTGCAGCTCTTCGGTGGCGGTTGTATTCGTGCTGGGGAGTTGAGAGTTCAAAGCCAAAGAAGACATTTCTTCGGTGGGTTGCGACTCAGCGGCGGCCGGTGACTGCTTGTCGATAGAGGGCGCTTCAACAGATTGGTTGTCGGTGAAGGCCTCGGTATTTGCAAATCCATTCACAGTTGTACTAGTCGCGCTGGCTTCAACATTGTCTGAAGTCGAGGCGAGATCGGCGGTTTTGGGGAGAACGTCTTCAGGAGGGGTAGCATCAACGTGGTTGTGGGTCTCATCTCGATTTGAGTTTCTGTAACATTTTGATTCATAAATAAGAGTACACTAAGTAGAAAGGAGAAGGTACGAGGAGAAGTGAAGGGGAACAGCGACGGCAAATATGAATACAGATTGAAGGAAGGGAAGACTCACCCGTTGATATCTAAATCCAAAGCCATCTTATCAGATGATGGAACGGGCTGTATCTTCTGCTCAATCGCGACTCCTTCTGGTTGCGCAGTGGTCATGACGGCCATCAACAATCAAACCCCTCGTTGAGAGGCGACGGGTAGGTGCCGACGAGACTACTGAAGGAAAAAGCGATTCAGAGTGGGTGGGTTGGATTGTAGAGTGACGCAGATGGATGCGCAAGATGATGCGACACTTTATTAGTCAGGCGCAGATGGATATATTCAAAGTCGGTGGTGGTGGTGGTGCACCGAGGTGCGATACGAATTGTATTGACTTTGGAGAGGAGGAAGGGGACGGGATGGAGGCAGCCTCGCGAAGAATTTATAGCCTCGCCTAGGATTGGATAGGCGGCCGCGATTGGCCCGGCGCAAAATAAATCCTGACTCTGACTCGAATGACGTTGACGAGGGTGAATGCGCGCCACCTACCTATAGGCAGTGAATTTTGGACGAATGTTAGAGATGCCAGGTGATTGCGCTCCGAGAAGTTGAGGATGAAGTTGAGGTGGCGGTGTTGATGCGAGTGAGTACGCGACTTTTTTTTTTTTCTTATTAGGAGCGGGCGCGTCTTCGTGTTTTTGGTTGGCGTGAAGAGGTACTACTAGCGAAAGAGACCCTTTTGTAAATAATATACCGACGACCGACGAGGCAAATCCGAGAAACGCGGAGAATACGGGATTTTACTTGTTCGTATGCGCAGGCAATATTCCAGAATAAAAGAATTAATCAGATGCAGACCGAGGGCGGTGGTCGAGAATGCAGATAGATTATGGTGTGGTCCGAGTGGTGAGGGTGAGGGTGAGGGAGAGGTCGAAGTCGAGTTGGGTCGGCAGCGAATAGGAAGCCGAGCGCAAAGGGCAAAATGTTCAACAGAAGAGCGTCTCTGAGTCGGTGGGAGGAGATCCTAAATGTATTATGAGGGAACCCCCAAATTTAGCGAACGCCCAGCATCTTGCCTTAGCCTGTTCCACCCTGCCCATATCCAGCCACTCACCATCCAGCCTCCGACAAAAGCGTAAGGATGAACTGCGCCAGCAAGGGCTAGTGCATCCAATGAAAAAACATGTCCCGTCATTGTTTGATGTAGCCACTCGAACATTTCTTGCACCCACCAGCCCCTGAGCGGCCGTGTGCAGGTCAAGCGAGATTATGCGCGAAAAGCTGTCGTCACGCCTGGCATCTAAGGCGTTAAGCCTTGTCGCTCTTTAAAATCGCTACACCCACTCTCTGCTTTCACTATTACTGCGCCGGTACATGGAGCTGGGTCAAAGCACTTTTTCTCCCCGCTAAACCTATAACAGCCCCCGTGCCACGTGATCGTCGGATTAATTGGTTATCGAAAAAAAAAAAGTTTCTTAGATGGCAGCTTCGAGGCAGCGACCTCAGCAAACAGCAGGCTCTACCAACGCCACCCTCGACTGCCTGCTACTTTTCCTAGACGCAAATCAATCAGCAATACCGACGACGGATCGCCCAAATTTTCCCATACAATAATTTTACCATGTCGACCAAACGAAAACTTCCGCAAAAGCTTGCACAGCCAAAGGCAAGCCAAAACGCAAAAATTGTGGGGAAGACCAATTTGGATGATTCAAAGACAGTGGTATCGGGTGGTGGAAATGCTTTCAAGTCGCAGCTCAACGGCGTAAGAGAGATCGTCAACATCTCGAGCGATTCGAGTAGTGAGGAAGGTGATTCCGAGGAAGAAAGTGCGGACGAGGCACAACCCACAAATGGAGAAGATGTCTCCATGGAAGATGCAGAGCCCATCCCCGACGACACCGAAGAGAACGGCCAACCAAGTTTCGGGGACCTCGTGAGAGCGAATGCCTCTGAACCGATCGATGTAGCTGGCGCATTCGAGGACCCCTCATCTCGCACCCTTGCGTACCCGCAAGGCAAGCAAATACAACCTCCTTCCGGCGCATCGCTAGGAACGGTTCTTACTCAAGCACTCAAGACCAACGATATATCTCTCCTGGAATCTTGTCTACATACTACCGATGTCAATACCATTCGCGCTACTATCCAACGTCTCGACTCGCCTCTCGCAGGCACCTTATTACAAAAGCTCGCCGAGAGATTACATAGAAGACCGGGCAGAGCAGGGAGTCTTATGGTGTGGGTTCAGTGGACACTGGTCTCGCATGGTGGATATCTGGCAACACAAAAGGATCTAATCAAGAAGCTGGCGGAATTGAACAGGGTCATTGATGAGCGGGCGAAAGGTCTACAAAGTCTGTTATCTCTGAAGGGGAAGTTGGACATGTTGGAAGCACAGATCGAGCTACGGAGAAATATGCAGAACCAGCGCCGCCGAATCGACGAGGATGATGAGGACGATGGTGTGATATATGTTGAGGGTCAGGAGAATGACGAGGAGGCCGTTGCCAAACCCCAGCGGCTAGCACAGAATGGCGATCTAGAGGATATCTTGGATGGCAGCGAAATCTCAGAAGACATGCCCATGACCAACGGCGTGATTGCAGATTCAGAGGATGAGGGAGACAGCAGCGGCCAGGACAACTTAATAGACGCCGAGGCCGAAGAGACAGATGACGACTCAGCAGATGAGGACGAAGTCGATCACGACGATGAGGATTCCGAGGAAGAGAGCGATGAGGAACCGCCACCAACAAAACTGCAGCGAGTGAGTGGCATTGCGTCGAAGAGGAGATGAAAAGGGACACTTCGTTATTGGAAATGGCGTTGCATGGTCAGGCGTTTGTGATTTTGGTCAAGATGGCCCGCAGCTGCCTCAAAAGCATAAAAGGTAGAATGTAGATGTATACCTATATGATACCTCGGAACACATAGGAACAAGATCAAAAATATATACTCGTCACATGATTGTACTCTTTTCCTATTCAATCCATGAAACAAAACCGGCGGCAGAACCCAGTAATTAGGATGGAGCGAAATAGAAGCATGATGTGGCTCTTCCGCGTCAGATCGCCATCAAGACGCTTCATATTTTGCTGTCCGCGTACGCACAACAAGGCTGAATAACGTTGTGGAGTAGAAAAGACCCCACCAAGATCCAGGGTCCACTTTAGAATTCCCTCGTTCCTTCCCCCACGCAAAAAAACCCTTTCCCCTTTCCTCGCCAATGTAATTAGGATAGGATAGCTACCTATGAGATCTACCTGTCTGCCTGCCTGCTAACTCGTACTGCTTACCTACTACAGTACCAAGAAAGTATAATGCTCGTGTTGCCTGTATCCGTAATTTTACTAACTGCTGCGAGCGCGATAGCTCGTCCCGAGCGAGCGAGAACGAGGCGTCCCGGGCGTATAGAGCCCCGGTGTTTTATGTTTTACGAATTAATTCATCTCCGCTCCACTTGCTGCGCTGACGACGCTTGCCTGTCCTGTCGCTCGCTCGACGCTCGTTCGTCCCTTGGCTTGGCCAACCGTATTCTGTTTTTTCCTTTTCTACCCTCCATGTCCCCTCCCTTTTCTTTGTCGTTTATTCGAAACGTTATTTGCTCCTACACATACGTATATATATATATACGCACGATCAGTCATTCAGTCATTCCTTTCGTCTATCTCTCTCTTTGTTTATTTTATACACTACACCTATCGCGATATTAGAGCAAGGCTGTCGTGCCGAGTCGCCCGAGTCGGACAAGAAAACGTGCGAGGCGTAGGTACCTGGAAAGGATTTCTTGGCGGGCTTTTGTCACTGGTGGGCCAAGACGCTTAGCGCTGCTTCCAGCACTGCGAATACAAGGCTGGCGGGCGCATTGTGATAGCCTTGTGCTTCTATACATTTGAAGTACTGCGTATATCGATTCGGAAAGGTGGTTGCGGAGAAAAAAAAAGGGAAACATGGCGGCGTTGAAGAAACGACTCGGCGTCTCGATATTCCTGACAGTCTTGTCGCTCGCTTCGATTATGCTGCTCGTCGGCCGGTCCCGCGTGCATGCGCATTTGAAGAAGATTGGGCTAGGGGGTTCGTTGTCGATGGATGTTTTGGGGTGGCGCAAGAAGGGGGGGGGATGATAATGGTGCGAGGGTGATTGTTTTTGGGGATAGTTGGGCAGATGATAGTATATCGGAGGGGGAAGAGGGGAAGGGGAAGAGTTGGGCGAAGGTTTTGTGTGATGAGGTATGGATTTCATGAGACGATACGGATCATATCATGAAGATGCTGACGAAAAGAAATAGATAAGCTGTACCTCATACCAGAACTTCGCCGTCACGCAACCCAGAGACGCTTATCCAGCCCAACCACCAAACGGAGCCATGGTCTCGAACAATATTCACGTCGCCTCGCTCCTAAACTCCCCAAGCAACCTCGAACCAAACAGCACACCCATAACACTCCTTCCAGACCTAGAAACTCAAATCAAATCTTTCATCGCGCTCCCGCCTCCAGCAACCCTAGCCAAGGAAACACTTTTCATCATCTCCCTCGGCTTCTGGGACATTTATAACTTCGCGTCCCTCGACTACGCACTCGCGAAAAACACAACAGATCAAAGAATCAACGAGCTCTTCGCCCAAATTGATATCCTTTATAATCATTACAACTCTTCTCAACTTTCCATTTCTACCGCTCCAATCAACAGTTCTGCGCACACTTTCCAAATCATAATACCCAAAGTCCTCGACCCCTCCGTCTCCCCTGGATGGCTCACTCAACGCCCTTCGCCCGTAAAACCGAGCAGCATAGCTGAGCAACAGAAAAACGCGGCATACCTAACGGAGCGCTGGAACCAAGGGGTGGAAAACAAGCTCGGGCTATGGATTAGATCTCCAGAAGAGATAAAAGCAGCAGCAGCAACAAAAACAACAGCAAAAGAAGCGGCGATAGCAGCTGCTATTGCGAAATCAAAACCAAAGCTAAAACCCAGCACTTCGATTGCATCTCTTGAATCAACGCCCACATCAACCTCAAATAAAACAGTAGAAACAGGGTCGCTCAAAGACGTATTCTACTACGACCTATCCGCCCGCCTCCTCGACACCATGATTGAACACCAAATGGAGTCCGAAGGCCTCAAGGACGCCTCTGGTCTTGGTGCAGGCGACAGCCCATATGAGAATGTGGAGCGTCCTTGTGTGTACCAAGCTGATGATGACGAGGATACGTACGGGCTGGGAGAGTTGGTGAACGGGATGATTGTTTGTGCGGAGCCGGATATGTGGCTTTGGTGGGATGCGTGGGGGGTCGGTGCTAGGGCGCAGAAGGTGATGGGGAAAGAGGTTGCGGTGCTGGTGGGGAGCGGGGGGAGCGAGAGGGCGAGGGTGGCAAAGGTGGCGAGTAACGTTAAACCGCATGGCTTTTGGTCGGGGAAGATGGGGGGCGCTGCGTAGATATTATTTGTGGTTTTGTTTTCTTTTGTGTATCTTGGGTGGAGTTGGAGGTTGGTCATAGGCCTTTTCTGGAGTTGGAAAAGATGTACGCTCATGAAGCTGGCGTTTTGGTCGAGAGAGACCTTGTATATACCATTTTTGTATATCGTATGGATACCCATTTAAGAGTTGATATATTTGCCGTCTTCAGAATCCTGCTCTGTTTGATGATGCCTCTCAGTGAAGACAGTGCAACGCGCACCAGGCTTGTGGAACCTGGTAAAAGGGCTTGTTACTGCAACTTTAGGTTTCAGAACCCATGGAGACAGCACGCCATTGATCCTCCTCCAAAGGCGGAATTTTCGACTGTTGGCCACGCCTCTATCGATATGATTTTCAGCGCTTCGCAAGATATTCATCATCGCTTACGTTGCTTGGACATTAACTCCAAACGCGGCCTTCAGCTCATTGGGGATTCCCATCGATGAATCCAGTGACTATTGAATATACAAGAGATTCAAACTCATTCGACCTCTTCAATCAATAACCTGGACTTGAATATTCATATTCACGCCATCCCGAAGTCCCTTCCGAGTCCCCTTTCTCGTCTTCTGTTGTTTTGGAAGCTTCACGTACTCTCCCCACAAATTTGCTTCCCGCTCCTTCTCACAAGAACAAATTGGCCTGGATCTAGAGTTCGTATCCGGGTTCCCATCTGCTTGGGCGAGAACATCCATATCAAGACAGCTCTGACAACATCTCGGATCATCTGAAAGCTCGCAAGCAGCACAGACAACTAGAACCAAATGACAGCCCTTGGAACGACACTTGCCCAACCTATCCGAAGAATTCGTGCAAACATGGCATTTCGCCACAGGCTCAATCTTGTCATCTTCCTCCAAGGTCGTCGAGCCTCTCGCATCAAACACGAAGTTCCGTCCCTTGAACAAACTCTCTTCTGGTCTTTTCCTCCCCTGTTCAATCTCCTCATCCATCCACATCAAATACCCCGCAATTCCCCCCTTAAGCGTAGCAACCCTATCCCCCGTCCTCTCCTGTAGAAACCTCGCTCCCTTCTCACACCTAATGCCACCCGTACAAAAGGTCAAAATCTGTCTCTCTCCCTTCTCCTCCCCCACCATCCGCCGATTAACATACTGCGGCCACTGACTAAAGCGCCTAATCTGCGGTCGCAGCGCCGGCTCCCCCGTCCTCGGATCAACAAAATATCCAATCCGGGACTCATAATGATTCCTCACATCCAGCAGCAGCGTATTCGGCTCCGCATGACATCTCTCATGAAACTCCTCTGGGGTCAACACTTCAATAGAATCCCAAGACGAAGGAAGATAGTTCGTCACACCCATGGGCGTAATTTCGGCCGTGACACGAACTGACGCTGGCGCGCCGCCGAAGACACAGGAGCAGCCTCCTGGGGTCGGCTTGAAGAACTCGCGCTGTTTCTGCGCTGTGTCTAGATCGAGATTGGAGAATGACCAGTGCGCAATACAAGCTTGTGTATAGGCGAAAATACTTTCCTTGGTTCCACCGACGGTTATGTTGAAGCCTTCTTGTGCGATGCGGATTTTCCCGCCGATGGAGTGTTTTTGGGTGAGGTTGGTGTGGAAGGATTCGAGGGATGTTAAATTTTCTTGCGAGACTTGAGTATTTGGTAAGGCGGGCGAGGCGGCGAAGTAGCGGTAGAAGAGGAGGACTTGACCACCGTCTGGGCTCGAGGATGCTGGGCAGGTGCATGTGAAGGAAACGGGGTCTGAGAAGCCGTTTGGCAGACGTCGAGACTTTGGGATGTCAACCTGGCTTCTAGAGATATCTGGTGCCTTCTCGGTGGAGAACTCCTTCATGGTTGTAGAGTTGAAATAATATTATTGTTCGGAACTTACTGTGTTGTGCTATTGTACAGTAACTGGTTCTACGTTTTTGGAGGCAACAAAGTTTAAATGTCGTTGGAGGAGAATATTTACTAAACACGCCACGTTACAACCAAAACTTGGATTCTCTTGCCTGTGTTTCCGTCAGCCAATTGGAAAGAATGTTTGATCAAAAAGAAAACTTACAAACGGCTGTAACAATTTTATTGATTTCATTTGAGATCACGTGCGTCCAGATCCACTAACAACCTCGCCGCAGCGACGACCGGCCGAGTGATATATCCGAAGTAGGGTGACTCGAAATTTTGGTAGGATTTCATCTTCTTCCTCGAGTAAGAACCTCAAGACAGACGGCTTGAGCATGGCTGTAAATCTTGGGCTCTTCTGTATGCCTTTTCCCGATACCAATTCTTCCATCTCCTGCCTGGAGCCTGGAATCCCACTTATTCTGAAGATTCTGGTCAACTTGTGTTTGTGTTGATGGACTCACTCGAAATGCCACCAGGACAAGGGGCAATCGGGTACCGTCGAAACGGCAAAAGGCAAGCATGTGAGCCTTGCCGTAAGGGAAAGTTAGCCTGTGATCACGGGAGCCCTTTCTGTGGAAGATGTGTGAGACGGAAGACTACAGAGAAATGCATATACCATCCGGCACCGATGACACGAGCTCGTGCCCCAATAGGCTTGTCGGATCTTCAAATCACTTCAGACACTTCATCAAATCCCGTACCCGAGGTTGCTCTGTACCCCGGTCCTAATCCAGAGGGCGGAAAGGCTGGGAGCCAGAAAGTTGTAACTAACCGACCTCCTCGAGAGGACAGTGAGCACTGGAAAGTGGCCGTCTATCCCCGATCGGCACGATATTATGGACCAACCAGTTTTGGGGCAGTGTTCTTGGAGCATCAAGCTACAGCAAGTGAAGATTTACTTGGACTTGGGGAGGAGGTCAGGCAACATCCTGGCGCATGGAAATATGGACAACCTCTTTGTATGGACTGATCTTTGCTTCTGGTTCTTCCTCATTCTTCCTAATTACCACCATGCAAAATCGTTTATCTATTTGTTAAACTCCAAGATCATTTACAAGGCTGACTCATGTCTCTAGTGGGTAGAGAGAGACCCGAAGGTCCTACTATGCGTTCAAAAGAAGTCATTAGAGCACTCTATAATATTCCATCCAAAGGTATATGTGAGACTCTTCTCGCTACGCTTAGCACTCTTACGAAAACTACTATCAATCCAACTATGATGAAGCATTGCATTACGAACCTTTGGGCAACATTCGGAACACTGCTTGCCGGGCCTCGGTCAAATGAAAAACTTGCTCCAATTGCAGAGTTGTTATTCCAGAACGAGGAGAATCCTTTACCACCAACTCCTGAAGATGGACTTGAATGGTTAAATACGTTCACGGGGCCAAATCTCCGAATGGAAATGGTCGGATTATTTTTCTGTTTCTTGGGAAAGGCCTATCTTAGTCTGCAAGACTGGGACCCGCTTTTCAAAGTGCCTGAAAACCATGATCGAGATAGAAAAGAGACTGCTTGGAGAATGAAAGAATGTGCAGACATTTGCCGTAAAATGTGCCACTTTTCAGAGACAGTAAATGAAATAGTAGTGGCACTCTCCTTCAACCTCAGTATTCTGGAGAGTCAGTGTACAGGAGACGAAGGTAAGTCATTACGGTTCTAGTTGCCTGTTGATTTATGCGAGAAAGCTCTGATTCTGGCACTAGGTTACTCAATGAGCCTTAGACATGGAGATATGATCACAATCACGATTACCGCAGGACTTCACAGGCTTCCAGATTATGCCAACACCCCTATTACCACTGCTTCAGAGTACAAGCGTCGAATCTTTTCTGGGGTTTATTTTCTAGATAAGACGCATTCAGCTCTAAATGGGATACCACCAATGATGGGTCGTCTTTATTGTGACGTCAAACCATGCCTCGACATCGCCGACGAAGAACTATTCTTGCCACCACATGCGTTTTCCGTCGTAGTTAGCCGACTAGATGCCGATGGGTGGAACACATCAGGTAATATGTACGACATCAGCATCTGTCGAGCCACGTGGCAACTTTGTTCTGTCCGGGAAGAAATCCTTGAGATAGCTTTGGGTGTTAACGTTTTGGTCACAGAAGAGCGTGTAGAGTAAATTACCTCGCCCTTCTTCGTATTGAACCGTCACTAAACGTTTACAGAGAATTACGTCTCCGGTCCAAACAAGTTTTGGACGGGCTTCCAGACCAGCTTCAATACTATACCGATGCTGATCGAAAGATACCTAAAGAAAGTAATGGCAAAGAATTATTTGCCCAGGCCTGTATTATAAATGACTACCTGCAAAACCTGTTCCTTGTCGACCGAGTTTCGATAGCTCGAGGATTTCCCAACGAGGAAAGGCTCTTCAATACAGCCATGGAACTATTAGACATGTCTTTGATGTTTTGGATGGAGCGAGATAAGCTTGCCCCTTTCACCAGTTCTTTTGACTGGATTGTAAGTCATAACTATCTACCAACGATCGCACATTCATCCATTAGAAGCTAACTTGCAAAACAGATTACATTCTACGGAATACCAGCTGCAGGCGTGATATGCGTTGAGCTACTAAAAAACAGTTCCATGCCTCAGAACTACCTCGGATTCTCTCGTTCAGACGCCATCCAGAAGCTAACGCTGTTCATCGGATTCCTCGAATGGATCAGGCCCACCGACGGTAACCATCGACTAGCAAATCGCCTCAAGATCGTGATACGGAGAGTGTTGGACCGTGTCTTAGAGCCACCCTCGACCGACACACAGAGATCAAGTGAGATGGATGCGCCGTTCGAACAGACCATGCTCCCGTCTTTCGATGCCTCCCCGGATATGGATTGGCTCAATACTATAGATTGGACTCAAGGGTCTTGGATGGATTTCAATCCATAGATAGGGTGCAATTGGAAACCCTGGTGGCGTTGCAATGAGGTGTTTTGGGCGTAATGGAATATAACTAGGCTTTGATTGCCTCTCCACCCTGCTATATTATGGTTCTGTCCAGTGCTAATAATAAGAGGCATGGTAAATACTTCATAGATTCTAATGTTAAAAATGCCTATGATTTTCTACAAGTAACGTGGGAACCTACCTTTCCATTACCACATCTCCACAAAGAAGAGGAAATCAGCTTTGACTTTTCTTTGAACCAAGTCTCGGGACCGCGGTAATCACATAGAGCCTCCAAGTAGAAGCCCTATCACAAACCTCGTGATAACTTTGATATACAATGTCTTGAATTGTAGAAAACTGTCTCTTGAACGAACGCATAGAGCATCTTGAAAACACCATAAACGCCATGTCGTGATCTCACAAATCCACTCGCTCAACTGAACTTGCTGTAAACCACAGCAATGATGAGGAGAACCAAAACCGTGATGATACAAACAGTTATAATCCGATTTGTAGCCATCCTGTTCATAGTGTCAGTATTTCTCCTATCTCCGATTCTGCAACTGGATCAAGGGACGATTTACCTACGCGCCATCCCCCTCAACGTCTTCACACTCCTATCCACATATCCCTCGCTCTCCAGCAAAGTAGCATTCGTATGCATGATCGTCTCTCTCTGCGTATGCAAGTCCGCAAGCGTGCTTGCTCCGATAGCCTCCGTGTCATTCGCCAGCGCCTGACTAGCCTTCAGCCTCTGCGAGCTGCGGTCCAAACGATCGGTTCCCGACAACAGCTGTTGGCGCTGCTCGAGCTGCACATCGTTCGGGTTATCTGAGTATCGGGATCCGAAGAGCGCGGATCGGTCGTCGGCTAGGGAGCGCAGTTTCCGCTTTGCGACGTCGACGTCCGACTCGTGGTTGCGGAAGCGTTGGTTGACTTTGGTACGGGTTGAGGAAGGGATGTTCGCTTTCTCAATGCGCATCTGCTCGAGCTGTTGCATGGGATGTTAGTACCTAGTTTATGGAGGTGTGATGCAATGTGCGAGTTACCAATTCATCTGCCTCCTCTACTGCTCGCTCTGCTTGGCTGATGGCTGCCTTTCGGGGTTCTCCAGACAGATCTGGGATCTGGTCGAGCTTCTGGCTCAGGTCGGCCTGGACGAGTTTGAGCTCGGCTTCATAGCTGCTGAAGAGCTCAGAGCCGACGTCGGTATCGAGTGGGTTGGCCATATTGGTGGTGGGATATGGGGATGTTTAGGTAGAAGGTTGGGTGATGCTCATCGGCGGTCGCAAATGTTCCGAAGTCACATGCACTAATTCTTGACAAGTGATAACGACCCCACGCCGGTATTCGATAGTATTGATTGCTGTTTGATTTATGTTATGTTCTGTTATAGACTTCAGTATGTTGACCTTTGATGTTGTTGATGATGCCTCTACGGATCACAACGTCGACGTCGACGTCTCAACTGACTCCACTGAAAGAAAGTCTTACAGGGGAAATCCTTGGCTTGGGTATCTCAAACCCTGGAAGATAATCCCTGTACAAATAGAACCTCAGACGTTCTATTCTCAGACATGGAGATTCAAACATCCTGATGCTCAATTAATGGTTGTTGTTCGTTTTACTTGACAACAATATTAATATTAAATTCAAAACCAGATTCACAGATTATATTTCATTTCATTTCCTTTCCTTTTCTTTCCTCCCGCTCGGTGTTCACTGCAAACCAATATATCCTTGTCTTACACGCAAACAAGCCACTAAAAGTCATCCCGCTCCATCTAGAAGTAGGTACAAGTACAAAACGTCACTCAGAAACACCCCGCCGCAAGCTGCAAGCCATACCTTACCCTTCCTTCCTCCATGTCGCTTTAAATACCTAGGCAGGATTCGTGAATTCTCCTCTGTCTCTCTCTCTCTCTCTTTCCTATCTATAGTCACCTCTTCTCCTAATTATAACCATGGTTCCTCTAACACCCCAATTTCCTAGAAAGAAAGTCGCCATTATAGGTAGTGGGTGCTCTGGGATAGGTGCTTTGTGGGCGTTGAACCGGACGCATCACGATGTGTATTTGTACGAGGCCGCGGACCGCTTGGGAGGGCATACCAATACTGTGGAATTCAAGCATGGGAATAGCAAAACTCTCGTCGATACAGGCTTTATTGTCCTGAACACAGCTACCTATCGTTAGTTACAGGATATACCCTCGTCTTGGTCAATTGCAGCCACTAACCAAGAGTGCTGTAGCCAATTTTATTGCTTTCCTGAAATATATTGAAGTGCCTACTATGCCAACTGAAATGACTTTCGGCGTTTCGAGAGACAAAGGCCTGTTCGAGTGGGCTGGAACCTCTCTTGGGGCTGTATTTTCTCAGCGGCGGAATCTATTCTCGCCGCGCATGTGGAGGATGTTATTCGATGTGATACGCTTCAACCAGTTTGCGTTGGACTTGCTAGCGACTGAAGAAAGGAGTGAAGAGTTCGTGAACGGGAATGGAAACGGTGCTCACCATGCAAAAGAGCAGGAGAGTATAGGGGAATATCTGGCTAGGGAAGGATATTCAGATGCTTTCCGGGACGACTATCTTATACCGATGACTGCAGCGGTATGGAGTACAAGTCCCGATAAAGCATCACTAGAATTCCCAGCCGTCACTCTCGTCCGATTCATGTAAGTTTGAGACCGACTTAATATAAAATAACTACTAACATCACTAGGTGGAATCACCACCTTCTCAGCACCATCTCCACAAGACCCGACTGGTTAACGCTCAAGCACTGCGGAAAGTCCTACATCGACGCCGTGTTGAAAGGCTTCCCCCCCAACCACATCTTCCTCTCCACCGCCGTGCAGTCCATAACCAACACCTCCTCCGGGCGCGTCCAGCTACACCTACCCAACGGCAAAATCGACACCTACGACCATGTAATAATCGCCACCCACGGCCCACAAGCCCACGCCCTCCTCCGCCCCTCCCTGACCCCCACCGAGCACGGCATCCTCTCCGGGTTCCGCGTCAGCGCCAACACCGCCGTGCTACACTCCGACCTGTCTCTCATGCCCACCTCGCGCACAGCCTGGTCGTCCTGGAACTACATGACGCGATCCTCGCCCACATCCTCGAATATCGACCAAGTATGCCTAACCTACAACATGAACATCCTGCAACACATCTCCGAGTCTACATTCGGTCCCGTGCTCGTCACGCTTAACCCTCTGCACGCCCCAGCCCCAGAGACCGTGCAAGGGGAATATACGTACGCTCATCCTCTCTACAACGCGCGAGCTATCAAGAGCCAGAGCCAGCTGCATATGATTCAGAATCAGCGGGGGATTAGCTATGCGGGGGCGTGGACCAAGTATGGGTTTCATGAGGATGGGTTTTCGAGCGGCTTGAAGGTCGCGAAGGAGCATTTGGGCGCGAGGCTGCCGTTTGAGTTTAGGGATAGTACGTTTAGTAGGGGGAAGAGACCCGTGTTGGGACTGGCAGATTTGGCGTTAAGGGTCTGGATTGCGATGGTACAGGTGTTTATTGTGCTGCTTGAGAGATTTGCTGGTGTTGAGAGAGGAGTACAGGGCCAGGTCCAGCAGAAAAGGGTCCAAAAGAAGATTCAATGAAAACCATAATGATAATGAACATGTTTTGGGATATTAGGCATTTTTAAGCAGATACGATATCATGAGTTACAAGGAGTTGGAACGTGGGAATCATAAGGAACTTAATTTGATTCGACATTATGCCCTCCTCGAAAAATCGTATTTAGAGCAGAAGAGAAAGTAAAAAGAAGTGCGATTCAATGCCCGACCCCCCCAGCGCCGTCATCCTTTGGCTTCTGTCCATAGACAACATGCAAGTTCGAAATCATATGATACTTCAGATTCTTCAACTCCCTCCTAACCCCTGCACTCAAGACCTGGAACTCCTCCACTGACCAGCCCAACACGCGCGTAAAATGAGCCTGTCCATACGCGGACGAGGCGTCCAACATATTCTGTTGCTGGTAGAGGCCGACCTCCTTCCAGCGGGGGTCTTTTGGCCAGGGAGTATCCGGGACCTATTAGCTGGATTAACAAGCTGTGTATATTCTAAAAAGGTTGAATTAAAGTATACCTTGATAATGTTTTCCGTAATTTCCACAAACCCAGCCTCCTCCATCCACCTCTTCAAATTCGGCGCCACATCAAACGTCCTACCAATACGCTCCCCTGCTTCAGTGAGGCCCGTTTGCCACTTGTGGATCAGTTGCGGCACCTCCGTGTCGTTCTGGCAGTGCACCCAGACTTCGAACTCGCAAAACTCAAGCCAGCCGCCGGGCTGAAGGTTGGCGTAGGCTTGGGCAATGAGGGCGGGCCAGTCTTTGATAGAACCGGCCATCATGCGCATATGGATGAAATCAAAAGGTTTGTGGCGCCAGGTATCCTCAATGTCGTCGACCTATGCAAGTTAATGTGAGTCCATGAGAGGATGGGTAGCATGTATACCTCGAATTCGAGGTTGGGTGGGATCCTGATGAGATGAGCAAAGAGTTTAGAAATATCGAGTGTGAGATTCACCATCCTGGCTGGATTGGAGATAGATCTGAACCTACGACAAAGGATTCAGGGTGTCGACTTGAACTCGTTAGAATACGGACGCATTCGTTGCAGGTTATTAGCAAATGGGCACTTACTCAGCAAAATCTATGGCCCAGATTCCCGTCCCTGTACCAGCGTCTAATACTCGGTGTGGGTTTTCGAGAGGGGAGAAGTAAAGTCTGCCTTCGTAGACAAGAGTAAAGACGTGGCTCAACTATGTGCGTTAGCACCAGGATTAAAGCCGGGCACATATTTGACTTGCCAAGTCAAGACGATCTTGCTCTACCTCATCATTTGGCTGTTAATGTTAGTTCCTGTTGCTCGGAGTGTGGAACTTAATCTACAAAAAGGTATTTCCCATCTCTGTAGGCATGGTATCTTCGTCCATTCTATACACGTTAATCACCACTCTATAAGACTTCTCAGAGACCGTCTTACCTCTTGCCTATTTCAGAAGGTTAGGATCGATATTCAGAATAAGTTTGAAATATGAGCTTACCGATACTTGGTTATACCGTCCGTGAGAGAAGTCTTCGAGCTCGCAATTCTTCGAACTTGTTAGGGGAGTCTTAAAAATGGAGACTTGGTATTGGCCTACGAAGTACCGCCAAACGCGGAGTCTCTTTCGAGGGCGTCGTTGTCCTTTGGTTTCCGTAAGTATAGGCTAGACTTCCATTAACAGATCCAAGGGTACTAACGTCGGGCTCAATGGCATCGTTTGCTTGGTTGTTAGCTGGATCTTGTGCTGGTTCCTGAATTTGAGGTTCAGGTAGAACTTCAGGTTGGATATCAGGTTGGACATCAGGCTGTATATCGGGCTGAGACTCAGATGGAGGTTGGGGCTGTGGGGCCAGAGTTTGAGTTGAAGACTCAGCCTTTGACGAGCTGCTTGTACTGTTTACTTGAAATTCAGTCATACTTTGGATGAATTGCTAGAACCAGAAATGCAGTATGCGTCTAGGAACACTTGACCCTGGGGCTTTATCTGGTCCACCGTTTGAGTAATTTTCTGAGTCGATCCCAACTAATTGGTTCTCCCGGAGCCCCTGGACTCTACAGCTCAGTGTCCACCACATTTAAATGCACGTCTGCGTTTGCGAAATCAAGAATGAGAAATTGGTAACGTTTAACAACAGCCATTGGCAACACAACATCTTTGAAGCAGAACCCATAGAAATGTCTTCCGTTTACTTCCAGTCCTTGCTAGGAACGGGGGAGAATGCCAATATCTTACAAAGTGAGGTGATTGGTAGAGTTGGAGTGATGAACGAGGAGGACACATCAGAGATTACATCTTATTCTTGGGATATATGTAGCGTAACCTAAGAGTAGTATGACTCTCAACGGGCGTCTTGAGAAAGACCAGATGACAAAACTGAGGTATGGGAGATAAGGTAGGGAAAGGTCTTGTTTCGGGATCCAGAGCCAGTGTGCATCCATCTGACTCAAACGTATCAAAGTCCTGACATCGAATGCGGATGGCCAAGTTACACTGCTCTTTGAATCCCGTCGGCATCTACTGGAGAGCCAATGGAAATCTGGAATCAGGGTACGATAAGCCACCAGTTGTTCCGCAAGAAGGGTGCGGTTTCTCAAGCCACGACATGCATTAATTCGAGCCATCGTCATGGTATATTAAGTGTTCCTCGAATAGTACAAGGTCGTACGGACACACCCAGCTTGAGCAGCACCACATATATTATAGTGTGGACGATTTCCTCCGCCCGTGTCACATAGGTTCGCCTTCATTATATCGGAGCAGTCCTGCGGAGTAAGGCTTACCGTTACGATACAACTCTCAACATACCAAAGGTAAGACTGAGCACAAAACCAGTAAAGACGGCGAATTGCCTTCTTCTTGACCACACGCCTCCCTCCCGGATAATCCATCCTATGGAACCTAAGGGCCACAAAAACCCCATGATGTTTCCCCACAAAATGTCGTCCAGAGCACCGCCACCTAAGCCATCGTCTCCAAAATCAAATCCGCCATTTGCGGCCTCAGCACCTGTATTGCCATTAGAGTCTATCCATGCATCTTCCATGCGTCGCAGTGTTTCAGGTGATGGCATAGTATCCGGCGTATGTATGGATGACTGTATAGATAGGAACTGCAGCCGAAGCTGGTTTACTTCAGCGGGAGTAAATCCGCCAGAAAGCAATCGATCGAAGCCTCGAGGCGCAGGCGTTGTAGTAGTCTGCGGTCCAGATGGACTTCCATTTTTGGAGTCGCTTTTTGCGGCATTCTTAGACTTATTTATGGATATAGTTGCTGCGAACGACTCTGCGGAGAGCTCAGCAGATGTTAAGACGTCGCCGATAGAACAGTTTATGTAGACGCGCGGAGGTGGGGGATCGACGGCTTTGCCTTTGCCTTTTGGATCGGACCGCGGCGGAGGAGGAGCAGGAATCGTCAAGACTGCTGATACAATGTCATCATCTTTGAGTAACTTCCCGCTGTGTATTAATCGAAATCGGTGTTTCGATGTCGGGGGGTCGAGCTTCGATCGGATAAGATGCTTTAAAGCAACGACAGTCGTTTCTTCTGGGTCGGTGATGTCCAGCAGCAGATCTGGAATAGAAGTCGTAAATCGGACAGTCAATGGAAGAGGAATCTTTAAGGACTCCATGGCGAGCGAATCTTGAGGAGGGAGCGCGAAACTTGCTGCTCGGCTTGGGGTTTCAGAGCGGCCAACAGCTCTGGTCCAATACTATAGCTTGAGCCATTGTTTGACGCGGCTACAAGAAGCCATGGTCGGATACAAGTATCAATGTTGGGTTGTGCAACGCTGGTTGTAGCCAGCTCGGAGGGAGTTTATCGGTTTATCGGTTTACAAGCAGGGGGCAGGCGGCACGGTACTTGTCTCGCTTGTCTTGTACTTGTACTGTATGCGGCCGCGCCTTCCCCTTTCCTCGGGAAGACATCGGATATCGGAGCCTCTGAGCTCGTCATTTCCCCCGAATCAGCAGAAGGCCTAATGAACTTATAGTATAAACAAAAACCTTCCCATGATACATTCTTTCTTCATGTTGGCTTATCCATGAATTCTTGTGCTTCCTTCTCTCGTTGTTTGTCACGGAATTGGCGGCTCCAAATCCCCAGTTGTAACCATCCCCAATCCATACAAGTAGCTGGACTCTGTCTGCGCAGATACTCAAACCCCACTATGACTCCCAAGCCGCCACAACCTGCTGCTCGAGTTGCAGGTAGGAAACAAGATGTCTGGTAAGGAGTTTCTCTGAGCTTAACAAGTTGTCTGAGCAAAACCTTCCTCGCTATCCTAAATCGATTTTCTATTATTTGTCGGAACTGTTACCCCTCCTTCTCCATTCAAGCCCGCATTTGCTTGGATTCCATGATGCTTCCTAACAATACTCTGCAGGACCATCGTCAACGAAGGCGCCGCAGCATCTCCCAAGCAGCCAATTGTCAACATGGGACAAGGGTTCTTCGGCTACAACCCACCGGAATTCATCATCGATGCTGCGAAGCAAGCGTTGGACAAAGTCGAATGCAATCAATATAGCCCGACTCGAGGGCGCCCACGCCTAAGGAAGGCCCTCGCAGATGCATACTCTCCACTATGGGGACGGAAATTGAATCCAGATACCGAGATTACCATTACAACTGGAGCAAATGAAGGTTTGGGTAAACATACCCAAGGACGAATTACATGCTGACCTTAATTAGGAATGCTGAGTGCATTCATGGGTTTCATCGAGGAGGGAGACGAAGTTATTATATTTGAACCCTTTTTCGATCAGTAAGAATTCAAGCTGACTACTGCTAGCCAGTAGAGCTGACTTTCCTAGATACATATCCAACATCGAAATGCCTGGTGGAAAAATCGTTTACGTACCGCTTCATCCACCCCCTAAAGGAGCAACCCAAAACTCCTCGGCAGGCGAATGGACAATCGACTTCTCTGAGCTTGAAGCTGCTATCTCCCCAAAGACGAAGATGATTGTTCTCAACACTCCACATAACCCAGTTGGGAAAGTCTTCTCTAAAGACGAGTTGCTGAAGATCGGCGAGTTGTGTGTCAAGAACAACATTATCATACTCTCGGATGAGGTTTATGATCGCCTGTACTATGTCCCTTTCACACGTATTGCCACCTTATCCCCTGAGATCGAAAGTTTGACTCTCACTGTTGGCTCAGCCGGCAAGAACTTTTATGCCACAGGATGGAGAGTAGGATGGCTGATTGGACCACCACATCTAATCGAGTACGTTGCCGCAGCACATACTAGAATTTGCTACTCCTCGGTATCGCCACTACAAGAAGCCGCAGCTGTCGGATTTGAGCAGGCTGATGCCAATGGTTTCTGGCAATCGGCAGTCGAAGAAATGAGAGGCAAAGTGGATAGATTCAATGAGATCTGGAAGGAGCTTGACCTCCCATTCTCAGACCCTGAAGGTGGATATTTCGTTTTGGTCAACATGAAGAAAGTCAACTTGCCAGCCGACTACCCCTTCCCTGATCATGTCAAGAATAGACCGAGGGACTTCAAGTTGAGTTGGTTCTTGATTCAAGAAGTCGGAGTGGCTGCTATACCTCCAACCGAGTTTTACACTGATGATAACGCACATATTGGCGAGGACTGGTTAAGGTTTGCCGTCTGCAAGGAGGATGCGGTGCTGGAGAGTGCCAAGGAGAGATTGAGAGGTTTGAAGAAATATATCTCAAACTAAGGTTGAGGAAGACCTTTAAATCTGGCTCATGTCGTTTCATAAATAGAAATATGGCGCTACATTAGAGTTGAGGATTATGGTTCTAAATACCTCGAAAAGTCTGATTTCTTACAATTCAGCTTTCCCTGACTCCGCGATAGAACTGTACCTTTTCTATCATCCACATACTTTCATATCCCCAAAGTTGGACCAAGCTTTCATTTGAACACCAATATTTCAAGTTCATCTTGCGCAGCTCATATGCAGCAAAAGAGACGATTCGTTCTTATGTTTTAACCGTATAATTTCCCCTTGAAAAGACAACTGTCATGCCCTGGAGCATTTACAACATCTCAGTAAAACTCAAAGGGACATCCCTGCTGAACACTCCCACTATACATCTTCTCCTTGACAATCTTCTTCGTCAAAGCCATCAACGCCTCCCCTAAGTCCTCATCCTGCGCCAACTTGCTCCCCGGCTCCGGAATAGCAGGCGGACACACATACTGCCCACTCTTCTCCGTCTTCGTCGCACAATACAACGCGCTCGCAGCACCCTCCCACTGATCCTTCTTCAACGGCTTCAAGCCCACACTCATTGCGTACCCCGCCACCGGATACGGCTCGTGGATATCATCTTGCGACATCTTCGTCTCGACAAAGCCAGGGTGTACGCTATTTGAGAGGATCTTGGGGTGCGAGGATGTGAGGTGCTTGGCCAGGTATCTATGGTATAGCATTACAGCTAGCTTACTACGTCCGTATTGGCCATTGGGACCAAGATCCTGGTTTAGCTCTTCTAGACTGGCAAACTTGACGTCGGAGGGAGCACCTTGGTGCGCGTTGGAGCCGAGGCCGACAAGGCGGACTGTGTTTCCTTTCTCTGCTGTGGATTTCAGGACCGGAAGCAGGTGCGATGTCAATATAACGTGTCCGAAGTGGTTTACGGCCATGTGGCGATCGACGCCGTAGTCTGTGAGTTGGTAGGTCATGATGCCGCGTCCCGCATCGTTGATCATGATATCGACTCTATCAGTCTGGTCTGCGATTTTGTTCGCGGTCGTAGCGACGGCAGGCCAGTCTGCCATGTCGCATTCTAGGTAGGTGATCTTGCGCGCTGCTGCTTCGCCAAGGTCTTCCAAGATGGACTTGTGGGCTTCGTCGTAGGAGGCTTTGTTGGAAGAGATGATGAAGATCTTGGAGATGTTGTTGGCGAGCAGGGTGCGGACGCAGGCATATCCTATTCCTGCGGTGCCACCAGTCACTACTGCTACCTTACCGCTGACATCGGGGACTTCTGAGAGGGGGAATTGCTGGTCTTTGGACGCAAGGTTGTGGCTGTATTGTTTGTTAGTACGGTTATCAAGAAGTCAACACAGGCGCAAGAGCATACCCTGCACCACCAAAGTTCTCTGCGATGGTGTTCTTGATTGTGTCTACTACTGCCGCCATATTGAAATGAGTTTGTTGATATGTACGTTTGGGGAGAGGTGGGGATTGATAGATTGGGAATTGCTTCCTAGCTATTGCCGGCTGGGCTTTGGAAGATATATGAATCAAGAGCCTGCGGCTGGGTCTTGGAAACATCAAGTCGTGATGGGTGAATGAGTGAATGAAGGAATTCTGGTGATGTAAGGGATAATTACGAGAGGGGTCGGTCTTCAAAACGAATTTCGAGATACACTTGTATGAGTCTACCTGCCTTTCGTAGATGTCATCACTCAATGACATGACGTGGTTTAGTGTTACAACAGACTTGATTGATCGAAATATTCATTGTGTCTCAGCATCATTGACTGTCTTTCGTGGAAGCTACACTACCTGTACTTGCTCTGTCATGGTTGAATGAATATTGTATCAGCTCTCATTGTTTAGGAGATCAGTTTTGTTGAAAGTGACCGCGGATGGGGTCATTAGTCTCTACACGTGATTTGAAATAGGGGTACAGCGACGCAACTAACTAGTGTCAAAACGCGATTTTTCGGCTTGACCCGACTATATAAAAAAGAAGATATAATAACTATTAAGTACAAGGTATTATGCTATCAAGTTGGATTTTTAATTAAAAGCGTGATGGTATAGCAAATTGCGATTCTATGATCGTAATAAAACATGTTTTCGCGAAGGGGGGTCCTCGCCAAAAAAATCGCGCGTTTTGACGTGGCTCGTGGCTAAATTAAGCCTAGATAATGGCTAGGTCATGTATGTACACGATATCTTATTGCGCATTGCAAGCAGACGAGCAGCAAACCACACGAAGTACAAGGAACCGTGGACGTAAAATATAGTTGTTGAAAGGAAGTTAAATCGAGAACTTTGCGGCATTCAAGGAGGTTCCAACATGCTCAAAACGTAAATAGGTAGAGAGTACAAGGTAAGCTGGGGATATTGACAAAAGGGAGAGGTTGTAGGACAAACGCCGCCTTATGAGACTTCTTATGTGGCTGATGAAGCACCGTGCAAGTCTTGAAAAGAGCTGTGAAGGTATCGCTTCGCAGATGATAATCCTTCAGTCTCATCGAATTTCGACATTGGATGGGAAGAAGCCAAGCCTCTGACATCAATGAGCGGGTTCCCTTCTGCAACATCTTGAGTGGTTTGCGGTGCAGCAGTTGGTGACCTGTTGTTGTACAGTACGCGTACGGTACGGGAACTTACATTTCAGGTCCCTTTGAGCCAAAGAACTATGCGCCTTGTGACTTGCCGATTTGGGGCGCATCTAGCAATTGAAGTGAGTGTGCACCGTGAAGTATAGCAGAGTATGTAAGTGATATATTTGGAAGGTTAGGAGCTGGCGAGGCTGGGCTATAGATCAGATATTAATCAATTTAGACATGCACTAAGATAAGAGCTAGTTTATCCTCCCTCCACCCCACTACAGTAAGACTAGGCTAGATGCACGTGATATCCGGCGACCTCCGACGGAAATATATTTGTGATGTAGAAGAGGAAAAGTACACAGTAAACATGATTGAATAGTGAGATGAGAAGATCTATCTTGAATAGTGCTACTTTGTTATTTTCAAAATCGAAATGTTGCAACTCTCATTGGACAAAGGAAACCTTCCTCTTGCAGCCTTGATCATGAGCCCCGCCACTAGTAGTCATTCCTAGCATTCACGCCAACCATTTTATCGGGGAGTTCCTCAAAACGTAAAGTAGTTTGGGTGAGATAAGACGCCGCCGGCCGGTGTTGAGTCTCCTCTCTTATTATTATTAGTTTTAGGTACCTACTGAGTAATGTCCTCACTGAGAATCAATGCGGTGACTCTCAAGCTACGTGCAATCTTCCAATATTGACCTTTATTCTGAAGTCGAGCCAGAATACAAGTGCTTAACGCCCTTCGAACCCTTCGATTCTGATACCTAATTGTATTTTGGGGCTTGTTCTTGAAATCACAACTTCCGCACATATTCAGCAATCCCTTGCCATGGCGCCCAGCGCCGTCTCACCTAAACCTGCGGTTTCAAAGTCCGCTAGCCATGCTCTCTCCTCACTTACGAACACCTTTGACGATACACTCCGCTTCTACCTCAATGGCACACGCGTTGTGCTCGATAACTTCGATCCCGAAATCACACTCCTCGAATACCTTCGAGGCATCGGCCTGACGGGGACAAAATTGGGATGTGCCGAGGGAGGTTGCGGAGCTTGTACGGTCGTCGTCTCTCAATACAATCCAACAACGAAGAAGATTTACCACGCGAGTGTAAACGCCTGCCTGGCACCGCTTGTTAGTGTGGATGGCAAACATGTTATTACAGTAGAAGGCATTGGAAAAGGCATTGGCAATGTGAAAAGGCCCACCCCGCACAGGAGCGAATTGCTAGATACAATGGCAGTCAGTGTGGCTTTTGCACGCCTGGCATAGTCATGAGCTTGTATGCCCTACTCCGAAATGATTCAAACCCATCCGAGCACGATGTGGAAGAGGCTTTCGACGGTAACCTTTGCAGATGTACCGGGTATAGGCCTATACTTGATGCGGCGCAAACATTCAGTGCTGGGATGTCTTGTGGTAAAGCTAAAGTTAATGGTGGCGGTGGATGCTGTATGGAAAATGGCGATAAATCTGGGGGCTGCTGCAAGGGCAAGGACAATGACGACCAACCGATCAAACGCTTCACGCCACCAGGCTTCATCCAGTACAATCCAGATACTGAGTTGATATTTCCCCCTGCACTAACCAAACACGAGTTTAAACCTCTGGCTTTCGGCAACAAGAGGAAAAAGTGGTATCGGCCCGTCACATTGAAGCAGCTTCTGGAAATTAAGAGTGTCTATCCGTCTGCCAAAATAATTGGAGGGAGCTCAGAGACTCAAATTGAAGTCAAGTTCAAAGGCCTTCAATATACTGCCTCGGTCTTTGTAGGCGATATCGCAGAGTTACGGCAGTTTTCATTCAAGGAGGATCACCTAGAAATTGGCGGAAACGTCATCCTTACAGACCTCGAGTCGATTGCTCTCAAAGCTGTTGAGCACTATGGTCCTGCGAAGGGTCAAGTTTTTGCAGCTGTTCATAAGCAGCTCAAGTACTTTGCCGGCCGACAGATACGTAATCAAGGGACGCCAGCAGGAAATATTGCTACGGCAAGCCCGATTTCTGACCTAAACCCAGTCTTCGTTGCCGCAAATGCTATACTGGTGGCAAAGTCATTAGACGAAGAGATAGAAATCCCGATGTCTCAATTTTTCAAGGGCTATCGATTGACTGCTCTTCCGCCGGATGCTGTAATTGCCAGCATTCGTATTCCAGTTACGAAAGAGAAAGGGGAGTACTTCCAGGCTTACAAGCAATCGAAACGAAAAGACGACGACATTGCTATTGTAAATGCGGCTCTTCGGATCTCGCTCAGTGATTCCAACGTGGTTGAGAGTGCAGACTTAGTCTACGGAGGCATGGCTCCAACAACAGTAGCTGCGAAGACTGCTGGAGCGTACCTCAAAGGCAAAAAGCTTACAGATCCAGCAACACTTGAAGGCACTATGAATGCATTAGAGCAGGACTTTTCTCTTTCCTTTTCTGTACCAGGAGGAATGGCTACATACAGAAAGTCATTAGCCCTTGGTTTCTTTTATCGCTTTTACCACGAGGTCCTCTCAAAGCTTGAAGTCAATGACGTCGAGGTGGACGAGGAAGTCATTGCTGAAATTGAGAGGATGATCTCCACTGGCAAGGAAGACAAGGATTCAACCATTGCTTACAAGCAGAATGTCCTTGGCCACGCCAATAATCACGTTGCTGCGTTGAAGCAAACTACTGGAGAAGCGCAGTACACTGATGATATACCTGTTCAGAAGAATGAGCTCTATGGGTGTCTAGTTCTCTCATCAAAAGCACGGGCTAAGATAATTTCCATTGACTACTCTCCCGCCATGGAATTACCAGGCGTAGTTGAATGGCTCGATCACACGGACATGCCTTCACCAGAGGCAAATTGGTGGGGAGCTCCAGTGCGTGACGAGACGTTCTTTGCCGTCAACGAAGTCTTCACAACCGGACAGCCTATTGGCGTTATTTTAGCTGATAGTGCGGCACATGCTGCTCTTGGAGCACGAGCAGTCAAAGTAGACTATGAGGAATTACCTGCTATCTTCACCATGGAGGAAGCAATTGAAAAGGAGAGTTTCTTCGAGCATTTCCGATACATCAATAAAGGTGATGTGGAAGGAGCTTTCAAGGATTCCGACCATGTCTTCTCAGGAGTTACTAGAATGGCAGGACAAGAGCATTTCTATCTCGAGACCAATGCCTGCGTGGCCGTGCCTAAACCAGAAGATGGAGAGATGGAAGTCTTTGCGAGCACTCAGAACCCGACTGAGACGTAAGTCAATGTCACAGATATTCTCAACTGCATAGCTAACAATTTGAAGCCAAACATACGTTGCACAAGTATGCAATGTTGCCGCGAATAAGGTCGTCAGTCGTGTAAAAAGGCTTGGCGGGGGGTTCGGGGGAAAAGAAACCCGGTCAATTCAGTTGACTGGTATCTGCGCTCTTGCAGCAAAAAAGACTGGGCGTCCTGTTCGATGTATGTTGAATAGGGACGAAGATATGGTAACGTCCGGCCAACGACATCCATTCCTTGCACACTGGAAAGTTGGCGTCAACAAAGACGGAAAGATACAAGCTCTCGATGCAGACGTATTTTGCAATGCAGGCTGGTCACAAGATCTTAGCGCTGCAGTTGTTGATAGAGCTCTGTCTCATATTGATGGTTGCTATCTCATCCCAAATGTTTCTGTTCGGGGCCGTTGTTGCAAAACCAACACAATGTCAAACACAGCTTTCCGCGGATTCGGTGGACCTCAAGGCATGTTTATTTCCGAGTCTTACATGGAGGAAATCGCGGATCGTCTCTCCATACCGGTCGAGACTCTAAGAGAGATCAACTTCTACAAACCTAACGAGGAGACCCATTTTAATCAGAGCTTGAAGGATTGGCACGTTCCGCTCATGTATTCGCAAGTGATAGAAGAGACTAATTACGTTGAGCGACGAGAAGGGGTTACAAAGTTCAACGCCACCCACAAATGGAAGAAGCGTGGTCTCAGCATCATTCCTTCCAAATTCGGAATAAGTTTCACCGCTTTGTTTCTGAATCAGGCAGGAGCCTTGGTCCATGTTTATCACGATGGCTCAGTCCTGGTCGCTCATGGTGGTACGGAAATGGGACAAGGTCTTCATACCAAAATGATGACGATAGCTGCTGAAGCGTTGGGTGTCCCCCTTTCAGACATTCATATCTCTGAGACTGCTACCAATACCGTGGCAAATACCTCATCCACAGCTGCATCTGCCTCTTCTGATTTGAACGGTTATGCAATCTTTAACGCGTGTGCCCAAATCAATGAACGATTGGCACCTTACAGAGAAAAATTCGGCGCTGACGCTCCCTTGAAAAAGCTTGCCAGCAGTGCATACTTTGACCGTGTCAATCTCTCTGCAAATGGTTTCTACAAAACACCAGACATTGGCTATGTGTGGGGTCCTAATACAGGTGAGTTTATTCTCCTTAAAAAAACTGTTTTCTTCTATGGGGGCTGAAGAGCCCGGAGCTGTTTCAGGAGCCTATATTCCAGCTCCCGAGACAGCTCCTACCCTCTTGGGCTCTGTCCCAAGTTCTGGGTTTTCACTATGCTAATAATTTGGCAGGTCAGATGTTCTTTTACTTTACGCAGGGAGTCTCGTGCGCGGAAGTGGAGGTGGATACATTGACGGGAGACTGGACATGCCTGCGTGCGGACATCAAGATGGATGTCGGCCGCTCGATCAACCCTTCCATCGACTATGGGCAAATTGAAGGAGCCTTCGTGCAGGGCATGGGTCTGTTCACCATGGAAGAGAGTTTATGGATGCGTGGGGGACCTCAAAAGGGAGGGCTCTTCACAAAAGGACCGGGCTCGTACAAGATCCCCGGCTTCCGCGACATCCCACAAGAATTCAACGCCTCGCTGCTCAAGGATGTGCAATGGGAGAACCTGCGTACTATTCAACGATCAAGAGGCGTAGGAGAGCCGCCATTGTTTCTGGGCAGTGTGGTTTTCTTCGCGATCAGGGATGCGCTGAAGGCGGCCAGGAAGCAGTATGGAGTGCAGGCTACGATTGGGGAGAATGTCAAGGATGATGGACTGTTGAGGTTGGAGAGTCCGGCGACGGTGGAGAGGATTAGGACAAGTTGTGTGGATCCTATTGTAAAGAGGGCGTTTGTCAAGCCGAAGAAGGGGGAAAAGAGCTTTTTTATCTCGATATGAAGATATTGTTGGAATAAGGGAGTGTCTTGGTACAGGACTTTGTACTAAGCGAAGAGGCTTCACCTACCTACAATAAATAAGCAACATCAACCAGAACCCAGACCAAGTCACACTAGCTAGTACGAAGTGATCACACCTGTGATACCAGCATATATTATCGATTGAGGGATATTGACGACGGAGCAGTTGGAATGTCTGATACCAGGTTGAATAGTGGTCTTTCAAAACCCAATTGAGTTGAGACACTATCAATCATTTCGAGAAAATATACCGCTGAGACCGACCCTTCACTCACCAACTCGAAGCGTGCCGCTGAATGAACTTGGTATACGTGTTTTCATTTCCATAACTCCAGTACTCCTTCATTTCGTTCTGAAGACTTTTATCTACGCTCACGGTTTCCACGCGGCGATTTCATAACCCTACCACCTCTAGACCCCGACCCTGACTGTCCATGTCTCTTGTCCTCTCCCAATCCCCTCCGTCCATTAGCAATACCACCCCTACCACTAGAGCCCCGGGACCCGCCTCTTCCTCTACCCCTTCCACTTCCACCCCTGAAAGCCCCTCTCGGGTTCCCAACAATCTTCGTCTTAACAGCTTTTATATCGTCTTCATCCACATCCATCTCATCATCCTCATCCTTACTCTTCTTATTCGAGAACTTTAATCTCCCACCCCTACCCCTCTGCACCGCATCCCGGCCCTTGATCGCATTAACATATGCACCGACTCCTCCCTCTTCTCCCTGGCCTTCTGCAGGCGTATCAAGAATCATCGCATCATCATCGCCATCGCTGTCCTGCCCAAGCAAAAGCTTGCCATCCAAATCAACCTTCGCTTTCGTCCTGCCAGGCTGTCGCTGCTTGAGAGGTTTCGTAGACGAGATGTTGGCCAGCGCTTTACGGTCCAGAAGATCCAGCGGCTCTTGCTCATCTTCAACGATATAAGTATTGCCGCCCTTCTTCGCGGCCTTCTTGTTCTTGCCAAGAACCTCATCGTCGGAATCATCAGAGCCATCCGATTCATCGTCGCTGCCGTAAACAGCTTCATCGTACTCGCTCTCAAAGCGTCCCTTCTTCTTTGCGTTTTGTGGTTCTGCCGCTTCATCATCATCATCGCCAGCTGCTTTCGCCGCCTCCTTGTGTCTCTTATTCCTCTCGCGCGTTTTGCGGATATTAGCAATGAGTTTGCGGTCTTCTTCAGGACAATGCTCATTTACGACATCAACTCCAAATCTCCTCATCATTCGCTCAAGGATATGCTTAACCTTAGCCTTGAAATGCGCTTTATGTTCATGGCTCCATACCATCAGATTCGGGATGAGGGTCTTTAGTCGAGGTAGCATTAGGTCGGTAGGTAAGGATATAACGCAAACTTTGACGAACCCGAGGACGCTGCGCACGATCTCGCGGTTCTTGTGCGTGAGGAAGAGATCCATGGTCTCAATAAGCTCAGCGAGCGTGTCTGCATTCAGCGAGTGGCGGAAATGATACAGGATGCGGGTTAATGCTGTGATGGATGCGGACACCATGTGTGAAGCGCCACCTGCGAGACCAGCTGTCACCATGGTGAAGAATTCCTCGAGGTTCGCAACGACGGGCGGTGCGTCTTCAGGCATATGCGGGACTTTGCTGTTGTCAATTGTGGAGCCGGATGCGGATACCATTTTCTCGCCCATGAGGATGAGGAGGTCGAAGGCTGTTGTGCGGGCCCGCTCGTTGACTTCTTTGCAAGAGATTACTACTTCGGAGAGAATTGTGGGGATGAAATGGAGGGAGGAGTTGGGGATGAATGGGACGAGTGTTGAGATGGCTGATAGACGGTCTTTTCGCGCTGGTGGTGAGACTTTCTCTGCGCTGTTCACGAGTAGCTGCTGGAGTTCAGAGCTTCGTTCGTTCAAAGCCAATTGACCGAGAGGGGACTCGGCGAGTCTTGGGATGAGTTTGTATGCCTTCTTTTGCAACTGCGGATCGCTATCCATGACTATAATGACAGATGAGATGTTGAAGAGAGTAATGAAACTCTCTCGAGGTAGGTAGATAGCGATAGTGATGACCAGATCCATGAGAGTATGGCTCATTGGGGGCATCTTGTCCACGGCGTTTTGCTCTTTCTGCTTTTGTCTTTCCGCTTGAGTCTGTGCTGCTGATTCTGTGAGAGACGATTGTAGGGTTGTAGTAACTCTCTCGAATGTCTCCATGAGCTCCTTAGAGGGAGTAATGCTCAGATAGGCGTTGATGCATTGCAAAATATAGCCCCTGTATTGAGGCAATGTTTGGCTGTAAACATTGAACAAGACTGCAAGCATGTTACTCGCAAAGCCAGACAGATAATCCAGGTTCTTCTGGGCCATAGCCTTGGAAACTCGACTTTGCAGGACAAGATTATCCTCAGTCTCAATTGCAACAATAGCCTTGTTAGAGTCTACCAGGGTCTGAAGCGCCCTGCAGACATCAGAACGGAGTTCGACTTGCTTGTACAGCAAGTTCGCTACCAATTCCGCAAAGCCTTGGTCAAAAGAGTCCGCGAGATCAAGTGGCAGATCACAGTATCCAGGTAACAGTGCCCATATCTGCTGAACAAGGGTTTCAAATATTTTGATCTCCATGGTCTTCTCAGCGTCGCCGTTGTCAATGACACGCTGGAACATCATCTCGCTGAGAGGAACAAACTCGGTCTTGAAGTGCTGCAAATTCGTATTGCTGACGTAGTCACGCAGAATGGGAAGCAACCAAGCTCGACCCGGTTTTCCAGCTTGTGGCTTTGCCAAGTTCAGGGGTATAATGCTCAGAACGCTTTCTGGGCCCATAGCCCGAATAGCTTTTCCGAGAATCTCATCGGCCTCTTTCTTTCCAGCGAAAGAATCATTTCCACGAAGCTCGCCAATAGTCTTAACAACATTTGTGAGTATCGGGTCAGCTCGCCATCTCAAGCCATCGAACATTGCTCCTATCACGTTGAAAGTCTCCATCCAAGCGGCTTGGTACTTCACGCTTAATAAATCCACGGCCGCTTTTGCAAGCTTCTCTAAAACCTTCTCGTCATAAATTGAAGGCTCTAATAACACCGAGTCTGGAACACAGTTTGCCATGAATGAGATCAAACACTCTGATGCTGAAACTCGAATATTGTGAGATGAAGACGTCAGGAATGATGAGATCATATTGAACAGCTCGGGGAGCTTTTGGAAAGTCTCGTCTGGTTCAATCTGTGCGGAAACATCATATCCTCTCGAAATGACAGCTATCCATGGCGGTAAAAGCTGTGAATCGTTCTGCGAGGGTCTGAGTTCTGATATAACTTCGAGAAGTCTGGGAAGTTTGGCTGAGGATTCATCATCTGCCATGCCCTCGAATATGATTTCAAAAACCTCGAAAGCAGCCATAGTCATGTATTCGTTACTCGATTTCGAAATATTGAGCAGAACCTCGCACAGCTCCTCGATCTTCTTACTTGGCCAACCACCTGATGCCGAAGCTACCGTCTTTACCAAATGTAAAGCGTGTATCATCCCTGGCTCATGTTCAGCCGGTCCACCCTTCTTCTGCTTCTTTGCTTGATTCGAACTAGACGCGAGGTCACTCAAGCTCTTCAATGCGGCTTCTGCGCACATATCGGCTGCTGGGTGATCACTAGATGGGCTCGGTGGAGGATTCTTTAAAACTTTGACAATAGCTTCTTGTGCCCGTCTCCTGATTTTGGGCCTGTGGTCTACAGCCAGTCCTAGCAGGCCAGCCAGAGCACCTCGAGGTCCAATCTGTGTTTGAGGTAGATTCCATGATGCCAGATCTTGTGCTAGCAGTGATGTCTCAAGACAGCCCAAGCATGGTCTGAGGAGAGGAGCGTCGGCTTCGGGGAAGTTCAAGGCGGGGGCGAGATAGGTGACGAATTGGGAGAATTTCGATCGGAGTAGGGCCTGCGGGGCATAGGGCGCAATAACATCTAGAAGGTATATTGCTGGAGTTGCTAGATCTTTTTTTACCCCAGTGCTAGAAGTGGCTTGTCGGAGAAGGTCGAGAAGAACAGCAAAATAAGCTGTAGGGTCCGCCTCAGATTTTTGGGCTTTGAGGGTCTCGTCAACACTGGAGAGTACAATTCGAGTCTGAGTTTTGCAATTAATATTATATTCATACTTGTTCATGGGGGCATTTATATATACATACCTGTTGTTGCCCCTCCAGCTTGGGCGATCGAATCTTGTCGAGCTTTTCGGCGAGAGACATCTTGAATTCCTGTGTTGGGCTCTTGCGCCTGGCTGCTGGATTCTTTGGAGGTTGAAATTCGACAAACCACACAGAAAAAAAGTTCTGTTATCGGTTTATCGGTGGGTCAGTCGGTCGGCCCCAAATGCTGACTGCGACCCCGTACCCGTACGACTAGGACCTCGTTGAGTCTAGCTCTAATTGGCTTCAGTATTGATGTCTCATTGGCTGTGGCATGAGGGTTGGAGGGGAGCGCAATTTCAAGAGCTCATTGCTTGTCGTTCCTCTGCCTTCTCCTGTCACCATCTTCTACCTACCTTACCCATATCTGGCTTCATCTGTACAACCATCTGCAAACATTACACCTCTTGTAATTTTGGCTATTTTTCTAAATACTCGCACCTAGAGTCCTTCCTTGACTTTTGTCGCCCTGCTTCTTCAAGTATCTTCAGCCTTATCAGCGAACCGGACGCATCACTTCTCCGAAGCCTATTTCACCTTCGCCTCCACCTCCACCTTTGTTTCTACGGCTTCATACATCCTTTAATCAAGTTGCCATTATGCGCTTCTCTACACTTTCTATCTTGGCTCTCCCGCTCCTTGCGGCTGCTGCGCAAGAAGATACCCCACTCGAGCAGGCCAAAGCTCAAGCTCAGTACTGGTTCGACAAGGTCTCATCCTACATTCCCAACCCGAATAAGGCGCATACCCCTCATGCTGCCACTGCCAAAGCTGGAGGTAAGACTCTCAAGGTATTGTCTCTCCACGACTGGGAGCACACAATTCGATCAAGCGTTACGCCCGCAAGCACCACCCCCGAAGAATGGTGGATTCTCGTTACTGGAGGAAACAAGACCTGCTTCGGCCACTGCACTGGTGTAGAGACTGCTTTCAACGAAACTGCAGCTCTCTGGTCTGTCAACCCAACTACTCCGCAACTCGGATACCTCAACTGCGATGACCAGCCAGTCCTCTGCAACTCGTGGGCTGCCGGTCCACCATCTCTCTGGATCGTAGAGGTCTCAGCACCACCTGCGCCCGTCGACGTTCGCGTTAAGTCGTTGAACGCTACCGCCACTACCGTGCAGACCTTCACGGATCTTCACTCCACCAAGGAGTGGAAGTCGAAGCCTCTTTACGAGGGTTACTTCCACCCATTCGACGGTCTCTTCGCCCAGTACGGCCTCGCTGTGCCTCTCGGTTACCTTTTCTGGGGTTTCGCTTTTATTCCCAGCTGGATGTTCATGATTGGTATTTCTTTCATTAGCAGAACCTTCATGTAAGTCCAAAGATCGGTGTCAATAGATAGATGCTAATTATTCCTAGGAGCAACAGATCCGCTGGTCCTAACCCAAGAGCTGCAGGTGCTGCACCAGCTGCTGCTCCCGCTAGAGTAGGCAACCCTTGAAGACGCCAATAACATGTACTAACTAACATTCGTAGTAAAATCGTTCTTGTAAGTGTATATTGGAATGGAGGAATGGGAAACGATGGGAAGGGAGACTTCTGTCAGGCCCAACAAACAAATAGTGATAAATAGTAATTCCATTGGGGTATCAAAAACGCCGATTTCTATCATGTATCATGTCCTCCCGTGATCATTTATCTCGTGTCGCAAGAGTTCTCCAACCTAGAAAGACCTTCAAGGACTTCTTCACGGAGCTGTCCATTCGCCAATCGTCCGTACCGTAGATCACTCAATCCCCCAACAGTACTTCTCATCTCTTCCAGCAGCGCTTCTGCTTCCTCGTCAAGCCTTCGAATTTCTTCTTCAATATCTCCTGCGGCACCCTCTAGTTCTGGTAATATCGACGTCAAGGTATGTGACTTGGAGGAGGATAGATTTGACGTTGGGCCGAAAAGCTACAACAATTAGGATTCTGGCTCCAGTTTTTTTCTCTAGATGACTCTGAACTCACAGCATTCTCGATTTCCACTTCATCATCCGGATCCTCCTTTTCCGACTCTCTCCGCGCCTTTACAACAGCCCGCCGTTGCGCATTCCCTCTCTTTGTCTCCGCAGCTATGTTGCGGGCGACTGCATCAGTGATTTTGACGCGCTGGTGCTGTAAATCGCGGTAAAGTGCCTTGATCTGAGGAGAGGATTGCTGGGAGCGGGGAAACAGCTCGGTGAAGGCTTTGAGGGAGATGATGGTCGGTAGAGGTGCGGGAGGAAGCAGAAATGTTGAGAGTATCGTTGCTTCTGTTGGCGCCATAATGGAAAAAGTGTGTCTGGCAAAGATAGAGCAAGATTTAAGCAGCTAGAAGGAGTGAAAGGGTTTTCTGATGTGAGGGCAATCAATGCGCCTGGCCAATGTGTATGTCGGACTTGTTGGATGAATGTTGTTCCTTTGCGCGCGTTGCAATTTAGCCAGAGCCACCCCTACTTCTTCAACATAGCAAATCGGATTGCAACCAGCCCCAAGAGAATCAAAGTTTTGTCTTTGGTCGTGTTGATTTGATCTTCAAAAGGTGGTTGTACGAAAAAGGTCGAGCGCAGGGGCGACGCGACAATTCCAAGCGCGTTTTTGACGAACTTTCTGACCTCTCATCATCTCGCCGCGCTGGTCCCCTTCTCCCTCCTACACAACACGTGCCTAACTTTCAGGATAGATCGACTTTGGAAGTAAAGGCATATTTGATTACCGGCGCGACCTTGGAATATCATACTTAACGAAAATGGCACCTTCCAAGTCAGCTGCGGCGGCTCCCCCCTTCTCCAAGAACGAGAGGGTCCTCTGCTTTCACCATGACATGCTGTATGAGGCAGTAGTTTTGGAATCACGAGCAACGGAGGACAACACTTCCTGGCAATACAAAATCCACTACAAGGGATGGAAACATACTGTCAGTATCCCATGATTTTATTGCTGTTCTGCCATTGCAAAATTCGGGCCCGATCTGGTCAAGTGCTTCCATAGTTGAGAAGCACGGGGGAGAGAGCGAGATGGAGGAGGGAGGTCGTCACTTCCAAATCAAGACTGCTTGGTTGGAAAGCGAGGAACTTCGCTTCCACTTCGCCCTTCATTTGCATCTCCTCCTCAAACCCGCATTCTTCAATTTGCATCTCCTTGGTGCGGGACTGCGAAAAATGCACCGTTCCCTGAAAGACGTGGTGAACCCTCCTGACCATGTGACGAATAACCAGTGGGATGATTGGGTTCCTCAAGACCGAGTGAGAGAGTTCACCCCCGAGAATAAGGAGCTCGCAGCGCAGCTCCATACACAGATGAAGGCTCTCCAAAAGATTCCCAGATCCGCGGTGAAGAAGGGCGGAAAGACAAACGGCTCCGACTTCAGTTCGACACGAGGCAGTGAGGAACGTCATACCTCTGCCGCTGCACCAGGCGGAAGAGGACCACGGAGAAATCGGGACTATGATTTGGAACATGTCAGTATTCCCCAATTCACTTTCTTTGTGTTTGTTTTCGTTGTGTGCTGCTTTCATTGTATTGTATTCATTGTTTGGGCTCTTGCGCCGGCTCGCGGACTTTTTTCGCTTGGACCCTTCTTTGGCAACTTCGCACCTGCTTCCCTTTCCACACCCACAACCTCCAAATGCCAACCCCGGCCATACCACCCAATTGCTCCGTTACTGCGCCAAATCCAATAGATCTACACTCTATCCTGTAAAATACATACGGCCTCGGTTTTGGGTTGGGGTACGTAGGAGATCATGGATGCCGTCCTCAGCGTGTCGCTGACCCCCATGACTTCGGCTGCCACACTACCACTTTCGTCACCCTCACTCTCCCCCCTCTCCTCATTGGGGCCCTCCGGCGATGAGGTCGACGAGTCTGATGCAACTGATACGGCAACACGCCCCCTATCAAAGCGCGTAAGTTGCAACCATTCAAAATTCTACTCAAAATCAATCACTTACACCCTTTTCAGCCTCGGGAAGACGAAGCACCCGTCTCTCCTCCAGCAAAACGTGCACGCCGCATCATAGCCAAGGAAGGTGTCGCTACTAGAAGTACTAAAACCGCCATTGACGCTCCTTGGAGCATACCTGGGAATCCCGAATGGGACGTCCAAAGAGTTCTCAATACTGAAGACTTGATGGTCGACGACTATCTGCTTAAGCTCCCAGATCGCAACTTCAGTTATATTGCCAATAATGGCCGACTTAAGAACCCTGATTTCTATGGTCAATTTTCGCAAACGAAAACGGAAATAAGGAAGAGAATTCATCCAAAGCTCCAGGAACATATCAACAAGAAGACCGACACCCCTGCTGTTTACCGATACTACAAAGACTTGCCACATAACATCACTATGCCAATTGCTGGGATCATTTTTGAAGACAAACCTGCAGATATCGCACAAGTCAGTGGTCCCTCTAGTGAGGGTTATCCGTCGGAGAAAGCTTCTGTGTCCCAAAAGCCCGTGGGCATCACGAAACCTCGCAAAGTAGCATGGGTATTGAGATCTCCCGAACCACAGTTGCAAGGTTCAGAGGTCGCTTCCGAGTCGGACAATTGGCGATTCACTTTAGTTCCGCTCTTTCCTGATCGCAAAAGATCTGAAAGGAAGCCTTTCGAGAAGGAGTTTAGCTGCGAGATTATTCGTAATGCAAGACGGAAAAGCGGCCAATTCTCTAACAAGAACCAGGAAGAAACATTTCACGCTCGGCCTTCAATCCAACTCCCTATTCCCGACCACGTCAAGGCAATCCTAGTCGACGATTGGGAGAATGTCACCAAAAACCAACAGCTCGTTCCCCTTCCTAGCACTCACCCCGTCAGCGAGATTCTAGACGACTATTACAATTATGAGAGCCCACGACGAGTGGAGGGTAGTTCTCACGCAGATATCCTGGAAGAAGTGATCGCGGGCTTGAAGGACTACTTCGAGAAATGTCTTGGACGCGTTCTTCTCTACAGGTACGATACAGCGTTGACTGTTTGGTGATAAATCTAACATAGTTTTGTAGATTTGAGCGTGCTCAATACACCGAGGTTCGCACTGCATGGGGTAGCAGCCAAGGTCCACTATCGGGAAAGAGTGCTGTTGATACTTATGGCGCAGAACACTTGTCTCGTCTTCTTGGTAAGCTTAGACTCAATATCTCGGAATGAAATGCTGATACTGTATAGTCTCCCTCCCAGAATTGATTGCACAGACCAATATGGATCAACAGTCTGTTAATCGTCTTCGGGAAGAGCTCATTAAGTTGACAACTTGGCTTGGCAAAAATGCTGAGAAGTACTTTGTCAAGGAATATGAGACCCCAGGTGCAGACTACGTTGAGAAGGCCCGTGGCGGCGTTTAGGGAACGTCATCCCAGCCTTTGCGCGACAAAGTCTCCCATAACAAACGTCACCGTAAACTTGTCTGATTTCGAAGAAGTCGTTTTGATTGCAGCATAATACCGGAGCATGGAGTCAATGGTCTGAATTTACATATATGGAACTTGGGACCAGCGAAGAGGCATTTGCATGGTTGTGCTTTGTTGCGGTATCTGATTCTCTCGAGCGCGGGATCATGATTGTTAGGGTTTCACGGATGAGGACAGGAAGCAGCAAACTCTAACGAAGCTTGGCTTTCACTTTAGTATTTTCTTCTGATCGCTGCATGGTGAGACTCCACAGATGTACTCTATTCAGACACTGTAGTAATTGAAACAAATCATACGTGCTATCTTTTCAATAGGGCGGGCGGACTGTCTATCAATCTCCACGTCTTTGTATCCAGCTATCCCAATCATCCCCGTGGTCTCTAATTCGGTGTATCTCATCTATAATAATGGAGACTGTCACCCTACGGTCTTTGAGGACAGCGATGGCAAATATCCATTCCTCTACAATCCACATATTCTTCATATCTTCCGAGGCATCCTTGAAGGATATGTCCCCACCCCTATGACCATCCCAGGAAGTAAAGACATCGTTGATTTCCTTTTCGTCCAAGCTAGAAAAGAATTTATTGTCTAGGCGAGGTTTGTTAGGCACGAAGCTCTAGAAGACTCCCAGTTCCGTGGAAGAAATGACGGCTCGAAGCCTCGTCGGAGGTTGGTCAAATGGTTGCTGTTCTTTTCCATGCTGAGGCTAACTGGGTCGTTGTTATCTAAACTGAATTGGTATGGCTCTTCGTCTGATCCTGCATGAGAGTGTCAGGGATTTGAGTATGTGAGAGTGTTTATATATTGTACAGCGACCTCTAGGCTAGAAGATCCTACTCAATTCTCTTCCAAGCCATCTTTGTATGTTACAATATTGAGACACATGAACCAAAACTCCTTAATCATCTACTCGTTGCAAGTGGTTTCCAGACTCGAGGCGAGACGATTTGAGGAAGCGCTGTTCAAAGACTCCATTGTGACAACGGCCCCTTCCCAGTCCCATTTCGAACCAAGTCCAAATCTCCGCACTCCCAAGTCTCATCACTTCCTCTACCCTCTATCTTGCACAGCTTCATCACTCCACCTCATCATCACCTTGGCGCTGCGCTCTCAAGATAAAATCCGGGATCTGGTCTCCGTTCCGCCTTCACCTCACTCTTCGTTAACGCCTTATCCACCTCCTGCACAGTAACCAATTCCTTGACTCTCATGATCTGACCAGCGACTTCGGGTGTGACAGGATAGAAGACTGTTGTCATGCGGTGGCGTAGGCCGAGGGCTTTGAGGACGCCTTGAGTACGTTTGGGCATGCCGATGCCTGAGCGTGTGAGGGTTATGCGGAAGTATGACATTGTGGTGTAGCTAGAATTGGCAGCGTGTTAGGTAAATATTGTATTAACAGGGAATAAGTAGGTACCTTTGTTTGTGAAGAGGCCTTTTGTTGTTGGGCGCAATTGAGGTTCACAAGCTCGAGGTTGCAGAATTTCTTGACAGGCGATCGAACGAGCGAGCTTCCGCGCGCTAGACCCCGGATTCCACCACACGACAACGTTTCATCTTTTGTCATAGCACACGTAACTCATGGTATGAAGGTCCGAACCAACACACTTCGCAGCAGCTACTTGCTCCCGCCCTAAATATGGACAGCTCGACAGTCAAGCTCGCCGAGCTGCTCCGGCATCCGGACGACCTCGATAAAATCCCCGCCATGAAGTTAGAATACACGCGGAAGAAGGCCGCGGTCGACTCGCAGCTGCGCAGCGGTTTAAAAGAGCAATTGGAAATCACTCAATCTGGCATGAACGGCATCACAGACGGGCAGAGAACAGTCCAGCTCATCAAAGAGGAAATGATGAAGATCGACAAGCTATGTGCTGAGTCGCAGAACATGATCCGTGATTTTCCTAACATCAATCTGGTCTCGGAGACGCATAGGAATTTCAGCGCGGTGGAAACAATGAGGAAGAATTTGGATAGTTTTAATGATCGCCTAGGCCAGGTCGAGATGATGCTGCAGGAGGATGATAGGGATAAGGAGAACATGCCGAATTTGCTGGCGGTGCACTATGAACTGACGCAGCTGAGGAACATCAGGGATGATGCTATGGAGCAGATTTTGCGGGCGGACGATTCGAGTTTACAAAGTACGCTGGTGGACTACTTTGCGAGGTTGGACGAGACGGTGGATTGGTTTGATGAGCATATTGGGGATATTGCGTTGAATCTTATCAATGTGGTTATAAGTGGAAATAATGGGCTGGTGGTACGGTTTGCAGTCATCATTGAGGCGGAGGAGAAGAGTGATAAGAGGGTGAAGGCGCTGCAAGAAGCGTTGAAGGATCACAAGGAGATGGCGGCAAGGTTTCAGAGCATTACGGATGGAGCGAAGAAGACCAGAGGGTATAAGGAGAAGTTCTTGGAGGCTATAGAGATACATGCCGATGAGCAAGCTATGGAGACTAAGCAGGCATTCTTGGAGGATTCCTCGAGGTTAGAGAAACAACTGAAGTGGTTTTTCAACGACCTCAATGCTGTCAAGCAAGGAGCGGCTCCACTCATGCCGAAGAGGTGGAAGATATTCCAGATTTATGGGAAGATATACCATAAGCTCATGCACGACTTTCTTGTTGGCATGATCGATGATCCGGATACTGATTCTAGCCACATGCTGGCTATTCTCAACTGGCCAGAAAAGTACTACATGAAGATGGGAAAGCTCGGGTTCAACCAAGATGATTTATTACCGCATGTGATAGATTCAAGGGAATCTGAAATGGTTAGGGATTTCCGGAACAAGATTATCAAGTTCCTTGATCAGTGGCTTGAGAGAATCTTTGCAACTGAAAAGAAGGATTTCGCTGAGAGGAATGTCGACGGCTCGAATCTGGACACGGATGAAAACGGTTATTTCCGAACCAAGAACCTGATCGATATGTGGCGTATGCTGAGAGAGCAACTTGATGGCGCTGCTGGCTCAGGAAGGCAGGACGTTGCTGAAGGTGTTGTGGATGCCATGATTCTACGGCTGAAGAGCCGGCAACAGGCTTGGCAGAGAATGCTCAACGATGAAGCCGCTCGGTATTACAGCACTACTTCAGAGCTAGAAGGCTTTCAAGCTCTGCAAGATTGGCTTGTTGCTACGGCAAACGATCAGATTGCCTGCATTGACGACAATGAAGAAGCAGGGCAGTTTGCATACCTTAGCAGTTTCCGACAGAAGTTCGAACCCTTGGTATCACCTCAGTACCTAGAACGCGCAGATGAGGAGATTTCTAACCTCCGGGACGGTTACGTGGATCTCAGTACGCACTGCATTGCCAAGTTCGCACAGCTTATTTTCGCTGTGGATTTCCGGTCTGTGATACCTGATTTTTTCACTATAAAATGGTATTCGGCTACTGCTATGAAGCAAATGGTCGTCACTTTCGAAGAGTATGTCGGTGACTACAAGAGTGTCCTACATCATTCTCTCCTCGATATCTTTATCGAGGAATTAGCCGACGAGCTGCTTATCCGCTACCTCTCAAGCGTCAGGAACAAAGGCGCCAAATTCAAGCGCCAAGATCCGTTCAAAGAGAAGCTATTCAACGATGTCTCTACAGCTTTCGAATTCTTCAACAACAGCAGCTATCTTAGTCCTGATGTCTCTGATACAATCAAGCAGAAGTGGCGGGTCACTGAACCCTTTTTACAGCTCATTGAAGCTGATAAGTCTGTGGTTCCGGAAGTCTTTGCTAATTTCAAGAGTGATTACTGGGATTTGCAGCTTAGCTGGGTGGAGGCTGTGTTAAGGACGAGAGATGACTTTGATAGGAGTTTGCTGAATGCTGTCAAGGCGAGAGCGGCACAGATCGACGTGGTGAGAGGCTTGGAGACAATTATGAGCAAGGTTAAATGAGGGGCTTACTGTCTGGGAAACTCGGTACGTTTTTAGCGGGCATATGGAGGCGTTGGATGGGCTCAATGTATGTTTTAGGTTATATGTAAAATCATAGAGGGTTGGGATGACAATGGAATAGCCCTACTTACTTTACTCTCCCATTCCCAGTTGTGAGAGCTGATTGGCGGGCTTTATTTATAACTTCATCTATTACAGAGACTTTGTGGTCGACGGGTCAAGGTTATCGAAGTGATGCCATGGCCATGGTCCCCAACTCTTTATTTTTGTTTAATGGCGTCTTAAATTGACACCTGAAGCTGCGATGTGCGACTTGATGCCTCTCTCGAAGATAGTCTGCAAGTGCCATGGCGCCCCTTTCTCCTGACTTTCAGATGAGTTCCCAGTCACGTGCACTACTGTACGCGTCAACCCAAGCTCGCGAATCGAAAGCGCGACCGAGATTCGCCATCAACAACACGACCATCACAATTATGGTAACTCCTAATTCTGAAGATTGAAAAGAGATACTGACATGACTCAGGCCCCAGAAACAGAAGTCCTAAAGAGAAAGCGCTCTCGTCCCTCGGACTGGTGGGCAGCAAGTCCCGCAGCATCAACAGCGACCCCTCTCCAGCAAGAGAAACCCGCGCGCGCGCCTGCACCCGCTCTGAAAGCCCCAAAGATTACGCAGCCGCGAAAGAAGCAAACAGAAGCAGCGCCAGCGCCAGTGCCAGAGCGAGAAGGACTGAAACGAAAGCGCTCCCGGCCTTCGGATTGGTGGGCAGCGAGCCCTTCGATATCACAGTTGCAAGAGAATCCTAATTCGTCGAGGGGTATTGATAGTTTATCTGGAAAGCGAACAGTGCAGGATGCGCCATCGGCTGGGAATAGAGGGAAGACGACGAAGACTGGGGGAGAGGATAAGCCTGTGAGGAAGGGTCGTTTATCAAATGCAAATGATGAATTACAGCGTAGTGAGAAGAGAGACACTAGGAAGAAAGTCAGCTCTGCTGTTTCGCAGGTTGAAGAGGCAGTCGAATCTGAAAGGCCTAGGAGGCGCGGCCGAACTTCTAATGAAAAGGCGGAGGTTCAAGAGGCAGTCAGACCAATGGCTAGGGATACTGGAAAGAAGACCAAAACTGAACGCCCCTCAGGTGGTAGTGCGGAAAAACAATCCAGCATTGAAGAACCAGCCAAGGATAAGACTAAACGGAAGAAGCCTACTGCTACTGATGTCGAGGAGGAAACCAGAGGGAGAAGGCGCACGCGACGATCCGATGCAGACATTCAGGAGCAATCTCCAATCGCTTCACCTCACGAGAAGAAGGGCAGACGGGTTCGACATTCGGGTGAGTTTGTTGGTGTGGAAACTGCTTCATCAACTTTTGGAAAAGCCAGAGCACGGCCAGAAAAGCCTTCGACTGCTGAAGCAGCACCAAGACCTTCCAGATCCAAGAACCATAACGAGAAGTCAAGTTTGGGTCCTTCAAAGAAGAGTGGCCACGCAACTGCGAACGTTAAGGGAGAGACTGCGGGTCGTTCATCCAACACCGAACGTCTTGAGCGTAAGCGTAAAACAGTCGAGAGTAAGGACATCATCCCGTGATCTATCAGATTGAAGGCTAATATATTATCAGAATCAAAAGATGATCCTCCAAATGCAAAGCGTCGTCGGGTAAGTGAAGCCGTCCAGCAAGAGGAAAGAGAGACCCACCGACAAGAAAAACCTCCCAAGTATCAGCATTTAGCCAAAGTCACGCGCAAAGTACCTCCCCATACCATCCAGGCGAAATGGACATCACTACAAGCTAATTGTATTGAGCTTATTTCTCAGCTACTATCCGATGTCCAGAAACCAGTCATAGCCCGTCTTAAAGAGGAACAGAAGAGAAGTCAAGCGAGCACCATTTTGCAGTTCGTGAATCGTCGGCTTGTTACCAAACTCTCAAGAGGTCTGCCTTTTCCACAAGGGACACGTCCTCAACGGGAAGATGACTTCAATTTCGAGAAGATCCTTGACTATAACAGGGCTCTTGAGGCTCAGCTCACTCCTACGCTACATGCAAATGAACTTTTGGAAGACGAGTTGAGCAAGGAAACAATTTGGTTGGAATCGGAGAAAGCTATTTTGGCAGAGCTGGAGGCAAACGCAAAAGCCGCATCTGTCTCGAGGAAGCAAGCTGAACGAAAGCTTCATCCTCTACTTCGGTCGGAGGATTCGACGATAGAAGGAGAATATTTGGAATTTGGTCTGCATGCAGCGGTACCAATATCAGGCGTAAGTTGCCCCGCAAAGAGCTGGTGCTCTATTGAAAGCTAATTGTATTCCAGATATTTGAGGACGAGAATCTACAAGATATCGTGAAGGGCATTGAGAATCACATGGACAGCATGCAGGGAAACCTCAAGCAGGTTGAGGGAGTCAGTGATGCAATAGCGAAAAGCAAGGCAGCTGTGCAAGCTACATTGTTCGACCATTTAGATACTTCAAAGTACGAAGAGGTTGTTCTGGGACTTGAATAGGCGGGAATTTGGAGCAGAACAGGCAACCTATTACCTACATAGGTAGTTACGATGAAATGAGGTATGGGTTAATAATATAACCTTGCTTAACGGAGTACGGAATATTACATTCCCCAATAATGATACCCAATTGCCGTCACATGATTAATATCCGCTTTGAGCCTTTTGCATAATACATACATCGTACCTGGTCTGGCCTGGAGGATCCTGGGCTGGGGCTAGGGTCTACATTCTTGGCTTAGTCCGCTTGCCCCGCCTACTGTATGCCGATTGCGATTACTTCAATTTTCTAACAATCAGCGTCATCCAACAACACGACTCTTTTCACGCCTGCGATCGTCAGTTGAAACGGTGTGTGGTACATTCCCACCCTCCATGTTGTACACCAACGCTCTCCTAACAGGGAACAGGCTCGCAGAATTGAAGTACGTGGGCACGAGATCTATCCTGGTCCAGACAACGACAGCGCGACGTCGCAACCCGATGGAAGCTCTTGAAACATAGGCTCCGATGCCATGGACCAAAATGGAGCCAGCAACGGGGAGGATCCAAAGCCCAAGCTGGAAACCTCACCACCGGCCTCAAGATCGGGCAATGGCAATGGCAAAGGTACTGGTACTGGTACTAGTACCAGTACCAGTACCAAGCGACGGCGCAAGGTGAATCATGGTACGTCAAGCAGGCCCAGCTTCAGTGCTCTCTCTCTGAAACAGTCGCAGCAATTGCTGACCTTGGAACGTGTTCCTGCAGCTTGTGTGTATTGTCGACGATCTGTAAGTACTGCATTGGGTGCAAATACAAGAGGAAAACCTTGGTGGATGCACCTATGCGTAGGTGGTTTGGCAAAAGCTAATTCGATCTGGTACCTCCCTAGCATATGACATGCGATTTGGTACGACCACCTTTTCCAATATATGCAGCTACTCGTGATACGCAGTGTTGTATGACTAACCTGTTTCCGTTGCACAGGAACGCCCATGTGCCCGCTGTATAAAGCGAAATATTGGGCACCTTTGCCACGATGAACCCCGCGAACCGGAATCGACCACGAAGAAGTCCAAGAGGCAGCATAGCAGTTCTGCCCCGGAGGACGATGACACGGCACAGGATCAAGCGCAGACAAGCTTAGATAGTGGAATAAGCAATCCGGTCGAGGCTCCCCAAGATACATCGGAAGAAAGTAACCTTACACTGGGAACGTCAGCACTCTCCCAAGGTACTCCTTTACAACTCGTTCAACCGTCAGCTGTTTCGGGGATTCAAGCAAATGCTCTTAATAGCAATAGCAATCAATGTGAGTTCCCGACTAGCCCTTAGGCCGGCCTTTTCAGCTGTTGATGAACGCACAGTTATTGGATATTCAAACGACTATCTCGGGTCACAAAATCAGTATCAAGATATGCATAACTACCACCCCTCGTATATGTTCAACGCCCCAGAAGTCACGACCGAGTACAACCTCCTAAACGACTTTTTGAATAACAGCTTGCTCGACGACGGTGCATTGCTTCCTGACGATACCTCGAACTTTTATTCTGATCACTCTGGTGCTATGTTGCCAGGAGGAGCGAACAACGCCGCGGGAACGCAACAACCAGCTAGTCTAGGCGCACCAAGTAATGCTCAAGGCAGTTCGATATCACGGCCAGCCAGTGTTCTACCAACTGACAGGGCGCGAGAATACTATCTTCAAGCTGCGGATCCCACTGGAAACGATGCCCCTGAGGAGCGAATGCAACGCCTCCTTCGGGCAAAGTATGACGCTGGTATGCTGAAACCGTTCAATTATGTTAAGGGCTATGCCCGGTTATCAGCCTACATGGACGGCCATATACACGCAACCTCGAAACAAAAGATTCTTCGCCAGCTAGATCGCTTCAGACCGAAGTTCAGGGAGAAAATACATGCCTTGACAGATATCGAATTGATATATGTGGAGATGTGGTTCGAGCGCAGTCTTATGGAGTACGACAGAGTTTTTGCGAGTATGGCTATACCCGCATGTTGTTGGAGGCGGACTGGTGAGATATTTAGGGGTAACAAGGAGATGGCAGAACTTGTTCATGTTCCCATAGAAAAACTGAGAGATGTAAATAGCTTTCTTAAGGACTGTCAAACTTCTGCTAATACTGATGATAGGGCAAAATCGCATTGCACGAAATTCTTTCAGAGGAGTCTCTTGTCAATTACTGGGAAAAGTTCGGCGCGATAGCTTTTGACCAGACGCAGAAGGCTCTCCTAACAAGCTGCTCATTGAAGAATCCAGACGACCAGTCCAAGGATCCGACAATCAAATGTTGCTTTTCATTTACGATAAGACGAGATGATCACAAAATGTATGGATTTTTCCCTGCATCTACCTCGAGCTTCATGCTGACATTTCTACAGACCTTCCTTGATCGTCGGCAATTTCCTACCTCAGGAACCAGTGAAGCATTAAGTCCACTGGTCTTTTCGAGTAGATATAGGGCTTTGGGTATACCGGTACATACAAAAGTTGGCAGGGGTGTCGGGCGTTGGCATAGGTTTGGCGTCGGCTCGTGCAACCATTTGAGCATTGTACTGTATGTACTGTAGCTCCTTCCTTCTAGTATAGCCAAATAGAGAAAGAGCATTTCGCCTCTATTGTCCTCTTCATTTACGCGAGCGCTTTGGTCTCTTTCGCTGGGTATTTAATGCCCCATGCAGAGCTTGAGCAACGCGCCAGTCTTTCGCAATTATTATTTGCCTGAAATATCTCTGAAATTTTGTGCGAATTATATTCATTTCGATGTCTCGTTTGCCCCGCTATACCAGGAAACCTTGGCTGATCAGCCATCTACCCACGGTAGTACTCACATCGGAGAATTGTTTGGGCAAGGACTAGGAAAACCCCTGCCCAACTCGTGTACAAAGAGCACTTACATTCAGCTTGCTATTTTAGGTCTCGTAGAGGCTATGAAGTAGTAATGTATACGACTTATATCTGCTTCTGTCACTTTTATGGGATCTCGCAGGGAGTTACTGGGAATAGGTTCATATCCCTCAACCAGCATGCGAAGATTCCACCTTACAGTACCTCGAGTTTCTTTCGGTTGTATATTGCTATGTACAGTATTAATTATTTTTGCTTTCCCCTGTCCCGTCTCTGAAGAGATACTTTAAAATCAGAGCTTGCGCATAATGAGAAAACAATCAGGTACCATGTTTGAGACCCAGATTCCTCGTCGTTAATAAGGGTTTTCTAAGTTTCCTAACCTTTTTTGGAAACCCTGCAGAAGCAGAATCTCTCTCTATTTCTAAACTAATAACCTCCCAATTTCTAATAGTTGTAGGTGCAGCTTTTTTGCCGAGTCTACTACGTTTTTTGTTGGATATTTAGAGTTCGCTTCCTTCAATTTTCGTTCCTGCCAGATCAAGAAGCATTGAAAACAGCATCCTCGATAAATGAAGAAGACATCTTCGACGCGCCTCAATCTCTACAGCTCAGTATATGGAGCGCATTAATACTCTTCTTGCTCCGTGGACCAGCTACCAACGGTAGGATAAATCAAGCCGCAAGAGTCGACTCTCATCATGGCACCAGCGCAGCTTGTTCATGTTGACAAAGAGAAGAAGCGCATCCAAAGTATATTGAGTAAGTTGTTCACCAAACCCGACACAAAGTTAGATTAATTAATGACTAACCTCGACTCAAGCTTTTGCAGCGGACCTAGAAGCTCAACTCCCTGCCGTCGCATCGTCAAGAACACCTGGAACCCTTCTCAGCGAGCTTGAAAAACACATAGCTTCATTTCCTAAGGGTTCTAGTCCAGCTGCCGCCTCAAGGTGCGAAGAGATTGACACCGCCGGCACAACTCTTTGGAATCTTTGCACACGACTCCTTCGAGGTCATGAGCCTGACAGCCCAAAGGATAGTCCGGTCATTCTAGTCACCGCACGCGTCCTTGCATTCCTGCTGTTGAATCATGCCTACCAGAATGGAGATAAAGCGGCTGGAGATATCTTGAGAATGATGAAGGTTGGGATCAAGGCCGCGAAGTCAAGTCTAAGTATGCGCCATCCCAAAGTTACAATACAATCCAGCTGACCACGCGCAGAGCGAAAAGACACACACCTCTCCGTGAGAGTTCTTGAAAAGGTTGCCCAATATGAAGAAGCACTTAAACTACCTCAACAAAATCTCCCCTTAGATGATGTCGAAGATCGTGAGAGACTGTGCGCAGAGTACTTCGTCCTTCGAACAGCTTTAGTATGCATATAACCCTCCATTAATCAATGATTGCTAACTTCACAATAGGCATGGCATCAAAAGCAGTTCGATGTTGCAGAACACATGTATACAAGATCCAGATCCTCAGAAAGAGTCTTCGACCCTCACACAGCAGAGAGCTTGGCAGATATTCTTTACGAGATGGGAAAGGATCTACTGGAAACTCAGCAGTATTCTATGGCCGTCAAGTGGTTGGAACGAGCCTACGAGGCATTAGAAAGTCAGGAACTCGACAGGCTTAGTATAAACGCCAGCGAACTTCGGATTTCAATCATACAGTCATCTGTAAAGGCGTTACTAGGATTGAAAGACGACTCCTCCCTGGGAAAAGCTCGGAACCTCGTCGATTTACTCCAAAACGAGACTGGAGATAAATTGGTCGTTTTACTTTTGAAGTTGGAGCTGTTAACTGCAAGTACGAGGGAGACATTCGACAGCAATTCCTATAGTGATGTCCTGCAAAGAATGACGCGGATCATGTCTCTCAGCGATACCAGCTTCAAATTAATTATGTTCCACATTCTAAAATTGAATGATAAGAGCCCGAGTCTTGCTTGCAAGGCACTCGAGGATCTTATGAGGCTTCGGATTCTCAACATGGATAAGGATGACTGGGTTGAGAAGGTCCTGGTCACTCGGTTGTGGATGAGTGTCACTCACAGAGATAGCCCTGAGGCTTTGTCGTCACTGGAAGAATTCTTCATCATGGTTGCGTCGAATGTCGACAAGCCAATAGGTACTACAGCCACTGCGGCAGCACATACGGCAAGTCTCCCCCTTTACAAGATCTAGTCAACACTAACATAGGCTAGTTATTATGGAAGCACATTGAGTCCAACTACGCCCAGACACAGTACGACATTGCTGGAAAATGGTGCCGATTAGCTATGCATCAGATATTCGAGAAGTCAGGGGAGCTCAACATGGCTCGACTATCGAGGTTAGTGGTGTCCAACTGGGACCAATGTGCTTGCTAACATGTATTGAGCAGAAAGCTCTTACTGTGTGCCTTGGCTAGAAAGGATATAAGCAGTGCCAGAGAGATCTTCGGGTCAATGTCAGCCGTGTCTCAAAATGAACCTATGACTAGATTCCTGATGTACAAGATTGCTTTACGCTCCGGAGACCACGAACTTGCGTCTGAAAGCCTCCATATTATAAGTTCATCTTCAAAGGAAGACCCTACCCTGTTATACGCTTGCTGCTTGGACGCTAGAGAGGTTGGAAACAAAACTACTATGCTGGCAGCGCTTCAGCTCGTCCTTGAAAAGCATGACTATGGAGCGCCTAAGATCATACACCTGCCATCACTACTTCGAATCACTATAGGTTTAACAGAGTCTTTGCTTGACAAGTCAAAGGATGTCGAGATCTTAGTCGATGCAGATGCCATCATCGAAAAACTGTGCAAGCTTTTCGAAGGGGGTAATTGCCCCAAAAATCCAGACCGAGATACCACTGACCCTCAAATATATAGCCGTGACTTCAATTCGGAAAACGCCCCCTAGTGGCCAAGGTACTAATGTATTGTGGTCTATTCCAGAACTGAACTGGTATTCCAAAAACTCATACAATCTTGCCCTAAAGCACATTTCAACCTGGCCTCTGCGGTCTAGCCTGAGGATGCTCACCTGCTGCGTAGCGTTCATCGACTACTACCCTAAAGATATAAATGAGCAAATAGCCGAAGATCTGTCACTACGCAAAATGTTCTGTGTGTTCTCCGCTGGAACAGCGCTTGTCGTTCTAGCCCGTGGTGAAGATAACAAAGAGCAATCTATGCAGGACTATCTCAGTCTACGAAAACATGTTAGTAGTTTTGACGAACTATTACAAGATAAGCTAGAGAAGCTTGAAGAGGGCCCAGCCCAAGACTTGCTGCAAAAACTCTCTGTTCTCTTGGCGTTCGACTTCGAAGCTGCTTGCCAACTGAAGGCGTGGGTCAACCTCCCTGCAGTTGTTGGGAGGGCGGAGATCTGTAAGAATATGCATGTTTATGAATTGATGGCAGACTGTGTTCTTAATGCAAAGACTCCTACCCAAGGTTGTTCCAACTGATACAAACTCAAGGACTTACTAACAACGAGCAGTTCTGGTCAGTACATTGAAGAATATCATCAATCAAGCCTGGTGTCTCGAATCAATGGACGGTACAATGTTAGCTAGATACATGCGATGCCTCTTCCAAGTCGCTCTTTCCGACAACGTTGAGATCGCAGAGCAACTCTTGGACCAAGTGCAACAACATGCCGATGAAGCTCAACATGTACGTTCTGCTCTCCGTCCACTTAATTGATTCTAAAAACCATATATTGATACGTGCTTAGACAGAGCAGCCATACCCCACAGCGGAGCTCGACTGGATTGCTAGCAAAGCCTTCAACCATGCCGTGGACCTTTACTGTGGCGGCCAAGACATAGACTGCAAGAACTGGGCGAGCAAAGCGCTGAATATCGCGCATTACTGTGCTGATAACGGAGCGTTGGAGAGGTTGTTCCAGACGAAGTATGCGGTGTTGAAATTTGATGCTTGATTTGCTTTGTTATTATGGATCTGCAGAAGCATACTTAGCTGGGATATGTATTCAAGAAATGCGGGGAGGAAACTTATTTTGCCGAAGATAGTTGACTTCAAGTGGGATATCTATAACCGAATAGGCTTTAGCTGGGCTGTGCTTTTATGAAAGGCAGGGAGGAATATGTATTTACTTGCAACAGTTGTCTTTAAACAGGACATACTATCAGTGGGATTTTATGGCTCATTAATACCTACCCTTACCTTTTAAGAGCCTTTACCCCCAAGATATCTACCTGTTCAGAGTCAATTGTCATCGACTTCTGTAGAACAGTACTTTCCGGAATAGTAGAAGCAAAGACATATCATAGAATCTTGACAGCAGATACTTGAATTTGGTGGGGGGAGGGGAGCGAGGGGGAGATATTGAGAGGAGGAACTCGCTAACGGTGGAGATAAAAGTGAGGAAGGAGTATAGATACTAACAAAGATCCAGTTGATTGTATATACAAATCCCTTCAAGTCAAGTGAAGCGAACAGAAGCAAGATATATAACAAGAAGTTGGCAAATGCCAGATTTTCAGACCCCAAGATGATTTTCAGACTCATAACCTGGTGCATATTTCGCTTCCACCTTAAAGAGCATCTAGCAAGACGCGCCAGAAGGAACATTCGAACATGCCGTACTGGTTGCCCCGCCCGTCACGTCATTCCCAGTCCAAGTCCAGTCAGAGCAAGAACCACTTCCGCACAAGATATACACATTCGTGCCCGCCGAGGTAACCGTGCCCGTGACATCGCTCACCGTCAGCCCTGTGATAGGCACACCTGTAGTAGCGGTGCCTGTCGGGCTGCCATTCTCGTAATCCTGCTCGATGACGATGCCATATTTGGTGATGCCGGACAGGGTGATGTCTTTGTAGGTGACGTCTTTGACGGTTCCCGTGGCGTCGTAGACAGTCTTGATGCGTACGCCGTTCTGCGAGTCTTTGACGGTGGAGGATGAGATGGTTACGCTGGCTACGTCGTTGTCGGTGCGCCCGCCTACGCTGCCGATGGAGAGGCCGTGGCCGCCGGTGCAGGTTCCGGATGTGAAGGTTATGTCTGTGCCGGAGTTGATGGCGAGGCAGTCGTCTTGGTTGACACTTTGGGTTGGTTAGCTTTGGCTGGGGGGTGAGGTGGATGGGGGAGGTTACATGGTAGCGCCGGTGATTGTTACGCCAGTGGAAGAACCGACATCAAAGGCATCAGTGTTATGGCCGAGTGATGTACCGGCCGAGTTGTCCATTGAAAGTCCAGAGACTGTTAGAGTAGTAGCATCATTAATGCTCATCAATTGAACAGGAGAATCCTTGAATGAGAGCCCGGTGATAGTCGAAGTAGTCAAGGAATGAGCGTAAAAGAACTTGGGTTTCGTTACGCCACCGTTCGACCCTTCTCCATCCCACCATCTCGATCCGTCTCCATCAATCAGTGAACCGCTGGCACCGGTTACAGTGATGGAAGTTCCGGACACAGAGACCAAAGGCCCACTCCATTCTTCGTAGCCGAAGGTAGTGGTGCCCTCAAAGGTGACCTGAGATGCGTGAATATATTATTTCGGGATGAGTAGGGACAGTGAACTTACGTGCGTTCCGCTTGTAAGATCAGTTAAGTCGAGGGTCTCGCCAGCTGGGACCACAACTGAGCTCAGAACGATGGTGGCACAAGCAGCCTTTGACACGCTCACAGCAGAGGCACCAGTAGACCCGGAGAAGGTACAAGTTGCTCTTTTGGCCAATTCGGGGGCTGCGGTAGGCTCTGGAGCTGCAACAGGAACGGCTGATACAAGAGATATGGCCGTAGCCGCTAGGCTGAGGATGGTTGAAAGTTGAAACATGTTTTGTGGAATATCAAAGTTAGACAGTTCCTGTAAGTGATCTGACCAAAGGTGTATTTGGACAATGGATGAAGTGGTGAGTGAATGTCTATTATATAGACCAGCAGAACGAGTGTGTATATATGAGTGAGTGAAATATAGAAGAAACTTAGGCTATGCAAGGTAACATCGATCTTTCTATGAGTTGTCGAAATGAGTAAGATCCATACTTGTATATTTTTCCATCCATACGAACAAACAGATGGACAACAACCATGGGTCTGCCGGGTCTGGAATCACAACCCGATCTTAGGATAGATCGGCTTAGCAAAGTTTAAAGTAGTCCAGTAGGTTGAGAAGGGGCAAATCCAGGCACTTGCTACCGAATATTTGTCAAAAAGCAAAGAAAAACACTTGGCGGATTCCACACTGATGGTTCAAATAAAGTGCCAAGTTATCCAGGAGAAACAAGCAATGGCAAGAAAGACTAAACAAACGATTTTCCCTGTCGTGGAACAATGAAATGGACAGTCAAAGGACGCGTCCGCCCTGCTTGGATATCACGATCTCAGTGGTGGAAACATGTTCAATCAACATCGAGACCTGACGTATCATTGGACATTTAAGTCGTTGTCGGCCTCCTCATTTGGAAATGCTGAATCAGGACCAGATCATCATTTTCACGTCCCAAAAAGAGACTCATAAAGGCATAATTTTCGGAAGCGACGTTGTCTCGAAAGCGTCCCGCCGTGTTTCAGGTGGAAATATTTCCAGAAGCCAAAAATACACGTTTGCGCGTGATACCAATCCAATTCATGAAATCTGGAGCGTAGTTGTTCCACGACTCGGAATCTTGTGGAATAACTTTCTCGGCAGTTTTGGGATATTCTACCGGATCTTTGAGTATTCCATGTGCCATTGCTAAGTTCTCTGTGGAGTGGAAATGCGGGGTAGCCTGTAGATTATTGTAGTTTTGCCGCGCTTATCTGGGGAAACATGCATTTGCACTTCAAAAGCCTCATCATAGGTGGATGGCGAGAGGAGGAACGGCCTGTGTTAATTTATCTTCTTCTTTTTCTCTTACAATTCAAATATCATACAACATCGCTCGACGCTCTTTACCGTATGCTGCTTTACACCCATGCATCCAATCCCCTAGTATTTTCACCACATTCAAGTAGTCAGAACTTTCCGAAGAAGCTTTCCGAAAACGCCCCTAACTCTCTCGGGCCTCTCAGCAACACACGTGAACACAACAGCCGTACTGATCGCAAAAGCCAACGTCTCTCGCCATTGATTCTCCAAAACATAGCGCCTAGGAAACAACGTAGCCAAGGCTCTAGGTGCAACGAAAAGACCGAGCTCCTTCCTTCTGCCTGCGGCTTCGATCAAGACGCTCCATCCGCAGAATGCACACCCAGAGCCTATGCATATGCCGGAATCAATCTGTTGGCGGCGAGGGATACTTGTTCCGAGTATACGAGGGCCGATTCGAGTTCGTGCGAGGCAAATACCGTAGTAATAAACTGCGATAAAAGTTCCGAGGAATGCCGATGAACGTGCCGAGGACTCCAATGCGTGTCTAAACCGTTTCTTGCTTGGCGTTCGCAATGTGAGGATGAGGTTTAGGGGGAGATATGTTGAGAAGGCCCAGAGGAAAGACCTTACCCATCTGGACAGTGCGTGTTTTTCACAGCTTTTCCCAACCCCCATATGCACTATTTCGCATGGATATGGGATGCTCTTGACGGGATCCCCGTAATCTAAGGGCAGGTTGTAGTCCTTGCACATCCCTTGAAGTACATGAGCCTGTCCTGTCTCCAAACCGTATTTTATCTCTCCGAATCGGACACGTCGGAGGGCTGTAAGCAGACGTTGGTCGACAGCAGCGGCGGACTTGATCCATTTGTTGTAGGATGGTGGCAGGCGATCCGGTGTATATACCCATGCCCACATGATTAACGCACATGAGCTAGCAAAGATCGAGGAGTCAGTGAGAGTTGATGCCAATTTCTCAATCTGTCCCATTGTTAGAAGGTTCCACAGCAACTGGGTATTTCACAAACCATCGTCCATTGGCCTGCCGCAGCTCGCCGACTCTTACGCTGGGCCCATAATTCCCCCACGATTACATCAACAGCTCGGGTGACGGCAAATAAAGTTAAATCCATGGTTCGACCTGCAAACTGTATGGGTCTAAGAGGTGCTCCCGTAGGAGTTGCTTCAGAAACATGGTCTATGAAGGCCTCGCTCTTTTTCGATTGGAGAAGTCTTAGACTAAACCAAGCTGCGATGAAGGTAGACATGCATCTTGCTAATCTGAAAACATATGAGTTAGTCGCGTATATGAATTATAATACTGGGAGAAGATATTAATGCTATTATCCAGGTAATTGTGTACAATGAACTGAGCCTCATGGCAAGGTTGCCACTTGATAACAGCTGACTGTATAGTGATCAGGAGTATTCTTACCTCAATTGTTCCAATTTCGACAAGGATGATGCTATCCGTGCAATTAATTTTCGCAATGGAATCTTGTGTAACGATTAGCAAAGAAACCAGAAACGGGGCGAATCACGTGCCTGGAGCAATGTTGAGCCTCCAGCGAGTGCCGCGCAGAAAGTGGAGAATCTCTGTAGTTCAAGTCCTCCTCTCAAGATACGGACAAGAGATGGAAGAAAGGCATCAACAGGTTTCTCATCAATATTCGTCCGCCTTAGGCTCAATGTAATCAAAAGTAGAGTAAGGAGTCTAGGGGTTGTGGACGAGATGTATCCAAGAACGTAGGCGCGCAAGAGGGGCCTGAAGACAGGAGGAACAGCCTGTTCCAACGACCTCGTAACGGCAACAGGAGCACGAGGTTGAGCAGAGGCTGCTGTCATGATAAGAGAAGGCTACATGTACCGTTTCTGCAATCAGCATCTCGATATCAAGGGGCAGTCCAGTGTAAACAACCGTGCAGTGTACGGATCTGCTTTGCATGGAAGAACGTCACTTACATTGACTGGGACTGGAGGCCGGGGTTGAGCATAGGCGCTGTCCAGATGTGGAAACGCCCCGGTACTCCGTACAAACAAGTATTAGTTGTTACTGTTATGGTTCGCTGCAGATGAAATTGGAGCCCCACGTATTATTGTCAAGTCGACAAAGCACTTTCGGGAGAAATGTTCTACGAAGTATGCTGCTCTCTTGGGGAATTCCGAATGCGAAGGGAAACACGAATTCGAGGCGGGGGTTGAGTTATTGAAGTTGATCTTAACGGTCCGTTTCCGCAGAGCAATCGGTGCAATTTGGTTATTTGAGGCGCAGTAGGGGTAGGGTTATGACACGGTAAGTGCCGAGTTGGCGAGAGATGAAAGAAGCGCTGCCTACAAAAGAAGGGGGGGGGGGGGATAGGAGGGGAGGGTATTGGGTTTATTTGTATAGTAGGTGCATCGGGGTTGTCGATATGGGGAAGTTTCCAAGCTTGGACAAAAGGGGTGAGGCTTGCTTTAGTCTATATACCGAGATGGCCACTACCCCAAAGAGATTCAAGGAATCAAGCATTGAGAGATATAGATTAAAGAGTGATTGATTAGGCAGTTAACAGTGTGTGCGCATGTCGGTAGAAGTATTATAAGAGATCTATAACAATGATAATAAGTATTTCTCTCATTCGGTATAGATGTAGGTACACGAGAAGTAAATACTGTGGATCACTTATTAGACTTTGGACTTGGCCCAGTACAGCCCAGAAAACGGTCAAGTATCTTACAAAATACGAGTACAGTACGGTAGGATTCTCTCTCAGATTCAACATTTCAACATTTCAACATTTCCAAGATGTTTCTTCTGGACTCGTGCGTGCTACACTAATAACGTACGTTAAGTGTAGTCGGTGGGCAGCTGGATTGACATGTGAACGGCAGCGGGGGCTGACTTGACTCGAGCTGTACATTGACGATCATTTGCGGCTGCGGAAGTTAAAAAGAGCCAGAAGAACATTGACAACAACGGCTCCGTGGGCCTAATCTAGAACTTGAACGAAACGAGAAGCAGAAGCAGAGATAGAAGAAGAACAGAGGCAGTATATAGACAGTACCTTTATCACACCATAAGCATTGCATTCTGTTGGGAAAATCATACAAGTAAAAGCAGAAGCTTTAAGCTACAACTGCAGACCCCAGTCGGGTCATACTGTATCATACCCCCCTGAGCTGCACTACTTCGCTCACACTTATTACTCCTTCCCCTCGATAGCCGGCCCGCCTGGCTGCAGCTCTAGAATTCCACCACCTCCAGAAATTCCTAACCTGCTTTGCTTTGCTTGCGGAACAACTCCAAACTATCCTCGAGCCCTTCCTGAGGGAGGACTGGATGTCGTGTTCTACTCGACTTTGTAGCACACGTCGCCGTCGTCCCACCACTCGCTCAAGTCAGATCTGATAGGGAAGCTTGATAAAAGTCCGGGGTTACATACAGTACATACATCCAATACGAACGAACGACCGACCAACACCACCACCATTCTCTGTCTCTGCACAGCTTCACGATATCATCCAGTCCGAACACATCAACCATACGGCACTCATGCTCGCGGTTCAGCGTCCCAGCATGGGTTCATCGAAGCCACCCAACCTGGATATGTCATTTGGCTGTAGGTCGAGCGCGAGCGCGAGCCCGATGTACCCGGAACTTTCTCTAACACAGAACTGCAGATGCCATCGACGCCAATACCTCGAATTTCCCATTTCCTCCACCTACAGCGCCGGGCCCTTCGTTACTCGACGACAATGAATCCAAATTCCTAGACAACTTCTTCGACGGCGTGAGCTCCGATCAATTCGACTACAATCTCTTCACAAATGCACCAGACGGCGCAGATGCGGGGTTTGGATGGGACGAGTTACCACCTACATTCATGGGAACAACGTCTTCATATGGGCAGCAATCTGACACTGGGAATCACGCATTACCAGATCTTAATTTCAACAATGGCATGAGTACACAAGTGAAGGCCGAACCTTCAATACCACACACAACGTCTGCCGATGTATTAGCAGCCGCAACACTACTACAGAATGGATCCAATAGCCGGTCATACACTATGGGAGATGGAACACTATTTCAAGGGCAGGGAATATCCAGACCCCCAACAAATGGCCATACCCGGCCGCAATCAATATCACATAATACAGGTATTTCCACGAGACAATATCCAATGAATCATGGGCGAGCAAGTGTAGAAGAATACCCATCAGAAAATTACTTTTCTGATATGGTTTTCGGCAATCAAATCCATCCAATACGCCAAAGACGCACCATACCAAAGTTTGATCTCAAATGGGGATCAGATGCCGCATTCGGGCCATCTCAAAGCTTCCTCTCGCCCACCGATCCCGACGGGGCGATAGAACGGACACAGGCCCAAACTCTAGAAGGTGCCTTTATTCTCGACGGACCCAGCGCAGAAGCCTCACGGACGACAAGTCCACAAACGCACAGAAGTCCACAAACGAACCGAAGTCCACAAACGCACCGAAGAACCAAATCCCTAGGCCACCCAACCGACGATATGGACCAAGGATCTTCAAGGCCGAAGAAACGGAGGAAGAACAAATTCCAAGACGACGACGAGGGTGACGAGGACGACGAGTCCCCTGCTCCCGCGCAAGGACAACTATCTGGCAACAAGAAACGCAAACCCACCAAGAAAGGGGGTGCAGTCGATCCCCCAACAGCAGATATAGAGGCTAGCAATAAACGGAGGAAATCTGCCGCGGCAGGAGCAGCAGCGGCGAAAGCGGCGCGGGAGAATCTGACCGAGGACCAGAAACGCGAGAATCATATTAAGAGCGAGCAGAAGCGAAGGACGCTGATCCGAGAGGGCTTTGAGGACTTGGGGGAGCTGGTGCCTGGGCTTCGGGGTGGGGGGTTCAGTAAGAGTGCTGTCCTTATTATGTCGGCGGATTGGTTGGAGGACTTGATAGAGGGGAATCAGGTTTTACGGGAGAGGTTGGATCAAATGGAAGGGCGGTCATAGGTCATAGTGGAGGGAAGCGAAGGGACTCGGAGAGACAAAAGGAGTTTTTGGAGTTTGGGGGTTCTGGTATGTGGAAGAGAAGATATCACTCTTGGCTGGCTGGTTTGATGATACACAGGATCTAGTTAATGAGGGAATAGCGACGCAGGGGAAGGGGGAATTTGCTGGGCGGATAAGCAAGAACTGATGGCTAGCCGATAATGTACGGAGTTTACATATGGCACGCTTTAATGGCATATTCTTAATATCTGCACTCACAAAAAACATATTCCAACCAAGTCCATCACCTCAGAGACTCACACTTACTCCCTCTTCCCTTCTCCCTTCCCAGTACTGAAAGATTGTATACGTGCCCATTGCGCCATGTATGTATACAGCCCACCCACCACCATCCCTCACACCCCATCCCATCTCGTACGACCACCGACACCCAAGACCAAGTCACCGGATCCCATCCCATTGTCTCAAGAGGGCAAGACCCAAACATCAAAAAGCAACTCGTGTCCTCAAAATAAACCGATCGGAGTTACGGAGTACTGCTCATTCACGTTCCCGTACACCCGGAGACGAGATGGATGACACGACATGAGCTTATGTTCGGGGACATGGAGCTACATTTGCTTGCTAGTCAGCTCTGCCGCGTTGGGTAGATGAGGCGTACGGAACACACGCATACTGTACAGTAATAGAGTTTGGACGGAAATAGAAGTCGTACGGTAGGTACCAAAGCGTTGGGATTTTGTTAGGTGCCAAGGGATTAATATGGGGGGGGGGGGGGGGGGGAATACTTTTGACAACATTTCATCATGACGAGGCAGGAGGCGTTGGATTAGGTAAATGCTATCTATTGCTAGGTCTTATGTTGTCTGACGTGGAGAACGAAACGTGTCAAGAGACAGGAATAGAATATAATCGATTGTTATTGTTAGTTCTCAAGCGCATGGTAGCGTTCATGGGCCGCCATGGCGAATGCAGGCATCACAGACCCGCACTCATGGCAAACCTCCATATTGCCCTCGTCTTCTTCGTCTTCTTCCCAAACCCCGTTTTCATCTACTGTGTTCTGAGTCAGAATCATCATGTCTTCCGAGCCAGCTGTGATGGGCCCCAGAGCTTCACTGCCAGCACTTGGCTTTGCTTGGACCGCGTCATCAACTTGCGCAGTATCGCCATCTTGTTCGTCTTCATGGAATATTGTATCAGGAGGTACATCGCGATCCTCAACTCGCCATACTTTCAACACCTCCTCTTGCCTCTTAAACATCCGCCCGATATCCCTACCGCCCCCTCCCTTCCCCTCACTCGCCGCCTCAACCATATTCGTAACAGCCACGTTAATCAGGCTTAGATTCCAGCCTGCCTGCTGCGGATGCAGTCTCTTGAACATAGGAATCAAAGCAACTTGAATGAGTTTCTCAACAATAGCATCTATGCTTTCTTTAAACGTGAATATGAAATTCGGTACAGGGCCAGAGCGAGAAATGCGATTGAAACTTCTTGTCCTCGTACCATCTGCGTTGAGAGGTGGTCGAGGACGAGTGGTGAGACGCAGCGTTTTGGGATGAGCTAGCCAGCGCTTTGCACCTAGACCTACAGCGTCAGGATCCTCATCATCTTCTAGGAGATCAGCATGCATCCTCTTGATGAGACTCGTAGCCAGCATGCGGAGTTCTTTCATGACTTCAGGTAAAGTGTCTAAACGCATGTAGGAATCCTCGATGGAGATTTGCGTGGGTACTCTTTTCATCTGTCGAACTTCCGTGTCGTCGATGCCATTTATCAAGTTCCATGTCTTGCCTCCGATTCCTTGCTCGGCGCCGGCACCGCCGAGTAGGGTTTCGAGGAGTTCGGGGCACATGTTGGGAAAGAGTCGGACGTCCCGGACGGTCACTTGTTCCTTGGTTTCGCCATAGATTAGGCCGTCGTCAAACTCGGCTGGTCGGGACAGGATGTGGTTGCGGATACTGTGGGACATTTTGAAGCCGATTCCTGGGATCTTGCCGATGTCATGGCTGTCTATAAACATAGTCACATTGCTCTCACGTCCAGCTGTCTCGTTATAATCGTCTGCAAGGATCTCATACGGCGGTATAAGAGTTGTCTGTGCTTTTGGCTTGTGTATATTGCCAGCCAACTTGCTCAGTAGCTTGTTTGTTGAAATGCCCACCGTCGAGGTATATCCCTTCTCTTCTTCCATGCTCCATCTTAGATGCTGGGCTAAATGCGACCCGAGAGTGAGACGAAGGAGGAGCGAATCATTGATATCATATTTCGGGACTGCCGTGCAGGATCTCGGCAAAAAATCCTGGGGATGAGAAGGATTATTTGGATCTGGCGGATGTTCAGGGAATGTATGCCCGGCAATCTCAGCTGCATTAAACGAGAATCCTATTGTCGGATCCTCGCGCTTGAGTTGGAAGAACGAATGGGACAAGTCATGGTAGTTTAAGAGCGCCTGGTTGTACTCGACGAGGTCTGTGACATCCAAGAATACCTCATCAAAACCTAGTCTTTCGACCTTTCCACTCCACGCAAAAGATTCTAAAAACTTGTATAGAGATTTTGAAGCATCTCGAAATCTGCCTAGCTCCTCCCCCAGAACTATGACAACGTCCGGACAGGTCGTTTTGGCTTCGTGGATTAACTGGAGTTTGCGCAGGCCACGGCGGCGAGCTTCGTAATTGCAGGTCACAATGATCTGTTTCTTTGCAATGGGTCAGCAACAATGTCTCGGAGTATGGCGGTGTTTGAGAAGAGCTCGTACCTGCTGTACCGCCTTTAAGGAGGAGTCAGTGTATTAGTTTGAGCCTTGAGATGATCTAAATCCGGAACTTAGTTGTAGCAAACTGACTAGTGGAAGAGCCTTCAAGGAAGGGTTTTCGTTTTCGAACACGGACGCGTAGAAGCAGTCGTAATCCTGAGTGATATTGTTAGATCAGATGGACGTGTCTTCTTGTCGGGGGCGAAGCTAACAAAGTGTATGATAATCCTCTGGTCGTTCCTCATGACTGTCATGTTGCTAGACGCGGATGGCATCTAACCGCTTTCATCTTTACAGTAATAAGCTTGAGAAGCCGTTTACGTTTGTGCAAGGAGAGGCCATTGAGATGCCGGCTTGCATGAGTAACAATGGAGTGAGAGGCTGGAGGAGAAGACGTGTTGAGCCCTACGAGTACCTCGTAAAGTATTGCGGGTCGGGACTCGGAGCATCAGATCAGATCCACAGCTAAATTTGGACATGATTAACCTCCGATCTCGAGCTACGAGTAGCCGCCCACCGCCCTACCCCTTCCAACACCCAACTCTTGCGCAAACTGCAACGCTGCAATTTTCTGGATACCGTTAACCTTTTAATCCTGCATCTCGATTTACGAAGGTACTCTTCATTCCCAAAACAAATACAGTACCCCTCATCGTGCATTCCGAGATTTGAGAGCCTGATTTCTATGAATCCCATCATCCCATCCCATCCCATCCCATCCCACGCTCGGCCCAGCAGACGCCCGTTCCATTCTCAGATCAGCGTCTTACTGGCAGCAGACGGTAACGGTACAGCAGCGGCTGACACCTGAGTTTGGATACTTATGAAGTCTAGATCTTGAACCCGTAATAATAATAACACAATACGGAGTTTACAATTGTGGAGAACTGCGGTAGAATCGTAAATTATTATTCCGAGGCTTTGGACTGGCTGCACCCTGCTCGGACCATAGATGGCGTCAAAGTTGCGTACTCTCCGTACTCTATTTCTATCGCTGGCGGTTCTGACTCGCGCCTATTAATCCCAGCCAAGAGCCAGGACCTCAGGTTGGCTCGATGAATGGCATGAGATGGGATGGGATGAAATGGCGGGGGAAGCTCAAAATAGCTGGATGATTATTGGAGTGGAGTGGGCTGCCTTTGACGAGACGCCTCAACATCCTGGGCCACGTCTGCATCCGCCTCTAACCCATCCCATCTCCCCTCTCCTGCCTCTTTCGGCCAATCATCGCAGTGTGACTCGTCTGCATTCGAGCGCTTCCTGCTTCTGTTTCTGTTTCTGTTTCTGTTTCCTGTATCCTTATTTCGTACCACTCACTCACTCACCACCCACTACGGCAAGTCAGTGTCTAGCAGTTGCCACCCGCTGTTGCGCATGCTGGGATGGCACAGGAGGTCGTCGACTGCAGCGCAGGGTTCGGTTGGATTTTGCAAGGCATGGCTTGATTTGCCCACCCCACTACTCCACCCAGGCTCTGTACTCCGTATAGGTAGGTTGATATTTGGGTAGGGATACATGCCATGTATGCTTTCTAGAAATACATCCACTCGCGCCTAAATACTTTCTCTTGCCCACATGCCATCTCGTCACTTGCATTAGAGTTCCCCCCCCTTTCTCTCCACAGCGCTATTCATGGCTGTCCATCAAAAGCTTCACCTGTTCTTATATGTCTTCTAATCTCTTGTACTATATTATACCTAATCCCGCCCCCCTCTCATCTCTCCGATCTTGATCCATTCTTTGGTCTTTCCACCAATACTACCTCTCATCTACTAGAGTGGGGTCCAATATTGCTATTGCTATTACTATTGCCACTGCCATTGCCATATCAGTTTAGGACAACCTGCCTTCTAGATCTTGGAGTCTTGGGCTATGATTCTACTTCCTCTTGCTATCCCTCCGTCCTCGTCCACGATGTCTGGGTCAGAGTCGTCATCGCCTCCCAAGCGGCCAAGGCTTAGTCTCCAAATAAAGACTCCTTCCACGGCACTGACTTATGGAAAGTCTTCGACGGCATTGAAGGCTGATGTTGACCCATCATCTCCTACCGCTTTTAATACACTCTCGAATGCATACGCTGCCGCGATTGAGAACTCATCACCGAGGACGGCAAGGCCTATATCAGCAACTATAAAGAGCGGAAGGCCTACCTCGCTACGGCTAGAGACGAGGAACGCTGGTGATAATCACTACGTCCATCCATCACAACGAACCCAAACCCCAGGGCCATTCTCAATTACCTACCCAGATACCCCGAGCTCCGCAATCTCTGGCTCGACATCAATCCCCGAATCAGCAGAATCTCAAACCCCCGCTTCATCCTTTACATTTACACCACCCCAGTCAGCTGGTACTACCGAGCAGAAGCTACCAAGTGTCTTCACTTTTGCAGCCAATGTTCCCAACAAAGACTCTCCGAGTACCCCGAGAACACCCAGGCGGCGGGCAACATTCGGCAATCAACATCAAGCGGCGCCATATACACATCCCCGAAGCTTACACAGCATACTCCGAAACTCACCACTACCCCCTCGAAGCACCATGACCCCCGCAACCCCGAGTCGCGTTTCTATGCGAATTGCAAATCGGGCTGGAAAAAAAGTGGGATACAACGATCCGCTCACCCAAACAATAACAACGAATAAATACGTCAAATCACATATTGATCTACTATCGGAAGAATCCCCATACTCCGCCGCCAATACCGAAAAGCAGGACACTTTAGATTTAACTTTCGCATACACGGGAGATGAAACCAGAGATGGGGGACAAACGCCCGGGCCATTTGAAGAAATGAGGAGGAGAATGGCAGAAAGCGAATTAGAAACACCAGGAACGAAAAAACGAAAGAGAAAGGAGAAGAAACGGAAGTGGGAGTGGACAATTACTAGCACTGAAGGAGAAGGGGATGATGAGGACGAAAAGACGCCTGTGATTAAGACGCCATTGACAGCTGTGAGGATGGAGAAGACTCCGAGCACGGCTGTCTGGAGAGGGTCTTCGGTATCGACCACGGATTCTGAAATGTCAGACGTGGAAGAGGGTCGCTTTGTTGGCTCATGCATAGACCCGACAGATTCAGAAATGTCTAGCAGCGATGATCAGCGACCAGGAAGCTCACAATCACTTTGATCATGATGTGGGGGGCAGGATTCCCTGCTAGCATAATAATAAGAATAAACAAGAATAAATAAGAACAAGCCATTCGTCTTTATGAGAGACGGGCAAATCATTTAAAGGGTGTGGTAGCAAGCGCTAGGAATGTTTCACATCAAGTGAGTGACTTAGGGCAGCCTCAACATCGTGACTAACACGAACAATAGCCTGAAATAACTTATGAAGCTGAAAGTTACACATGCTTGTATTTTACTCGTAGTACAAAAGTTTCAGGCGGAGCCCCTACTCAAGTAAGATCGACCATCATGTTCGCACCTTCCATGCAATAAGGTCGAGTCAAAGGTCTTGGCATACTAGGCATGGCTCCTTGGCCTCCTAAATTGACTGAATCGTGACCGCAGGCACGCGACCCTCCAACCAGCATGTTTCACCGCGATTCACGAAACAATCATCAGCCTGATGGTTTTGACTATATCTTTGCGTGGCCGTCCTCTGGACTTGTAACATTGCACTACTAGTTGCACGAAAATTCCAAAATGTCGCGCGATCCCGAATCTCAGTTCAACGAAGTCGACTTGGACACAGATGCAAATGATCCTCTACTTCCTAGGTCTAAAAGTTTTAGGAGTTCGAAAAGTTCTAGGCGTCCGAGGAACTCACAGGAAGTCATTGAGCTGGATGATATTCCGCCCATCATCAAATCAGCTAATGGTAATATCTTCTGGGCAGACGAACAATGTACTCGCCGCGTGGGACTCACCACCTCCGAAGCTCGACTCTTCCTATGTCTGCTTCAAACAGAAGAGCCCGAAAAGTACAACTACGAAGAATACAAGCAGCTCTTCGATGACTTCGGGAGAGAGCAAGAGAGGCTCCAAAAACTAGTTGATGCAGTCCCTTGGTGGGACATCAACTCCTATCGCCAGAAAGCCATCTGGGAAGCAAGAATTCAGTGGCTAGAACGTATGAAAGAGCCTCGACTGTGGCTTCTGTATCTCATGGCGAGACGCAGGCGGATCTTGAAGCAGGCGGCTATGAGAGTGCTAGCGCGTTTACGAGAAAAGAGGCTTGAGCGGATCGCAAATGGTCACCAACATCAGCATCAGCCTTCCAAGTCACAGACTCAGCCACCGGTGGTGAACGAAGCGTCCCAAACCGTGGGAGTACCAGCCACACCCGCAGTCCCCATCATGGTCAGCGAAGAGAGCCAGACGTCTGAGACACATCTCAACGTTGCTAACGTTAGGGATTCCATTTCCGAGATGCTAAAGTCAAGCTTCAGCTCTGGTCGACGCTCTCATTCTTCGCAAGGGCGGTGTCCCGTCATTGAGCAGCGCATACAGGCTACTAGAGAGGATATCAAACATCAGGTTGAGAAGTTAATGCCAAAGCAGATTTCTTACCTGGTTATAGGATGGTTTCCCCGCTCGGCTAGTGACCCGGTAGAACGGACCTTACAGTTCGAGGATCCGGCAGGGCTCTTTAGGGCTCTTAGACATGGAGAGACAAACGTAAGAGGCTGGAGAAGGCTTTTGTCGTTGAAGGCGTTGAGGGGGTTTGGCTTATATAAAGTAAGTATTTCCCCCTGGTCTATAGGCAAGGCATTGATTGGGACTTACGTTGGCAGTGTGACATCTCTCGCGGCGCCCACTTGCCCCTGAACCTCACCAGTTCGCAAAACGCCGTCCTTGGCCAGTTCTTCCTCGCCTACAAAGCCTCTAACCGCCACGCAGATTATGAAGTCTCTATCGCATGGCAGGGGTGGGTTCACAAAAACCTGAACGGTGGCAAGAATAACCCTTTGGAGGGCAGGTATTCTTTACAGCTGATTTACGAATGGTCGAGCTACCGGCTTTGTGTTATTGTCACCGCACCCTTGATTCTCTCATTCGCGTTGGGGCTTTGGTACATGATTAAAACAGGAGATGTTGTTACTGCATGGACCATTGCACTTTATATTGTTACTGCTGCTGCAGGTGAGTTCTCTCAACTTCAAGTCTTGGATGGAATGCTACTGACTTTTCTTAGCTGTTGTTGCTCTGATGGCCATCATTGGAGGATTGAATGATATTTAAATCGGTCAAGGAATACCATGGGAGTATACTGTACAAAGATTCTGCATCTTACATCGGAGTTTTGTAGCATAGCGTTTGCTTTCGATTAATGACACAATACTTGCATTAACTTACATATCAACCAATGCCTTAATACTTCCCACTTTCCTTTACAGCCCCGCTCTCCTTATTCTGCTTCTTCGTCTTCGTCGCCCACTCAGGCGCCTCGTCCTTACCATTCTCCTCCTCTTCATCACCCTCCTCCTTCGTATGATGAATCGTCGTACTATTATGTTCCGCCGGCGAGTATATTGTATACAAAATCTGCTTTCCATCAGCCCCACCCTCCCCCAAACCCCAAACCCGCAACCCAGAAACCACTTACCAAAGGCGTGGCACCCGTATTAACAAACTGATGTTGCGTCCCAGCCGGCACAACCACAAGATCTCCCGCCTTCACCACCTGCTCCTTGCCATTAATCGTCGCCAAGCCCTCCCCGGACGTAAACGTGAGCGCTTGATCCACCGTGTGCACTTCATCGCCAATGTCGCCGTCGACCGGGATGGTCATGAGCACTACCTGCGAGTAGAGGCCCGTGAAGAGGACTTTGCGGAACTCGGCCGACGAGGAGGGCAGCGAGGTCGTCATACGAGGGAAATAGACCATTTCGTGGGCTGGGGGTCCGGAGTTGGGCTTGTGGGATGCCATGGTGCGGATTGTTGGGGCTTGAGATAATTTGAATTGTGGTGATATTGTTTTGGGGGATTTTGATGCTAGGTTTGAGATGATGCGTTTACGGATTGAACGTGTGAGTGTTGTGGTGAGCATTTAGATGATGGACGAGGAAACGAATTTATGGGTGAAAAGGAAAGAAGCCGGATTACAAAGAAGACAGTGCATGATATATAATAATGGAGGTCTAGAAGACCTATGCATGTCATGTCAGACCATGATCTCAATAGTAATGATTCATTACTATCGACCCTGACTTCAGGGTTGGTTCGTCATCAACCTATTGAAGAGCAAATCCCGAAATATTGCTGCATTCGTAAGATCTTAGGAAATATGTCGGAGTTCGCAGCTGAAAGCAGCTTTTCACACTGATGATTGATTATTATTATTCAATGGAACAATGATTGATGATGGATGGTCAGTTATCGTCATTCTCCGCGGAAGCTATAGCGTAGCGGAGCTACCCCGGGGAAAGCGGACCGACTTTCTTCCGCCACCAGATGTCCAAGTTAGGAAAACGTAAGATATCAAGCCAAACCACTCAAGAGAAAAATATACAATGAACGCGATTCCACGAGTATGGTCTCGGCTGGGCCGCAAAGATGCAGCCTGGATATGTTCATCCTGCGCAACAAAATCCACGCGCCGAAAACCGTCTACGCCTTTCTTCAATCCCTCGACCCGAAGAGCCATTTCCGATAGCTCGAAGCCCAGACAAAATGTAGCGCCAACCATGGAGCAATTGCGCGCTCCTTTCAAGACGAAGAACAGCTCGACGTTATACTATACCCTCAGTATCATATTAGGCACTGTAGCCTTTTCCTACGGTTCCGTGCCCATGTACAAGATGGTTTGTACAGATCACCCCATTACATATACAAGCCGCTGACAATGGATTGCAAGATATGCCAAACAACAGGCTGGGGCGGCCAACCCATAAAAGCCCCCGGCCACGGCGGGGCGGAAAGTGATGACCCCTCGGAGCGCCTCAAGCCCGTCACGAATGCCAAACGCATCCGCATAACTTTCAACGGCTCCGTATCCGACGTCCTGCCCTGGAAATTTACGCCGCAGCAGCGCGAGGTGAAAGTCCTGCCTGGTGAGACTGCGTTGGCGTTCTATACCGCGACAAATAAGTCTGATGAGGATATCATTGGGGTGGCGACGTATAGCGTGACGCCTGGACAGGTGGCGCAGTATTTCTCGAAGATTCAGTGTTTTTGCTTCGAGGAGCAGAGGTTGAATGCTGGGGAGACGGTGGATATGCCGGTGTTCTTTTATATCGATCCGGATTTTGCGAATGACCCAAATATGAGGGGGATTGAGCAGGTTACGTTGAGCTATACGTTTTTTAGTAAGTTGCTGGATTTTGTCTCGATTTATGAAAATATACTGACCGAAAACAGAGGCGAGATATGATAAAAATGGGCATTTAAAACCGATGGCGTAAATGTATATGTATAATATGGGAGCATAGCATTTGCATTGGGCGGAGTTATTGGTTGAGGTGAAGACCGCATAAAGATACATTTCTGCTCAATCTGAAACGATTCTCTGGCTTCATATATTCTGAAATTGTAGGTCATTTTGAATTGCCAGTTCAAGGCATTCGAAATATTCACGCTCACTTCTGAATGCAGTGTATCAGCAAGCACAGGGCCAATTTATTAGCTGCCACCTGTCTCGCAGTACATTTTACTTTAATGTATTAGTATATGTGTGTTACAGCTCTTTTATGTTTCCATATCTTGTTCATATATATTGGATTTCAAGAATCAGTCATTGCCTCTACAGATTTGGGGTAAGGGGGCAGGGAGTTGTACCGAGGAAAGTTGTACCTTTCTCGGTTGTGGAAACTCCTTGTCCCGCGACAAGAAGGTGACGGTACTCTAACGGTCCAGTCTACTATTCACATTAAATAGCATATGAGAGCTATTATACATCTTCAATGAACATACTGCACTGCATAAATTTGTAGAACAAATTCAAACTAAATATCAAGCCCTGGTGGCCGGCCAAAATTGATTATGTAACATACTTTCAGCCCGAATTCATGATCAACATTTCGACATCAGCCTCACCTTTATAACAGTTCCATACAAATCAGCAGTCACATGTCTTACATTACTCTTCTGGACAGCATAGGCAGCGCCCGCCGTCTGAGTGTTCCCACAGCCTTATTGAATGATGCGGGTCCAGAGAAATAGGCAATAAAGGCCAGCCTCTACTTATACAGGGCTGACCGTGTAACGTTCTTGATTCAACATTTGCTCTCCACCAGCTACTTTCACATCGTATAAAACTATACTTCAAGCTCCAATTCACAGTGACGGTCTATCAATTGCAGCAAGGCAGGACCTCAATGCAAATCATCCTCTACAACATGTCCAATACAATTCAACAAGAACCACCCAACACGATGATTTCGCTACGACCACCTGATAACATCGTGAACAAGATGCTGGAGTTCGCATCAAAGGAGCCGCCCAAGGTTACAACGCCCTTTTTCACACTTCCACCAGAGCTCCAACTCAAGCTCTTCGAATACCTCAACCCGATTGACTCAATCTGTCTTTCTCTTACAAGGTACGTCACCTGACTCTTCTCCCCTCCTTCCCCCCCAGGTTCAATACCTTATCCTCCTTATATCTCCATAAACTTCCACTAACACCCCACAGTAAATTCATCTACAGCCTCAACGCACTCAAGCCACCCACCCCACGCATCCCCCTCAACACAGGGGCACCAGACTCCTCGCACCCAATAATCTCCCCAAACAGCTGTAAACACTGCTGTCCCGTCCTCTACGTACATGTCTCCTTTCCCTCTACAGCAACCCCCCACCCCCCTCCCAGTCCAACCAACTAACTACCAAATCCCCCACAGTATCCAGCACACTGCCAACTACACTACCACCTCCGCCCCTTCATACCACAACACATGAACTACTGCTCCGGCGCATGCGCCAAATACACCAACCGCGCTAGTGGTGCGGGTGACCGCGACTCCTGTGGCGATTGCGGTATCAGCTATCGGCGGTGCTATAAGAGGGGACGCAGGATGCTGGATATGCAGCGTCTGGGTGAGAGGCAGCCGCGCTTGAGAAAGTGGTATAATCATACCTGACTGGCGTGTGACGAGTCATTTTCAGGGTATGGAATGCTGTGGATAAGGTTTGAATTGGCGTTTGTTTATCTGGATATGACACGGCATGGCATAGCATGGCATAGCATGGGGCATTTTTCGCTATCTACATAGAGGCATTTGGTGTTGAAGCGTTGGATTTTTGCATAGCTTGGGGTATTCACATGACCGCCCTAGGCCTGGCCTTCTGGAGTTGAGAAATGTGTGTTTTGCATGGCATGCATGGCGTTGTTATGGATATCGTTGGCTTTGACGGAATATGGATTCACGTGGCATGGATTACCATTGCATTGAAATCAAACGTGCATGAACAGGACTGTAGGATATTAGTTCATTCGTACGCGTTGTATCCCACGAAATATATACTACCAAGTTGTAAGTGAGCCCCTTGTGACTTTTATGCTCTAGTTGCAATGCTATGCTACTACCCCTTAAACCGATCTGCCCAGACCACTTTAGACCTTCGTGATATTCATAAATCATATAGAGCCTGTTCAGATTTCCGTCTCCACGTCCGGCTGCCTACCCTGCAAACTACCCTTCTTCAGAGTCCTGCTGACAACAAACTTCGCCTCATCCTTCGCAAATGCCAAATTCCTCATCGGCTTCCACTGCATCAAACCTCTCTGTTTCCGATGCAAACCTTTTTTCTCCTCATTATACTGCTTAACTTGCTTTATCGGATTTTTCGCTTGCGGTGTGCCTGCCTTGCGCACAGCATCCTCGCTCTCACCATTAGTCTGTTCGTCCTTTCCAAACTCGTTGTTGTGAGAAGCATCATTAAGTCCCAAGTCACTCTCATCAGAATCTGACCCCGAAGAATCATCCTCATCATCAGTCACTTCTTCATTCACTTCGACTTTCTCCTGTTTTCTTGCCCCACGCCGATCGATGTACTGAGCGGGGTCTTTCCCAAAGGCACCACTCCAGTCAGTGCCATCTTTCGACAGCCACTTCTTCTTCTCGGACTCATCGGCTTGGGACAATACGTCACGGCCTTGAGTAAGTGACTGATCATGTAATTCCTGTACCGCCGGTGGAAGTTCTTTTGTGACATAACGGTCACGCACGCCTTCGGAGTGGCAAGCTTCCCAAGTCTCTTGCGTCTCACGTGAGTCATTATCAGTGACAAAGCGGCTGTGGTCCTCATCAGTGCCAGCCTTGAAGCGGCCCCGGAACTGTAGACGGCCTATTTCTTCGATCTTGAGATCCGGGATACTTTTGAAGCTCTCTTCGGTAATATAGTTCTGCGTCAACCTCATACCTTTATCCGTCTTCCAAATCGGGATACTGACATCCTGCTCCTCATTATCCACAAAATGGTGGAGCCAGATGACTGCATATGCATCTGCATTGCGTTTGTTGGCTGTATGGAATTCGAAAATAATGGGGGATCTGTATCGATATCTTACGGGAAGGCGAACACTGTGCTTGCCGTCGTTCTTTGCAATATCCCAGAATACACCATCTCCCTCTTCGGTTTTTTTGCACTGTACTCTTGAGATCTTGCTACTGCTGCCACCAGTTCTCATCTTGAGTTTACTGTTTGCGGAATAGCCCGTAGCAAGGATTTTGCTAGATGTAAATTCGAAAGTGCCTACGTCCCAGCCTAATTGTTGAGGTGGCAGGCGAGTTTCTATGCTCCTGAACAGGAGAGAGATTCTGATACGTCCGAATCCGATACCGCCATCGAGAGGATACCATCTCGTAACTTGGGAGGAGGTTTGGAGAATATCGCTGAGTTTCAAGGGCACGACACCGAGTATCGGGTCGTGTTGTCTCATGCGCTGGTCGCGGACTGCTACGGTGATGATGGCCGACCGCCAGTCTCTAATGAATCGCTCGGTACCGGCATTGAAAATAGGTTTGCTACTAACAACCTTGGAACGAGTACGATATACCTGTAATCTGATTATTACAATTGCGTTCTGTGCTTTTAGATTAGAGTGACAATTTACCAATTCATCGTTGTATAGAATTGTACAGTAACTGCTCGGAAGTGTGTTGTGCTCTTCCTCCTTATTCTCGCCACTTTCCTGAGCGGGCTCAAACTCTCTACCTTTACGTTTGCCGTCACTACCATTGAGGTTCTGGAGCTCAAGGTTGACGATTTGGTGCACTACGACGCTGCAAATACCGCTCGGCCAGAGTGGGTCTGGAGGCGTATGTACCACTGCATCCTCCTCTGCATTGTCGAGACTGCCTTTGTCGTCTTGCAGTTCCTTCTTATCCATGAGCTGATCTGGAAGATTCACGTCCTTTCCGTGAGACCGCATGGCCGGCCGAAATTGTGGCTTTCCAAAGTAACCAACCTCCCAGTGAAGCTCACCAGGCATACTATCGTCGGCATGCATGCCACGGAGTTTTGATGTCTGAGGGTACATCTTTCCGGGATGTTGAATCATTTTTTGCATCGAAAGCTCCACTTTGCCAACGACGTCGTCGGCAGACGATCGATCGGAGTCCCAGAGTTCCATCGAGAGTTGTTCGTCGGCTTTGATTAGATCAGGGGTGACTAGGAGTGCGCATGTCTCCTCCCATATAGGATTGAGATCATCCTGTATGACACGGGTGCAATACATGGGCTTCCCATATTTCGAGAAGCTCACAGTAATGTAAGGATCGCTTCCACCACCTTCACTACCACGACGATCTTGCTTGCTGAGACCAGTAGCCTTGTGAATTCTGATCCATAAGACCCCGAGGGCCTCGACATCCTTTTGGATATCGTCACCTTGCAACAGCTTTCCCATGTCAAGAGTCATTGATTTGGGAGCAACGTATTCATTGGCCGCGGCTCCAATGGCGTAATTGACGAAATTTGAGATCAAAGGAAGATTGAGAATATTAATTCCCGTCTCTAGCATAGGCACACACCCAGCTTGAACTTTTGGTAATCCCATGAGCGTGAAAGTCAAAGCTTTCAAGAAAGGGGGCTCAGGCGACATTTGAAGGCGCAATCGAACTGTGCCAACAAGTCCTTGAAGCCTAGAGATCAAAAGTCAGCATCTGCTTATGCATGCAACTTGTACAGTTCAATTAAAATGTTCCAGGCCTAGGACCCAGAAGTGGGCTAACAGTTGAGGCAAGGGAATCAATAGGCATACTCAACAAAGATAGGCAATGGTACCCCAAATAAACCTTTAATGCCAAGATAGAAGACTAATTGCATATGCATGTTCTTGGCCCTGTTAGAAGTACTGGTTCCAGATTTGGTGGCGTGATATGCAAAGGAGCACTCGAGATTGTAGTAATCGCCCCCCTCCTCGTCAGCTGCCAATTCTTGCGGGTCCTTAACCTGCTCGTTATGTTTGTGAATATCATCTTTCAGATCTTTAACGTGCCCATCTGGAAGAGCACGCAAGCTGAGGATTCGGAAAGGGTTATTTCCCTGATTTATTTCTGCAACTCGAACGTTCTCAATTACACTGGGAAGTGAAGCCTGCATGACATCTTCGAGGGTATCGGCGACGGATGCGAACATGTCTGGATCGATAAGCCCCCACATTACACCCAAAAAGGTATTCATCCACCTACGTCAAGATATTGGAGTCAGTATTGCCTGGTATAGTATAATCTGGAATTTAGATGATGTTCCACATGGGTGAGACATTTGCTTGAGAGTAATCGACTCTTGGCACATGTCTTCTAAAGTATGACATCCCTCCGAGAAGGTCACTTACTCTACGCTCTCCGGAATAAGGTTTGCAGTGGCCTGAACATATCAGTCATTTGTTTGGTGATTAAAAGGGTGTAGTTACCATCTTGCCACGCTCTTTTTCACTCTCCCACTCGGTTTCTCGACCATGTCGTACGAGTTCCTTCATCGACAGGAATACTCCTGAAGACACGCACATGCCTAGTGGGATGAGTCCATAAAGAGCTCCGCCAAACATCTTTCCCAGCACAACAATTGCAATCAAGATCCCAGCACAAAGTATGGCCGTTCTCTTCTCCAATGCAACATACATCGGCTCATAACTAACGGAAGGAGTTGGGTGGAACAGAATATTAGTCTTCTCGCCATTGATGGGTACATCTGAGGTACTTCCAGGCTCTACTGGGTCTGGAGGAGCGGTTATATCTTGCTTGTTTCGGTATTCCCCACCAGACTGGGTTGCTTCGGTCTTGACAGGGGTGTCTTTGTTCACATTGGCGTTAGGTACCGAGAGCTATATGGAATGAGCTGGGTTTCAAAAGTAGTATTTAGAGAGTACTAACTTGTGGATTATCCGCAGCTTTCATGAATTCCGCATTGACGTCTTCAATCTCAACCTCATTCCCGGTTGTAGGGTCAGTGACGACTTTTCTTGAACTGGCATCACCTTTTGGCTTGCCCTGTTTGTGATCTCTTGCCTCGCTGCTATTAGGTGGGTTGGACCTCGTCTGCTCGTCAAGCTTTGCATCTCGACCCTTCTTGTCTTTGTCCAAGCTTTCAACAAATTTCTGTATGTTTGGAATAGGATTTGTGGCAGAATAATGACCACCGGGGCCCTTCTTGTGATCATTCGACATGTTGAGAGCTGGTGTCGCTCAAGCTGGGGAAAACTGTATGCTGTGGGTCCTTGCGGCTTAAAGGAGTTGATTCTCACTGCAGGAGCAGTCCACATAGACCGGTGGATTAGAGAAGAATTTCTCAATTGCGGTATGTAAGACGACTTGTAATTGAAGACAAAAAAGGGAGAAAGGAGAAAGAAGGAAAGAAATAAAGAAAGCGAAACTGATCGTATCGACTTGTACATACCCACCTAGTACTATACATACCTTGCTTGCTGTTTCGGAAGCTGGATTCAAGGCTGGATGATGTCATGGGGGACGCGACGAGCCGCGTTCTGTGGACCCAGCTAGAAATGCACGTGCGATCGCTCTTTCTATAAGAGAAAAGGTAAAGCGGCTCCCCTTTTCCAGCTGCCCGCCATTCAAGGATCTGCAGCCATGAGTGCCGCTTATCGCATGTCCTCTTCAAGGAATTCATGAATAGTGGGCACATTTGATTCGCGATTCCCGCAGATATGCCGAACTACCGTATAAGTTGTTATATAAGACCACCCCCTCTTATAAGACCATTCCTAATCCGAGCAGCTCCCCCTCAAAAGTCTTAGCAGACCAGGGTTTTTATCACAACTTATATGGTACTATCATCACCATCACCATCGCCATCCACGAACATGGACGCCAGGAACCGGACCCCGATTCAGTTCTACAACTGCCGCGGAGTTGCCTGGAGCTCTGGATCATATTAAGACTTTGACTGAAGAGTATGGAATTCATGTGTCAATGGGCCACAGCGCTGCCACCTCTGAGGTCGGGAAGAAAGGCATGGAAGCTGTTGCCAACCTTCTGACCCATACTTTCAATGCGATGCTTCCACTTCATCATAGAGAGCCTGGACTGGCAGATAAGACTTAATTTTCCCCTCCAGTAGATCACCAACCAAAGCGTTATTGAAACAATTATAGGTTTAATATTGGAGCGCAAGCCGCCATACTTCAGTCTCATCGCAGACCAAATCCATCTCCACCCGAGGGTGGTTGTTATGGCTTACCGTTCTTCTCCTAGCCATTGTATACTCATCATTGATAGTATCGAATTGTCTGGTCTTCCGGATAGTATTTATCCAGGCCACGCTCAGGTCCCGTTCAACCAAGTCAAGGTAGGAAACAAAGTGACCATCGAGGGGACTGAGACCCTGATTGGGACATGCATCGGCCTGGATGAATGTGGGAGGAACCTGATGGAGTGGGCTGGTATCGAGTTGCAGGATGCCGTAATGTGTGTTACTGAGAATGTGGCCGACGCTATGGGACTGGAAGATCGTGGCAAATTGGAGGTTGGAAAGAGAGGCGACTTCGTTATTCTCGAGGATGATGGAACTGTCAAGGAGACTTGAATCTTAGGCGAACAGGTCTTGGATGGTGTTTGAAAAATAGAATGACAGCGCATCCTTTTAGACACTCCTCAAAAGTGACCATTGTCGTTAATGCCCTACCTCGCTTGGTTGATTTGAAAAAGTGGACGTTCCAGGGCAGCCTGTGCCTCAACTTGAGGCGCAGGCGGGTTGTTCATTCCCCTCTCCCAACTTCCCATTTCCTAACCATCTCACTGCCACTCTACTATTCATCTCAAATTAGTAACACGACCCTCCTAAAACAGAAATCCTTGAAACCGAAACGCAATCTCTCACTCACGTAAATTTGCTCATGTTATTACTGTATTTAGTATTCAGCACGCTTACCCGCTCTATTTTTTACGAACTACCCAATCACCGCATGGATCGATCGTTAGTGTACGAGAATGGCTTGGAGACAGCTTAGAGAGAGTATTGCAAAATATTTCTGTGCTGGAAGTGAAACCCTCGTAAAAATCATGGTCCACGAAAAAGATGGCAGAGCAAATATGTATATTGGACAAAAAAGTCCTTCATCCTCTAATATAGTATCTACCTCTCAACCCAATTTCCAGACCAACCGTTATAGATCCGCTCATGATTACTCCATGTTCCACCATAGATATTCTTCGGGGTATTCAAAATCAAGGAAACAATCCAAAACAAACCATTCATCGACAACCACTTATCCCTATCCTTATTCCACTCCCAACCCGCTTCCATTTGTACTCCCACAGGTCAAGTATAGCACTCACTTCCGAACAAAGGGAGCAGCTTGCCCCATCTCGATTCCACTCTGGCTTTCCTCGTCGCTGTTAACTCTCTGGTGCTTGCCATCAACAAAACCCTTCTTGGTGCGGAACTGGAAGTTGGCCTCATGCCAGGCGCCCTGGAACGCAACAGCAGGATGCAGTACAGTCAAACACGTCGTCGCAATAACAATCATAGCACCCTCCAGCACCATAAAGAGCGCCTCGTCACTCGTAAACAGTGAACCATTGAAACCTCCGGCAAGCTCAGCACATCTGTAAACTGACCTCGCAAAAATGGTAACAGAAGCGACGACAAGACCAACGAGGAAGGACTTGAAGAGCAGGGAGTTGACGATATCGATGTACTTGACATTCCAGCGGGACTTGTTCTTCATGACACGGAGCGCGAAGTCACCGGCACAGAGAGCGAAGAGGACAAGGGAGACGACCTGGAAGATCAGACCTGCCAACATGAGGTTCTTGCCCAGGTTTTTGCCGCTGAGATCGTTGGATGAGGAGGCGATGCCACCACCTAGGGCTTGCAGGACGAGGGAGATGAGATCACAGGTGCAGAAGATGACGGTGTAGGTACGGGCCTTGAAGTAAGATAGGTGCTCGCCGTAAACGTGGACGATGCGTCCGAGGCAGAGGTAGATAGCAGCTGTCAGAAGAGCCGGTGCGATAGTAAGACAGACGAGATACATCAAGAAGTTGTTATTGTCGAATGGTGAGTTGTGGATCATGACGCGAGCAACATATCCTACGACCTCAAGGACAAGGCCAAGAATCATTGCAACCATGTAACCCCAAGTCTTATGTTTGATGCCCAGAAAGAGTTGTCCGATGATGCAGGCAACGAAGATTCCAGCAAAGAGCGCATTTCCGGCAACTGTTGGACGGTAGAGGAAACTCGACATGGACAAATCGCATGTTTCGAGGGTACAAAGGTATGGATTGTTGGCAAGAGTAGCATTGCTGCCACTAGAATAAGTTCCATTTGGGAACTGGTGTGTCAAGTTGGACATATTGAAAGTTTTCGAGGATGAGAGTCGAGAGTTGAAAGGAAGTGAGTGTTTGATTGGTTGGTTGCTAATAGGGGAAGCGAAGCGAGAGCAACAAGTAAAGAAGGATGAGGATGAGATTAGATGAATGAGGTAGAGAACTGGATTGGATATTTTGAATGGTGAAAGGAAAGATGAAGTCAAACAGAGCGCCGAGACTATATATTATCACAACAAGTGAGATTGAAGTATTCTGATACTTAGCTGTTACGCTGTTACGTCCTTACAGCGGCGCATTCACACGCGAAGTAGGCGGTGTTGGTACCGGTTACCGTGCGTACGAATTCGCGGGGGTCGGAGTGAAGACGGCGCCGATTAATAAGCACTTCTGACTGGCTCCCTCGTTTTCCACCCCTTGATGCTCGTTCACTAAACTTCTTTTGCAACCTCAGACGAGCCGCAATGCTACTGCGGAAGCTTACTTACCTTAGGGCGTATCCATGATAATAATAATAGATCCTTCAGATGGTTTCCAACCAGGGACTGCATCTTTTGACAGGGATAGGCTTGGCTTGCCATGCATCAATACGTGCGTAGTACATATGGTCAGCAACGGAGGAACGTTTAGAGTCTTAACTCAAGTAGGATTAAAGTGGCGCTCTGTTATCTAACAAATAATGTTTATGAGAGGCTCCCACGATGATCTCAATGTCGGAGGGAGACTGCGAGAGATGGTGTGGCTTCTCAAGCCCAAGCCTTGCTTGTGAAATGACTCGATCAGTTCTTTCAATATTGCAATTGCTTGCTCCGTACTTCGTACCAGACAACGATACCAAGACACTACTGCAGATACGAGCGATAGAGGGGAGGTAAAAAGAAGGTTGGCGAAGAGGGCGAGGCTGACACGTTTGAAGCTTTTGCCAAGGCGCAAATCAGCGGCTCGCAAATCTCTCGCACCAACACGGACCGTCATCGCGTCGCCCTCGCGTGGCTTTATAATTCTGACACAGCGAGTGAAGTGACACAGCTGCAAGAATTATAACACCCAAGCCAACTCTAACGTACGATAACTGGAGCCTAAATAGAGTACATATTTAGACCTTGCAAAAGAATGTATAATCGAACTATTGGCATCAGAATATATTCGAGTATCGCCAAATTACCCAAACAAGCTTTAGTAACGACCAAAGCCTCAATCACAATTCTTGTCCCATTAGAGAATTTTCAGACGAGACTACGACTGGGAAGTGAATCTACTTGCAGGAGCGTGCCAGACTCTGTAGGACTATCTTCAACTCTTCAACTTGAGAAAATGAACAATAAACTAAATGCTGTGAAAACAATTCACGTCTAATAGCTAGAGCCAGGAGACTTAAACAGGGTCTGGGAAGCACCTCCACCTCCCAATGATAAAGAACCTATGGATAAGGACAAAGAAGTACTGCCGTAGTATTGGCTTTCGATATACGGCCATATTTATTCTGAAATTCTTGCCTTGCAGGGATTTCGGGTTGTAGATGGAGATCTCGGGATGGATGAAAGCAGCACTCAATATGGCAGCTGTTGAATGTGCCACTCGGCCTGGAGCATTAAAAGTCAGTGCCGCTTTGTCTAAAAGTCAGGGGTATGCTCTGACAATTATTCAGCAGGAGGAGGAGGGGGAGGAAAAATTGGAGGAGGAAAGATTCTTGGCGAGACGTTCTGGCCTCGCTAAATATATCCGTTGATAACCTCACCTCGAAATTGTGAAAGTGAAACGAGAAGCCACCATCTACCATCTCGCAACAGTAATATTTGCCTACATACCTAACATACCCAAAATGGCAGACATCCCCCCAATCCCGTCATCATCCCCAGGCGCCGATACCCCAACCTCAAGCGTCTCTGAGCAGGCACGAATCCGCAAAGAGAGACGAGAAGCCAAGATCCGGGCAGGAGGTTCAGCAAGACTGAACAAGATTTCCGGTCTTGGAGGAGGAGTAGAACGAGGTTTGTATAATCGCATCCTCGAATGACTCTAAAGTATAGCTAGCTAACCTGGGATGCGATAAATAGATGCACCAACTCCCCCACCAGCCTCAACCGCAGACCCAGCCGAAGTAGACATATCCCAACACTTCTACGAACCCGCTCGCACCCGCCGCACTCCAAACGCATCACCCGCCCCAGGAGGCCAGTCCATGGGAGATGACCAGCTCCGACAAATGATGCTAGGCTTTGACCCCTCAGCAATGGGCGGCGCGCCTCCAGGTGCAGGCGGAAACCCAAATCCATTTGCAGGTTTCCCAGGCATGGAAGGCATGGGTGGTATGGGGGGACCGGGTGGTGAAGATCCCATGATGAAAATGATGCAGCAGATGATGGGCGGCGGTATGCCCGGCGAAGGAGCAGACGGCATGCCATCTTTCCCGGGTATGCCTAGCATGTCTAGTCCAGCCCAGCAAGCAGATCCCTACGCATATATCTGGCGAATCGTGCACGCCGTTTTCGCACTCTCGCTAGGCCTCTACATCGCGTTCACCACCACATTCTCCGGAACGAAGATCGAGCGGGAAAGAAGCGGGCTCGCGTTCGCGGAGAGTGGAGTCAGTGCAGCGAGCGTGCATTTCTTCTGGATCTTCGCTACGGCCGAGGTCCTCTTGCAGAGTAGCCGCTTTATGTTGGAGAAGGGCAAGACGCAGCAGGCGGGCATTGTGGGCATGGTTATGGGGTTTTTGCCAGAGCCGTATAAGGGGTATCTGGAGCTTGTCATGAGGTACTCGAGGATTTGGACGACGGTTAGTGGGGATGCTATGGCTTGTGTGTTTGTTTTAGGGGTATGTGCTTGGGTGAGAGGTAATTAGATTTGTAGTGCCTTAGTCTGCAAGCATACCAACTATTTCCTCTAATCAAGTTTCGCTATGCCCTTGAGCTACTACGTCCCAAACTTCATGTCACACATAAATGAGCCTATCAGCGATTTGCCATATTCTCTCCCTTTGCTTTATGATCGACCAGCCTCTGATTTAAACCGAGTTACTCCTGTCAAGAAAAAGCCGCGTTCCACAGCCTCGACAGAAAAAAGCGCACAGCCGGCCCCAATCAGCGCTCACAAACCAAGGACATTGATTGCATACTTGTGATATATTGTGCTTCAGCGTCCACCACCACTATTAATGCAACACATCATCCATCCGCAAAGTAACTCACAAAAACGATTTAACTCCTACAGTGTTTTACAGCCGTCTCCATAAACAGAAGAAGCCTTCGTAGTGAATATAATAAGCGGCACTAATTTATAATGTGCTAGGTGGTGTGACACATTAAGAGTATGATAGTGAGTGCGTGCCGCTTTTTTCTACCTAGCATAAGGAGTATGAGGCTTTTTGTGTGAGACGGCCGTAAAACACAGATATCAATCAATCACACTTTAACTCCTATAGTGTTTTACGGCCGTCCGTCTCACAAAGAGAAGAAGCCTCCTGGTGGAGAAAACAAGCGGCACGCACTTTATAATGTGCCAGGTAGCGTGGGGCATTATTCTAAGTTGATGATGAGAGTAATGTGCTGCTTTTTGTGTCCAGCATAGGGAAGCATAATAAAGATTCTTAGGGGTTCATAATTAATAGACCTTCTGTGGGGGAAGGCTATAAAACACAGTAGTTGACACATCACCGCAGTTTGGTACAGCCAGATAGATATGATAGAATAAGATCTCCCCGTTGATCATTTTTGCCGCAGTCATTATTCTATCATACAGCCGCGCTAGCTCACTATAAAAATCAAAAAACGCCAAACCAACCATCCCCGAGTTTTGGAAAAGCGAAAGAAAGTATGCATCCATTTATCCGAAGATCCACTTTTAGACGTCTTTTGCCCAGATTTTAGATGCCTGATATGCAATCCCCAGATGGATTGATGCTAATGCAAAAAAGAAATTGTTTTGGCCATCCAATTTGAAATCAAAATTTTTATGCCGTAACACCTTGGTTTGCCTTCTTGGCAAGGGGTATCTCAGCTGCAATATCCAGCTCCCTCTTCTCAGGGATATCAATCTGCCTCTCCTTCTTAGCCAGCACTGCTTGCTCTTCGTCAGTCATGTTAGGAAGCAGATCAGCGGTCTTTGTCTTTCCGAGCTTGAGATTTCGCTGGAAAGCTCGGATAATAGAATCAGTATCATCAAGCGTGATCTAAGCAAGAGCATATTAGTTTTTATCTCTATATATCTGAACTCTTTAGACTTACAGGTCTGATGTCAGCAAGCGCCTTGATCGATTCTGTGCACTCCTTGTATTGTGCATCAGTCATTTCGATTTGAAGTTGGTTCGCTCGCGACTTGATAGCATTCCATCCGGTTAGACGCGAGGCATAGTGGATGTATCTTGTCATGCCAAAATCCGCCGGATTGATAATCTCATACGTTGAAGGGTTGTTGAGGATCGCTTTTGCGTGCTAAAAACATGTTAGCTAGGAAACATTACGAGAATAGGGACAACAAACTATGCCGGCCTTGTGCGAAAATGCTGAATAGCCAGTGATATAGTTGTTAAATGGAATGTTGACTTCGACGGCTTGAGCAACAAGATCCTCAATATCCTTGAGCTTGTGCAATTTGTACTTTCCGATAACATAATCTCTGTCGGCAACAATCATACGCGCCATTAAACCACCGAGAGGGGTGATGCCATTTCGCTCACCAATACCTAATACTGAGGTATCGATGTGGGTGGCACCAGCCTCCAAAGCACAGTATGCATTCGCAATGGCGCAGCCGGTATCATTGTGGAAATGCGTCTCGATATCACAGCTGACAACACCACGCAGAGTCCGGATCAAGTCATAGACTTGTCTTGGGGATGCACAACCGACAGTGTCTGCAATACCGACGCGGTTAACACCGATCTTGTCGACGGTGGAGTAAATTGAGAGCAGATCCACGAGATTTGATCGGAAAGAGTCCTCGCTGGAGAATCTGATTTCGATGTTATGCGACTTGACGTAGTTAATGACTTCAATTGCGGTGTTTGTAATGTAGGTCATGTCTTTGCCGTGAGAGTGTTCCATAAGATATGAAGAAGTGCCGATGACAACGTCACTTAGGCATTTTTTTTTAGCGAGATCCACGATAGCGAGTTTCAGTACTTACACTCCATCAACACCGGTCTGGACTGCGATCCTGGCATCGTCCATATGGCATCGAATGTGGGTGAGAATCTACCCCACTTTAGCAATTGAGCGCCGTGTACGGAAAAGGACGCCACGAACCTTAGCCTTCAATCCCAGCTTGCAAATTTCCTCGCAATCAAGCCTTGATTGCTCAGATGCAGCAGGTGAAGTCAATTCGATCTGATTCCTCCACATTAGCATGTAATTCGAAAACCTTTGTATATTTTATGACTCACATAGTCCACGCCAAAATCATCGAGAGCCTTGGCGATCTCAATCTTCTTCGGGAGGTCAAAGAAGGCATTGGCGAACTGTTCACCTTCTCGGAGGGTACTCTCGATAATCTTGAAGTTGTTGACATTGCTCAAGAAATCGCCGACAGGTTGGTATGGGTTCGATCGGTGTTGATGTGGGTTTGATTTGGTCTGAACGGCGGTGAAACCAGGGTGTCCTGGAACTATTAGATACGCTCCTGCAAAGACTGATTGTAACTCTCACCATTGGTACCGTTAGATCCATTTGTACCATTAGAAGTTCCATTGGTATGACCGTTGCCATTGGCATTGGCGGCAGCCTCTGGTTCGCAAGAGGGGCACATAGTTGGTAGCTGTATGTGGCGGTCGCGGAGAGAGGAGGGATTCAATTGAAGTATAAGTCTTCGGAACGGGAGGGTGTGATGAGGTGGTAGTAGTTATGGTTGTTCTTAAATATGGAAGAGAGGAAAAGTAAAATTTCAAAGGCGAGATTCCCGATACTTAAAGGCCCTATGACTCTTTGCTTGCTTCGACTGTGGGGGAGGGCAAGGAAAAAAGGGTGGAAAATTGAAAGCGGGGTGGGGGAGGCAACGCCGATGACCGCTGTTGCGAATAATTACTAAGGGAAAAGATCAGCCCGTGATTGGCTGGAAACTAAAACTCCTCAGTGACCTCACTTCACTTACAGCGAGCAGCGGTGAAGCGCGCATGGCTTTTGAGGTAAGGTACGCTACGGTATTGGGGAAAAACCCCCATGAAAATTTCAGATGCAGGTCAAATTGTCGGTCGTGGAGGGCGCATATAATCCGGATTTTCTCTACTGCCTACTGGCTGGCTTGCTTACTGGGCGCATCAAAGATTATTTTATCCGCGGGGATGTCTGGATGCCCCACAAGGATTGCAAAGGGGTAGTGACCCAAAATAGATTACATCCCGATGAATACACATGGAGTAGTATTTTCACAGGAAAACCAAATCATATCTCCCCTTAGTCATATATCCCTAGCAATGTCTTGTTTTGTTTTACACATGCACAGAGTTATTTAATAAACCTAACCCTTAGTTGATTATCACTTCATCCCGGCTCTTGGATATCCATTATATCCATAAATCAAGGAGTTACCTTGCTCATGCTCACCAAACGTTTCACGCCCACCTATATATTGTTAGCGTATGAGCAGGAATGGAAATAATCAGAGGCCTACCATCCAGTTTCCACACTCGTCAGTCTTCTCACGCTGGATATCAACCTGAAATCGTGCGGCAACATCATAGTTCTTTGCGTTCAGGGCCTCAGCAAGCTCACTTAACCTCGCGACGGTTTCTGGCTTCACAAGTTCCTCGTTGTTCAGATGATCGAAGAGAATGTTAAGTCGCTTCTGCGTGTCCTTGACTTGAGCAGCGAAAGAAGGCGGCGCCTTGGAGGCAACTCGCTGCATATCACCGCTAAAGATGTCAACCATTCGCTGAGCCGATGCAGGAATGTGTGATCTGTCCCCACTTGGATGCTTTGGCTTTACCGGAGCAGCAGGTGTGACAGATTTAGGGGGTGGGCCAGTTGGTGGTCGAGAGCTTGGCGGTGGCCCCTGAGAAGCTGGCGGTGGGCCTTGGTTCTGGAATTGAGAAGGTGCCTGATTATGGTCATATGGTTGGGCGAACTGGCTCTGTGGTGTATGCAATGGCGGGGCACTAGGAGCGTAAGGATTAGCTGGTGGCGGTGGTCTATTGCCAGCTTGAGGTGGCGGGGCCACTTGAGATTGAGGTGTTGGTGGTTGTGAATACTGCTGTGCGGCTGGCGAAGGGGCGTATCTGTTGGAAGGCGGTGGCCCTGCCGGTGATGCATTATATGGGGATGCGCCTCGGGGAATGGTTGGTGGGAGACCATAGTGCTGGGCGGGTGAGCTAGCTGTTGGAGCTGGTGCATACTGATTTGCAGCAGAGGATGGTCTTGGCTGGAAAGGTTGGGGAGGGCCACTCATTAGCGGAGAGGTCATACGGGGATGAGCCGGTCCTTTTGGTGGTGGAGGAGGTGGAGTGGGAGTTGCTCTGACGCCATAGGGATTTGCTGGGGGTGGCATGGAAAAGTTCTGTTGGTTGGGGAATGGAGCTGGGGTGGTAGAGGGCGTGGCTCTTCTCGGTGGCTTAGAGACCATGGGAGTATCATTCCAGTTCATCATGTCCTTTGCCTTGGAGGGCGGCGGTGCCGAAGGAGTCGTGTTCCTTGGTGGTCCAGTGGGTGGTCCTCCAAAAGACTGAGTAGGTGCCCCATAATTGTTTGGCGGAGGAACACTACCAAAATTGGATCCGTAATTTTGCCCATAACCTTGCTGTCCTTGTTGCGGTTGTTGATATGGTTGCTGGGGAGCGTATGTATTAGATGGTGGTGCGTATGGGTTCGCCACGGGGGTAGGTGCCGGTGGTGCAAAACTATTTTGGGTTGGGCGCGCAGGCGTTGCAGCGGGAGGCTGGTAGCCAATACCCGGTTGTGGGCGCGATGAATTTCTTACAGATGCTGGCTGTTGCTGTTGTGCTGTTCTTGGTGCCGCCTTTCTCGATGCAAGTTTCACCCGGCTTCGAGCAACTTCAGCGGCCGGGTATTGCGTTGGCAAGAGATCCAGGTATCGCTCTGCAATAGACAGATGTCCATGGGCGGCAACAATGTCAGCATACTCGTTGTATTTGTCGTACAATGGCGCGAGCTTCCAGCCAGAGGTTAATCCTTGTTCGTTATCCTGGAACTTTGTCACGTCTCGGAACACTGTCACCTTCTCAATGAAGTTCTGCAGAACACGTGCGTGAACAGAAAAAGACGAGTCTTCGCTACGATCTTCGATGCCTGCCTTCTCTGCGTCCTGCAATTCGGCAATCCAGATAGTGATGACCTTCTCAAGTTTTGACCCAACCAAGTAGCAGAATGAGGCATCTTTGGGATTGTCAGTTTCTATAATTCGATCGCCAAGAGCTTCACACAAGTCCGGGAATTCGCTCGGGTCCGCATAGGTGCACAATGTGGCCATGGTTTCCTTCCAGTTTGAGAGGTCCGCATTGTAGACAATATCCCAGAGATTCTTGCCGATAACTGAGGATAGTAGGCGCAGATAGTTAGGCCCTGTCGACTTCTTGGACAGATACACAGACTGCGCCTTCTCGAGTAATTCCTTGCCCCCGCAATTTGCGATGATTAACGCGTCTGCAATCTTGTCCTCTTTCAAACAGATAGTCATAGCCTTCTCAAACTGCCCAAGCATCAAAGCTTTTGTAATCTGCTTTTCCGAGGCAGAATCCGCTTCAGAGAACAAGTGGAAGGGGTTGTCAGTCTTTGCTCCTTTCGTTGCCGCTATTGTTGATAGAAAGTCATCACCATCTACACCATCTGAGAAAAGTGTAGATAATCGACTGTTCTTCGACGCAGTTCCATTAGCGTCTTCAGTAGTTCCATCGGTCTTCTCTTCCAGATCAAGCCCAGCAATGCCGTTAGCAGCTTCTTCCACTTGGTCCGAAAAGCCCAAATATTCGGTAACCTTTTTGCGGGGATTATCGGAGACCAGTGTTTCAATAACCTTCCAGTCTGCCTTCTCCTGTTCAGATTTGGCTTCAGATATGTGCGATTCACAAATGCTACCAATATTTCCGGATAGGAGGGCTTTTTCGAAGGTCTCGGTGGCTGACCCAATGTCGGAGTCGACGGAGAAGTTTGAAATTTGGATCTTGGATGATCGATGTTGACCAGCAACGGTTGGCAACAGACCAAAGCTTACCAGCTTTCCTCCAAAGCCGAAAGAAGCACCCGCAGGTCGCTCGAGCCATTTCGGGGCTTTCTTTAAGGAGAACGAAGCTCCCTGTGGTTGAGTCTGGGCTTTTGTGAAGAAATCCTCTCCGTCTACAGGACCCTGAACAGGAGCCTGCGAAGAAGTAGAATTGGTATTTTGGAGAGTCTGTATTGAAATCTTGCCGTCAAAAGAAGCTGTTGCAGACAGAGCAGGATTGTGAGGATTGAACCTTGTTTGGAATGTCCAGTTTGTGACTTCGGGGAATTCGCCAAGGCGCTCCCCAGTTTGTGGGTTCCAGACTATCGTTCTGTTATCCTTTCCACAAGATAATAACAGGTCGCTATCCAGCTGGCACCACGAGAGTGAGAGGATGCCCTGGTCATGGCCTGCCAGTGTGCGCTCAGGGGCGTTCGAGTTTCGTAAGTCCCATAATAGAATGACTGGGCTCGAATCGTCAGGGGTTGCGGTAAGAAGCTTCGTAGCGTTGTTTGGATCCCAAGCAATTGCTCCCACGGCCTTTCGGTTGTTGTTCAATGTGAGAGAGGCCTTCTTGGTCTTTAGATCCCACACAGTGACAAATCCACCGCTTCCACCAGTTGCCAAAATATGAGGGACCTTCCTATTCCATGCCACACACTCAAGATCATCTGCTCGGGCCGCAGCCGTACCAAGTCTGAAAGGGTTCGAGATGTCGTTGATGTCGTAAATAAACAGCTCGCCCTTTGTGCCAGCTGTCGCAAGGATTTGAGGCTTTAGAGGATTGAATTGGAGAGATTTGATAGCGCCTGAGTGTTTTGTTGTTCGTGACATAAATGCATCTTCGCCCCCTTTTATGAGCTTCTCGGCATCCCACAAATCCAGAGAGCCATTCTCAAGTGCCCCAGCGATTATTCCCCGTGGGTGCTCTGCGTTCGCAGGTCCCCAAGCAATATCATGAAATCTGTATCAAAAATCTAGTCAGAAAGGGGTCCACGGAGGCGCAAAAGGGGTTCAGTACCTTGAATCCGTGCTAATGCTTGCAACAGGCTGGAGCTCAACACCTTGCTCGAGGTCGTCCAGGCTCAAATCCCAGAGCTCCAGCTTTGTTTCATCAGAGAAATCTGCGTCAACTGCTCCAGCTCGAGTTCCAGTTACCACCAAAGGCAAATCAGAACCAGGCGACCAGGCAAATGCCGCGCAGCGAGGTATCTCTCGTAGCCGCATGTTGATGTGTTTCTAAAGTCCAAAGCAAGCTCAGCTATTGTTATAAATTTGGCGCAGAGTTGAGAGATAGATAGAGATTTGAACTACGGACTCGCAATTGGGAGATGGGAGCGCGACGTCCTAGTCGTTGGTGTAATAGTTGGGTTGAAGTTAGAGACAGATTCCCCTTACGAGTATCAAAAACACGGCTCCACTACAATCCGTCCACGTGACTTTAATCTTGAATAATTTCTATGGGATCCCTGATTGTCTTCGAGAGACATGCGCCATCGAAAACTCATAAAAGTCCAGCAATGACGGATCAAGCAAGGTGGAAGGCTACCGTTTATGTCGGTGGCCTGGCGGCGATGATTACTATGGAAAATCTTGAAGCTGCGTTTCTACCTTTTGGAGAAATTGCCGATGTCTCTCTCCCGTAAGTGTTTTTCGAGTCAAGGTGACAAGATCTGTAGAGCTAATATTCATAGTAAACCTGAAGGACCCAACTCAATGGAGTCCCACCGGGGTTTTGGGTACGTGGAATTTGAAGATCCAGAGGACACCAAAGAAGCTATCGACAATATGGACCAGTCTGAGCTGTTCGGAAAAGTCATTAAAGTCTCAGCCGCGAAGCCCCCGAAAAACGTCAATGAAGGTCTAGGAAGCAAGACGGCATTATGGGAGCAGGTTGGTTATCCATTCGGTTCAAGTATTGTGGTTGTTTACTGATCATGTGAATCTAGGAGGGCTGGCTTGCAGAGAACGCTGTGAGTGAGGAGGATAAGACAGCTGCAGACAGAGCGAGAGCAGTTGCAGAAGACAGACCTGAAGATCCAATGCAAGGCTTAGAAGGTCTGGATGTGGCGGGACCCGCAGCACCAGCGTGATGTGAGGAAGTCAAGAGGGATTAATACACCCAACTTATATTTATGCATACCCGAGGCGTTATGGATGGACGGGGACTGTCTGGGCTTTGAAAAAATATTCGTCATACTGCTTCAATCCGAAATACAGGATATTGCACTGTCTTGGGTTGAGCGAGTAAATACTCTTGATGGCGGACTATTCCGACATTTGGGCAAGGTCACTAGTATTTTCAGGAAAACAAGCATACTCCGTGGCTCCCTCACTTGATACTATGACACTATTATGGCTTGAATCTCAATGTATAGTTCTCAAATAGCTTCGAGATAACCAGAAGATGCTCGTCACGTTTTGATTGAGACGAAGTCAGGCTTGCTTGATTTGTACACCTCAGCCACCGAATGCATTTCCTTCCGTAATTCCATGCAATCTAGTCTACACCCTTCACGTATCGCTCCTCCCCCTTCTAAAACCCCTCCTATTCGCCCCTGTTTTGACGGTTGAGACGCATTGTCTTGTCGACGACGAGTTTTCGGCCCAGGGAGTAGAACGCAGCTCCAACGGCAATACCCACGACAACTCCTAAACATAATTTAGCACTGCGCATGTATATTGAGTGGTAGTTGGCATACCAAGGGGGATCAACTCCGGGGGAATTCGCTTGAGAGCGCGTAGGCGCTGACTGATAGTGTGAGCTGCAATAGCAATAGATCAGCAATGAATCTTCTTCTTCCATGCTCCCATCGATCAATTGAATTGTTTCACTGCATCCCGAGCCGTCCGAAACGCATGTACACTGGATTTACGTACCGCTGTGCTCCTCCTTCTGCGAATTCAAGCATCGTCAGTGTCGGAAAACAAGGCTTCTCGCTCCAGAACTTACAGGCACAGGCCTCATCATCCTCATGGTAGGTCGGAACATCCTAAGAGCAAGAGTTGGCTGCATTTTGGTTGATTTGCAAGGCCGATTCGATTTCGTAGGATCTTTTGATGTTGCAAGAGTGAACGGAAATGGCCTGAGACTCCCACGTTCTGCTAGCGCGGTTCGAGCTCCACTCCACCTCTCCCATAGCCGACAGAATCTCGAGACGACCTCGACCTAAACCTCCCAACTCCTTCACCAATTGATTCTCCTCCAGACACTCAACTCTTCTCGAACCCCTACCGCAAATATGTCTGACAGCGAGGAACGCGAGACCAAGCCCTTCAAGTTCGTTACTGGTAAGCTTGCAGTTCCCAGCCGCCCGAATAAATGGCCTGATTTGCTAACTTCTGTCTAGCTGGTAATTGCTTTCTCCTGCTGAAGCTCAAGCTTCCCAAACTGATTCATATGTACAGGCTTTGATGCCCGCTTCCCGAACCAGAACCAGACCAAGCACTGCTGGCAAAACTATGTCGACTACCACAAGTGCATCCTAGCCAAGGGCGAGGACTTTGCTCCATGCCGCCAAGTATGTTGGATGTGAATGGATAAGGAATGTTGTTCTAATGGGTATACAGTTCTTTTTGGCTTACCGATCATTGTGCCCAAGTGCCTGGTGCGAGAGATGGGATGACCAGCGAGGTCAGTATTTCCAGCAGCATCTTGTTACAGGTAGAGACTGACAATTATTACAGCAAACGGAACCTTCCCTACTCGCCTTGATCAGTAAATAATCAACGTACACAATGGGCGGTGGAGTTTTGATCGTGGAGAGAGGAGCAAGTTTCACTAGGGCCGTGTACCATACTAGTCAGATGCGAATTGATAGAGGAACTCGATTCAATGTCTGACTACGTTTCAATGTGATGTAGGTATTGTACATGCAAGGAGAACTGTTCTTATACGCCTCTCCCTGCCCGTAGTCTGTCATACCGTAACATTGCTCCCAGCAGTGTTTGTGCACCGTTTCCACAATCTTCAGGACTGCAATATTCTGCTGGATTATGAGATACACCATCTCTACACGGGACGAAGATCCTACGAAGTTAGTATTTTCGTCAACCTTTGTGTCAAGTGGTAACCTACATCGAAGTCGGAGCATGTCTCGAAGTGTAGACGCTGAAGTCTGTCAGTCTTGTTGTCCCTAAAGTTCCAGTTTCTTACCTGTCATGCCCCGCGCCAGAGGTCATTCTCTGCACCAAATTTCCACTATTGGTTCCAAGCATATCTTTCGCACTCTCCTCCACACACTTGACACAGTCTTCATGAAAATTGGTAGCTGGAGAGTCAGTGTCCAACTGCCACTCAACAGTGCAACCTCGTCCCTTTACCCCTTCGGCATTACTTTGACCAACTTGCTCTCCAGCAGCAATCTTAGCAAACTCTGTTTTCAAGATGTCTTCCAGCTGCTGAAGTTTTGCATCGTCTTTTGATCTCATATCAAGCGAAAACCTCACAAATCCTGGAACTGTATTCGTCGAACCAGGCTTCAGCGTCAATATACCTGTCGAAGCTAAGCACCCCAATTCCGCTGCTGTGTTGTGGCTGTGGACAATTAGTTTGGCAGCTGTAAGCATTGCATCTGATCGATTTTGAAAGTCTGTGGTTCCCGTATGGCAATCCTTGCCCTTGACAGTGATTATATGCCACCTGAAAGCCTGGACTCCCTCTACTGCTCCTATTTTACCTCCCGAGCTTTCTAGGATTGGTCCTTGTTCAATATGAAGCTCAAAGTGGGCCCCTATTGGATTTGCTTTATGGTTTGCTTCGAGCTCTCCCAGGTAGCCAATCCTCTCTAGCTCGGACAATTGTGTGGCTTTCCCTCCTCCTACTTCAACGAGGTTGTACGCTTTATCGAGGGGAATCGCTCCGGCCCAGACACCGGATGAGACCATTGAGATTGGGAAACGAGCTCCTTCCTCGTTTGTCCAGTTTATCACACCTGCGAGTCTCATTATCAACATATTCTCCACACCTTTTAACAAATAAGACAGCTCTTTCTCACCAGTGGGGTATTCAGTTTCAATATTATTATCTTTCATTGTTTTCAACGCCTCAATGCCCGCATGAACGCCCAGAATTCCATCGTATCTGCCACCAGTAGGCTTTGTAGATGTCAGTCGAGGTTACAATGGACTTTACTGAGATATTCTCCCACCTGTGTATCCATATGGCTTCCTGCGTAAGTTGGAGCAGCTGAGTTTTGCTTCCCTGGCCGGATGGCAAATATGTTACCTACAATTATAAGCACGATCTCAAAGAGAGCCTGCCTAGAGCCATACCCATTGCATCAACTTCAACCTTGCATCCAAGGGACTCGGTGGTCTTCACAAACCAGTCTCGAGCTTGTTTGTCCGCATCTGACAGTGTGAGACGAGCCATTCCAATGTCGGTAGATCCCCTAGAAAACGTAAGCAGACGGCTTTTGCAAAAACTTTATCCAAAAGGAAGACAATGGATGCAAGAGATTTAGAGATAGTCTACTTAAGTCGTCAAAAGGGAATTCAAAATTGACAAGTTAATGAAAGATGTGATTTCCCAAGAACATAGTCGCGATCCAGTCATCTCATGAAGCTCTAACTAGCTAGCTGAATCAAAAGTTCACATCAAGATAGATATTGAATACCATCCTCGAAAGGAACAATAGTTGAAAAAGCACAATGCTCGCAAGCGGTCTCCCATCTAGGAGTACAATCCACCCAAAATAAAGTCACACCAATATGAAGAACCTAAACTGCAAGATGAACAGGTTCTTACTCTCCCCACCTCTCTCCCTTGCCCCACTCACACGTCTCATGCAAGTCTCTCCAAAGTCTATCTCGATCAATCTTCACAGCAGCCAGCTGCTGTTCCGACATGTCGGTAGTTCTTATGGCTCTCCATTGTGTAACAGAAAACAATCTGGACGGAAGAATTTGGGAGATGACGCCTCTCGGTAGGCGGGGTCCGCGAGCTATTCTGAGGGTGGAATTCATAGTGAGCTCTCTCTTTCTCAAACATGGGTTACACTAGAAAATAGGTATGTAGATAAGAGGACGGAAGGCGGGTTGAGAGTATAAGGTGCAAGGGTAGTCGAGATCATTTAGCACCCGTGGTATCTTCTAGTACCTAGTCCTCGCCAAAAGTGGGGTCACAATGTAGGTACATACGTGACAATACTCAAAAATCTGTATGTATAAACTAGAATTGTTTTTATGTATCACCATCACTAAAATTGGCCAGCAGTTGTGCAACGAATAACTTGGTGTGGTTTTCATACGCTTGCAGGTGATTCCCCTAATGTGATTAAACTCCATTGGTCCTCCATCCCTTCGCTTTCCTGCTGTAACGCCGTGCTTTCAGACCTTGAACTCCAATTGATTAAGCTCTACCTTTTTCCCTTTCCCTTGGCCTTTGTAACTCTTGCCGGTGCCTTGGCTTTTCCCTTTCCTTTTCCCTTTGCTGGAGCAGGCGGAGGCGTAGGTTCTTTCTCGACAATCTCAGGCTCATCTTCCTCCAATTCATCCACACCATTATCTTCCTCGTCCTCCTCATCACTGCTCAAGAACTCGTCATCCTCAAAGCCAAAGAACATTCTTGTCTTGGGCTTAGGCTCGGCATCTGATGGAGGAGTTGTACCCTTCGAGCTCGACCCTCCCATACCATCATCCTCACTGCCAGAATTTCCAGATCCAGATCCACTAGCAGCAGAAGTTCCTACCAAGTTGTCCTTGTAATCTCCCGACTTCATAGCAGCAAGCACAGCCTTGCGTGTGGCCTCGCCAGCCTCTTCCTTATCCTCAACCCACTTCCCATCAACCTTGCCCTTACTTCCAGACTTCATTTCCTCCTCTCTACGCTCAGCGAGTTCGACAACTTGCTCCCATCGCTTCCGGCGTTCCTCTTTCTCCCTCTTGGCCATCTCGGGCTTGATAGCTAAGTACTCGGCGAGAGCCTTTGCCTCATTCACGGTTCGCAGTCTTCGGCCATCAAGATTTCGACTTGAGGCGTTTTCATCGCCTTGGTTCTTCTTCCGCTTTGAGGACATACGGCCTCCAGCAGCTCGCAACTGTGATCCAAAACCTCCCTTACCACCACATAACGGGACCGCCAGTCGGAGGGACAGAAAGTCATCGTGCGGGCTGGAGAGAAGACCAGAAATGTGTGATTCTGATGTCGCTGGTAACTGCTTGTTTGAGATAGTCGTGAGGATCAGGCGGCTGTTGTGTGCTGGAAGGCGGTCTTGGATGCGATCGTGGAGTTGTGAGATGGTTGTTTCGGCGGGTAGAGGAAGCGAGAGGGTCGCAGGGAGGTTCAGTCCTGGAAAGGACGTCAAGAAGACGTTTAACGTAGTCGGTAAAGCCATGATCGAAGTTGTTGGTTGCGCAAGCTGGGCGAGATGGCTGATAATCTTTTGATTTCGCGCCACCAAGATAGATGCAAGCTCTACACGCACACCCCGTCCGTTCATATAAACTACCTTAGCATGGCGCTAAATAGCCGCCTTAAACGCTTGACCTTGCATTTATCCGGAAAATGGATCGGCGAATTCAGCCCGAGCTACTGGATAAATCGAATTCGTACTGCTACTCCTCCTGGAATTCACGATTGATGTAAGTCTGACTTGAACTAAGGTTCGACAGGGTAAATGGATAAATTCAAAATAGATTCAGAGTCAAGGTGATGCATTTCAAGACGGCGCACCTATCTATTCAGCAGTGAGTATTAAAACACGGCTGTCTCTGATATTTTTAACCTTTCTTTCCATTTCCTCTGAATTGCAATCCCCTTCTCATATATTATCCTTCAGTCATGCCTTTAGAACCATTGGTCAAGCATCTCTTCACAGCAGACCCTTCCGCGCACGTCTTCGAAGGCAAGCTGTTTATTTATCCCTCACACGATAGGAAAACCGACATCAAGGATAACGACAATGGAGATCAGTATGATATGAATGACTATCATGTCTTTTCGATGGAATCAGTTGGTGGGCCAGTCACAGATCATGGGGTGGCTTTGAAAGCAGGAAATATTCCGTGGGTGTCAAAACAGCTCTGGGCACCAGATGCAGCGTTCAAGAACGGGAAATACTATCTGTACTTCCCAGCTCGTGACAAGGATGGGGTGTTCCGAATCGGTGTTGCGGAAAGTGATGTCCCTCAAGGTCCATTCAAGCCCGAGCCAGAACCAATTGCTGGGAGTTACAGTATTGACCCGGCCAGCTTTGTGGATGATGATGGACAGGCATATCTGTACTTTGGTGGGATTTGGGGAGGGCAATTGCAATGTTGGACGACGGGGAAGTTCGACGGTAGTGCATATACGAATATGGAAGCCATGGGCAACGATGCTGCTTTGCTGCCTCGTGCTGCCAAGCTGAGTGAGGATATGCGTTCCTTCACCTCAGATATAAAGGAACTTGCGATCAATGGCGCGGATGGTCGACTTCTACCAGCGGACGATCATAACCGTCGATTCTTTGAAGCTGCGTGGATGCACAAGTACAATGGCAAATACTACTTCTCCTATTCAACAGGAGATACTCATTTCCTCGTCTATGCTACAGGCGACAGTCCATTAGGACCGTTTACGTACCAAGGAAAGATTCTGAATCCTGTTGAAGGATGGACAACGCATCATTCCATTGTTGAGTTTAAAGGGAAGTGGTACTTGTTCCACCATGATACTTCGCTGTCTGGGGAAAATCACCTAAGATGTGTCAAGGTGCGGGAGATATTATATGATGCGGATGGAAATATAGAATTGGCGGCTTAATGAAATATCACGCGGGAAAACATATAAAATGACAATGATTGAATGCTGTTGAAAGTCAACTGAGAAAGCTGGAGGCGAATACAGACGTCCATCCGATACAATCGGAGAGTAGTCATACCCTAATCAGGAAGGAAAGGCTACTGAACATTTTAAAGTGACGCAGTTGATGTTCATAAAGTATAGTAACAGGATGATACATTTTTGCAAATCCAAATAACTCTTAGTGTTTCGCGGCATTTCCCGTAAAGGAACCGCCAATTCCAATAATAAACCCTTGAGTTCGTTGGACACAAAAAGCGGCACTTGTTCTCATTGGTTCTTGATGTCCCACGGCACTTGGCATACTTATTATAAATTGTTGCCGCTTTTTCTACCTATCGCTAGACTTCTTCTTTTTGAGACGGCCTAAATTGTACGGAGGTAAGGTAGGAGTGAATTTGGTGAGGGGTTGATGAACCCAAACAGGTTAGCTCGCCTCGCTTCGCCCACACAACCTTTTGCAAACACCGTGATCGTGAACTTTTACTTTTTTGTCAATCTGAAAAAGCATCCTACTCGACATTAAGCAACCGCCAAAATGTGAGTTCAAAGCATGCAGTCGTGCAATGATACTCAGCATACTTAACTCCATCTAGGCTTATCCCCAAGGCCGACAGAAAGAAGATCCACGAGTACCTTTTCCGTGAGGGTGTGCTTGTCGCGAAGAAGGACTACAACCTCCCAAAGCACAACGACATTGACACCAAGAACCTTTTCGTCGTCAAGGCCTGCCAATCTCTCACCTCCCGTGGTTACGTCAAGACCCAATTCTCGTGGCAATACTACTACTACACTCTCACCCCTGAGGGTCTCGACTACCTCCGCGAATGGCTTCATCTCCCCGCTGAGATCGTCCCAGCTACGCACATTAAGCAACAGCGATCGCATGCTCCTCCCCGTGGAATGATGGGTGGTGAGGGCGAGCGTGAGCGCAAGCCTTTCGGTGGACGTGGAGGCCGTGGTGGTGGAGAGCGTGGTGACCGTGAGGGTGGTTACAGACGTCGCGAGCCTGGTGCGGAGGGCAAGGAGGGTGCACCATCTGGAGAGTTCGCTCCTCAGTTGTAAGTTCAATATGATTCAACATTCCTGTTTGAATATGAAGCTAACAAACATCCAGCCGTGGTGGCTTCGGTCGTGGCCGTGGCGCTGCTCCTCCCTCTTAATTTGGCATTTTCCTCTGCTTGCTTTGCATCGACAGGAATTCCTTATAACATACTTTTGAAAGGGTTGGGCTGAACAGTAGCGCGTTTGGTCGAGTGATAGTAATCGCCGGGGGAGAATAGGTCGAAGGTGGAAGTTGACACTTCACAACTGTCAGATAGCAACGAGCTCTTCCAAGAACTATGTTGTCCTTTATGCAAGTCGTGATGAATTAGAAAACAACCATCTTCAATTTCCTACATTCCGAGACTTATGAGCCTTTTCAGTTGTTCTCTTTCCTCTGACTTCAAAATCAACTTTCTCCGCGTTGTGCTACGAACTCTGCGTACATTAGGTGATCTGGTACCAAGCACAGAACCTTGTTCTATGATTTAAATGCTGTCACAGTTGCTGGAACTCTGCGGGTGTTCCAAGCCATAATTTTCACACTTCTCAATATGGCTATAGACTTGACGCAGCCACTTAATTACTTAGCCACTATCAAGAAAGATTATGAGCATATTACAAACTTGGAGCGCTATCTAGTTGTTAGCCCACGCGTGTGATAAAGTTACAGCCAGAGACCAACGTAAGCCGCGTGGAATAGTACCAAAGCTATTTTAAGGTCATTTCACTATATTTCACTTGACTAGTCAAGCATCATTCATGCTTTCCTTACGAGACCTTGAAGCAATAGGCTTTGAGCATCAATCAAGCAGATTATTCCACTATTCCTGAGGTTGCCTTTCGATCATTGAAGCCTTGCACAGTTCTGTATTGATGCACCAGGTCGATTTCACAACTCGCAAATATTTTAATTTGCTATTTAGAAAGGGGTAAATAACAACTTTAGTCCCTTAGTCTCCTGCTAGGAGTACTCATATTGCTCGGTTTCTGGATAGGGCGGTGGCTCTAAAAGCTCGCCCTTGCCAGCAAATAGCGGTCATAATCAGGGTCTCCTTTTCCAAAGAGGTGGGCTCAAAACACTATTCAAGCTGCACGAACGCTTGAACAGCTCGCCGGCTGAACGCCTTCACTAAGAAGACGTGAACGTGAAATCTTCGATCTTTGATTTGAATGACACGCCTATTTCATCGATCATGATTCTGATTCAAGACAATGGCGAAGTCCCTTCGTTATCCAGGCTCTTTCCTCTGAGCTGTGATGCTACCCTAATGACATAATTAGATCTAAAATTATCAAATCCAGTTCTACTGTCCTCTTGGCTCATACACGCAATCGACTTACAAGCTTTGCAGGGAACTTGTCGATTAAGTCTCCTGTTGCGATCAACTCAAGGAGGAAGTGACTGTTTGGTCCATTGGCTTTGGATAGCATTCCTAGTAATCGCGCCTCATGTCATGTCTAGAAATCTTTCGTGTCTTCCGAGACCGTAAGGTCGATATGTTGTTACCTCTTCAAAGCGCTCCCCCAAGCATCCTGCCCTTCTCTTCCTGCGTAAGATTGTACTGCTTCCTTAGCCGTCAGGAACTCTCCTTCTCCCAAACCTCAAAGTCTTTCATCTACGCCCACCTTTGCTACTATATACTCAAATCTTTCGATATTTTATCTCTCAAATAGTCACAAATACTGAACAGCAATTCGTACTTCGTTTGCGAGCATAATTTGGCTTAAGAGCGTGGCTGGGATTCATCAAGGTGGATAACTACGTCGTGAAAGCCAGAACTATCGCAGGTAGGCGAGCCGTCGCGTCCTTGTTGAAATAGACATAAAGGTGAGGGCAAGAGTGGTCTGGATCATCGAGACTCAAGAAAAGTATTCTACCACCTCCCCTCTCCCATATTTTGCGTGCTGTCTTGACTCATAGGCCTTTGAAGGGCTGAATGTTAGGCTTGACATTGAAATTGGGACTGACTCTGAAGCGTCTGACACTTCTAGGAGTATTTTAGTTGAGACTTCCCACAGATTTGGTTATTGGTGTTGCTGGCCGAATTGTTTTTTGGGTCCCTGCTCCTCTAACAGGTCCCGGTAGTAATTCTCTGGTAGACTTTGCATTCTTGGTTAAAGAAACATTTTCCGGCTCCGGCCATAACGATTCTCCCAATATGTACAGGTGCTTCTATCCCAGCCTTGATAACTCCATTCATCAAGTTCGCTATCTTTCTCTTCTTACTCGACATAGATGCCTGGGAGGCTGTTTGTTTTTCGAGAAGGAGGGTGGCCTGGTACCGGGAAGGAAGTATGGGAAATGCCGCACATCGAAGCCATCCTGAAAGATCCCTCTTGCGAATACCTTCAAATAAAACATGGTGCTATCGCCTGCGATTTCGAAAGTCGACTTGAGTGGTGACATATAGGAGAAGAAGGCATAGCTTGATGCAACAATGCAGTAAGCCTAGCCTGTTTACGAATTTCCTAATGAGTCTGAAAAGTCAACAAGCGAGGGGAACTCCTATAAATGCAACTTCTTTGGGTCATGAATCATCTTTGCCTTAACTCTATGCTAAACTTGTATCCTTAGGCCCAATAGGATGAGGTGATAGTAACGAGTGCTTTGCAAGATTGCTAAGATATATTTGTACTGGGAGAGTATCATATCTTACATTCTCGTGGGGGTATCCATAATCTACACACGTAATCTACACACGTTGCCGCAATCTATTCTTTTCGGCTTTCTTTTGCCCCTTCATTGACTTTCTCGGCCTGCCCTTCAATCTGCTGCTGACAGGCTTCTGAGCATACAGCCATGCGTTCATTGGTCGCCTCGCAGCTACGAATCTGCCGTTGGGCGTAAACACCTCCACGGCAGGCCAGCCCGGATCTACCACCTCCTCTCTTTCATTAGCCATCTCGTCATCTAGCATCTCCCTTTCCTCTTCTTCTTTCCCTTCATTGTTCTCACTGAAAGCAGATTTCCATTGAACCTGCATTTCTTGTTTCGGCACCAGGCGTTGCCTTTTCCGTACTTGGGCAACCAGCTCAACCCACCCGCAACCTTCGATGAGAATATCAGTTGCAAGGACTCGGAAAGGTAAGTTTTCGGGGCTCATTTTGCCTGCGTTCTTCGCAGTCAACGGACCTGACCGCTCACGTGTTACGTCCCATTTCAGGGGGAAGGTCCCGGCAGATGCAATTTTCTCGCCGGTGCCTGGTAACGAAATGTTTAAAAGTGAAGATTCCCTCGTTTGTCCTTGGGTTCCAATAGCCTTGTCCGTCGAGGTGGTATGCGGCTCTATCGGTGTAAAGGCATAGCCTAGCATAATGATATCTGGTGTAGTTGGCGTGATGCGAATAAAGCCTCCGAGAAGTAAGGACTTCCCGGGTTTAAGAACTTGTTGTTCTGGTCGGATGCGGTTACGCATGACAAGAGATGAGTGATGCTCGGGCTGGATATGCTGCTCAAGGTCCCCGCGTGAAAGACCAGGGAGATCAATCAACTCTCCCTTTCCACTTCCGAAGGAGAGACGAATAGGAGAGGCTGTCGTACCCGGTAAAGCCGACACCAATGGCATGGCTGGATAGTCGATTTCAGGGGGCGCGGGGGGAGCAGTGACGATGTATCTAGATGCTCTTCCATCTGAGATTCTAACTCCTCAAGTTTCTTTAATTTCTCTGCCAGTATTGCGTCGTTCTCTGGTCTGGTGGCTGCTCCGTGATCCACAGATAGCGGTGGCAGCTTCTTTCCAGCTTCAACGTTCCGTCTTCCTTTCGGAAAAACATCATTGAAAAGTTGGCTCTTTCCAACATTGACTTTGCCAACCAGCCAGCCTCCACCTCCCCTCTTCCAAATGTCTTCTTTCAGTTCCTTTGTCCACCATCCTTGCTTTGCACTTACACATCTGATATTACCTAATCGTACATCCTTCGCTGTTCTCCCAAGTGCGTCTCGCAGGACTTCACGTAAATATGGCATCATAGAATCCACTTGCGTTTTCAGAGGAGCTAGCAAATCGGAACGTGTAATAATGAAGCTAACCTCCGTCTTTGTCCCATGGTAAAATCTTCCTGTCTTCGACCGTCTATTCAAAGACCTCTGAGGAGTCATGTGTAGTAATTTGTGCAGTCCGGGAACCAATGACATAGGGAAATCTGCAGCATCTAGGACGTGGTATACATGATTGTATTTGAATGGAGATTCGAATATTGTATCTTGTATAGATTGAATAGAAGGATGCTGTATAGAAACTCCGGCATCATGATGCTTCAGCTTATGGCAGCGGTCACATATTGGTATTTCGAGGGTCCTTGCTAGAGAGAGTTAGAAGTATGTACAGATTCGACGAAACCCGGCTTACTAGGCTTTGTAAAGTCCCCCAACTCTAACCCTACTCCGCTTGCATTATCTAAAGCGGCCTTTACGATTGTATCTTCTTTGGACTCCTGGGGCGCCGCGGCTGCTGTATAGTCCTTCACAGATCTCCGCGTAAGAGTGTAGAAACCTGCTTCGTCTTTGAGGATAGTCTGCGAAAGAGCACCACATCCTGCACACTGAGATGGCAAATACTGCTGTCCAAGAAGAAGGTCGAACTGGGGCTCGGGAACATCGTGTATTGTAGATTCTATTAAACGGGGCGGCTGTGAGTGAAACTGCTTAGGAGGGCATCTTGGGGTTTGTAGTTGGGCGATTTGGAGAATTCCAGGACAAAGGAACGCCGGGAGATCTGCGCTTGGAATATGAGATTGCCTCGTAAGCCTCTGGAACAGTCTTGCACTACGAGCGCAAGCAGACATAGTATTCGTTCATTGAGCTGATTTTGCTATGTTTTGTTTTCTGCTTAGCCGGCGAGCTCCATCTTTACAACCTTTTTAGCAGGGTTCATTTTAGCGTCAAAGCTTAGATTTTATATTCAACACCACGGCCGCTACCAGATGAGACAACTCATTCTGGAAATCCTGTAGATATCCAGCAATCATTCAAAATGGTGAACATCGCCCAGCGTATGACAAGGCTGAAAGAAGTAAGTTGCTATGCCCACCAAGGTCTCCAGATTGCTAACTAATTCCTCGCAGAAGGTAGATACTTCCCAGCACGAGATCATCCCCTCGAAAGCTCCAATTGACACATTTCGCAGCTGCTGAGGCTTAAGGTTGGAGGAGGAGCTGCAATATTACCTCCGGAGGTGACGAGATTACATATGGACTTCGTAATGACCTACGACGACGGACACAAAGGCCCTAGGTACATCCAATTGCCCCCTTCGTCCAAAGATATCAAGCTCATGTTGGATTTACAATAGAAATTTCTGGCGCAACGACCTCCGGCGCCTCAAATTCTACAACCCAGCAATTCCCATGACCGTCTCGCGAACTGAAAACCCCGATGATCCAGCCCTAATGACCATCCACTTCGCCTCTGCCTCGGCCGCAGCCAGCACACCCGCAACTCCCTCCTCATCACCAGCCCCAACAGAAAGAACCGAAGTATTCACCATCAAGTCCCGCAAACGGTATGAGATTTTAGAGCAATTGATGACGCTCACGAATGCGAAGAAGATCGAGCCGACGGAGCAAGAGCTTAATGAGATCAGAGAGCTGAGTGCCAAGAGAGAGCAGAGCGCGAAGGACAGCGCGCTTTCGCAGAAGGTGAATGCGAGGAAGAAGCAGGAGAAGAGGAGGATGGCTATTGCGAGGGGAGAGTTGACTTCTGCGAGCTAAGGAGGCTGGAAAAATGAAGCTGTAATATAGCTGTACAGGCATATATGGAGTTTGGGTTATATAAGAACTCATGTTACAATACAAGAATATAAGTAAGAGGGTACGCCTAAAGAATCGCGGAGGTTTTTTGGGGGGTGTTTTTTTCACTCAAGAGACATGAAGCATTTTAGTGAGAAGTTTCAAAGTGCTACTCAATTGAGACTTTGGTGAGTCTGCTTGTCTTGACTGTATTACAATCGTCCAACGAAACACGGACCCGAGGATTTCAACAGGAGCATATTACCAACTCAACAATCATGTACAAGCATTATTAGCTCTACATTGAACACCACCGTCTACCAGCCCTTCCTGCTTGCTTAGCAATGCTTGTAAATACAACGCTCCAAAGCCCATGCTTTTCTAAACTCCTAGCCTATGCAATACCGACCCAAGACTCCAAGCATTGCAAAGAACCTCTATAAGACCAAGGCTGATACGTCATTTCAAACCGAATCCTTCACTCTCATACACAGCACGCCAAAGCATATGTTCCAGCTTTCGCCTGGACGCATAACGCCATAATGACAACGTATTAAAGCACGTCCTTGCCACTGGAAACCTGGGGCTGTCATTACCCAAGCAGGAAAGCTTGATGATCAAATTCGTCGCTCCCATAGCCGGAATACGGTCACTCCCGGTGATGAAGCTTAGAAGCTTTCGCTGGTCTTTTGGATTTGCATGTTGGAAGGACTCCCAAAACCATGATACTACAGGCTCTGTTTCTACGGCATTCGGAACACCCCAGTTCTCGCAGACGGAAACAGCTCGTAAAGATGCAATGTCTAGAGGTTCGTCTGAGCCTCTGATGAGAAGCTCGATTTCTTCGGGCCTGAATAGCGATAATGCATTGCCTCCGCAGACGGTAAAAAATCCTCTCTTGAAAGGCTCGAATTGGCGAGCCACAGCCGTATCTAGAAGATAACGCACGTAGATATTCACAAACTCTCGTCTATTGGCATTTGTGACTGGCCGATTTTGTCCATCTGGGCACAGTGGCACCTGGGATATTTGACCATAACGTTCAACATCGGCAACAAAATCTCGACAGAAGGTTGCCTGTACATCTCCATCGAAGTCTAGGAGCTGACGAAGACCCGCTGCTAATGATGGGCGAAATTCAGCTAAATCTTCCAGGGAATAAGTCATGGATGGCTTTGCGTGTGAGGTTGCTCCGGGTGCTGCAGGAGGACCAGCGGCCAGTAACTTTCTGAAAGCGAAAGGCGGGAGAGCAACATCGAGAATAGTTGAGTTGTAGATTGCCAGGCCTAGCACGACGCCGACAAGGAAAAATTGGTCGGTCGTCTCAAAGCTATGCGGGTTGAAGTAGCAGAAACCAGAGTCCTCATCATAGGTAAACATACCTGGGGTGTCTTAATTAAAGATTGTTTTTAAGATGTGAAGAATAACATACCATGGTCAGGGTTGAAGACATCTCTGACTAACAGAAGGAACCATTCTTTTCTGAGGCCACCAGCGTCGATGCCTTCCTCGCCCTTAAACTCAATCCTTAATCCCTTCTTGATCTCCTCGCCGGTATTTCCAACTACCTGACTGACTCCCTGAAGACTGTCCTCAACGAGACAATCTCTACGTACCTTCAAGACGAGATACTGATTGACAGTCTTGCGAGTCATGATGCTATCGAAGAAAGCTTCCCTGGCTTTCACCTCCATTTGCCGCCGTGCATCATGCTCCATGATTTGTATCTTAGCCCATATACTAAGGAAGAACGGGTATTGACAGAAAGCAAACTTGCCGCGCCTCGATTCCCAAGCCTCAAAATCTGCTGTAAGGTCCATGTAGTCGAGTAAAGTGTTGTAAAAATCGCTGGTGGGCAGTATTTGGCCGTGGTTATGGGCCCGTTCCCGAGCAGCTAATCCAGAGCTTCGGCCTGCTTCCAAAGTAGGAGGAGACCGTGTTTCTCCCTTTCTCGATAACCCGCTATTATTTGCAGAGAAAAGTAAAGCCATGACCCTAGAAGCAGCTTTAATCTGCCAGTCACCGTTATAGACAACAGCCTGTGGTTTGTTGTCAACCTTTTTTGAGGATTGGCCTGCAACCCCCAGTGCAGCATGTAGAGCAGCTGAATTGACTGTTCCTGAGCCACTCATGCTTGGTATCAAGCCAGCTGTTAGATCTTGCTCTGCCTCGCGTCTTTTTCCATGCTGCCTCCCAAGCCTGTAGGTAACAAAACTTCCCACTAAATCGACAGTTCTTTGGAAATGTCCGTCTGAGTAGCGAGCAAACCAGGAAACTATGTGGTGATGGCATTCGTTTGGAACATTCGACAAAAGACCTAGTATCCGCTTGATAATTCCTGAATGCTGTCCTGAACTCCCCTTGCGTGCATTTAGGGCAGCGGGCGACCGAGACTGTATGCTCGGTTTGGGTGGCTCGAGCGAGCCTAAATTGGAACCCTTTCTCTCTTGAGATCGAGATCTAGGCCCCTCGTGCATCTTTGATTTTGATGCCGCATGAGAGGGATATAGTAAGGGGTTTGCGAGAACAATGAGAAGAAAACGGAGGTCATGCGGTCCACTTAGAGGACGCCCTGGCCGTTTCAGTAGACTCTCAGTGGCTTTCAATAAGACTCTCTGCGCATGAGACTGTGCTTCCAGGATTTGCTCTTCGATTTCTTCGATTTCTGATTTAGTCAGAGGGTGGAGATCTGATCCAAGAGCATCACTTTCTGTAAGGCTATCTAGTGTCTTGCGCCATGAAGTTCCAGCGTTGAGAACAGAATGGTACCACTCATTGACCTCAGCCCAATTGACTCGAGGTGACTTCACGGTCACTGAGTCGGGATTGTCACCATCACCACCCATGCGAGCCGTCCTTGATTGCTCATGGCTTCTGGTATTTGAGCGACCACCGGTCCACCAGGAGCCATTCTCCGCAAAATTACCAACTAAAAGAGTTTTAGGATCTAGCTCCCACAATTCAGGCATTGCAACTTCGGCCAAAGTATGTTTTTCCTTTTCCCTCGGAGGAGAAACTCTTTGACTAGTTGAATCGCTTGCGGCTCGCGGCGCCATGTTTGGTTGCAGTGTTGAGAATGATGCGTTTATGCATTCTACGGATGCGAAAGAACTGACAACATAGTCCTCCAGAGCCTTGAAGAGATTTTTGACAGTGGCGGTACGGTTTCGCTGATCTTGGTCTTCTTTCTTCCCAGAGGCATAGCTACTTTCTGCACAAGTTCCAGCATTTCCATTCTTGCGATCTGGACGAGTAGAAGCCTCTATGTGTTCCATATGGGAACCGAAGAAGTCACCGGGTGATGATGTGGAAAACTGAGCACTGTCGGCACGCTTGGAGTCCCTATGCGAATTGGCCCCAACTGCACGGCGAGATAGATGGATGGGGGGCGTTCTATAAGGAAGCTGTAGCAGATTCGCCTCATCCCCGTTGCTTTTTCCAGCGGGCCCTGGCCTAGTCTCAACACCAGGGGCAACGCCGGAGGGTGAAGTTGAAGGAGATGCTACTGGACTGTCTATTAAGCCGCTGTCGTGTTTCAATCTCTTAATAAGGTAAGAAGTGATACATTCATCAACTAGCTTTTTAGTCTTCTCGAGAGACAAGGGATGGACTACTTGACGTCAGCCTTTGGCGTTTTAGAGTCTAAATTGGACTGTACCTCTTTGAGATATTCCAGGATGTGAGCCAGATTTCACAGCAACAGGTACTCTATGTCCATCGCCACGCCTCGCCTCCAAAGCAACAGGCTTCAGATCATTGATCATTAAGCACACGGTACATCTGAAGACCTTCAACTCCTTTGGCCACCGCACCATGGAATCGCAAGTCTTGCATTTCCCCGTTGTTAAATCCTTATCTGGGACTTTCTGTTTGTTTCCTGAGGCGTTCGCCGTATTCCTAACCATCTGTTGGGACACCGACTCCTCGTCGGTTGATTCAAAGCCTGCTGCGGCCCCGCCCTCGCCGGCATGCTTCTTTTTTCCAGGGAATATCGAAGGGAAAGGGTGGCTCATAGAACGGCCATGGGTATTTCTTTGTGCTGGTTTGGTTGGGTTGCCGTTACGTGCTCCCTGCGAAGGGGGCAAAGTCGGGATACCAAAGGCGCTGTCTATTATATCCGATTCGGTGATTCTTGAGGGGCCTTGATTTCGAGAATTCCCGCCGGCAGCGACCGGGACTGGTTCATTGCGATTGCTTGGTTGGAGCAGCCGGTTTGTCCAGGTAGGCATCGCACCGTCTCAATTGTACGTCTCTAGTAGTAAAAGGGCGCATTTGTCGCAGACTGATGATCGAATCACCACAGCAATTGCAGGTTCTTTTGGGGGATTTCGGCCGTTCGAGCGTGTAGCAGTGGTGATGATTCCTTTATGATTACGAGGTTGCAGCCGGTCTTTCCTTAAATCACACAACACTATGAGTTAGTTCCTTAGTTAAAATTTAGGATCCACGCAATGATCTGCACTTACTTCCATCCATGAACCAGCACGTCAAAGGTATGGTTGAAAATTATTTCCTACAGTGCGGTTGTCTTCAGACAAACGTCTGACGCGAAGCATCATGCGAACGGACAAATGGGTTACCCCAGGTGCTCTGGTTTTAGCAGCCCGCGATTGGTAGGACGAGGGGTTGCTTGGTGGTCAAACACGAGATGTCATGGTCAAAAAAATTTATATACTGTGTAAAATCTACAGGGCAAGAAAAATTGGACATAATCTTCATTAGAATTCTCGACATCACGAAATCACTTATAAACTGAGTTATTTGGCCTTCAATGAATTCATTCATCCTCGCATGTCAACAGCAAATGTCACACGCTTTTTCGAGGCCCGAGGCCCAAGCCATAAAGTATCCACCCCTGCACGTAGACCAGCATAAACCACAAAAAACTCCCATTAACACATCTATCTGTATCTTTGGAGGTTGAGGGTGTTGTGTCTCTTCCAGGTCTTTCTTCGGCCAGCAGTCGTCTTGTTGTATCCGTGACCCTTGCCCAAACCACGAGACTTCTTGCCAGTGGCAGTCAGACCACGAGATTCACGGTGCTTGTGGACTGGGTTGACGATCCAGTTGATGCGAGCATCACGACGGATGGCCTTATGTTGAGGATCGACGAGAATGATCTCGAAGTACTTGTAGGTGGAGTCTTGGTTAATCCAGTACGAGTTCAGGACGCGCAAGTTGGCGCAACGACGTCCAACACGCTCTTCAGCAGTTGACTTGAGGGATCGTTGGTACTTGAGCTGGTTAACACCCTGGTTGGTAGGTTTGCCTATAAAGAGAGAATAGAGTCAGCACGTTGCCAAAGATTACCACGCCCTCCCTTTCGGTGGTGTGAACATACCGTAAGTAGCACCCTTTGGCACTGGCTTCTTGCGACCTCCACGGCGAACACGGACACGATAGATGACATAGCCCTGCTTGGCCTTGTAACCAAGACGGCGAGCCTTATCAGGGCGAGAAGGGCGCGAAGCACGGTGGATGACATTCAATTGTCGGAGCTATATTTTGCACTCTCAGCTAATGTTCAACGAGTGTATAGCAGAGGCATCGATCTTCCGAAAGATGCCCACATAAAAGTCCACGTCCACAATATTCATTCCACTTATGTCCGCAGAGCAAGTTCGAAAGTATTGTTTCGGTTTCGATTTCGTAGGAATGTCGAGTTTATCTTACCTCCCAGCATCGGACACGGAGAAGGAAGCGGAGGACATCCGACTGCTTCTTCTTTTGCAATTCCTCGACGTACTTGAGGGCGCCCATCTGCGAGCACGAGAGTCAGCGTGAAATAGTTGCAGGTATTAATTGACAGCATGAAATTGTCAGGGCCTGGCAAGCTTGAACCGCGCAAGCTTTCTGGACGAACATGATATCGAATCGCGAGTCCTTTGCAATTGCTCGAATGCGCTGAGAAATTGACTGACCTTGAATGTGAGGACGAGTTGTCGATGTCGATTTTGTCGTTGGGTTGGCGTGAGGTTTCGTGGGTTTCGTGAAAATTTGATGTGCGAGTGTATGAAAAGTAAGCGAGCTGCTTGCTTAGCTAAGCCGATACTCAGAAATACCTTAAGCTTATCACCTTAGGAAGCTAAACCTCACCCCTCATGATCCTCATCTTGATTTCTTTCCCGTCTTTTACCAACAAATCATCTTTCTTTAAATTTTTTGGCGTTTCAAGTTTTACAACAGAATCAGCCACGGAATTCCCGAAACATATAACATTGTCTAATTCAAACATCAACTCCCTAAATTGATGCCTGCAACAAACTCCGCACCGCTATATCCGTACTACTCGGTCTATGGATATTTCTTACTGAGCCTACCCTAATTCACCTACAAATAAAGTTAGCACTTATCTCCTACAGTGGTTTGCGACCGTCTCCACAAAAATAAGAAGCCTCACGGTGGATAGCAAAAGCGGCACCAACTTCTAATGTGTCCGGTGGCGTGGGACATCCAAAGTCGATGAGATAACACAATCACCTCCACCAACATCAATCGCCCAAAATGTTCATATTAGACCCGGCCACGATCGTTGCACAGGTGAAAGTTTGTGGAGTCTGCAACGAGGTAGAGTCGAAATACAAATGCAGCCGGTGCTACCTGCCGTAGTAAGTTTCCCATAACTTTCTCGTAGGAAAAGTCTAATCGAGTTAAGCTGCTCAGTCGCGTGTTCTAAACTTCATAATCAAACACATCCAGCACTGGAGCCCCCTCCTAAAGCTGACGGCCCACCTCCGGAACCTCAGCCAAGTAAAGGCGTCCCAAGAGCCGGCACTGTAGCTGCCGCTGGCTACAAAGGACCATTCGCTGCGTTGGACAGCTCGACAGAACTCCAAGAGCTCTTCCGAAAGCACCCGAATTTACGGTCACAACTCGAAGCTATCAATAGCGCCACACTGCCGCCCGTTGAAGGCTATGGTCTTGCTCAAGGTGGTTCAAGAAAGGGTGGGAAAGTCGAGCCTTGGAACTCAGATCGCGGACTTCAAAAGGGCGTTGAAGCACTTTCAAAAGCCAGGAATACAAGTGGCGAGGATGGAAGGTGCATTCGAGAGTTCTCAAGGCTAGTACTTCAGTTACTCTCCGGAGACGACGGTGATCAGGCAGCGGATGTGATCCAGAAGAATATAGCGGAGGAAAATACCAGAATCATCGAGCAGCTCCTGAATAATGAGCGGTGATGAGATGTCAACAATCACAGGCAAACGACCACCAGAATTCACTACAGAAAGATATACCAAACATAATGTTTATAGGAAGCAGCGCAGGATGTCTAGTAAGCACGAATACTATAGCGCCGTGAACGGACTCTTATGCTAACGGAATTAAAGCGAGAGCGGGAATGTAACATAAACCTACCGCATGGGCAGCAGCTTAGTAAATGACCGCGAAAAAGCCAGGCTCAGGAAGCTTGATAAGTTCATTGGATTCGATATAAGACTCCCTAACTCATAGCAAGCCAATTTAAGATTGATTACCAGGCACATTAACTAGGATGGCGCTTAAACCGAGCAAGAAATCTCCCCTTCTTAACTGGAGGTGATCCAAAATCCCTAGTACCCGCAACAGCTTCCTTATCCTGTCTATTACTCTTTTCCTTCCTGCTACCCAAAATCCAAATCGAATCTTTTTTCCTCAAGAAAGCACCCGCCCACTCCCTCTTCTGTCTTCCAATCTCACTCTCCTCATCTCGCTGTGCCCAGTCGTTTCTGTCACTTGCTTCGAATGCTGATTTTTGTCTCGCCCTTGGGGCTATTGGAACCTCTTTGTCTGAAAAGACATCGCCCATGCTTAAAGGGCGAAGAGCGTTTGAAACCTTGGTCCCTCTCAAATGGGCGAATTCAGGTATATTGAACGTCCGCTGTGGTGGCTTGTATAAATCACGCCCAACATCCACTTCTAAAGCTTCTTCCATGTCGTGAGTCCATTGGAACGGGTTGCGATTCCTAAGCAATTCCCTCTCAATCATTGCTTGATCCATGGCCTGGGTTTCCTTGAGTTTGATGGATGGATGTCCGGGAATGTGCTTCTCGCGAGGGTGTTCCAGATGTGCTTTGAGAATGGGCTGAGATAGTTTGTGCATCTGCCGCGTGTTACCAACTGGAGTGGCCGTCCTCTCGAAGGCCGAAGCCGCTACCTTTGGCACGTGATGGTACCCTCCATTCGACTCAGTAACCTTGGAAGCTCTGGCCTCACGTCGTCGCTCAACCTTGATTTTTTGCTCGGCCAGGTGAGCTGTTAGCCGGCGACTCAAGTCTTCTGCGTCGAATGGCTCTCCCGGCTTGGCCCTCCGCTTGGCCGTATTGCCCATGGGATCGCGAAGTGGGTAAGTCATTGATCTTGTGGGTTTCAACTGGTGGTGAGGTTAAAATCAGCACACGAAGCAGCGGACTCAAATACTTACAACAGGTCTTTCTACAGCGGGCACTTGCGTGACTGTAGCCATGATTCAAAAACTGCGACCAACGTCTTTATATGAGAGAGGCAGTGGTAAGTCACAAGAGAGAGACAAAAATGTTTCAGTGGGGGCATGCGGCATGCAAGCCGCACGAGACACTGCAGAAGCTCGGCAATGGTGGATTCTTGGGTCGTACGATGTGCAGGTGCACCGGTAGAAGCAGATGTCCAGTAGCACTGCGAACGAACCACCGACGTCAAGAGACTACTGATTACCAGAGGATGAGGTGAGGGTACACTCATGAGTAAATAAATACCGTACAAGTAGGTTTTGAGAAAAGCCAGCCGTCGGAATGAAGCGAAGCGCCCCTCACCATGACCCTTAAAGATACCCTAAAGTACGGTACGGCACTGTACGGCACTACACCTACCTAGATGGAGAGGACGGAGCTCTAAGCAGCAGCTCGGCTTTCTACTGAAAACATACCCTTGCCGGAGAGAGCTCCAATCAATCCTTGAGGCCCTTGAGGAATTCTACTATTTTCTCTATTTCCTTTGGTGCAACCCCAGAGTCTAGACGGGCTGGACGAGAGGATGAGCTCTGCGCGTTCTTGGAGGGTCGAGGCTTGTTCCTCCCCGCGATACGGCGATCTTATGGTCTTTGGGGAGATTTGCATCTAGCTCGCTCCTAGCCTACCCAGCCTACCCCACTCTCGGTTCTAACTAGTAGGAATAGTGACAAGCATCATTTGGTGGGGAACATGTTGTTTTCTTGTGGCTGTTTTGATTGTTTTTACCTTTCTTGCGAGACATACATAGCATTCCGCATAATCACAGATATTACGCTCTGGTTGTATACGCGGCCATCTATTCATCCGGACGGAGTTTTCCGATCTTGAAAAAGCACATAGTTCCAGAATCTCACTAGCTCCCTAAGGGCATTTTCCACAATTCCATTTCTATCATTTTTCTCCTCGCTGTGACTGGAGTTGGCTTATATCAATCTACGATCCCAACGTTTATGGGTAATTTAAAATCCCATAACACAGTACTAATTACTAAATCCGGAGAATTGCGAGATGTCCATAGCTGGGAAAGCCTTACACAATGGCGTTGGCGTTGGTGTTGTGTTGCATTGAGCCTGAAGTCAAACGTCGTACCAGCTTCTTTGTGCGTGTTCCACCATTTCTACAACCATTACCAAACCGTTTAGTGCCGTGTCACAACGTGTACAAGATCATGATCTACTTTGTTTCGACGTGTCTGTGGGACAAGGAGCCATCATCTGTGGCTTGCTACAGGTCATTTTGATGTGAAATGCCGGTAGATATCTTCAAAGTGGAGGTCAGGGACTGCCCTGCTCTTGATACCCTACCTCAATATTATGAGATTCTATGCTCTTTGGAACTTTCGTTAATTGCTACGTATTGCATATTGCAATCGTATCATTGCGTGAGAGATCGAAGTAGAAGTACTTGGCAACATGTGTTGACTGCATGGCCTGGCTTTTGGTAGTCCATATTTCTACTTACACCCCACTCGCACCAACCGTATCACCTACGTATTGCGATCAGGGGAGTTTGTGTCGATATATGACAGAAACGCTCAGCAAATAGAGTCTAAATGGTCCCTAATCCAGTCAACTTAGGAGAACAGAGCCTGAAGAAGTTGATTAGCACGAGTTCATACTACCCCAGCCAAACTCATGTTGTTACATTAATCACGTCGAACAGAAATGAGCGCAGGGAACACAAGACATCACTTGAAAGTCCCCCTTACATTTCCAACACAAGGACACCGGCAGAAGTATAACGGTAAAGAAAACTATGAGCAATGATAACAGAGCATATGATTTTAATATAAAGATTGCGGGCCTGGGGTCCAACATGAGAATCTTTATTTTGCTACGACCAGTTCGCCGTCTACCGCATTCAACACGTTATAAGCAGCTGGATGACTTCAGAAACCATCCCGCCTTGACAGCGGAGTCCCAATACCCATTCTTCCTCCCGTTCATCCTAGTACCGATGAGAAGCATCATGACCAGAGAACGGAGTCGTGGTCTCGTCTTGGAAAATAGCAAGAGATCATACAGCGGGCCATGTTGGTAGCCAGATATAGTCTTGTAAAGAATCCCAATGATAGCGTTTAAGCCAAGTGCCAGGACGAGAGACGATGCAGGTGAAGTCCCACATTATGCTTTTTTTGCTTACGTAGATACCACAACTCCATATCTCAACAACCTTTCTATTGAAGAGTATCATGCTGATGATTTTAACGGCGATATTTACTGCTGCGAACGTAACCAGAGTTTCGTTGGGGGTAGAACAGCTAACAGACCAATGCCATAGGACATGTGGATAAATCACCTTGTATTGTCAGAAAGAGCTGGTGTAGGTATTTTTCAGCCTGTGCCACAAATGGGGAAAATTGGCGATGGGGCGTGCCGCAAGAGGGAATAGTTCTTGGCATGGTATGGCAGACACTGACACTGAAGAAAGTTGTCGGGCAATGAGGAACCGAGAATCCGGAAACCGACTATTATATCATGAAAGCAATGGCAGAGCGAAGAGGACACCAAAGTACTGTAGTAGGAAGAGACTGAAAGATAGCAAAACAAACCATACCTTTCCTCTAGTGTGAGCGATGAGAGGGGATTTATATACATATCGAGATGAAAGAGTCTGCGTTTCCCCGAACTATCAAGATTTCATGTATCCACCACAATCATCCGAGGAATCAAGAACGATGCAGATGGCAGCAAGAGAAGGAAGCACTCGTTCCGTCTTAGTCAGATGGTCTCGTCTTCCCCGCCAGACACCCTTCAAATATCAATGGGCGAAGAAATCCAGAGGCGCGGTGCTCTCTTGGGCGACGATCGTCAATCGTCGGTAGTCCTAATGGCACATGTGGTGTCAGCTATGCCCGTTGACTGGCGGAAGCATCCTCTGCTAAAATTGATGTCGAGTTTGGTATAGCAGTGCAGTGCCCAATGAGCACTTTGCAGTACAGTAGCTGAAAGAGCATGCCCCTCGCGTGGGCCCGAAGATAATTGAGCCCCGCGAAAAGCCTAAAATTACTCTGGGGATCTACAGATAGACAGGTCTTCCGCCATCGTGACAATAATGGTACTGCTCTCGGACTGTATTACTTCCACTGTACCGCAAATAGGGCTGCGACACCGATACCGACACCGACACCGACTCGTGTAGCTGCAAAGCGTCCGACAGCTTCAGCAAAGCAAGGCAGGATACAGGACAAGACAGTACGGGCTGGCTTATTGGCGGAACAGCGATCTCCAACTTGCCCGACACAGCGACGCGGACAAGGGCCTTACTATGGACGAGGGTGGGGGGGCCTGCTGCCGGCGCGCAATCGCTCAACGCGTGCCCATTCAAGAGACCCTCATCGAGGTGAGCGGAATTTCAAGTCCAACTCTACTACTCAATCTACTCCGTCCATAACGCGGACTAGCTCTGAACCAGCTGCGGCGTCACCAAGCAAGTTGACATTGAGTTTCGGTCAGGGATCCAATGGGCACGAGCAAAGGGACTCAATTACATCCGTCCAAGACGACCCGTTCTTCAGGAACTATCAATCGCCTCACTCGGTATCTTTAGCAAAGGAACTAAGGTCTGCAACATATATGAATCGGTACCGGGATGATGGTACGCCAGAAGAACCTCCCCCGCGCTCTCCCAACAGACCATTGGTCGACAATGCTGTGAAGTTAAAACTACCTGTACGTGCTCCTTCCCCTGCCTCGATGATCGATACGCGAACTAACCAGACCCTTCAATTCTAGCCCCAGTCGAGAAGCGGAATGTCCGATATAAATATCGCCATCATTGGCAGCGCGGGCGTTGGGAAGAGTACGCTTATCCAACGTGCACTGGGCTTACGAGCTCTACCTACCTCAATTGCCTCGAGCCTTCGAATGTCCGTGGATAATGTGGTTTATACTGTTAGTTTGATTGAGCTGGACCTGGAATCTTTCGATATAGTGCCGGATCGTCATATTGAATGGCCCAAACAAATAAACGGGCACATTGTCCCCCGCATGGACGGGGCTTTATTGCTATATGATGTTATGAATAGGGATAGCATTTCAGAACTTCCCCAGACTCTAAGTACTTTTTTTGAGATCCAATATAAAGATCCTGCTGACCAATGTCCCAGAGGGCCTTGCGAACTCCTCTTTACCAACGATTCTTGTATCTTGCAAATGTGACAACCCAGGAAATACCCGTCAACTCGAGGTGGACCATGTGGAAGCCCTCTGCGTATCCTGTGTTGAGGCAGTCAAAACTGCCGCGAATGTACCCGAAAGTGCGAGACTGTGTCTCTCTTCTATGCTTAGAGCCATCATGTCAAAGAGAAATGGTGAGTAATTGCGAGCACCTACAATTTATTACTCTTGCTATCGTCCGATATTGAAGCTCTCTGCTTTAAGAAAACTCCTTTACATAATATTTATATGTTTTTACAGCCCTCCAGTGCCAGCATTAAGCATTTACAGGCTACCTATATTAATTATGTCGGTGCTGAAACAAGCTAACTCAAAGAAGCTATAAATAGCGGCTTAGAATTGCCTGGTTCTCGCCGTCGAGCCACTTCTTCGGCCCATCTAGAAACACACCAGGATCCAGCCAGACCACTCAGCCAACAATCGAAACACAGCCGAGCAAGTTCAGAGTTCTCACTTCTCCGAGGATTTCCCTCGCAGCCACCTGTATCCTCACGCGGTCAATCGCAACGTCCAAATGGCCGGACCAATCTTCATCAATTCTCCATCCCCGATCCACACGAAGCACCACCGCTTTCGTCTCATCCAGCCTTCCGGAACGAAAGATCGCCGCTAGCGGCTCCCGGGCGGGCGGTTGATAGTGCTTTTCTAGATATGGAGGAATCCGATGCCGACTCTGCATACCGATATTCGGATGATATTCCCATATTGCAACGGAATGACGATAGTTTCTTTGACAAGCCTGCCAAAGTCTCGGGCGTCACATTTGATGAACTTGTCGATAGGCTTCTAGGCCAGAACATGTGCAGAGCAGACGACAATTTCTCCGATATATTTCTTTGTCTCTATAGAAAGTTTGCTGCTCCCAGCGAATTGTTTCATGCGATTCTGAACCGGCTTGAACGGATCGCGCTTGATAAGAATACACACTACTTGACACGCACTGCAACGCAGCTCAGAATTATAACGGTGCTCGCCAGATGGGTGTCAGGCTATCCAGGGGATTTTGCCAGTCCTTCGACCAGCCAGAAACTCAATGCTTTTATTGGCCACTTATACAGCGAGCCTGTATTTGCCGCCGCGGCACAAGACATGAGGATGCAGCTTCAGTCTCGTGTTGTAGAGGACGATGATACGGGGTGGGCGAGGACTGACGCTGACGTGGAGAGCGAGACTAGTAGCAAAGAGGAATCAGAACCGGCCTCGCCTCTTCGACGTAAGCTCACTGAAAGTAGTGATGTCGAGGAAGATATGCAGACTCTTGCCATCGACGAGGAAGGAGGGGAAGACATGGAAAGCCAACAATCAAGAGCCGATTCGGAAACTCGGTCATTATCACCGTCCTTTCACACAGTTGAGGATTATGAGAGAGAAGCAGCTACGATGATACCAAAAGCTACCCTTCCTCTCACAAAATTCCGCTATCACATCTTTATGGACACGCATGACGATTATGTTGCAGATGAAATGACCAGGATCGACTGGGTCATGTTCTCTTCCATCCGACTTCGAGACCTTGTCCGACATGTTAGTCTTTCCTTAAAGCAAAAGGAGAAGTGTAAGAGCTTGGCCAACGTAAACCGAATGATCAACCATTTCAATCACATTGCGCGCTGGGTCGCAAATATGATTCTGATGAGAGACAAAGCCAAGCACAGGGCTCAGATGCTGGAAAAATTCATGACTATTGCCTTGAAGCTTCGCAAGCTGAATAACTACAATGGTCTGGCAGCTGTGCTGGCGGGTATCAACGGAACCGCTGTTCATCGGCTAGCGCAAACCAGGGCTTTGGTCCCAGAGGATGTCCAAAAGCGCTTCGCGCGGCTTGTTTTGTTGATGGGCAGCCAGAAGAGTCACTTTGCATATCGACTAGCATGGGAGAACTCTCCCTTGCCCCGAATTCCATTCATCCCTCTCCACCGTCGAGATCTTGTCTCTGCTGAAGAAGGCAGTCAGACTTTTGTTGGGGCCGGTGGGGACCGGATTAACTGGAAGAAATTTGAGGTGCTCTCAGAGGTCATCTTGCCCATTATGAAGAGCCAAGTACTGCCCTACCCCAACCTGGCGAAACATGATATCGCACGAGAATTGATATTAGACTGTAGAATGCCTGTGGACGATGAGGTGAATCTCCATTACGGAGTAAGCTATCTTGTGCAACCCATACTAACTATTCCCAGGATATATACCAACGGAGTCTGTCTCTCGAAAGTCCATCAGCATCAGGAACTGTAGAACTCAGCAAGAAGAAGTTTCCATGGTTTCAAAAGGAGAAATAGGAGCGGTAATCTGAGCGGATTTGGTTTGGTTGGGCGGAGGTTTCATCATTGTCGGCGTTCTCCTCGCGCATACCCCCTAGTCTGGGATAGACACATGCGAAAAAGATTTAAAGGGGCCATATATTATATGTTCTGTAGGTCAGAGCAATATATGCTAGTGTATATTTCAGTCTACCTATCTCCTACCTCCTACTTCCTACCTCCTACCACTTAGGATCCTTGGGGCCGTTAGTGAGTTTTCTGCCGCCGTAGTGTTATATAATTTCTTCGGTTTCCTTGTGGGGGCTAAGAAAGGAAAACCGACTATTGATTAGAGAGACACAGGTTGACAGGTTGATTAAAGTACGATCGAGGCAACACCCAGCGCACTTGGCTCTACGAGAATAAACCCTAGCTCTAACCCCATACACGCACCTGCTCCTTTGCCTACAACCTCCAAAAGGGGAGGGAGTAAATCAAGGTAATATCTCTGCTATCTTGCTCTTCTAAACTAAGTGTCGGCCGTAGATAATACTTAACTACCTCGCAGAGAAAAGACTTGCCACAAACCTACTACTAGTAGGAGGATTCCCCTAAGGGCTTCCCTTATCAAGGCTTCAAAGTATATCAGCGACCTTGGGTGGGGAATTTTTTCACGGGCTCGAAAGTCGAGAGCACCATCCTTGAATAACAGTCATCTTGCAGTTCAAAGCCATTCCAATCGCCAGTTTTATCGGATACTATCTGCTATCGAACGCGCTGGTCCCTTATGTGACGCTTAAGTTTGCGCTGGCGAGTCTGAACTTGGTTTTTCGCATAGCACGAGAGAATATGTAGGCAAGATTGAAGATACAGACGGAAAGACCAGACGTGATAAGTTTCATAGAGAAGGGAGTCTTGACTGAGGAGGAGATCGTTTCCAATTCGACGGTGTTGATTGTGGCCGGGTGTGAACAATGGCACGGAAACTTTCAAGTTGCAAGAAATCCAATTTTGGTGGGGGAAATTACAGGTAAGTCAAGTCCTCAGGTAGTGGTCGCTTCTGCGTCGCTTCTCCCCTACGTCTGAGGTTGCACAACCAAAACTGCTTCCACTCAAGTGCAATATGCTCAATCCATTCAAAGCACCGCGCGCGATGGCAAAAACAACGAACAAGCGCAAGTCGGAAAGTAAGTTGCCTCTATTCCAATTGAAACTTTCACGCCCTTCTTGTCCTTATCGATCTACTCGATCAGAAAAGAACGATCTCTGACGCGTCCCAGGCGCTTTACCCATCGGCAGAAGCAAGCTACGACAGACGGTAAATCAAGAGGGATCAGATTCAGCACATGAAGACAATTCCGGTGATGAGCTCTTCGTCGAGGATCAGCCCGTTGCCACCAGACACGTGAAAAAGAAGACTCGCCAGTCAGAGCCTGCGCGCCTGGTCAGAGCCGATGAGTATGAGGAGGATGAGGGACGTATGGAGAGCCAGTGAGCACTAGATCCTTACCTGAATCCAACTTCGTTGCTGACCTGTGGAATTACAGACAGTTTCTTGCTCTGGTTGAATTTGAAAGCAAGAAGAAACGAATGGCAGGCAAAGCTGCTGCACATTACATGGATCAGTTTGTGCAGCGCTTGGACGAGGGTGAGCAGGAGCTGAAGAAAAAACTCCAGGACTTGCGCACTGCCGCGTAAGCATACAAGCTCTCTTCACGACGTCTACAGCTAATCTGAAGCAGACCAAAGAAAGATGAAAAGTTCCTCAAACGTTTCTCAGAGGCCTTCGCAGCATCTCGACCCCGTCCGCCTCCAGCAAAAGATGCAACTCAAGGAAAAGAGTCTTCTGATCTAGCATTTGTCTCCCTTTACAAGCAATCCAACAACCTCTCAGTCGCTGCGAAGGACATCATTGAAAGGTTCGAGACTGCCAACCAGTTGACTTTGGCTCTCGATATATCTGGCTTGTTGGACAATGAGTGGGGAGACGAGGATGAGGAAGCTGCCAAATTGCTGGGTGTTGGTCGCGATGTTGGAATTCACAAGTATCAGAGCCTTCTAACTACATCTGCTGAGCCTGCTACATTCGACGAAGAGGTCACTGCTATGGCGGAGATGATTTACAAGAAGGATGAGGGTCTGGTTTCTACCGCATGGGGTAGAATTGCAAAGAAGCAGGAGAGGTCTGCGAAGAAGCTGCTCAAGTCATTGCCCCAGGAAGTTGTTTGATCTCTTGAAGGAACTTGATATTGCTGTAACTCACAGATACTTTGTTGCTATACCGAAATCATTTAGCTAGCCAACAGAAATGGAAAATGTTTGCATATAAAACCCATGGGAACTAGAGTGAAATGCTCGATACACGATGTGCTTGCTCACCAAGATAGCAAGCTATATACTTTTACCCCCTCGTTTCTTTAGCCTAACTACGTTTAGCTAACCTAAGAAACCGTATTAGGGCCAGATAAAGATCACTGCATAATCCCTTAAAAATGGTCATTTGGCCATTATCATACCCGAAAAAGATCCCAGCAAAATCGAAGGCGATTGCGATGACGAATACCACGTGACTACGATAAGTGGACGATTAGCTGCTGACAAAACTGAAGAAGCAACGCAACACCAACACCAATTTCCTTTCTTCTTCCAACAGCCTCACCAACCTAACCTCCTAAACATGGCATCTACCAGAATTTCGCGGCAGCTGCCCCTTTCTTCACGAAAACTCGAGTCACAAAATCCGTAGTGCCAGTCCACCAGAACGCAGCAAGATGTGTCCATCAAAGTACCCGTTTACCCGCCATATCAGCTTCAAATGCGACAATGAGACCAACACTACAACCATACCTCCACCAACCGTCAAATATGCTGAAGCCAACAGCAGTTGGTGGTACTCGGAGCATTTTCATTCAGACAGAGAACACTCCAAATCCTGACGCCCTCAAATTCCTACCGAATCACCCTATACTTCCAAAGGAGTTATCATCTCCATTTCTTGAATACCTAAATCCTCGGTCAACTCTCGCACCGCCACATCCTTCACCACTTGCCGCAAGCTTAATGAATATCGATGGAATAACGTCCGTATTCTATGGCGCAGACTTCATCACCGTCACGAAAGCTACAGATGCCAACTGGGCGCATGTCAAGCCGGAGGTTTTCAGTCTCATCACAGAAGCTGTAACCTCTGGTGCTCCGATTGTCAACATCACCGAAAACAAATCCGGAGAGGCTGGCCAGGAGGGCAATGAAGAGGATAGCTTGAGCTATAACGAAAATGATAGTGAGGTAGTGGGAATGATTAAGGAGTTGCTTGAGACCAGGATTCGACCAGCCATCCAAGAAGATGGTGGAGATATTGAATTCCGTGGGTTTGTGGATGGGCAGGTGTTGTTGAAACTCCGCGGAGCATGCAGAACTTGCGATTCAAGCACCGTAACCCTGAAGAACGGTATTGAAGGGATGTTGATGCATTATGTAAGTTTCATTCATACCGCGAGTAGAAGAGCAGGAAGGCTGATTTGATAAAAAGATTGAAGAGGTGAAAGGTGTAAATCAAGTGCTTGACCAGGAAGAGGAGATTGCTTTGCAGGAATTCGCAAAGTTTGAGGAGAAATTGAAGCAGCAAAAGGGCGCTGACGCAGTCGCCTCCACGGTCGGCAAAGGTAGCCTGGATACTGTACCATTTTGATATCAATCGAGGTGCTACTCAAAATGAAAAAAACAACTACTTGCCACTTGTCCAATCACGGGCAACAGATTGTCAGTTGAGGGGCAATGTTTCACGGCAGAGAAAATACCCAAATGAAGTTTCATGCATTGCAGGCTATTAATTGCCCCTCCTTTCCTGAGAGGGTCTCTTTGTGGATGAAAAAACTGTCGGAATAGACAAGCGAGTTTTGGTGCCTTAATTCCGACAGTTTTCTCATCCACGAAGAGGAGGGTGCAGCTTTCGCTTCTGTTGAGGTGTCATTCAAACAAATCCAACGAGCTCTGGACCACCGCAGCGATATTCGGCTCGAACTCCAATTGTCAATGTGCCACGGGAAAATCATCTGTCAGCGAATCAGAAGTAGGGGCATTCGGCAAGAGTGTTGAGTAGGGAGCCCGCCCGGCGCGCCCGCAGGGATCGGTTGATCTGTGCGGCAACCCTTGCCCATGCAATATACTCCGTAGAGACCTTAAAACTCAAATTAAATGTAAGCTGCAAAAAGCCATACCTATGACTAGAACGGGGTAAGTAGGCGGGTTAAGGTATATTAGATGCAACCACCCGTTAATAAGTAGAGTAGTGCTATTAACAAGCTTCCCCGCAAATTCCAAGGAGGGGCGGGCTCTTGAGTCTCGACCTCTCAAGTCGAAAGTTAGAAATGGATGAAAGCGGATTTCTCGAATCATCTTGGCTGGGCTAGTACGGAGTATCGTCCGTCATGCTTACTACTTAGACCATGTGAGCCACTAAATCGGAGCCGCCTTTTCCCCTACTTTCCTAGCGTGCGATTTTGGAGAAAAATCCGGGGTTGAAAGACGAATCTTGTCGCCTGCATCGTTGATACATGCCTGTGGCGTGTGGTACGACTGAGGGGAGAAGGACAGAGGACAGAGAGGCGAAGAGTGGGAGGAGATATCCGCTGCTAAACGCCGTTACACCAGATATACGGAGTAGAGGCAAGAGTAAAAACCACGGTCCTCTCCGGCACATTGACACGGATCGCAAAGATCATCGTTGGGTCTGAACTTGAGCATGAGCTTCGCTTCTTCTCAACACTAAAATAGAGGCTTTTTGCTATGGCCTGATTAAAATCTTGGGATGAGGCAGGGCAGGGCAGGGCAGGTATGCCATGCATTCTGCAGCATGAACATTAATGTTGTCGGGTGCCGCCGATTCTTCTTGGACGTTGTTGATACTGGTCTTTGGTGTTACTTGCTGTATTGAAGCCATACTCATTCATGCAAAGAATCCGGCGCAGAGCCAGGCTTGAAGGAGGCAAGCTTGTGCGCGTTGAATCCCTGACCCGTCTCCATCCCCTCATTTGCGTCCGTTAAAGGCTGCGCGCTGCTCCAAACCTAGTGGTCCCCTGTAGCAAGTGGCGTTTCCTTAGCGTGCAACCTCCACTCCTTTGCATCTCGCAGGCTGTTCACTCCACTGTCTACCTTAGTCTAGTCGCCCATCGCACGTCTCCTTTCTTTGTTCCTTCCTTCCTTCACCACGACTGACTAACTGGGAATCGCGGCGACCAAGCAAGTCTTCAAGAGAAATATCACTATCTGCCAAGGTTCCAGCCTTCTTTCGCGCCCTGTCCAAGCCGCCGTTTCAACCCCGTTGACGAGCCGAAATTCACGTTCCACCCTGTGTCCTTCCCCGCATCCATCGAGTCCAGTCAGTCGCGAAGAGAACCATAGCTCCAGTTCCAGCACCACACTCCCGCTCTGCATACCTGCTCCTCCCAAAACACTGCTCAACAGACCGGTGTTCTGGAGAATAAGGCCACCGCCCTTTCCTCTCCTTTCGAATATGGGCTTCGCATAGTCTAGGCGACCCAAGCCTTCGTTGATTCAACACATACGATACGCGGAACGCTGTACGATTTTCTTTCTCTCGCACATCAGTAAACTGGGAAAATTAGACGGTCCTCGGAGTCGACACATAAACTGAAGAAGCGTACCAGACATATTTAGAGGAGTTACTATTCTTTCGGCAATTGCGCTTTACTGAGACTGAGGTAAGTCATACACAGAATCCTCCTGCCACCAACACATCCCTTTTCCGACGAAAGTATATCTTCTGGGAATAGTGGCTAATCGCTTCGTCCTCGTCTATAGATACCAATTCCTGCCTTTTCTAAAACTCGTCCTTTCGGCCATAATAATTCTGCGCAGGTGAGTTTATTGCGCCCTTCCTACGTTCGCCTACAAATACATTCAGCCTCATTTGCACTCTTTGAGCTATGAGAGTCCTTCTTGGGAGATTGCTCTTGATTCGTGCCGTTTCTCCGGGGTCTTCTTCGGCTGAGTGGCGGCTTCAATTTGGACAAAGTTGGCCCATGCTTGTAATTGCGCATCAGACGATTGAACATCCACCCTTCAAGTAGGTGAATACACGGAATAGGTCAAGGACGCCAAGAATTTTCTTCACACAATCACTCGTTCACTCAGCGAGAGGATTGTGAGTTGATGGAAGATGTCATGTCCTTCTTCCTCCTCGAACCACTTACATATACGGGCATTCAATCGTCTTCTGTTTCAGTTATGATGGCATGTCAATTCAAACCGAAGACCGCTAGAAGCAGAAGCTTGGCTGTGTTCATAACACCGACTGGCTCGTTTCTATGGACCAGTTGTACGGGACTCTGTGGAATATCCTTTACTGTTCTCGCTATGTCTCCCGAAGCTTTTATGGGCATCATTTCACATTGAATTCACACTCCCCTACCCTGTTCGCACCCAGCATACCATGTGAATACATATGGGACTGAATGCACTTCAATTAGTATGTAATCGTTAACTAATTATTTTCCCTAGATATACATTACTTACATAATCTACATCCCTCGTCCCAAGGCCTAATCCAAGCTTCGATATCTTGTCGGACACCTACCAGCATCAAACCTCCTGCGGAGTATTCTATCATGTTCGTAAATCATTTCCCCAAAACACCTTTTCAGTTTCCTTTGGTAAACTTCTCAAGCAACACCTGCGTTTTCATCCTTTCGCGCCTGCCAGTACTCCGCCCATTCCATATTCCTTACGCATTTACAGTATAGACTTGTCTCAATCAAGCCAGGCCTGATTTCCAAAAGTGTTCTTCCAGTCAGGTCGACGCGAGAAATTCTTCTGGTCAGCAGCAGACCACCCTCACCTTTTGATTTGAGCCGTGTATCACTTAACCACCTGACAAGCCTCCTATTCAGAGGTGTGTTGTTGTAAAATCCATGATTGCCGCTTTCCCCCTTCGTCGGCAACGAGATATTTGATGCTTTTCATGTTTCCGCCTATTCTTTCCTTGCGCTTTAGGGCATTTGGAGACGACAACGCAAATTTGCAACCTTCATATCCTTCTGCCCCCCCTTGTTCCCCTCTTCCAGGTCGAACACATCTACTTTCAAGCGAAAGCACCTTTTAGTTTGGGTTGTTTCGGTCTTGCAGAATTGGCAGCTGTTTGTCGTTCCAAAGCTGGATTCACTTTGTGAAAGACCTCAACTCGTAAAATGGTCGTGCTCTTTTATCCTACTCAAAATGACGTTTCGGGCCCTTCACTAACACCCTGTTTAGTGTACAATAACCTCAACTTTACCATCTTTGGAGACAGACAGTGCTATATCATACTTGATAACCCCTCATCCCACCACCCTACCGAATATTGACGCAATGAGTTCCGGTGGCCATAAGATCGGCTGTGGTGCAGGCAGAGCTGCCCCCTCCGCCGCTTCTTCCATGACCTCAAGTAATCCCTCAATCTTGCTTGATAAGTTGAATGGTCGACGCTCAACTCCCGACTCGGAAGCATTGGCCAGCTCCGATGATGAAGCCGTTGGACATGATCAAGCTCAGCCAATTATTCCCCCTCAAAAGCCAACTCGAAGATCCTCTTGGCTCAATGACACAACGCAACCTGGTCCTCAACCCCGGAAAGGTTCATTTGCAAGCAGTTCGATGTCACCTACAGCCTCGTACCCTAACACACCATCTTCGGAGGCCCCTTCGTGGGCGACGCATGTCCAGGCAGGTAATGGAGTAGGCCGAGGACACCCCGGCTCAACATCATTTCCATGGGGAAGTGGCATTTGGAACAGCGAGTCGCGCAAAGAACCTCCTTCAAGACTGACTGAGGTTCTTCCGTCGCCAACATCGTTGGTTTCTCCTGGTTCCGCCGGAAACGGCTACTTCCATAGTGACTACAGCAACCAGGCATCTAATACAACCATTCCGTTTGCCATTCCCCTTCATCCAACACCCAAGACCTATCGATCACAGTCGTATTCCGTAGGACAGCTTGATCCTGATTCTCCAGCATCCACGACCTCCTCAACTGCTGGTCCAGTGTTCGCCGGCGGTCGGGGAAGACCTGTCCCGCATTCAGGGCTACAACACCGGCCATCACGCCCAAGTATGCTGAGTGAGATGTCGAGTGAGGGGGGCTTAGGCAAGTTGAAGGAGGTCGATGATGATGACGATGAGAGCACCAATGGGTCCAATCATGGGGTTGTGTTACAGTCCAACGAAGCCAAGACTATCGAGATGCTAGCCAGAGAAAATGCGATATTACGGCAGCAGAACATGAATAACTCTCGCCTGCGGCCCCGCTCCTCCACGACTAGCGCTTTTGGCTTGGGAGGTACATATGGAATGCAGGGAGCTCTGCCAGAGGAGTCGGACTACGCCATTGATGAGCTTGACGAGATCAATGAGCTCCAGGAAATTACTTCGAAAGGGTTGTCAGGTCGGAGGATGAGTGAGTACGGAGCAGCCGGCCAACCTAAACTGTCCTCATACGGTTCTCTCGAAAACCGCAAATTGGAAAACGTCAAGAGGGCCAATTGGCAGAGTTCCCTTGGTTTTGGCGGCTTGGCCGACATACCACAAAGCAGACGTCATTCCTTCGCGGATGTGCCAACTCGACAAGGATCTGTCAGCTCTGTTGGTGAACCTCTGTCGGCGCACGAGAGCAGCCTGCAAGAACAATTATCACCAAAAGACTATCCAGTCAGGTATCAAGAAGGCGGTGGCTATTCCCTGAATGAACACGGTGAGTACATTTTCAATCGTTTCAGTCAGACTTCCCACCCGAACATGATTTATTCAATACACGAGCGGGTCTCGGTAGGAACATCATACTCACATCTTTAATCCACAGCCGCTTCCTACTTTGGTGGCATCGCCACTGTCCAGCGAAATCCCGAACCATATGGCTCAGCCAATTATCAGCCTTCAGCTTATCCATACGGCGCTCCTCAGTATGGTGCTGGCCGAGCACCATCCCCTCACCGAAGCATGTATGGAGTTCCTCAACCTCGCCATAATCAGCTTCTTTACATCGTGTTATTCAAATGCTCTCGCGCAGACGTCTTCTATGTTCAGGAAGGGACTGGACTCTCGGTCAAACCTGGAGACCTGGTTATTGTCGAAGCCGACCGTGGAACAGACTTGGGAACCGTAGCTCGAGATCAAGTTGACTGGGCTTCAGCGAAGGAGCTCAAGGAACACTACGCCGAGGAGCACTATAAATGGTTAATGATGTATTCTCAAGGTGCTGCAGGAACCCAAGATGGTACTGGTGCTGGTTTAATGGCCGCTTCGAATGGTCTGCAGGGGAGCGCTGTCGGCGGAATGGGACCTCCAAGTCAGCACGGCATGCAAGAGCCGAATCCCGGCGAGATCAAGCCCAAAATTATCAAACGCCTTGCTCAGAATCACGAGATACAGGCACTTCGTGATAAGGAAGGCAATGAGGCGAAAGCGAAGCGCGTTTGTATGCAGAAGGTGAAGGAACATGGTCTCCACATGGAGATTCTAGATGCGGAATTCCAGATGTAATATCTACGATCATTTTTGAAGAACTCGAACTGACTGTGCTCTAGGGATTGGAAGAAGCTTACATTCTACTACTTTGCAGATGCATACATCAACTTCAACTCCCTGGTGACAGACCTTTTCAAGGTCTACAAGACCAGAATTTGGATGTCTGCCATTAACCCAGCATCCTTCGCCAGTCCATCACTTGGTCTCCAAGCTCCTAGTGGCATTGGCCCGGGTGCAGTTGGTGTCAGCCGAACTGCACAGAGCGAACGACGTCCACCACAACCTGAGCAGCCTGCGTATGCCGCACCACAGGCTGGGCGTGGGTACCAAGGAGTCTTCGCACAGCCCTTTACTCCTAATGCTGATCGTGGAACCATGCCACCAACGGCATTCCAGCCATCTGGTTATACCTATGGATACTCTCCATTCACTGCCACACCTCGAAACGCTGGTGTGAGCCCAGGGTACGTTCCTGCAGATTCATTCGGAGCATTTGCAGCACAATCCGACTACCAAAGCGTACCGGGGAGATTTCCTTCTCCACACGCGACTTCAACTCATGATGGAACGGAGTATGGCCGTAACGGACTTTCTACACCAAACGAAGCCTGGATCAACAACTTTCAGGGATTGTCTATGACCCGTTAACGCCGCCTTGAACCATCAGCACCAGGACATTAGTTAGACATATCCCTTCGCCGCATCACTTCGACATCTCATGATTTACTTGGTTTAACCTGACAGAAATATTTATCCCAATCCTCCCAGAGGGATTATCTTGTATACAGCTACTTGGTGACCCCTAAGTTACGATACTGGACGTGGGAGACTTATGTCTTGTTTGTCCTTGAGACCCCCTTTGCTACGATATGATCCTCCGGCGTTACGAGATTGCGTGCTGGACTACCCATCAACGCCTTAAATTGAACAGATCACGTCGAAGCAACAAGCTTATTTTCACCTACATGTTTTCCCATTTACTTGCTCCGGTTACAGATCGACGACGGCTACACCTCCGGTTTCCGAACGATAGAACTGGCCGTCACTCGGGTCAAAGCATACCTGATATAGACAATTGCTCACGCAGTTCATCATTCTGACTTTGGAAACGACTGAAGCACAACTAGACCGCCCGAACCACATCTGCCTATCTGTCTGTCACTTCCTTTGCTTTCTAATGGGAAGATTTTTCCAACGATGCGTGCATTACAGCAAGACCTGCGCTTTTCACCAACTACACTCGTTTTACTTATTTCACACTCACGACCACGAATTGACGAATAAACAACTCTAAGAACGAGCGCATCTGCCCAATTAGATAGAATTGCACATATTTGAACACATCTGGGGAATAGGAGTATCAAAAAAAGATTTGGGTATTTTTCATTTTCAAACTCGGGGCGAGGGAATGCAGCACTCTCTCATATCTTCTTCTTCTCTTTCGCCGCGGCTTTGTAAAGGGGGTTTTCACTTAGCGGTAGCTGAATTGAGGATATATCAAAATTACAAGTGAGTGAGGTGACCTTTAATAGCATGTTTTGTGATTCTAGCTTCTATATAAACAGGGTATATAGCATCTTTTATATATAAAAAAAGATACAGCAGCCAGATAAGAAGTTCCGTAGATCTAAGACATAAAGCCATAATCCGCATTTCAGAGAATCCCTACTTATTCATTACCTGGGACTACCTAGGGTACCCTTTTAGGATACATGTAGTGCAAGAGTTGTGAGAAGAGAAGAGAAGCGAAACTTATATTCGAGCAGCAGCAGCAGCAGTAGGCATGTTAAGACTAATGAAATGGGATAGAACAGACGCAGCGGGATGAATATATTTGGAAGCAAGGTAAAATCACGTTTTCAGCGTAAGCAAACTTGTCTTTAATTATATAAGATACTCTCTTCTTGCTTTCTGTCTGTCAAAAAAGAAAGGCCTTTTCAATATATCTGGCTGTTGATAGGAGATTCCAAGGTTTGTAAAAAGTCATAGGGATCAAGTTTTCGTATACAAGCAAGGAAGCTATTTGTATGGCTTGCTGTAGCAATGACAAATGGGGAATTAGATGGCATAAACATAACTTTACTCTCCGCAATCGAACACTCAAATTCTATGTCTATGATCGAGACTTGACGAGGGCCGGAACCGAAGTCTTCCATACACATCACATGGCTATGCTCACGGAAATCCGTGTTTGAATCGGTTCAAGATGATTTGAAGTGGATAGTTGGGTATTGTTTACTAATTTATGAGCCACCAAAATATCTAACAAGCAGTCTCTCACGGTGTTGTACAAGATTCGCGCGCCTCCGTAATGCCCTGCAAAGCTTCTTCTCCTGCCACCCCAGCTCGTCATCCAGTAACAGTTGGGTATAGGCAAATATACTCGCATCGAACAGTGTTGGCTCAGTCGTGCCAAAGAACCATGAATCCTCGCCTAGTAATATGGATAAGGCCTCGAATGCTTTGTCGGCCTCGCTGTATATATCGTCGGTATCGATGATCGCGGTGTGTTTCAGTAGTTCGGCTTCCGCTGCTGAGCGGAGCTGGTGGGATATGGAGGCTCGGACGAGGGGGTTTGAGGAGGTGGGAGAGACGTAGAGGTGGTAGGCGACTGCGGAGAAGTTCAGGGGCTCGAGGTAGAGGGTGTATAGCTGGATGGATTGTTAGAGCGTAGCTTTGGAAAGTCAGAGGCATCACATACCCAAGCATCTCGTATCCGGTGGTCAATAAGGGATTGGTATGCTTCATAACGCATGCTAGAAGACTCCTTGACTGTTTTGCCCTGCTCCTCTACATATTTGACGAGTTTGTTTGACGCTATAGGCATGGGCGCTTCCTGGGGGTTCTTTGATGCAGGGAGGAGGAATGGTAGTGCGCCCGACGGAGAGGCATGGTTGTTTGAGGGCATTAGACGGTGATTGATATCTGCAAAGTTCAAGAAAGTCTGTAGAAGCAAGCTAGTTAGAGCTACCCCTTGATCGATTCTGGTCTCACTGACCTGCCATTTCAAGCAACTAGGATTATAAGATGGCCGTCCAGCAGCCGCATCTTCCTTCTTGATGAAGACATAGAGACTTGGTATCCTCGCAGGCTTCGGGGCACGCTGTGGGAGGTCGTTTGGAGGGTATGTCAATACAGGGACCTTGTCGAAGAGGACTTTTACCGGCGCGGGGATTGAGAAGAAATGTCGGATTTTGCTCGTATGTTGTTCAAAGGAAGTCTGGCCAGCATGCGGGGCTCTGTCCTTGCTATCGGAGGTTTTATCTGACGGCATTGGGAAGAAGTCGATGTATAGAATTCCATCTACATAATTTGTCCCTTGGAAGGGGACGCGAATTGTACCGTACATGGCGCTAGACAGGCGGGCGCAGCGCACCACCTGCCTGCACCTGCAGAGCGGCCGCTTTCTCCGATGTGAAAGAAACCGGTATATCGTCGTCGTCGCTGATCAAACTTCTCGCTCAAGATTCCTATTCCTATTTCTATTCCTGTTCCTATATTGCCAAACTTCCAAAAACCATCCATCAATCCCTAAGTACCTTTAGCAAGCTACCCAAGACACTCTTTCAAAATGTCTCCCACGTCCGCAACGTCTCCAGGCAATCTGCAAACAGTGCAACCAGCCACTACGCAGTCAATGAGTACGTCGTCTTCACGGCTTCTTCATCATATGAACCGGGCTAACAATCAACCCATCAATTGCAGGCCTCGATCCTATCTCGCAACCGACGACACAAGAACAAGCCAAGGAATCGCAGGAGCAGGAGGTCCATATGCGCGGCGGTGAAATGTGCCCGGGACGATTCTGTTTCATCATCCCATGTCCTTTGCCTTGCAACTTCTGTATTATTTAAGCGGGTATGGGTGAGGAACGTATGTGTACCTAGCACCTGAGGTGGGAGGGAGAAGGTAGAGAGCCACAATCGGGCTGTGGAGTTGGGGACTTTTGAGGTTATCCTGGTGCAGTTAGATGAAAGCAGATTGAATACAAAATACCCATATCTCTTGCAGCACTCGGTGTCAAGACAAGAAATAAAACCTAATGATCGGATGAGAACAAATTCACGAGTAGTGAGGCAGACAGGGACAGATATCAGGAACAGATATCGTGCACACTAGGCGGAGTGCATGAGCTCGTCTTTCTCCTATAACACTTAGTCGGAATTACTTGTACCGAGCTTTACCTCGTCACATAGGGGGTACTGTAGGTATATGCTTGGCATGACATTAAAGACTCAATTATTCTCTGGATTCGTCTATTAACACTAGTGGTTAATCCTTTACTGCTTTCAGAATATATTCGACAATCATAGCCCACCCAAACCTGTGTGTCTTCGGAGCATTGATCATTCCCGGAATAAGTAAACGGGTTGAGCAATTAAAACTTAATAACTGATCATTGATCCAGGGCGCCAAAAAGAGGTTCTTATGAGATGCATCCGAGGTCTTCCTCGGTAACCTCTTTTGTAAGTCACAGCATCACAGCATTCGTCTAATCTCACCCGCCGCTATAACCTTAGTGAGCTCCTCGTCACCGAAAAGGAAAGATCACGATGATCCTTATCTCTATCGTGGGGTAAAAAGCGGCGTGAGATCATTAAGTGGAGAAGCTGGACCACCATCTCCGCATTCCGGTACGTGTCGGGATATGGGGATCGTGGTCAAAGCCTCTACATTCATGTGACTTAGCATAGCTGATGTAAATCATAGAGGCTTCACCTCTTCGCCATAGGTTATAACGCGATGATTATCACATCATAATATAACCATCAAAACCAGAGTCAAGTCTTACCTAAAAGCTATAGCTAAGTCCTTTTAAACATCGGCATAACTCGGGATGTTGCTGGCGGGGCGGGGCGGGGCGGGGTCATTGATGCCGCCATTCACCCGTCGGTTGATGCTGCAATACTGCATCCGTACCCGCATCTGCATCTGCATCTGCATCCGGCTGCAAGACAGTCCTTTCAACTTCATCTGCATGCTTGTTGCTGCCTATGTTCCTCAAGCCAAGCTGCCTGTCTGTACTTCGTACCTCCATACCACACAATATCGTCAGGAATTATTTACTGGTATTCTCGCGGTAGAGTGGAGAATACCGTAAACCTGCTCTTCTCCACGTCTATCTAATCGACAGCCGCACTACTCGGTCCTACTAAACCTCTCCTCCCTTTAACCTAATGCAGCATCGCGACTGGACTCGACTCGACAATATTTGACCGAGACAGAGACGGCGTTAAGATTAGTCGAAGCATCACCCCATCCCATCCCCATCTACTTCGTATCTACCTAGGTATATTCCTTCGTACGATTCTGCATCATCCGCCGTTCGATCCGACGGCATAGATAGAGTGACAAAGAATTACAACTCTGAAATCCTTCTTCCTCCACAACACGCAAAACCTGCTCGTGTAGCATCTGCACCTCCCACCAGAGCCTCGCTCACCTCAACCTCATTACACCACACCTCACTAACCTCACCTCGCAAACAACCAAACAACACAACCCCACATCCACAGCCAGCGAAAATGGAAGCCCCATTCTCATCACCCTCCCACCAGAGGCCCTCCAACCAAACACAACCAACATACTTCACCCCATCGAGCGCCACATCCACAAACACATCCTCATCAGCGCAACCGAGGTCCTACACCCAGACCGGACCACCACAATACCAGTCCGCCCCCGCGCAACACCAACAAGCACAAGCAGCACAACAACAGCCAGCGGGAGGCAATGGAGATAGTGGTGGAACGACGCCCTTCCTCCGGGATTTCAACCTAGTAGCCGAGGCAGCGAAACGGGCGCAGATGGCCGTCTTGATGCGGGATATGGAGGCTGTAGGATTATAATTATAATCCCTCTTTGCAGCCGCCACCTCACCTTACCTCACCTTGGCGATATTTTACCAATGAGCGAGGCCTTAGGGAAAGCAAGGCAAGGCAAAGCAAAGCAAAGCAGAGCAATGTTCTAGTATAGAGAGAATTTATTCGGCCGAAGCGGAAGTACAAGCAGGCTCCTCTGAGCAGCGTAGCATTACCGGCGTAATCACAGGCAGGCGTTTTATGGAATGGAATTGAATGGATTGGATTGGGATGCGGGAAATATATTATTCTGATAAGCGCCGCTTTTTTGTTCTTTGGTTCTGTGGCTACAGGTTCGTTCTTTGGATATGGAGGAAACAAAGAAGGAAAGAAAGAAGCAAGGAGATGAGGGATAGAGAATAGGGATGGATACACCTATCTGTCTAGTCTAATCCAAAGAGATTTCCCCTCATTCTGTTGATATCTTTGCCTTGTGCATGTGGTGAATGTTATCAAGTTGTAAAATCTCTCAGTTCGAGGATCCTGTCAGCTGGCAAGTAACATGGGTTTAATACACATGTAGATCCCGTAAAATCATGTATTGACCTGGAACTTTATGAATGGAGTATTCCAATTAACACAGTAGTATCATGTTTAGAAGTGATTTATTCCCTGTGAACAAATAGGTCCTGTACCTTCGCCAGCCATTGATCAATTCAAGCCCTGTGACAGACAAGTCTAACATAACAACCCCAACCCAATACGCTCGCGATTGAATCCCACACGCCTATCCACCCGAATGACAATTTCACCAACTCAATAAAACGAAGAACCCCTAATACACCTATCCCATGATGCTATGCTGAGATGAGAAGAACGCCTGCCTGCCTGAGAAGATAACCGAGCGAAAGTGCTTCAGTGGATTTTGGCATAATCATCAATATTTACGAAGGCACCAGGACCACCGCTATCTCGAAGATCATCCAATAGCACGCTGGTTTGTTGATAGAGCTGCTCGAGAGCCGTTGAGGATGATTTGCCGAGAGATGCTACATTGGATTAGATACCTGTTTAGATAGAGCAAGAGGAGAAAGATAAGTACTTACATAAGATGGCTGAATTCAGTTCGTCTGCGACTGCTTCCCGGCCGCTGATATCCAATAGGTAGGCTAAAGAACTTTCGGTGAATGGATCCTTGTAAGCCATTAGAGCAAAAGCGTCCTGGAGAGCTTTCTTCACTTCTCTTCGGGGGTCGTTTTTGAACTCGGCGTCTAGAGCTTGTCCATAGATAAGCGTGTCTTGGATTAATTGCTGATACTTTGCTTCATTATCGATAGGTAATCCTTCAGTCTCCATACGATCATGGTTGTTGTTCTGATTTTGTTGATCGTCTATTTCCATGTCGTGGCCGACATATTCATCGTAGTGGTAAGCTGGTCCGTGGCCGTTGCTCTTCTTAATTCCATTTGTACTCCAGGAACGCTGCATTTCGGCACCTTGCCGGATCATCTCGATAAATCTTCGAATCCGTAACCGAAAGTAGACGTGTTCGTTGTCTTTGAGAACTTGTGGATAGAAAGCATTGGTGTATTTGAGAGCCTTTTCAATATCGCCTTCCGAGACGGCCTTTCGAATCCCTATAATCTGTGAGTAACTCATGAATTGAGAGCTTGCTTCATTTGATATGCTTACCTTGTCGATGACCAGCATCTTCGTCCTCCTTCACATCAAACCCCTGCACTTCTACGTGTGGATCGATTGTCAACGCTTTCTTCTCCGCATAAACTTCATTGGCGAACGCCTTGGCTGTTTCCGTGTGTCCGTTGTGGGTTAGATATTGGAGGACAAGTGACTGGATCAAGTCTGTCTCGTTCATAGGAGGTGCTAATTTTGCGGTGCTACAATTGTTAATAACCCACGGTCTTTGGGGAATTCTCGAGGCATACCTTGTACACTCGATTTCTAACCGAATGCGTCTTTTCTCCTCCTGTAACGCCGTGTTAGCCAGTATTCCTGTGACTACATCCTCGTTATCTCAGATCTTTTGAGACAGTTGTGGTACCTCTGGCGATTTTCGTGAAGGAGGTTGTTTTGACAAAAAGGACCCTGACTGCCTCCAGATGCCAACAGGCGGAAGTCGAAGAGCAGGCGAAGGAAGATGCACTCGAGTAAATGAAGGACTCCAGACGCGGTGCTCTTCATCATCCATGGTGATTGGAGAATATGTTGAGTGTTTTAAAAAAAATGGTACACTTACAACCATCATCCCGTCGATATCAAATACAAATGGCGTCTGACCGAAGTTTATTCTCACGTGTTCTCCGGGCTTCTTCATCCCGACGGAAGGAAAGAGTTTTATATTGCTCTTGATTTCGCGGAAGGCGTTACCTAGTAGGTGTCAGAAACTTTGAGACTTCTAAATGTATTCCCAGGAAGCTTCGCTTCACATAAGTCATTCCATCGGCTGACATGAGGGATACTAACTTAAAAAGTCTCCATTTTTGGTAAAGAATGCACAACCCGTCCTGAAATTTACACCGCAACCAATAACATCAGTTGCTGCGAAAGGAGGTCCGTAATGCTTGCCAGAGCTCTGACCACCATACGAATGGCCATCATCTCCGTGGTACGCCCATGATTCAGGTTCCCATCCAGGCACTCTTGATAATGGTGCGCTTTTACTTGAGAATCCAACCCCAACGGTACTTCTGCAGATAAAGTCAGCTTCTAGTAATTACATCTATCGAGGGAAAATGGCATACTCTTCCCTTTTTCGTGAAATGATGGTTACTTCGTAGTAATAAATCCCGCATTGAGTTGGCATAGGATAATCCGCTCGAATAGAACACGCTTCATGGTCTCGATCTCGATCAGATTTGGGTCCAGTAAATTTGACTTCTTGTCCATCTGACAACACCTCTAATCCTCCATATTTATCAGTGCTACTCCATCTAGATGGCAGACGGGGTACCGTCTCATCTTCAACTGGCAAAGCTTTCTCGATAATATCATAAGTCATGCCTCGATGTGAAGGGGCTAATTTCGTGTGTAGATTTAGGCTGCTCGCGCTTGTCGAAAGAGACCCAGATTGAGACGACTGGGCTTGTGGCTCTTCCTTTTGAGCTCGTAATCTCGCTTTGTGTGATTCTTCAAGTCTTTGAATATATTTGGAGCCCTTTAGGTATGAAGGTATGAAGAAATGGTCGGCATGCCCCAGCCCAGCATATCCCTCCCCGTCCATTATGGTAGAAAACGCCTGCGAGAAACTTGGTAAATGCCCACTTCGACCCCAGGAACTCGATCGCCCGTGCACGCTGCCGTTTGCGCCAAAGTCTATATCATATACTCGAGAATCGTATGGTAGGCGGCCTAAGTATTGGTAAGTAGGATCTGCGCTGAAGTCGTTGGGGTGATTGAGTAGATGGGCAAATGCACCGGCTCTCGTCGGCTGAAGATATGACTGTGAGGTAGCTGGAGTAACTCCGGAAACGACTGAAGCATACGAAGAACGTCGAGGGGCAAATCCGGGAGCCCCAGTCGGCATGCTCAAATCTGGAACCCCCGGTGAACCTGTAGGGTACGGGTTCGTCATATCCCAGGCCCGTTGAGCAAGAGAGAGCGTTGTCGACGGGTGCTGCTGGTATGAGGCCTTTGCAAAGGGGGTAGTCTAGGTAGCTGGGCGATTAACAATGGAATATAGCGGGAGTGAGTCAAGACAAACGTCGGAGTGGTGGTGGTTGTAGTGGTGAATCGATCGATGATCGAACGAAGGTGGAGACGATGTATGGTGTGGAGGTCCGTTCATGGCCAAGTGGAAGTTCGGAAAAGGGCGAGGAATGGGGGTTGAAGGCTACCAGAGCTGTAGAATCCTCTGGAGGCTCATCATGTCACTTGTTTCTAGTTTGAGAGGTGGTTCCGGGATATTGGTGTTATCACTACTTAGGACTTGAAGAGCAATACAGGTAGGTAGGTCACCACAATCGTACGGGTAGCGGTTAGTGGGGAAGCAGGTTATCGTCACGAGACACAAGTCTTTGTCTTTGGCCCATCACCCCTTTGCGTGAATATATTGAAGTGATCAGATGCATTCCTAGGTCCAGGATATTACACAAGACACTTTTGCAGGGTTCTGGACGCTTTTGGTTGTAGGTAGTTCCTTACAAATTCAATGCGTCGGGGGCTATATTCGACGTAGAAATCAACATCCGCCTTGATCCTTCTGCTATAAGCACGCAATTTTTGGGTCACTTGTAAGATATGACCTGCAAACCAAAAAACCAATCAAAAGTCCTTTGCGGTTTGTTTGGTGTTGGTTTTGCCAGCCACGTCTGCAGATTGCCACGTTCTACCTCTGGAGCTGCAATCTGTGTATGACGATTGCACACAGCAAAGCATTACCATTGACAGACCAAATGGCACTGTATACTTGAAGTCGCTCCCACTGGCGCAGCCTCTTGACAATCTAGGCCTCGCCCTCCGATGTAATACTCCATACTGTTACCTTAACATGGGTCTGAAAAGGGCAAGCGGGCAGCGGAATGTACTCGATGAAATAACTTTCCTTCTCAAAAATAAGCAGACATAATCAGGTAGAAATCAGACACAAAACAAAATTAAGAAGAATGTGATTATCTTGTAGAACTGCCCATAGTTTTCTGGAACCCATCGAGTCTAATCTATGATACAGTGTGCTTTTTTAATGCCAGTCATCCAGCCCCTTGAAGCTCTGCCCAAACGCCCCTTGAGTTTTGTTCCCCATGCCCGAACATAACACTGAATAAGAGAAAATATACAACCAGTCGCTCCAAGTTGAGTCGATGGACAATGTTATCTCGTATTAGCAGCCCTATGGTTTGTACCGCTAAGAGACACTCGCAATATTGATATACAGAGAGCTGAGGTGAAAGGAAAGCTGGTCGGCGTTTAGACTGAAGCAGTAACGACTGGTGTTGATTCAGTGACTGGAGGTGTTGGAGCAGCAGGAACAGAGGTTATGGGAGGGGTAGCGGAGTGAGCAACTTGTGGAGCAGGTGACGAAGCCATCTCAACATCAATACCATTATTGCTCTTCTCGCTTTCAACTTGGCTGTTGTCCTTATTTTCTTTGCTGCTGTCACCAGATCCAGATGCCGAGCCTTCCGTGCTAGTCTTCGATTCGACAGTGATCCTTGGAGGTGCTGTCCATCGAGGAATTTCCCAAATCACGCCGGTGAAGCTCTTCAGTCTGAAGCCACCCTTCTGCCACTTGCGACACGGCTTTCCTGTTCGGTCTAAAGCGCGAAGACCGGCATTAATAGCACCTTGGTTGGCCTTGGGACCTAGCTTGTGGGCAGCAGTGCCATTTGCGGCTCTGGGTGTTGTAGTCGAGTGATCGATTGAGCCGTCCTCCCTATGAAGTAAAACGTCAGTACAAGTATATAGTTGAATGAATTATTGCGATGGCTGAGTGCATTTTGCGCCCGCGTAGGATCGCCCAGCCAAATGTGACATTGTTGGGAGGGACGGTGAACTTACAACCTGGCCTTCTTTTTTGGACCTGGCTTGCCTCTGGGTTTTGGTAATCCATCTGGTCCCAGTGCAGCACCAGCGCTTCTCTTCGGAGCTTTCTTCTTAGGACCCTCAGTAGGAGGTGGCATCAAGGTAGAAGGAGGGTTGGCGTCGTTAGGAACGGGGGTGTTGGCATTCGAGTCGGATTTGTTGTCGCCATTTGAGCTGGCCGCGACGGGAACTGTAGTTGAATTTGAAGAGGATGGTGATTCCTTTAATGGGGACTCTTCTTTGACGACTGGTGCTGGTGGGTCGAACTTCTGCAAAAGCTTGGGCGACAGCTTGAGAGTGATGATTTGGCTCTGCTTGGTCGATTTCCTTCGCGGGCCAGTTGGAGTTGTGGTTTTATTTGATGAAGCCATTGTCGTGAGGTTGTTGGGAAAGTGCGGTGCGAGAAGTTACGGTCGGAGGGATGGCGCGGGAAAGGGGCGCTCTAAATAAAGTCAGTCAGAAGGTCTCGGAAGGTTTGGTGAGGTACTTTACACGTATTGGAATGGCGACGCGATTTGGTGACGTCCGAAGGGTAGATAATTATGTGGGTGCAGTCGATACGATTGGTGTTGTATTAATGGGGAAGTGAAGAGGTGGAGGGGATGTCTTGTTGTTATGGAGGAAGGGGAATGAGAGCCTGCTCCAAGAGGGCGTGCGGCAGCGATTGTTCCATGGCGACCGATTTCTCTTTATTATTTCTCGACTTGGTGCAGAGGCGTGGGCGTGGGCGTGGATTGAAGGGCAGGCCCAGGGCGGGCAGGGCAGTAGCAGTTTTGGGTACTAATCGAGAAGGCACGCTCTGATTGGTCAATATTTCTCCAATTTCTTTGAGCTGGACCTCCAACTCCACCAACCAAACTCACTCTATGTTTGCAATTATTCTTTCTCAGTAGTACTGGATACCGTGTTCACAGCTGTTTTCTCATATTGTCTCGCCCATACATGTACATGTACAGTGTATCTGCCTACGAAACACGGCAGATGCGCAGCACCTAAGGTATCATCTCATTAATCTGTGAAATCAATCCCAAGCGCCATCACCGGCACCACCGCACCACGGACAATCCTACACATCCAGTGTCGGGGACTTCCGTTAAAATAGATCATTCAGTGTAGCGTCAAAACCATGCTACAAGTATAGACTGGACTTCTGCAACCATGTAAGTAAACCTAACTAGTATAGTAGACGGTTCACAGTAAGGAGCAAAACGAAGGCTGTTGGAGGGCTCCAACACCGCAACATGCCGGTCAGCGTTACTGTCAATTCCAACCCTATCAATGCTATCCCGGCCTTCTTCAATACTCTTTTTTATTTCCTCAAAGTGACCGGTCATCTCATCTCAACCTCCAAATATCTATAGCATCACGTGATAACCGCGTGCTGCTCCACTTGTTTCCGGTTGCACCTCTGCGCCGCGCCTCCTGAATCCTAAAATACTTCGTACCTACCCCTAATTTCTTCTTAATCTTCATTACATCTGACCTTATCGCCCATTGCCGTACAAAACACACTCGTTACGAAACCCAACAAACCTCACCATTCCTCCAACAGAATACACGCATCTCTAATCCTATCCAGCGTTCACGACTAAATACGGCGTGTACGCCTCTTACCGCATTCAACCGCTACGCGAGCATTCCTCGTTCGAAGCCATGAAACTCAACTTCCCCATTGCGAAATTCCTCGTCCTCTGCCTCCCTTGCGCACTCGCACAAGATCCAGCTGCCGTTGCAGCGGCAGTCACGACGGCAGCTGCAGCCGCAGCGGTGGTAGCAACGACAGCAGTTCCCGCGGTGGAAGCCACGACAGCAGTTCCAGCGGTGGCAGCTACGACGGCAGTCGCAGCGGCAGGTATGTCGAATAATGTCCAAGAATCGCGAGCTCTTGGCGTGTCTCAAGAACTCGGTTTTCTATTCCCAGAACCATCCAGAAAAATTCCTACTAACTCGTTATATAGCAGCAGCTCCAGCGGCAGTGAATGTCGGAGTAGCAGCAGGTGGTGGAGTAGTTGCATCATCCGCAGCTACCCAGTATCCGACGGAGACAACAGCCGGGTCTCTATTCACGTCCAATGGCGTAACGAGCGCAACTTGGGTACTATTCATTCAAACGTTTGCGACTACTGCGTTGGGAAGTTGGGATCTAGGAGCTTCGCCGCAAGCGGGGAGTATTGGGCTGGGTAGTATTGCGGGTACGGTTGGGGCTGTGAACACGAATGCGAAGCGGGCGTTGGAGACGCCTGCCCCTCGGATTTAGAGGGGCGTAATGGAAGGGAAGGAGAGTGTAGGACACCGATACCGATGGCGTTTATGGATTCGAGTGGTGACCCGTGAGTACGATTGCTATACGACAGTTGAACAACTCCTTGGAGGATATACAACCGGACGACACCAGACTTGATGATAGTGGCGGATGAAATATACATTGACTGGGCATACTAGCCCGAAATACATACGATCGGTACTTGTTCTGCGGCATGAGTGTGATGAGGAGAAGAAGATATCGTTGCAGCGCGCTGTATCAGATGATTTGGAGCATAGAACACGGCGTTTTGACTTTGGGCGTTGGCATTATGACTGGGGTTTCTTCGCATGGTCTATGAAGGTGTACATATAGAAGAGCAGTACAAGTGCAAATAATGGGAAGAGCTTTGCAATAGGGACAGAAGTTTCTAATTCAAATGGCACTTAGAGCTCAAGGTATTATCCAGTGCTGATTTTCACCTACTTTCTTTGGAACATACGGAAAGCCTCGCGAATACTACCTACCTTCGTCACCAAAACTACTACTCTCCATCTCGAATACACACCGCTCCCATATTGCAACACAACCACCATCCCCTTCGACCCAACTAGGATGCAATGCAACAACCTCACAACACATACTACACAACATGACCTCATCTAATCCTAAAGACAGACATTTATGCTCCTTCACGAACACGGCGCCCTTCTCTCTAGACAGCACAGCCCAAAATTAGAGCTATCTATCAAGCAACAGCGAAACCGCAAGCCCATCTTGTCCTTCTCTTCATATAGAAAGAGATTCAAATCGAGGGCTGTACCGGATGGACCACCACCTTTACCTACCACCAATCCGATGACCAAAGCAAGCTCACTCGCTCATCAAGCAGACAGACAGACAGAGCTTCAAGAATCTTACTCTTTCTTCTCCTTACATCATCATCATCTCCTACTTGTTTATTTATATTTTCAAAATCAATCAAGTGTCTGTTAACTTGACTTTACAACCCCGATTCGCATTCAAGACTGCTAGTATTACAGAACGCGAATTGGTGGTGGGCAAGTAAGTATCTACCGGGTATCAGGAGATAGCCAGGCTGCCAGATGAGCGTGCGTGCGTCTGAGAATGGAATGAGGGCTGTTGCGATCGAATTGAATCGAAGGTGTGGAGAATGAATGAATGAACGAAAGAATCTGTGATGAGAGAGAGATTGTTGGGTTGTGACTTGCGGAAGGAAAGCCTTGGGATAGCTACAGTAGTATAAATTGCCTATATATGCTCTGGGGGATAATGGTAGGATATTTCATACAGAAAGGCTTGTTTCGTTAGCAAGGCTTAGTCAGATAGATACCTTCTTCTTCCGTGCAGATTCTTTAATTTCATCAATGAGTATTTCGGCACAATGGCCAGGCATGAGGCAGAGAACCCTCCCTTCATCTGAGATTGGTATTCCGGGGGCTGTCCAGAGATCATGCATTCGTGCATGGCAACACAGTACAGTTTTTGCCTATGAGTCGTTGAGTTGGGTGGGTGAGTAGGTATACAGTACTGGTACGTTCGTGCTAAGTCAGAGAGAGGCCTCTTTCGAGTTTGATGATTGACGAGATACCGTGACCGAAAGAGAGTATAGAAAGGGTTTTGGTCTCGCGGATTACAGTCACACATTTCGGACTTTCTGGGCTGGGCTGCTTCTATAGGTGAATATGGGCCTGGGTGCTGCTTGTTGATGCTGTGGAAGTGTAAGGTGAATTGTGTTCTTAAAGAGGCTTTCAGGTATTGATGTACAATTTGGTAGTGTTTCCTCAAAACAGCTAGATATCTTAGTAGTTCATGAATTGGTATCTCGCCGTACTCATTTGATTTATGAGGTGGCGAGAACCTACACTTCTAACTGAACGAACTTATGTGTACTCGATTTCTTTCTGCTCCTATGATCGAATAATTCACATATCGAATCACTTGAAGGATGCATGCAGGTGTATGGAAATCTATGATCATGGAGTAGATTCAAAGTCATCTATCCAGCTATGCTATTTCAGGTTGCAGTATCTTATCCATCTGCATCTCATAGACTTCCCATAAGAAGGCTCGCCCAAGCTCTTGTGAACTCAGGACCATTCATTACCAAGACGAAAGGCGCGCCCCCGTGCACGTGTCTTAATTCCCTCTCCCATACCGCCCTCTGCAGTATATCGTCCCCTCCCCTAAACTTCTTCTCATCCCAGACGCTACCCCTTTAAAGGTTCAAGAAAGCGTGGATGAGAGGTTGACGAAACAAGTACAACGAAATGCAGGGCCGCGGATTCGGCTTCGTGTAGCGCGCCAGGAAACCAGCTTGGCGCGCCGTCTGTATGCTTTGCTTGCTGTAGATGCACGAATAGTTCGCAAAACAGGTAAGTCGCCGTAACGAGTGGACGGCATGGTATATCTCTTCCCCTTCCATAGACAGGGCCTCATCATCGTCTGACCACGACGCCTTGACGTCGAGAGCTTGCGGGGATGTACTCTTCCTCGCCGGATGAACAGCAAGAGCTAGAGTCATCACTGTAGCCGCATCTCGAACCTCCACAGTCAAGCTTGACTCGGTCACCAGCTCGTGTGATGCCGTATCGCTCACAAGTACAGCTCGCGGATGAAGGAGAGCTGTAGTCACTGATGGAGCTGGCTGAGCTTGGTGAACTGCTGTCTGAGCGGCTTGACAAGCTGGAGCCGACGGACGATGGTGGCGAACCTGACAGGTCGTAGTCGTATTCGTCGATGGTGGTGGTGCTGAAACGAGAGGTCAACTCCTCAACAGTTGGGGCGCCATAGTCGGCTTCCAAAATGTACTTGGTCGCATGTGGTGTGAGTGGCTTTGGCGACTTGATCTGGGAGACAGACAAGGGACGGCCCTTTGGGATGTCGACTGAAAGATTGAGACTATCACGTCTTGATTCTCGTCGAGATGACGACGAAGAATGCTTGTCTCGGCTTGAGTGATGCCTGGATGACTTTCTGTCTTTGTCTGAAGAGGAGGAGTGTTTCGATGAGCTACTCTTGGAAGATGACTTTGATGAGGAATGCGAAGACTTCTTGTCGCTGGGAACATCAAGAATGTTCAGAACTCGGCCAGTTGTTGGTTCGGTGGTGGATGATTGTCCAGGGTCATGGGATACATGGTAGCCGTCGATGATGTAGTAGTACCAGTATCGTTGTCCAGGCTCGAGCGTTGCGCCCTGGAATCGGAATGTGCCTTTCCACGCACCAGATTTGGATGAAGTCTTGTCCTTAGCTAAGGGTAGTTGTCCGGAGTAGTTGTCCCAAGAACCGAGAAGATGAACGGTCTTAACCCCGGAGGATGTTCGCAAAGAAAAAGATAATTGAACGGCTGCCATTGTTCGTGAGACTTATAATGCAATTGTCAGAATAAATTGATGCAGTTTGTTCGAGCAAGAAGAGCTAGTTTTGGGGTATTTCGATAATTATTGAGGATAAAAATTAGGTTGTTGGCCAGCAACTTGGTGTGAATATTAAAATGTATGGTGTTTGTGATATTATGTTTGTGGTATTATGAGACCGGCTCAGATGACGGAGTAAAAAAAAAAAGACGATAAAAAACAACGGACGGAGAGAGAACTAGCTCTTGAGGATTGACTGCTTGCTGAAGAGAGAAGAGAAGAGGTGTTTGAATTGGGGGTCAAGATCTCTTTATGGGGGGCCGGCTCTTGAGGCCTACCTACCATGCGTCCTGCCATGCTGACTGGTGGTGATGGGGTTTGCAGTACTCGGCGATGGCCACAGGGCACGAGTCCACTACCTACTTGCATTTTATTGGAGGAATACATGGCAGTTCGATAGACTCCTGCAGTCCCAGCGCGTAAGTATGGGAGGACAAGCACTAGACAATGCGGGCGCCAGCTTCGTCCACTCAACGCACGAGATCGAACAGTCGCTTACGGACCTTGTATAAACATCCACCCAATCAGCGCCGCAATCATCTTTCAACAGCAGAAGAGGGCTGAACGCTGGACCAGATCACATAAATGTGATATAGGAAGATCCAGGCAAACGTGCATACATTCGTAGACAGAAGGAGACATAATCAAGAAAAGGTAGTTGACTACCTTCCCGAGTCTAGCAAGGACTACGACTCATGCCGACGAAAGGTCCTGGTTACCATGGATGGCGTCTGTAAACTCGTGATGCCTTGCATATCAAGCTCCGAGAACTTCGAGAACTTCGAGAAGGCTGTTGGCTATTGATTCTAATGCGGCCTTCAGAGGTCAACCTTGCTGACCGTGAGGCTACTTGCAGACTCGACGAATCCGAGCTTCAGGAATGAAAACAATATGTACATCGCGGCTTAAAAACAACACCGTGTTTTCACCACTTGCACACGCAGAGCATTGCAGTTGGAATGAGGATATCCTTCCCGTTCTTCTGCTTTTGCGGAAGATGTTCTCCTCTCGGAGGATAACTGCAGCTGGCAGGCAGCGTTCGGATGGAAGGGGGAAGCTGCCTACGGAGTAGATAGCAGATGCTGCAGTCAGCTTCCCCAGTTCAGCGGTTGCGGCGTTCGCGTGATGAAGAACCGACGATGCTGGAGAAGAGAATAGCGGAGAATGTGTCTTGGTGGTGGAGGTATATTCGGAGAGGTGGAGTACAAGTCCAAGGCTACAAGGAAGACGAGGGTTTATGTGTGTGATACTGTGCATCACGTTAGCTTGGGCGGGTAAAGTACAGTACCTAAATACAGGCACACGTAGGCACACACAGGCTGGACGGGAAGCGAGCCTTACGACGATCTCCTGCAACGCTTCGTAAGTCTTGGGTGTATTTTTGAACATATCACATTCCGCCAGTTCAAGAACAAGAATACGGAACTCAAGTGAGGCATTTTCGACTTGGCCTTTCTGAAGAAGTATGAGCGATGTTGTATGGCAAGTGCAGTACCGGTAGTGCCGAGCAGCCATCCATGGGGCTCCCTGGAGAAGATGAGAAACAGAACTTTTGGGATTGTCCTGACCCGTTGTTTCGTGGTTCTTCTTTCATATTTTGAAGCCTCGAGCTTTTCAGGCTGTCTCCTGCTCTACCTGGGTACTATTCTAGAGATCTCTCTCTCTATGTGTCACGTGCTCTCACGCATCATGTATATGCCACATAATATGCACCGTCATGTGTATGTAGATATGCAAGTCATCATACGGATGAATACCTACCTTAGAGTAATCGATCTTCGAAATTACGAAATCATTGATTCAAAGGCCTAGTTGGGCAGAGAGGTTCGGCTTAAGTCCTAGTAGTCGGGCCGGTAGATATCTGAAAATACCGGTATTTCGCGCCACCAATGCTATCTTTATCGAGTAGTAATGTCTAAGTGTCAGACTTGAAAGTTTTACAGTTGCAAAGCGAACTGAATTTGATTCTTTTTGCATTAAACTAAATTTCCACGTTCAAAGCTTCATGCTTTCCATTCGTTGCACAAAACACCAACATTAGTCCTCCAGAGTAGCAATCATGGCCAAGCCAGTGTCATCCTGGCTATTTGCGAAGATGCACCTTCATTTTCATTTTCATTTTCATTTTCATCTTCACTTCCATTTTCATGTGAATATTAATTAGCGGGTGTTTTCGGACACTGAGCCGCAAGTTCACATGCTAAGCCCACGGAGTACCTGCCATCCTATCATACGTTACCTTTCGCTAACCTTTCCCATCTTCCCATCCTACTTCGCTAACATTTCCCATTTTACTTCGGCAACGCAATTGCAAGCATTTCCAAGTATAGCATCCCCTCGATTCATTGAAATCAACGTCGGGAATTAGAACGGAGTACATGTCCTACGCCGCGACTATTGACGTACGGTATATGTTCCCATTCGCACCTGAAGATGCCATATTTGCATTTGCAAACACACAGGCTCATCACCCGAGATTGTGGTAAGCCCAACCGGGCCAGCATGGCAAGTGTTTATCCCGCAGTATAGGGTAAATGATGCCTGTATCAATCTGGATCGGGGCGAGACACAGTTCGTCGCCAGATGCGCGAAGGGAGGAATCAGCTGCAAATCATTGCCAATGGTTGCAGGAACTGCAGTTCATGATCGATTCCCATGGGGTCGGTAGATGGTACGTAGATGAGGGTTGCTACTGCATCGTATCAGCACCCCGCTTCCGCTTACTTGTACAGTACAGTACTGTACCCCTCATTGTTCGAAATATGGAGACTGGAGACTAGAGACTGGAGACTGGAGATATTCGAGCATTACTCCATATGTATACTGTACTGCGCCTTCTTCTTCTGCTTCCTGTGGCTGTGGCTGTTGGGTTGGGACCATCCATGACTACCGTCGGAGTCTTGGCAGAGCGGCAACAGGACTGTCCGGGAAAGCGGGATACCCTTCTCGGCGTAATTGACCGAAGTACTGGGTACTTGAGGTGAGCGCTGTGCTGCATAGAACGGCCTAGTAGTAGATACATGGGTACATGATTCGTACGTGTGCTTTGGAGGGGTATGAAGGAGGGGAGACGGAGGGGCGTGGAGGGGCTGAGACCCCGGGCCGTTCTTATCCTGCGCTAGAGTCTTATCGTTATCTGTGGTTGCACAAGCCATTGGCTGCAGGATCTACAATAGTGGGTCTAGCCCCACCAAATTTTCACATTTCAATTCAAATATTCTCGATGTGGCCAAGGCGAGGCGAGTCGAGTCCGCCTCCGCCCAACGTCAACCTACGTGAACTTAGCATCGCATCCATGAATAAAAACGGGATCCGTCTCAATCTTTCTTACTTTGGCCTCTCAGCGACCAATGAATGAATGAATGAATGAATGAATGATACGGCCTCCTTGGCTAGCCCGGCTCAACCTCGTAAATACTATGGGGTAAGCATGGAATCGAATCGAAGGCACTAAGTTACTTGGTGGCCACACACGAGAAACACCCGGCAAGAGACAGACGCCGACGCCCCTACCGCTGCTGGGCGAACTCTGTGCAGAACTGCGTCATACTTGTCTTCACTCAGTTGTGTCCTTGAGGATCGAGGCGAGGATCATTCATCATTGGGGAGCCATTAGATTGGATTCCGCAAGAAGTTTTGCTGTCGGCCCGGAGGCACTCACCTTCTACTTCTACTACTATATCCATCTCTGCACCGGACCATCACATCTGACGTCTGACGGCGGTCTAGACATTCGCAGTATTCTTCGCATAGCTGACTATCCCCATCCAGGGTCTACGGGCCCGGCTCTAGTCTCGTAGTCCCTGGCCTGGATAACCGCTTTTAGTTTCAGTCTAAATACCGCATGGCCATGGCCAACACTGACGTGCCATCTTCTCTCAGCCCAAATCCCAATCAAGCTAATTTAGAAGCCGTTTCTCTTTTTTTCTTGACCCTGTTATATTACTTTCCTTTTCTATAAAACCCATTTAACAACCTTCAATCTTTCTGCACACGTTCCATTTCCATCCTTTGTGCATAGCCTAAGCCTGGCTGGATTTTGAAGACAGCGCCGTTTCAAACACTCCCATAGATCGATCCACCGGTCCGAGGTCCCACACATTCCTCCGCAGCAGTCCAACTCCAGCTCCTCCACAAACTCAATTGTGTCAGCCCGGATCCCAATACCACACTCTCCATCCATATATACTTGCACCATGGCTCCCACATCTTCACTCATGCCTCCTTCACGGCCAGGCATCCGACGTCTTTCATCAATGACCGCTACCGAAACAGAAGTTAGGCAAGGCGGACCTGTTGTTGTCGTCCCAGAAAGAATGATGCATCATAGACGAGCTCATACGCATAATGGCGGCTTTGCTGCCTCCATGGAGACGGCGAGGAAAGAACTGGACGCCCTGAACCTCGAGGAAGAGAGCACTCTGTCAGCCACGTCAAGCTCTCCGCAAACACCTGGCTCTCCAGTCACGCCTCCAGAAGTAGTAAGCGCAGATGAATTTGCATTTGCTTTCGATATCGATGGTGTCCTCGTCCGTGGTGGACGACCCATTCCAGAAGCCATTGAGGCTATGAAAGTATTGAATGGCGAAAATGAGTACGGGATGAAAATGTAAGCAATATTTGACCCCCACCTTTGCCATTTATTGACACATAGTAGACCCTATATCTTCCTCACCAATGGTGGGGGTAAAACAGAGGCAGAACGATGCATTGACCTATCACTTCAACTCGACATTGAAGTCTCCCCTGCGCAGTTTATCTGTGGCCACACACCTATGCGTGAAATGGTTGCAAAGTACGAAACCGTTCTCGTCATCGGTGGTGAAGGCGAGAAATGTAGAGAGGTCGCTGAGGGATACGGATTCCGTGATGTCGTTACTCCAGGCGATATCATCAAGGACAATGCCGCTACCACACCATTCCGAAAGTTGACCGCAGACGAGCAGAAAAACTCCCGGAAACGCAACTATGGCGAGACTAAGATCGAAGCCATCTTTGTTTTTGCCGACAGCCGTGATTGGGCCGGCGATATTCAGATCATGCTTGATCTTGCCATGTCAAAAGGGGGCTACATCGGCACCCTATCCGAAACGTTTGACGAGGGCCCACCGATTTACTTCTCTCATAACGACATCGTCTGGTCCGCTGCCCACGATAACGTCCGACTCGGCATGGGCGCCCTTCGTAAGATGGTCGAGATGTTGTTCAAAGATCTCACCAAAGGCAAGGAGCTTGAGACCATCGCCTTTGGGAAGCCTCAAATCGGGACTTTCGAATTCGCTACTCGTTTGTTGCAGCAATGGCGCAAGGATGAGCATCGTATCAATGCTCCTCCCAATACCGTCTACTTCGTCGGCGACACACCTGAGAGTGACATAAAAGGTACCAATATGTTCAACGAGAAGGCCAAGAACGAATGGTATTCCATCCTGGTACGCACCGGTGTCTATCAAGAAGGTACCGTTCCCGCATACGAGCCCAAGGTGACCGTGGACACCGTGCTGGATGCGGTACACCACGGCATGAAGCTCGAGTTCGCCAAAAAGATGAGGAGAGCTAGTGAGAACTTGTCTCTCGACAATATTGTCATGAAAAACAAGAATTTGAATGGTGACAACTACTCGCTGAATGGCGACAGGACTGCCTACCCCTTCACGCCCCCAGCCAGTATTCGAGAGACCATCGAGAGTCCTCCTGCAGTATAGGTTCATATATGAACACGCATGGAAGGAAAGTGATATTTGCATGACATATGGGAAGGCATTTTCGGCGTTGGAAAGAATACCCCCTAGTTCCGAGTCACAGACCGACTAGTGAGAGATATTCTAGATCAGAGATCAGAAAAGGATCATAGGTCGTGGATAGGCGTTTATAGGGGAATAACATTTGTTTACCAATCATTAATTTGGGGTTACACCACCTGCAGTGACTGACATAGGCACCTAAACTTGATATTTTCTTCGCTTCTCGAGACAAATATAGTCATAGTCATCGGAGATTCTACCTTAGGCACAGTACAGTTTCACGAGAACTGCTTTTTCTTTCCTTTTCTGGCTAGTGCCATCCATAGCCCGGAACAAATGCCCCGCGAGCAGATGATTGGCTACGCTACTGTACGCGACAACTAAAGATGATCTCGTTCTTGTATATTTAGTACTTCATATAACAATGCAAGACTAGAAAAGGCTTTCTGGTGATATATGAGACTGGTGTGGATTCAAGAGACGGGCTCCAAGTCAAGATAGAGGAAAGGCAAAGAAAGATGGGGGATGGTTGGAAGATGAGGTTTACATAGCGGCACTGCCTCTGACTTCTGAGTATATTTAGGAGGCCTTAGAAATCATGTCATTTCAATATTTACCCACTGCTAAATGCCTATTCTCTCAACCCAACTAGAATGCGCTTGAAAGTGCAAACATGTCATACCACAACCTAACAATGCAACCCAAAATTTCCCGTCTAAGAACCCGTTACTAAGTTATCAGATCAGCAATGTAACCTATAAACTTTTCTCCACCGCCTCCAGATCACCAACTGCCTCCTTCCAATTTTCCCACTCCTTGTCCCCGCCCGGAATCCCACCCACCAACGGCACCCTCGTCCCATCCACATCGCCCATTCCCAAGATCCTGCTGATAGCCTCCTTGATGCCCACCGTTCCAAACTTCACCACCAGCTCCTCGATAGTGCTAACCTGATATTGCAGCAGCCTTCTCTCTTTCACTTCTTCGTCCGTAGGTTGGTTCTTTACTGATAACTTGTAGAGGTGAACTACGGATTTGGGAAAGAAGCCAGCAGACCCGTCGATGGTACCTGCACAGCCGAGAGAGAGCACGGGAAGCAGTTGTTGGCCCAGACCAGTGAAGGTGTGGAATTTGGAATGGTCGATCTTAGGGCTTGCGCCGATTTGGGCGTGGTAGGAGACATCGCCGTGCGAGAGCTTGCAGCCTACGATATTTGGGTGTTTTGACAGAGTAGCATAGGTTGAAGGGATTACTTTTACGTTGTTCGATACGCCGGGGTAATGATAACTGCAGAAGAATGTCAGGTCATGAGATGAGAGAAAGAGGAGTTGGAAACACTTACACCATGATGGGAATTGGACTTTGATCAGCAACAGCCGTGAACCACTGGATAATACCTTCCTGTGTGCTGGCCCCCGCGAAATACCCCGGCACAAGACACAGTCCCCATTGGGAGCCCGCCTCTTTTGCTGTCTTCAGCTGCTCGACGACTTCCTCGATGTTTTGTGCTGCTGTGCCTGCAATGATGGGATAGTCTTTGTATCCGGCATCATTGTACGCTTTTCTTATACTGGAAAGTACCTCGAATCGCTCTTTGTTGCTCAGATGTACTGCCTCGCCTGTGCTGCCGAGGGCTACTAGCCCTGTGATGCCGGACTTTGCTAGGTGCAGAGAATGTGCAGCTTGAGTCTCGAGATCGAGGGGAGCGGCTACGGGATTGTAGTTGGAGGCCTTCTTGGATACGAAGAAAGTAGGTACGGGAACTGGAAGGTTAGATGTTAGTAAGTTGGTTCAGCTTCAATGGGTTTAGATACAAAGAAGCCTTTCAAAATAGCATATGATTTCCGACAGAGGGAACTTGAAATGCGGTAACACATGAAAATAAGATTCGCATACCATAGACTCCATGAGGTGGGGGTGTTGGTGCCATTGTTTTCTGTGTAACTCGAATAGTTCCTTGGGATCTTAAAGACTCAGTCCGAGCTGGTATGATTTCTAAAGCTGGCTTTGACAAGATATTTAACTGTATTTAGGGATAACAATTGGATTTGTATCGATGACCAAGTCCACAATGGAACGGTACAATTTCGAGGGGACATGTTCGGGCGATTTGGGAGCGAAGCTAAAGTCCGGTGGAGGGGTACAGTAGTCCAGAAATATCGACGCCATGCCAATAGAGGGGCGTTTCAATGAAGAGCAACTGCCGCGCAGAAAGTTGTTTGGTTGCAGTCTTTCAGGAAGCCACGGTAGAGGACCTCTGCAGTCTTGAGAGATGCGTTTGCTCGTTCCCGTTCATGCGGTGCGGCACAATTTACGATGCTTGACAAAGTCCGTGTTGTCAGACGATGCGCAACTGGGGAATTGATTGGGGGAGGGGTACTGTAGAATTCCCCCACCTTGTGTAACCCCTTGGATTGGTAAGAACAGTCATTCTCGACTCTATGCATTTCTATGCTTTTCAACAGCTACGAAGTGTAAAGCTCGGTAGGTTGATAGTTACTGACATGGCGTACTCATTTCAAACTTCCATGACAAATATAGTATCCAAACAAATACGTGACATTAATTCATAACTTTTGATAGGTATCTCTCGCGACAAAACTGAGCTCACATCAACTCATTAATCCCATACGCCTTGATAGCGGTCCCGCTCCAAATCATGATTTGATCCTCTTGGGTCAAGCTAGCCAAGTAACAAAACTTCTCGACCACCTCCTTCCACTTTTTCCACGCATCGTTCACTCCGATAGTGCATACCGGCCAATCAGATCCAAACATGATTCTAAAGGGTCCAAAGGTTGCAAGTATGACGACCAAGTAAGGTTGAAGAGCTGCGAAGATTTCCAGGACAGGCGCATTCTTTAGGGTATCTGGCATCTCCGAGAAGCACCCGCTAAGTTTCATATAAGTCTTGCTGCATTTACTGAGAGTAAACATTGCTGTTCTCCACGCAACGAACGCGGGGTCCGTCTGGTTGTAGACTGCGAGATCAGGCTTGCAAAGGTGATCTGAAGGCATTAGCTTATGAAGAGTAGAAGATAACTTGAAGAGCTCACTGATGATAAATGTCACCTTCTCAGCCTCCGGAACCCCATCATGAGCCTTCTCAATCATAGCAACAGCCTCCTCCAACTGCCACTTGCCCCCAGAATGTTGATCCACACCCAAATCAAACACATAGCCATTTTTCCCCATCCACTTTAGTCCCTCAATGAAGTCATCCTGCAACATCACACCCTTGGGTTTATCCTGTACCAAATACCTGAAGCCCCGAATCTTCTTGAACGACTCCCCAGCATGCTTCTTCACCTCACTAACATACTTCTCCAATGCCTTCGCTCCACTAGGCAATGGTGCCCATGGTATGATTGCCAGGCACAGCTTCTTATCCGCTTCTGTATGACCCTCTCCCTCCTTCGGGGTACCAAGAGCAATTCTCTTCAACCACTCTACTTCCAGAAGAGGCATCTCCCAGCCGCTGCCATCTCCTACCCCGCTCTCGAGATCGTTCTTGCGGTCTGTTTCGAGGAAGATGAAGCCTTCGAGATTTGACGGGGAGCCTGTTGCCGCCGCATATTCGGCAAGTGAGTGTTGCTTGTAGAGAGGGTTGGTAGGGTTGTTCCAGGCGAGGGTATCGAGCTCAGATCCGGGGAACAAGTGGATATGTGAGTCTATTATCGGATAGGCCATGTTGAAATCGGTAATTCAATGATTACTTTACTTTGTATGAGTTCTGGAGCAACTTAAGCTGTTGTTAAGCTTTCGGGGGGAAGCTTGACCGACTGTTTCATTGCTGCCCCTCTTTTCGGTTTATTATGGGTCCCTCGATAACCGATAAGCTTCAGGGGAGGGGAACATAAATGTACCCCCACCTTTTGGACCATTGGAACATCCATCTCTTTTCTCCTTTTCCAATGTCAATAAACACTCACTCACTCTGAAAATGGCTTCCTCAGAGACCTACAATTCTACTGGAGTTGAATATTATCAAATCTCAAACTTCAAGTTCTCCAATGGCATCACAAAAGACATCAAACTCGCCTACAAATCGCTCAATCCCACCTCTGAAAAGAAAGCACTTGTATGCACCTGTTTCGCAGGCATCATAAACACCACCTTGAACTTCAGTACGGGAGCTCTCAAAGATTACCATGTTATAATCATTGCCATGCTCGGAAACGGAGAATCCTCTTCTCCATCTAACGACCCTTCATTTCCAGCAGACTACTCGCTCAGATATCAAGACTGCGTAAATGCACAATACATTCTCTTGACCAAACATTTCGAAATTAAGAGTCTGGATGTAGTAGTAGGCTTCAGCATGGGAGGGCAGCAAGCTTATTACTGGGCCGTTATTCACGGCTCCTCTCCTACGCCGTTTGTGAAAAACGCCGTGGTAATCTGCGGCTCAGCTAAAACTTCCGGTCACAACTACGCTTTTCTTGAGGGTCCAATAGCCGCTCTTACTACAAGCTTTGACTATGACGGCGGGAAATACAAGGCAAATGGTGTGAAGCCCAGACAAGGTCTAAGAGCTTTCGGGCGAGCATACGCTGCGTGGTTGACATCACCAGAATGGTTCCGGCAAGAGCTGTGGCGGAAAGTGGGTGCGGCAAGCCTAAAAGATTGGTTATATCCTCCTGAAGGCAAAGCTGGACACGAGGCGTGGGATCCGGAGGACTTGGTGACGCTGGCGCGGATGTGGCAAGCTGGGAACATTGGAGACGTTGGGGGCAATGGTGATTACAGAGAAGCACTGAAGGGGATTGAAACTAGGGTTCTGGTAATGCCTAGCCAGACAGATCAGTACTTTCCCCCTGAAGATGGAGAGAACGAGGTCAAATTCCTGAAGAATGGAGTTTTCGATCCAATTCCTACAGTTTGGGGGCATATAGGTGGTGCGAGTGCCAACCAAGAGGACGTGACATGGAAAGATGAGAGGATACGGAAATTTTTAACGGACGGAAAATAGGACATACAACTGACTCGACGACCTATGAAAGTTGTAGCATTGATATTAGTCGCCTGACAACTTCCCTGCAAGTAAGGCGTGTAGTAAACAGTCTCAATATTCTCCAATGAGTGGATGATTTGAGAAGAACAGAGTGATGCTCTTGTTTAACCAAGAGGTTGCCAACAGCATAGTCAGCTAAAATTAGTCAAGAGAGAATCCATACATAGTAGACCTACACCATGCGCTCCTCGGCTCCTCAGCACAAGATAGGGGGCTCGCTTATAATTTCCCCAGAATAGCATTTCTTTTTCCACGGACCCATGTTCTCAACTTGGCATCCTCCGTATTGACAAGGAATTGACTGTTAGCTAAGATCCTTCACGCATGTTGAAGGATTTGGTAGCCCATTCAAGGTCACACAAGCCCGCCGAGTTCAAGATAAGCGGGGCAATATTTCTCCGTTGAAACTTCCTGGCTTTGCTTGGTTCTGGGTATTTCCCGCCCGCAGAAGCATGCGGCTGCATGTACACTTTAAAAAGAAGACGTTTGATCCGTCAGGTTGCCAAAAAGGTTCCCACAAAATATATTTACAGCAGTCTTCTTGAGTGTCTCCTAGTCCTTGCTCATCAGTCTTATGAGAAGCCTGAGTCTGGAGGACTTGTAACTTTTGAATTGACTTCAAAGAAATCTATATATGAGTAATCTTTCAGCTTCACAAAGATCTTATACAGGGGAGAAGAGCTGGCATTGTGCTGACGGGCTTTGCTTTTCAAGCATATTAATCAAGGCGCCTGGCTTTGTGGCGAGGAGCTGAAAATAACGGGCTGATAGCCTCTTCTCATTGTTCACAACGTGGTGTGCCAAGAAAGGGCGCTTTTACCTCGAAGCCTCTTTTACTTGGGGAATCCTTCATTCTATCCACTTAGATGCTGAATGGCGTTTCGGGGTCAATGCATGACAGGTCGAAATACAAAGGGTTGACAGTAGGGGAAATTAACTCAAGAAGTTGATATTAAAGGCTTATAGTACATGTATTGCTTGTATATATAAAAGATTGCATCTTCTGTTGATAAAGCCTGGCGATTCTCGTTCCATTGCAGAAGAAGCCAACTCAAAAGTGCACTCGCTTTTCACCTTGGCCTGCCGACAATAAGGACATAAATTGGTATCAAAAGATGTATCTCTCCCAATACCTCTTAGCATTTGCTCTCTCCCTCGGCACAGTTTCGGCTGTTGAAGGCCTAGGAAAGAGAGCTGCCGTCTTTGAGAGACAACAAACATGCGTAATCACAGGATGGGTTCCAGAATGCCCGGGTAAGCGCTCAACAGACATCAAAATACAAACACATAACTGACAATCCATCTCCAGGCCCCTTGCCATGTGCTCCCCCGGGAGCAGTCTGTTGCGCCGACTCGACCTTTGATGTGCCGGGTGGGACTTGTAAGGGCAGCACAGTGGTAAAGACTGTTGGCGGTGGATCGATATCAGCACCACCTTCCACCATCACCTCACCCCCATCGACAGCGACGCAGATGGAGACTTTCACGTACTTCACCTACGAGATCACATGGTACTACTGGTACTACTACTTCACCTATATCGCTGGAGCGTCGGTCACTGCTTCATCTCAAATCAGAACTATCACCACAGTGTCGGTCCATGCAACGAACTCAGTGGCAGCTGATGCGCTCTTCACTTCGTTGAGAAATACCATCACTCTCCTGACGCCAACTCAGACGACTACTTCCTTCAGTGGCACGGTGCCTTCTTCAACTAGTCCAGCACCGACCACATATCCTGCACCGTCCAATCCCCCCACACCGTCGTCTAACGGTACCACGACGGCAGTGAATACATCTGCAGTACAGTTTACTGGAGCAGGGGTAGGTTTGAGGGCTGGACCTGTGGCCTCTTGGGCCAAATTGGCTCTGGGTGCCGCCTTTGTCGTACCGGGGCTCTTGATGATATGGCTCTGAGAGTACGTTACTTTCTCTAGCAGATGCCGATGGTGGGCTGGCTTGTATTCATAACCATCTGTAAGGGAACATGGGAAGTTCAGAGTGCGCTGGAAATAATTGGAAGTCTTGTTCTACCGAGAGTGCTGGAGGTGCACGGCTTGTGTCCTCGCTATATAGGAGTAGTGGTAAACTTATAATATCACCCTGGTGGGGAGACTTTAACAAGTGACTCAAAATATGATGTGCACTACACTAGTTGTACTGTCATAAGAAATATACAGTCGTAATTTATACCTAGAAGGTTTTCCGCCTGCCGTCAGTGGCTAGAACGTAAGCGCTCGTTCTGCCTAGATAAGACGCTGGACGCTGGCTCTTAGCAAGTCAAGGTAAGGAGTAAGTTTGAGATATAAATAGAGAAGAGAAAAGACTCATACGTGCACCTATGCACTAGTGGGCCACTGCACAAAGTGGCGGATATCACAAATAACACAAGCTCTGCTCCACAATGATTCAAGGGTGCCAGGATTCACGTACCAAAAATTGAGGTGTGGGTGAATGTAAGAGCAAAGAAAGCACGCCAAAAGGATAAGTAGAAGCCCGTTTGAGCGGCCTCCCTGTGGAACAGCCTGAATTCGAAAGACGCAACAACATAAACGGGGGGACACGAGTCTAAGTAAGATACACATCAACGCATATGGACTTGAACATGGGCTCGAAAGACACACCAACACAAACGATGGCCAAACATGAGGCGGGGAAGGAAAAGGAAAAGCAAGAGATCACTCAACAGCCACTTGACAAGACGGTAGAACACTACTATTACGGTGAAATCTTCGCCCGCGACAAGTTCTTCATACTGTTGTATACAAATCCGAACCGTAATCTCCAGACCCTCAATCATCTTCTACATGGCGTGGACCGCAAGCAATTATGCTCCAACATGTGGGGTGCAATTTCCACAGGCGAAATCCACCACGATTTGATACCCAAGATCAAAGAACTTTCCCACTGCTCACGCGAATGGGAGTACTTCCCACTGACGGTTGAAGACATCAATCCTCCGCTACAAGCGTTTCTTCGATGGCTCTTGATGACTTTTGGAGGCTCGAAACTCTGGACCGAATTTTCAGAAAAGCAAATCACTTTTATCAACGACCTGCTCCAGGCGATCCGCAAGGGAGAGATAAAGACTTGGATGCCCAGATATCTCAAAAGCAGAGAAGGCGAACTCCAATATCTTTCAGATCTAATAAACGAGAACATGGCATTAGACTGCTTCGCGGAACGATTCGAATGCGATGCCACTGGAAAACCCGGTATTGTTAGGAACGACACTGGCTTTTCAAACTTTACTACCGCAAACAAGGCCAATATCAGCACAAGCCCGACAAAGCTGGTGATGTGGGTTGAGCATACCTTTCGACAGTGGCGGAAAGCTGTCAAGAATTATCGACCAGAAATGTCACTTCCAGCGGCCCATCGTGAATACTATGCAATGGGCCAGACTGGTCCAAGCACTCAACTGAAGCAGGAACAACAATGTTCACGGAACGACAAATCTGGTCTAGTAGATGAAAAATTACACGAGGAGATCAAGACGTTTACGAAGCTCATCAAGAAACTTAGAACGCCGCCAGCTGCTGCAAAGCATACACACGCGCCCCCCATCACCTTGAAGAAGACTACCTTGAAGAAGTCTGCCTTGACTCACGAAAGCGCCAAAAGTCATAAGAAAGCACCTTCTGTGAGTCCCTAAAGCCGCCCTCTGTTTCCAAATATTTACTAAAAATGAGAAGCACGATGAAAAGGTTGCCAGCAGGCATATCCATTTCACTCCCAGTACGAAACTAGATCATTGAGACGTGTTGGGCACGGAACCCACCACAGAAGGGAGAAGCACGATGATTAGGAGAAATATAACATGACTTCATGTCACCCTAAAACCGCCAGACTTCTGAGCAAGGCTTTAGCTGCAATTTCATTCCACACAACACCGTATTAGCATGATAGTACAGGGCCTGAAATAGTGACTTTTTGTATTCCCATCCATAGCCCAGAACGCCAATGAGTGCGAGTAAAAGGCCAGAGTCTCGCATGGAATAATCTACACCAACCCAATCGTAGTCCAAATCAAAGAGACACGCGACCAGCCATACGCACGCCCAAACCTCAAAGAAAGCAGTGTCCAGCCTTCCTCAAATCCTAACATTCCTTCCCTCCTTCTCCACAACCTTCAACAAGTCCTTATAAACATCCAGGAACTCCTCATCGGGCTTCTCGTCCTTCTTGCCGCTCTTCTCGCTGACCATAACCACGCTCGTGGGCCTCTTGGTGTTGCCAGCTGCTCCTAGCTCGGCTCTGCTCGTGACGAAGATGTAGGGGACGTTGTGGTCTTCGCAAAGGACGGGGATGTGAGAAATGACGTCCATGGGCGAGATATCTGCTGCGAGGATGACGATTCCTGGGATCGAGGAGCCAGAGGCGGCGGGGGCACCGAGGGGAGATTTGCGGAGTGCTTTTACGACTTCTTTTACGCCGCGCTTGAGGGTCTTGTTTTTCGCAGCTGCAGAAACGGTCAGCAAACTTGGCTCTGCCGAGGAAAGAGTGGTTGCGACAGAGAGAGCAAGAACGAACCTTTCTTGACACCCTTTAGCACCTTCTTCGCAACCTTTTCATCTGCCAATGGATTCGCAAACGGTACCAGCGCGCCAACAGGCTTCAGCACAAGCTCTCCATCCTTGACCACTATTTTTGCAATCTCAGTCTCTCCTTCTTCTTCCCGCTTGCTGATTTCCGCAGCAACTTTATCTGCATCAAGCTTTGGCTTCTTGTCCTTCTTGGATTTTTTCACGCCATCTTTTTCGCTGCGCTTTTCCTTCTTCTCCTTTTTAGAGGAGTCCTTGGAGGATTTATCTTTACTCATTTTGCAGATTATGAGGAATGGTTTGGTGGTAGATTTTTGGGTTTTCATATGGCGGGAATATTTTTTACACCTCGAGAATTGTTAGAGTTGGCGCTAGTCCAGATTGAGCCAGTGAGCTTTATCAGGTTGGGGTCTTTTCTTAGATGGGTATACAAGAACTGATTGCAGATAGTAATATGCCCAAACGGTACTATTCCATGCAGTAACTCGTAGGTAGTATTTTGATATTCACGCATGGTAAGAAGATTGACAGAAAAGAAGCTCTAGAACTCTTCACAGGTGATATGCACCGCTCGAGTCGAAACAGTGGACCAGGACGTGTCGAAATCCATCAATTGAAAACGGTCTACTACTATACACCTCTCCTCAATCATCCTCCAACCTCCTTAATTCAAAGCTCCATCATGCTTCACTGTCCTCCGCTAAAGCGCAACACAGCACTGCTTAGTTGGGGTTCTAGATACTAGAACGGAAGTCTGTCCGAGTTCTGTCTCTATTCTTCCTCACCATATTCTAGACGGCCTGGCTTGGAGTTCAAGTACTCATTTCTGTAGAAGAATGTCAGTTATGCTCATGGCAGACAGCCTTGGTAGTCTTCGACGAGGTTGCAGGCAACTAACCTCTCAATAGCCCAGTCCATGGCAAGGTAACCGATGATCATAGGAGGAGCGATGTAGAGAATTTGGTGAGAGAATCGTCTCCAGACGTTGAAGATGGCTGCGTTAAGAGTGCCAGCAAGAGGGCGTTGTCGGTTGGCACTGAGACCGAAGGATATGACGCCTTTCTGGGGTTGGGAGCCTGTGATTATCCACCATTAGTCCAAATTCCTCCGTAGAAATAACTGCTCTTCACGAGGATTCCAGAAACCCCAAGCTTTCACATGGTATGACTATTCGATTGTGGAGATGTCGCATCGAGAAACCTCGATCGCCGGGGAGATAGGAATCGCCGGAACGAAGCTCAACAACTCACCAAAATTTCCCCATCCTCCTAGGTATCTGCAAGCATTCAACATTAGCATATGTCTTCTTTCAATCTTCCCCCATAGCTCCAATGCCATCCCGAAGTTCATCGCCACGCCGTTGCCCCATCGCTCAAACCACCCATTCCATCCTGAGAGAGGCAGCACTTACTTTCCGTACTTCCCAATCTCACCATCACCACCGGAACGAAGAATTTGAGAAGGTCTCATCGTGATTGGATATCAGCTTGGTGAAGTGTGCTTCAATTGCTATTTTGACGTTGGAAGAGACTCTCGTTGTTGAAGTCAAATCGGCTCTTTCTGCCACCCCAGTCACCACTAGCGCGAAATCGTAAAATCTAGGGAACTTTCGAGCTATCATCGACACCTCGACTTCCCCAGCTTCTGCCACCTCCGCCAACATCTACCATCACACGAAATCATTATGGCAAATCCACTCGGCAACCTTGCGAAGTGGGCATTCCCTTCAGCAATCGCGTTGTCCTTCGCCCAATCCTCCATCTACGATGTCAAAGGCGGAACCAGAGCAGTGATCTTCGACCGAGTGTCTGGAGTCAAGGACAAAGTTGTGAACGAGGGCACGCATTTCCTGATTCCATGGCTACAGAAGCCTATCATTTACGATGTCCGGACTAAGCCGAGGAATATCTCGACGACAACGGGAAGCAAGGACTTGCAGATGGTGAGCTTAACGCTCAGGGTGTTGCATAGACCGGACGTTAAGGCTTTGCCCAAGATTTACCAGGTCCGTCTATTCTGTTCTCTGCATATTATGGAATAGTAGCTAACAGAGACTAGAATCTCGGTCAAGATTACGACGAGCGTGTTCTCCCCTCCATCGGAAACGAAGTTCTCAAAGCCATCGTAGCGCAGTTCGACGCCGCAGAGCTGATCACACAGCGTGAAGCAGTCAGCAACAGAATCCGCACCGACTTGCTCAAGCGTGCCCAAGAATTCAACATTGAACTCGAAGACGTCTCCATCACACACATGACTTTCGGTCGCGAGTTCACGCGAGCTGTAGAGCAGAAGCAGATCGCGCAGCAAGATGCAGAGAGAGCTAGATTTATCGTTGAGAAGGCGGAGCAAGAGAGACAGGCGAATGTCATTAGAGCCGAGGGAGAGGCTGAGTCTGCAGATACGATTAGCAGGGCGGTGGCGAAGGCTGGTGATGGCTTGATTATGATAAGAAGGATTGAGGCCAGTAAAGAGATTGCACAGACGTTGGCGGGTAACCCCAACGTTACATATCTGCCAGGTGGTGGAGAGGGTGGTAAGGAGGGAGGTGGCAAGTTCTTGCTTGGACTGAGATGAGTACGATATGATGGCGTGTACCAATAGCAAAAATGTAATCACTCTCCCCTAGCCAGGTGGCAATGTCGAGTTGTTCAATTTATTTATCACATCAGCGTACTGAAATATGTCTCCTGATTGCATCTTTGAGCCTGCTCCAGTGTCGAGCCGTTCCAACACATCTATTACTTTTAAATGTCAACCGTACATGGTTTCGAATTCATTCAAGAAACACGTCTTCATTTCTGAAAGCTTCTGCAAGTAAAGGATTCACATAGATATTCAGACAATCTAGAGTGACCAAGCGGATGCACGAATCATGGGTATTGAGGGGCTTGATTTACTATCGTACAAAGGTGCAAATCGGAACGGCAAGGGCAGAGAAAAGCAATGAGTCGCATCTACGCTAATGCTGATCGCTGGAAATACATATAGGCTGAACAAACACTGAAATCTAAAACGTAAAGGAACGCAGGCATAACTATTCACCAAGATATACAACACGCTTTTTATACCCCTCCCTTATAAGATGAATTCTTCATCTAGCCAGTGACGGAGTACTATTCTGCCTTCACTGAAGCTTGGCTTCTCCATACGGACGATAATAGCTGCGTGACTGTGTCTCACCTTGTGGATGTAGACGGGGTATTTTCGCCAACCCACGGTATCCAGAGCTTGAATCATCCTAAATTGGTAAGGCGCAAGGGCGAGAGTTGGGGGGTCTTGGCTGGTCTTCTCGGAATTTCTGCGTAACAATTGGCCATTGGGCTCATCGCCGCCTAGAGAAGATGGTGCTCGTTCGAGAATCGGCGAACTTGGCTCTGATTGAGCTGCTTCCTCCTCAGTCCCTGCTACGAGATACTCATGACTCTGGGCACTGTTTAGGTTCTCATAGACGTCCTCGACTGCTTCTCGCATGCCCGTGATGAGAAGGGGCATTCGGTAATTCCCAGGTTGGATTCCAGCTAGGCCTTTTTCATGAAGTCTGATTCTCCGATTGCTTCTGAGTGATTGCACTCCAGAATTCATCAGGAATGCCAAAACACCAAGAGGGAGGAAGAGTACCATAGCTAGGAAAAATGGAATCCGACCAATAGTTGTCTGGCTTGCTTTTATCATCCCTCCATAAAATGTGTCGTGTGGCTCTTCTTCAGAATCGAGAGGGGCCACTGGAGCATTTGGATCGAGAATAACGTCTTCGTAGCCTTGCACATAATTGATCTTGATCTTATCCAAATTCGTATAAGGATCGGTCTTTGAGATGCCTGTGGTGTAATGTACGGCACTTCGATCGTTGACAATGTTTGAGTACAGCGTCTTTCTCTCAAATTTGGCTAGGCCCTTGATAAAAATTGACTCTTGGTCTGCTAGGACTTCGAGCAATGGCCGACCTGTATCTCGAAACTTGTCTATTGTGAAGAGCTGCCTCCCGGATGCTGATAGAGTCCGCGCTCCTAGAACGTTCCAAACGTGATTGTGCCATCCGCGAAGAGGGGTCCTTACGCCGAGATGAGGGCTGGCAAACGTGGTGAAGTTCTATTCGTATCAGCTGGGCAAGTGAAGTTTGGCAGACTTGAACTCACAACAGGTTTGATCTTGTCGAAGAATCCTTTGCTGTCTAGTAAGCCAATCGCATAACGGGCAATCAAGCCTCCTAGAGAATAGCCAACAAGTGATATCCTCTTGATTTCCTGCCCTTCGTTGGCCAACTTCTCAATCTCTTGTTCTATCTCTTGGCAGACCCGTTCTCCCCCAAGTTCGATTCCATCATAGGTGAAACTTCCACTGTTGCGCTTCGCCACGAGGATATGTAGACTTTCTTCTGGATGTTTCGCGCGTAGAGATTTGGCCATGACCTCGAGGTGATTTGGATTGCCCCACAGTCTGAACGCAGATCAGTACACTTTGCTCCAAGCTGCAGGTACGAGGTCGGGGTTAAGTTGCATCACGTACCCATGGACCAAAACGCAGAGATGCTGTGCATCTCCGCTGCTGGTACCGTTATAATCCATCACTTTATCAGAAAGGAAAGCCCGGTCCAGGGAAGAAAAGGAGAAAGGAAGCAATGCGACGAAGGAAGCGGAAGTGAGGAATGCCTCGCAAAGCGAGACAGTCCTCAACCACTAAAACCTAAGGTACGGACGGCCGACCGTTGAGGCTCCTGTAGGCGGTTGGTTAGCTATCGTATCGCTAGGAGAGTTTACTCGTTAAGGCTGCAGAGGCCTGTACAGTGACGAAAGAGGGGCCTGCAAGTGGGTTTCGGCGTAAAATCAGCGACTGGAGAAGCTATTCCGATGCAAAAAGTGGCAAAGAAGAGCAGGAGAGGAAGGGAAGATGAAGAGAAGAGACGCGGATCTTGTACAAGCTCGGTGGAGATTTTGACTTGAAATGAATCACGGCGAGGAGGAGGTGATAAGGGAAAACAGAGATAACAGTCAGTGTACTCTGTCTGTACAATCCTCCCGGGAGGACACCAGTCACTGGGCGCACAGTGCACTGGCACTTGCACTGCATTATGAGTACGGAGGTAGTTTAGGCACTGCTGGAAGTCGCTGTACATGTTGCACTGGTTTATGTATGGCTCAGTTATGAGATGAAGATGACAGAAAACACTTAATATGATAGAATTTCGAAGCCGATGTTTGCATCGTACCGATAATGTGACCTTAAGGTAGGTACTGTATGCTTTCTTTGACCGCTGAAATAAAGATAACAGAAGCCTAAAATGGATACCTTATAGGCAGGTACCTAGTGCCACTAGGACCCTGGATAAAGATCGGCCCGCCCCTGAAGTTTAAGCATCAGTCGCTAAAAAAGGACGAAACCTTCCCTTCCTTCCCTGATCCTGCCCTGCCTCTTCCCTTCCCATCTACCGCTACCTTACCTTACCTCACACTTATCGGGCATTGGCAGCCCGAGTCTAGCCTTTGAGGGACATCGTAAAAAGAGGCCATCGTGGGACTGCATGTGGGCAAACAACGAAGACTAGGTATCTTGAGTAACTAAAAATTCTCGTGTTTGCGTTTCCCCTCTTCTCCAAACAACAAAGGTCAGACCAGTCAGACCACACCACTTTCCGAAGACGGCCATTCTGACCCTGAGACATTCAGTCTTGCTTGTACCAGAGTGTCTCCAAACCGGCATGAAGACTTCCACGTCACTTGTGCTATTCAACAATCCCTAGTTGTCATCTTCAAATATGTTCACTTCCAAAGGGCTCTTTTCCGAGATCGAGTGTCCATACAAAGACACCTGCATGCTTCCAAAATGTATCTTTGCCCATTCTAGAAGCCTTCCTAGCCCGGTTATAACTGTGGTTGAGAATCAGAGTTATGATGCTCTTGATGAGGGACAGGACCAAGAAGGTCGAAGGAAGAGACTGAAGTTGGCCGATGAGAACGAGCGGACAGCTTCGAACTCAGATAAGGCTTCTACTAAAGTCCAGGCAGTTCGAAAAACGTCATATTCGACGAGTGAGGATGACACACCGGAATCAAAACCAAAGCGGATATCCTCTTTGACACGGCCTGTATCCCCGCCTGCACTGCGAAATAAGTCTCAAATTGGAACTACTACAGCCACAAAGGATCCCCACGTTCATCATGGGAATGTAGCGGCTTCAAAACCCAGCCCTGCTCTGAAGTCAACCCCCATCAAATTAGCTACGGAAAAACCATTACTTGTCAAAACACCACTAAAGAAAGAAGCTTTGAATCCTCGAGCTCTGAAAGTGCCAACCCCTGCAACCTATCAAATAAGATTCAGACTTGTACAAACCCTGCACGAGCAGCTTAACAGGTTGAATTCTGAGTTGGGAAGTGATGCAAATGATGCCGAAGAGCAGCTTGTACTGCCAGAACAAGCGATCATTTCCATGGCTTTAGACATGGAAGAAGCTGCAGCCTACACTCCGAGCATCTATTCGAATGCTGTCAAAAATAAGATCCTTCTCTACAAAAGGATGAAAGTAGGGCAATGGAAAGAGGAGAGAGAAAAAGAGGTAGCAGAAATCAAGGCAAAAGAAGCGGCTGCCATGTCAAACACTCCTGATTCCAGACCTAAGCTTCCTCCAAAGGTTGTCGAAACTGGATTGAAAACAGAGGAAGAGATCATGCTTCTTCCGCGGCTCTACACACCAATCACAGGTCTATCAAAACATGGTTACGTGACCTCAATCCCAACAGATGACGAGATCGAGACGGCAAGAAAGGGAGTGGAGGCTGCGAAAGGTTGGGAAGTTTGTGATCGCTGCAAAAGCCGCTTTCAAGTATTTCCCGGCCGTAGAGAAGAAGACGGCGCTCTCGCGTCAGGAGGGAAATGTACTTACCATTGGGGTAAAGCACTCTTGGCTGAACGCTCAGCAACAGATCCTAAAGCAAAGAGGGAAAGGAGATTCAAATGCTGCGGTCAAATAATGGGCGATTCTGTAGGATGTACACAAGCTGATTGTCACGTCTTCAAAATCTCTGAAGTCAAACGTCTAGCAGCGGTTTTGAACTTTGAAAAAACTCCAGAGAATCCAGCAAAAGCGTTAAGCAATCCAGTTTGCATCGATGGCGAGATGGGCTATACAGTCTACGGTCTCGAACTCATTCGTCTCACAGCAACATCTTGGCCTTCCGGTATGCCCCTCTTCGACGTCCTAGTTCGTCCTGTAGGAGAGATTCTGGACCTCAATTCTCGCTTTTCAGGTGTATGGCCCAAGGAAATGGGTGAAGCGAAGCCTTTCTCAAGCTCAACCAAACCATATCCGGAGAAGACTCAAGACCTTCAAATCGTCTCGTCCCCCGCCGAAGCCCGCACTTTGTTATTCTCCCATCTCTCACCAGGAACACCACTAATAGGCCACGGTCTCGAAAATGACCTCAACGCCTCCCGTATAATCCACACAACCATCATCGACACAGCACTCCTCTTCCCCCATAAAGCTGGCCTACCTTACCGCAATGGATTGAAAATGCTAATGAGCACACATCTGAACCGGGATATCCAGATCCAGGCTGTGGTTGATGGCAAGATGGAGGGGCATGATAGCAAGGAGGATGCTAATGCTGCTGGGGAGCTCGTGAGGTGGAGGGTGGGTGAGCTTTGGGGGACTATGGAGAGGGAAGGGTGGGTTGTGGAGAATGGGGGGATCTTTGTGCCGCCTAATGGGAGTGGGGATGGATTGGAGAGGAGGGGTGGGGAGTTGGGTATTGGTGCTGGGACAAAGAGGGGGGTGGGATGAGGATGGAGATGAGGATGAGAGAAGGGAAAGGAGGTTCATTTGAAAAGAAAAGTTACGAAAGTTGAAGACAGGCAGGAAGGCATCTTCGGGGAGGTTGAGAAGCGCTTAGCTTTTAGTCTTGCATATGTAACACCACAAACTAGCAGACCTTACTACGTACTTTGCCATGAATTAAATCAGTCGATGGCAACAAGTGAGGCTGAAGCTCTCCACGTCTTGTAGTCTTGCCGGTCCAACATGACAAATTCTAGCGCTTCAAACAAGATGGAGTTCTAACCCTCTCATCCGAGCATGATCTTGACAATCGGCATCATACATTTACAAGAAACGTAGTACAAACTTTTGATCATTTTATCATTCATAACGCAGCAATTGCCAGCAGTATACACGTCTAAACGCCCCATGATCCTAACTCCTTCAAGATGCATTCCTTCTCCCATTGATTAACCTTAAAAGTCCATACCCATATCATGCTCTTCACACAGTCTCATAAACTTAGCCACAAAAGCCTCCAGATGAAAAATCACCTTGGTCCCATTCCGAATCCGATGCTCATAAAACGCAGCCCACTTAACCACATCCGCCTTCAACGCATCGTCCACCAAGGGAACCAATTTGAATGTGAGAGTCTTGAGAATTGTAGTTGGGGGAATGCAGTGTGTGAGCAGATCGTAGAGTTTGGCGCGGACTTTGAGTATCTGGGCGGGTGTGTGTTCGGTGTTGATGTCGTTGGCAACTGTACTTATGAGTGCTTCCCAATCAGGCGGTGGGATTGGGGTTGTATCTGATACTCTCTCGCTGTAGAAGGTTAGTAATTGACCAATGTATAGAAGATTGTGCAAGGTGGCATACTTCTGCGCATGAACCGCCTCGAACATCAACAACGCCCTCCTCAAATTCCTCCCACTCTCCGCCGCAACCCTCTTCTCCAACTCCCTTGCAGCTGGCCACCCCTCCTTCTTCCCACTCTTCGCCAACACCTCACAAATCTCCACTTCCGTTGGAGCAGGGACCCGAACCAAGAGTGTCCGACTCCTGATCGGCGCAATGATATTGGCCGTGCTGTTCGCAAGCAGGATTAGGCGTAGATTAGGACTGTATTTCTCCATCGTTCTTCTGAGTGCAGCCTGTGCATCCCGCGTCAAATGATCCGCCTCATTGATAACCACCACCTTGAACTTCTGCTTCGCGTTCTGATCCACCTGCTGCGTCTGCGCTACTTCTTTCAACAGATCCTGCACCACTACACGATCATAGTTCCCCACATCCGAAGGGGTGATCTCGAGATGGTAGACTGAAGCTACAATGTTGAATTCTAGTTTTCGGTTACTGGTCGTTTGGAAGACGCGGGAATCGATTTTGATTTTCTCGACGCCGGGACCGTAGAGTTCTTTTAGGGTTGCGACGATGCGTGTTTTTTTTTCCTGCGCCAGAAGGGCCGTAGACTAGGAGATGGGGGAAATCGCCGCTTTGGGCCTGTGGAAGTTAGATTTTGGATTGGGGGAAGGGGGAAGAGGGAGAGGGGGAAGACCTACGAGGGAGCGAAGGCGTTCAGAGAGATCTTTGTGGTAGGTTAATTGATCGAGAGACCTCGGACGGTGTTTGTCTACGAGAAGCGCCATGGTTGTTTGGGTTGTGGTTAGGATTCGTGAAATATCAGTACTCTTTATGACGCGAAGTTTGGAAGTCGCGTCGGACGCGTAAAGAGCTAAAATGCGGTTCTATCATATGCTGCCCGCCGTACTATACCACCCCACAAGGGCAGATCTCTAGACGTCGACGTGTTTGAACGAGAGCGAAAAGCAAGTTGCCTCTTCGGGTGTATCGAAGTAGACTTTGGAAGCCATTCCCACTATTGTCCTGGGCTATATACAAACGAAGCTCTCTTCTACTCACAGTATCTAGTTATCATTCTCGAATTTATTTCACAGATGCTTAAAGTTTGTTTTGTATTTTTCAAGTCTAAGAAGAAGAAGACGAGTGACAGTCTTTGTGGCTAAGTATTGTAAAACTTCCATCAGTAAAAGAACCGAAAGATCTTTGGTCTGGTCTTCTAATCTCGGAACATCCACTAGATCTGTGACGATGTTATTTTATATCCTCTAAACTACTCGTCGTGCTATCTTTCGTACATCAGACAAGGTCTGACCGAAGGTGTCGGTAAAATTTGCTCCAATATCACCATATCATGATCAGGTATTCAAGTTAAATGTCAGCCAATGCCGTTTTCACCAGTGTATTTTCCCGATATTTCAATTTGCCTCGCATTCAAGTATTCAAAATGTCTTCCAGCTCACTCAAGGTCTTGATCCTCAATCCATCCCCATCCAACTTATAATTACCATTCTCACAATAGTAGATGGGGAAAATTTCAGACGCCTTAGCAGGCAAAATATCCCTCTCCCAGCTATCCCCTACGTATACTAAGTCTATAGCATCAATCTTCAGCTCCTCCAAAACCTTCTCGAACAGCCCATCTACTTTAGAAACGCCGAAGAAGTTGGTACTGGCAAGATAATCCACCTGTTCTGAAAGCCCCAGCCGTCCTAAAGTCCATTCCTGTGCATCATGCGGGCCTTCCGTGATGATTACGATTTTCTTTCCGAGTGATTTGAGATACATAAGTAGACTTTTTGCTCCAGCTTTGAGCTCTAGAGAATGGGCAAGTTCTATCTTGTAAATTACAGCCAATTCATTCAAAAGGGTTGTGTTTGTCTCGATTGAGAAGCCCTTGAGCACAGCAGCAAATCGCTCTTTCCGATAGCCATCAGAGGTCTTGCCGTCGGTGAACGAGTGCGCCGTTTTTTGAGCCAAGACTTTCTTGTAAGTGGCCTGCAAGTTTTCGATGGGGATTTGATACTTTGAAGAGACTTTTGAGAGGGTAGTAAGGACTGCTGCTTCTGATGCCTTCCGAAACTCGTGAAGAGTGTCGTCGAGGTCGAAGCCGAACCATGTCTTGGTGTGAAGTATTGAGCGAACCATTTTCAGCTCATCGGGCGAGTAATCCATTGTTGATTGCTGTCTGATGTCTTGCTATGGCTTTGATTTAAATGACGTTTTGGGTGCGGTAATTCTGATTTTGCATTTATGGGTTTTGTATCTTGCAGCTGCGGGTCTGAATGTAGTACGTGCTCGTTGCTACCTTATTTAGACACTCTAGCTGTTATAATAGCAAGCTATTCTTTTGGGCGTTTACCAATAGGTAGGTGTTGATTGAAATGTTTTGCTGCTGTTTGACGTGACTCCCAAAGAAGGTGTGCAAAGAGGGTGGATTGTTTGCTGCTTTCAGTATCAAAAGCTGATACCATTGTTGATGTATTTATTGATGAATCTAGTTTTTCCATATAAGTCGCAAAGTGGGATTGTGTCGAGTGCAAAAGAAATCATGTCATATTTAGCCCACTTTTGAGGAGTACAATATTACCAATATTATACACTGTCCGCGAAGGGACATCCCGAACGATCAAGTGAACAGTCTGATCCCAACACAATCCACCCGAGGAATATATTTGGAGGCGGCAAGAGATTTCGTAGTAAGTATAAAACCCATATCTCGTCAAAGGGCCCCTATAGCATGAGGAAGATTAGGACGCTCAATTATAGGTAGACTGCAATATCTCGAAGTCGAGGTATCCCTAGCACGTCATTTTTGACAGTATTCCGAATTTTATCAGGTCCAACTTCCAAAATCCCTTTGTAGCACTTGCAAAACCATTTACTATATCAGGTTGGATCCGGCATGAGCTGCGGGATGCTCTAACGGTGATAGTTCCTTGAATACTCGAAAACCGGCGAGGTATTCAGAGCTTGCCAACTGAGGATAGTGAGTGCTGTTCCGAGACAAAACGTTTCGCTCTGAAGGAGAATGCTAGTTTTCCCCCACTATACTCCTACTAGTACAGCAACGCACACAATTTGCTCCAGGCCAAGCTTGATCCAAAGTCAAAGCCCGAGCCGTCCTCTAGGCATTCCCCAAATACCAGCTGCACCCTCACTCAGACCACGATGAGTACCTATTCCCACCTCCCCGGCGGATCGTTTAGTCGCGGACGAGAAGATACCAGGGTCTAACCTGTCGGTTCCCGCTCTCAGCGCACTGGGCTGGAGGATGCTTCCGAGTCTAACCTCATATATCCTCAGAGTGTTCCAGAGTGAATTCAAAGCAAATATGATGCGGAGGACGGATAAGATAATGATGGAGAGTATGTTGTTATACATAGAAGCAGGGATTAACTGTTATTCGATGCCAAATACCAGTCCCGATAGGACTTAGTAGGCAGGCATCTATTCATATCTGCATAGAGTATATACTTCAGACAACGATGAAGCTTTCCCGACACGCCTCCCTGGAATTTGAAGTTGAATCACGTATTCAAGGAGTCCCTCCGACTATTGTTCATTTTACATCCGGGAATCTTGATAACCATGTCCAACCTGATGGAGTCACGTAACATCAACTTTCCACGGTAATGTCTCCTTTTCCATCGTCAGGGAGCCGACACAGCTGTTACCTCAGCTTGCTCTGCGCTCCGGGTAGCATTTGACTTGGAGATATTTTCAACGTCCTCGGTGCTGTTGATCATCATGGAGGAGATTAGATAGCCGGGAATATTCACATAGTAGCCTTCATCAGTCGTAGACTTTTGGGGATTTTGTAAAATTTCTGTCTAAGGTACAAGTAATGAAAGCGAATTCGCTGGGGTATTGTGCTGCAGAGGAAGTCATCCGTACGTAGTAACCGGGAGAACCAGTACCCATTATCAACCATGATAGATTCCAAGGAAACGCTCGGATCGATCCAACGCCAGGGCAAAAGAAATTAAGGAAAGAGAAAACCGCTTGAATGTGTATGTGCCTCATCTAGCCTCCAATTCGAAGTAGAGAAAATGTCTCGGTAGATGAGAGACAATGTATAATTGTGCTTGTCTCGTATGATGAAGTGATTGTAATTGATGTGCTTTTTGGGGGGGGGGGGCCGCGGGAGAAGAACGCAAGAAGAAACGCAAAAAAGTAGGAAATGAGTTTCAGAGAAGTCGAAAGGGCTTAGAGTCTTGTTGAAGAAGTCTCAAGAAACGCGCAAGTTTACGACGATGGTGTCTACAACAGTCAGCACATATGGCCATATAAGAGGTTCATGGAAGCAGAACTTACAGGATACATCCAACTTCGTGTGGGCAGCAGACCAATTCATAGCTGTTCCAGAGGCTCCGAGGAAGCTCGATCGCATACGCAAGTCAACGCTAGATAAGAAGTCGCGCAAGAGATGACCATTCCGCTCGAGGCGAAGTAAGTTGAAAGAAGAGACCGGGACATGGTTCAGGGACCTGCAAGGTTATGGTGCACCAGATATAAAAATTCTGTATGCTGTAAGGCCAGAGCTTGACTATTCATCACCCGAAGAATCCTCATCATCCTCGTTATATAATCCTCGAATCCGCTCTGGGCGGGTAGCGGGTGAAGCAGGAGGGGGACCGGGAGCCTGAATTGCATTTGCGGGCACAGTTCGAGCACCGACAGGCTTGGCCCATCCTTTGTTTTTTCCCGAAGATGCTGTCGCAGTCGAGCTTGATGCAGAGCGCTTGCCGGCCCAGCTGTTATTGGATACCGTTGACCACCCGTCACCTGCAACACTGTTGCTTGGGACGTACCGATTGTTTTGAAATGGCGAAGAGTTCGAAGGATTTGGGGTCTTGGCGAAAACAGCATTTGCCTCAGTGCTAGCCCTAGATTGGCCGCTAATACTCAGGTTGCTCATGAGTGTTTGAACCACCGAATGCCCTGAAACGTTTGATCGAGCAGGTGCCACAGAGGGTCCTGAAGTCTTCGTGTCAGTGACCCAACCAGCAGTCTCCGCGGCTTGTTGGCTGAACCAAGAGTTTGAGCCCTAGAAATGAGTCAGATATGCTCCTTACAATGTTCACGGGATGAGGATGACTTACCGTTGCGGACGCTTCATACTCCCATTCTTGACCATAGTCGTCATCTTGCCAAGCATGGAGATCAACATTATTCGGTTGTAGATTCTCATCAGGAGCTAGTTCGTTGTTCGGAGCTGGCCCTACACAGATTCCTGGCTCCTTTTTGTTCATGACGCATTAGTAGTAGTTCAAAGCTGGATCTTGGGACAGAGCCGAGAAGCCTAAGCGCTGTCTTGGGAGCTTGCTCAAGGGCTCCTGATACAACCCCGGGCTTTATAGCTCCGAGAGAGCAAAGCAGCTTTAGTGTATGAGAATAGGCTCACCTGAGCATCCTTCCATTTCGTACATTCTTCGCACCACTAGATGATTAGATTAGTATCAGACCTGGGTTCAAAGACCGATACTTTAAATACATAGCGCTGCATCTTCCGCGTGTTCTTGCTGAACGCACCCAAGGGTTTTCTCAACCCACAAGGACCCTTGCAGGTGATTTCTAGGGCTGATGATGTGTTAAACATATACACTGTTCAAGCTAAGTACTAACATACCTTGTTCGCCACTGCAGCCTTGACATCGAAGGTTCGCACTCTCCGCCGTTGGTCGGGCACCCGTCGAACACGCGTTTCTGTATTTGTCCAGCTCCTTGTTGGAGAAGAAAACCTTGCCCTTGTACGCATCTGCCTCAACGCATTAGCAGAGCAAAAAGTCAAGCGATTGGAGACGGCTAACCACAAATTCTACATTTGAATCTCTCCAGAGGCACGATCTTTTTGCGACTACGGCATGTTAGCAGCTTGAAGCCGAGGCTAGCAATCAACTCACTCGGCCGCAGTGCCATAGGGGGCCATTGTCTCTGTGGATGATTCAGAGCGTGAAGAGGATCGAAAGCGTGCAGAGTCAATGGTGGGAGAGTAGGTATAGATTGAGTGACTAGCTAGAATGCGACGCCGAAGTTCGATGTGTTGAAGGCGATAGGTCTCAAAAGTGATATGTTGGAGGTTGAAAAGCTTGAGAAAGAGAGTGGAGTTAAAGTTATAGACATGTCAAGCGAGCGCGAGGCAGCGCCGACCAAGAGAGTGAATATGTGAGTGAATTGGAAGGTGAATTGAACGGCAGAGAACAGTCTGGAAGAAATGACGAAGCTTCTGAAGAACTAAAGGTGAAGGTGACTTTGCTAGAACGGATTATGGATGTCTCAACACCTTGGCTATCTTGGTAGACACCACCATTTGCACGCCTGCAGCATCCATTCCCTCGCGACTGATTTCGATAGTAGCTAGATTAGAGAGTTCTGACTTCAGAAGGACCACATTTAGGTGAAGTTCAGCTATATGTTCTGTCGACAGTGGATTCGTTTTTCTCTTCCCCCTCGAAGCCCCTGATGCCTCACAACATACAATCTCTCACCCCCGCTGGCTGATCTACAGCACCTCTTCGCTCGCGTTATGAACTGAGGTCCTCCGAGTGCATTGATAGGAGTAGGGACTGAAGCTAGGCTTGCATGCTGCTTCTCCCACCTGAGCCATACTCCCCACTCGGGCGATTCAATGTTTCTCTGAAAAGCACCGCTTTAGTTTCTGCAATCCTTGGTTTGACCCGTACTGCAACGCATTGCACCAATTCAAAGGCAAAGAGCAAGGTACTAGTGATCATGAGGATACTGAGAACCCAGACCTGAGACGAGGAGTCATGATTTCCTTTCTTGAAGTCTGAAGAAATCGCTTCTTTCTAATTTTGAATGCCAGATTTCTGGATCACTCACTTGAGAGGAAATATTCTTTATTCTCATGCTTCATTGATTACAGTTTTGGATTCAAAGGGGTCGAGATGAGATGTGGTTGCCCCTTTCATGGCGATTGAAACAATTTCTGCGAGGCATCAATCTGAGGGATAGCGACATGTAGATAAAACAGCTTGACGAATCCTTCCAAGTGGACCAAGCATCAAGCACGACGGATCAGTTGACATGAACGCTCAGCTAAAGACTTCTTTGTTACTGTTGCGAGCCAAATGATGCTTCTGCAGCTCGTTGAGACATCGCCACCATTTCAACTCACCCCGAACTTTGTTGGCAATGGTGTACTATTATCAGCCCATGCAGGCACCATCCAATTCACGATCACGATCACGATCACGATCGCGGCCACAGTTTGTCGGTCAGCTAGTATGCACTGAATTCTCCGAGGGCTGTTGAACTCTTAACTTGGGATGAACAGCGGTGTGCTCTCTTTCTGTCCCGCAATTCCGACGCCTTGGGTGAGGGTGGGACACATCGACCCGATACCGATAGGCAAGGGTTTTGACTCATGCAGACGTTGGATTTATCCTTGTATTGCCGTCTAAAGCATAAGGTAATTGCCGAGGATTGTCAGGCACCAAAAACAGATCTACTTCATAGACAGCCATGTCAATCGAATTTCTTATGCATCATGCGCCCGAAAGGATATCTATCTCCTACAGTACGACTGAAGGCCCTCATGACTCCCATGGAAGCCTTTACTTTCGAGTACGGAGTACTTCGCACAGAAAGAGCCAGGCAGGCTAAACTATTGACCAGACCAGACCAGACCAGACCAGACCATAGACCAGACCAGATCCGCGGATGCGGAAGAGCTACCTAGGTACTTACCGTCCTACCTAGTGGCTAGGCTTACTAGCGGCAGGTACAGGAACCAAGTCAGTAAGCTAAAGCTAATTGGTAACGAAGGAGCATGGGGGTGTGGGTCCATATGAAAAAGGGGGGGCCGCAGCAGCGGCGCCATCCGCAGTGACAACCTCAGGTTGGGTTTGGTTGGCCCTGGTGGCCTGAAAGCATCGGGCGAGGTGAAAGGGTGAGAATGGTGGAAATACTCCGTAATTCGTGAGAAAACCGGATGTCCCTGTGCGTACGTAAGTAAAGGTGTCCAAAAGCATCAGGCCAAATAATATGAAGTAATTATTGAAACTGAAATCAAGATTCACAGTCATGCACGACCAAACATTTTGGAGCCAAAGCGAAAGCAGCATGGGCCTGCATTGACAGCAAAGCAGAGGGGCAACTTGTAATCGACGACTTTCTTTGCGCATTATTATTATCAACACGAAGCATGAACTCCGATTCATAGGGGACATCTACTTCGAACTTGGAAGTAGCATATATAATAGTAAGAAGCGTAAGGTTCCGCTTCTTGTGGGGAAGGGTAAAACACTATAGGACTTAAGCTCCTGATTATATGACTATTAAGGATCTATTTCAAGGAGTTGTAGGAAGTGCCATCCCCTGCCAGAAACGTCACAGCTCTTCTTCGAACAGTACGTACGGTACGGTACGATACGAGTAATTTACCGTAATAATCAGAAGCAATTAATACGAAAAGGAGGCCAATTACAACTAGCCACGAGGGACAAAAGAAGGCGTACTTAGGTAACGAATTAAAAATTGACTGCTAAGATAGCTTGCTTACTCGGTAGGCTGAACTGCAACTGCCTGGCTGCTGCTGTACCTTTTAGGGCATTGCCAGTCTGCCACAGCGTCCTCCCGTCCACTCCCACCGCCAACCGCCCCCAAGTTCTGCACCGCAAGAACCTCTTGAACCATCTCTCATCTGTCCCGCCAACCTCGAAACGCGCCAACAGCACCCTCTTTTGCAATTGAACAGCCCATCGCTCTCTGTCTCTGTCTCTCAATACCTACCTACCTTACCTTAATCTTCAAGGAATCGCAACTAAACTACCGACCTATCCAGGTGCTCAGTACTGTCTGAGAAACTTGTTGTACTGTAAGCACAACACATCATTCTCCGGTACAGCCGTTCCCCTATTCGTCCTCACGACCGATCGCCTTGAATCCAGTTACCAGTGTTCATAACTCTGACTACTACTACTACTGTACCGTACGGCGCGAAAAGCACTCCACGAATCCGCATCCTGAATAATGGTCTCATCTCATCATTTGAGATAGGCATCATTTGAATTTAAAATAACAGCCGTCTAATTTCGCTTCTTCATGCCCAAGTTCCACGCTTGGCACTATCCAGGTCCATAGGAATTATAGACTCCACTCCACGCTTCCCCCCCCCCCCCCCATCGCATTTACACCTCTTCAAGCAGCATCGCCTCGCCCTGACCCTCCACTCCGTATTACGCTACTGAACTGTATACCAAAACACGTCGCGGCTGGGTCTTCCGCTGGGCTCACTAGCAGACCCCGTCCGTCGTCCCGTCCCTCCCTCAGGCTCTCACCCCTTTCAACATCTTCAATTATCCAGTCGCGCGCCGCTCTTTCACAACAACCCCTTCACATCAACCTATCGAGGCCTCAATCGAAATCAACATACACGGTACCTCAATGCAACGGTGAATAGTCAAGCTCTTCAGAAGGGCTTCCCGAAGGCTAGGTACGTCAGTCGACGACTTCCTCGTGTTGTCGCGCCATTGGCTTACATTAGGTCCTTAGTATCGACGACGACGAACTGCCCATCGACATAACAAGAAATCCATTACGTACCCATCATGACAGTAGCATACGACTTGAACCATCGGAGTTCAACTCCTCAAATGGCCAGTAACACAGCATTAGAAGATCGGTTCGAAGTACTGAAGGATATTGGAGACGGCTCGTTTGGGAGTGTAGCTCTGGCAAGAGTGAGAGGTACATTAAACCTGAGCCCGTTTCTCTACTTCCAGAGAAAACCTTTGAAAGCCCGTACTAATTTTGTCGGACAGGTGCTGGCTCTAATGTTGCTCGACGAGGAACAGTGGTAAGTTCCCTTTATAAAGCTCACAAACGTCGCATTGGCTGACTCGAGATAACCTCAGATCGCCATCAAAACCATGAAAAAGCATTTCGAATCTTTCGCCCCATGTTTAGAGCTTCGAGAGGTTGTCTTCCTTCGAACCCTCCCCCCACACCAGCATCTCGTTCCAGCTTTAGACATTTTCCTCGACCCTTTTAGCAAGAAACTTCATATTTGTATGGAGTATATGGACGGCAATTTATATCAACTCATGAAGGCTCGAGATCACAAATGTCTAGACGTCGGTAGTGTCAAGAGCATATTGTTCCAAATCATGCAAGGCCTGGAGCATATTCATGCACACCATTTCTTCCATCGCGATATCAAGCCGGAAAATATCCTCGTCTCCACCTCGGCCCAACAAGAATCTGGGAACTCTTTCCGACGATATTCCGCCATGGTAACACCTCCCTCGACACCTCCGACTTATACGGTTAAGATCGCCGATTTTGGACTTGCCAGGGAAACACATTCGAAGTTGCCATACACGACTTACGTTTCGACAAGATGGTATCGTGCTCCTGAGGTTCTCCTACGCGCTGGAGAATACTCTGCGCCTGTGGACATTTGGGCCATCGGTGCCATGGCTGTGGAAATCGCGACTTTGAAACCCTTGTTCCCAGGAGGAAATGAAGTTGACCAAGTTTGGAGAGTCTGCGAGATCATGGGAAGCCCAGGGAATTGGTATAATAAGGCAGGCTCTAGAGTAGGAGGTGGAGATTGGAGAGAAGGAACTCGACTAGCTGGCAAGCTTGGATTCTCCTTCCCCAAGATGGCACCACATGCCATGGATACTATTATTCAACCCCCTCAATGGCCTGCCTCTCTCAGCAATTTTGTCACGTGGTGTTTGATGTGGGATCCCAAGGCCCGTCCAACGTCTACTGAGGCTCTTGCCCACGACTTTTTTACTGATGCGGTTGATCCATTACGACCCAAATCATCTGCATCGAGGATGCTAGGACGCAAGCACTCGGACTTGAGCTACCGCGGGTCGAAGGACTCCCCAGAGGTCTTGTCTTCGACCTCCAAGCCTTCATGGTTTAGAAAGTCTCTGATCGGCCGGACCGATAACACTTCTGCAGCCGCTCCAGCCGTTTCAAAAGAGAACGATGCGCCTCGGCCATCACCTGTGCACGCAGTTACTGACATACCTGTCTCCAAGACACGGCCGACTCCAGGCAAGAGAACAACATGGACCAACGGTCCTTCAAACTTAGCTCCTATGCCCATCTTACCTACAATTAAGCCGATCTCACCACTCTCGGATACTGTCACTGCTCAAGCAAGCAGCCGAACACCATCTTATAGTGATGCTTACGCCGCTGGTCAAAAACATGACGATAAGGTGGCAAAGAAGATTGGCCGTCAATTATCGGTTGCTTCTACAGGAAATCACTATGCCGATATCCACAGACAACAGGCAGAGATGGCTCTGAACGGCCAGTCCGGCTTGGCCTCCCCACCGAATGGACAAAAAGAGAGTTTCTTCTCGCATCTACGGAAACGAGCGAGAAGATTCTCTGGGCGTCAAGCCCAAACTCCAATCTCGCCAAAATCAATGGACCTCGAAGCTCAAGCTGGCTGTGGACCATGGGCAAGCAATAGATCATCGATGGTCATTGACAACCCAGCGCAATCGCCAAGTCCTGTGCAAAGGGTTGATACGCATGAGGCCTTGGATAAAGCTCTCCGTAACGTGCAACAAAATCTTGACTCGTCGCAAACCGCACCCATCCCCCCCAATCACTTAGTCAACCCGAACAGTGTTTTGAAACGTCACCATTCACTACCTCAACAGCCAGCTAGATCTGTTGATAATCTACGTGGCGTTGGGCCCATCTCAAGTAGGACCCGTCGATCTCATATCCCAGGGGGTCGCCAGTATGAGACTCCTGATGAAGAAGATGAATTGCTCGACGAGGCTTTGACATCAACACATAAGGCGATGAAACGGCTGGACCGGAATTCGATTCAGAATGATACTCGCCAGCCACTCCGTCAGTCGAGTAGCAACTTGGGATTATCGAATCCTTATCCCACCCCTTCGCCATCAGCTAGCGGCAACGCGGCCCTCTTCGGCCACGGGACCACACAAGTGACACCGTCTAAGGTTCGAGACAATCATAAGCAATCGTCAACTCCCCCATACGACCACGAGGAGAACGAGTGGGCCGTATCTGCAGCGGCGAGCATATTCGCTGTTGGCAATCGGTTTTAGAAGAGATGGGAATTCGCCCATCGAGTTTGTATATCATATGGAGGAAAAGTTCTTGCAGCATCTACATGGCACGGTGTTTCGGTGGATTTTGTCAGCATACACTTTCGCAACATTCTTTTTTTGCTATTATTGAATTACCTTGGTTTTGACCAGGCCAGCGTGTATATTTTTGGCGTTACGACATGTTCCTTTCGGAACTCTCATTTTCATTGCTTTTTGATTTCATACCCGCCAACAAACAGCGGCCATAGACAGGCTCTCGTGGTTTTTTATTTTTTGTCTTCAAAATACCCCCCTATAGACTGCACTATATAAGTTTGAGAGAGCGAGCAAAACTGCTTCACAGCGCGAATAAATTTTCATTTGTTTCGAATTGGACCTTCTGGATGCTTGGTCTAAACCAGCGAGGAACATACAATGCTTATATTTTTCCTAATAGCTTCATAGGCTTTGTTATCTGTACAATTCACAAGAGCCTGACAGGGAAATGGACTCGGGTCGGGATGGGGGTTTACAATAGGACGCAAAGATGTACCATTGTGTCTGTTTTTAATTTGGGAATATCAGGGTTTCAGCTGCCGTGCTGGCGCTGCTGGAATTGCGTAGCATCGTATCTTGAGATGTATTTAGATGGAGAAACGATGATTCAGATCACAACTATGGGTAGATTTTTCGATTACATGAGTTTACTATGTGCGCCCTTGTGATGTGACTTTGAAATTTACCTAGACACGAGGAAAAATTCTGCCTCCAAGTGGAATTATTGACGTGGGCGGTTCCAGACCACAGACCTGGTGGACCCATTGATTTGACATGCAAAGGTCATGTTTCTTGGAGCGTGCTTTGTCATTCCCTATTCCGGTAATTCTACCCCCGTTTTTCCTACCTTATGCTCAAAGAGTAGATATGGCAGGTGATTCGTTCTATTTGCTTCTTGCACCCAACACTTCTAGATCTCCACTCGGGTTCACATTCTTTACGCCAAACCAAGAGCCTGTCAGACGAGGCTTATCTCTGCTCAGGTTTATCTTTCAGCAACAGTCAACCCAACCAGAAGCAGCCATGGACACCAATGATGTCTCTGATATCTATCAGTACATCCAGCACTTCCATGCACAAAAGCAAACCCTGAAAGCTGCCGAAGCTCGTACAGTTGACGCCTTTAAGAAACCCACCCTTCCTTCCTCATTACATCCCCAGTCCACTCCTTCAACCTCTCTGCAAGCTTCTCATCCTTCGCCGCATCGCTCTGCCAGCGCGGCTCCCCAAACCGCCGGAAAATCTCGAGATACGTGCCGCTCTGCTCCGCCTTCATATCCTGACTCGCCACACAGAATAAACTATTCCACGATCCCTTATCGGCAGGCCACGTCAATCCAGACATGCGTACGACTGAGAAAACACTCTTTATACCCCACCCCGAGTCCACCGACGTGGCGAGGTTCGTCTTGACTATACCTGGATGCACACACGAAACCCAGATCTCACCGTCCCCGTTCTGCGCACTGGGAGAGCTGGGGCCGTATGTCTTGTGTAGGGTTTTGGTGTGCAGAATGTTGGCGAGCTTGCTCTGTCCGTACCGCGCCCACGGGCCGCTATCCTTGAGCGATAGGTCCTTGAAATTGATGCCGCATGTCGGTGCGCCCAAGTGGCCCGATGAAGTGATATTTACGATGCGCACGCTGCCGGGAGGAAGCGTCTTTGCGGTCCGCAGCATTAGAGGAAGCAGGTGCTCTGTCAAAACCCAGTGCGCGAGGTAGTTGGTCTGCCACTGAGCCTCATGGCCATCTCTGGTCATTTCGAAGGGTGTCGCCATGATGCCTGCGTTATTAACCAGGCCGTGCAGGGTTGTTTCGAGGGTGAGGAAGTGCTTGGTGGCCGCGACGATACTGGTGAGATCCATGAGGTCCATTTGCAGGAGGTCGATGTTGGCTAAAGGGTGCATTTTCTTGATGTTGGCGATGGCTGCTGTGCCCTTCTTTAGGGATCGAGCGCATATGTAAACGTGGGCGCCGTGTTCTGCTAGGTGGGCTACGGTGTAGTAGCCTCTGTAATTTGGTGAAATCAGCAATTGGGGCTTCGTGGTGAGATGGGAGAGGGGAGAGGGGAAAGGGGAGACTTACATGCCGGATGTTCCACCTGTGACTATGAATACTTTGCCCTTGAGATCGGGGAGAGTGTCAGGATGGAAAGTCATATTTGAAACGAGGGAGTACTTGAGTCAATGTATGAAGGTGTATTACTAAGAAACAGATATTTCAATGTCTTGGTTCAAGTTTTATGTTTTTGATGATACTGAAAAAGTGATCTTTGTATTGCTCTTTATAACATAACATCCAAGATACTACTTGCATCTTGGATGCTATTTCAAGCACCAGTGAGCAAGCTGCATGACCCTTGGACCAATCACATCACATCGCATTTGAACATATTGAAGAGATGGACCAACAGGAGAATTCCGAGTGGGCGAGTGAGCCAGCTGCATGAAGAGAAATCATGATATTGTGTTTATCAATCAGGTAGTGGATGTGTAATACTAGAACTCGTGATGCTAGCATAATGTGAGCAGGTTGCATGACGCTAGACCTTCTCAAGTTAGACACTATAATAGTAGCCAATGATATCGTACCTTTTCACCAACCCCTATCTGTCTGCGCCTCAACTGCAGAACAGTAGTTATATCAATTCCTCCGTTCTTGAGTGTCAGACTAGTTATTATGCGCAAGCTGTATAAACCGCCTTAGCCGGCTTGAGGAAACTTCCATCGTTCATCACCAGCTTCATCACGGTGGGAAGATCATGGCTGCAATTCCAGTGCCCACTAGCATCATGAATAGTACGTATCAGCCCTCAAATTCAACAGCACCAGGCATCCAACTCTCGTCAATGCCACAGCTGGCCGAGGTATGTACCAGGCCGCCTTCGAATCACCAAGACAACATATGTGACTTGCTCACTGCGTATAGGCCATAAGCAGGGAAGACGACTGGACTGGCACCAAGGATGCCGCAGCACGCAGACAGGCGCAGACTAGACTCAACACAAGGGCATACCGTAAGCAAGGTCTTGTCTTGTTTTCTCTTGTTTTCTCTTTCGTTCATATCAGGAGTCAGGACCAGTCCGATCAAGGGGTACCTAACTATCAAAACTAACAGTCTGGTAGGAAAACGCAAAGCCCTAGCAAAGAAGACCGAAGCATCCAGTGCCGCAACCAGAATACTGACCAAATCAGAAGTACTGGTGGAATGCTGGAACATTAAGCAGCAATCCATCTCCATAGTCCCAGCATCCCGTATTAAGCAACTATACAATTCGAGGAATCCCTTGTTAGATAACCCTAGAAAAGAGCAGTTTGATCTTGTCTTCCCCCTCTGTCCAGACCACCTCATTACACTCCTCCAATTCAACGCCCTCCGCGCGCTGGCCGTCAACCGCACTCTAATCTCAGGCATCCTCTTCACGCCGCTCGACTGTGATGAGGAAGTTATCCACGTCATCCCCTACCCTACCAAACCCGGACTACTTCCTTTAGCACTCCTGCCTACCACCCTTCAACAAACGGTGCCGCACGGCGACTGGATCGATATGTTCCCATGTCCCGAGGCACGAGACCGCCTGATCCGGGCCGCTGGCACCTTCAAAGAGGACGAGCTGTGGGCCGACTGCATCGGTGGACTATACGAGGGCTTTCCCGACAATGAGATCGCGCGACGCGGCATGATTGCGTGGTCGCCGCCCTGGGACATCACAGGGTGGGAGATGTCAGAAGGGTTTCTGAAGAAATGGGGGTACCTGTTTGAAGGGTTGTCGGGGCCTTTAGAGGCCACGAATCGGTGGCGGTTGGAGAGAGGCGAGGAGCCATTTGTCCATGATGACTGCACCTCACATGCAACTGTGTGACCTTTGTATTGTCCAGCTACTTCGTCATCGGCTGAGCTGAATGATTAAGCCATTGGAAGTTATCATGTGTTGGGGTATTTCGATTTCCGGTCGTATTACTCCAGTTGCTGGTCGGTGATCTACTATTCTTGCACTCCTTCGATAGTGAGTTCATTATAATCAAGGTCAGTCACATGATACTACTCTGATGGAGCCAAGTGGTTTTTTATCTTACTGTCCGGGGAGATGATGAGTGCCACTGCTGTGCTGTCCGTGACTGGCTTTTGACAAGGATGGTGTCCCTGTCGTCAAGAAATATATTCATTCTCGGGGAGCTTCCCAATGTTCAGCTGGCACTTAAAGATACTCGAAAGATGACAAGAGGAGGTTGGGTTGGACGAAATGTCCCGCAACGCATCAATTTACGCGATACGACACGTGACCCCCCCTTCTTTGGTTTGTTTACTTTTCCAAAATATGGATTACAAGCCTCGTGGCTACCGAGAGGTGACAAAGTGAATAGTACCGTAAGATGTACGAAAGCTTTTCCTTGTGGTACCATTCTCCACCTCCACCCACCATCAAAAGCATCATATTGAAAGAAGCAACCGCCTATTCTTCATCATCGTCTTCCTTTTCACTTAATACACGCGCAGCGAAAAGACGCTGACTCGGTGCTTGTATAGCCTCCACGAACCTGACCGGTGGGATCTGCCAATTCTCATTATGTCATAGCAAACGTCTACAGTACAATCCTAAAAAACAACAAAGGTATCCATAACTCCATAAACCATCTCAATTCATAATCTTCAAGCCGCCGCCGTAGCTGTTCTGTTCCCCCGTTCCGAGTTCCGCCCAGCTCCTGTCTTCTTTCCGGCACCAGGTCGAGCGAGAGTATACTTGGCAAAAGAACGAGCAAGTGCCTTCTTGCAGCTGACCTTCTGACTGCCGACGAAAGAGTCGATTGTTACCGCAATAGCACGATCGACATCTTGAGAAGAGACATAATCTGATAGACGCATTCTGCAGAATGCTTCACTGATACGCATGATAGCTTCAAGGTGACGGACCTGGGGAAGTGTTAGATATGTTAGGTCCTAAGAATAGGGGGGAACTTACAGTGATTGGATAAGCACCGGTGGCTAAGGACTCCCTCCTCATATCAGCGAAGAGCTTTGATATCTTCTCTTCATCGATGTTGTACAGCTTGGGGCTGCATCTCTCTCTTGCATATAGAATGTATTTCCGAAGCAACTCCTGCGGGATCTCTCCTTCCTGCTTCGGTTCACCACCATTGACAGCTCCAGCGCGGACCTCAGAATCATGCTCAACATCCATGCTGTTTTGATTTTCATCAATAGCTTGAGTAACTGGATGCGATCGACCGTGAGATCCGACAACGAATCTGGCCAGTCGCTCATCTTCCACTGGATCGACAGTATCCCGAACAACGCAGAGGATGTCAAAACGGGACAGAATAGGTTCAGTGAGCTCAACATTTTGGGAGAAAGGAATTGTTGAATTATAGCGACCGCCCATTGGATTTGCAGCGGCGATGATACCACAGCGAGCCTGCAAAGTTGTGACAATACCAGCCTTGGAAATGGAGATGGTCTGCTGTTCCATGGCCTCGTGGATGGAGGTCCTGTCTTGATCGTTCATCTTGTCAAACTCATCGATCAGGCAAGTACCCCGATCGGCAAGCACCAAAGCACCTCCTTCCAAAGTCCATTCGCTTGTCAAAGGGTCTTTGCGTACACTAGCAGTCAAACCGACAGCACTTGCACCTTGACCAGTGGCAAACACAGCGCGGTGGGCAGTCTTCTCCACATACTTGAGGACCTGCGATTTGGCAGTTCCAGGATCACCAAGCAGAAGAACGTTGATGTCTCCACGAATATGAAGCTTGCCCATTCTCTCCTTGGCTACACCTCCAAACAACGAGAGGGCAACGGCCGTCTTGATATCAGTGTGGCCGTAAATGCTAGGCGCCATCGAGTGGATGATCTTGTCAACAATCTGGGGATCGCGAGCAAGGGACCGAATCTGGTGCTCATCTTCCTCGGTAAGTCTGAAGCCAGCCAGCTGATCATGAGACTTTACGATATTGTTCGCTTCCAAAATCGTAGCAAAGACAGGGAAGCCGTTCTTGTTGTTCAGTTGAGCGTCGTAGTTGTTGCGGTACACACCAGTAACTTCGATCTCCTCTCCAGGCTTAGCTCTGTCAATAAGATCCCACAAGAGGATCACTTCACGGTGACGAGGAAGACGACCAGCTGGAACTGTGCCAGGTGATTCTTGTAGAGTGAGCTTCTGGTAGTTGCGGTAGACGGTCTTTTCTGAGTTCAGGTTGAACGGTCCGCGGGATTGACAGTTCTGGCAGTATGAGATCTTGACTTCAACGTTGGACTCCTGCTGGAAAGGGCCAAGTCGGGTGTGACATTTATTGCAATCAAACATGACATATTTCAATTGAGGGAATACCCCACTTCGGCGAGTAACGACTCCACTGACACGAACCAAGCAGTTCAAGTGGGTTTGACGCAATTGGCGGAGAGTATAGTGAACTGGCAAATCTGAAATGCGTACATGAATTTCGGAATGAATTCGCTCGTAATCTGGATAATGAAGAAGAGTAACTTCCATAGCAACTTCGTCGAATAATTTGAGCATCTCTCCAGGAGCATTTGCGAGGAAATAAGCCAGAATGGCTTTGGAGGAAGACAAATGATCATAAGAAACCTCCAAAGATTCAGCGTTGATTTCTCCGAGGGTTCGAATACGACTTCCGTAAACTGAAACTCCGTTGTCATCAGTGTACTCGGTCAAGAAGGCCTTGAACTCTCTCTTGATGGTTCTCTGGACAGCGTTTTGGGCAACCCACTCCACCAAACTTGATGCCTTGACATCTTGCAAGGTCTCGAGGGAAAGCTCTTCTTCCATAATGTCGTCTTGCATGTCTTCATCCTCATCTTCGTCGTAGTGATGACGGCGTCGACGAGGTTGTGCTGTAAGGTCCAGATCGCCATCTTCATCTTCATCTTGAAGGAAAGCTGCTGGCATGCGTCTTTGACGATCAAGTTCGCGGTCTCGGCGGTTCAGCCGCTGTTCGAGCTGTCGCCTCGAAGCAGCGTCAAGATCATCGTAGTCGCCTTCATCGTCGATATCTCTTGCATCGTATTGATCATCCTCACGAGTTTTATAGTCCTTCTCGAAATCGCCCCCAAAGAGATCGATTCCGTCTTCATCTTCGGCCATTTCGTCGGCATCGTCAATGTCGAGAGCAAGTTCTTCCTCCACATCATCATCATCCTCGACGCCGTGCTGAATAGGGTAGGCTGGAGGTGAGGATCGAATGTCTCCTGCTGGGCTGGATGCACCGAGTCCAGAAGGACCATCTTCGGGTTCTCTTGAACGCTTGCGACTCCTGCCACCCGTCGGCCCACGATTCGCGGAAGACATGTTGGGTCGTAAAGGAGAGCTGCATAATACTTCAGTCAATATGGATGGGGCTTTAAGGGGTGGTGGGGTTGACTTGGATTGTCAAATTTTTCTTACCTCATCGCGGCTACTTGATGTCTTGCCTTTTTGATCTTCAATGTTTGAAAGCTCCAGAGGTTCGAGGTGCTCTTTGTAAGTGTTGATGTGGGATGGGAATTGAGAATGAAAATGAAAATGAGGGTAGATTCTGGGCGCGTAAAGTCGCGTTGGACGTGTCAAGCTAAACCATATTGGGCGACGGACGTGTTAAGTGGTTTTTGTCGCGACCACCACATGTCGTAGGGTTCCAAGCTTCACATATGCTCCGTTCCATCTTCGACTCTAGACACCATGGATCCTCCACCAGTCCCCGGATCAAGCTTTACAGAACAACATAGCAGTCAAGCAACTGCTCCATCCCGAAGTCAAAGCTTCTCCCAGAAGTCAGACGAGTCCCACACAGCAGCTGAGTATGTTCCCTGCGGGGTTGCAGATTCATCATTATCAGAATCTGCACAAAATGTATACTAATGCCTCTGTAGATTTATCGATAGCCAACTTCAACTCGAAGCTGACGCGCGCGAAGCCTTACCCTATGTATTTCCATCGTTCCTCCGTTTCAGAGACAATGCTAATAGGACTACAGAAATTCGACAACTGCACAAAAACATTAGGTCCTCTCCGCCAAGTTCTTTTCTCCTGCCTAACGTGCAACCCTCCTCCGGAGAACCCTTCCGATCCATACAAACCAGCCGGCGTGTGTTACTCTTGCTCAATACAATGCCACGGCGAACATACATTGGTGGAGCTCTTCAATAAGAGAAACTTCACTTGTGACTGTGGAACAACGCGTCTGCCAGCGACCTCACCCTGCACTCTCCGCATAAATCCAGAAACCACTACAAGGGGCGGAGCTCACTCAGAGCTTCCAGACCCAAACAACAAATATAACCAGAACTTTAAGAATCGTTTCTGCGGATGTGAGTGTGACTATGATGCACATGCACAGAAGGGAACGATGTTTCAGTGTCTTGGGCTGGGTACGGCCGATGAGGGTGGATGTGGCGAAGACTGGTGGCATCCTGGATGTATCGTTGGAATGGGTCCGGAATGGTTTGAGCAAATGAATCGCACAACTACCCCAAGGAAGCCAAAAAATGAGGGCCTCCTAGAATCTATCACCGAAGTCGCGGAGGATGTTGTGGAGGGACATAGCGGAGAAGATGCAAACGGAACAGATAACCCTACGGAAACAGCACTCGAAGAGGATGACGACGACGATCCACCTCCGCCCCCAGGATTCCCTGAAGAAGACGATTTTGATGGCTTCATCTGCTACAAATGTGTTGATGCAAATCCATGGATCAAGCGATATGCAGACACGAAAGGCTTCTTGGGTCCTGTGTTCAGACGAAGCACGGCACCATCCCCAGAAAGAGGGCTGTTAGCGAAGGTGGAAGAAGCTGTATCCTCGAGTATCCTCAGCTCTAAGAAACGCAAAGCTGATGATGACGACGAATCTCAAACGTCTGGGCCATCAAAGCGGTTGAAGGATGAGAGTTCGAATGCTGCTGCGAAAACTACATCTACGGAGACATCAGAAGCTTTGGATAAGCCCGCAATCGAAACATCACCCTGCAAATACAAAGCACTCCCACCCGCGCCAACAGGCCAATTCTCACTATTCTTCAAATCCGATTTCCGAGATCACCTCTGTCACTGCTCAGACTGCTTCCCCAATATCAAAAGGCACAATCAGCTTCTTGAGGAAGAAGAAATCTACGAGCCTGAGATGTCGGAGAGCGGAGGTGAAGATGCAGCTAGCACAGTTGGAAGTGGCAGTATCTACGATCGTGGCGAGAGCGCTCTGAAGAACGTAGATCGCGTCAAGGCAATCGAGGGCGTCATGGCCTACAATCACCTGAAAGACCAGCTAACGCCTTTCTTCAAGCAGTTTGCGGAGAGTGGGAAGGCAATTGGTGCGGAGGATATCAAGGCTCACTTTGCTAAGATGAGAGGAGATGCGGATGCTATCAAGGCTGCGGGCGAGGATGCGAAATCTACTGATAATAGGAAAGAACAGAGTGGATTTTGAGAAGACGTTGTAACATGATATGGAGTTGGCATGAAAGTTTGTAGGATATTTGTATACAAGATAGGGGCACTTGGGGCGAACAGGTGATCACTTGGCGGCCCTCAATGACACGGCACTTTCACATACCTCTTTTTGCAATATCACTTTAACTAGCAAGCGAGTGAGTATTCGCCTACCATTGCAGAAAAATGTTTTGGTTTCCTTGTCCTGAATTTCCAGCCTCGTCCCTTTCCCCATGCACGAAAACTAACCTCATTTGTCGTTGCACAAGAATCTCGATTTGTGTGGCGTCCCGGGTCACGGCCCGAGCAAACCGTCAACGAACTCCACAACTGCATGAGATCCGCAACATTGCATCGCCTTTGAGTTGTCATCAGCGGGACAACATCAAGCTTGGTATAAAGAGTTGATCATATATGCATAGGGTGATGACCCGATGCAGGACGAAACTCGTGGCCTCCGATGAAAGGTCTGGGTCAGAATATGGCCGTGGGGGGAGTTAATGATGCGATTGGACACGATCGAGACAAAGTATTGCATTTCGGTAGGTAGGGAGCTGAATTATTGCTCTTTTTGGTTGGCAATCATGCTCGCTAGGGAAAGAAGAAACGGCTCCACATTCTCAATGTATCAAGCGAAGCAAGATTCTAAAAGTCAAGGATAATGAAAATGCCGCTTTTTATGTCTAGGACGAGCTATGAAAACTTCAGGTCATTGCCATGTTTCCTTTCAGAATCTAAGTCCTTCTAGATACCATTCCACCAACTTGTCTTCTCCACGGTGAAAGTCTCCTTCAGAGGGACCTCCTTGCTCGTAGTCCCAACCAGCACCGCATACTCATCTTTCTCCATCACCCAAGCATTTCTAACCTCGTCCCAAAAGCTCGCCGCATACTTGACTTCAATTGGAACTTTCACAGCTTTGCTCTCTCCTTTTCCCAACCACACTTTCCTGAAGCCCTTCAATTCCTTCACTGGGCGCTTGATGCTGGGGCTCTTCTGCGCAACATAGACTTGTACCACTTCCGCGCCTGATACATCGCCGGTGTTGGTAACCTTGACGGTAACGTTGAGATCCTTGTCCGTCTTCTCGACCTCCAAGTCGGATACAGAGAAGGTTGTGTAAGAGAGTCCATGACCGAACGGGAATAGAGCAGGCAGGTCGAGCATCTCATACCACCTGTATCCCACATAGACGTCTTCGCCGTAGAGCGTCCGTCCCTTCTCCGTTCTGTAGTTCAAGAATGCAGGGTTATCTTGTAAACGGACTGGGAAGCTGAGCGGGAGTTTGGCGCTCGGATTAACGTTTCCGAACAAGATGTCGGCCATGGCGTTACCGGTCTCGTTGCCGCCATACCATGCATGAATCATGGCTTTAATGGAGGAAGCCCAGGGCATGGAGACGGGGGTCCCGGATTGCATTACTACAACTGTAGAAGGGTTGGCTGCGGCGACGGCCGTGACAAGGTCGTTCATCTTGCCGGGAAGGTCCATGTTTTCTCTGTCTGCGCCTTCGCCTTCCCAATCGGCCTATAAAAGAGACAACTTAGCTACAGATAAAAATGTCACAGGAAGGGCAGACTTACATTAAGACCGGCACAGATGATCACTTGATCAGCTTCCTTTGCCAGAGTAGCTGCGTGCTTGATTTCTTCCTCTGCGTTGATGACTTTCGCGCCACCGAGTCTCACCGCACCCTGTCCGAAAAGTAAAGAGCTTCCAGGATCCAATTTGCTTGAAGGCGCGCTGCCGAATTCAACCTTGATATGGTACTTTTCTCCTTTCTTCATAGGCAAAATACCCTTCTCTTCAGTAGTCCCACAGTTGAAAAACATTGTTCCTTTCGTCTGCGTCGTCTCATCGTCAATAAGTAACTTGTCGTTAACAAACAGCTTAGCCGTTCCAAAACAACCTAGACCAAACTCAAAGTCACAATCTTCTTCGGCGGTAAGATAGCCTTCGATATCAGCCCACCACATGGGGCTCTTGAATCTCGAGCATTCATAGTCCATCATCAATAACTCAGTCTTGGTTAGGAGAAGCTCATCAGCGATCTCGCGGTTCTTGACTGACGGTGGCTCATTGTAGGCTCGGAATGATACACCTGGTTCTCCTTTGTCGGTCTTGAGAATGCTGCCGATGAGTGGCAACTCCTTGTGGGCGTAGCAGCCAACTGTATATTCGGGCGGTGAGGTCAGCTGGGCACTGATACCCTCAAATGGTGTGACAGCATAGTAGGCTCGAAGTGCTGCTGAGCCACCTCCGTGATAAGCTGAAATTTTAGCATTGGGGCCAATAACAAGAGTCTTTGCAAAGTTAGTAGCCGTATTTTAGGTATTAGGAGAACACTTACCTTCTTCTCTTTGGACAGAGGTAGTACTTTGTCGTCATTCTTCATCAAGACAATAGAATCAGCACCAATTTTCCTTAGTAGAGCGGCTGTTTCCGGCGTATCCGCAGTCTTTTCTTCCGCATTTTCAGGGATATTGGCAATAGCACAACGGTTTATGAGATTCAAAACGTTTCGAACCCGCTCGTCAAGAATGTGCTGTGGTACTTTGTTGACACCAACGGCCTGAACCAGCGTCTCGCCTCGCCATTTTGTGGCTCCTGGCATTTCTAGATCAAGACCTGCTTTGATTGACCCGGATGTTGAATATGTTCCCCACCTGAAAATTGTTAATAAAATTCATCTTAAGCTGGTGGGACATTGGGGTTTTACCAATCGCTCATTACACAACCATCGAAGCCCCACTCCTCTCTGAGAATAGTCTGGAGGATCTTGGGATTCTCACTGACATGGAGACCATTGATTTTGTTGTAAGCAGTCTATGTTTTAGAGTCAGTTCGGTCGATAAAACAAAAATCAGAACACTTGGGGGTATGACTTGAAAGTAATCATTGTTCATGTAAAGGGAGAAAGTGGATTTTAGCGGGGCAAAAGGGGTAAAGGGAAAAGAAGAGACAAACCATGAAACATCCAGGCTTGGAGTCTCTGATGACCAACTGAAATGGCAAGCAGTAAATCTCTCTCAATGCCCTATCTGTAATGATAGCATCCGTCCCATTCCGGTCATGCTCTTGGTCATTACAGACAAAATGCTTGATGGTAGCAATAATGTCATCATCTTGAATACCATTGACTAAGGCAGCAGCACCAAGACCCGCGAGAACAGGATCTTCGCTAATACTTTCGAAGCCTCTGCCTCCTAGAGGAGAACGCTGCATGTTGATAGTAGGACCTAAAATCACGTGGGTCCCTTTAGCCCTGGCTTCATGGGCCATCACATTGCCTGCTTTGCGGAGGAGTTCGATATCCCAAGTTGCTCCGAGAGCGGTACCGCAAGGGAAGCACGCAGCTGGAGTAGCTGGAAGCAAAGTCAGTAAAAGCTCATTTAGAGTGTCTCTTGACTTGTCCAAGGTAGCTTTGTGCCCAGGCAATTACCTCATACCAGTGTGAGTGAATGTACTATCTGTACTTACCATTGAAGAAAGTGGTGCCTCGTACACCATTCGGTCCGTCCGATACTCTGATTTTAGGGACACCATGCTTGGGTAGAGGAACTGTCAAGAAGTCAATACCCTAGAGCTAAAGGCTTTGGTCGAGCTTCCTCGATCGAAAGAGCTATTTAGAGATGCAATTATCCTTACCAGTATGCCACCAGTCGGATCCTGAGAGGTATTAGCAATTACAAAATGTAGGAACTGAATGAAATCGAACCTGCTAGTAGGGCAACCTTTTCCACATTGTTGAGCTTGACGAGCAAAGCTTCCACGTCAACCGTTGCTGTCATTTTGAGAAGTGTTCGGTTGGATTGCAAGGAGATATAAAATAAAAGAAGTCACTGAGAACGCACATGTGAGGGGAAGAAAACAGGCAAGATATGTAGCTCCCCGAGATGGGGGCCCGCGCGGGACAAGCATCTCTTGCATGGAGATAGTTTCCATGAATACCTTGCTTATTCGCTGGCTGAGGTTCTTGTGACGGATAATGCGAGGAGGAACGTTTGCCGGTGGATAAACTGGAAATCAATAAAAGAGAAAGCTGGTCATTGGCCGAACTAAGATAGTGGGGGCACGACAGACCGGTCAATCTTCGGTTGAACCAAGTTGTAACTACAATAGGTTGGAGGGTTCCCATGTGTCTTGGTATCTGTAATATGGAGAAGTCAATTAAGTGGAGGAATTGTGGCAACATAAGCTTGATGCAGAGAGCCCCAGGCAGTTGAAGCCGGTACTGGAGATATCTCGAATGAAGCTAAACATAGCTTCTACCTCTTCCCCTGAAGCTTGCAAGCTGCTCAGCATACAAGGCTACTAAGTTTACGGCACTAATGAAAGAGTCCATTTAACAGAGCTGTCCAACGCCAAAGTAAAGCAGCTATGCGTAGGTGTATTGGTGGAAATGGCTGAGGGCTTTGCACTATCCATATTGAGATCTTCAGGTATTGGTTAGCAACCCCATATATTCCTTTCTTAGTGTTCAGAGCCCTCTGTTCTTCACTGCCACAATGGGCGTCTGAAAGACAAAGTTCAGTTCATTACTCACGTGACTGGCCCCCTCCCATCTCTTGGAGGGGGTCCTATTCCTAGGGATTCATCTCTTTCCTACAATCTACTTTGAGGTCAACGTTGAGAGACACCTTGAGAATCCTCGTGCAGAAAAGAGTAGGTATGTCAAAAGGGAAATCTTGCAAAAGAAAATGGCAAAAACATACAACAGTAGGTATTCGCTGGTGGTCACCCACCCAACTACTAATCTACCGCTTTGGATCTTGAGTATGGCAGAGCGGACGGGATGCCCTATATCTTCCAAGCTATGGTCGTATGTGTCAGCCCTTTTCCTTATTTCACATTATACCATTAATGTGATCAGAGTCAGAGGTAAGGTAAGGTAAGTCTCGAAACCAAACCTCGCAACTCGCAACTCGCGACTCGCAATGAGGGACTTGCGTATTCTTAATTACTGGAACCAAGAAGGGCGATGAGAGCCGGTGTCAATAGTGTATAGCTTCATTCGGCAATTGTCGAATAATGTGTGGGAAGAGCAGTCAGTCCATACTGAAACCCCCGAAGAAATTCTACGTGGCGGCTGCACTGCCTAGCTCAACACTTCTTTATTGATTGTATATTATTTGACTGTATGTTTGGGACTGTATGTTTGGTCAGCAGATTGAGACAAAAGCAACAGACAATGACGAACATTTTGGATGCGCGCGAGAATGGCACACAAGACGATTTGATTAGAGTACCTAAGAGTGTTCTCGAAGAGACTTCTCGGACGCTCTAACTTTCAACTTCGAAATCCGCGTGAAGGCAATACTGGAGCAGAGAAAAAAGACAAATGAATAGGTCCGGATAAGCAAGTTATGAAGAAAAAACGAATGAATTGACTAGATCAACTTCCTCAGAACGGAGGTAAACAATATGCTCTAAACCGACCTTGTCGAACTTGGTCCAATTGCTCCATGCTTTTTAAATCCACACCAACCAGCTTTTACATAACGATGTCGTGGACTCTGGGGTATCATTGAAAACAGCCTACGCCTTCTCCCCCCTCGCCACTGCCTTCTCAGCCTTCACGCTCGCCTTTTTCTCATCCCTCTCCTTCCTCTCAGCCCTCCATCGCGGCCCATACCTGATAACCACAAACAACATCGGACTCAAGAGCACATATATCAAAGCAATTAGTGTATAACTCCACCCCAACCCCATCGCGCGCGTCATCGGCAGAATCAGCGCCGTCGCCCCAGCCCCAAGCAAACACCTAATCAAGTTAAACGCTGCCGTTGCCGTACCCGCAATACTCGGATTGATATCTACAATGAGAATAGAGATCGTCTGCGTAGCTGCAATAAGCGTATACCCCTGAAAGAATAGGATTATGCAAGGTCCAGCAAGATGAACGCGGAAATGCAGGATCCAACCATAAATAATAGTGCAAATGCATGCGAGGAACAGCATGGGTATAGCGACCTGCAATCTAGCCTTCTCAACAGGAAAATGACTTAGATCCTGCTGTCTGCTCTTCGTGACCTTGATCCCCACCCGTCTCCCCTCGCGGAACCAACTCCAGTCGATGATTTTTCCTTGGACGAATGCTGCGAGTAGTGAGCCTCCGGCTATGGGCAAATACATGAGCCCGACTTTCAGGTCATTGAAACCGTAGATGTCTTTGAATTGTGAGGGCATGCCGGATATTACGGCATAGAAGCCCGCATATACAACCCCCGCATAGAACAACACCAAAAACCCCTCCTTCTCAAACGCAACGACCAGCGTCTCGAGTGGATTCGGGAACCTCACCTTTCCACGCTTCTTGGCTAGCTCATCTCTCTTGCTATAATCTGGCTTTCCAAGCCCGGCCTTGACGCGCTTCCGCTCATTAATGACATTCATGTAAGAGCGGTTCCAAGCCGGGGGAGGCACCGTGCCGTCGTCGACGATGAGGCGGCAGGTCTCCGGCATGAAGAGGAGCATGGGGATGAAAAATACGGCGGCTAGGATGGCGAGGAACCAGAAGATCCATTGCCAGCCTGCGTATTGCGAGATGATGCCGCCGAGGATGGGCCCGAGGGAGGGGGCGAGGATGCCGGTTAGGGAGGTTATGCCGATGTACATACCGCGTTCGGCGGAGGTGGCGACATCGGCTACTATGGCGTTTGCGAGCGCGACTGTCCCGCTACTGCCGCCACTTTGGACCTTGATGGTTGTTAGTTTTAAAGATCGAAGGAGGGGGGTGAAAGCACCCACCATACGGAGGATCAGTAGAGCGACGTAGTTGTTTTGCAATGCAAGGGCAATATCCGCCGCAATGTATATAACAAAACAGATAATATATGCCGGCCTCCTACCCGCCGTGTCTGAGAACCCGCCAATAAATGCTGGGGCTATGGCTTGCAGAATCTAAAAGTTGTTCAGTCAGCACCCAAGTTCACTGATCGGCCCAAGGGAAATAGACAGCGTACCATGTAAGTAGTCATAGTCAAGTTAATCTTACTCGAGCTAACATGCAAGTCCTTGGCCAGAGTATTCAGCGCAGGAAAGTAGATCTATCAAGGGGTTAGTTACTTCTTTGAGCCAGAGCCGAGAAGATAAAAACTCTTCGGTAACGAAAATCAAGTGAAGGGACAAAATAATGAGTTGGTTACCTGGGCAGTAAAAGGAGAAAAGAAAGCACCCATGGTGGCAGTCAATACTATGAAACGCTTTTCCCATAGTGTGTAGGAACTATAGGGTTTTTCTGATGCGGATGTATCTTGACGGGTGAGAGGGTCTGCTGGTGGGAGACCGGTCGAGCTTTCGGTGACGGCAGTGTTGTCTTTAGGAGGAGATCCATGTTCGGAGCTGGAGGGAGTGATTTCTTGGGGGAGGGGAGAATCTGGACCGCGGATCGCAGATACTTCGTCGTTTTTCCACTTTGCCTCGCTTGGTCCAGGGGTTCTTGTACCGACTTGCTCGTGCTCTTTGGTGTCATCACGTGCCACGTCAGCAGACGCGTCATGCCCCTTGTTCAGCTCCATTCTTCTCTATCTGAGAAAAGAGAGCTGCAATATTGAGTGTTCTGGACGTGATGGTCAAAAAAAGATAATAGCATTCCAAGGTCTAGAGTACACATAGCTTTATTCGTCTTCTATAAATTGAAGACGGAGCGTGATCGGCAAAGAATTTGGAGATAAGGTTGTATCTCCGGGGATATGGTATTGTGGATTCTTCAATCACCGCCTTCAATGAAGACAATATATTGCAATGGTTGCCTTAAGGAAATGAACCTGTGGATTGCAGAAGTGATGCCTGGTAGTGACTCATCTCAACTTACGCTTGACATACAAGTAGCTTTCATCCAAAGCTCAACGCAGAAGACAGTATCGTACCTGATTGAAGACTAAGACACGAATGATATCAGACATAATAAACTTGATTGTTACAGTCCGAAAACCTTGCATTTTCGTATGGCAAGATATCTGCGTATGCCCATTACATTCTTCGGAAATCATCAATGCTTCATGTCGAAATCAAACAACCAATTTGTCCAAGATCATCCTAACACCTACTCCCTTACCAGCACCACCGTCCAGTTCATCTAGTTGCACTTTTGCCCTCTCCATGAGTGTGCTAAGAACTTTCCTGCAGTATTCTAAACTGCCAGTACTCTCCATATACTGCACCGCGTATCTCTTCACTTGCTCATCTTCCGTCTTCTGCTTCAGAATATTCAACAGCTGCATGTTCTCTGGTTTTGCTCTGATGCTGTGGATGATGGGGAACGAGAATTTGCCTTCAGTCAAATCTTCACACATGCCTTTGTTGACTGAATATTCGGGTGAGGAGATGTTCTGGTAGTCGTCTCGGATTTGGAAGATGATGCCCATGAGGTTGACAAGAGGAACGCAATCCCTTTGACTTATTAGTTAGATGTTGGAAAGTATGGGCTGGTACATACTTGAGGCTCTTGCTTTCAGCTTGCATTAACTTGATCGCTAATCTAAAAAGACCACCGGTCTTATTACCAACCATTTCCAGATAATCGTCCTCGGTAGGACAAGTCAACGTATCCCTCCAGAACAGATCCATTCCTTGACCACGATGCAGATTCAACAACTCCTCGGTATAGATGTTGATTGCTTCCGGATTGTTCAACTTGGTAAGTTCCTGGAGAGCTACAAAGTATACATAATTGGCCGAATTGATTGCTTGGGCAGTTCCAAAAATGCTGTGCGCAACTGGAAGCCCGCGCCGTAGCACTGAAGAATCTTCGACGTCGTCTACCAGCAGCGAAGCAGTATGTAGCATTCCCACAACATTTTTGATAACCTCCAAACTCTCTAGTGGTACTTCCAACCATTCGTTAAACGCGGCGATCAGCTGCGATCTAATATTCTTTCCTGGCTGGGCCATCAAATATTCGTAGGGCCCCATCAAGATCTGGTCCTTCTGTGGAGACCAACTGCTCTTTCCGGTAAACGCCATGTCGCTCTTGTTGTATCTATCAGGATCCGGAGGAGATCCACCAGCGTGTTGTATAGATGGATTTATAGAGTTTGGGTTTGCGCCAGAGTACTTCCTCTGGCTTATCCAATCACCTTCAGCAACGGGTTTCAAGACTGCCTTAGGAGGGGTGTGGTTTAGGCCATTGTGTCCCGTCGAGGAAGTCCGTGGTGGGATGACGTTTGGTGATCGAAATTGATCCATTATTGTCAAGGGTCCTCGGTGAGAGAGGTTGCGCTGGGGCATATGTATCCTCCTCCCATCCACCTCCGTTGCAGGATTGATCGAAGGGTCAGCGCCAGGCTGCAGTTTTGGCTGCAAGCAAGCGGCGAAGGCACCAGATACAGCAGTCAGATTTGAAGACGCGGCTCCACCGTTCTTAACGCTTGATCGCGGGGTTTGCAAGAAAGCAAGCGAAGCGGGGCAAAGGCTTGAGAGTGGGACGAGTCTATAATTGTCGTGAAAGGTGGCTGGTCAGGTCGGTGGTGTACCTCGACTAGCTTAATGGCGATGTTTGTACGTAGCCCTACTGCCACGGACTATTCGCCAGGAGAGGTAAGTGAGTGAGTGATTCATGGCGAGTTTAGAGGTCTCGATCTTGACAGAAATCTAGCCTCCATAAATCAAGAGTTACTGTACCTTAGGACCCGTCACAAGTGTTACTTGGTTTGGCGAATTTCAAGTAGTTTGCGTTGTACGGTAGATCAAGCTACCCGTCGACCAGCTCACCGTCAAGAAGCTAGATAAAGGGACTGTTTCTTAAACTCATGCTGTCAGCTCCTTCACATGCAAAGGGAGGGGGCAGCTGACAGTTTGACAGGCATCATGCATACTTTCCTCGGATACAAGACCAGTCTTCTCGATGTTGAGCTCGCATTCATGCGATTTGTGTAAGATGTAAGATGATGTTGGAGTATTGACTCGTTAAAGTTTCGTTAAATGTCTCATCATTTGGCGGGGTCACACGTACAGTAGGGATAACGGGGGTGAGATAAGATAGTAATGCGATCTTTGTTTTTGAAGCGGATATACTTTATCCAAAGAGTAATAAGGTAGGTTGGCAGCATCCTCATATCTACAATATTCTTGTACTGTACTGTACTGTAATCAAAAGCCCACGCACGCATTCTGCGCAAAGCTGTTACAGTATCTGCGCATGCTTTGCTTTGCTTATCGCATCTTATCTGCAGGTCCCCCCGGATTTGCTTTCTGCCACTTTTCATTCACCGCCTTCTTAACTAGGCCCTAGCAGCCTCGGTTGTCATCGTCGTTGCCATGCCATCTTGATAGCTAAAAACTGGCTATAATGGAGGCATTATGAGGACCAAGCTTCACGTCAGGCAAACAAAACAAAACAACTAAACTCTTCATTTCGCCTTTCTTGTATTAACATTTGCTCGGCGTATTCTTCTCATTTCCTCAGGCGTTGCGAACTGGCCGGTATCATTTTTCCAATCGCAATCGCAGTCCCAACATCCAAAACAAAACAAAAACAAAACAATAAAAAGCCATGGAAGCACTACTCTCCCTCTCCTTCGATAACCTCTCCTCCTACGACCAGGGAAAGATCCGCAAGGGACTACGCCAAATCGATGGTCTCCTCGCAGAGGTCTGCCTTTCGTCGGCCTCGCCGAAATCCGCTGCTGAGAAGCGTCGTTCTGTTATCGATCCGGGCAAAGAACCACCGCCATTGAAAAAGCTGGGTGAGCTGGGTAGCGATCCGGCTTTCAGAGAATTCTTCAAGCTGCAGGATGGTTTTGAGTGGAATGTGGCTACGCGATTGATCAATTGTTTGGACAGGTTGTTGGGCAAGTCGAACGATGGACAGAATGATCTATTGATTATCCAGACGCTCGACCTGCTCCAGGGAATTATGCTATTACATCCGCCATCGCGGAATCTATTCTCGACAGAATCGCATATGAATGTATATTTTCCTCTGTGTGCCATTATATGATTAGCATAGCTGACTTGCGCAAATAGCAACTCCTCGATCTCCTAGAACCAATGTGGTGTCCAGCAATCCAGTCTACAACAATCATCACCCTCGTCTGCGCCCTCGTTGATACCCCTCAAAATACCCGGACATTTGAAAACCTCGAAGGTCTACTTGCAATTACATCAGCCTTCAAATCGCGCGAGACCACGCGAGAAGTCAAGATGAAGCTTGTCGAATTCCTATACTTCTACCTCATGCCCGAAACACCCTCTATACCCTCGGCAAACGGTACCCTATCCGTTCCCTCCATGCTGCAGCGAAGTCCAAGTAAGCTGGCCGGAGCTTTTGGCCGACTGGACACTGCTGCAAGGAAGCGTGCAGATAGTGAGAGTGGAAATACGAAGAGTACGGCGGAGAAACAAGAGCTTCTGGGCAGGTTTTTGGATGGTGTGAATGACCTGGTAGCGGATTTGCAAGAAGGACATGCATTTGGAGGTGAAGTGTAATGTTATTTCATTTTGTTTGATGGTATAGACGGAGTTTGCTTTTGGTCGCGACTGGGGCGTTGGATGCATCTGCATTTGTATGGTATGGAAAATGGTCGATTAATTGAGGATATGGAGGCTGTTTTTGTAATATTCGGATCAAGGCGTTATCCAATGGCCTTTGTCAGGGGCTTAATTAGGATTGAGCATTATCAAGGCAATTCTATTGCAGGATTTGAAGGTCCTTCTTTTTTCTGGTAATTAAAGACTCCAGATGTGGTGACGTTAGATTGACTTCTCGAATCAATCTCAACTGGAGCCGCTATATCGTTCGGGCTTTGGGGTAATGTCGGTACACCCCTATTAGATCCGGGGCTCATTGCGGCTGAGTGTTGATCTTCGGTGAAAGGACCCGATTCCGCAGCCGGTCCAAAGTAATCCGAGGGTTGACCTCGACCAGGAGATGGCCTCCTTACTGGCCCTCCATTCATTCCACCGGAACTTTGAGACATAGCAGGAGGACCAAAAGCCCCCTCACTCTGTCTGGCGCGGTGTCGGTGAACCAGGAAGAACCACATCACAGTTGATATGATAAGTAGAGCACCAAGCGAGACTCCAACTCCAATGCCTGCCTTTGCTCCAGTAGAAAGCCCTTTACCCTCAGACGGCTTGGGCACTGCAGTAGCTATCAAACCGCCCGAGCCCGTCCTCGTAAGCATCGCCGACCCAGTAGCAGAGCAGAAATTCCCAGTCCCAGAAGTAACACATTGCTGTCCCAGGCCACAACATCCTCCCCCCAGGGAACTCGCGCACGAAAACTGGTTCGCAGCTGAGCATCCGCTGGGAATTGTACTTACACTTACAACGGGATCACTGGTAGGTGCCGCGGTAGACACACATTGGTTCGCGCCGGTCTGGCACATCCACCCGTAAGGACAGCATCCTCCGCCCAGCGACGAAGCGCACGGGAACTGGCTCGTACCAGTACACTTTCGTGGACAGCACGCTTGTGTTGGCGTCGCCGTTCCGCTATTCGTGACCGTCGTGGTGCATATATAAGCTGATGACCCGCACTCGATACCGCAGTTCGATCCAATGGCGCAACATCCAACGCTGCCCGTTGTGTTTATGATGCAGTATTGCGAGTTCGGGCAGCAGGCGTCGGTTTGGTTCACTTCCACGCCTAAACAGTGTCAGTCGCATGCTTAATCTCAGATGAAAAAGGACGAGTCACAATTGTGCGAATTAGCTTGAGCACATTGCCCAGCGTCTCTCCCTTCCAGTCCTCCTAGATACTGCCGTGGACCGAGCCCAGCAGGCATGTCCATTGCTCCATATTGCGCAAATGCCGTGTTCAGCAGCGAGAATGCGATCGCTACCAGTAGAAAGTGTCGTGCAGGCATTTTGATCGAGGATCTATTCCAAGCAGCTTTGCTCTACGGGTATTGGGACATCTGCTCCTTTTACAAAAGCGCGATTGATAATTCCAAAAAAGGTATCGATGAATGACTGAACAAAGGAAAGGAAGTAAAATCGCACAAGGGCAACAGCTTGCTAAGCTACACACCACCCCACCACAACTCCTTTGTATGCACAGTAATTGCAAATGCATCGCGGAAAGAAGAGAAAGGTGTGGCTCCTTGCATCCTTGCCAGCTCTTCTCAGCTTACGAGAAGCCGCACGAGTTCCCGATTCGTGGAGCTTCATGGATAAAGGAAGGGAAAAGTGTCTAGCTCTGCAAATCTCCTGCAGAGGCTGAGGCTGCATCCTCTGATCCCACCATCGTGGTTCTTTGTCAGTTGCTGTTTTTGGACAGCCCGCATGGACATGCTCGGAGAGGTGTGGTTTTGATGAAGCTCCAATTGGCGGGTGCTCGTCGGAAAAGAATATTCTGGCGATCCGTTATGCGAGATGCGGCAAGGGGTCTTCTTGGCTTAAGATCACCGGATGATTCTAGATTTGTTTTCCGAGTTGATTACTTCTCTTTGTACTCTATTCTGATGTTGTAAATCAGGGTTTGAAAAGTGGTTGGTCGTACTGCATAATAATTGGTCCTTCCTTCGCTCGAAAGTAGCTTATAACCCTAGTACAGTATAAGCCTCTAGAATAGCAGGACTAAACCAATCTTAAAGTGAGACTTCTCAAGTTCTCAATTAGAGCCCTGTCTCTTTCTACTAGACTATACTTGCGTAAGCCGCGAGTAGGTTTGAGAGGAGACCGCCTGGATTATTGAGTAGGCATTGGCCGCTTGAAACTATTAAAGTGATAAAAGAGGATGTAGTTCGTAAGTTCGTTGCTTTTATTTCTCTATCTATAGGTCCACTTTTTGCCCCTGTTCTTCACATAATATCTCCCAGAATACTCTTCAAATTCTCCTGAACACCCACCTTCTGAACACTCGTCCCATTCTGCCATCCCTCTTCAAAATCCAGCAGCCTCTTACTCAACACCGTAGCATTGTAATTTACAAACGGCACCTCAGTCAAATACTGCCCAAAGATCTCCCACCGCGGTATATAATAACCACTGACCAACCCTCCCCAGCTCTTCGATGCGTAATCATTGATCTCCCCATTTGGACCCCACAGCGTGATCTGATTGCGAGCATTATATTCGTAGAAAGACTGTAATGTGGTATTGTCGGTTTGGGAGCGCGCGGCGTTGATCCATGTAGAGAGGGAAAAAGAGGGGTTCGTTAGCAGGACGGAGTCTAGGGTGCTAAGAAGACTAGTGAGGTTCTGGGAGAGAGTTGCGATTGTGGAATTTGTGGATCCCGATGGATATTTGTAGGCTGAGATGAGGGAACTATAGACAACGTTGAAGTTATTGCTGAACACCTGCCTCGTGACATCTACCATATCGTATTGAAAGGCCGGGTTATCCCATAGAGAAGGATTACTCGTTGTCGCCGAGTACATGAGATGCCATGCATCCGTGAGGGTGGATGGATCATATGTCACGGCTGTGGCGTGGTGTCCTGTTCGTCCTAGAATGGCTGTAATATTTGGCGACAGTTCAAAGACGGATTTGCTAACAGCTTGCGTAGTGACATTTGTGTTGTTGTAGACTGTTGTTCGCATCATGTCCCATGCTGTGTATAGATCAGAAGGAATAGGCCCATTGCCGGAGTACCGACGTGTCACCCAGTTGTAGAAGTAGGCCTCAGTATCGATGGGGGATTCCGACCACTAGATCACGGAGAGTTAGTTATTTCCTATTCAGCACGGTTTCAGGAGTAGAGGGAGCCTATGCTTCCAGTTTAGGAGATTTATGGGAGGACTTAGAGCACATAAGACGAAACATAATAGAATGAGGCAGGGTAAAACCAAAGAGCCAGTTATCCTTACAGCTTGATCAAGGAGTAAATCATACATGATCTCATTACCTTCCTGGCCTTCCATTGTGAGCCCAAATCCAACCAATGAGCCCGAACTCGCATTAGCAAGTGCCTCAATTGGATTAATAGTGACGTTCAAGATCTGTCCATATAATCCCATATTTCCTCCATAATCGTGGAGTTGACACCATATCCAAGGCTTGCCGTAGTAGGACTTTACCCTAGCATTGTTCCATTGAGGTTGGGACTCCGAGTACAAATCCAAGACTAACATGTCACTGTTGTCTGAGACTCCTCCTAGATAAGCTTCAACGTTTGGTCCTGTCCAGAACGTAGAGCTGGAATAGAAGAGCCATCCCTAGATATCAAGATCTCGGAATTAGTAGTGCCTAAAACGGGGAGTTGGGGGATACTTAAGGAGACTTATAATTAAAACATTGTTCTCGAGGCATCTAAAATAGGAGAATACCTTCCGGTAAGTTGACTTACCTGCATGAGCCAAATTGCATCTGGGTCGGCGACTTTCAAACTTTTCATGGTGTTATTCGAAACCCCACTCAGATAGTCAGTGGAGTTCGAGAAAGGATCGTTCTCGTTGTACTGATCAAGCGTATAGAAGTGAGTGATATTGCCCAAAGCTTCAGCTTGTTTGGAAATGAAGCTTATCTGCAATTTCTCAAACGCAGGATCAACCGGCTCCAGGAAAGTAACATTGGTATACTGAGTAGAGAATCCATTCCAAGCAGAGCCATTGACAACGGTTGCATTTGGTAGCACTCGGGTAATCGCCATTGGGATGAAGCCAGTAAAGCATGGAAGCACAGGAGTCATTCCCAGATCAACCATACGTTTGGTAATGTTTTTCTGCAATTCGAATTGGTCGTCGATCCACTCCATGGGTAAGTCTCCTCCCCAAGAACCTTGTATATTGCCAAAACGATTCCATGCTTGGAAGGCTGGTCCGCTTAGATAAGTGTTGATTTCGGCATCGTTGAAACCTAATTCTCGGAATGCTTCCACAAGGATCTTCTCCTGCCCGACCCAGGCAAGAGGCAAGTTAACACCCCGTAGAGCTAGCCAATCAAGCTCTAGTTCCCAGTCCTCCCATGTCCAGAATGCAGAAGTGTAAGAGAAAGTGACTATATCAACTGTCAACGAAGGACATGTTGATTTTCAGTGCTAGTTACACCTACCTGTATTGAAATGATACCTCCAAGGAACGATGCTTGAACCACTTATGGGCTGATCCAAGGGAGGCAGATTCGAAGGTTCTGTATCTAAACGACTCCCAATAAACCAAAAAATATCAACATGTACAGTATCTGCTAAATATCGATGCAATCTGTGACCATCTCGTCAGCTGATACGTTTCTCATAGAATTCGAATGTGCTTCACTTACCCGCTCGCCAGTGCAATGGCCGAGTTCCCCTCCACGAGAATCTTTCCTTCCGGCGTAGACGAAATGGTATACTCATCGTTGATATCTCTAATCGCTGTCGAAATTGGAAAAGTCTCATTCCCAGTGAGACGAAACTCAAATATATCTACATGATCTGGGAGTCGTCGTTTTACCAAGTCAAGGATTCCCTGGGTTGATTGTGTTCTCACAGCAACGACTGCTGTCACGAGCCATACCAAACATACGGAGAACTGCATGTTTTCCTTAGCAATCGAAGAGATGAGGTGAGATGTCAAGAAGAAGGGAAGGTCGAAGCATTTCCAGCCTCTATAATTCTTGGCACCAATAACGCCCCTCCCGGACGTGCCAGGAACAACCGTTTATTAGCGTGCCTTGATGCAACGTTGCTGCATTGTGGATCACTATTCTGCGATGAATGGGCAACTATAGACAAGATCTTAAGACAAGGGTTCTCACTATACTCCGTACAGCTAAGTAATGAAGCGAGGAAGCCTTGCTCTGGAAGGCAGGTGGGGTGGGGGTGGTCGCTGGAAAGTGGGGTAGATCTTTAACCGAGTCAAGTCAAGTAGGCATGATTGGCTCCCCTGATTGGTCGTAGTTTTCTGGATGTATTTCGTAGCGTTTGGAAATTGAGATGAGAATGCTAGCGGCAGGAACAATCATTCATGAATATTTAGATATTGACGCTACAGATGAAAGATACAATCTGATTCCAGAGACCGAAGCACAGCAACTAGAGAGTTACCTACACCTTTCTCTCCTGACAATACTTATCCACCTCTTTCTTCAGCGTCTCTCGTTGGACATATAACTTATCCATAACATCCTCACATTCTCCGCCCAACGCCTTGTCACTTCCCTCCCAGACGTCAACCATGGCTTGCATCACTGCTTGCAACTGGTTTGGTAGCCAGGTTACGATCGGGCTTCCACCTGTCGCCACTGGATGAGTTGTCTTCTTCAAGATATACTCGCGAGTAAAGCACCAATGTCTCCATCTAAAGTCACGGACTTGGTTGAGGATGAGCAAATACAGCGCTGCAGAAGATGGATCTTGTAGTGCAAAGGACTTCAAGGAAAGATCGATGGAGCGAGCCTTGACATATTCGAGGAACTCGCGATGGTTTCCTGGGCGGTATGAGCGGAAATCTTGTAGAATAGATGTCAAAGGCGTATCCGGCATTGTGATTTGCAGGAAGTTGTCACAGAGGGGAATCTGTGAACATCGGTCAGCAAGTAGAAACCTATAGGTATAAATGAACTTACCATGCTATCGTTTGCACCAGATTCTCCCCGGAAAGATAGAGGCTCGTCCGAGACACCCTCGTATATGACTCCATTTGGAAACATGGATTGACTAGTAATGCCGAATATGAAAGTTCGGAAAGAAGTGTAATCTCCTGGTTTACTCTTTCCCCACATACCTCGCGAAGTGTCAATTTCAGTCGTCTTGATCTACAGCGGGAGAAACAAAAAAATTTACATACCGTCCATAACCTTGTTGACTTTTGTCATGCTCGATACAATCTTTTCTAGGCCGTCATTGAAGGCTTTGCGATCGGTGCCACTGCAAGCGTCGAGTGCAGAGACAACTCCATCGACTAGGGGCCCTGAGTTTTGTACCATGTCAACGTGAACCAGAACGAATCCGGCCTCGGACGACTTCGGGTCAAGACCATGCTCAAAGGCCCGGATGAGGCGGAGGTTGTCGTATTGCAAGCCATTCTTTGGATCCTGTAGCTGATAGTTGAATAGGGCGTAACTGCCAGCGTATTCCATAAAGGGTTTGAAGCCAGCTCTGTGTAAATGTTAGGAAGTACTGATGATGAGTCAATGGGTTACTCACAACTCAGCACATCTCGATATTGGTAACGATATGACAGCAGGAAGTGTTTGGCGGCCAAGGCCGTAACCCTCACCCTTCATGAATCTCTCATGGCACGGTTCCAGCAAGTAAGCCGAAGCCAGAAATGAATAATCGCGGTAGAGTGCGTTTTGCAGTGGTAGATTATCTTTGTACTTATCGATGGCGCTGGTGAGGTCAGGCAGCTCTTTGAGGACAGTCTCACCCAGAGAAGAGGTTGCCAGGAGGCCTGGAGTACCATCAAGAGTCTTGATAGGCATGCGGGTCAAAATAGACTCGAGCACATCGAACTCTGCAGGTAAGCGGATGATGGGATTTGCACGGGGAAGGAAACCACGGGTGGTGGAAACCATGAAGGCGGGAAGTGTCGTATCTTCTGGTTTGGTGTCTCGAAGGACATTGAAAGAGGATGAAGGGGTTACGGAACCCATATCGGAGGCTTTGGAAAACAACTGAAGACTTAGGGAGGCAGAAAAGGGTAGTTGATGATGTCGATGAAGAAAGGAAGACAAAGAACTTCCACAATCTGGGAGAATTTTTCCTCTTTTATGGATTTGTGGGCGTGGCCGGAATGTAATCCGGCCTTCAAAGTATAACGACTATTTAAAACCCCACATGGAGAATTTGTTGATAAGACCAGCCAGCGTCTGATTTGGCTTTGGGTTCTTGAATATAGAGTGCGTGTCACGTCAGTCTGGAAAATCATACTTGGTAATGATAGGAGAACAAAGGGGAACCGCGTGTACGACATCGACATCAATATCAATATCACTAGTAGCGCGCATTGAGGCTAGAGCCATGTACTATCTTACAGCCTGCTCCCTCAGATAATGCAGTACAAATACTGAAATATCAAACCTAGTCTCATACAAAGTGAACTGTTGTAAGATCTGAGTAAGTGGCTGCAAGAAGGAAGAATGAAGTTATTCGACATGGCCTGATAGATTCCGTAGCACATTTTATTGGTTGTTTGGCCGGATTCATTCCGGCCTCAACTAGGCGGTGGGTCAACACCAAACGAGTTACGAGATAAGAATTGCAAGCTGAGCAGGGAGCGAAGTCAAAACCAAATCACATGAGCAGCTTGGAAATACCGGTATTTGGAAACTCGTAGTTGCTAATTTTTCTGAAGCTCACGAGCTTATATGATCAGCCCGACCAGCCAAGTATGACAAGTCAAGGACTGAACTGCTCAGAACGACCAAAGCTGAGTAAGAGTACCTGCGGTATTGAACAGACAGCCTCAAAGAAATAGGGTCACAAGTATATCTAACCATCCAGACGACTCCTAGAAAATTATCCACTCGATCTGAAGAATTTTCAAGCATTGGCACATTTCGCGCATTCGTGGAAGATTGCCACAAACCGAGAGGGCGGTAGGGTAGGGACGAAGGAAAGCCTACGATAGAGCAGTTGGAACAAGATTCGCAGGAGTTAAACATGGCAAAAAAGAAGAGAGCGGCTCGTCTGGCCTGCTAAGAGAGGGAGAAAATTTATCTATGCCTGAAGGCTGCTTAGACAACGTCGGGTTTGTGAAATAGGCTACGGATGTCTTCTGGCTATCCAATGACCACGACTGTGTATATGAGGGTGAACTTAGAGATACCAAGAAATTCTTGTCATGGTTTTAATCGTCGTTGCAATCGTCTCAAGAATGAAGCTTTGCAACTGAGGTTGCAAGTAACGAAAGAAGCGAAAAGCAGGTGTCTTGATTGAGAAGACAGTCCCACACGTGACGCATAGCTAATATTTGGAGGGCAAGGTATGACAGTCTTACTACTATCTCTTAGTTGAGTTTATTACTGAAAGATAGGCGAAGTGGAACATCATCATGGAATTACGATTCCTTGAGTCTAATTCTGTCATTTTACAAATGTGTATTTGGTGAGTGAGAAAATTGTGTACCGGCAACAAACGATTTTATCAGTGTATTCTATCATGCATCCTGCCAAAAAGGATATATTCTAGCTTATATTTATATCCTCAAAAGGGAAGATGTATGGGGGATATTGTCAGAGCCTTTCTAATCATGTGACCTAGAGTTAGCTGACTAAGCAATGGGGATAACCTCTTCGCATTGCAACCTCTGTATTTAGCTAGCTAACCAACAACCAATGAAACCACCAGTACCATCAAATACGGACCTACACGTGTAGTGAAGTGATCACCTTGTGAAACCAACAGAAGAAGCTTTACAACACTTCCTACACTGCCCTGCGCACATATTGCTTTTTCTCGGCCGCGGAGGTATTAGATGCTGACCCAAGCGCGAAACTTCCATCCTCACAAACCGTATATTTTTCCGGGCTTGTCCAATATTTTTGTCCCCCGCGAGCATCATTCTGCCAGTTAAAAGGATCCGCAACCGTCAGCAACATTGGCCTCTCATCAATCCACCCAGGCCCTATTCGCTCCGTCCTGCCATCGATATCTAGATACCTCTTATAATTTCTAGGCAAGAACCTCCCTGGATGGAAGAGGTTTAGCCATAGTGTGTAAAGCACCATCGGTGCAGCCTCAAAGGCATAGAGATACCATTCATTCATCACAATAGATCCGCAGGATCCTCCGGAACAACTGTGAGTGTATGTCGTGAACGCTTCAATAGCTCGAAACACGCAGCGCAGAAGCACCAGCGCCGAAGTCCCATACAGAGTGATACAAATGACTGTGATATTCCTCGGCAGCATCTGCGCCCTGGCACATCGATAGTGTATCAGTGCCACCAATGAGACGAACGCGCACTCGATAACTCCCTGCAGGACTAGGGAAATCGCAATCAACGTGCCACCATTGATGTATTTTTTTGTCCCGGGGGTCGATTTAGCCAGTTTACCAGCACCCGCGCCGGTCAGGGCTTCAACAAGAGCACCCAGGTAGACGAAAACAATTACCACTCGATCTGGATGGAGAGGAGTATGCATAGGTACATATTGCATTAGCCGCCCAAGAATGTTATACTCGGCTGCAGCAAAAATGGGAGGGCCAGCATATATGAGAATGGTTTGGCCAATGTATAGTGCTAGGTTGAGAGGCGTATGAGAGAAGACCGCGCGTAGGATCCAACCGGTCATGAATACCATGTTGGCATAGAACACAAAGAATGTGACACGCCAAAAACGGTAGCGGCTATGGATCATCAGTCAATATGAGATATTATGGGCCGCTTGGAGCTCAAGTAACTGACAAGTTTTGAAATGCATGGGTTAAGAGCGACAAAGCAATGAGAACAGCGAAGACGATTGGAAGTACTTTGTTGGGTTGATAGGGGGTGTAAGAATGAAGAGGTGTTGTTGGATTATCTGACATTTTGAGGTAAGGAAAGGAGCAATCAAGAAAAGATAAAATTGTTCTTGATAAAACAAACTCGTTGTAGAATATTAGAAAAGTGAACAGGAGGATATTTGCCATTCTTAAGCCATTGCCTCTGTTGAAAGGAAGCGGCTGTTGATACTCAGCCCGTTTGCTAAATCCACGCATCTGCCGATCGGAGGCCAATTATATCAATTTAATAGCAAGCTCTGAACAGAATCAGATATCTTTGAAGTGACACCGCTTTGCAGTTTGTAAATGTTGTAAGCTTCGCAGGGCTGAGCCAGGGGTAGAGCGCTGCGTATGACTCGATACGGTTAGCCTCATTTCTCGTGGCCACCTGGCTCACTCAGCGAATAAGGCAATAACAAGATTGGTGACTTTAGCTCAAGCCGTGGAGCGGCTGAAGCACAAAATGACGATGGATTGAAACTACTGCTGGCTGTCTTACTTCGTACGAGCGCCGCTTAGAACCTGATCGGGCAATGATTGCCAAATAGGATCTTAGACATTCCTGAAACCTCGCAACCAAGAGACACAAATTCACAATGCATATGGATCAGGTGGATTTGATGCTTAGATTAAAGTCTGACCAGAACTTCGCTGTGTCTACCCAGCCTGCTTTGGGACGATACTTCAACATACCAGCTTGATGTGCCATTGAATCAAATGTGACCTTGGACTCAAGAAACCATCCTCGCGGCTGCAAGCAGCCTACTGGGCAAAAGAAAAATATAGACAGACCCTCGACATAAGGGTAGTTGGAAAGGTAATAAAACTATAATATGCAATTGATCAAGATGACTATTTTGCCAACTCAAGTAGCTGCAACCAACATTCTCTGAACCGTCCTGTACCATATAACAGCGAGCCCAGTTGATACCACCTCATCCATCACCCCAGCGTTACTCGTGCTCCGCTCCAGAAGCTCAAACTTGCCAGACTTGTGCGTACTCCAATTCGAAGGGTCGAATTTAGCAACAGGAATCGACTTATCATCGAGGAGAACCAGTTTGAGTTCATCCAGCTTACTCCTGGGCTTCCAAGTCATCTTCATACCACCGAAAGCAGGCGAATCATAGGAATACGGCAACTTGAGCAGTCCAGATGCGGCGAGCTTGATAGACTGATTGTGAATCGTCGCATCGATACGAGTTGATAATGTATGGAAATTAACGGTGGCTATGTTGGTGTTACTCGATGCGGAATGGAGAGTCATATATGGTTTCTTGAGTAGCACTTCGGCGGTGTATAGAACGGAGGTTTTGTCGGAATCACAGATACGAATGCCGTCCCTTTTCCAGCCTTCGAAGTAAACATGTAGAATTCGGCCATCCGACTGTGCTTCACCGACTGCATCAGTCTGGGCTTGCTGAGGATGAGGAGATCCTTGGATCTGTGAAGATGCTTCAGCATCGAGGTTCTGATCTTTCAAGTCCATGCTGTGTTTGATGTTATTGGGAATTCAAGGGGGTATGTTTTTGACTGTACAGTAACAAATGTGTTATGCATAATTGAGCAGGTGGATGACTTCTCATTCTCGAATGACGAGCAGTGTCAGTTAATAAACACATTTGTTTGGAGATCAATTCCTATTCAAGGCAGTAAGCTGAGCCCCTCTGATTCAGCCATTTGGTTGCACAGATGAGGCTGCGGAAGGATGTTGATGTTGGTGGCTTTGCCGCCTAAAATGTGGCTATGGCGCTACTGTAAGGAAACCCTGTACAGTACAGTACCTAGGTACCGTACTCCACTGTACTGTATTTCAACGACTTCTGGTACAACTCCAATCAAAACTTATATCAAGAGGGGTGCCGTCTCGTTTTAGACAAAGTAAAATGAGCACTACCTAACCTTCGAACGTTCTTAGCTTAGCTGGGTAACACCTTAAATGTTTCTCAATAAGTGCTGATTCTTATGTCGACGAGCTACTTAACTGCGAGACATTCCTGATTACCTGTCATCATCGAAAGTCCTCCGCAAGAGAGAGATGCCTGGGGTTCCTTCTGGTCGAGGATGTGAAGCTTGTCGCAAGCAGAAGAAAAAGGCAATTGGAACACCAGTCGTCCACGAAGACATGCTGACTAACGAACCTGTAGTGTGACCAAGTCCAACCACTATGCTCGAGGTGTACACGTCTCCAAATTCCCTGTGTGGGGGCTGGCAGACAGCGGTATAAGTTCACGGAAGACTATAGATCATGGAAGACCAAGCAAACATGTCGGGACTCGAGCTCTTCACGGGACGTCATTCGCATGCCGAGCAATGAGACGATGCTTTTGACTGATGCACTCATTGGGAAATTAAAAGCATCTGATGATCTAAGATATCACTTGACTTGGACTTACGGAATGTATATCCAGGAAATCCCCAAGCGTATCGGCACAAACGAAGCGCTCGACACGGCTGTCGCAGCTCTTGTGAGCGCACATTCGAATTTAGGCTCACATCCATCCTGGGTAACTCCTCCTGAACAACTAAGCAAGTATTTACACGCCCTCAAAACCTTCAGAATGTCTTTGGATGATCCAACGAAAGCCCGGTCAGCGGAGATGCTGTGTGCAATCAATGTCTTATTCATCTGCCAGAGTTTCCTAGGAAGAGGCGAGGCACGTTCTCTGGCTAGAACCGGTCATGGCGAAAGAGCGGCGCAGATTTTGAAGACCCGAGGTTATTATGACAGTCAGGATGACTTCGAATGCCAAATTATATTTTCAATGCGTGGAGCAGTGCTTGTTGAAGCGCTTTGCAACCCCAGGATTTGCTTCACTCCCGACGAGTGGAGAAGACTTGTGGAAAACAAATTTGACGGAATTACTTCTGAGGGTGTAATAGTTCGGAGCTTGGCAAAAGTTCCAGATATTATACTGCGCGGTAGATCTGCGCTGAAGGAGCAGGTCGGCTTGGAATTGCTGGTAGCTGAAGTAAGCCATCAGTATGTCATATTGAAGGAAATGCTGAGCGAACTGCACGATCTTCTTCGATCCGTCCAGGCACTTGCAGCCACTGCCAACTCGCCATCTACCCTCCCGTTCCCGACTAGTAGCTCGCAATCTGCCATATCGCTCATGAAAGCCCATGCTTACCATCAACGTGTGTATGGTTTGAGCCTTGCCTTTTGCATGGTATTCAACTGTATTCTCAAGGCGCTTGACCCCAATAATACGGACTTGGATATCCATTCCATGAGTTTCTGCAAAGAGGTTCTTGAGCTCGCCGAACAAGCTGCGGTATACCGCCCTCTCGGTGCCAGTTATGTTACTCTGTGTTTGATAGCAGCATATTGCTGTAGTAGAGAAGAAAAGGCAACGCAAGCGGTAATTGAAATAGTCTTGGTTGATTACGCAATGGACTTGCCAGTGGATTTGGGAACTCTGAAATCAGACCTAGAACTCATATCTCGGCGATTGTCTCTTCTCGAACCTTGATCTCCCGAGGTAGCTGCGAAAGAAAGTGCATTGGCTTGTTCTCTCAGCAATAAAGCCAAGGAGCTATTCGAAAACAAGAAACAGTATGGCAAGGGCTAACCAGTGAGCCAACGACAAGTACCAAGCTGGTGCTACATCATCGGTGAGGCTGCTTCAACCAGCTGTCCAGCACAAGACGCTCTGTCTGGACCCAGGTTTGGATAGGAGGATGGGGGTATGATGGACGGAAGCAGGGCGGAAATCGTAGCAGCTACATTTGGTAAGAATTATGTGTTTACACTGCGTCTAGTTATAAATAGTGATCCCTATATTCCGAAATCTGTAGTTGCGAGGTCTGCCAACTTAATTTTATGTTACCAATCACAAGCCCCCTGCAGCAGTCTCGCCAACTCCTCCAACGCTCTCCTATCAACTTGATCAAACCCCTCCACCTCCGCACAATCAACATCAATAATCGCCACCGTCTGCCCTCCCACAACTATCGGCACCACAATCTCACTCTTACTATCCCCATCACACGCTATGTGACCCGGGAATGCCTCTACATCATGAATTAACCTGGTCTAGTAGTTAGTATCTATTTCCACCACCACCACCTTGATTCCAATATCAAACAACTCATTTGGGGGGGGGGGGGAATTATATACAAACAAAACATGTACTCACAACGTCTCCTTCTTACTCGCCGCAGTTCCACAGACACCTCTCCCAAATAGGATCGTCTGACAAGCAACCTTCCCCTGAAAAGGACCGAGGATCAATTGATTTGCACGGCTCTTATCGAGTACGTAGAAGCCGGCCCAGTTTACGGATGCCGAGGGGCTGGACAGGGATTTATAAGCGTGCCAGAGGAGGGCGGACGTGTTTGCCAGGTTACTGTGTCGTGTTAATTAGTCCACGGGGTTGAAGAAACGGAACGGAAGAGGTGGGCGGGTAAGGGGGGGGGACACGGGATTAAGTTTACTTACCAGACCTGAGAGGGAGAAAGTAGGTTAGTGGATTGTTTTGGCAAGGGTCTTGGTTTAAGAGGAAATGAAATGGGGGTGGCTATGTACCCAGTTTCTTTGCCCGTCGAAGAGGGCGCTGGCCTGTTCTAGGACTTGCTTGTATGCTTCCTCTTTCGTTATGTCAGAAGCGAAGTTTGAGGCTTCTGCGTGCACCTGCAACTTGTAAGTGGGAAGTTTTATACGATTGATGAAAGTTTGAAGATTTCATACCATTTCGAAAGCCGTGATAGACCTCCCTCTTCCTCTGAGTTTTATGAAGAAAGAAAGGATGGAGATTACGAAGCAAAACTTCAACTTTCCGCTATGTTCGCCATTTCACGTGATATCAAAATAAATTAAGTGGAAGCTCTGGTCAGTATATTTTGGAGAAGTCAAATCCTCATAGGGCTTACAGCGCTGATTTGGTTATTTGATAAAAGGTTGATGCCAGAAAATTTCATTAGATCATTAAGCTCAATATCTATGCCGATGCTTTTTCGAGTCCTTCGAGTCCATCATATCCTCTTCAACTGTAACAGCTAAACTTGTGGCTCCCAACGCCCTTGAGCCGCCAAGCCGTCTTCCAGCATGATCCCTATTTGCGACTACACCACTCTCCATCTCCACCATCTCGTGCTCAGCATCTTCACTCAACATAGTCCCCTCGATACTCAAGAACCCTCTCTCGCGATCGTGACTTGACTCAATTTCTCGCACTCTAAATTTCACCATACCCTCCACCTTCTCCCCCTTCCCATCAACATAATGCCCCGCCCCTTCCTCCGCATAGACCTCATCTTCCCCATCCCCTTCTTCCCTCTCCTGCACCCCCACCCAATTCCAATCGCTTGGTAGCCGTTTGCGCTCAATACTCGCATTAAAAAGATTCCAGCATACTATGCCCAGATGGCCCTCATTGGATAAATTTACATACCCCTCCAACCAGGCCCCCTTCTCCGGTTTGAAGAGCAAGAACTCGGCAGTGACCCATGCCCAGGACACAGCATACTCGTCGATATTCTGCAGCAGGACATTATCTTCGCCATCATCTCCGAATGGTTTCTCTGACAGGCGCACATTGTGGTAGGAGAGCAACACGCCGGTGAGAGGGGGGTAATAGGTTAGGATTAGGGGCGAGAGATGTTCGGCGCAAAGACCTTCGAGGGGTGTTTTCTGAGAGACGGGCGCGAGTGGGAGGAATAGACTGGAGGTCTGCATGTGGAATGGCGAGACATTCTCCGGTACCTCTAGGATGGAAGCTGTGGTCGGTTTGTCGGTTTTATGTTTCTTCGATGTCGATTTATGCCCGCCGTCTTCCTTGTGGTCGCGTTTCCGTTTCTTTTCGCCGTGGGTAGTTGATTTGTGTTTCTTTTCCGACTTTGATTTGTGCTTCTCGACAGCCATGGCGGAGGTTGGTGTTTCAATTGACATCGCTTTGGATATATTTCGCGGGAAGCTAGTTCTTGCAGTGAGGTTGAAGTTCGATCAAAAAAATTAAGAGTTATTGCATGCACCAAGGTGGGGCAGTAGAACCGCTAGCGCCCGCCTGCATGTTATCTGTCCTCGAGGTTGGCGCCTCCTTCGCGGGATAGATTACATGTACTGTAGATATTTGTCGGGGAAACACATTCTTTCATCTTTCACCTTCTTTTGCTTCATTGCTGCATGAATTTCCTTGCATCTATTTTGGAAGGTTGAGATAGCTTCCACAATGTCTGCCAACTTACTCTCTCTAGCTGGCTGGACATTTCTACCAAATGTACGTATCGCCTCTTAGTATATATAGGATTCATAACTGATGAAACTCTACAGCTGGTAACAGGATGGGTCCAGTCCATCTTCTACGGAATAACGATTCGAGCCGGTGATCCCAAACCACAACCCGGGTCTCCCAAATTTATGCTGCACCGCCGGCGCATCCACATCATGGTAGTATCCGCCTACCTCCTCTACACAATATACGAAGCAGACTGGGAGATCCGACGAGCCTCCGACTTTTACCAAGACCTAGGCATCCCACACAGCTCCACGGAGCGCGATATAAAATCCCGTTTTAGACGACTGGCAGCAATTTACCACCCCGACAAAGTCTCCGCCTCCTCTCCCTCCTCAGAAGGCTACTTTGTCCACCTAAAAACCGCACAAGACACCCTCCTCAGCCCAGCAAAACGCTTCGCATATGAGCGGTTCGGCCCCGACATGCTGTCCTGGCAGCGTTGCGCCAGCATACAGGATTATGTGCTACACGGCCTGCAAAGCATCCTCCCCTACTACGGGGTCGCCGCTCTCGCCATGTACATATTAGGCCTGCTTGGCTATCTAGACTGGGGCAAATACTGGCGCTGGTTGACAGTCATCTGCCTCTGCGTTTTCGAAATCCATGCCGTTACACGCCCATATTTCCCAGCTGTGGCAGCGAAACTTATAAACCCTCTCTTAACAACATTCACGTCTCACCCGCCCTACCTCCCCTTCCAACTCATCGCACTTTGCAAGAAAATGAGCGTCACGCTCTACATCGCATTCTCTCAAATCGGACCTTTGCTAGAAACGCCCAACACGGTGTCTTCCAACGCGAATGCGGAAGTAGCGCTGAGGCAGCAGATGGATCGGCTGGACGCGACTGCCAAAGCGGCGGAGTTTGAGACGACGAGATTGATGGCGATGGAGATGAGTCCTTTTATTGGGGATGAGCAGGCGCTGACGGGACTGAAGGAGAAAGTCAAGGAGTGGTTGGTGCAGAATACTATTCGGAATGATCCGGAGGTTCGGGATGCGGTAGGGAATTTGTTGAAAAGGAGACGACCGGATGCGCCGGCAGGGGCGAGGGGGAACAGATAGTATTTAGATATGTATTGTGTTTGTTATAGCATAGCGTTGGACTTTTAATAGAAAGAGATTGTTGAACCATACCTACCTAAAGGTACCGTCGTCTTATTGAGCTCTCCTACCATCGACAATCAATCAAGAGCCTTAGCTAAGCAAGTTGCATGCCTCTTGAGGCCCTAGAGGACGCATGATCATGACTCAGTCAGATGAGACAATTTCAACGCGCATATGCACGAAGTCGCGAAGTGCAACAAAAGATGTCAACTTGTGGGCAAAGCGTCAAGGGTTGGCTTACCCCTTTACTGGGGCCACCAATCAGACAATCAGATGAAAGAATTCAAGGCCATTCCATTGCCGCTAGCGGTAATTCCGCATGCGGCGCGCCCCCCCTTTCTACCTAGTAGTCGTAAACCTACCTAAGCAAGAAAGCTGAGACCTCATGCAAGCAAGGAACGGAACCATCCAGTTGTTAGTGCGAAGTGCAACAAAAGCTTTGGTTCGGTCTAGATCCAGAGATGTCGTCACATTGTCGAGATGTATTTGTTGTCAAGTATTCGTAGTTGGAATCTTTGGTTTTCATATTCATTCATACACCGGCACACCTCGCCCCTTCCAATCCTATGCTAGTGTTGCAAAAAGCACAATCCAGCCATGCAAAAGTAACAACGCATTCTTGATAATGAAGCACAAGCAACTCCAAAACACGCCTATGCTATAATTCCCGTCCAATTCCCAACGCCGTTTTATCCCGGGTAGGTATCAATCAAGTCAGTCAACTCCTTCCGTCCATTTTCCAAAGCCAAAGTACGCCAGGGCCATGTATGCATGCAATGTAAGCAAAATATAACAAGCTAACCAGTTTGCGAAATGAATAGAACGGCATGAACAATATCTTTTGGGGCATCAGGGTCTAGCAACCTATTTCAATCATCGTCCAATTCAATGACTTCCGCCGCTTTCTTCTTGCTCGTTTCTCTAGCCGATCGCTGTCGAGGCTGTTCGTCGTCTGAAGAATCATCGTCGTAAGGTGCTTTCCGCTTCAGAACTTTCGGTTCGAGTTTTGCGCGCCATGTTCCATCGGGAGAGATCAGGATTGCTTTGACGTCCAGATTATCCTGCTTCGCTAGCTCTTGTCTCACTGAGACGAGAAAATTGTCCACCCGCAAACTGTAGGGTCGTGCATCTGTACCACATAATGGGCATTTCCAGACATCCACCATACAAGGTTGCTGCGGCCTCTTAGGCTTGCTGTTTCGCGTAAGGAGGAAGGTCTCTAAATCGAAGCATTCGCGATGAAGACATTTGTTGCCACGGACTGGAATATCGAAAATGCGAGCCGTGAAAGGGTCGGCAAGACTGAGGGTCAGATCGCTTGCCACTATGGCGAAATCGTCATCTTCATCGCCTATTGGTGCAAGGCTCTTCTTTATAGCTTCCAGGGTGTAGTTTGCGGATATGCGCTGATGCTGGAGGCACATTTCCATGATCTCTTGATGCCTAATGGTCTCGATGACTTCAACAGCGATGAAATATCCCTGATCTTTCAGCGCTCTTTGACGTGACTTTGGCAATGAAATTTTGATTTTATTCGTAAAGTTTGCTCCAGCAGCAAGAACGGATTGGGTAAGATCGATAGGCAGATCTTTTCCATGAAGAAGTTTGCGCCTTATTTCTAGATGCTCGGAATTGAAGAGCGCAAATATGCTGTCGGGCCATACTGTATCACTCACTACCCAATCTGGGGGCAAACATGCCGTTACTTCAGGCTTTGTCTGAATGCACCTGAATCGGTATTGTAGAGCTCCACTTGTCAGCTCTCGCGTTGAAACTTTCCCGGCACCAGCCGGTCGGTCTCTAGGAATCAACGCCAGGTCATCAGCACGGACGGTAAAGTAGAATTCCATCAATGCGATGTCTTTTTGTATCTTTACCGGTCCAAATGCGAAGCCTTTCATAGTCTGATAGTATCTTTGGGACTTATCATTCTGCGAATCTGGGAACACATCGGAAACGACCAGTTTTGGGCTGCGAAGGTGTGCTTGGTGTAAAGCGGTCACATCTGGGTTTACCGGCTGCGGAACTGGTACCATGTCGAGCGTAGGAATGAATGGTCGATTAAGTAGATGCAATTGCTTAACATGCGTCGCGTTTAGGGCCGGTTCTGCAATTGAGAGAGGAGACGGGACACTGGAAGTATTTATACCTGGGGTTTGTCTACCATTACTAGATATGCTGTTGTTTCTAGAATGTGCTCTTTGACGAGGGCTGATGCCAGAACCGCTGCCGCTCCGAATCTGTGCTGCACGATTCAGGTTTAGAGCATGCTGCATCTGTTGGTTTGAATGCGACTGCTGCATAACGGCTTGTTGTTGATGCTGCTGAAGCATTACAGCCTGCTGTTGTAGCTGTTGTCGCTGCTGAGGGGTTTGTACTTGCCAGGGGGGTAGTTGCGTAGATAATTGCATTTGCTGCTGCCGCTGGGCCAGATGAAATTGTTGTGTTGAGACAGGCGGTTGCTGCGTACTCGGATTCGCACTTTGATATTGTGCCTGATGTTGAGCCTGGTATGGGGTCTGGTAGACCGCTCCATTTGTAGTGCTTGGTCCATATCCCGCTAGGTTATGATTATATTGGCTACTAGTGGCATTGCTCCTCAATGCTGGGTTGAAACCCTGCTGTACAGGTATAGGTGACTGCGTGGTGGGGTCTTGAAAGAAAGTCGGACTTGGCGTACCAGCTGGTATACGATGGTCATTCAAATTCGGCGAGCGTCCAGCTATTGTAAGTGCTGCAATATTGGGAGATGATGTGCTTCCAACTCTATGTTGAGGCTGGTTAGCAGATTGCCAAGCACCAATAATATTTGGACTCGAAGTTTGTCTCGGACCAAGATTAATTTCAGCCTGTGTGCCAGCCGCTACACTTGCTGTGGCCCCAGCAGGAGGTTGAAAGTAACCACTACTCGGAAGTACAGGTGTAGGGAGACGCGTTGTTGGACTCGACACGGCTGATCCCAAAGAACGTCGCGACCGCATGTGCTGCTTGGAGAGTAGAACATATTCGTTCGCAAGTTTATGGTTTCGCTCGTGTATCTCTTTCTCTGTTGGTGGTCGCGCAGTGTTGTAACGGGCGGCAAGGTTTTGGTGATCCTGTCTATCTTTTTTGAAAAGATCTTCCATCCTCCGTCCTATCGGATCATCGGTAACTCCTAAATTGCGTCGAGCGGCTGTAAAAACCACTCCTTGCAATATTGGAGATAGCAATCCTAAACGATTTACGAGTTCATCGACAAGTGGGGGATACGACCTAGTTGCACACTCGCTGGATAGCAGCGCCCAATCCGAGGCTAGTCTTCCCAAAAACACACCAACATTCCCGACAGTTCTACGATAGGGCTCCGAACTTCTCATCAGATCTGGTAACGGGGTTGGGAACGTGGCGAACCATTTCTTGTGATGGGGTGCCAGTCCCCCATTATCGCGGATTAGCTGGCCTACTATCTTGAATGCGAGCAGCAGCGTTGACGTATTTGGAAAATCTCGGATGCTAGTAACTTGTGTAGGATCAGGAAGATCCCATATACAAAATATCTGGTGCAAAGCAACGTAAAAAGAATCTTCACTACGGCAGGCATCTTCAAGAAGCTGGAATCTCGGCCTTTCGAGGGTACTGTTCAGATGATCCAATCCACCTACAGCTGTAATCTGATCATGTATCAAGGCCACCCTTGGCTTCAATGATGGCATGACAGGAGGCTGTGTTCGCTGGCGTTTGTTGGGATTCGAGGTTACAGTAGCTGCTGAGCCTGGGCTGGGGTACGATTGAGCTTGTTGCATCATGGTGGGAGGCATGATGTTGGAGGCAGTCCGTGGAGAAGAAACACTGCTTTGATTTGGACTTGGAAGCTGGCCTGATCCAATCTGCGAACGGTCTCGCGCAGGTACTGATGCTGGAACATTCTCTCGGGGTGGCTGGGCCATGGCCGGCGAAGCCACGAGTGGATGTGTCTGTCGTTGCGGGTCAGTAGCAAACCGCTCCCGATCTAATGAATGACCCTGAGTATTATTAGAATGAGCAGTCTGTGCCAAAGGTAGTCTTTGTTGATGCTCCGTCTTCCTTGTATGCGAGACTGCATTTCCCGACAGTATCCTTGGGGGTAAGGAGTTGAGACGTACCGGGGAGGTTGTTATTTTCTCGCAAGTTCGAATCTGCGCGTGTCCTGAAAGTGCAGCTTGAAGCTGTGCCGTATGCGGTGCATTGGTTTCAATATTTGCCTCGTTTGTGGGACGACGCTCATCATCAGAGGAATGGAGAGTGGTTGAGGCAGAAGGAAATTGGTTCTCGTCGACATGTGCTTGCTGTTGATTCTCGATATGCGATCTGCTGTTAAAGACACTGGAGTTGGCAAGAATAGGACTTGGTTCATCGCTCGGGGCTGGCGAAGGTAAGACGGCTTCAGACGACCTTATTGATAGAACACTTATTAGCATGACGCCACATGCTTAGGGGCCATAAGTTCGGCTTACTTCTGTGCAAAAGAGACCTGCGGCACCGCAGCCTTAGATGGATTTGTGCGAGGGGTCGGGCGCACTGGCGTTGATGCTCCCGTCATCCAAGACTTGCGTCGAGCAGCCCCAAATACGGCCAGAGTTGCATTCGACGATACGACGTCTCGGTCGGAGGGGATGGCATTGCCATCTTTATCTGGAGGTCTGCGCATGTCTTAAATATCTATTCGAGGGCACATCGGGTTCGATTGCTTGAAGATCGGACTTGGAAGAGTCAGTCATGCCGTGTACAGTACTTTTTTGTCAGAGGGTATCTGTATCATGAGGTCGGTGAGGGCGCAAGCGTGGGAGTATGACAAGGCGGCGACAGCGACGAAACGAAGAGAAGAGAGGATCTGGCAGTGAGGTAGGTATATTAGGTACAGTCTCGTCTGCGAGACAAAGGCGATTTGTGACGACGTTGATAGAGACGTATGGTGCAGTGCAGTACCGGTATCAGTGTAAGAGATTGGCGGGCGCAGATCAGAGTGAGAGAGTATTATGATGGAAGAAAAATTCTAGAGAGGAGAGGAAATTTAGGAAAAGGAAAACAACAAAGTCTTCCTTAGAGGTGGGATTAATAGTAGAGTAAAAGGAGAAGAAGAAGTGGAAGTGGAAGTGGAAGTAGAAGTCAAAGTAGAGCTGGAGTATTGTTTGTATTCGTAGAGTAAGTAGTAAGAAATGGGCTGAATGAGACTCTCTCTCCTTCCTGGACGGACGGGACGCATGCGGTGGTGTTGTTCACGGCCTATGCACTGAATTTTAGGGTTGAGCCTTACCGTAATAGCGCCAGCTAGGACAAGCCACACCTGCCCGCATCCAGAAAGAGCGCGCAATTATTATCCAGTTCCATCTAAAAACACCGCCAGTACTACAGTAGCACCAGGTAGTAGTACGGTAGTAGTAGTAGTCAACAACTCAATCATCCCGTAGTCTTGTCGCGTCTTGTCTTGTCTGGTCTCGTCTTTTCTCGAGTCCAATCCTTCTTCACTTCTTTCGTCATCGTCGATTCTGTTTTGTCACCCTTCACCCAACGTCAAAATCACTATTCTTTTGCTGCTTCAAATCTCCTGCACCCTCCAGAGGCCGGTACTGTCGTCATTCGTCTACTGGTTCACGTTCGGCATACAGTACCTACCGGAGCCCTGAGCGTCGACAGACCCATGCTTGCTTGTTTGCGACAGTAGATACCCGCTGTCTTTTATGCACCACCACCCAAAGGCTATCGTCCAACCCGAACTTGACAGCCCTCTCCCCTCGGAGCCTCAGCCAGATCTTCCGAAACAAACTGTCCTTCTTGGAACTATTCCCCCGCCCCCTTCGAATCAATAATCCACCCCAACCTATATATATATATATATACGCTTTTCCTCCGATGTGTTTCGTGTGATAGTACCGTCCCCAGAGACGTGGAGAGAAGAGAAGGCACAAAAAGGAGGAGGGATAAGGCAAGATGGCGACCCGACTGTCCATCGAGCCGCATGCCAGGCCCGACCAGCTACGACCAGAACCAGGGCAGATATTGATCGTGATCCGTAAGTGGCTAATTTTTGTGTGCGAAGCCGGTCGAGACGCATCATATTCTCAACGTTTTCAATATATTGTGGGCAAGGGGTAGTCTTGCTGACCTTCATCACATGTAGATGATTTCTCGGCCCGCAGTTCAGATGAATTGAGCTTGTTAAAGGGAGACCGCGTCGAGTTAATCGAACGCGACGATGATTTTGGAGATGGATGGTATCTTGGGCGACACTTGACAACTGGAAATAGTGGCCTATTTCCTGAAGGTTAGTTCTTGCAACTTGCAATCTTTCTCCATTGAGAGCTGGGGACTAACTGCCATTAGTATACACCAGAATCGCTCCAAGAGGTCCCTCTTCATATCCACCGATAGCTTCCCAGATTCCACGGTCACCCATCACACTTGATTCGGCGAAAGAAGAAAATGTGCAGCGACCGGCAGCAAGCAATACTGGAGAAACGACGCTTCCAATTGATTTAAGAATGTCTGCTCCGACTCCCGAGAAGGATAAAACCCCCCAAGCCAGTCGTCATGTTAGTGCATCAGAGATTCTGGACTCCCCAAATATCACATCACCTTTGACTACTACTCCCAAAGAGCCCGAAAAGGCTGTTCCTCCAGCGATCCTGAATTCCATCATTTCTTTACCACCGAAAAGCGTTACCGATACTGCCAAACTGCACGTCCACGGGCAAGACAGCCCGGTGATGAATGAGACTTTAAGCGTCATTGATGAGCATATCACGGACATGAATTCACCCCACCACAGCGCTGCCGGAACAGATAGGCGAGGGACTACTAATGACTCTGGCAGTGAATACAGCAGCCACCTGGACCAAAGACTTTCCTATATAAACGGCGAGGAGACAGACGAGGAAGAAGAAGCACTCCACACACAGGCTGAAGTAACACGCTGGACACCCGACCAAGTTGCAGAATACCTTTTCACTGTCGGAGTGGACACGAAGCATTGCGAGGTCTTTCGGGATCAGGAAATTACGGGCGACGTTCTTCTTGGGATGGATCAAACCTCAGTTTTTCTAAAAGAGTTCGATCTAGGCTCCGTCGGGCGAAGGCTGAAGGTTTGGCAGAAGATTAAGAATCTCCAAGATGAGATCGGTGGAGAAACTTCGACAAGGCGCAATACCGGAACATATGGCAGCGACGTTGGTTCTGAGGAGGGTGGACGGCACGGGAGTCGTAGCATGACCTCCTCCGCCATGCTACCTAGGATACCAAGCTTAAGGGACCGACCCGCATCTCGTCAAAACACGCGCCTTTCTCAGCAACACAATTCCAGGTCTCAGTCAATGCTCCAAGAAGTCTCTCCTGTGTCACCAAAGTCCGTGCAAGGAAGTCCCCGACCGACAGGGGAGAAGCGACCATCCGCTGCATCTATCCGTGACCTGCATCATTCACGACAGAATTCTGCAAATGACTTCACTGTGACTTCACTTATGAGTGCAGTAGCAGGTGAAGTTCCGAAATCCCAGGATGCGACTCACAAAAAACAGCATTCATTCGACAGAAATTGGACCATGGGGGCGGCTGCTTCGCCTCCACTTTCCTCTCTACCTAGTCGACCGTTGTCTTCCTCCGGCATTAAAGGAGTCCCGAGAAGCTCTACAGATCAATTGTCGCAAAGCACCGCTCCTTCCAGCCCTTTTGATGCATTAGATCGAGGTTATTTCTCAGGTAACGAGGCTGATGCCAGGCAACGAAATGTCCTACGAAAGAGGGGGAGCACTACTACACACTCTCGAAATTCAAGTTACACGGATGAGCAAAGGGTCCGAAGCGCGACTGCACACTCTAGACACTCTCGATTTGGTAGTGTTGATTCTATCCGCGATTCTGCACCCCCATCCGCTGCTCAGAAGTATTATGGACTCACGGTAAATGGCCGCCGTAGGACACCCTCGGAAAATTCAATTAGTGCACCTCCTCGACCTGCACCACCACCCAAAGATGCACCTTCTCCGACTGTAACCAAGCTTGAGGAGACTTCTCACGGGAATACAGTATCCCCAAAACTTACGTCTCGCGGATCAGACTGGTTTTTACCAACCAAGTCAGTCAAATCCACAGCAAATCGACATTTCGGTCTTCGAGCGATATCAGATGCCGTCACTGGTCATGAGAAAAGCAGTATCACATCCCCAGCAGACTCGCCTGTCAAGCAGTCACCTCTACAATCACCTTCGCGAACTACATCAAGCACAACATCTGCTGGCCCAAGTCTCGATTTGGACTCTCCTGACGCAAGTAATGTGAGTACAATGGCTACCCCTGGCAGTGCACGGGCTGCTAGAAAGAAGTCAAAGAAGGAGACGAGTGCCTATACTCGTGGTCTTGAAAAAAAACCGCCACAAGAGCAAATGGTTGAGGCCGATTATAGTGGCTGGATGAAGAAGAAGAGCACCAATTTGATGACAACGTGGAAGCCACGCCTGTTCATTCTGAAGGGACGAAGACTTTCTTATTATTACTCCGAAGATGACCAGGAAGAGAAAGGATTGATAGATATATCATTCCACAAGGTCCTGCCCGCCAGTGGTGATCGTCTCACAGGTCTGCACGCCACACTTACGGGTGCAACGAACAGCCCGACAAGCCCGCCGGGCACCCACACTCCAACACTAGCTTCTGCAGAGGCAGATGCTGAAGCTGAATCAACTTTGACCAAGGGCGCCGGCGATTCCATGTTCATATTCAAACTTGTCCCCCCACGAGCTGGGTTGTCGAGGGCTGTTACATTTACCAAGCCAACTGTACATTACTTTGCGGTCCCAAACCTCAAGCAAGGCCGACTCTGGATGGCCGCAATCATGAAAGCTACCATCGATCGTGATGAATCAGCGCCTCTGAAGACAACATACACGCAAAAGACAATTTCTCTTGCAAAGGCTCGAGCTATGCGACAACGCCCTCCAGCATTGATGAATTTAGATGAGCATGTTGATGAAGAGGCAATGAAGACACCGGCCAGCGATAAAAATGGATTGAACATCCAAGGCATCATCTTCGATCGCGAATCACACGAGGCTGACAGTGGAGTTTCTGGAGTATCGAAATCCGACGCCCAGCAGCCCGAGAATGCAGTCACGGCAGAGGGAACAGTTTTAGCCAACAACTCCCTCAAGGACCCCGAACCACATACGGCGTGAGCTTATGAGACTCTATGAGTCAACAATTACATTCATGTGAATGAACTTTGAACTACTATGCACATTTCATTCCCTTTTCTAATTTTCCAGTAGCCAATCCCCCGTTACATACACACTTACAATTTCGAATAATTTCGGCGTGCACGTGGGCTGGCAGGACTGGCATGGTGGATCTTGATAATATTGGATGACGGATGAGATGAAGGTGATGAGCGATGGACATTCCAAGCGATTACTCGACGTTACCTTTTGTAGCATACGGCACAGGGGAGGCATATACGCATATACCAAAACCGAGATTCACAGTGTTTTCCCCCGTCCATCTCTACGTGAGTCTTTTCGTGGGTTTTGTGCTTTTTGTCTGTCTTTCCCCTTTCTTCTCTAGACTCCATCGTACATCCTTTGACCTCAGTATGTCATACCAGCATCACTTCTGCTCTAGAACCTCAAACCCCACGTACCAACCGTAGGCTATACCTATATTATTATGTCATTCCAGAAACTTTTTTCCTTTGGACCCCAATGCCCCAACTAGTTGCCTAGGTACTACGCCATTCACACGCCATTTCAATATGACCACTTGAGGCTCTATACATACTTCCACGGCCTACAGCCTACTCCATAGTATTTATTCTTCGGCAGGGGGTTTACATTAATCACAAATTTTCACGAATAATTACTCGTTACCTAATTGCCAAGACTCGTACCACCATCGTGTGCGATGATTTGGGAAAAGCCATTAGTTAATTACGTGAACATCATCAGATTTTACTCGAGAGGGAAATTTTTCATTCTGGTCTCCGCACTGGCGTCCTTGGTATAGCAAATATTTGGCTCACTTTACTGGTAAGTTCGGGGTCCAGTGTGGGATGCGGCCAAGCGTTAACACCATAAAATGGGGGGATGGGTTTAAGAGGATCCAGGTGAGCTACCTACTTCTTTCTTTCCATTTAAGTTTTGATTTTGACACTTCACCCACACAACAATTTTCCATTTTCAAAACTCAATTATCGATATACTTTTTTCCAGTCAAGTCCAGTCGAACAACTCTCGAACTCAAGAAATTGAATCTATTCGTAGAACCGTATACGCATACGTTTTCGAGAGTCGGTGAATAGGCATCCACAACCCTCTATTGGTACCAGGGCCTATAGCCATCCCTGTATCTAGTGTGAATTCATAGTATCGATATAACTACAGAAGCAGGTGCGGACGGCACCATTGTAACTGCATTTCCAGAGGTACTGGATCCCGTGTATCTTTCTTGACGGACTCCCCCTCAATTAAAAAAAAAAAACATCGATATCTTCCCTAGGACTCAACCACAGCACCCTCTTCCGGCAGCACCAAAGCAGCATTTACCTATTTTCCCTATTACCTACCTTATTAATACGATAACCCCTCGCACCAATCCCTAAAAGCGAATCAATAACCCGCAACACACAACAGCCAAAAACATGGTGTTCATGGGCCTCACCAACCCTTTCCACAAGACGTCTGTGGACGACTACAAGGGCGTTGTCGTCCCGCTGTCGCAAGCCATCCGCCACCCCACAGTAGCAGCCGAATATGCACGCCGGAATTCGGGTCGGCCATCCCTCTCAGATGGCTCGTCCCATGTGGACGATGCTAAAAAGGACAATGATCGTGCCTCGAAGGACAATGACGATGGCGTGATGACAAGTAACAGCTTAGGCTACAGTCCATATACCATCGAAGGGCTCCGTGCAGAGATAAGCGATGATATGGCCCTCGTCACCTCCGCAGAAGGGGGAGACTCCCAGTATCAATGTAAGATACGTGTGACATGATTCGTCTGATTTCGTAACTAACGTACCATTACAGACGAAGTAAAGAGTAGACTTATCAACAAGGCTATCCAAGATATTGGCATGGGCAGATACAATTGGCAATTATTCGCCCTCTGTGGCTTTGGATGGTTTGCCGACAAGTACGGGTCCCCAATATTCAATACTGTGTCTATCAACTAACTGTTCCATTAGTCTTTGGCTCCAAGGAGTCGCTCTGACGCTCCCGTCGCTCTCCAAAGAGTTCGGCATCAGCGACACCCACGTGAGATACACAACATGCTCTCTCTTCATCGGTCTCTGCATTGGTGCGAGTTTCTGGGGCATCGGCTCTGACATCATGGGCCGCCGTCTCGCATTCAACATGACTCTCTTCATTGCAGGCGCCTTCGGTATCGCTGCTGGAGCCGCCCCGAGCTGGATCGGTGCCTGTGGTCTTTTCGCTGCTCTGGGCGTCGGCGTTGGAGGGAACCTGCCGGTTGATGGTGCACTCTTCCTCGAATTCCTACCGAATGCATCAGGTGGCCTTTTGACCCTCCTTTCCATTTGGTGGCCAATCGGTCAACTTGTAGCTTCACTGATTGCCTGGGCATTCTTGGGCGGCCGCTTCTCTAACGATGACGGCTGGAGGTATTTCGTCTACACACTGGGCACAATCACCTTCTGCATGTTCCTCGCCCGGTTCGCCCTGTTCCATCTGTTTGAGTCGCCTAAATTCCTCCTCTCTCGTGGCCGTCAGGCCGAGGCTGTAGCCGTGGTTCACGGAATGGCCTTCAAGAATCGGACGACAACTTGGTTATCGGAGAAGATCCTCAACGAGATCGGCGGCGACCTAGTCGTAGAAACCCTCACGCTCACTCCCTTCGAAGTCGTCAAGAGAAAGCTGGCGTCGTTCTCTGGTGAGCGTATCGGGCCCCTTTTCCGCGATAAAAAGCTGGGATGGACTACTGGTCTTCTCTGGTTCTGTTGGGCGACCATGGGAATGGGCTACCCTCTCTTCAACGCTTTCCTGCCTCAGTACCTGTCGAAAGGTAAAGGCTCTTCTGGAGGAGCAGTTACTGCCAATGAGACTTATCGCAATTACGCCATCACATCCATCGTCGGTGTCCCCGGTTCAATACTTGCCTGTTACACTGTTGACATCCCTTATATCGGCCGCAAGGGAACCATGGCCATATCTACCTGCCTATCCGGAGTTTTCCTCTTCCTCTTCACTATCTCTGCGGAATCCAAGACCCAGCTCGCTTTCTCATCCGTCGAGGCATTCTTCCAGAACATCATGTATGGTGTCTTGTACGCTTACACACCAGAGGTCTTCCCTGCGCCCAACAGAGGCACTGCTACCGGTATTTCCAGCTTTTTGAATCGTTTTGCCGGATTATGTGCCCCGATCATCGCTGCCAACATCCCCAGTGCGAACCCAAATGCACCTGTCTTCGTCAGTGGTACTTTGATTTTGGGGGCTTTCGTTGCGATGTGCTTCTTACCTATTGAAACAAGAGGCATGCAGAAATTGTAGATTTGGATGTGGATATACCCGTAGAAGAGGAGACTCATTAGTGCATTAAACGAAAAGCATGGTTTGGATATTATCTCGGGAGTATGAGTTTAGTCTACTTTGGAGAGGTATAATTGGAAATCGATACTCATTGGCATCACATCCAACCCAAATCGTCTGTCGTGAAAAAGTGATCCATACCAGCCCCTATTCGCCGTCGCATAAACCCAATGTAAAACATGCAGCGGTTTTGAAAGTGGTCAAGCAGTGGAAATGAGGCTCATGAAGGAGTGATTACAAATTATTGACCATCCAGGTAGTTTAAGACATTAAATAGGAGCCGTATAGTAAAATATGTAAAAACCTCTTATGGGTAGGAGTGCGAGGACTTCGAAGCGATTGAGGTTTGCGCCACCGGGAATGAGCTGACTTGCAGGGATTGAGAATGGCAGAATGACGCAGATGTTCGCTGGAAACATTTGGATTATGTTGAATTGGCGCCAAACAAAAACACCTCGACCTCACCTCGTTCCTTTCAATCTCATAATGCCCTGTCCCTATCCATATCCATATCCATATACGCCGTTATACCTCCAAGCCTTCGAAATCCCGACGCCAAGTAAGAAAGGCTTGCGTAAACCCTCCAGCCTTCTTCGAGGCTGAGCTCCAACCTTGCCCCTCCCCCTCCCCTCCCCTCTCCTCCCAGACCTGTCCCGAGATCCGACTCCAAACGTTCAAATACCAATACCGTATCGCATCACATCAACAGAGTTTGCTACAGTTGCCTTTCAGTCCGGAAGATCTGTTCGACCAAATTCTCAGCAATTCATCCGCCAGATCTCTCTAAGTTTATCCAACATGTCTGTTCGCATTCAATTCGACAATCCCCATACCTTTTATACCAACCTCGATTTCATCAGTGGTAAGATCATCCTAAGTCTCACCAGCGACGAGAATGTATCTGCCATTATTGTCAAGTTGGAAGGGGAGAGTAGAACGATCCTGATGCGCCCAAATCCGCAGATGAACCAACAGCATTACAGACGAGACAATCGGCAAGGAATTGTAATGGAGAACCACAAGATTTTATATAAAATGCAACAAGTTTTTCCAAGCTCGGATCCCGCGAGTGGTACAATGATGGGACAGGCATATACGCTGAGGGCTGGCCAACATGTATACCCTTTTCGATTGAAGATCCCCATCAACAACGGCTGCGCAGACCCTCAATCGCAACAGATGGGCCCGGGAAGTGGCTTTGGTGGGCTTGGTTTGGGTGGATTACAACAATTACAATACAAGCATGTGAGGAAGACATTACCACCATCTCTTACTGGGTTTCCGGGTGAGGCAGAAATCAGGTATTATGTGAAGTGTACGGTCCAGCGTCCATCGATATTCAAGGAGAACAGAAGATCAGCAATTGGTTTCAAGTTCCTTCCCATCGAATCTCCGAGACCTCCTCCCACTACGAATGAAATATTCGCGAGACGGCCGTTTGTCTTCCAAGCCGGTCTAGCACCTTATGCGAAGAAGACGTCGATGTTTAAGAAGAATCCTACGCCGTTATCAGGCACGGCGCCGAAAGGAGAGGTTGACGCCCGCTTACCAAGTCCCGCGATTTTAACATGTAACGAGCCTATACCCTTACGAATTATAATGAGAAAAACGAACGAGAGCGCAGAGAATGTCTTCATTGTATCCTTGCAAGCTCATTTATTTGGCTTCACAGAGGTTCGCGCGCAGGACGTTGCAAGAACAGAGACGAGTACATGGGTGCTGATTAGTTTGAATGGGCTGTCAATCCCGGTGGGATCACCATCGGACCCAGTAAGAAAAGAGAATATTATAGATGGACAGCTGTGGGATCGAATACCGCTACCTAATACCGTGGCCCCTTCCTTCAACACGTGCAACCTCTCGCGAAGGTACGAGCTAGAGGTACGAGTGGGCTTGGGGTATGGTGTTGTAGGAGAAATACAGGTAATTAATCATGTATGATTTATGCCAGAAATTGTTGACTAACAAGATAACAGCCTCAAATTGTCACCCTTCCTCTCCGCTTCCAAGTGGAAATCTACTCTGGGGTCAAACCACCAGCGGCTCTCTTACATGCCATGGCTTCAAGGCCAGCGGTCCCCGTTCGCCCATCCACAACTCAACCACCAGTACCGACAGTCCCAGCCGCCGATCCCTTATACCCACCACAACTCGGTACTCCAGGTGCTGCAGTTGCAGACGCGCCTCCCAGTTACGAAGATGCGATGGCTGACGACATTGCGCCTGCGGATGGACCTAGGAGAGAGTATAGCGGTGTTACGGATGTCAATGCTCCTCCGATGGACGAGAAAGGTGCCGCGCCGAAGTATAGTGAGAGCCCTAACAATCCACCCGGTGGTCCTAGTAGCGGGGGCTCAGGAGGGCACGGTGCTGTGGTATAGGTCACGTCTTTAGAATCAACTGCTTCATACATATGGTGCATAATGAGCGAGCGAGCGGCGTTTTCAGGCTGGTGGATGCATTGGTATACCTAGAACTATACCCTAATGGAAGATTTGTAATTTCAGAACCCTTTTTTGAAGGGAGTAAGTGTTGTGGTAATAATGGTTGGTCCCTTTTCCTCCAAGTTGAACCCATTTTTACAACAAGGATTCGCTAAAGCCCCTATTTGGAGCATTCCGTCCTGCTGAGAGAGCATAGGTATAGGTGCTTATTTAGGTAAGGATGTGAGCATAGCTCAGTCATTCGAGTACTAAATCGTCTCACGTCCTTTGCCATATTCGGTGAAGTTTTTTTTATACACGATAGTACGACAACTGATTTTTGGCTGCGATCAGTCTATTATTTCTGTCCCTTTTTTGATACAAAGCACAAGGACCTTTTATGTACAGAATTGCCTTGTTTACCACCAATTTTTACATCTGCAATCAAAGTAAGGCCAAATCATCCCGGGCTTTCTGGGTGAGATTGACGACTTCTACTACCATATGCTCAGCCTCGTCCCGCAGATACTTATCAAACTCCGCGGCATCGGCTTTCGAGGCCTGTTCCCAGGCCGGATACCACACCGCAGAGTAAATCTCAATGCCTCCAACACCATTCAGCGTCTCGTTGACTCCGAGGTCGCGTACTGCAATATGAAGCACCCCGAACGTCGTCCCGTTTGCAAGATTCTTCTTCCCGGCCCTCTGCAACGGCAACAAGAATTCAGGACCCGGAGCCCACGATGCTGGATAATCAGTCCCATCGAATTTAGGCTGCGCATACTCGGGAATCTTGAAATGCGTGCGCTTCATGCCAAAAGTCGACAAGACACCACCCCACCCTTCCAGAATCTCAGAGCTGACATCGTTCGCGGTGGTAGGGGTTGACTTGTAGTAATGCTCCGGGTTGGCATGCAAGTTCGCTGCGTCAGCCTTCGAGGAGATCGACCATTCCGCGAAGGCGATGGCCGTGAGAGAGCCGCCGAAATAGGCTTTGGCGTGTGCGCGTGCAGCCTTCCAGTCACTCATGTTGGACGATGATTGCGAGACGACCTGTTGCCAGAAGGTGTCTGCGACGGCTATGTCGGAGGAGAGCAGCGAGAGGAAAATGGTGTCGTTGGAAGCGGCGATGATGCAGTCCTTGAGGGCGTAGGTTGCGTTTCGCTCGTCTCTGCTATAGCCGTTGGGGTGGGAGCAATTCTTCTCGAACGCTGTGCCAGAGATTGCGGAGGTTATGCGGGTGTAGGCTTGTTGGGCGGCTGCTTTCTCGTACCTGTTCTTGATGTCCGTCGTCTCTGGCGTGTCGGAACCTTGGAGAGTGAACTCGTAGCTGACGGCTGGAGATCCATACGAAAATGTCTTTGCTCCCACCATGACGGCGAGGGCGGACACGGCAGCAATGTTCAGGAACAACATCTTGAAGATCTGGACTGAAGATGGAATTCGGTCGAGATCTGTGTCAATGGTCCTTCTTGATTATTGAAGAGGGAAGATGATACTTATGTTCTTATCTAAGAAGGAGAGCAGGGTGACTTCCTTCTAGTACTTATAGGAAGAATGATCTCGTGCTCCAGCACCGGCATCACCGGTACTAGATCCTTTTATAACTTATAAGAGGCACAGTACAACTAGCAGGTAAATGGTTCTCTGCGGAGGTCTCGGCCGACAAATCAGACATAGCGAATGCGAATTGCTTTATAGGCCTGTAGTATTGCTAAACCCCTGCTCATTTTAAGCTTTTCACCTCTTGCTGTCAAAGGACTCACTCCTAAAAACTTATGGTCTTCACATGAGAATGGAATGTACATGATGGAAGAATATCGAATGATTTTACGAAGTACAAGATGCTGTGCCTCGAAGGCTCTAAGTATTATCCTAGTAACTTGCCTGATCCCGTATATCTACGAATGAACATGGCAATTTGCCGCATGACGTTGTGGTGAATTGCGGGGTGATTATAGTACAGCATACGTGTGAATCTGGTTCCATCGTACTTCCGCGAATGAGCAGCATGTATTTAGAATTCCCACTTGGAAATCCCACTTTTATAGTACAGGGTACATAGGTACATGTACTGTATTCTTTCTTAGTAACCTGGAAGTTACAGTAACATTGCATAAGCGAGATTATATAAAAGCAATCCCAGACAGAAGAAAATATTAATAGTATAGTCAAGATTAAGTGACGAACTGTATACTGCTACTGGTTATGCTTAAGGATTATTGTGCGAAAAGACCGCTACTGTGCTGTGCCTGAAGCTAGAAGAAGGATCATGCATTGCATTTTTACGTCAGGTACCGAAATCCCGGCACTTCACCAAGCAAACAGTAACTTTGAGTCTCAAAGTTGAAGGGGCAAAGCCGCGAATGTATTTAGAAATAAGATGCGCCTCCCTTACTATACCTGGGTCATACTCCCCGTTTCAAGGAAAGCTATTTGTTTTATATTATATGACATTATTAATGACCTATCACTTTGCATACGAGTTGTGCCATTCAGCCCCTGAAAGTCCATCTCGGTTATAACCGAGACCCCTTGCTAGCCCCACTATCGATACATCAGGGGAATCTGTCAGTTGTAGAACGAACTCAATGCCCACGAGTAGAGCAATACGCCAAAGGGCATAGTTTTGTTAAGGTATAGAGAGCATAGAATCGTCAGAAGTGGCTATAAACTCACTTCTGACTAGCTGAGCTAGAGACGAATTTACGGGAACTAACAAATGGGGAAGAAGTTATCGTAGCAGCAACGACCCTCCGAGACCGCGCCTGCTCTTTGAAGTTCTTCATTCACGTTCGATTTGGCTCATAAAACCTCTTATAACATAACATAAATGGCAAGTAAAAGCCTCGTCAAAATTGAAACATAAGAGTCTGCGTATAACAAGCAGTAGTTACGCACAAGAAACAACGTCACCAGACTTCGATATGCTCAGCTTTCTGAAGGGCTGGGGATGTCGAGGGGTATATTCCGAGACCATCGAGATACTGGTTTGTCTCGATCAGCAATCAAGACAACATGCACTTGAGAAGCTTTCTTGCGGTCCAGCAGAAGAGGCACGACGAAGATGGCAGCGGCAGCGCGAATGACAGCAAAGGTGGAAGTGGAAAGAGCAGCAGCGACTAAGTAAACGAACGCGTGGAAGAGTAATGCCAATGGACTTCATGAGACCCATAGGCTGGTGCAAGGCAAGAAAGGCCAGTCAAGACTGTTAGAGGCCAACGAGGCAATTGGCAAGAGAGGGTTTGACAAGCCAATGAGAATTAGGGAACGTCTGGATCGACTAGTTCGTGAGACAGAAAGTCACTCTTGCAACATACGACCGACGAAGAGTGGCTCAAAGGAAAAAGAATCAAAGTACAGACAGCATCATCAAATGTTCCCAGCAAAAGCCAGAAGCCCCCAAAACTTGCCATACGACTGAACTATATTAACACCACTTAGAAGGGTCGATTCTAGGTAGCTCTTGCATCGAACCTGGATATAGATGTTGAGAATTGGTCGTGCGTTTTATATCCCGTTTGACTCGTATGAAGTATTAACGCCGGATGTCCTTTCCTGTGCTGTAATCAGTATACGGCCATCAAGGTGCCAACCGCTCAAAGATATAAAGAGGTCTGCCTCCTAGTGCTACCTTCCTCTTCTTTGGCGACTTCCTTCACTCCCTATCTCTCTTCGTAGTATACAACATCAAGTCCATGCGATTAGATCTATGTCTTGGCAGAAGATATCCTATTTGTGATTTATAACACGATCGCGTTCTTGAACTCAACACACCCAAAATGGCTGATCACGAAAAATGCCACTGCAGCCAGACCGAGCTCCATTCTCCATTATGAAATACGGTCATCTTCTGGCAGTCAAGCTAAATATAAAGACGATGCGAAGAAGGGGGTTGATTAAACTTTAAAGAAATGATATATATGAGCCTAAATAAACCCCCAAAACACTCGTTCTGCTGGCAGAGAAGAAATCGTTCACATCATTACACGAACTTGTCACATCGAATACTCCAACTCGTGAGCTCTAGTGGCACTCCCTGCCCTATGTTGATTTAACATTATATACCGATTTTTCTACACCACTAGTAACACAAGAGGTCCATTGCCGTGAAAACCGTTCGCCCACAATGCCACGCAGCTCATGATTTTCAGTATCTATATGAGATGCTTTGACCTAATTAAAGATGTTAGTAAATAATACAGGTAATGCAAATTGGAAGGGAATAGACATACCTGAAATACGCCCTCAAATAAACAACCTGCCACGCTCCCAACGCGACCAACATTCCCATAGTCCCAAAAGCAAACCACTTGACCCGGTTATTCGTGCTCTCATTGGTGTCCCTGAGCTTCTGCTCTCGGCTCCGCAGGTAGTCCATCTCAGCGACAATCTCCTGCACCATTTCCTCAATGCGCCGTAATTCCGTCTCGACGGGCTTGAGCTTCTCGGTGGCTTGGACGGCGGACCAATCTTTGGCGTCTGCGCCGATGTCGATGTCGAGTTCTACGTGGCGGTAGGGTTGTGAAACTCCTTTGGCTAGGGGGAAAATCAATCAGTATGAATTCTCAAAGCGTATCCGAGGCGAACTTACAGCCAGTGAAGTGGTTCTGGAAGCAGACGTCAAATGAGGCATCTGCGTGGGAAGTGAAAGCCATTCTCTGCTCTCCCACTACATCCTTTGGTCGCCCATACTCGTTTCCAACAGCATCTTTGATCTGAGATTGACCATCAGTTTACTGTCCCAACATCCACTTCCAAATTGTAAAACTCACATGCATATCCACCTTCATGCCATCGCCCTTATACCCATCCACAGTAGCCGTCACAACGACCAGCGTATCCTTCGCAACGAAATTCCGTATGCATCGCTCACGACTCCTATCCCCTGCACTCTTGGCCTCGATGTCGAATTTCAGCGCCTCTGCACAGGCAAGGAAGAAAAGAAGGCTACACAGCGAGCGCAGCGGCGATTGGAGATATGCCATGGTGTATCGACTGGTCTGGTCGTGTGAGGATTGTCGATTTCAGACGTGCTTGGCTTGGGCTTCTGTCGCGTAAAGGGGGAATATCTCGATTTTAGACCACGTCGTGCACTACAGGGATGCGATGCTCATCCTTGCGCTAGATATGGAAAGCGGCACCAGTTTTTAACATTTCAAGTTGAGCGCCACACCTAAAATAATCCATGTCGAGTGCCGCTTTTGTATCTGCCACATGTAGTTCCTTCCTCAGGCCTCCAGTCGCGAACTTTCCATCAACCCCGACTTATAATTTTGGAGAGCTTCACTTAAACATCTTCCCCCAACTGATCATCTATTGAGAGAACAGCTTCGCCAAGATGCCAAAATGTAAGTCAAACCCCTGCGACCTTATTTATGAGATATGCTAACAGGAATGCCAGTCTTCTGTACGTTCCCTCCAAAATCCAAAATCTAAGCTCCCCAAGCTGCAGCCTCCCCCAGCTTGTTCAAAAGCAATACTGACTCCTCCTCCAGGCGATTACTGCGATGTCTACCTCACGCACGACTCGATGAGCGTCCGAAAGGCACATAACAGCGGACGAAACCACCTACGCAACGTAGTCGACTACTACCAACGTACAGCACCCCCCTCCTTCATACCATACCATCCACCTTAACTAACCCTCCACCCCTCCAGAAATCGGCCACGAGAAAGCCCAATCAGTAATCGACTCCATAACATCCTCCTACGCCGCCGAAGGCCAATCGTCCTCGAACCCAATGCTAGGCCAGAACCCAGGCGTCGCCCCTCCCCCTCCCTTCGCCTTCCCAGGAGGCATACCACCACCTGGCTTCCCTCCTATGCCGCCGCCCGGGGGCATGATTCCGCCACCAGGGGGTAGAGGCATGCCGCCGATGCCAATGGGGCTGCCGATGCCTGGGTTCCCAGGTGCGCCGCCATTGCCCATGCCTGGGATGCCATTTCCGCCTCCGGGGGGCTTTCAGGGCTTTGTGCCGCCTCCTGGGTTCGTGCCACCGCCGGGGTTTCCGCCGATTCCCCCGCCTGGACAGGGGTTTGATGGGGGTCACGGAGGTCAGGGTGGAGATAGGAGATGAGGGTGGCTTGGTGAAGGGCTGTAGGGAAGGAGGTGAATTAGTTATAGGAAGGAGAGAGAGAATGGTGATGTGAGAGGAATAGTAGGAATATCCGCATCGGATACCTATGGCGTTAAGGGCATGGAGTTCAGGTGGAAAATCGCAACCTAAAAGCCTCAGCAGAGACACCGACTTGTACTTTACATCTCACTAGTCTTCACAGAATCAAACAGAATGCACAAAATAAGTTTTATCGCCCAAAATTGATTTCTTTCACTTTTATTCCAGAGTCTATAACAGTAATCATTTGACTGAGAAAGAGTGGAAATGTCGCGCATCTTCATGAAGATGCAGCGGGTAAGAAACGACATCGGTGACATAAATATCTTTCCGGGTATTCAAATCCATCCCTCATCAACGCCACGCGGAAAGCCCTTCCTGCCTTATTTGTCTTCCTTTCATGCAAGCCATCCATATAAAAATCTTAAATCCCAGTCATAACATAAAACCTGTGCATCGTTCAATCCGCCTCGGCAAGCTGGATGATTAGCTTCGAAGCCAAATCCAAAAATGGGAATGGCGAAGTAACATCCTTTTCTTCTAGTAACATGCCGTCTGCTGTCTCATAGCCCGCGCACTTGAAATCTACGAGGTACACCCCGGGCTCCATCTCGTAGAGCTGGATGTCGAGATGCATGGCTACACTCTCGACGGGTTCGAGGGGTACAAAATTTGCGGTTCTGGGAGGCGAAGAAAGGTCTGCTTGTGCGCCACCACCTACGCTGCTGAGAGAGACTAGGGACTGGCGTCTGAGGTCTATGGAGGATGAGTCTTTGAACAAGGGGGGTTCCGGGGTAATACATACCGTCTTTGCGCCAACGGACGCGAAGAACCCATGGATCTGCTGGTAACTTGTATGGTGCGTTTGGATCGACTTTGTCAAATCTCATATTGCCAGATCCTCCCGCATCGTTGGTCATTGACTCGGCATGATGTAGAGATGCTCCACTGCCATTTGATACAAAGCTGTTATTATTCGTACTAATAGTATTAGCAGCAAAAAGAAAAAACTAGTATATGCTTACCTGTCTTCTTGAATATCTCCTCCTTGGGATGGTTCCCAGTCTTCATCTACTACCCATTCAGCGCCGAGCTTCTGCAAGGCACGATAAATGCATCCGATAGCCTCCAGTGGTTGATTGCGTGAGCGAATACCGAATTGCCACTTTGTGGGTTTTGGTTTCCTTTGCGGAACGGGGGTCATTCCAGTAGGTCTTTTATTGGCTTCGTCGAGCTTGATTTGACTACGAGAATGAGGGTTAAGACGGCGAGCCGTCTCGGCCTTCTCCGCTTCTGTTTGAGGGTGTGGTTCGTCTGCTTCCGAATGGGCAGTCGAGAGAGCGCTCCCTACAACTCTGCCATTCTTTCGAGCTTCCATAAAGTCTCTGTGATATGCAGGTAGACTGCTCGGGAGGATACCAATCTTACTGACATAGGGTCGAATAGATCTGTCAGTGCCGAGTGAGCTTGAAGAACGTGGTGACATGGCATCTAGGAGAGGGCTTGGTCGAGATTGTAGTGGTGCCGGACTCGGGGCATTGTCCTCTATAGGTGGGGGTGGAGGTGATGGTGAGGAGGGAGTAGTGTCAAGCTTGATACCATCATTCCACGCTGGTGGAGAAGGTACTTGGAATAACAACTTTCCTGTGTCATCTGAAAGATTTGCTGCTTGGTTGTCAGTTCTGTTTTGACTAACAGGAACAGGAGTCGAAGAGTTCCTCCGTCCGGAACTTTGTGATGTTCCGTCTGGCGTCTCTTGCGCGGAAACAAGCTGCGTTTCCTGAAGGTGCTTACGATTTGCTTGCATCAGCTTGTTTTCTCTGACGATCAAGTAAGCATCCTTGATCGCTGACGGTTCATCAGCTGCTAAAGCCTCTTGAACATCTCTGATACCATATCCCATTGTCTTGCTGATCTTCTCCGTGACTTGGTCGTGAAGCTTCACCTGCACTGCCTCGGTTGCGTGTGGAGCAATGTTCTTGGGAATGATTGCTTTTGAAGGGTCAACTCCAGTATCGATAAACTCCTCAACTGGTGGCTGAAGATACGCCGGCAAGTTCTCCACGAACCATGGGTCTAGTCGGATCTCTTCGATTGTGGCTCTGTAAACCGGATTGACTGCTAACATCTTCCTAATCAGCGCAGCTGCCCCAGAGCTCATGTAGTTTGGAACCACGTAGTGCCCCTTGGCAATTTTGGCAAACAGGGAGGGAATATGTTCGTCATCAAAAGGCAAACGTCCCACCAGAAGAACATATAAGATTACCCCGCAACTCCAAACATCAACTTCGGGGCCAGCGTATAGTTTCCCATTGATGACTTCCGGTGCCGCATAGTTGGGGCTCCCACAGCTTGTCTTCAAGAAGTTTCCGTCCGTCATGATGTTACTGAGACCAAAGTCGGCGATCTTGACATTCAAGTTTTCGTCGAGCAGTAGATTCTCAGGCTTCAAATCCCGATGTACAATCTTATGTCTGTGGCAATATTCAACAGCGCAGATGATTTGCTGGAAAAACCTCCTCGCCTCATTCTCCTTCATCTTTCCGTTCTGGACGATATAGTCAAAGAGTTCGCCGCCGGCATATTCGAGCACCATGATGATCTCCATGGGAGTCTTGATGACGGTATATCTGCGAAAAAGTAATTAGCTTCAAGACATATAAATACGGAAAGCATTATACGCACAGCTTGATGATATGCGGATGTCTAAGCAGCTGTAGATACTCAATTTCCCGCTCTACCCGACCAGCCATATCACGACTGATGAGCTTCTTCCTAGCTATAATTTTGAGTGCCACCTGCTGGTTCGTCACACGATGCACCGCCAGCTTGACCTTGCCAAAGGAACCCTCGCCGAGCGTCTTTATGATATGGTAGGCGCCGATACGCTGCTCGGCCTTCTTCTGCGGCACCGGCTCAACAGAACGATGATGGATGCCATTTGGAGCTCGTCGAGTGCTTGCATCTGGAGGCTTGTTGTTTGCGCGGCGGTTGGCAGATGGTGCCAGAGAGATCTCCAGCTCACCATCGTCGTAGGCGGCGCCATGAGGCATCATTGCGGGGGTTAGGTTGAGTCCGTGGGATGTGCTTTGGGGGAGGGGAAGATCGTGGGATGTGTCCGGGGACGTTAATGCACTACTGCCCCACCAAGCCGGGCGGGAGCTGACAGAGCTTCAATACTGAGGATCGACGAGGTGTCTATGTAGCTAATGCAAGCATCCCGGGAGAGGACGTGGAATATTGAAACGATAACGTTACCAGTGCCACCTGTAGTTAAAGTAAGCCAGCAGTTGGTTGAGTTGTGGATATGATGCAGGTTGCACGGCTATTCTTGTCCAGCAGCTTGAAGCGACACTAAATTCAACTGTGGGGTAATCGGTTGAACTTGACTCTTTGTATCGATAGAGATATCTTAGTTGGTGCGAAGATTTTTATGAGGATGTTTTTCTACCTTTTTGATAGGGTGATCAGAGTTTGTTGCACGTCGGACTTGATTTTATGTGTTGTCAGAGTTACCAGTATTTACTTTTCGTGCCTCTTGGTATATATACATATAAAAACAAAACCATCATTACCTTATATGACACGTCTTGATTCACCTTTGTACAACCCACAATTAACCACCCGGGTATATCCGCATTCTAAGACCACTTCCGCTGTGATAAAACCACAGCCAAGAATCGTGATTAGGAAATATTCATGGCCCCCAAATGAGCCGGATTGTGACGATGCTTGATGTGCCAGAATGGAGATATGCCCGTAAAAGACCTCGCATTATCCTCTCTTCCAACTAACTTCCTTCTTCCCTCAACTAAGTTCCTTCTTCTCCTCCTCCCTCAACCGCTCCACCAACTTCCCCCTCAAGAAATCCGTCAACCCCAGACTACATCAATTAGCAAACACTCAAAACATGCCCCTCACCAGTCCGAAAAAAGAAGAAAAGAAAACTCACATGCCCTCCCTCGTAACCAACCTATAAGTCCCACTACTCTGCCAATTCCCCACCCCATCTACAAACAGCCCGCGCCCATCAACCTCCAAGCTCCCAAAAATATCCTCCGGCCACGCAATCCGCCCATAATCAGGCGGCGCCCTCAAATCACTAAC